AGAAGAAGAAGAAGAAGAAGAAGAAGAAGAAGAAGAAGAAGAAGAAGAAGAAGAAGAAGAAGAAGAAGAAGAAGAAGAAGAAGAAGAAGAAGAAGCTATGCTGTAATTCGAGTGTGGGTATCATAAAAGTCGTGGTGAGAATACAAGCGCGAGGCAAAGAGCATCGAAGCGATCATGCAATCTCCTTCAACCTCTTCTGCCTATCCACAGCTTTCTGCTTTTCCTTCTCAATCTCGGCGTCCATGTCCTTTTGCGCTGTGGCCAACATGTCCAGCATCTTCTTTTCCAACTCCCTGCTGAAGGGCAAGGCTTCCGAGCCTCTGTCAGGCAGGTTTGCAGTAGGTTCTCTGCCGCCTTCGTACTCGATCCTCGCACCTCTTCCCTTTGCGCCTCTTCCTCCCTTTGCACCACCGCCCTTCTTTTGCAAATGAGCGAATTGATCCTCTGCCGTCATCTTTGCAAAGAAGTCATGACTCGGCTCGTTGAACTCGACAATCTCACACGTCTCACTCGTCACCATGTTATTATCCCTCTGCATCTTCTGCTGTTCCTCACTCCCAAACGGCTCAAGTCTCAATCTATGAGATCTATATTGCGCCTTTTCTCCAGAACTGCTGTCAAAGTACAAACGCATCTCGATGTCAAATTCTCCATAACCCGTTTCTTGGATTTGAAAGGGAGGGGCTTCCACGGTGCGGGAAGGATCGGCGTAGGTCATGTGGAGTTTGAATTGGACTTTTTTGAGCCAGGTTGTTATTTCTGGGCCAGAGTCTAGCGGTTTTACGTAGACGCGCCAGCCTTTTGTGTGGCCTTCGGGGATGGGGTCGGTTTGGGCGGCGGGGTCGAGGTTCCATGCTTGTGAGCCGATTACTGGGATGCTTGTTAGTTGTGGGTATGGCGATGGTGAAGATGGAAGGTGGGTGGTACTGAAGGGACGTGAGATGCGCGTGTTCTTGACGCGTTTGTTGCTCGCTGCTGCCGGCATGATGGGTGGTTGACGTGATGCGACGCGAGGCGATGCGATGGTGTTTAGAGGATGCGGGATTGATGATCGCGAATTGTACAAAGATGGAAAGCGCGACAGGGTCAGAGTGTCGGAAGAGCAAGCAGGAGCGCAGCCAATCGGAGCGGTTCCTGCCCGCAAAGTCCAGCCGGCGATGGCGCTAAGGGAAGGTGCACGTCATGCATCGTGGTGTGACTTGGTAGCTCTATCCTCTTGCATGTGAGTTCAGATCGAGCAGCTTCTAGCCTTCCCAATCTCAAGTCTACAACTCTGCATTCTCTCTCTCTCGCCATACACAAAACAGTCATGTCCACAAAAGCTGCCACCAAGAAAATTGTCGTTGCTGGAGGCAATGGCTTCCTCGGTACGCGAAATAAGCATTCAACTGAAGCCTGGTCAAGCCTGGTCTAGCTAATACTCCTCGCAGGAAGTCGCATTTGCAAAGCAGCAGCAGCACGAGGCTGGCAAGTCACGTCCATCTCCCGCTCCGGCGAGCCTACCTGGTCTGCCGTGACCTCATCCCCCGTCGCACCCACCTGGTCATCCGATGTAAACTGGGTCAGCGCAAACATCCTCCAACCCTCGACCTACAAGCAACACCTCGAAAATGCAGACAGCGTGGTACACAGCATGGGTATCTTGCTAGAAGCAGATTACAAGGGCGTCTTGACCGGCAAAGAGCCCATCATTGGTGGTTTACAAAAGGCCTTTGCGAGCACAAAGCAGGGCACCCAGAACCCGTTGGAGAGGAAAGAGAGCGCTGATGTCGAGCCCCAGCATGAGGACGGTCAAATCACATACGAGGTCATGAACAGAGACTCCGCCATCTTGCTGGCCAAGGAGGCGGCCGCTGCTGGTGCTTCGTCCATGGCCTACATTTCTGCTGCTGGTGGTGCTCCCATCTTGCCTGGAAGATACATCAAGACGAAGCGCGAAGCCGAGGAGTCGATCACGACAAATTTCCCGTCTCTGAGAAGCGTCTTTATTCGTCCTGGTTTCCTGTACGACTCTTCAAGGACTTTCACCATCCCCATGGCTGGTTTGACCTTTATGGGAGCCATGGCCAACTCGCTGGTCGGTGGTCGCTTGAATTGGCTGATGGGTGCTGGGGGTGTTGAGCCCTTGAAGGCGGATCTGGTCGCCGAGGCTGTCGTCGAGGCTCTGGCTGACGAGCAGTTGAAGGGTCCTGTCGAGATCAAGACCATCAAGGAGCTCGCTACTCGCGCATGGAGAAGAGGCATGCTTTAGATGCCCTCCACCAACTTAATCTATCACCAAATGAACACACCTTGCTCTTGCAAGGATAACAGAACGTTGCTTTCATGTGACAAGTCGTAAATTATGTAAGCTATGTATAGAAGATGCATGTCGCCAGCGTTACACATTATTCGTCGAGTTGAGCTTTTGCAGCAACAGTCCGCAGTCATCACGACATCTGCGTCTCATCAATCGATCTCCTATGTTGGTCGCTCTTTCTCTTCTCTTCCGATTCTGCAATCACCTGATCTGCCGCATTGACAGCAGGATGCTTCTCCTTGTCGTGGAACGGTAATCCAGATCCACTTCCAGGCAGACTCTTCGACCTATCCGACTCTTCCACTGTCGTACCATCCGGCTCGTCCGGTCCTTGGAGTGGTTCTTTCGCCAACTTGCTCCGGTCAACATTGCCGGCATCAGGTCCTTGGAGCGGTGCCAATTGTCCCTGCTCGCCGTTCGAGTTTCCTAGGCTTCCGTTTCGTGGCTCCTTTTGCTGCTCCTCAGCGCCGTTTACATGTTGAGATTGCGCCTCCCCACTCTCACCTGTCTGTGTGGTTGCAGCAGCCGCGGTCTTCTTCTTTGCCTTTTCCAGCTCTTCGCCGTATAACAGTCGGAACGTTGTTGCTACGCACACCTTTCCTGTCGATCGGCTCTTGAGCACAAATCTGGTTGTGTGGGTTCGGTCGTTGATGTATTTCAGTACTCCGAATGAGAAGCCGGGGAGTTTCAGGGCGTAGTTCTTCCAGTCGATGTAGCCGTTGTGAAAGTCGAAAGCGTAGCAGCGTCCTTTTTCGAAGACAAAGTCTTTGCGGTGCTGTTCGTCGAGGAAATGCTTGCGTCGTTGTGAGTCCGAGGTGGGGATGTTGTGTTTTTGTCGCACTGCAGAGTCATCCGATAAACCACCTTCTGCAAGGATGGCTGGAAGTTCGCATGTGCCTTTTGAACCAATACCGAAAGTGATGGCTGAAGAGCATAGTACTGGTCCATTGAGCCATGGTTGGTCGGCATCGGGATCACACTTCAAGCTCGAATCGATGAAGCCTTTAACGATATTGAAGGCTGTAGTGATGAAGCGTCCAGGTATACGATCGCGGATTGGGTTGATCAGTTCAATGCCCCAGACCAAGTCGTTAGCATCAATATCCTCCTCGGGAATCCAGGAGACAGCTATACTGTATGTGTCGTTCGAATGTTCATGATCATCAAAGTATGGTGAGGTAGCCGGGGAATCGAGTGGAAGGCCTTGATATTCTTTTATGCGAACAGCGACCTTTGCATTCTTGTTGAGTTCTGTGGGTGCACCATTGATGATGATTTGCTTGGCCTTGGTGTCATCGTAGGATGTTGCTGCAGCGACTTGAATGTAGTACTTGCTCGCATTGCTGCTGTCGACGTCGGACTGAGCACCAGTTATTTTCTCTTTGAGAAAGGAAGCCATGAGTGATCTGTGAATATTAGCAGAAGGATCAACACACCCTGGTTTATAAAGGGTCTCCAGATGATCTAGGTTTCGAGGCGTAGACTGTCGTGGCCGAGGCTGGGTGATGACGTACGTGAGTGAGCGTGGGGAAGCTGCGACAGACACGCGTGCAAGTGGCGTCGAGTTGTCACTGCTCAAATCATCCATCAGCCTATTGGATCACTGCATCTTCATTTCCCTATGAGTAATCTTCCATAGAAGGATCACAAAGAAACACACGTGAGAAGGATACTGGACAGGAATCAGGAGCTATACATATATACGTGGACCTGGACGCTGGACGCTAGGAAACACACCCCTTCTTTCAAGTACTTTTCCTGTAATGCCCAAAAAGCACAGGCAGACATACCAACCCAAACCAGGCTCGAACTATGTTCACCCCTCCCTCGGGGGTAGTCCTCGTCCCGGCGAGAATGCCCAAGCGAAACCCGTCCTATCCGTCAACGAGCGTCTCACAAACCTGAGAATCGCACAAGCCTCGCCAGCTTCTCAAGAAAGGAAGCGTCAGCTAGCGGAACTTTCAAACCAAAGGTCATTACCTCCAAATCTTGGACAAGGCATCTTGGGTCAAAGTGCTGTGGCAGCTCCGGCTCCAAGAAATAGTGCTTCCTTGAGATCAAGAATTCGGCTGAGGACGCCTGGCCCTGCCCCTCCGCCTAGTTGGGTGTCGAGACTAACAAGTCATAGACAAGCTCTAGAAACTCGTTATTATCCTGCTCCACGGCAAGCGAGATCATTTGGAAAGAATGGCGGACCAACGAGGATTCTACCGCAGGACTTGGCTCGATTCTTGAACATGGCTAACGATAATCCTGTGGTTCCTGGAAGCTTACTGGACATGTCGTTGAAGGTAGCTGCACAAAACTGGTCAGACATTGTAGAAGACTGCGCCGAGTGGCTGGATGTAATACCGACGCATCTAAGAGTTGTCCTACTCAGCTACCTGACTAGTCTAGGACCATCGGAAGGAGTCGACATGGCTGGTCTCCATGCGCTGTTTCCGAATCCATCAGAAGCCTCCTCTTTGGACCTTTCAGGCTTGGCTGGATACGGATTTACTATCAAGGATCTTCGGAAGTGGCTACACAAATCTGCCGAGGAGTCCAAGGCCCAAACCGAGCAGATTACTAACGAAGCGAACGACATCGCGGACTCTTGGGACCAAGACGCCTCATCAGACGATAGCGACTACTCAATTCCGGCGTCTCTCAACGACGGCACCCGGCACATGACCAAGCTCTCACTAGCATATCCTCCGTCCTCAGCATCCTGGGCAGATCTCCTCTCACTCTCAAAGAACCTTCACACCATCACTCACCTCAGCCTAGCACACTGGCCATTTCCGACAAGGACTCCAAACAGCACATCACCCTATGCGTCTCTAGATCGAGATTTTGAAGAGCCAGCTCTAGTGCTCCGCATGCTAGCCGAAAACACATACTGTCTCCGCTGGCTCGACCTTCAGGGCTGCCACGACTGGCTCGCGGCTCTTACCCACCGCTCCTACGCTCTTCCTCTACAATCCTCTAAATCCGACGACAGCGACAACGATTGGTCACAACAAACACAGCGTCTAAAAGGCCCAGATTGGAATGGAGCTTGGCGCCATCTTACATACATCAACATCGCTCAAGATGCAACCAGTTGGTTCCCCGCCAACAACGCGTTTCTGAAAACGCCCACGTTTCGTCAAAAGATGGCAAAGACATATTATCGTCTAGGCGTAAAACATCAACAGATCATCGAGGACTTGCGCGACTACATCTCCGCTCACCCTGAGAAGAGAGAATATCAAGTCCATCATTGCAGTGATTGTCATGCTGCTGCTGATCTTGGCGATTGTTGGGAAGAGTGCTCGACTTGTAATGCTTATCAAGACATGTTTGTGGGTTTGATGGCGAGATGGTTGGAAAGGGAAGCAGAAGCCAGAACGGTGGCTAGAGGTATCATTGCTGCTAGACAAGGTACGGGCGTGCGATGTACTTTCGATCATGGATGGCAGAGTCGGGAAAGTTATCCGGTGCTGAATTGGCCATGAGTTTATAACAATTGCCACTCTGCCAGAATAGACAGTCACTTGCACTTACAATGTCGACTTTCATGTCATGATACTACGACCCTATATGGCACCGGAGGAGTATGGGTAATCGAGAAACAACATGTGTAAAACCAATTGATCCGGGTACTTTTGTGCTTGCTAGCCCCACCTTATGTATCATCTTACCACTCGGAAACCACAATGCAGATGCAAAACGCTTGAAACAGATCTCTACACTCCTATCAACGCCAGACTGCAAATGGTCCAGCTCCATGCCTTTGAACACAATTCCACTCGTACTAAAAATGAATTAGTGAACAGTCCAAATCTTTGTCAAGCAGGGAAATATCGACTTACGACTTTGCCATCCTCATCACCAGTGTATACGACCTGTGACATGGGAAGAACACAAGTAATTGTTGGGACTTGCATAGTCGGTTCGCCACGCGTAGGCTCCACATGCATCAATCGCTTGATGAGTTGAAGATGCCATGCCCCATCGCGAAGTGTGACCAGTGACCAGACCTGAATTTCACGTACATTAGCTCGATACTCCTTCATGGACGAAAACGAAGGAACTTACATTGACAATGCCACGTTTATGGCCGGTAAAGAGCAACACACGTTCCACCCACTCATTGTCAGCACCCTCGTAAAAAGCGCAACATTTGATTTCATCGTCTTCAACATCGCAGACTTTCTGCTCGACAAGTAGATGTCCGTTCAAAGTGAGAACGCGGACGAATGCTCCACTGCACAGCACAATATGTCCAGTCAGATTATTGACTTTGGCACATGAAATTGTGCGGTTACCATCATTTGCTTCTTGAAGCACTCGTACGCAGTCGAAGCGGTTGAGATCCCAAAGGTACACTTGACCATCTGTTGATGCTGAGACCAAGGTGCTGAAAGCGCGAGAGGCGGCAAGGACGCTGACGGGAGTGCGATGACCGAAGAGATAGGTCCTCGACTGTATGTCCACGGAATCTGAACCGAAACCAATGGTCCACACACCGATAGTGCTGTCCGCGCCTCCCGTAATAAGGGTCTTTGAATCTGCGAATAGCGCAGTACTGATTTGACCAATGTGCAGATTTTCGTACAAGCCGAGCATTCTTCTATTATCGGCAGTGAAGAAGCGGAGACTGTTGTCGGCAAAGCCCCATTGCAGATAGCTCTTGCAAGCAGGTGGCACATTGAGCTTGCACGGAGGAGAACATAGCAAACGTTCTTGACTGGGTGAATATGTCAATGCCGTGACTTTTTCGTGACTCTCATGCAACGGGAACGGTAATTTGATCAATGACTCGGCAATAGTGTCAAGTCTCTCCACTCTGTGTTTTTCTTCTTCTCTTCTGGGATGCGCACGCTGGAAGACCTGATGAGGTGTTTGTCCAAAGTTGTGAATGATGCCGATAGTTGCAAGCTTTTCAACTTCATCTTGCATGGTATCCAAATCTTTCGCGCCCTGGTATGATAGATGGTGGAACACATTGGTAGCTTCAAGTGCTGCCTCACCACGTTGTTTGTATCCAAAGATGAGGTCTATCCACTCTTGGAGATGTTGACTGACATATGGACTCTCGAGAGCCTCTCTATGCTTTGCAATGAATATGTGAGGATCACCCTTCGCCCAGGGTGGTAGAATGACATCGTTGATAGTTTGCCCACTGCCCTGCTTCTGGCCGAAATCATAACTGTTGATGTTTTGCAAGAACTCGGGGAGACAGAAGAACTCTGGTGTCAGCTCACGAACATCAGTCATGTTTTCTTTCGATGCTGAGACCCAAGCCTTCTCGATAGAGTCGAACAATCTGTCTGCATGATCGAAATTGCCACCTTGGAGAAGCAGGTAGGACTGCACGAATGGTGGCAGTCGAATGAGGTACGAGGAGACGATCATTGCCGAAGAGTAATGCGTGCCGTAGTGAAATGGGGGAGAATGCTCATCACCCATCTCGGCAAAGGCTCGATAGCGGTCACGGAACTCAGACTCGCGTGCAGGATGCTGACAACCCATCGGCTTAGTCAGGTCACGGAAGCTGCGAGGATCTGTCAAATCCAGTTCCTCACTCGTGTAATCTGCAAGAATCCAAGGAAACACAGGATATTGTGTGAGGTCGTTGAAAGTTCTGCCGGCCATGTTGTTGACCAGCATGAGATATTGGAAGTTTGAGATCTCGCCACGCGTCCATCGTCGAGTCGCAGCGTTGGAGGATGTCGAATTGAAGACGTTTGCGAACTTCGAACCAAAGCTTTGAGGTGTTTCTTCAGGGTTTCTCAATGAGTCGAGTCTCCAAGCATCCTCGGCAGGTAACGAGGATAACGAGCCATACACAAGTGGTGACTTCCCGGCAAGATTGGAGTATACGTCATTGCGCGCTGTCGGCGTCATGAATGTCAGAAGGTAGCTGCGACCGTCGGTGAAGAATACTTCCAGAGCGACGTCTCGGAACAAGAAACGTCGTTTCGAGATGTGCAACAGCTCCTGCCAAGTCCAATGTCTTGCAGGCTCTCTTTCAGTTCGCTGTCTCTTCTTGGTCTTGATCTCCTTGCCCGAGATGAGTTGAACGTAAGGATCGCGCTCTTCTTCTGGGGCATGAGGGACGCTGACGATCTCGCCATCGGATCGTTGGAACATATCGTCTTGGAGGTACAAACATTTCTTGCCAATGATCAGAAGACCCTCAAAGGCCTCCAAGCCGACCACACGAGAGACGTTGCATATGTTTTGTACTCGGTCGCCACGTTGAAGACTCTTCAACACTTTGCGGTTCTTGTCTTCAAAGCCTTCCTCGCCATCTTTGGGATCGTCTACCATCTCAAACTCACCATCGAGAAGGGCCGAGCCAGACAGTGATTCTTCTCGTTGTCTTGGAGGGGTGTTCTCGAATTGTGGTGTATCGGGATTGGCAGGAGTTCTTGTTGGTGTAGGTTCCGCTGAGATTATATTATCTGATAGGCTGGGGCGAGCTTGTGTGTCTATGCGGAGCTTTGTCTGGGACATTCGCTCAGAGGCTTTACGCTTCGGCTGATAGGTCTCTTGATTGCGGCGCATATCTGGCACGATCCGGATGCGCATTCTATTGCGTGATTCTGTTTGATCGAGTTGCCATTTGTGCGGTCCTTTTTCAGGGAAGAGGCCTGAAGGCTGTTTCAACAAAGACTCGAGCCTAGCGATGACGGTCTGTATATGGTTTAGATTTTCTTGCTGATCTTGCAGCGCGCCTTGGTACTTCAGTCGCTCCTGTGAGTGGATGTTGGATCGCCAGTGTCTTGTAGAAACCTCAAATCGATGCGCGACATTGTCAAGCTCTGTCTCAGTTGTCTTCCACTGCTTTAGCTTCTCCCTACGCTTAGCAAGGCGGTTTTTCGCCGAATCTTCGGTTTTCTGATTTTCGGAGCCGACGAATTCATCCCAGAATCTGGACATAGTCTCATGGAAAAACTCGTCCAAAGGCTTCCGATTCTGATCAATCCACTGCAGAAGCTCGTCGTCGTCGTGTGCAGCGATTTTGATTAGGCCGGTCGAAATGTGACGTTGATTCGGATCCGCGTTCTGTATCAAAATGGTAGCAGCTTCTGTTGGCTTTTGCACAAGCAACATCCTCCATAAAGAGGCTGCAGCATGCCGCACCGGAGATGAGGGAGAAGTCATCTTGATGTAAAGCAGATAACAGATCAGTCTTATGAATGGTAACTCCTGGTTGTGAGGTGAGAACAAGATGGTTTGCCAATAAGTCATCTTCCTCAAAAAGTCAAGAGCATCTGTATCATCCTCGGCCTCATCAAGCTCGGACAAGCGAAGAAGAGTGACACGAAGGAAGACTGAACGTAGGGTGGACACTGCTTGGGAACACAACCTCACGCCTTTTGATGACGAAACAGCTGGCTGTTGCAGATACTCCAATGCCTTGCCAGTAAAGTCAAGCAGCGGTTGAGCTCCATCAATGAACCAGCCCTCGAACACAGCCTCAGCCATGTGTAAGCTATACCGGGCCAAGTTCGTCAAAGTTCTGGGCTCGACCATCAACTCTTGATTCAGTTGAAGGTAGTTCCACAACTGATGCATCGTATGAAGCAGAACGTACGACTCAAAGTATGCTTGATGTTCCTGGAAGCCGGGTGGGACTTTGAGAAACAGACCGAAACCGGCAAAGTCTTTGCGCTGTGAAACCTGCTCAAGGTATACCATAACCACGAGCTCGAGTAATGATTCGACAACTGCATTACCAACATTGATCTTGACGGGTGTACTTGTTGTAGGTGACATTATCGCATTGAAGCGAGTGGAGACAGTAGATTGCTTGACCTCTGATGCAGCGGGGTTGACGAAGACGAAAGACGACGTCCTACGAGGAATCTGTAACTGGGGTGTACGGCCCTGTGTAGGTAGTGTTCTACTAGAACCGCTTCTGAGTACAGCCGGGCGCTCGCCCAGTGAATTGGAGTGAGGTCTTAGGACGACGTCACGACCCTGGAAATTTAGTGGACTCTCTGAGGCCAACTCGGCAGATGCACTCAGTCGATCCGCGCTGGTGATGAGTGGGAATAGTACGAAGAGTAGCTCCTGCACATAATGAGAGTCAACGGCGAAATCGCGGAATGACCTGCTCCGAGCATGCACGTCCGTAAGGAACTGGGTGATTGTCTTTGGGATTGAATTGAGCTCAGAGGCCACCTCGCTGTCTTTTTGCTTCGCAGAGTCTTTCACAACAGCTCGGAGTCCTGATTCTAGCATGCCTGATATCGCTGGGAATATCTCGGGATGCCGTATCTCGGTGTCTCCTTGCTGCATGAACGCTTCCATAAGATGGAATATAGTCAGATCATCCACATCCTCTTGGCAAACAAAAGGACGTCCGAAGAGTATGGCAAAACACCCCATCCACACTTTCGGGGATGTCCAATGGCTTCGTAATCGAGCTTGTAATGTTGTGAAGCCATTGTTCTTCTCCGCAAATTTGGGCTTGAAGCTAGGAATCTCCACGATAGCCCTTGATATGATTGATAGTGTCGAAGCAACAACACGAGCATCAGGCTCTGCCAATAAATGGAGTATCCATCGTGTTGGTACCTGCTGATCAAAGCGCTTGATATGTGTACTAGTTTCAAAACCACACAAAACTTCCGAGTATGTCTCGACAACGCTGACACCCAGATTGGATTGACTGAGTCTAGGCGGTGGACTTGACGTCGGACTGGCTGTTTCGGGCGTGATCAGTCGAGGGGTCAGCGACTTAATTGATGTAGATCTGTTGCGAGGTGTTCTCAACAATGGATTGGCTGATTGAAGAGCTCTATCGTCGTGTAGCGCGTAGGTGATGAATGTAGCAATATCTCGATGATTCAGGTGTGCCGTTTTGCAGAGACTGAGAGCTCTCAGAGCATGCAAAATCTCGGGTAAGACTTCGGAGCTGATTGGGTCGACCTTCAGAGCGTCCAGAAACCTGCGAACGACTCTCATTTTATTGTAGCGCTTCATGTTGAACGTCTGGTTGTTGTTCTTCCAGACGAAACCAGCAATCTGTTGGTAATAGAGTTTCTGAGTTTCAGTACTTATCGTCCGCCATGTGTCGAAATCTACCAGGAGGACCCTATAAGCCATGGGATTGATGAGCAAAGATTTCTCGGGATGCTTGATATCGTAGCCGACAAATGCCAGCACAATTTGGAGAAGTCTCGAAGCCAACTCTTCTTTCTCTTGCACAGTCCTGGCTACTGGGACGGTCCTACTGCTACCAGAGCCGCTGGTATGTATTCCAAGTTTCTCTCTCAGAAGAACGGCTAGGATGCCAAACCCATTATCCTTTTCCATGACTTCGCTGGTCCGCCAGTTGTCCAATATACACTGGAAGAGTATCTCTACCGATGTGACGAGAGAATCAGCTGTTGTTGCACTCTGGATTATCTTCATGTTGATGGACAAGCAACCGCCAATCTGCCAACTACCATCATCCAGACCGCGAGTGAGAGTCAAGATGGGATGACCAGTGATCACAGCGGCTCCATAAGATCTTGTAATGGCTTCTTTAATCGTGGGTCTCGCCGCATTCAACAACAGAGAGTTGCCGTTGCGCGTAAGAGATTGGAGATGTGCAGTGGCTTTTTCGTCAAGCATGTCTGCAATATTGACACCATTCGCCAGAAGGCCATTCGTGTTTATGATTGCGGAGGCTGATAGACTGATCAATAGTTTCCCTTCGGGAAGCAATTCGCTGCCGTGGGATTGTGTAGCCTTCACAATCTCAGATTTGTCGTCTCTATCTGCGTGTAACATCTCGTTATATCTGTTGAGCTCGGCCGAAGCACGGTAGGTCAAGAATGGTCCGACACAGTCTTGAAAGTTGCCACAATAACGGGGCCCTAGCTTTTGATGAACTGCAACAAGCTCTGGAGAAAGTGATGTGTCAACCAAATGAGCGCTTGCAAGAGACCACTTCATATTTAAGACTCGATCGCCTGCTTGGGAGGCAAGGTCTTGTGGCGTGCCGAAGAAAGCTTGCACCGGTCTTCGGGTGGTGTTAACAACCTGAGAAGGAACAGGAGCGCGAACTTCTGGTACGAGAGGCGGTACTTCTGGGTAAGGACAATGTTGCTCTTCTATACAGCGCCCATTAATATAAAGGATAGCTGGATTAAGACCGGTAGTCCTCGAAGGGCGGTGCACGATAGCAATATGATACCACTCTGCAGCTGCAAACCTGAACTTTTTGAATCGCACGCTTGGTCTTTTTGCCGTGACAGACGTTTGCAAGATCAGCTGGTGAGTATCCTTTTCGATATACACAAGGACAAAACATGTCTGGCTGGCGTCGAATGCTCCAAAAATTGTTGTGTGGCAGGCCGAGTCGAATTGATCAATCTTAATCCAGGACGAGAACGTATATCCGGTGGCAGGAGGAAACGATCGTGGCAAAGATGCAAGCTCAATTGAACAGTGCCCTGAATGTGACAAGTCGAACTGAATAGCTGGAGGCTGCTTAGACTTCTGTAAAGCTTCTAGTAACAGTTCCCTTACGAAGTCTTCCTCACAGGCTAACTTGAAGATCTGAGCTGTTTCTTCCAGACGGCGCGTACCGAGAGGTAGTAAAGACTCGCATAGTTTCCTCAGCAATGCACTTTCTGGTTCTTCGATGTCCTTCCTAGTCAGGCAAGGCAATAAATTCGACAGGATTCCAGCGTCATGCACTGCGATTCTGTTGCTTTCTGACATCTCAGCCAGGCAGTCAAGTAGTGTCAAAATGCTAAGCGGTAAAGCAGCTAGTTCTGTGTGAGTGTGCTCTTGCTTTCGGAGTTGCGCGTAGACGTCTGACATGATTGTCACTGCATCTGAGTTGAGTATCCTTTCATTTTGATTGAGGCATGCACGCACGGAGCTCTGCGTGAACTCTGGTGGGGCTGCTTTCGCACCCGACTTGCCATTAGAGACGTGCACCGGCTCTGAAGAAGCATCTCCCTCAAGCGGTGACTCAGAGACGTCCGAAGAGTCGCTCCATAGAGGCTTTAGGACATTGCTGTACGCGTGATTGCCAAGTGCGAGAGCTAGAAGGGCATCGACCAATCTTAGAAGGTTGGTATACTGGCTCTCCCCAGATGAAGAGCTTGCAATTGCAGAAGAAACATGCAAAGTCAGATGGCGTAAGGCCTCCCATCCTCCATCAGAGACTCGCTTCGTAAAGTAGCGAGAGTTTCCATGATGCTGGTGTAATGCCTTCGTGAAAATGTTCAATCCATCGACGGCGATCTGCGTGAAATCGTCTTGAAAGGATGCTGTCTCTGACCCTCCTTGTGCTTCGACACATCGTACAGCTGTTTCTAGAACATGAAGAACTGCCTGGAAACCTCGAATTTGGCGAAACTGATCCTTGATGTCACTTGGACCATTGCTATCAAAGAAGACAGATAGTCTGGTGAGATCATCATGCGTACTTCGCAACAATTCAGGAGTAATGTTTGTGAGGTTCAACAGCCTTTGAACAAGAGAGCCAAGCGCACTTGTCCGTACTTGTGAAGGTGGACTGGAGTTGCTGGTCGATGACCTGTACCGGTGAGGTTTTGGAGATCGGTTGTCCATTTTGGCATCAACGGTGCTGGTCGATATATACAGACTGAGCAGCTAACGATGTCATTGCTTCGGAAGCGACTGATTGTACGAGGGGCAGATAATCCGGAATCCGATGGCGTTCTCTCCGGACACACTCTCAATCAAGCAGTCAAGTGACGACCCCGCAAACCAGAGAGCTTGGTTGATAGCGGCTTGCAGGCGGGAGAATACAGCAACCGAGGAGTGACCAAAGGGGTTGGGCCAGACAAGCAAGCTGCAAAGACTCGAAGATAGCAGTAAGGTTGCAAGGTGCAACGGACGCAATAGAGGCGCACGTGAGCGTTTCGATGTTTCGAGCACCGGGTGCCTTAAAACAGTGATTCAAGAAGGAGGGCACGCGCAAGGAACGAGTAGTCGGCGTTTGAACCGCTAGCGCCAGATAGCTCCACATTTCCAAGGCGACAGAAGTGTGATAACGACGCCCATCCCGATTCACTGATAGCATCACTTTGTATGGTCTGTACATGGTAGTTCACTCTTCTGAAGCTATACCATGTGGGTTTGACATAGATAACCTATGTAATAGACCCAGGTATAGTATACTGTCGTCCCGTAGCCTCTTACCGCATTCTGTAAATGTCTAGCATGCACGGGTGGGCGTGCGGAAACAGTGGTGTGGTTAACGTGACCACCAGGTCAAATGACGTTTTCGGCGTAAAGCACGGACTCTGATAACGACCCCAGATTGGCAAGCTTCCGCCCACTCAGGTCCTCCTCCTTCATCAACTCGACTCATCCTCGACTCCATCCCTCCTTCATCCACCTCCTCTGCCTCCTTCTTCCTTCTGCATCCACTTCCCACACACATACATACACCCAGCACTTCATCAACATGAAGGGTATCGCTGGACTTACCCTCTTGCCGCTGCTTGCTGCTGCAAAGCCTGTCATCAAGGCAGACACTTTGAGCCACCAGAGCATCGACAACGATGCCGCCCCCATCATCTCGTCCGTGGATGCTGAGACCATCCCCGACTCATACCTGATCGCTTTCAAGGATCACGTCGACCACCGTGATGCCGCCGCTCACCACAACTGGGTGCAGGACATCCACGAGCAGACGCTCAACTCCAAGCTCGAGCTCCGCAAGAGATCGCAGGCTCCTTTCCTCGAAACCGTCTTTGACGGTCTCAAGCACACATACAACATGGCTGGCCTCAAGGGCTACTCAGGTCACTTTGACGAGGATGTCATTGACAAGATCCGCAAGCACCCCGACGTAAGTACACAGCTCCTCCTCGCACTGCCAACGATCTATCACGTTTCCTACGATCTCTCACGATCTCCCACGATCTATGGCTGAGAAGACTCGGAAACACCCTCGAAACGTGTTTCCGGCTGTTTGCCTCAGTCATGTGGCGATCTCTCAACTGCTGCCCGAAGCAGCCCGAATACACTCGCCAGCAAGAGCTTTGCTAACATGGTTGCTACCAGGTTGCTTTCGTCGAGAAGGACCAAGTCATGCACACCCTCGCCAAGTCCGAGGACCCCGCCGTCGAGAAGGGCGCTCCTTGGGGTCTTGCTCGTATCTCGCACCGTGACAGCTTGACCTTCGGCACATTCAACAAGTACCTCTACTCATCCGACGGTGGTGAGGGCGTTGACGTCTACGTTATCGACACCGGCACCAACGTTGACCACGTCGACTTCGAGGGTCGTGCCTCTTGGGGCAAGACCATCCCTCAGGGTGATGAAGACAAGGATGGCAACGGCCACGGCACTCACTGCTCTGGTACCGTCGCTGGTAAGAAGTACGGTGTTGCCAAGAAGGCCCACGTCAAGGCTGTCAAGGTCCTCCGCTCCAACGGCTCCGGCTCCATGTCTGACGTCGTCAAGGGTGTTGAGTACGCCGCCGAGTCTCACACCGAGGAGGTTGAGAAGGCCAAGAAGGGCAAGAGAAAGAACTTCAAGGGCAGCACTGCCAACATGAGTTTGGGTGGTGGCAAGTCTGCTCTCCTCGACCAGGCTGTCAACGCCGCCGTCGATGCCGGTATCCACTTCGCTGTTGCTGCCGGTAACGACAACGCCGACTCCTGCAGATACTCTCCCGCTGCTGCTGAGAAGGCTGTCACCGTCGGTGCCTCCACTCTTGCTGATGAGCGTGCTTACTTCTCCAACTTCGGAAAGTGCAACGACATCTTCGCTCCCGGCCTCAACATCCTCTCCACCTGGATCGGTAGCGAGACTGCCACCAACGTCATCTCCGGTACCTCGATGGCCTCCCCTCACATCGCCGGTCTCCTTGCCTACCTCCTCTCCCTTCAGCCTTCCAAGAACTCGGCCTACGCTGTTGCCGAGATCACCCCCAAGAAGCTCAAGGCTGACCTCCTTTCCATCGCCACTGTCGGTGTCCTTGATGATGTGCCTTCAGACACTGCCAACGTAAGTTACTCATTCAGATCCTTTCCTGCCTTTTGACTAACTCTATCTAGATCCTCGCCTGGAACGGTGGCGGTTCTGCCAACTACACCGAGGTCATTGCCGCTGGCAGCTACAAGGCTAAGAACTCGCAGCGCCAGTACGGTATCGAGGAGCTCAAGGCTGTCACCAAGACCGACTCGGCCCACGAGGCTTACAAGAAGGTCCAGGAGATGGACGCTTCAACCATTCGCGAGGACATGAGAGAGTCGTTCGAGGCTGCTCGCAAGGAGATTAGCAGACTCACCGCTAAGCTCGAGTCGGAGATTGAGGAGTTCCTCGCAGCTTCCGAGTAGATTCATTCTCATGGCATAACTGGATGAGTGTATGGCGTCCAGGGTGGAGCCTCAATGCATGGTGTGCATATGACATCGGCGATTTGTGATGTTTTGCATACTCTTTTCTTTTGTTACGGTTTACGGTGGATATTCGGACACGCATATCCCTTATTATCTCTTTATGTACACATATAATATGATGGCCCCATAGACAATGGACGGTCTCTCCAAGCAAGCGAACTTCTGTATCGACCACTCTACCACATGTGTGAACAACCCGCTATGGCGATCAGAAGGCGTCACGCGCGTCACGAAACCAGCCTCCTTCCACTTTCAGCCACGTCCGCATGCCTCGGCTCGAAGCTCGTGTCGGCTAGCCTGCCTGTGCTTTGAGTCATTTTCAGCCGTCCTGACTCGACACCGATCTCGCACGTGCTAAAGTTTGTCACTCCACTCTTCTTCGTGATGATATCACAGAGCTTCAAGAAGACACAGTCAATTCCAACATTCGGACGAACGTCCACAAGTAGTCGAGAAGACGAGTGTTCTCTGCGGCTAGCACTACCCCTTTGCTCGAAAGACGTGCTGCCTCGATACTGCTACACGAGGCAGACTTGAGCACATGCGGAGGAGGTTGGCTAGACCTCAGAGTTCCACTCGCAAACCTCCTCCGAGAGCCATGTCTCTTGAAGACTGGACACCTTGCTATTGTTTAATCTCTCGGACCAGGTAAAGAAGGCGCTCACGGCAGCTCTAATCACAACTTACGGTCTAGCAACCACTTGATAGTCATATATCATATTTGACGACTTCTGTTTGTCGTGATGCCCACTGATTGCTTCACGAATTCATTCGCTGATCAAGCATGTTGAGGTCAGTACTCATAGCGTGATATATGACGGTCGAAAGGTCTTCAGTCGGATGGGAAGGAGCAGCCTGCGAGCTCCTGCTTGTCGAGAAGTGCAGACATGGGACAAAGACCAGGTGGGTTCTGCCTTCTCCAATTGCTTAGCACTGGAACATACAAATGCATCTCATACCAAAGCATTGGTTTCGCTGCATACGCCTTCCTAGCTTTCTCGTAAACATCAACAATCCCCAACCAAGACATCCGAACGAAACTCCAATGCTATCCCGAGCCAACAGCGATGCCACCCTACGCCTGCGAAGGGCCAAGTCGTCATCTTCGACCAGCCACAAGCCCTTCGATCCATCCATAACGACCGAGCCCAAGTATGCAGAGGTCGCCGCTGTAGAAGCCTACACACGTGCATACCGCTACTCTCACGACGACCGCCCTCAACGACGCCGCTCCCGTCGGTCCGAGGGGAGCCATTTCGATGACAACCGACGCAAGTCTACTCAGAAGCCTGAACGTCCTGAACGTCCTGAACGCCCTACGCTTGTACCCGGTCCTGCCACTGCTCCTTCAACAGTACCTGCCCGTGCGCCAGCTCGCTCTTCCCTTTTCCCCGATACGCCATATCGTTTTGCTCTCGAGGTCTCCAACGATCCCACCATGACTATGACAGATGTTTCCGAGTCACGACTCAGCACTGCCTCCCGCCGACAGACCCGTGACCTACAGACAGATGATGAAATCAAGACGGCTGCCTGGGATGCCTACCTGCAAGGCTATCGCAAGAAAGAGGTTCGTGAAAGGAAGTCTTTCGCTGCTCCTCTCAAGAAGCGTTTCTCAAAGTCGCCCGCCCCACCGCCGTCCATTCAGTACGACACATCTGTCCCACCCTATAACTGTGTTGAAGAAGTCGAAGACAATTTCTCTGCTCTAGCGTCACCAGACATCCAATCGGGGGAGAAACTCGAAGGCCCTACAAAGCTCAAGAAACAGCGGACCGTCTCAGAGTCACTCAAGGGCAGATTCATGCGTTTTCTGTCAAGACCCAAGCGGGTACAGTCACACTTCCCAGCTCAGCACGTAGAAGCAAGGAACCTCCATTTCGACGTCTACAAGACCAACGACGACAGCTTCTCGGCTGGCCCAGACTATGGAGTCTCTTTACCAAGGTCACCATTCTCTTCCCTAGGTGCTTCTTCCGGTACACAGTCACGCATCACGAGCTGGTCAAACTCGACCAACTCACGCCATCGCAAACGCCTACCTTCCATCGAAGAGACCTCCGCGCCATCGGCTCTTGCTTCTACACCGGAAGATTTCTCAACTGGTTCTTTCATCGGTCGAGCGCTGCGTCTGCCGCTCCGACGCCCAAGTCAAATCAACCTCCAGCGGAAATCTGAAGAGAGCAAGCGTCTGTATGATGCTCTCCAGAAGCGTATCAACGGTCCTGAGGTACCCACCATTACCGTGGAAGAGGCTACACCACAACCATCTGCTATCTCGTACTGCGACTCTCCAGCGAGCTCGCTAGTCGTGGAATCTATAAGGATGGTCACACCAGATCCTACCATTCCTGAATCTCCCACGCGTCCAGCCCCAAGTCCGCCTCATCAAGTGACCAGAAAGTCCTCATGGTGGAGTCTTGCACCGACTATACGTTCGAAGAAACGTCGCCCAGCGGAGCCAGTTGCGCCTTCAAACGAACAGATTGCTGCTCGTATGGCGAGATCGGACAATCGTTGGCAAACAGCGTTGGAAGATGGCTCACCCGTCGTTTCACGAGCTCTCAACTATTGCATGAAAGGTGATAATCCATATGAAATGCGACCGTTGGAAAATGACAACAGCTTCAGCTTGCCTGTCGCTGTTCGACACGAATTCCGCGAAGCTGCTGCACCAACGTTTGAAAACGGCGCGGATCTTCATGACATTCGACAACAGGTCATTTCACCGAGTATATACTCGAGGCCCATCACCCCCAATGCTGTCGGTACATTCATCACAATTACTGGGCGCGAAGTCAAGCGTTATCATTTGGACTCACCACCACGACCTGTAAATGGCCCTTCGACCTACGCTCCAAAACCAAGTAATGAATGGAGAACTTGGTTCAACAAAGAGATCGAAGATTGCATGACACCAGCGCTTCTTGGAGATACTGTTCTGGCTGGACCCGACTACTTTCCGAGTAACGACAACCCACACGATTCGCGAGAAAGCCTACAGGAAGACCCACCAGTGCTTCAACCTTCAAAGAGTCGTCTCGAACTGCGTTCTCGAACTTCCAGCATCATGAACGAGCGCTACCCATTGATAGATACTGGTAGACCTTCGAGCAGAGCATCAGGTCGCCGGACCAATCCTTCAATGGCATCCTCAGGCCAGAGGTCTGCTTCAGGATCTGGAAACTCGGTTGCTGAAAATGCGTCCAGCAAAAGCAGTCAACGTGCCGACGTTGATCAATCAACACTAGCTTCATCAACTCTCCGAGAACGCCAGTCAGCGAGTGCATTGGTACGCAAGAAGTCAAGTCTGGCGACCCGTGCTGCGCGTCACGGTTATTGTCCTTCTACAAACGAGATCGAGTCTGCAGGCATGGAAGATCCAGTCAAGGCTCCGAAATCAGCGCTGGATCTTCGTGTCATGTATCGGAACAACCGTAACCTGGAAGCCTCAAGCCTCAACATTCGTCGTAGAGCAGTAGCGCCAGCCATGTTTGATGATCACACTCTGCGCAGAATTTCCGAAGGACCCTACGCTGCTGACAGCAAAGAGAACGCTGCGCCAGCTCGGCCGTCTGGTATGATTGATGGTATAACAATCCCTCCGTTCTACACGCCGGCGAATGACTCGCCAAAAAGCAAAGGATCTTCCCCCGGACAGCGAATGGTAGATGACTTTCTAAATTCGAGGAAGACACAGGTAGCCACAAACTCTCATCCACCCTTTATTTGATCAGCACATTGATTGTGTATTCCATATTGGTATCAACTTACAGTGTTATTGGTGCTTTAGGAGGCGTCTTAGCCACATTACAGAATAATCAGAATCACATTGTTACCTTTCACTCATTGTGCTTAGCACGAGCTCAAATTCTTAGATCTTCGTCTGAATAGAGACCAGGGGTCACAACTATGTTGATCGAAACGACAAATGAATAACCGAAATCTACAGCAACCTCTATGTAACCTTCTAAAAGTCTATAGCAGGCTCAAGCACAAACGTGAACTCTCTCTCCCTACACTCTACCTGATCTTCCTTCTTGACACCTGGACCACAAGCTGCCGTTCCCACACCTGCGTTATCAGCATCCAATCTCCAAAGAGGACCATTCCTCTCTACCAAATCACAAGGGTGTCTAGCCTTCTCAAGCACATCCGCATCATGTATACAACATGCCCATTGGAAAAACTCCTTTTCAGCAGGACCAGGACGGTACGTTGCTTTGATACCCAATCCTTGTTCATTCAAAACTTTGACCCAACGAGTAGAGATGCGATTGCCGTTTTCTTGAGGAACCTCGTAAGGTGTCTGCAAACCGCGGATCGTCGAGTTCCAGATGCCGATTTGTTGCGAAGTGGCTTTGTCGCTGTAAGATTCTCCGGGGCCGAGACCGTACCATGTTGCTTGTTTGAAGGAAGGATCGAGTTGGAGATTCAAGCCTACTCGGGGGAGTGTGGTTGGTGCGTTGCCTTGGGGTGTGAGGTGTACTTTTACTGAAAGCTGACCTGCGGAGGAAATTTCGTAGGTCACTTTGGCGTTGAGGCCCCAGGCTAGGACTGGTGGGCTGTAGTAGTATACAGCGGTTAGACGCACTTTGTCAGGACCGTTGTCTTCAAGCTCGAAGCTACGGAGTTGTGGCGTCATGGTATTGAGACCGTAGCGTTTCCATTCTTTGGTGATGGATGCGGCATCATTGTCTGTTGGTGCTCGCCAGAAGTCCAGAGCGAGGAGTGGGTCGTCTGGAGTCTGACGCTTTTTGAGGACGGATCTACCGCCGTACACCCATTCGACCAGTGATCCTCTGGAGCGAGAAAAGTTGAAGTGGAAGTCACAGCCAATAAATCTGTAATGAAGCGCAGTCTCATGGGCGGTGATCGCGCTCGACATGATTGGTCTTTCAATACCGTATGTGAAGTCGTCGTCTTTGGCTGAGAGTCGTGTCTGATACCATGTGATGCTGTGTCCAGCCTCGGCCCAAGGAGTCGCAACACCGAGACGGAAGTCAATGGTCAACCACACTTCTGTTCCATCAGGCCGTTGCACGTCGAAGATCTCCTCTGGCAAATCAATTTTAGCTTCAGAGCCAGGCTCAATGTGTGGGAGCTGGATTGGGCCCGACAGGACACGGTCTGGTCTGATACCAAGAACCTCGACCTTGAAATCGGCAATTAAATGACCCAGAGTAATGAACTCATAATCGTTCTTGACGACCAGCTTCTTGCCTTCAGTCGAGATGCGAACAGGAGCGATGACCTTCTTCAGCTCTACTAGGCCTGGGGTTGGTGTGTGGTCGCTGAAGAGGAGGCCGTCCATGACAAAAGTGTCATCATTTGGAAAATCTCCAAAGTCTCCACCGTAAGCATAGAACTCCTTGTCCCCTTCTACCTTTCTCAAGCCGTGATTTGCCCACTCCCAGACGAAACTTCCTTGTAGTCTTCTGTGTGTGCGGAAAGCCTCTTGGTAGTCCTCGAGAAGTCCTGGGCCGTTGCCCATAGCGTGTCCGTATTCGCAGAGCACGATAGGCTTCTCGAAGTCATCACCTTCTTCGGTTGCGTGACCGACTAGCTTCTCAATAGAAGGGTACATGTAAGAGAACATGTCAGCTGATGCTGCCTTGACATCTCCTTCGTAGTGGACGGGACGCTCTGGGTCTCGAGATTTTGCCCATTCGTACATTGCCACGTGATTTCGACCGTAGAAGGCTTCATTTCCAAGGGACCACATGATGACAGAAGGATGGTTCTTATCTCTTTCTACCAATTGCACCATTCGGTCCAGGTAGGCAGTCTTCCAGTCTTCATTGTCGCTTGTGAACTTGGCTGCCTTGTCGAAGGTGTACTTCTTGCGCTCCTCGTAATCCATATCTGGAGGCAGATTCTGAGGACGCTCCACAGCATCGTAGAAGCCATGACATTCGAGATCGGCTTCGTCCATGACCCATAGACCAAGTTCATCGCAAAGTTCGTACAGCTTTGGATTGGCGGGGTAGTGAGAGGTGCGCAGAGCATTGATGTTATGCTGCTTCATGATCATTATGTCTCTTCGCATGTACGCCAGAGGTACAGCGCGACCGAACAATGCGTGATGATCATGGCGATTGACGCCTCTCAGGAGAAGAGGCTTTCCATTGACGCAGATGTTGCCTCTGATGATGCCAACAGATCTGAATCCGACTCGTTGCTTGACTGTCTGAATCGATTTTCCAGAGCTAGGTCCAAGCAGATCTATCTCCAGAGAATAGAGATGAGGTGCTTCTGCAGTCCACTTGGCAGGATTGGACACTGCGAATGTGTGCGAGCCGCGGGATGCATCAGCAGAGAGCTGGATTTTCTCGTTGATGATCAAAGAGCCACTCGAGCTTTTCAAAGAAACCGTTGCCTCGGCTGCTTCGTGAATGGTAAGGTCCAGCTCGACATGCAACTTGGCATCTCGGTAATCTTCGTCAAGCTCCGTCTTGATGAACACGTCCTCAATTCGAGTCTTACTCGGAAAACAGATTAAGTGCACATCTCGGAAAATACCTGAGAGCCACCATTGATCTTGGTCCTCGATATAAGATCCATCACACCATTGATAGACATTGACGATGAGACGATTTACATCTTCCCCACGATTGACAAAGTTGGTAATGTCGAACTCGGCAGGATTCCTAGATCCTTGAGAATAGCCGACCTTCTGTCCATTGAGATAGACATGATAGGCACTGTCAACGCCATCAAATCGAAGACGAATTTGAGAGTCCTCAGACCAGGACGAAGGAACGAAGAAGTTCCTACGATACGTTCCGGTAGGGTTTTCTGTAGGTACATAAGGCGGGCATACAGGGAATGGGTAGACCGTGTTGGTGTAGTGAGGTTTGCCATAGCCCTTGGGAGGTCAGTATGCTTCACTCTGCTAGCCCAACATTGCGTATATCTTACCTGTAGCTGCCAATGTCCTGGTACGGTTATTGAAGACCATTTGATATCTGCTGTCTGACCCTCGCTACCATCGACCGTAAGAGCATCTACGAGGCTACTAAGGCCATCGGAGTACAGTGTGGGGTGTGGGGCATGCTTGGGTGTCGGAGAATACACAAACCCCCACGTGCCATTCAGAAGCAGCGATTTCTCTGGGATCCAGTAGGAACGGGTTGGTAGCCGATTGCGATGAACGATCTTGGGATTGCAAATATCAAGATCGGACGACTGTCCAGAGTGATGGTCTGCAGTGGCTTTCAAGCTACTAGGCAAAGCCATATTGGATGATTAATTCAAGTCCTTGTGCTCGAACAACTGTAAAGCACAGAACACTTCTACAGCGATTGTCGTGAAGCTCCAAGACCAAATATGGCAGGTCGGATCACCTGACTTTCACGTTTTCAATACATCACTCCATGATCTTCAGACCCCTCTCGGTTGAAATGAGCTCCCCTCGGCATGACAGACGAAGATCAGCAAGCACGATCTTCCTGTCTTGTCGCCAATGGAAGGATTTGCACCCAAGCCACCGATGAAAGTCAGGTTGAAGTCCGTGAAGGAAGCAGCCAAGGCGAGGGGTAAGAAGGTGCAATACAGGCGATACAGCAACCCCCGTACCGATTCCCACCACTGAGGATCCGCCACTCGCCCCAAGGTAAATGCTTAATCAACAAGGATAATTTGACCCTCAGAACGCTACACTTCAGAGTTGCCCTTCTTCAGCTGCTTGTTGTCGCTGCCGGGTGGGAGTTCAGTACCGAGCGATACCCCAGATTTGACCAATCGGAAAGGCCATGGCTAATATAAGAAACACATGAGGGGTACCGAACACCACTCAGTCAACGGACTTTCGGTCTATCAGTTCACGAGCTATCCAATCTTTCCCAGATGTCAACCTCGCCGGCGGTGGCGCATGCTACCGTACGTATTGAATCCTCCTCGATATGCAGCCATTACCCAAACATGTCCAACGAACGCAGATCATCTATCTCCAGATTTTCACCCCGCGATAGCATGCGAGCAGGATCACTCGTAGATCAGCAGGTCCAAGACAATTGACGGATGAGAGTCCTCAGGTAGGAAAGCATGGAAATATACCGAGTATGTTGTACTTGCCATGGCAACATATTTAAGGTAGGTGGCCGCCTCTGGCAGCACGCTTGATTGCAGTACCTCGTGCCTCAATCTCATCTCCGTCATCTTCTCTCCAATTCAATATGGACATCAAAAAAGACGGCGTCACACATGTCGACGATGTGGATGATGATTTTCGTCAGGCAAAGGTTGCAGTCCAACTGTCAGAAGAGGCTGTACATGTCAAGCAAAGTCCTTGGACCTCGAGCATGCTGAGGCTCTATGGTTGTCTCACCATCGCATATCTTTGCGGCTGCCTGAACGGATACGATGGTAGCCTAATGGGAGGTCTGAACGCGATGGACACATACCATGCTTACTTCAACATGTGAGTCTAGCTATCACGAGAGAGTTGTTGAGGCACCTCACGCTGATATCATCAGGGAATCTGCTGGCAGTAGCACTGGTATCACTTTTGCAATGTAAGTCATAGTTCAAGACGAAGATTGGTCTGTGTCCAATCTTACTAATTCACTCCATAGTTACAACATTGGATCCATTCCAGCTGTCTTCTTCTGCGGACCAGTCAACGACTACTTTGGTCGTCGCGTCGGCATGTTTACTGGAGCAGCCATTGTCATCATCGGCACTTGTATCCAGGCACCCTCCGTCAACAGGGGGATGTTCCTTGCCGGTCGTTTCATCCTCGGTTTCGGTGTATCGTTTGCTTGCGTTAGCGCACCTTGCTACGTCTCCGAGGTTTGCCATTTCCCTTCTAACATTGATCTGAACTACGACACTGACATACTATCAGATGGCTCATCCTGCATGGCGAGGTACTTTGACTGGACTCTACAACTGCACTTGGTATATTGGAAGCATTGTAGCCTCATGGGTAATCTATGCATGCGCGCAGCACATTAAATCAGACATCAGCTGGCGTATTCCTCTGTGGTGCCAGCTGATCTCTTCAGTCGTCGTGGCCATCGGCGTGTGGTTCTTACCAGAGAGTCCAAGGTACGTCTTATTCAGCCAAGCAGCATAACTCACGCTAACGTATTCATAGATGGCTATGTGCCCAAGATCGAATGGAGGAAGCCACCAAGGTTCTAGCTCGTTACCACGGCGAAGGCGACGAATCACACCCGATCGTGGTACTCCAGCTCAAGGAGATGCAAAACCAGATCCGTCAAGACGCATCCGACAAGAAAGGATGGGACTACAGCGAGCTCGTAAACACTCATTCCGCCCGTCGAAGACTCATTTGCGTGCTAGGAATGGCCTGCTTTGGTCAATTGAGTGGTAACAGCGTCACATCTTACTACCTTCCCGTCATGCTTGAACAAGCTGGAATCACGGCTCAGGGTACGAAACTCATGCTGAACGGCATCTACCCTGTCATCTGCTTCTTCGCAGCAATTCTCGGAGCTCGCATGACCGATGTCGTGGGTCGCAGACCATTGTTGTTGTACTCGATACTCTTCTGCTCGGCCTGTTTTGCCATTATTTGTGGCACCAGCAAGCTCGCAGAAACCGACATTGGCAACAAATCAGCGGCCAACACCACGATTGCCTTCATCTACCTGTTTGGAATCGTCTTCTCCTTCGGTTGGACGTAAGTTTCTGCTGAACTTATATCTTAATTGACCTCTATATGCTAACATGTTCTACCAGACCCCTCCAAAGTATGTACATCGCAGAGACTCTTTCAACCTCGACCCGCGCCAAAGGTACTGCCGTTGGAAACCTCGCCTCGAATGTCAGCTCGGCTGTCATCCAATACGGCTCTGGTCCTGCGTTCGCTAATATTGGAGCTTACTTCTACCTTGTGTTCGTGGTCTGGGACTTGGTTGAGTTTGGTGTCATCTATCTCTATTGGCCAGAGACGAAAGAGCGCACTCTTGAAGAACTCTCCGAGGTGTTCGAAGCGAAGAATCCAGTCAAGAAGAGTTTGGAGAAGAGAGGAGCCTCAACTGTACTCAACACACTTGATGTGGACACTTCTGTGGTTGAGAAGATGGCACATTGATTGCTTCAAGTGCCTGATTAGAGTATGATCGTATCAGTGAGTTAATAGAAAGACGGTATCATAATCAGTTTTGTCCGACTTCGACCGCATGTTGTGTTGTATAAGCCTTGGGTATAGTCCAGTTTTTCACAATATGCAAGTGCGATCAAAACACGGGTACAGCTCCTTCCTCAAAAATTGAACGTCCGCTGCTTCGAACAATGGATGCGCTCTTCTTACCTGGCGTCTGCGACTACTCTTCACGGTTAACCAAGAGCAATGCTCCAAGCCACGAATATTCGCTATCTTCACTCGTGCTTTCACATGACGATGATGATGAAGCCAAAATGAATCGATTCAGGCAGCATGGTGCTAGGCAACTCGTCTATCCTAGCAATGCATGAACATGTCAGAATGCCAGGACTTGCCAATGAAGGCAGTGAAGCCGTATGCATCAAATGCACGATAGCAAATATACTTCTGATAGGTGGATCTGTAGGTGTGGAGGCGGTGCTTGAGGTCACATTTCTACATCCAAGAAGCGGTGGCTGGGAGTCGGCAAAGAATGTGTTTCAGAATCGGGACTTGAAGATCGAGGCTGAGCAAGTGCTATAACAGAAACTAGTGACTAACATATACGAGTGCTCGAGTCTTGCGACAGAAACCGCCTCAGCACTGACAACTTCCAGAAACTGTTGAGAAGATGCGGGCAATTCATCAGGCGATAGGTGTCGTCCGAAGCCTGCCGCTCGTACGGACGACAACAAGGGGCGCAGGACATGGCAAAACTTGATGACTCGCCAAAGCTGAGCAGCTCATGTCGTCCCGGTGACAACCGTGCGAGTCGAACACGACGACCTCAACCCATGCCGAGCAGGACGGACTTCCTGCTCGGCAGCTTCAGCATCCGCGCATCCTCGCGGAATAGAACACCGGCCCGTTTGCTTACAGATCACCCAGACATGCGCAAAGAAGTATCGCTGTTGTGTTCGAATCTTGCAGGAGAAAGCTCGTAGATCAAGTGGGGGTAATCGAGCCTGGCTCGCATCGCAAGTGTGTACGCAGGCTCAGGCAGTGCAAGAAACGGCGCCTCATCTCGCATTCTTACCAGAATCCTGCTGTTGCTGCATATACGCCCCCCTTGTTACGTGGGTGTACACTCCACAACTTGGTGGAAAGGCAGCTGCGCTGTTTCGAATCATGGTAGGAACAGGATATTCCTTTGCTGACCAGGGTCACGGGAGAAGGAGATGCAGGCGGGGAGAACAGTCACTCCAGTCTTCTACGCCACACGAGAATCACGTAGTATGATGCGAGATCTACAGCATCGCATGTACGGTACGCAAAAACGTTCAACTACCACTGCATGACAAGATGTAGTCAGCTTGACACTACCCGCCGTCTAGACCAGCATCGTGTGTTGTTGACAATGTCCCTTGTTTACTCACCAAACATCCTGGCAGTCCCCGGAATGTCCGATTCCTTGACGGAGCTCTCTCACTGACAAGCTTTCCTCGAGATACTACGTATAGGTGGGGGACTGCAAACGTTCAAACGATTACTTGGGTGAGACAGAGCGCGCTAAGGTCAACCTCACTTCGTTGCTGCATCTTCCAGCGCATGCATATGTGCCTGCATGCGAGCATCCCACGGGCGGGGATGCTTTGGAGATACCACGGTAACAATTCTCGCAGATCTCAAGATCAAGTTTGGAGAGAAGCACAGCAGGAAGCGTCGGTCTCAACATTTCAGAAAAGGACAAATTTGAGAGGTGTGAGAGTGATTTAAATGTACACTTTTTGAATTGTCCGTACAAGTGAGAAAAAACAACATGGCTATGTACAAGAATAATAGTTGTCATGTGTTGGCATGCATGCTTGCGAGAGGGTGGCCATAACAAAGAACTCCAAAACCCCTCTCCTTCTAGACAGCATTAGTATAGACCGTTCCTTAGAATCCCAGAACTTCGAAGGTTATCAAAATATGCAAAACAGTTTGTGACGGAAGGAAATGCGAAACGCTCCAGAAAAGAAGTGACCCAAGAAAAGTAAGATCGAGAGCAAAATGCGAGATGTTGTAGGAAATGCGTTTAGTAGTCATTCATTTGTTCGTCGGAGATCAGGAAGGTGATGACGAAAATGAAAATGGCGTAAGCGACGAGGAACAGAACCTCGAACTCGTGCCAGAAGTGGCTCTTGCCCCAGCGCTGGCTCTTCCAGTACTCCTTGGGGTGAGCGACACCAGTCTTCGGGTCTCTGTCGAGAAGCTCCTCGCGGTCGGGCATGGTGGGTGGGTGGAGAGCGTAGCGAATCGGGATGGCGAAGGCAGTGCAGCAAATCAACCAGAGCATAGGAGGGAAACAGGCGTGTGTTACGAGGTAAATGAGCTTGTCCTGGGCGGTGTCGTTGTCCATGAAAGCACGAACGGTGCTGAGAGTGACGGCAGCAACGACGAACAGGATGTAGAGAAGGTGCTGGTAGGCAGAGCAGTCCCAGAGGATAACCTTAAGACGGCGGAAGACGTGGGCGCGGTGTGCACCGTCGCGCTCCTGGATATCGCCCTTGATGGAGCCGGAGGTGGTGAAAGCCATGGGCTTACCACCGAGCCAGCTGGGGAGAAGGAAGGAGACGAGAACAGTCTTTGCGTGGTAGGGAGCCATCCACAGCATGGAACCACCATCACGAAGAGCCAATCTGTATCCAGAAGGAAGGAAGTTGACGTATTCCTGGAGGCGCATGAGGAAGAAAGAGATGAAGGCGAGGCGAACTTGCCAGCGGAGTTGGTCGTTGTTCGAGTAAGCGACCAGTCGGCCACCAGAAATCAAAACAATTGGAATGGCGAGAATCGAGATAATCAGGAAGATCTTGAAGAAAGCATCGACGGTGAAGACGAAACCGGAGAGACGCTGGTAGAAAGTCATGTCTCTACAGATATCACCCCAGAGACAGAAACGCTGTTGGAAAGCAGACTGGAGCGTACCAAGAGTCCAGCGAGTACGTTGCTTCAAATGACCAGTGTAGGAATCGGGGACAGTACCGAATTGGAGACCCTCGTGAACGTAAGCGGTGCGGAAACCTCTGCCGAGAAGCTTGGAACTAGTGAAAGTGTCCTCAGCAAGAGTACCGGTAGGCCAGCCACCGATGAATTCCAGAGCAGAGCGGCGAATAACGTAACCAGAGCCAGTGCACCATGCGACTCCCAGAGAGTCCTTGATGGGCTCCATGACGTGGACGAAGGGGTCGAGAGACTGAACAAGCATGTCGTTGTCGGGAACGTTGTAGAAGAGCTGGGGAGGGCAGGCGAGAGCGGTCTTAGGGTCACGAATACAGTGAGGAAGCAGAGCACGAAGCCACTCTCTCTCAGGAATCATATCGGCGTCGAGAGCAGCGATGTACTCTCCGGGACCACCGGGCAGCTTGGTAACGAAATCAGTACCACCGATCAAGTTACCAGCCTTAGCGTGATGAGGCTGGCCCTTCACCTTGACACGGGCGAAGTAGTAGGCGTTGGGGTATTGGTAGCTCAAATCTTCCATAGCCTTCTTCAGCTCCGGGTCGGCACCGTCGTCGAGGACGACAACGCGGAAACGATCTTGAGGGTAATCAACGTCGCAGGCAGCGCGGGCGGTATCAATGACAACGTCAACGTCTTCCTTGCAGCAGGTGATGAAAGCGTCGACAGTGGGGACGGCCTCTCCGACAAGTCTGAGCTGAGGACGCTTGCGACCCTTGAATGCGAGCATAGAGTACATTTGGTGGAAAAATGAGGGGACTGAGGTTTAGTCAGATTTTTTGAAAAAAAAGCGTGGGCAGAAAAATAGGACTTACGGGCAACGAGAAATTCGGCGGCAATGAAGAACCAGGCCATTGCATAAACAGTGCCGTTTGTTCTTTGTGCGTCGACAGTGAAATAGATACGGAAAGCGTAGTAGGTGAAGTAACCGCCCATTGCAGCAATGGTGAAAAGAGGAGCCATGTAGTGCAACTTTCTCTTCCAAGGCTTCATGAGAGCGATATCATCGTGCTTTGCAATCTCGCGAACAACGTAGTCGGCATCGGTGTAGACTTGGCCGAAAGAGCTGGTGGTGGAGAATCGGTTGTCAAAGCCGGACTTGGTTTCAGGGGTAGATCCAGTAACGGTCGAAGCATCCTCCTCATCAATGTTGTAAGGCGACTTGTCATCTTCGTACGACTCTCTCTCAGGAATCATGTAGTCGTTTTCAGTGGCCAGGTTAGTCGACGATCCATTGAAATAGGTCGAGTGATTTTTGTCGAGTGTTGGGCGTAGGCGTTGAAGTCCACCAGCCGTCTGGCTGTCAGGACGACCTCCGACCAGGCGAGTAGTGCTAGCAGCAGGAGAAGGTTGGTAGTCGTAGGACGGTCTCCTGCTCATCGACGGTGTTCCATCGAAGGGTGTGCCGTAGGGGCTTGTGGGGTTGACGTGCTCATAGTCGTAGCTACCTTGTTGATGAGCCATGGTGCTGTATGCTGGGAGCTGATGCCCAGACTCCTTTGATGTGTTGTGGAAAAGGTCAGGTTGCTCAGATGTTGGGATGACTGTGGTAACGACTGAATACTTCGAGACAACAGCAGGAGCCGGATGAGGCGTCAGGGGTAGATTGTGTGAAAAATGCAGGAGAAGGTGTCTGCGGGAACACGAGACGAATAAGAACAACCGGCAAACCGATGCTGTTATTGGAAACAAGCAGAAATCCCGTGATACGAAGCGAAGAGGCTCCACAACCTACGTCGATTCCATTGGGGAAAAAGCACAAACTATCTTTGGGTACATATCGACCGGTCTCGTTATCTGCAGGCTTGCAGTAGCGGCTAGTTTAGATTTGACAGCTAGACGATGGGACATGGGGCGGACCGGGCACGGTCAAGCGTGATAAGGTAGAACAAGTTGGAAATTGATTGAGAATGTCTTGGCCTGAACCGTGTAAGGTCGTGTAAATGTTATGGCTGGGGATGCCCTATGTGATCGGTCTTTGCTGCAAAGACGCGCCTGGATTGGTGAGAGCTACACAGATGGCAGGGGGCCGTTGGTTCATTCACGATCAGAGAATAGGAGCTCGACAGTCTACTTCTCAACTGCCAACGAAGAGTTAACGCTCCGGAGACGACCAACCGCAGGGGAAAGGGCATGGTTTGGAAGGCTTTTACAAGCGTGAAGGGCCGATGATGGAAGAAAGAGTGGAGCCCCTGCAGGAACAAAAGCTTAGGGAGGCGGTGCGCACAACAGCGAGCGCCAACCAACGACCAGCGGCCAATGAGGGGGTCGGTGCAAGAGTTCGCGACAGCCAGCAGATTGCTGCCGAGAACACCAGTCCATCTCGACGATCAGGCGTGCTTCGCCTGCGAATAGAAAAAATGTTTCTATTTCGAGAGGCCTCATGGCAGTTGGCTTTTGTGCCTGGATTGACGCCTGTGTGTGGTGGTCTCAGAGCCTTGGATCAGAATAATTCAAGCTCTCGTGTAGACCAAAGTCTTTTCCAATTCTGCCTGCGGGCCGCTGCTCCTCTTCCATCATCGTCCGGTGCTCGGAAAAACGGGCATGTTGCGAGTCGCGATGGCTCGGCAGCTTGTCTACGTCTCTGCGCGCGTTTCGAACCACGCACCAGGCCAAAAGGAGGTACGTCTCCGCTAGCTCTGCCACCTGAGCGTTAGCACGAGGGGGCAAGTCTCACGGTAGCTTACCTCGTCGCATGCAAAACACGCAGCACAGTTCAAAAACAACGCCGCCCCGTTGCTGTTTCGCCCACAGACACAACAAAGCACGAAGCGGCCTAATCCGGGCCGGGTTCGCACACACAGCACAGAAGATGTGCAAATACAAGGTTGGCCGAAGTGATTTTCGGATCAGGAGTCCCGGCGCCAAGATGATGCAGAGCACGCAGCACGCAGCAGCCCCGTGCACAAAAGGCCGTGGTTGAGGGAAAAAAAGGGCTGGTCGTGCTGCGCATGGGGGACAGAGCTGGCATGATTTGAGGGCCGATCTCCCTTTGATTTTCCCTGCCCTTGTCCGTGTTGTTTTGCAGTCTGTTTTTGCTGCACAAGTCGCAGGTTGTGCGAGTTCCCGCCGGCCGCCCCGCCACGCTCGAAACCCAAGAGGCCAATTTCACCCTGACGTGTTGCCAGTTGCCGAGTCGTGTGGCAATGATGGGTAATAACAAATACGGTTGACCAGGACTGTCTTAGTCGTCCAAGGAGGTTTTTCCAAATGAGAGATTCGTATTGGTGCAATCTTAAGTGCTGAGTCAAAAGGGCAATTCGTTGATGGACGTTGGACTCTGGCCCCTACTCGCCCCTGCCAACCAATTGGCAGTGAGTGGCGGCAAATGCGGCTATGCTGCAATTTGGCTTTGGGGAATCATGTTAGATACAGTGCCAGGCCTTTTCCATTTCTCCTTCGCGCCCTTCGGCATCCTTGTGACATACATGCGACAGTAGCCCATTCCGCCAATCCCCTCGTTCAACAAAAACAAAATCAAGGAACAGACACCTATTCTCCACTCGTTTACTCCAGATGTCTTCCTGCAGGGCCCTCCGTATTCTGGGGCAAGGTTTATCTCTGCTCGCCATCCTATCTCCTCTAGCAGTCTCGGCCGCCTCCAAGAATGAGTACAAGACTATGTGCGGCGCGTTCGGCGACTCGTCTGCACTCCAGTACGCGGGCGCCAGCACCGACACTGGCAAATACCTCTACGGCGCGAACCAGTGGGGTTGGGACGCCAGTGGTGCTCAGTGTATGACGGTAAGTTGACGGCACGATATGATCGTGTGACACGAGACTGACCCAGATTGTGCGACAGGTTGGACTGGACGACTCTGACGATGCTGCCTCGTTCAACGTAACATGGTCGTGGACGGAGCGCGATGTTTGGGTATGAGGAGCTCCCACCAGCGCTTGTTTACATCCAGCTTACTGACTCGCGACCAGGTCCACTCGTATCCCAATGTCGGTCTCGAATCCGTCCAGCTGCCCTCCAGATTGGACAACGTCAAGTCCTTCAACGTCAGCGCCGCCTGGGACATGTACCCTTCAGACCAGCCTGACGCCGCCAACAAGACCGAAGCTCTCATGGCCATCGGCACAAAGGCCGACATTGCTCTCGACATGTTCATTGACAGCAACAACATCACCTCGATGAACGCCTCCGCCGCCGCTTTCGAAGTCATGGTCTGGTCGGCCATCTGGGGTGGTGTCGCTCCCATTGGATACCAGACCTTCAACGCAGAGGCGCCCAAGTACACCCTCAACGGAGTCGAATACTCTCTGTACTCTGGCTTCAACCAGCAGTACCAGAAGCAGGCCGTCTACTCTTGGGTCCCCTCTGAGAACCAGCAAGGCATCCAGGCCGATCTGTGGGAGCTCGTCACCTACCTCATTCCCCGCAGCAACATCACCTCCGACATGTACATTGGTCTTATCCAATTCGGTACCGAGACTGTCCACGCCACCTCGAACGTCACCTTTGAGATGCAAAAGGCCCAGATGGATCTCGCTGTTGTCAGCCAGAAGCCCACAACCACAAAGGGATCTCCTCCCGCCACCGCCGGTGCATCAAAGGGTGGTGCATTCCACGTCGCGCCAACCAACTTTGCTCTCCCCGCAGCTGCCATGGGCCTCGCGGCTGCTGTCCTTCTCTAATCTCTGATTTTTGCTTTCGCCCAACATCACTCGCTCTACTTCACTTCTCTTCACTTCTTCGCACATTTTTTACAGCTTCTTTGCACTCGTTCACGGCCCTTTTACTATAACTTTTTATCCCTTGATGTTTACGATCACTCCCTTTCTTTGTGCATATCTAGGTTCACGGCTTGTATGACGGAAAACTAGGACAATTCGGCCACGGCTTCAGCTCGAATAGCGGGCGTCTTGAATAGGGGGCAATGTTTAATAGATTGCCATCAGAATCACCACATACCGCTTCAAAATACAAAACGCTTTCTTCGTGTCATTCATTTATCTCTAGCACCTCTTGTGTACATGGCACTTTCTGTGGACACCTCATTTTACCTTATGCAGCTGTCTCGTGTACTTCATCAAAACAATGTGGAGTTTAGCGTAACCCTCATCGGCTAGCCTGGCCCGGAAATGACGGACTGTCAGCCAATCGTGGAAAATATTCAGGTCCCAACCCTCGTGCATGCTCGAACCTTAGCTCGTCATCATCTACTTTTCAATCCCCAATGCATCACTTCTTTTCGAATCGCATGTGTCTGTTGGGGGAAGAATTTTCATCACTGCAATTCAGCAAGCTTCCCAATCTAGCTTGTGTCTACGTCTTTGATTCTCCGATTTTTATCATTTGGAATATATGGCGCAAGCAGAGGCAAAGAATCGAAAAAATTGCCCCGCGGGACTAGAAGGCTTCGAAGCTTGAGGAAATCGGTGGACGATCCTCGGCGATCGTGTGCTTTGACCATGCTGAGTCGCATCTCGAGGCCTTGACCGCCTCTCGAAATAGGACGGCAATCCCTCGTGACCATTCACCTACTCGATACAAGCTCGCGGCCGCCAAAGACAGCGCAGCTCGACCTGAAACACTCTGAAATTATCCCCAAGGAGTCTTGCTCGTAAAGGACAGCAGGCCATCAATCTCTCGAAACACCCAAGACAGCCTAAGAATCGACGATATTGCGATGGACGCAGATGATTGTGTTGAACAACAACGAATAACGTTAGTGGATCTCTTGAGCAATACTCTCATCTTGCGACAGACGGCTCCCTACCTTCCGGCCGGAAGTGTTCTCGCACTGTCAGCTTCAGCACGGGCACTTCGGCACATCCTCTTCGAATCGCCAGAGACGTTTCGCTATCTGAATCTGACATTGGTTAAATCGGCCACGCTCGACGCTGGCCCTATCGACAGTGGTGGTAAGTTATCGTCTACCTATCTCATTATCCACAATCTCCCTACTGGCCAAAGCCTTGTATTGTGTATAGGGGCTTCAATTCCATGAAGAAACTGCAATATTGCTTTCCCGTTGCACTCCTATTTCCTCTTCTACAACGATGTTTCACTCGAAGAAATGAATCAACGCAACGCTCGAAACTTTGCCAGGTATAGGAGTGCCCATTGAGATTGACCCGTTATACTCATCAATCGAGTTCTTGATGGACATGACCTATGCTCGGTCAAGTTTGTGCCATGCCATGGCTATGCTGAATAGGACAATTATTATGAACACCGCGTCATCAGGCTAACACTGATCCACGTGGCACGTTGCGCTATACACGCTGACACGTCGCAAGGCATCTCATGGCGTTCCGAGCGCATGGACGAGTCCCTGACAGAGGACGACTTCTTCTCAGGGCCATTGCGAGGCATCTTCTCGAAGCTTGAACGTCATCAACTGATCCGAAATGTCAAAACACTGATACTGGACGGCCTCAGTGTACCGGCGGAGCTTGTTCGGGAGGTTGTTGTAGAGGACCGATTCAACATCAGGATTCTCAGCATTCGAGATGTCACCAACATGAACCAAAGAGGCCTCCAGTCAGTCCTTCGCTACCTTGTAAGGCCATCTGCCTCAAAGCCGCCAAAGTTGAAGGGCCTGTATCTCTTTCGTCATAAGGACGCTCCAACAGCACCATCGCGTAAAGCTCCAACGATGCCTTCGGGCCGCGTATCAGCTGGCGTCATGTCTTCACAAGGTGCTCAGATCGGTGCTGAGTGGAATTCTAGATCCGAGGTAGCGCTGTCCGAATCGCTCGGTCGCAACCAGCCACTAGATGACTGGTGGAAAACCAAAGGCAGCATCTGGAGTACCGATGGCAAAGACAACAAGCGCGCCCCTTCATCTGACTGGGCTGATGTGGTGCTCGCATGTCAAGGTATCATAGCCTTTGACGCAGTTCTTTGTCGCGGCCCTAGGCATGATCCCAGCAAGACGACATCGGACCAGTTGTTGCGACCTGCTGTTGCGAATATTGCGCTCGGTGCGAGAGGATGTGAACAATGTGGTTCCTGCCCCGAACAGCCAGCGGCATTTGACCGGGACCCAGACTTCAACTTTCCACTGTTAGCCCCTCCGCCGCTGCATGCTAGTACTGTGCGGTCTGCTCAGGTACCCATCATAATTGATGCCACTGTTCCGCCGTTGATACTACGATGCGTAGATTGTTTGCACGGGCGTTGGTGTGAGAAATGTAACAAGTGGTGGTGCGAAGACTGCTACCAAGAGCCAGTATCACGAGCAAAGCGGCAACACCCTAGTTCACCAGAGGACGGCTTACAACAAGATAGTGGTTGGTCATTGGAAGCCTTGAGCGCAAGCACTGGACCTGCATTAAAGGTATATTCCAATCTTTGTGTCGAGTCCTGCCTCGTCGAAGAGATGTTACCTGTTGCAGATGGCATGTGGGGATGATGTCTAGAGACATTACACCGAGACCGGGTCTGCCAGGTCGAAATACTACATGGTACGATATGTGCATCAAGCGGTGCATTGCGTATCAAGCTTGTAGCTGGTAGGCTCTCAGTGTCAATCTCACGAAAGTGTAAGCATCATGCCTCTTGATGGCTACATGGACATGCAGGATGAAGCTGGTGCTCGGTCTCGGTGTAGCTCTGCGTCTCACTTGCGCCATGTCTCAGCCAGATATCTCTAACACAGCTAATTCATCCATAGGGCGTCCATCGAGATTGCTTTGAGTGTGGCAGAACATGCGGGGAATGTAAAGAAACGTGTATACGACGATGTCAAGAGTGTAGGGATGAGTACTGTCTCGAGCACAACGAAGGATCGTCGGCAACCTTGGTACGCTTACCAATGTGATAGTGATTGATACCCTCTGCTAATGATGACACGCAGTGCGATTGGTGTAGGTTGGGTGGTCGTCGCACCCGCGAGCTCTACTAGAGATCGACTTTGCGGCACTCTTCTAATATCCTAAGCATCATGTTCACTCTACTAGCGATTTCATACCACGACCCGACCCCAGACTCTGATTCACTATTTTTATCATTGTGGCTTGGTCACGAGGGACTTCGAGAAGACGACCAGACAGATGATCATACCGTACCTTGCGATCTAAGTCCAAGACGGTCCAGTCCAACCACACCTTATCGTCATCACCATATTCAATACCATGATTGCACAAGACTCTTGGCTGTCTATACCCTCTCACTTGCGTCCTGTAATGTGTGAGGCGTTGTAGAGGCCCGGGCTCAGGAGAACATGCAATACAATATCGTAGATGCGGGATGAACGACTGATCAGTGACACAATCTTGACATTCAGCCTGTGATCTAGCATTTCGACCATGTCTCCTAACCCCCTATAACCTTGATTGAAGACATTATTGACTCCCTGTCGTTGTCAGCAACCAAGACCAGGAGCAACGGCTTCTACCGCCATACGTTTGCGGCGCGAGCGTGATCTGGTCGATCCGTCTCGGAAGCGCGTTTTTACGCTCAACCGTCCAAACCCGTCAACAACGTGCTGCGCCCACCGAGACCGCAACGGCCAACCCTCGTATTCCCTCCATGAGACTTTTCCAACCTTCATCTTTTCGCATTATTGTGCAAGACATGATTCGGTCTGGAAGCTCGCCGCGCTTACATCAGATCTTGAAAGCCACGCAAGCCGATGCTTGTTGCGCAAGCTTGGCAGCGTAGAGAGTCCGTCGAACCACGACAACATATCTACGGCACGTACAGCACAGTGGTCGTCGGTGTCCACGGACTATGTCCAATACCAAGATCGATTTTCGTTGCGCCGAATCACTAGACTCTTGGGTTTGCGAATGCAACTCATCATCGCGTTGACGCATCCAAAGGTCATGGCTTGACATTACTCGGCGGGTCTCTGCCTGCCATCTCCATCTCTCAACGGATGCGCAAGCACAGCGTCTGCATACGACGGTCGTGCAGTGATGTTGCGACTGAAAGGCAAGACATGATCTGTACCTTACTCGTGGTCTAGGTTGGGTCTATCTCAGTGCATCTTTACTTGCAATGTTACGAAAACAAGAGTCCATGACATGCATATACTGTGATGCCAATATAGTTTCTTGAACTCATGTCACTCCCCAATATGGCTCCACAGTCAATGCTGCAATTACGCATCCAGCAACGAGGTCACAGCCGCCTTTGCTGACCAAACACCAACCGCGACTTCCCCAGATTCGCATTCGAGTGGAGACAGCAGTATAGAGCGGAGCGAGCGGAGCAACCAGAGAAAAACCTGGACAGACATGTCAACATCCGTCGCTTCCGGTAACCACGTACCACAAAGCAATCGCGAGATTATTCCCATCGCGCTTCGAGAGACAATGCTCAGCCATCTTTCGAATTGATTTCTGTTGGACGCCTCTTTCCTGTCTTTTGCGATGGTTAGCCAATATTGATGATTGAAGTCTGAGCAAAGTTTTTTTCCTACCTTGCCCTGCCGCAGCTGCCGTCATTCCGCCTGGCGGCTCGCTAGGTGCCGTCTGTGACCGAATTGAAGATGATGAAGCCGGCCCGGTGGGATCTCATTCTTGGTAAGGTGTCAGACGACCAGCCGTGGTGACTTCTTGTCTCTTTGTGTATGCATTGGTGGTGCACAACAGAAAAAGTGATTGAGGAGTGGTGTCTCATTAGTGTAGGCCAGCTCTTTCACTGACCCAATCTCTGTTCAACTCTTCTTGTGTGACGGTCAAGGCAAGTCGCTTCGTCTCGCGTGCTGTGCAGAGATCTGTAGGTCGCATTGAACAGTTCGAGTGCCACCACGGGACAAAAAAGATCCTCTGGCATGAAAGAGCAAGAAGAACCAGAAAGAGTCTCCAATAAATTCATGAATCACGACGCGGTCGCGCCTGTCTGGTTGTCTTGGATGACCTCGACTTTATTGTTGTCTACCTGCTCTTCTATCTCTTGTGTCTGGTTGATACTGTAGCTTCCAGTAAGTCTGAGCATTGCTCCTTCCCATCTCCCTACGTTGCTCGCAATTCCCTCTCACTTCTCCACTCTTGATCTCTGTTTTGTACTTGTCGCTCTTTCTTATTCTCTTCTACTCGTCGCCCTTTTCCCATGCTCGTGCCTCGGACGATCATTTACTGTTCCATCTCAGCCTATACTCCATTGCTCCTTCCGTATGCACTTAAACGTGGACTTGCTACGTCTTCCCTTACTGTCTGATCAGATTTCCTTGGCTGTCTTGTCCCTCGTTTCCTCCTGCACCTTCCTTGAGGTATGTATCCAAATGGTCTTGAATAAAGGGTCATTCCTGGCGCATCTATTAGCTGCATTGTTCCTTCACTCCTGCAATATCACTCATGTCTGACTCTGTTGTCTGAACATCTGGTATTCTAACAAGCCACACTTACCCTGGCTGTCCGAACTTTTGACATTTTGGCAATGTTTGAGTCGCGGATCCCTAGTCAGAATGTGACAGGGTGACTACCACAACACACGTCCTGGAGACATATCCTTTTACGGCGAGGTCAAAGGCATACAATCTGCTCCCTCGTTCCTATCGGAGGCTTGGAAGACTGTAGTTGTACTATTTATGTGGTCTTCAGAGGCTTGGACTGGATGTTTGCTTCTTATAGTGAGTTTCTATCTGAAAGACTGACGGGAGGTGATTGACCAGATAAAGTGCAGAACGTGTCGAGGTTCAACGACACAGTGTTACGAAAAGTAAGCGGTACTACCTTCAATATGACCAGATCATACATCAGACGCATGGTCTGGACTAGGGAATGCTGCATGTAAAGAAGAAAGGTCAAGTTGAGGATGAAGATGCGAAAGTTGAGTATTGAGAACAGGGTTACCTCGTTCAGCGCCCCTATCATGCAAACGAAACAGAATGAAGTAAGATGACGAAAAAGATAGTGACAAAGAGATGCGGTCAATCCTCAAGCCAGGAGCCATCGGCAGGGCAATTGATCTCGGACTCGTAATGTAGTCAGCAATGCAGTCGGTGATGAATAGTGGTCTCTCCATCTTGCCAATCGAATTTCTGCACGATGACAGGCTCTGCATACAGAACGATCGACGGAGAATAGCGGTGGCTGCTCAAGGAAAGAATAGATGCATGTGTTGTATATGAACAAAATGCGATATCGTACAGTATTTACAAGCCGCTAGGCAATGTATACCTACAGTCCTACCCAGTATTTACAGATCCAAAACACCTTCCAAACGCCATGTGTTCGCTCATTAACAAACCCGCCAGGTATCGAAACATAGAATCCATTCCATCAGTGGACTCGGTCTTCCTCGTTCTACTCTTGTGCTTTGTCTTTCAGACCATCATTGAGGTCATCGTCAAGATCGTTGTCGAGACGATTCTCGAGGTCATCTGCTTCGGTGTCGTGATATCTCTCGACAACAAGGAAAAGCTCAGGATGATCGGCAAGTTCGGGCAGATTTTTCAACTCATTCCGTATATGATGATTTGGCAATCCAAGTTTTGTCATCATCCTCCATGACCATTCAACCTCGTTCCGTATGGATGCATATGAACCATCTACTTCCTGGAGGGCTCTATGCAGGATCAACCTGATGGTCGCAAGATCTGGACCAGACCCAAGATAGACGTCGATGGAGGCTTGTTTGTCGTTGGGACCGTGGATGTGAATCCGATGGTCAGCATGACTGTGTCCAGAGAAGTCAGAGGTCACGATTGGAGTGCCTGCACGACGCGCAGCCATACGAGGCACACCACCTCTAACGCCCTGATTGTTGGACATACTCGATGGGTGGGTCTCGAGCGATTGCGGCCAGAACTTGCCGAGGTACTCCTTGCCCACAGCGGAACCATAGGTCTCAACAACACCACTTAGAATCTTATTGAATGCCCTGGCTTTGAATCTGAATTCACCCCGGCCAGCCATCTTAGGGTAGACCTTCCAAGCGTATTTGTTCCAGTCGTCGTTGACAAGTGCGAGTAAACGCCAGATTCGGGTCCCAAGTTCGAAAGTTTTTGTGAAATTGAGCGTCCTGTACCCTGAGGCATTACCGGTCGATTGGAAGCTGGACATCTTTCTAAATGTCTTTGCAGAGGCAGACTTCTCGAGAGCAGGAAGATCTCCAGGAGACGCACTCGCCTCGCGCAGGATCATACTAGCCATCGTCGCCGTGGTGTTCATGTTGATGCTATAGCCAGGCAATTTAGCGAAGCCTTCTAGCGCTCTATCGACGAAGGGCCAATTTTCTGCCTCAATTTGCTGGTCTATAAGGACATTGAGGACTTCTTTTGGAAGATCTGCTTGCGATGCTTGTTTCTGGTCCTTGAAAACTTGTCGCATGAGAGCCTCGTCAGCAAGAAGGGCAGCAAGTCTGACCAGAGATGGACCCATGACAGGGTCAGCATAAAGTCCTTTGTGGATGATTGGGCCATCCAAGTCTCCAGAATATACAAGCCATGACCCTAATTCGAGAGCATTGGAGTCAACAACAAGATTGAGGAGATCGGCCAGAAGAGGGACCGGTATCTGCGGGAAGAAACTTGGATAGTGGATACCGCCATAGCGGCCCTGGAACCCGAACTCAGAAGTGTCGTCATGATCACTTTGCACCACAGCATCTTGTTGCTTTGTGAAGAACTCGTGTATTGACCTTTCCTTATTGGTGTCGGTTATCTCCTGCAACTGTCGGACCACGCTCATCGCACCGCTGAGGCTTCCAAGTTTGATATGCGCTCTGAGGAGACGGTGATGGTAACCAATACTAGCCGCAGAACCATCCAAGACATAGGCCGGAGTAGGTTGCCAGAGTTGATCGCGAGTTGGAGCATTGACGGTAGAAATGTCATCGCCGAACAAGGAGGATATTGAGTTGACCTTGCTCGCTAAGTCTGGGTCCTTCTCAAAGTCGACACCCTTTGACTCGAAGAAGCGGAGAATGATGGCATCCCAGGAAGTATAACCCAGGCTCATGTTGTTCCGGTTGAACAGCATCTTCATGCGTGACAAGAAACGAGCTGGATTCTCGGGGATCATGCCTCTCGAACCAACGCCAGCGTTTACATGGGATACAGAGGCATCAATGAATGAAGATATGACTTCTGCGCTGACCGTTCTGTGCACCCTTTTCTGGTTAACAATTCGATCGGGATCTGCAATGCCGGTGTTGAAGATGTATTTGACTTCGTCCCAGTTGATAGATTTCTCTTGACCAGATTTGACAATGGGATTGGCCAGCTCTCTCCACGACAAGACAGACCACTCTCGACTGTTTGCCATTTGCATGAGAATCTTTACACCCTGTTTGTAAAAACGACCGTACAGACAAGCCCACAAGACTAGTTCGAGCCAAACCTCATGACCAAGACCAGTGACGTGGACTTTGTACATGGAACCAGGTATTTCGGGTCTCGAGGAGTCGTATGCGCCACCTCTTTCCTTTGCCTCCTCGACGATATTTGTCTCGTGAGCTCTCCAGGCAGCGTCTGTCAACGACGTGATGATCTGGTTGGAAAGAAGATGTAGAGTTGGAGGTTGGCACAAGGAGATTGGATCGTCGGGCGGTTGGTACGAGTAGATGGAAGCTGGCATTGCACCGGTGTGATGCAGCATGGCGATGATTTCGAGAATCTCTGGCTTGATGGCTTGATTGGCATGGTCTTTGTTGGCGCGGCTAGCATCACTCAGGATCATCTTGGCCAAACTCTGCCAAATCAAACCAATTGTCTCATGGCGCAGAGTGCGAGGGAGTGGATTATGGTGCGGATGCAATTCTTGGGTGAGGTGGTCCAAGGATGCCGGTGGAGGCAGATGGTCTGGGGGTTTGTATGGCGATGGTTCGAGACGAACGGAAAGTTGTTCTGTGTACGCAGACAAGGAAAGAGGATGCTGCAGACACGTGTTCCAGACATTGGTGTCGCGAGGAGGAGGCGGATCGGGCTGGAAGTCGTGAGAAATGGCCATCGAGGCCAGCCATACAGCAGCCTTCGGGCGATTCTTTTTATTAGCCAAGTAGTTCAACAGATCGTGCTTGTACGTGTAGGTCGAAACGTGAAGGATACAGCTAATGTCCTTGGCCGAATAAGCCTCTTCGGTGACAAGACTGGCTTTGGGACTGCGCAGACGGGCAGGCAGAGCGGCTTCTATGGTGGGCATCCATGCCTCTTGGAGGTGGGAAGCATCTCGGGCAGGGAGTTTAGACCGGTCAATATACCAGTCAATATACGTGTCGCCGTGCTTGCGCTGCGCTTCGGTCCGTTTGCTTGAAGGCTGTCGCGGCGAGCCTGTCAACCTGCTGTCGAGTGTGTCGAAGCTCTCGTTGTCGGCGCCGACAAGACGATCAAAGGCCTCCTCTGCTGACGCTGGCTGTGCATCTTGTCCGAGAGGTGGACTATGCCGGGCGTATCGGCGGTAGGGTATGCGATGCAGGAATGGTGGTGGGGCAAATGTCCTCAGACCTGCTATCCGGGCGCAGCATCTTTGCATTGGTTTGCTCCGAGCATTCTATGCTGATGATAGAATGGGAGACCGCGTCTGAAGAATTATATCAATTGCCTCTTGCCTGTCCTGAGTCTTGATGTCGTACATTTTTCTGGCGAGCCAAAATTGCTCCGACTCGCCGACTTTCCCCTTTCCAGCCTGCCAAACTTTGTCACGTCCCATCTCCTTCTTGAGCACTTGACTTGTCGGAAGGCACAGTGATTTTCTGGACTCGATAGACACTCCCAGGGAGTCAACAAAACTCGACGAGATTCTGTATCTCCATGGACAGAGCCGTGATTGTGAATAATATTGTGCCTTGAATCAGTCAACTACGCGTGACAAACTTCCATGGGCAGACCCTTTGGCCTTGGCCTCTATGTCTACGTCATGCGAGAGAGCTGAACGCGTCTCTCGCGTTTCGACCAACCTGGCTGGCTGCCTTCACTGCGCACTGTTTCCATATCTGCCTTGTGCGACAGCAATTTGTTTCCCAGCGCTCATTGTCAACCTCGTTGTCTGTTTGCCGATTTCCCTCTCCTTTGCGCTACTTTTTCCATCACAATGCCTTATCGTCTCGGTATGTTGTTGCAACGAATGATATAGCGCCGCACTGATACTGATCATTTTCGCAGAAATCAGCCCCAACAACCGCGCCGGTTGCAAGGGCACCGGGTGCAAGGACACCAAGATTACGAAGGGCGAGCTTCGCCAGGCTACTCAAATCACCATCCATGAGCATCAGAGTTGGGCCTATCGTCACTGGTGAGTCTATCGCCTCCTCTACTGCGAGTAGCTTACTGACATGCTCAGGGGTTGTGTTACTCCAAAGCAACTCCAGAACATGAAGGCCGAATGCGCCATGGACATGGACTACGTCGACGGCTACGACGAACTTCCTCAGGACATCCAGGAAAAGGTCTACCGCGCTCTTGACCAAGGCCACGTCGACATGGCAGACTGGAAGGGTGATCCAGAGTACAATGTGCCTGGAATGAGCGGCGCTGGTCCCAGAAAGTCAAAGAAGAAGAAGGACGAAGAAGTAAGCATGCTTGCCGCCCTAGCTTCGATCATTCAGCTAACGACTCGATAGGCTGCTGCCGCTGCTGAAGCCGAAGCCGCAGGTGAGAACCCTCCAACCTCCTCTGCCCCCGAGCCCGCTCCCAAGAAGCGCAGTCGCAAGAAGGCCGACGTCGACGATGAAGAAGCTGAGGCTCCACCACCTAAGAAGGCAAGAGGCAAGAAGGCTGCGAAGGCCGAGGATGCCGACATCGACACTGAAGAGCCTGAGGTGAAGCCCGCTCAGAAGAAGGGCGCCAAGTCCAAGAAGGCCGTCGAGACCGTCAAGGCAGAGGAGACTTCCGAAGTCGACGACACCATGAAGCCTAGAAGAGAAACTACTAAGGGCAGAAAAGTGCCCAAGCAAGAGCAGACTTCAGATGTTGACGAGGCTCCCAAGAAGACTGCTGCCAAGAGCAAGAAGGCGGTCAAGACTGAGGAGGACGTCCCTAAGGAGGCTACCAGAAAATCATCCAGAGCAAAGAAGGCTGTCCCTGTCGCTGAACCCGAATCCTCCGAGACCGAGCCTGCTCCCCAGAAGAAGAAGAAGGCCACTGCCAAACCTCGCAAGACAGCCAAGTCCAAGGAGGTTGTCAAGTCCGAGGACGAGGAAGACGAATTTCACGAGTCTGCTGAGCCCGCTGCTGAGCCTGTCGAGGAGTTCGCCGAAGAGTCCGAGGCAGCTGTGGAAGAAGAGGATAAGCCCGCTCCCAAGAAGAAGCGTGGTGGTGGCTCCAAGAAGAAGGCATAAGCTCGTCTAGCTGACGTGATTCTCTGTTTCCGCCTGGTACACCAACACGCGCTGTTTACTTGCACAGTCTGTTTACATGTTTATGCTGGCACGTTCTATACCCTTCATGAGCGCGCGTTCGTCTTTAGTGTTATTCTAGTTTAACGACTAATGAGCTTCTTTCCCAAGTCGCCTCACTTCTGCCTCTCCTTGTGAAATCTGCCGCATTTGGACCTATCCCACGTCACAGTCCTCGGTAAACTCGCAGCAATGTCGTCGAGATGCGTCGTTTCGTGGACTCCCTGCTCCGAGTCCATTGATTTAAGATATGACTGTGCCTTGCTACAGCTTGGTAGGGCTCTACTGTAGTTATGCACGAGTGATAGCACGACTATTGATCGAAGCGGTATTCAGAGCATCTGTCAAGCGGTAGATTCGCTGACGTCAAGACGATCGTGGGTTGGACAGAAGAGTACCTACACCAATCGACTTTCCTTCTTGACAATCACCACAACAACCACGATCAAGACTCCACACGTTTACATGTACAAACGAGGTCATATGCAGGAGGCTGAAAAATAACATCATCTGTGGAGAAGATCTGGATAGAGATCTGTAGATCTGCCCGATGCAAGGTACGCCAGATCTGACGCCATACCCGATCAGGGACATCTATTGGAAAATGACGACGGGACTTCCTTTGCTTTGACACCTTTGACGTATTTTCCCGCCCAAACCTTGCTCTCCAGCCTCATCAATCGCGCTGCCGACACGAACAGTCGCGTGTTCGTCACTGTGGTTGCTGTTGGCGACAGAGACAGGGGCAAAGTCAATTATCCGGTAAGCCTCTCGATCGAACAACGATGGAACGATCTCGAGGGCTGAAATGCTTTGCCTTGTCGTCACCAGGGGTCCATTCACGATACACTTGCCCATTTTGGACACTTCATTGATGTCAGTATATTGCTGGCTCTGAACACGTCTTGCGAAACGCGAAGATGACGGGTGTGACGTGCCTGTCAATGTCGCTAATTGACAAACAAACGACGATGAGGTAGTGTCATCGCTGCAAGTCAGTGCTGCTGCTGTTGACACGTCAAGAAGGTATAAGTATCGTGCTCTGCTTGCTGCTTTTGTACCTCATCTCATCATTCCATTCTCATCACATCTTCTCTACTGCCACCACATCAAACAACACTTTCTACAAACCCACCAAACACACACAATCAATATGTCTGCCGAGTACACTCCCGAGACCTCCACTGGCGTCGCCAGCGACAACGACTACGCCAGCCGTACTGGTCAGAACGAGATCCCCGTCCAGAAGGACGAGGCTGCCATCGAGGACCCCATTGACCCTGACACTGCCGACTCCGACAAGGTTCTTGGTAAGTGATGCACTTCACCCAACTCCCCTTAATATAATCTAACACGTTCCCAGAGCAAGATGAGAAGGCTGCCATGAACGAGGACAACATCCTTGACGAGCGCACCCGTGGTGCTGCTAAGCCCAAGGGTACTTATACCGAGCCCGGAGATGATGAGGGTCTTCCTGGACCTGAGGACGGCACCTCTGCTGTTGCCCAGTAAATGCTTCTCAAAGTCATTATACCCTCTCTCGACTTTGATGGCGTATGAATAGCGATGGATAAGCGATGTACTATTAGTTAATCACCTTTATGAATTGATGTCACGTTATCAACCTTGTGCTTGATTTTCTTTTCTCTTGTGACCCTGTGTGTGCACCAATTCAAACAAAGCTTCGATAAGATTAAGTAAGTTGTCCTGTCCAGTTTGAAAGTCGCGCTGCAACACTTTAATCATTTTCCTTGTAAGGTTGTTCGTGAAGATCGTATCGCATGTCCTAGGCTTGCTTCAGGGAGCAGTGAATTATGTATCGTGAGTAGAAGCCTCGATATGATGCCGTTGGCTTGCAGAGCCCTCGAGCAGAGTGTATTTAGATGAACTTGGAACGATTGGCCTCAGGTCTGTAGATCAATACCTTCTTGAGTTGTATCACAAGTGTTTCTGGACCGATCGTGGTCACTGTGGTTGTCCGTGAAGCTTGCCGTTCAAATCAACAACAATGTTGTATCTGGGGACGACATCGCGCATAGTCATCGGGTGGCACCGATAATATCCTTGGGCGTGATAGAAGCATGGTGGGATCTCTATTAGTAGATTTGATGCGGAACTGGAGCACGAATAGAGAGATGAACGCATTTCGAGGTAGAGACCAGGGTCACGCGCGTGTCAAGAAAGAGATGAACGTACGGAGATGGACCCCGCAGTTTCTCCGGTCCATACGAAGCTCTGGACAGCTTGACTTTCAAGACAATCAAACATAGCAATTGCGCTCTTGACCCATAGCTACGTGGCGTAAGAAAGAAGAAGAAGACAGCCACTACGCCACCCTGACAAGAAGAGTCAAGTCCGTTCGCTCATATCTAACGTCTTACTCTGCGACAAACAACGCCATAACGAACCATCCACAGCCAAAGCACATCTTCGAATCGAGCGACCAGTCACCCTGCATCTCGCACCGCTCTACGTCTCTCAAATAACCACACATCAAATTATCGCCAACATGTTCGGCTCTCTCAGCTCCCTCCAGCCTCGGCAACTAGCCACCCAAGTCCTAAACTTCGCCCTCGTCCTCAGCACAGCCTTTATGCTCTGGAAAGGCCTGAGTGTCGCAACCGACTCTTCTTCCCCTATCGTCGTAGTCCTCTCTGGATCCATGGAACCCGCTTTCCAGCGCGGAGATCTTCTCTTCCTCTGGAACAGGGGCTTGGATACAAAAGTTGGAGAGGTGGTCGTGTATAATGTTAGGGGCAAGGACATCCCCATTGTGCATAGAGTTGTTAGGAGATTTGGTGGTGGTGAAGGGTATGTTGCTTTTCCTTATTCTTCTTCTCCCCTCTCCTGTGTCTCCTGTGTAGACTTTTGCTGACTCAACATGTGAACCACAGTCCCAAGGCTCCTCCGCTTCAACTCCTTACAAAGGGCGACAACAACGCAGCCGACGATACCGAACTCTACGCTCGTGGACAAGATTTTCTCACTCGCAAGACGGATGTGGTGGGTAGTGTGGTGGGCTACGTTCCCTTTGTGGGTTACGTTACAATCCTGCTTGCGGAGTACCCATGGCTTAAGACCGTGATGCTCGCATTTATGGGCTTGACGGTCGTCTTCCAAAGGGAATAGTAGAAGCGGAGAAGAGAATGTGCATATAATGGAGTTCTGGGTCCGAATCGATAGCGGACACTTGTGCTTTGAATGGAAAGAGTCGCTACTTGATTTGTGCCCTGATTTGTGACTCTAATGTGCTTTGACATCTGTCTTATGGAAGCGACAACACATGCTTGGGTCGCGAAGGCGCGCAGAGTGGCCGGCCGCTCTCACAGCAAGTAGAGCGAAGGAGTCGGACGCATGTATCGAGATTACGATGTTCTAGCCATCCTTGACAAGGTCACGCAAAAAAAGATGTAAAGACCAGGTTCTGGTATGAAACGCCGAGCTCTGTATTGCTGCGGCCTCGTGTTCTTGACGAGTCGGCCTGCAGTAACTAACATGATGTGCTATAAAGCGCTAACCGACAACGAAAAGGCGAAGAGCATCTTGAAAACAGCTCTCCACCACTGTTCAGACTAACAGTAATCGTTCTTGCAGTTCAAGTTCGGTCCTTTCCCGCGACTGCTCAATAAGAAAGAACACCACAATCCCCATTCCGGATTAGCCAGTGAAACGCTCAATGTTTGCACCACTCCCCCAGCCTGCCCACCCAGCCCCAAATTCGTATCCGTGTAGAAGACATGCGATAGAAGAAAGATGAAATGAAAAACTGAGAAGCAATTGCATGTGATAAACAGTAAGACAAGGCCATGAAGGGGATATTAGACGTGACGGTTGACGGGGTTGATCATGTCGATGGATGGCAAGGGAGTGATTTACTCCTCTTCCTCCTCCTCGTCGGCATCACCGGTCTAATTTCAGAGTCAGCTTGATTGTCGACAGTGATTGCGATGTTCAGAGAATACTTACGGCAGTGTAAGCAGCCTTCTCCTCTTCGTAACGCTTCTTGTCGGCAGCAGCCTTGGCCTCGTAGGGAGTCTTCTGCTTATCGTTGAGAGCCTTCCACTTCTCACCGAGGATCTTGCCAACATCACCTGTAAACGTTTGTTAGACACTGGTAAGAAAGCAATGAGTGAGCACGATCTTAAACTTACCAAACTTGATGCCGGGGTTGTCCTCGCGAACCTTGTCGCGTTGCTCGTTGGCGAAGAACATGTAGGCGGAAAGACCACGCTTGGGGGCGTTGGGGTCTGGCGATAAAGTCAGTCACAATGCGCATTGAAGCAGTAAAGAATAGATCGTACCCTTCTTCTTCTTGCCGCCGTCCTTCTTGGCGGTCTTGCGGGTGGTGGCTCTTTCCTTAGGCATGTTGATTTACTTGATCTGGGTCGCGGAGTCAATGTTAGCAGGTCGACCTTTGAATTGAAGCGACGCGACAATTGTATAGTGATGCGATGGTTGATAAGAGAGAGCGTTGGTGGACGCGCTTGGTGTAAGCTGGATGGAAACACCGCAACTCCAAAGACGCGTCTTTCGGGCGCAATTGACAATAGAGACGCGTCGATCGAAAGAACAATTGACTTACCCAAGTTATTAAAACAGTTGGATGTGATGTGGTTGTGTAGAGTTAACTAGAGCGATTATGTTAGTCTTTGGTGAGATGAAAGACGAACGAGCGATGAATGAAGTTGAGAGCGCGTGAAGGAAAGGAAAGAACAAGACAAGTGACGGCATGAGCCATCTGATCGTTCTTTCCTGTTGTGTGAAAGAGGTGAAGGTAATTTCTGTATGTGTTTGTGAAGCTGTTGTTGGTGAAGCCAGCTTGAATCGGGAAGACGCGCCGCGCGACTTACTGTGTGAGCGGATTTTTTGGTGAGTAGAGAAGACAGAGAGAAGACTGCGAGCGAGCGCTGTGTTTCTTAGGGACGGGGCATTGCGAGCACTTGCTACTGGGGCGCTCCGCTCACTGCCCACACACGTGACGAACATCAATGGTCCTCGAGCCGATGACCGGGCAAGCTTGGTCTGAAACTCTGATACCACGCCAACTTGACACGTCTTTCTCGCAAACAGCACATGTTTGATGAATGACGATTGCTACTGAAAGTGGTTCTAAATGTACGAAGCATATAGAATCAAATGATAGGTCCCATTGTCTAATTTATCAGGTCAAAAGAGAGCAGACTGCTCTGTCTTGGCGACAGTGGCCCCTCATTCAAACCCGTTGGCAGGGAGAAATGTGGCTTAATGGAGGGAAAGTGACGTCTCACTCTCCACCTCAGCTCTGCGTTCCTGCAAGTGCCAGCCCCTGCTCTCCCAAGACGCACTGGCTGCCCTGCAACTCAGCTATCAGAACGTATGAACAGTTTCTAAGATACAGCACCTCACTGAGAGCTCAACAATTGAGCTCAGAGAACAGCAGTGGGAGATTGAAAATCATCATGCCTTTTTAGAGCTACGTTAGCGACCGGGTGCTGTGGCAGGAGACGCGTAGTACCAGTTCCCTGCCTGCTTCTTGGTAGTACAATACCGGGCAACATCACGTGAATTTGATAGCAAAGAGGCGCAAGCCTAGACACGCGAGAATGCTGTATGATAAGATGAGTTATGCAGTCTGTGCAAGCTGCGCTCTGTGTTGTGAAGCGTGAATTGACTTTGCCGTTTCCGTATTGCGAAAACAGCCTCCGGCTTTTCTATCAGCTGGTGTTCTGGACTTTAAATTGCTTAGCTCGCGTTGTCTATGGCTTAATAGACGCGTTGGCTCGACTTCACAATGTGCTAATACATATTTAGTTTTGAGTGTTCATTGTGAGCTGAGGAGGGTGTTTATATGCACTTTCCTCTGGGGTAAGCCATCTGTATCTCCAGTAACGCAAGAGGGTGACGACGTAGCTGTAAGAAGGCAGAAACATTTTCCAGCTCCACAAGCTGTTCGAGGAGATATGAAGTACGACTATGTGAAGCAGTTGTCATCTGCACCTCAGCAGATGACTCAAGCAAGACAGCAGACGATAGTATACAAGAGCAGACGCCAGAATGCCCAGAGCACACGGCAGAACCTGGGGCCTAAAATCGCAGAAACCGGCGCACAAGAGCAGACATTAAAATGTACATAGCAGTCAACAGGCGCTCAAGAGCAGACCCCAAAAGGTGCATGGCAGGTACGAAATCACAAGAGCAGACAGCATGCTTTTAAGACCAAATGCAGGACCGTGAGAACAGACACAGAATCGCAAGTGAGCAGATGCCGGATCAACATAGGTCTTAAGACAGTGCTGATAGTGTTTAGATCTTGGCGACGCTTTTGACCTATGCACGCTGCTATCCGGGCCAAGCATAGCGGTTTGCACCATTAGTGGATCATTGTGAATAGCTACAACTAACGCTGAAACGATCGTTGGCTTGACAAAATGCACTATGGTGCTGAGCCTAGATACTTGCACGTCTAGGTGCCATGGTTCTTCTGAGGTTCTTTCTCTCTTCTGTTTCCTCCATCACAGGCAAGACACCCTCCTCTCTCAACTTGGCCAAGAACTCTTGACCATACTTGTATCCGACTTGGTAAATTTCGTCGAACTTGGCGAACTCGAGTGTACCGTAGCCATCGATCGGAGGGCGAAGGTAGAGACAGCCAGGTGTAGTCTTTGCACGTTCGAGTGCATCAATGCTAGACACATAAGCCAAACGAGCCTGAATCTCGGAAAGTGTTGGTGGGTTGGGGTATGCAGAGAAAGGATTCCAGCGGTTAAAGGAAGCCCAGAAACCAGATAGCGAGTCTCCGTAGGCTTGTGGATTGTCGTCGTCGAGAGCTCCGACATCAACAGCAAATATGACATCAGCACCCAGCGACTTCATATGAGCGACTGTCAAGTTGTCAACATAGCCACCGTCAAGCAGCATGTTGCCTTCGTCGCAAAGTGGAGGCAAGAGACCAGCAAGAGACATAGAGGCACGAACGTAACGCCATGCGTATCCACTTGTGTGGATTTCAGATCTTGACTTGCTGATATTTGTGGTGTTGCAGTAGTATTCGAGCCAGAAGTCTTCGATTTGAGAGTCACCGAATGTCTTGAAGATACCACGATTGAATTCGTGACCGGTTGTGTAGGATGCGCTGTGAGCAGTCAGTTAACGATCTATAGTGTATCAGAAAGGCCAACGTACGATGGGTAGGTCAGATCCAGAGCAAATCGCCACATGCTACCCATTCTCCCAGAGAATTTCTTGGCGCGTCCATACATGGGCACTACATCAGCATCCCATGCATAGAGAGCGCCAATGAATGAGCCAATTGATGTACCTCCTACAATATCAATAGGGATGCCAGCTTCTTCCATAGCCTTGATGATTCCAACATGCGCAATACCTCTAGCGCCACCTCCTCCAAGCACAAGTCCCACAGACTTGCCGAGGAGACGACGAGCCAGACGATGGAAGTCGCCCTTGAAAGGAGTTTCAGCCGAGTACAGAGGAGTCTGTCGCACCTTCCTGGACGTGTACTTTTGAATCTCGGCTTGGATGACCTGAACGCGTTGTTTGATAGCAGTACTGAATCTTCTGATCTGTGGATGAGGAGGCTCTGTAGGGTCACGGAATGACATTTGAATATGGTGATGGCTTCCGTTGATCCACGAACGATCTCTTAACCACTTGCGTGTGAGTCCGGGATGACAGTACCTCTCAGCGTGTAATAAGACGAGTTCCTTTCTCGCAGTGGTCTTCGTCGTGAGGAGGAAGCGTTCATACTCGCCAATAGCAGGCGAGCCATCTGCCAGACCGACGAGCAAGATGCAATCTGCCTGATTAATGCATGTTTGCGTCCAGGGTGATTTGACGTTTGTGTCAGCAACGTACAAAACCAGTGCAAACTTCTCTTCGAGGTCAGCCAGATATTGAGACAGCTTCAGCTTGCCCATTCTGGTGAATGCATGCCTGCCAAGGTGGTTCAGAATCGCTGCTTGATTGAGTGATGTAGTGCGTTGTGGTGTAGCACCAATTTGATTCAGAGCGTTGAGTAAGCGGTGTCCGAACTCGATCACAGGTACACCGGCCGTGACAGGCAGAATTGCGACAGTGCGCAGGTTTGTGGTTGAAGAAGATTTGGACCGAGTTGCGATCCTGCTCGTATCCTTGCCGTGATCGGAGGCGTGATCCTCGATCAGTGCACGCATACGAGAAGCGATGATCTTGGAGATCTTCATGGTGATGCCGGGATGTTCGTGAGCGAGACTGTTGAAGAGCGACTTTGGAAACTTGGCCAACTCGGTGTCTCGAATAGCAAGCAATGTACCTGGTCGTGTGGACTCGGTCAAAACTTCAAGCTCTCCAACACTGTCGCCTTGACCATACTCTCCAATGACCCTCATCTTGTCGTCAGGCCCTTCTTGTATCGCTCTCAATCTGCCGTTGAGCACGATGTAGATAGCATCACTCTCATCTTTCTGGTTGTAGATGACTTGCCCTGCATTTACCTGCACCCATTCGAGTGCGAAGTCAATGTGCAGGATGAGCTTCGGGAGTAGAGTGGTCAACCGCTTGGCTATGGTAAGTAACACGACGGGAAACTTCTCCACGATCTTCTCCACAGCTGCTCGGGGGAGGAAGCCGACATAGACATCTGTCTTGGCGGTGACATCGATAAACGATCGATATGACGAGACTGTTCCAAGATAGCCAGCCAGTCCACCAGGCTTCGTCAAAAACAGACTTTTCTGTGTACGTTTACGTGTTTTGTTCGGCGGGTTTACGTTGAGTGAGCTTGGTCTTCGGACACTGCCCATGTTTCTGCCCATTGATGATCTGATTGTTTGGGGCTCGTCAACCAGATCAATACTAGGCGAAGTACCAAAGATGTTGGAGTCCGCAGCTTCTGAATCTTCGAGGGGCACGCTGACATCCAGGAAGCCATCAATCACGTAGTAAAGTCCAGGATTACGCTCTCCTTGCTCGACAAGGACAGAACCTTTGGGGAAGAAGACAATCTCGACCTCCTCCTTCATATCCTCCAAGATGTTCGCGTTGCCAGTCGCACTGAATGCTGATGTCGACGCAACAGACTCGGTCTCACCATCGTTAGGATCAAAAGGATCGATGAAGCCGAAAGCGTTGTTGAAAACAGCTTTCTGACGCCTAGAATCGTATGAGACAAGCTTCGGGGATTGTGGGAGTGAATCTGTTCTTGCAAGTCCGTCCTTCATATTGGTCAATCCGATTGCTTTGAACATGCAATCTAGAATGGACTCTCTGAAGATCATGTCTTCGTCCACCGAGTCTTGACGACGAAGTGTCTTGATGTGAGCGTCGAATGGATTGAAGTTCTTGCTAGCCATGGGGCTCATAGCATCTCTTCCTAGAGGTCTTGGAGTTTGGAAGGGCAATGAGTAAGGTACTAGATTCTTGCGACCACCATGTCTTGCCGCGTTGTTGTTATTGGTCAACAAGTCTCCAGCACTGACACCAGATCTGTCTTTCTCTTCTTCGCGCGAAAGAGGATCACGCTCCTGGCTAAGTTTGCTGCTACGAGTTGGCGTGTGAATAGACTCACTTCTTCCTCCACCGCCGCGACGGCTGCTAGGCGCTGCTTGTGCATGCAGAACGGCTTCTTTTCTCAAACCAGTGACTGTCTTCTTCCTTTGGCCGGCACGCGGGTTGTGCAGAGCGATACCCTTAGCGATCTCTTCTGGTCCAGTGCGTTCCTTCTCCTTGGTGAACTTGCTCTTCAGTCTTTCCATAGCATCTCCTTTTAGAAAGTCTGGTAGATCATATGCTGTATAGCCATCCATCAGTCTCTCAGTACGCAAGACCTCTCCAGTGAGACCAAGATACTGGTGACCGGTCGCCATCGTAACACGCTGAAGTCTGGTGAGAATGACTTGGACGATATGTGAGGTTGCCTTGGGATAAACACGGGTGAGCCTTCTGAAAGCGGTGGCGGGTATTATCGCGATTGTAGTGTCGACAGAAGCTCTCGCGACGATATCCGGATGTGCGGATATGTGCTTTGCGGACTGTCTTCGGGCATCATGACTGCTACCTTGTCTCGATCTCGGTTCCGGGCCGGGCTCGTTTGGGTCGTTCAACGAAAATGAGGGTACTGCACTTTGGGCAAAAGAGGCAGCATCGAGCCCATGAAGAACTGTATGCGGCTCTCCACCAACAGCAGCAAGAGTGGGACTCAGAATAGGAGACAAAGGAGTGGCAGCACCGCTAGGACGATTCGAGTGTGAAGTTCGAGGCTGGGTGTTTTCTCGTGCTCCTGAGCCCACCTCGGGTTCCTTGTCATCATGACGCAGCTTGACATCTTCTGTGAATAGTGATAGAATAGAGAACAGTGAAGACATCGGAGCACCATTCTTGACTTCTGTCAACAGCTGATATCCTTGATTTCCGTGTACGCGTCCTTCATCGTCAACCTCGGCCTCCTCAGGAGTGGTTATGCCAGTCGATGGATCCTCTTCTTTGTCCTTGTTTGACTTGACAAATATTTGAACCAAGCCGTCCACAACCAGACAAAATCCTTTCTCCTCTTCCAGCAAGATGGTCTCTCCAGCAATGAGTTTTCTTGTTTGCATAGTCCTGGTAAGTTCATGGAAAACAGGACGCTCGAGATAACCAAAGACCTTGATGGCACTCAGAAACTCGTCCAGGTAGTTTGCCAAACCCTGTTTAGAGTCTGTTTCTTGAGTATCCGGGAAGACTTCAACTTGAGGCTCTTTACGTTGGGGTTCCGGAGGAAGGCGTGAGTACATGTTTAAGAAGCGATAGCGGACGACCCAACTGGCAGTTGAGACGAAGAATATCAGGATCAGCACAACAGTGGTCATGTTGACAGTTAGAGTCAGACTTGTGGACAAGAAAGTGAATAGCCATGTTGGTAAAGTAATGGTTAGAAACGCAACGGACGAGAGGAGCAGACTGGGCAACATGGTAAAAATGGCCAGGATGATACCTGCAGCTGAACCCATGGATGATGGCTCGGTACCAGGAGGTAGAGATGACACGACAGGTACTGTAGTGTTCTGCATGACCTGCTGCAGGGCACTCGAGGTATTTGCGACCATTTCAGAAGTCATCTTGTCCGGGTAAATAACGAGTGCTGCAATTGACGTCCGGTCAGTAAGACAAGCGTGAGGGAAATTGACGTTTGCGACAATGCAACTCAGACCATGATGATCCAGTGGGTTGTCAATTCAGAGGAACTAATTGGCAAATTTGAAAAAGAAAAGACGAGTTTGATGTCGAGAGACAGGAGTTGCCTTGATTGCAGTATTGAGACACGTGGGGCGTCCCGATCTGGCAAACGCGATTGGCAGATGAAGAGGCTCGTTTGCAGTTTTGTGAGGGTTGTTATACAACGTCTCCCAGTTTCTGATCAGACAAAACTGTTCTATCGCATTGCATAATAATTGGCAGATAACAAAAACCTACTTCTACAAAGTGCAATAGCTGTTCATCTCTCGAAGAAATATTAAAGACAAATTTATGCATGTGCATATGACAGAACAGTGAAGTAGCTTGGCGTTGCATAAGATTCACGCTTGGAACGGTCGCGATTCCTCCAGGTCGGCGCATAGCAACTTCCATCACAGTCGCAAAGCGAAGTTAAACGAATCTACTTGAGCTTCACCTTAGCTACCTCGACCCGCTCCATATACGCCACACACAAGTGCACGGCGAGAGCGATTCTTCCAACATGGCTTCCGGACGCTCAGAACGCGTCTATCATCAGGATTACATTGCGCGCATCCGATACTCCAACACACTACCACCGCCGCCCAACCCGCCAAAGCTTCTCGATATCCCTGGAACCGGTCTTGCTTCGAACAACTACACATCAGCTTCGTATGCTCTCAAGCTTGCAAGAGAGCAACCCCTGAACATCGAGGCCGATGCCGAGCTTGGAATGCCCATTGACCTGGTCGGTCTGCCAGGTGTCTTTGATGGGGATGAGAGTGGTATGTTATACAAGACTGGGGCGATTACACTGAAGCTGATATCTCCCAGCCATCATGGCCCAAGATCCACTGCCGTCGCTCCACCCTAAGGACCGAGCACTGCTCAAGCCACTATCAGCACTCGGCAAACCGACCGCAATGAACTCTGGTGTCAGTTTCCTTCGCAGAACCGAGTACATCTCGTCCAATGCCGCCGCAGTACAACGCTTCGAATCGAGCACATCCAAGGATCTGTTGCGCGTACGAAACGATCCCAAACGCCGTAAGACGCAGGCTCTCAATCGCGACGACCCCATCAACATTATCAGATCGCTTGTCAAGGGCTTCGACCTGGCTTACCCCGAGGATGCCTATACTGGTCAAGATTCATCGACAAACATTCGTGGCGCTCCCATTACCGAAGCCGACAGAAGTGCTTGGAATAAGCCGAAACACCCCTCCAACCCCAATCTTACTCTCCTGGATGCATACCCTCTTCTCCCCGATATGGATGCTCTGCCCTTGACAGGCGACTACCAGATCGTCAAGTTCAGCACAAACCCTGTCGCTACATCAGACTCCTACGACCAGCGTCTCGACACAGCTGTGTTGCGACCACTCGGCGCAGACCTCGCCTTGCACGAAGACCGCATAGCTGCCCACAAAGCCGACCCAACCATGCCAAAGCCGCTTGCCGAATGGGATTACGATTTGTTCTTGGCAGAAAACGAGAGTTCAGTACGCGGCATCAAGCGCAAGTTCAATCCCAATGACGCACAGAACGACGACCAGTCCCTGTATGACAACGAGGCCGATGGTGAGGGCTGCTTCATGTTCCAGCGCGTTCGTGAATACGAGACCTATCAGCAAGCAGGTGACGCAGACAATGCCTATGGTGATACCGTTGCTCTTGCTCTGCACGACGATGATGGTGTTCGCTTGGAAAAGGGTGCCTACTTCTACCCTGTCAAGCAGAGAACCAACCTCAGACCCAAGCGCAAGACTCCTGGTTTCGTGGACGAGAATCGTGCCGAGCCTGTCGATGTGCTACAGCTCAAGGTCCGGGACCCTAGCTCAGATGAAGCCGCTCAGCGCTTGGAGCAGAAAGCCCTGCTGGACCCTACCACAGAAAGCGCATAGAAGTGCTATTTATTGTAATATCCAACTCAAAATCACATTACTAGCTATCCTAGCATCCCTCTCAGCCCTTTCGTTAATCTGTAGCGGTCCAGAGTAACCGTCATGTGCAAGTCGTATCTGATAGGACCTTGGAATTCACCCTCTCTTGACGAAACCCCAGTCGATCCAAAAAGACTCTCTACATTGCGACACACGAAAACTTCGCCTTCATGAATGGTCGATAGTTGATGGCTCATGCGGACGAGCCTTGGGCTACGTTGTCAAGTCTCCAGAAGCTTGTAAACATGAAGGAGCCAAATGTTCTGTACATGAGACCTCTCCCTCTAGGAATGGTAGTATGCAAATGCACGGCAGCCATCCAGAGCGATGCATGAACGCCAAACGATGCTCAAGACAAGATTTTGGTTAAACAATTGTGATTGAAGAGAGTGACTCGCCATCGACACCGAACACCATACCGAATGCCATTCCAAGTTCTCCTCCGTCAGATAACTCCAGCGCTTATGCAACCAACTTCCAACCCAAGTGACCTAGTCTCAACAAATCAAACCGACTGGTATAGAGCTCTCCTTTGTTTCCAAGCTAGGTTGAGCTTCTCTTTCCGCGCTTGTTCGGTCGAGTTCTTATGTTTCTTCCAATCGTCTGATTGCATAAAGTCCTCCCAGTCTTGGTCAATGTCGATCTCGTTGGGGAGGATTTCCTCATCGGCATGCCATTCGTCGTCGGCGATGCCGAGTTCATCCAGTATGTCTTCATCATCGTCGAAGTATGCTCTCTGCTTCTCTGCGTCGGCCATGTGGGAGAAGCATGCCTGGGTAGCGCTAGGGGCTTCTTGCTGCCACTCGGCGGGCAGAGTCGCTGGATCCAGTATAGATGATAGCCGTGTGAGATCATCCCATCGGAGCGGTGCTTCTACCTCGGCTTGCTCTCTGACCGGAGCGTCCTTCATAACAACGTCGGGCACGGTCGCTGCTGTCGTCGTCCGCGTATCTTGAGTTGTGTCCTTGTCACCACCGATATCTCTGAAGCCTCTCTTCACTCCATCTGCCTTCGAGGCTTTGTTCAGATTCAGACTAATCATCTCGGAATTCTCTGTCCGTTTCTTCTCCGTGCGTGAGTTGCGTACGGCGGCTGTGGGATTGCGAGTGATTTGCTTCAGCTCCTTCATGCGCTTGCGATGCTGATGGTCATAGCTGTTCTCGTGGGCTTCGAAGTCTGTGATACGGCCGTAGCCTTTACTGCACATGTCGCAGTAGAAGTTGCGGCGCAACTCGCGAGCGCTTTCGGTCTGTGTTTGGGTTAGGGTGGGTCGATGTGGTAGACGATAAGGCGGTATACCTGTGCGCTAGGCAGTACTGTTGATCTCTGTATTCATGTTAGCGCTGCGCATCCAAGGTAGTGATTCCGAAATACCGGGCCCATGGTGAATGATTGGTGTCGTGCAGTATGATCAAGAAAGCGAAAGCAGCAGATTGTCCAGCGCGAGTCAAAGCTCACGAAGCGCGTGCATGGATAGATCCGCCGATGGCTTGGCAGATAAGATGACAATCAGGTAAGCAATCACATGTGCGACGCTGATTCGTGGGCAATCTCGACGTGTTGTTCGGCATTAGGCATTCAAAACAGATGAATACTCACGCCAACGACCTCGAGCGGGAGCTTTCCTTGCAAGAACTCGAACCGTCGCCCATCGAAGACGAGTTTCCTCAAGACGTCAAGGACTCGTACTTTCCCGCAACCGGAGAGGAGTCACCCCTCGAAGATGAAGTAATCAAGCCCGCCCAGCGCACCTCTACCCTAGGTCTGGATGCGCATTCGCCCGTCTGGTACCTCACTCGTATCCACAAGTACTCGAGTTACGCCTTCTCCGTCTTTACTGCCTTCCATGTCGCAAACACGGCCCTCATCCCGCTTGCCACTCGCTCAGTCGCAAATTCCGAGCGCTACCTGTTGCTTACTCGCCCATACTACCAATCGCCCATCGCCGAGCCCTTCATTGTCGTCCTGCCTTTACTTGCCCACATTGGCAGCGGTGTCGCCCTCCGTCTCTATCGTCGCAAGCAGAACCTCAAGAGATATGGCGCAGAGAACAGGACAGACAGACGAATGATCGCATGGCCAAAGCTGTCGGGCACGAGTGCACTGGGCTATGCTCTGGTACCACTCGTCTTTGGTCATTCATTCGTCAACCGGATCATTCCCCTGTGGTACGAGGGTGGCTCGAGCAGCATCAATCTTGGCTACGTCTCACACGGCTTTGCTAAACATCCCGCCGTGTCTTTCATTGGCTTCAGTGCCCTCATCGCTGTTGGAGTCTGGCACTCTGTCTGGGGCTGGGCAAAGTGGCTCAATTGGACACCATCGCAAGTCACGCAGGGAGGCCCCGAAGGTCAAGTCCTTAGAAAGAGAAGGTGGTACGCGGTCAACGGTCTCAGTGCTGTCGTTAGTGCGCTCTGGTTGGCAGGCGGTATGGGCATCGTGGGTCGCGGTGGTGCCGTAGGTGGGTGGGTTGGCAGAGAATACGATGGGCTGTACAGCCATATCCCTCTGATTGGCAACTACATGGCTTCCTCTTAGGAACCGTCTTTTCTTTGTTTGCTGTAGTCTTCGAATACCCATCTCTGCGCAATACGATTTGTTCTTTTCCAGACCATCGTATTCCTTCGCGCCGGTCTTCCTTTCGAGGGTAAAATGATCGAGTAAATTGTCCCCCGGACCCCTCGTTATCGTGCACGGCTAAGCGCAGGATATCCACTTTTCGGCCCGTTCGCCGGCGAACGAGTCGTACGCCCTACCACATTCACCCATTAGAGTTCTTATCTGAAGGAGCACCAAGAAAGTAAGGTGGCTCAAGTTCCTGCATGTGGTGCCGTTTGGCGAGAGTGACTTGCAAAAAAGTTGGTCTGCAGACTTCAATGACTCCTTCACTTTCTTCTGTATCCTTGTCACTCGTATTGTTTGTTCCTTTGATCTTTCGCGCCAAAACCACTCGGGTGAAGGACGCTTAAGCCGAGAGCTCGCGTTACCACGGTCATTCCTCCAACGACGATTAATCCTCCGGCTCTTCTGTTTGACAGGTGAGAGACACTGTCCTTTTCATATTCTTGACAGGAATACCAGTCTGACCTGGTCAAGTCCGACATGCAACAATCACTGGTCGCAGCCGCAGGGCTTCGGTCTACTTCGTTGTCCCGAGGCACTGTCTCCTCCTTGACAAGCAGGCGATGCCTCAACCTGTCTGCCAGAAGACAACTTCTTCAGTCCAGCAAGAATGTGCGCCCTGTGCAGTTCAGACCATTCTACTCGAGCACCGCTGCCGAGACCGAATCCACCAGCGGCGGCAATGCTCAGTCCACCCTGTTTGCGCCTCTGGACACCTTTGCCCGCAGACACATCGGTCCCGGGTCTGACGACACAATCGAGATGCTCAAAGCCTTGGACCCACCCGCAAAGTCCCTGGACGAGTTCGTAACCCAGGTCCTGCCTGCAGACATTCTGTCGTCCCGCGACCTGAAGATCGAGGGACCTGCCACCCAGGACAGCAAGGGCCAGCCCGGCAAAGAGACGAGTACAGAAGGCTTCTCGGAGAGTCAGTTGATCGAAAGACTCCGAGAGATTGCCAGCGGAAACAAGCTTGTGAGAAGTTACATTGGATGCGGCTATGCAGGCACCCGCGTGCCAGAAGTCATCAAGAGAAACGTCCTCGAGAACCCCGGCTGGTACACAAGTTACACTCCATACCAACCTGAGATCAGTCAGGGAAGACTGGAGTCGCTGCTCAACTTTCAGACCATGGTCTGTGATCTTACCGGTCTGCCCATCTCCAATGCTTCCGTCCTCGATGAGTCGACTGCCGCTGCTGAAGCCATGACTCTTTCAATCAACGCTCTTCCCTCAGCACGCCAGAAGCGACCCAACAAGGTGTTCCTCGTCTCCCACCTTTGCCACCCTCAGACCATCGCTGTTCTCGCATCTCGCGCTGAGGGCTTTGGTGTCAAGATCGAGGTTGACGATATTCTCAAGGATGGAAGCAAGAGAGTGGAAGAGATTGGCGAAGACCTGGTCGGTGTTCTGGGGCAATACCCTGATACCCTCGGTGGTGTTCAGGACTTCAAGAACTTATCCGAGAAGGTTCACAAGCTGAAGGCAACTTTCAGTGTGGCCACCGACCTGCTGGCTCTTACTGTTCTCACTCCTCCAGGTGAGTTCGGTGCGGACGTGGCTTTCGGAAACGCTCAGAGATTTGGCGTACCATTCGGATTTGGTGGTCCTCATGCCGCATTCTTCGCTTGCAGTGAACAGCACAAGCGCAAGATTCCCGGTCGTCTGATCGGTCTCTCCAAGGACAGACTGGGCGACAAGGCAGCTCGTCTGGCTCTTCAAACTCGCGAGCAGCACATTCGTCGTGAGAAGGCCACCAGCAACATCTGCACAGCTCAGGCCTTGTTGGCCAACATGAGTGCCATGTATGCTGTCTACCACGGACCCGAGGGCCTGAAGAACATTGCTCACAGAGTCATCAACTCTACGCGTGTCGTTGCTGAGGCCGCTAAGCAGGCCGGATACACAATCGAGACCAATGGTCCCTTGTTCGACACTGTTGTCCTTTCCGGAGGTGCTATCGCTGGCAAGGCTAGTGACTTTGCCAAGTTGGCCGAGCAAGAGTACAAGACCAACTTGAGAGTGGTCGATGAGAGCCGTATTGGTGTCACTCTGGACGAGACCGTAGAGAAGGAGGACATTCAAGCCATCATTGACTTGCTCTCTGGTGCTGCCAAGTCGTCTTCTAAGCTTACCGTCGACGCTCTTGTCAAGGATGTTGGTCTCTCTGCAGACGATGCCGCTTCTCACGTCCCTGCCGCCCTCCGCAGAAAGACACCTTTCCTGACTCACCCAGTCTTCAACACTCATCACTCCGAGACCAACATCCTCCGCTACATTCATCACTTGCAATCCAAGGATCTTTCGCTTGTCCACTCTATGATCCCCCTCGGATCATGTACCATGAAGCTCAACGCCACCACCGAGATGATTCCCATCACTTGGCCAGAGTTCTCGAACATCCACCCCTTCGCTCCTACGGAGCAGACCAAGGGATACAAGACCTTGATTGATGAACTGGAAGCTGATCTAGCTGAGATCACTGGCTTCCATTCTGTCTCATTGCAGCCCAACTCTGGTGCTCAGGGTGAGTTCACCGGTCTTCGCGTTATTCGCAAGTACCTTGAGCAACAGCCTGGCAAGAAGCGCGACATCTGTCTGATCCCCGTGTCTGCTCATGGCACCAACCCCGCTAGTGCTGCTATGGTAGGTATGCGCGTAGTGACAATCAAGTGCGAGGCTGGTACTGGAAACTTGGACATGGCAGACCTCAAGGCCAAGTGCGAGAAGCACAAGGAAGAGCTTGGTGCCATCATGATTACATATCCTAGCACTTTCGGTGTGTTCGAGCCTAAGGTCAAGGAAGCTTGTGATCTGGTACACAAGAACGGTGGTCAGGTCTACATGGATGGCGCAAACATGAACGCACAGATTGGACTGTGTTCACCTGGTGAGATCGGCGCTGATGTCTGCCATCTCAACCTTCACAAGACCTTCTGTATTCCTCACGGTGGCGGTGGTCCTGGTGTCGGTCCTATTGGTGTTGCAGAGCATCTCTCACCTTTCCTCCCCGGTCACCCGTTGGTCAAGACTGGTGGTTCTCAAGCTATTGCTCCTATCAGTGGCGCACCTTGGGGGAGTGCCAGCATTCTGCCCATCAGTTGGGCATATGTGAAGATGATGGGCGCTCGCGGTTTGACCCACGCCACCAAGATCACTTTGTTGAACGCCAACTACATCCTTTCTCGCCTTCGTCCTCACTACCCCATCCTCTACACCAATGAAAACGGACGTTGTGCACACGAATTCATCCTCGACATCCGCAAGTTCAAGGAGACTGCTGGCATTGAAGCAATTGATGTCGCCAAGCGTCTTCAAGACTATGGCTTCCACGCACCGACAATGAGTTGGCCCGTCGCAAACACTCTGATGATTGAGCCTACCGAGTCAGAGAGCAAGGAAGAGCTGGATCGTTTCTGTGACGCGCTCATCTCCATCCGCAAGGAGATCAAATCGGTTGAGGACGGCAAGCAGCCCAGAGACGGCAACGTGCTCAAGATGGCACCTCATACTGTCAAGGATGTTGTCACCTCTGACTGGGAGTCGAGATCTTACAGCCGTGAGACTGCAGCGTACCCCCTATCATATCTTAAGGAGAAGAAATTCTGGCCCAGTGTTACCAGACTTGATGACGGTAAGTTTACATCGCATGATCGATTCATTGAACTACAGCTGACTGAGTGTAGCATACGGTGACATGAACCTTTTCTGTACCTGTGCACCCGCCGAGACTTTTGAAGACATGACTGGTGCCGCCGCACCCATGCCTACCTAATCACTTTCTCCAAAAACTTTGTTGTTTTCTCCTCTACAGCGATAGGTCTTCAACGACCTCATGTGCCTGACCTTAACACACGGTCATGGCGACTTTTCTTTTTTGCATATGGACGGCGTTTTCTTCTGCTTTTCACGAACTTTATGGCATCTTCAACGAGGCAGCGAATGCTTTCTTTTTCTTTTGAGTAGTGGAAAAACTTATGGGGAAGGCGTTGTTCTCCTTTCACAGATGATTCGAATCCGGACTGACTTTGATTTTCTTTTTCTTCATGTGTTCATGTGTTCTGTGAGTGTCGTTCAGGGCCGCAAAGCAGGAATGAGCATCAAAGAAACCAACAGACCATCCTCACCGGACACGTTTAACTGGCACCATGATGAGGAGCGAAGGTGTGGATCGACGCTCTTACTCTCAAGGCGACGTTGTCTTCACGCACGCTGATCACGACGCCCATTGATGACCGATGATGTGAATTCCGAAGGATGGCGCGAGATTTGTTTGCTCTGTGAGATACCTGCCAAAGAGCATGATGAGATGGATGAATTGCTCACACGAGGCTGTGGAGATGACCACAACTGTAGCTGCTTAGCCGAGCTATAACGACGTATCATAAGTGCTATTCGCTGTGGGTTTTGTCAGTATGACTGTACCACAACCGTGACCATAAAATGACGTGCAATATGGAAAACCCTGGACCGTGTAGAAGCTAGCCGCTTCGACAGGGCCATGCCAGTACACTTGCAATCACATCTATCCTACATGTTGTTCATGTCCAGAAGACTTTTGATATTTATCAATCCAGGTCAGACATGTCTGGTCAAATAATTTACATCATCTCAACATCATCCTCCTCAGCCATTCCCTCATCCTCGGCATAAACCTCCTCCTCATCCTCCATCTCAGCATCCTGTACACCGCTGACCGGCGGCAACTGTCCTTCACCCTTCTTGATAGCTTCAACCTTTGCCTTTGTCATCTCGAACACATATTGACCCAGATGTTCTACACCTTCCATTTCCGCCGTATTGCCAGTCTCTTCTACACTACGTTGGGCGGGGAACATTTCTCCTGTCGAAAGTGTGAGAGCTGCGGGACGGGCGAGGAGAGAGGAAAATGCTGTGGCGAGATCAGGAGTGCTGCTGAAGACACTTCTGCGACCGAGGATGTAGAGGCCTAGACGGGCACGGGAGAGTGCGACGGTTAGACGGCGGATATCGCGGAGGTAGCCAGGTCGTGATGTACGTGTGAGTGAGAGAATGATGTCTGTTTGTCATGTTAGCGTTTGCGAAGAGCTTAAAAGAAGCAAAGTTCACTTACAATCATTTTGCTCGCCCTGGTACTTGTCCACCGTGCTGACTTTGCCAGGAAGACCAAACATACGGTTGTTTTGACAACGATGCTTAAGTACATCTCTGACCAGCGCGCGCTGACCGGCGTAAGTAGTCAAGATACTGATTCTCTCTGCTGGGTAGCCGAGCAGTCTCATGTACATGTAGATGGCGACTGCATACTCAGCCTCTCCCAAGTTCTGGATGAAATGCGGTGATGGCTCGGTCTCGCCTCTACCCTTGTACTCTGGAACATCGATGAATTGGTAATCGTAGGCAAAACCTGCATTGGCCTGCAGGAACTGCGGTGTAGATGTCACCAGCGGAAGGTTGCCTAAGCTAGGGTATCTCCACTTATAAAGTTCAGCAAGAGAAGGTCTTGCGCGACCTTGTTGATCAAGAGTAATAGTAGGTACACCCAATCTCACCAATCGCAAGAACAAACTCTGCTCCAAGTTGGCATATTGACGGAAGGCCAGATTTTGCACGATAGGGCTGTTTTGAAGGTGATCACCGACCAATACCACACGTTGCAATTTCATCTCACCATCACGAGGCTTCTGCAACGCGAGAGGGATGAAATTCTCGATCTCGGTAACTTGAGCCGCTTCTTCCATGATGATATTGTCATATCGGAAGCCCAAGTCGGCGATTTCTTGACGGCGCATGGCGGCATGTGTGGATGTCATTGCGATGATACGAGCTTCCTTGATGAGAAGGTAGTTTGCCTTGTCACGAGCAGTACGGAGGATTTCGAAGGGACGGGTGTCGGCGAGAGAAGCGAAGATGTGTTGGAGATGGTTGTTGCAGCCTGAAGCAATATCGACGAGTTCATCGCGAGAGGCAGTTGCAGGGAAGAGGGGTTGCGGGGCGTTGGAGAAGTAGGCGTGGAAAGGGAAGGAGTCGATGATCTGTTGGGACTCTGCACCCGCAGTCACAGTGTCCCAGTATTTTGTCCAGACTGGCTTGACGTAGACTTGGTTGAAGTAATCGGCAGTCTCGCAAGTGCTTCCATGAGCACCAGGAGCGCCAATACTTGCGGCCAATCGAGTAACCTCGTGCAAATATAGAGCGGCATTCTCCATGAAGGATTCGACACGACCATGCTTGCTATAGCTGGCTTCTGTCTCGAGTTCTTCCTCGCCGTGTCCGAGTCTGAGAAGATGACGCTCGTCGATATCCAGAGCTGTGATCTTCTGGAAGAGTTGATTGAGGGCTTGATTGCTGTGAGCAACAAGCAGTGTGCGTTGCTCGGGGAAGTTGTGATAGATGTTGTTGATAATTTGGGTTGCGACATCGGTCTTGCCAGTTCCAGGGGGACCAACGATGACGGTCAAACCTGGCTGAGTTCCAGATGTGATGGCCTCAATTTGTGTCGGTGTGAAGCGAACACCATTCAGCCTGGGGGCATCCACAGGGTAGGGTCCTGGATTGGCGGGCTTGTAAGTTCCGACCTTGACAGCCTCCACGGCAGGCGCAGGTGCGGCTTCGATCTGCTCACGTTTGCGTCTCTTACTCGGTCTGGCCTCTGGGGGTGGCGCTGCCGAAATCTCTAGAACATATGGTGGTGGGAAGCTTGAGTTGAGCTTTTCGTCTGGCTCTACAGTATTTCCAGGCAAGGACTCAACCAGATGCTGCCAGTCAAGGAATGTGTCTCGGTAGTCGATCGAGTTCAGTCTGTTTGGTAGACGCTGGTAGGTTGCAGCAGCTGGATCGCTGTAGCCTAGGAACACCTCCTGCAACCACTGAGGAGCTGGGACATCAGACAGCGCCAAGTGCTTGATAGAGTCCAAGATAGGCTTGAAGTTATTCTCACGTCCTTGGCGTCGTACAAGAAGGTTGATGCTTTCAAGGATATCCGGCCTGCCCTTGTCTGTGCGCTCCTTATCTTGTTGATATGCCACCGGGTCAAGTCGAAGTAGGAGTCTTCGCTGACGGCCACCTCTTGAAGCTCCACCATTGGTTTGAGCTTGTGATTGATCACGTAACATGCGACCGTTCTCATCCTGTACTTGAATCACTTCCGCAGAACGGACATGCTTGACACCGTGCCTCTCTGCTACATCGGCTGATTCGGACCCGCCGTTGCTGAAGACTGATGTCGTATCTCCAACCTGAACAGATACCAAGAAAACGATATCACCTGATCGTAGTGTCTCCCACTCTCTGCGGATGTTGGGACCCAATCGACCAACATCAAGCGTCACTTCCACCTCGACTTTCGAAGGGTGAAGCTCTGAAACTTTGGCAGGTGCGACATCAATGACGGCAGGTCTCGTAATAGGGATGGCCATCTTTGAGAAGCCGTCAAACTTTGTAGCGGGTCCAGCCTTTCTCGGTTGCAGCCTCTTGACAGTATCTTCAATGTCCTTGCGGATCTGATAAAAGGCTTCCGCTCTGTACAACACGAACGATCTCCACAAGAAATCTCCCATAGTCAGATACTGCAGATTCAGCTTAGGAATAGCCAGGGGTCTAGTTCCGTTGTAGCTCTCATTGCGAACAAAGGCAGAGTCGTAGATGGCATCTTCGGTAGGAACCACAGCCATATTCTGCATCATCTGCTGATACATGGGTAAGCTCTCATGAGCAGAAAGTAAGACTTCCATGTAGAAGGTACGGTCGCGCGTGACGAGACTCGAACTAGGATAGTCGGTCCGGAAGCCGAGCAGACGGCATAATTCAGTGACTTCATCGTCGGATAAAGAAGCCAAATGGCTTTGCAGATCCTCCCTCGTTGCTAGTGAGGCAAAGTTGGCCAAAACCAGAATCCTTAACTTGTCCTGGAAATGTTTGAAGGAGACTCTCTGCAATCTCGTCAAAGCGGCATGGTGTTGCTGATCGAATTCGAGAGGAGTGTACTGTCGGCCACTGTGATCTTCAATTGGGAAGGTTGTGTAATGTTGGAGCAGGTTGTAAAGGTCGCGCAAGAGAGCATTGTCCTCATCCGCGTACATGGGAGATAGCTTGATGACGGATAAAATGTTGAGATCTTGCAGCAGAGTGTTGACAAATCTTCTGGTGGGCAGCTGACTTTGCAGGTCGGACAGCAGTTCGATAAAGCGTTCGCAGTAAAGGACGTTATCGGCGCGAGATTTGGCAGTCGTATCGTACAGGCGATCGAAGAAGTCCAGGATCAGAGTATACAGCCATGACCTCTCGAAACGTATGCGAGCCTGAGTGGGAGCATCTGAGCCATCGTATCTCTTGTTTGCCGCTCTCCAAGCCTTTTGAAGTTGTACGGCTCTCTCCAAGTGTGCATCTCTTGCTTCCTCAGTGTGGAGGTTGTGCCAAACAGCGATGTTGACGAGTGGTGCGCATTCCTTCCTGACAATGCCGCTATCGAGCGATTGGTAGGCGATGATGATGAAGGTAAGGAGGTGTGTTCGGAGGGTGGTCGGGATGGATGTGTCGATGGTCATGGACAGTACGCGACGGAACAGCGACGAGAAGTTCTCTGATTGTTGGTGGAAGCAGTCCCAGACAGCGAGACCTTCACGGCGCTTCATATTGACGATCATAGCCAGCAGTTGAACGTGGTGATTCGAGGCGTCGTCGGTATATCCAGGCCATAGGTACAACTCCAGGAGCTGCAATTGTTCCAGCAACAGCAGCGATGTAAAGTCTTCTTGCTCCAATGGTGTCCAAAGCTCCTTCTCAATGACATCGCGCTGTACTTTGGGCTGCTTGGTCTTGTTTAGCCAGTGCTTGCGCGCCAGCTGGGCATATTGGTTGTCGCCAGTCAAGTCGTCTACCGTCGGGCGGCTGTTTGCATGTACGTCGGCCATCTTTGTCGCGATTATCTCATTCTATATCCAGATGCGACCCTTTCTATACACTTGCAGAGGCCCAAAGATGTCGAACAAAGTAGTATTTAAGCTGTCGCGTTTGTTGCTCTCGGAATTGAAACTTCTTGAAATCGACACCCCCAGAAACACGCCAAGTCCGTTGACGTCGGCGCGTCGAGAGCTTCTACCATTTCTCTCCTCCGCATCACTTGCTCCTTCCTCATCTCACATCGACTGATTCGATCATTCTTGGAAATGCACGTATCTTTTGATGTCTATCTGAGCCTCCTGTACCATCATATCCAGCATTACTACCATCATACCGTCAAAACTTCTACCTTTTCGTCATCATTCACTTCCAGCTTGCTCCTGTCGAAACTACCAGGCAGTCTACCCATGCGCCCAAGACTTGTTCTGAGCACGCCCTTTGAGTACACCAACGAAGTTCTCCAAATGGTCTCTTCTCCTGTCTTATCTGGGAGCATCGACTCCACCTTGTGTTGAGTAGCTCCTGCCAGCATTGGCTTCACATGCGCGTACACCGTCTCATAGTTCTTCTTCCGGACTTGATAGAGCTCGTGGAAGATGCCCACATGTGGGTACTGAGCCGCATGCTTGGCCCACCAGGTCAATGACTTGCGATGAAGTGGCCATGTCGCGTATGCCTGGACAGACTCGGATGATTTGAAGTACATGATCGTTACTGTCTCGTTGTTTGTCGCTGACTCGGCGCCAACGAGGCTTCGTGAGCCTAAGAATCCGTGTCGCTCGGCCTCATCTAATATGCTGGTGAGTGCTAGACTGCCCAATGCATTGAATCTGCTTACCTTTGATCTCTTGGACCATACTCGTAAACTGTTGGCCCAACTCTTTGTAGCCTGGTGCAAGCAGTCCAAAAGGGCTATGGGAATGGTTAGCACTGCGGCTTGCAGCTAGATGTACTCGACATACTGGTTGACTTTCGATCCAATGATGAACACGCAGATATCCGAGTCTGCTGGTGTCTCCATATCACCGTCCGTCTCTCCAGGCAACTGCGCAGAATAGTGTTCTTGGATGACGCCGTCGAGGTAGTGGTTGTGCTTCAGACCAGTCTTTACGGCATATGCGTCCGCTACGCGACAAAGCAGTACGAAGGCAGCCGGTACGAACGCTGTGCGACCGACTGCTAAGAATACAATGGACTGCAGTAGAGCCCCGATCGCCAGCCATGTCGTTATTGTGAAATTGTCCCTGAAGAGCTGTTCACCTTGTCAGTTCCAAGCAGACGTACCACAATCTTGCAAAACTCACTAGAGCCACATTGTCCCGGCTCTCTGAACTACGAGACATGGCGGCGGTATCCTTGACGTACATCACAACGAAATCTTGAGCTTTACAATGGTGAAGGGCAAGCTTGATAACAATGGCGAATGTGATTGTCAATATTCTACAGCAAGCTTCAAAAAAAGGGAACCCAAGACCTGGATCATGCTGTGTTACTGATTAGTTATATATTCTGAACCTATCGTTACGTGCCGCAATCTCTCAAAGGTAGTCATTTCTTCTATCACAACCATTCTCTCATTTGAGCATGTCGGAGCTTCCTCCCTCTGCTCGTTGTTGGCGTGCGTTCAACGCAGCTGCCGCGGGGCATCCTTCTTCCGCTACCTACGCTCATTGTACCACGCCAGCAGATGCACATGCTACATGGAGGCATTGTGACAAGTTTCCAGACAGATCGATGACCGAGACTTTCATCATGTGAGAATGATAACACGGGGAGATATTAGCGAGGGCTACGTTTTTGTGCATTCCAGTAGAGTGTGATCATTCGATATTCTCGCCTAAGTTGAGGCACGCATTTCCGGGCCTGTGGTGTCTGGCGCGCTCCCGATTGATGGGTTAACCACAAGGAGATTCATTTTGTATTCGGTATAGTATTATTAGTATCGCTTGGCGTATGACCTCGCACTTCCATCTCATTCGGGTAACTGCTTTCAAGAGTTTGGATATCCCGCCGAAATGCTTCTTCTTCAGCTGACACCTCGATCAGCAAACGGCCTTGCAATTCGGTGGCTGCTCCGAAAGGTACTTCATCCTGCACGCACGTTTTGTTAGCTGGCAGCATGAAGTCAGGCTCAGCTCGAGCTGATAAGCCGCTCCGACCGCCACTTACTTGATTACTGAACAAGCTGTACCATCTTTCATAGCCTGTTGTCTCTCTGTCTTTGCCCGTCAAGAGCTATGAGATAGGCGAGTTATCGAGAGGTAGAGCGAAGATCAGGATCAAGACACTACCAGCAGAGAGCCCGTGATTGCTCGCTCTCATCGGCCGGCAGCTTAGCTTGGAACTGTGTCTTTCGATAGCTGGTATACGATCACTTATCAGAGCTGGGAGTGAAGAGAGCGAACCATAGCATTGATGTTTGCATACTGTCTGACTAGCCACGATACACTCAGCGCCGACATTTCTTGCCCACTACAGCTTCTTGGTAAGCCCGTCGCGCCACTGCTCATAACCTTCAGTCATCTCCGGTGTAATCCTGCGTACGGCAGTCGACAAAGCAATTTCAAAGTCATCCTTTGATACTTTCATCAACTGCTCGCTCTCGAGAGCGTCAACCGGCTCATGGGTCGTAACAATTTCCACCCTTCTTCGCATAGCTGCGCGGCACGCATTGAGGCAAATCTCGACGATTTCTGCGCCTGAAAAGCCCTCCGTACGTACAGCCATATCATCGATATTGACATCATCGGCGAGGGGTACGCTGCGTGTACGAATGCGCAAGATCTCTTTACGAGCACTCTGCGACGGCGGAGCAATGTAGATCAAACTGTCAAAACGACCAGGGCGCAACAATGCAGGATCAAGAATCTCAGGCTTGTTGGTGGCAGCAAGCACAAGGACGCCTTTCAAGCTCTCAATACCATCCATTTCATTGAGCAGGGTGGTCAGCACATTCAAGCCCTTCGTGCCTGCCGAATCGCGCTCTGAGCCAATAGAATCAATTTCGTCAAAGAAGATGATGCTAGGAGCAGCAGCACGAGCCTTACGGAACACCTCGCGTACCGAGCGCTCAGATTCACCAACGTACATAGACGTCAGCTCAGCACCCTTCACGGCGATGAAATTGAGGCCCGACTCAGTCGCCACAGCCTTTGCGGTCAAAGTCTTGGAACAACCAGGAGGACCATAGAAGAGGATACCCTTTTGAGGTGTCAAGCTCAAGGCTTGCATGTGCTGTTCGTACCTGAGGGGCCACTCGACAACCTCATTTAGAGTCTTCTTAACATCGCCCGAACCTCCAATATCAGACCATAGAACCTTAGGAGTTTCGAGGAAGATCTCGCGCATTGCAGTAGGGCGGACTTCTAGCAATGCCTTTTCGTAGTCTGCAATGGTCACTTGAAGTTCGCCATCATCAGTGTCGTCCGTCTCGGCAGTCCTCGGTCTGTCGACGATGCTGCAATTCTGCATGCTATTGACCAAGGTTCGTTGTGAGGCGTCATCATCGGCTGTGCGTTGAATAGGAAGCCAATTGGTAGTTGTTTCCTGGTGTCTGTCAAGGGCGTGTTCCAGAGCGTTATTGAACAAGGCCTCAAGATCCTGTCCGACAAAACCATGGGTGCGCTCTCCAATGACCTCGGCGAGCTCGTCAGTACCCGTCTCCCCCTGCATGACCTTGAGGATTTGGATACGTGCTTTCATATCTGGTATGGGTATCTCGATCTCGTAACGAAGACGTCCAGGCGTACGCAGAGATTTGTCGATATCATTAGGATTGTGTGCAGCAGCCACTACCAGAACGGTAGTGTTTCGTAGCCTATCAAGTTCAGCGACCAGTGCGGAGGCAAGATTGCCTATGGAGTCGCGTTGCTGCGTGCCAGCGATTGCTTCGAGATTATCCATGATGACCAGACTAGGTTGATGAGCTACTGCCTCAGCAAACAGGTTTCGTACGGAAAGTTGATTCTTGCTAGACGTCCCAGCGAGCGCACTTTGGTCAATTCTGATGACCTTTTTCCACGGGGCTTGTGTGAGGTGGTTGAGTAGTAAGGTCTTTCCAGTTCCTTCTGGTCCATAGAGCAGTATTCCGCCGTTTCGTTGGACTTGGGGTGGTAGTCTTTTGCCTCTGATGTCACCAATCAGACGCGACAGACGCTTGTTTAGCAACTCGATCTGCTTGTTCAAACCACCAATGCCCTCAGCTGTCACGGCAATCGAGCGTGGCAGAGGTGCTTCGGGAGTTACAGCTGAATCCTCATCTTGAAGTACGATCTGACTCCTATCATCAAACAGATACAAAGCCGGCGTTTTGTTGGTTTCGCTTGATTCGATATGCTCAATAAGGAAGCGCTTCCTCAGACCCTTGCGAGAAGAGGCCTCGAACGCAACCCCGGTCGTGATCGCCTCAACATTGCCGAGAGCCATTCCACAACGCCATTTCCAGCTTTTGTCGTCCTTAGTAAGATCAATCTTGTCGTTATCCGAGACATCAATTACAACAACCCGATCCGCATGGGCGATTTTTGCGTTGATTTTTTCGATAGTGATCTGACTTCCAAGCTTGAATCCAAAGGCGTCGCGTATAGCCTCAGATAGCTTAACAGGATGAAGCTGTGGCTTCACACTTGTATCCAATGATCTCCAAGCAATGCCCACCGCAGAAGGACCGTCGCTTGAATGCAGAGTACAAAGTTCGCCCAGCTTCAAGCCTAGGAGATCAAGGTCTTTCGCTGTGAGATGCACGCGAAATGCACCATCTAGAGATGTCGTAGGAGGCGAAGGCCTTACCGTGAACATGGTTGAATCGACCATAGTACAGGCGTGTCGTCTTCTCGTCGTTGCTGATGGCACACACGAAGTTTTTTGTAAAGATTTAGATGTATAGAAGTCTTGGCTTAGTCAGCCGCAAATGGTCGGTGAGTCAGTGTAATGTTGGAAACAATAGTCTACGGGCGCTACAAGTTTATGGAGATCGATCTCTATTGTTGTAGGAGACAAGATATGGCCGGTTGAGAAAGGATTACCCATCATAGCGGAGTATTCGACGCGAGTATCCAATCATCGGATAATTATAGTTGCAGGAAACGACGAGCGTACAGCCATGCCATCTCAACCTACCAGGGTTAATCTCGCGGAGCCAAGATCAGGAATCGACACCTGATTGAAAGCATAGTGATGTCTGCCTAGGCTGCTGTCTGTCGAGAAGAGCGTTATTCGGATGGTCGAGGTTCATGATGGACCGAGTAGCGCGAGTTGTTGCTGAGTCAGCCGAAATGCGGGCAAGACGGAGGCGGTGGACATTTCACATGCAAGCTACACATTCGGGAGGCTCAATGCCAATTCAGCAAAAGATTAGACCTGCGACAATTGATGCCGACGGCGCAACCGGTGCATCTACGAGCGTCATGGCTGAGATGGCTCCCTCGTGAAAGCAGACACTTTTCCGGCTCAAGGAACATTCGGCCATCTTGTTTACGCAGCGGATACTACGAGAGACCATCTACACATAGCCTGACTGGAGTAAGGAACGCAAGCTCGAAAGCCTCAAAGCAGAAAAATGGATCAGGCTCAAATGCTCCGGCAGAGAAGGAGGAAGTCAAGAGGCCTTCTCTAATGGAGGAGCTATTTCCCGAGGAGGCCCGACCCAAAAGTCAAGCATCAGTACGACCAAAGGAACGAGATATTCCACGACTAGACATTCGTGCATCCCTACCGAAAATCGCCACACCAAGACCCGAACAGCACAAGCCTGGCGAAGATACCAACAAGGACAATTGGTGGACTAGAGCAGAGCCGACCGCACCAGAGCAAGCACAAGGAAATAAGCGAAAACAGACGATGCGTGTCGACGGTGTGCTTATGTTGCGCAATGCCAGCAAAACTCTCGTCGAAGATGACTTTACAAGATTGATTCCTCAAGGATTGCACATCGAAGGTTGGGCACTGGATCAGGCCGATATTGTCAAGGTCGTCCCCGGTCGCAACACAGCTACTCTTGAGCGCGCCAACTTCTACTTCATTCTCTTCAGCTCCCGCGCTGCAATGAACGCCTACCGCACCCACGTCAAGCAGTTGCATTCGCTTGCATCGAGGCATGTGCAGTCCAGTCTTACATCGCCCATACCTCCTCCACCAGGCAACCATCTCAACGGACAGGACATCCATGCTTTACTACAGGCTTACACTCTCGTTCCTCCGTCCCGGCTCCTGCATCTTCTGCCTCTGCCCATGCAGGTTTCTCCATCCATTGTCGACATCATCCATAACCTAGGCTACCCAGAAATCGCCAAGACTCCCCTCGGGAAGCCATACGTCGTGATGATGCGCCTCGAAGGTCCCCAGTTGCCTATCACTATTGTCAAAGGTGCGCTTGATAAGATGGAAAGAGAACGGAGGATACCATGGAACCGCGACTTTGGCGACTTGTCCTTCTACGTCAGGGAGCCGAAACCGAAGAACGTTTCGCCTCTGGACGTCAAGTCTCGTCTGGACAAGGAATGGGAGTCTGAATTGGATGAAGATGTGGTCGCGGAAATTGATGAGATGGACAAGCAGCTTCAGAGTGATGACCAAGCGGAACAACGATCCAGCAGACGAGAGAGACGCAAACCCCGATGCTCGTATCTTTTTGGTTTCGACAGTGAGGATGCCGCCCTCAATTTTGTACAATACTGGCACCGAAGGCCGCTCGACATTCCCAATCAAAACGACGAAAATGACGAGGTAGCGCCTGTAGTGGATGCCGAACTGTTGTGGTAATATAATTAGAGAGTCTCAAAAGCGTCTACTCGTCCATCTGCCATGCGTATTTCAAGTCCTTGATGTTTTGTTGTTGATTGCGAGCCTCGAACCACCTCTTTTCGAAGCCGATACTGCGATCTACGCCATCCCAGCGGTATCCTGGCTTGATGCCGTAGCGGTTCGGCTCGAAGGCGCCTGTATATGTCTTCTTCCTTCCCTTTATACCCTTGATTCCTCTTGTCGTGCCTTTGCTCAAGAAAGCCATAGCTGGATCGTTCCATCGTTCCTGCTCCTTCTGCTCGTCGTTGAGTTGACGATCGTCTGCATAGCGACTAAGCGACATGGTCTTTGCCTTTTCCAGTGCTAGCATGCGTGCTTCTTTCTCCCTCTTCTGTACATCACCGCGTCTGCTCTCGGCTTCCTCTGCCTTCCTTCTTTCTTCCTCGTCGGCCTGGCGTCGCAACTCTGCGCGCTTCATGGCAACATTGATGATACGACCCGAAGCATCACGGTAGATGGTCTCTTGTGCTTTGCCAGTTGGATCCATGCCCATCTCCTGCATGGCCTTCTTCTCCTCGCGCTCTTTCCTCTTCAGCGCTTTTGTGACTTGTTCGGCTGTCTGCAAACCTGCCATTGCGCCTGAAGCCATTGTCGGCCCAGCATAGTCCATTTCCTCATCTTCTCCTACAACGGCAGGTGCGTCTTCGTCTTCGGCATTCCGTGCTTGTGTTTCGGCGGCAGCGTCGGCCAGAATAGCGTCGGCTGCGGCTTGCTCGTTGTTCGATGGTGCAGCTTTACCGAATGTCTTCCATGTCGTTGTTCGTTTGCTGATACTGGCGCCTCCTGGTATATTCATCGGGACATCGTCGTCGTCGTCGTCATCGCGGTTTCGTGATTTACTCAAGCCGCTCACATCATCGTCGGCAATGATCAGTCCTGCGTCCTCGGCATTCTTTCTCTTGCGCTTCTTGCCCTTGGATGATTTGTCGGCGGATAGATAGTTCTGAGCTAGGTAGTCGGCAAGACCCATAATGCTGGTAGAGTTAAGCGAATGTTCGTTGTGTTCCGCTCCGGATCAAAAGATGATGGTCACTTTCGCGAATCTTGGCGTCACCTTCGTGGGGCTGGACTGCATCGTGATTATTCTTATTGCTTCTCCGAATTGCCAACACAACTAAACACATTGCAATGCCTCGTTCAGAAGAAGCTGCTGCATGGACCTATGCTGTATATAACGCAGTACGAGAAGTCCCTCATGGCAAAGTGACATCTTACGGCCACATAGCTCGCCTGCTTGGAAAGCGTAAGTGAAGCTACTCTACTCGAGTACTTGGTATGGTAGAGTATACACGTTACTGATCTCCTAAACAGCTGAATGTCCAAGGTCGATTCGTATCTATGCGAACTCGACCATCTCATAAGCTAACAAGCATCTAGACAAGTTGGAGTATCTTTAAAGGCGCTTCTCTCTGCTACAGCCCAGCCAGACGCTCACTACAACAATTCCAATGTGCCATGGCAGAGGATTATCAACGCTAAAGGCGGCATCAGTCCAAGGTTGCTTGAGCTTTTGGCTTCTCCTATGCGGAAAACAACATCTGACAATGTCTAGAGGCGCAAACGGAGCAAGTCAACAAGCGACCGCCTTGGAGGCTGAAGGGGTACAAGTAACTCGAGGAGCACTCGGCGAGTACACAATCGACTTCACGACCTACGGATGGTTTCCGGACAGGCTTCCAAGCGACCTCAGCAGCGAGGAAGAAGACGAAGAATGACCAAAGAGTGCAGCCAGATGGTCCATCCTCCCCAGGTGCGAAATACTGTCACACTTGAAGCTGTCTCAAGGCATGATCTTTTCTCAAATTGCAGCACTCTGATCGAGATACTCTGTGTCGTCGACTCCCTGCGCTAGGTTCATCGCTACGAGAAATGGCTGTGCCTTTCTACAGCTCGTCGTCGCTCTGTGTTGACCATCGAGGAGAGTGGATGCGACAGCAATCCCTACGCATGGAGGATGTGCTATGCACGCAACGCATAAAACAAGCACAAAAACAAAGCACAAAGCCTCAGCCACGAATAGAAACCGAGCTTAACGCCGAGAAATGACGCGCACCTGGCGCTTTGTTGCCTGGATGACCACATGCTATCATCGACAACATTCAATCAAACAAGGTGACCGTTTCCGGCCGCCGCCGCCAACTTGTTCCACAACCAGTCACGAACCCCCCGTGGGCCGTGGATTTGGTTTGCCTGCCGCGACTGGAAACATGACGCCAAATAGAGGAGGCACGCATGACCTGCCAACATACGAACGTGGCTCCCTTATCGTTCACCCCCCCCGCAGTCAGCCTGCTTGTAGGCAGAATCGGTGACCGAGGCCGTCCCAACAGTAGGCATCAAAGCAATACAGATACGTTCTTTGTTGCCCGACTGAGTATCCTTTGAATTCCACACAGTGACTCGTTCCTGGTGATTCTATCTGGAACTATTGCATCTCACCTGTATTAAACTATATACTAACGCCGTTGCAACACGACGCCGCAAGCGGACCTAGCCCTTATCTCATCATCGGATTTCCACTCGGGTCCTCAACTCCACAGTTTACCCCAGTGAGTCAGGAGCGATCCGGGACCATCTGACTGCATCCCTCCTTCTTGTTGTTGACCCATTTGACTTCCTTTGTTTGAAACATCTCGTCATTGACACCTGTTTCCTGCGCTCTTTCCTACAACCTCAATACTGCTTCACCCTCATCCAACTCTTCCACCTCCCGGTCTTTGTTTACCATCACCACGCCGATCCGCTACTCGCCCCAACACCTCATTCCCCACTCCACACACGTATACACCGTCGTTAGCCATGTCTTCTGAGCAGGCATTCCCCGGTTCCGACATCCGCAGCGCTGCTCAGGACTACAAGCGCGACGCAGAGCACAAGTCCAAGTGGGCTATGGGCGTTGCCTTCACTCAGGGTCGCGGCGAGGACAACCCTAGACCCAGAAAGAGATCAGAGACGTGAGTCCATCTTCACTCGGAGCGGATCAAACTTGGACAGGGTACTGACAAAGACTGTCTAGTCACAACCACCGACGCGCCGAGAGGACGGGTGCAGCCATCTCCGCCGGCGCCAGCAAGGCGAAGATATCCCGCAAGCAAGACATGCTCGCCGCCGGAGACGAGTACGCCATCAGCTCCGAAGACAGCAGCGGTGCGTCTGGTGACGAAGCCATGACCCCGACGGAGATTCTCTATGGCTTCGACTCCCTTCGCGTCCCTTCCCATGGAAGCCAGATCCTGAACACCGCCCTTGCAAAGGCAATCGAGCAGTACGAGGACAAGGAGACCGTCAAGCTTGTGCGTAACGAGTACGAGATTCTTGACGCCGACGAAGAGGAGGCACACAATCTTGGCCACGCTTCCGTCAAGCCCAAGCTCATGGACGTCGAGGATGCCGAGTACGAATTTGTCTGAAGACGAGTACTTCCAGCTCTTGTTTACCTCTGGCATTCTTGGACTTCTCCTTTCTTCCCCTTCATGGCGCACAGCACTGGACATTATATAACGCAAACACTATTATTGATATCGAATGACGGATATGAGATGCATGGCGTGGTTTTCTGATATTGGGGACTCTTTTACAATGGCGCTTTTCATGAGACTTGGGTCGGCTCATTCTGCGGCCATGTTACACCCTTATCAAGGACTTGATGAGCAGACTTCATGTTCATTCCGATGGTTACTTTTAACTCTATCTTCCTTTTATTTCCCACTCTCTGTTACAGAGGTGGATGACTTGCAGTTACAATGATAACTGCGTACTCTTCTCTTTGTACATACTGTCCCATTTCAGCTAGCTACCCAATAATGTCGTACAGATCGTCATTCAATCTCTCCATCGTCCGAGACTACTAGGTAGTCAACAGAGGGCTATCATCAGGCACGGTACCTTTCAGACCGAGAGAGCCGATCCTCGCGAGCGATAAAATCGCAAGCTCTCGGCGGGTAGTACTGAGATCTTGAAACAACGTCGCCTTTTGACAGCTAGGGTAAGAGCAGCTATTCGAATACAACGCCGAACTTGAAGTTCTTGCATATTTACTTACTGATGAACATGACATGGAGATTGAGACACTGAGCAGAGTAAACACCAAGTATGCAATTAGTTTTCTGCATTTTTAAACTCTGTTTGATATCGCTATATAAGCCTTGCCCGTCGCATCTGCCTAATTTTGTGGTTAGTATACAGCAGGAAGCCCATGCGCCTAGAGCCATTTTGCAAAACCCTCCGTTACCCTATTGACTAGAAGATGAAACGCCGTGATGCTTCCCTTACTATTCCGTGGACTTCTCATCCGATCAAGGCAAGTAGGCGCCACTGGCCATGACCAAGTTCATCTGCGTGAATCTGACCTTGTAGACCGGACTCTTCTTGGTTGGGAAAGCACTGATCTGATCAGGCGAGACAATGACGTCCTTGGCCTTTTTGCTCTTGTTGGTGGCTGCACCTCCAGCTCCAGCACCGCCATCTTTGCTGTTCATGCCGCCATCGGCGAGAGCCTTTGCGTCAGAACTGTTGGACACAGTAGGTGGCTGCACGTCCCAGACTCTGACTGTGCAATCAGCGCCGCCAGAAACAAGGACGGTGCTCTCGATGCTCCAATCCAGAGTCCAAATACCGCCACGACCGTGTCCCTTCATGCGCTTAACCAGACGACCAGTTGCCAGATCCCAGAGCAGGATTTCGCCGCGATCGTCGGCGCTGGCAACGAGTTTACCGTTGGGCGCGCAGGCGATGCTAGTCACATTTCCTGTATGACCGGTGAACAGACGAACCGCACTACCGCGTTGAACGTCCCACATGCGGATGCTACGGTCTGGGCTGCCTGCGGCTGTGAAGACATAGGCCGAGTTGGGATGCCATGAGATGACCTCTACGTCGCTGTCATGACCAACAAACAGTCTCAGGGGCGCAATCTGTGCTGTGCTCCACATACGTGCTGTTCTGTCTGCGCCGCTGGAAACAAAGTAGTGACCGAAAGGAGAGAACTTCACATCCCAGACGGGTGAAGTGTGGGAGCGGTATGCTACTAGGTTGGTGAAAGTGTCTAGCGACCACAAACGGATGGTGCTGTCTGCAGAACACGAAAGGAGGTAGCGAGGATGAGAGGGTGATGTTTGAGAGTCATCGGCGGTGCCGTTTGTTTGCGCAGCTGTTCCGGGAACAGCAATAGATGGTGAGAAAGAAAGGCCATAGACTGGGCCGGAGTGTCCTATTAGGCGTCGTGATGAAGATGGTTGTTGGGTAGGAGGGTCAAGGGGGGAGACCAGAGGCTTGTTGTCAAGCGACCAGACTCGGATGTAGGATTCTGCTGTTCCAACAGCTGCGAGCTTCTCGTCACCGGAAAACTCGATGCAGTTGATGCTGGCAGAAACAGTCAGCGCGATTATTCAAAAAGACTTCACATGAACATACCTGTCAAACGTGTTGTGATAGGTGAACATCGTCACACTAACACCCGGCCCGACGCCATCTGTTCTGCTCTCGATCTTGAATCTGTCGCGATTTTCCTTGATTCTTTGCACCTCCATTGCGACGTCACGAGCGAGAGATGGAGGAAAGGGAATTTGTTCGCGTGATGGAGCGTCGTCGTTCGGTTCTTGCTTGATGCGCTGCTCGAATTCCTCAACTAGCGTGTTTCTGCCTGGAGGAGCTGGATGTAGCGAGTCGTGCTCTTGTAATTCCGCTTTCACATCTTCCATCAAGTCTGCCTCCATGGGCATCGGCGCGAGTGCGAGTTTTGCCAAAACTGGCGGCGCATTTTTGTCTGTGTTTGCGGAACCAGGATTGTGTCCAGGAATACCCTCGTCCTCTGCAGGTACATCTGAGATGCCTCTTTGTTTGGCAAGGATCCTTGCAAGACTACGCTCAGCTCCCGAGGCCACTCGATCAATGTGCTTCAGCTCGATGTGATTTGTGAGTAAGTTAAGGATAACAGATCCACCCTCGGTGTCGTGCGCTTCTAGGAACTGCAACAGAGCCGAGTAGGCAAGATCGGTGATTGTGAGTCTGTAATGGTTTTCGCGATAGAGCTTTGCGATGTGGTTACTCTGGACATGCTCTGGCAGACTGATGGCCTGAAGAGCGCGAACATCGTCTTGATGCTCCTTCTCGAAAGCGTCCTTGTATGTTTTGAAGAAGGTCGTGCATTGACGAGGATAGTAGTTTGCGGCCAAGTTGAGGAAAGAATGTACGAAGATGGGCCATAGTAACCGACCAAGCTCGTCCTTGTAGATATCCAGAGACTTCTCTACCCATCTCAACAAAAGTTCGTAGGCCTTTTCGTACATGTCTCCGCCAGCGTCTTCGGCTCTGCGAATGATAGGTCGACCTTCGGAGTCTGCGTGAGCACTCTCTCGTCGCAGCATTGCTTCCGTCCGGTTGTAGCCTTTCTTCGCAAGATATTCCAGTACCTTGAGTCCATCATCAGTTTTGTTTCTTCCTGGTCTTAGGGTAATCATGATTCGTAGTGGGTGATGTTTGAGAAAAGGGAGCAAATGTAGTATATGGTTTTACGAATCCAAAAGGCTTTGAAAGGGTATGGAAGAGTGTGTGATAGGTTCGATCTCATAAGACGAGCATGGGAAAGTAGATGTGAGGTAGGTGCGAACGAGTTGCAAAGTACTCTGTTTGATATGTGGGCAAAGCAGACGAGTGAGAGGGAAACTGCAGATAAGCCGCAGCTCCTACACAAAGACAAAACTACTACTGAATATAGTGAAGTGATATACTCACAATTTGGTTTAGATTCTGCTGCGATTGCGGCTGCGCAGTTTGCGGTGGAGGTTGGTGAGGAGTCGAAGGGCCATTCTGAGGGCCTACGCTCGTCGTCCTCGACGGCTGCGGCGGTGGTCCTGACATGTTAGGATACAGTACAAGTGAATCTAATAGGTCGAATGGGAATGCGACAAATGTGACAGCACTCGTACAGTTGAATAGTGAAAGTGGATGGAAAGTGATGCGCGAAAGAGCGACGCGCCAAGAGACGTGAAGCGTGGAGTGTTCTGGCCGTCTTCCAAACGTTCGCTCTCCGTGACCAACCTCTCTTCCGAGTAGCAACGAAAGGAGCTCGATGGGCTGAAAGATCAATCACAAGCAGGCCAGCAGAGACGTGCAGTCCACCACCACAATGTCGCAGTCACAGCCCACCATGACGCCCGCAGAGCGCATTCGCGAACTGTCAGCCATAAACGCCGATGTGCCCGCTCTATTGTCCAGTGCTGCTGGCGCAATCAATGCCTTGACTGATCGTCCCCTGACCGCGAACTCGTTTGAGAGCGATGAAATGGTCGATGATCATAGCAACAACTCGACGGCCGCTCACAAGGAAGCTTTTACAAAAAACACAACCGCCTACTTTACGCACATCCAATCGATCATGGCCAGATTGCGCCGTCAAGCATATGCATTGGAGGAAGCTGGTATCATTACTGCCGAGGCTCCAACATTGAGTACCACAGGAGCAGCGGCTGAGACTTCAGGCCTGGGAAGGAGAGGCCCGCTTGGTCAACCGCAGAGACAGCCTGCTGAAGAGGGTGAACGTGTTACCAACGGTGGTCTCGGAAGCCTGGATGTTGGCCTGCTCAATTCGAGAGGCAACAGCGTTGGTCTGGACAAGGAGGCTGAACTCATCGCCCAAGCCAAGCAGATGGTGGCTGAAATGCTGAGGGGGCGCCAGAAGAATGTCTAGAGGACAGTAAAAGTCACGATACGGAAGGAGGGCATAACCAGGCGTTCATCATATCACGATACCCATACACGTTTGCAATCAGAAACAGGATCTCGCGCTTATTTATGGTCAACTGTCTCCTCGCGTGCTAAGTTCTGTTACACGTACTCTATATCAAGACACGGTACTTTTAATGCAAGTAGACTCGCCGCGGGTCGTCGAGTTGTCGACTGTGCGCGAAGGTCTCTTAGGTGTCAACAACTGTTGTGCCTTTCTTACATGATGTCCACTCTGCATTGACATGGAATTCGTATATCTCAATAGCATGTGACAGCGGAGCGGCGGAGTTGATCGCCGAGCCAACCAAAAGCTCATGACGCACTTTGTTCGGCGACTGGGGAAATTTTCTCAAGACATCAACATAACCCTCGTAAGAATGGCTTCATACGACAGCGACTCCGACCTCGAGGACGAGAACTTTACCGAGACAAATGTTCTGCTCGGGTACGCGACAAAGGATGTAGCAGACGACACAACCAGCCAGTTGGGCGGGCACGCTGTATGTTGAGATCCCTAGAAACTGGGGTTGGAGAAAGATGAATTGAATGCTGAGACGACTCTTTTTGCGCAGACATGGCTCGATGAGCAGACAACGCCACCTGGCGATTTGGCCAAGTGTAAGAGCTGCGGTGGTCTCTTGACATTGCTTCTGCAGTTGAATGGCGACCTACCGGACCGCTTCCCTGGACACGAGCGACGACTGTACCTATGGGCATGCAAGAGAAAGGCCTGCAGGAGGACGGTTGGAAGTGTGAGAGCTTTCAGAGCCATTCGCGCCTCTGCCATTCCCGCCGAGTCCGAGAAGGCCAAACAGCCCAAGCAAGAAACACCAAAGGAGGCACCTGCCCCAGCTGCGCCAAAGACGAACCTGGGCGAGTCTCTCTTCGGTGTCAAGTCCCCTGCCTCCGCTTCATCTTCTATCAACCCTTTCGCTACTGGCGGTGCTTCGTCTCGTCCCGCGAATCCTTTCTCCTCCTCTCCCGCTCCTACTCCCGCAGCTCCCACACCGACCGCGACAGAAACGACACCATCTCTCTCCGAGACGTTCGCCTCGAAAGCCCGTATATCCAGTCCTGAGCCCAGCTCTGTTCCTGCCACCACATCAGCTGGCCCTCGCGAGCCATGGCCTCCACAATCCGCCTTCCCTCCGCCATACCCTTCCCACTACCTTGACGCCGACTACGAAACACTGGATATCGAGAAACCAGAAATCCCCGCCCAGACACGCGTAGATATGGACATTGACAACGTTGACGGCGCCAGCGGTGCAGGAGCAGATATGGACGTCAAGGATGCCTTTGAGTCAAGCATGGACAAAGCCTTCCAACGCTTCGCCGACCGCATGTCGCAGAACCCTGAACAGATCTTGCGTTACGAGTTTGCCGGTCAGCCTCTGCTGTATAGCAAAGCAGATGCTGTTGGAAAGTTATTGGGAGCACACCAGGAATCTGCTGCTTCAAACGCAAAGGTCAAGACCTCAGGTGCCAAGTCCGGTATGCCCAAGTGCACAAACTGTGGCGCTGAGAGATTGTTCGAGCTCCAACTTACTCCTTATGCTATCGTCGAACTCGAGGCCGAAGAGCTTGGTCTTGAGGGCATGGAGTGGGGCACCATTATTCTCGGTGTGTGTTCAAAGGATTGTGTGCAGCGTGGTCAAAAAGAAGGAGAGGTTGGCTATCTTGAGGAGTGGGTCGGTGTACAATGGGAGGAGTTGACTGGCAAGAAGTAAAAGAGATGCCACAACGATGCATCTGAAGAGTGACCAACGATCATTTCACCTTTCCAGCATAGACAGTTTCAATGAGAGTCGTTACAAAACATGTTCCTGTTCTTCTAAAGTTTTGTGGATAAAAGGGGCATATGGACAAGACCATGCTTTTTCTACACCGTCCGTCTTTCAGAGGTTGCGGTAATGCGACTTTTTCTCGGAAGTTGTGTGCCCACCAAATATATCCCCGAGCTTTTTGTCTTTCACCCAGGCTCTTTTTTGTGCAAAAATCCGTAGAACGCCATGCTTTCGTATCAGATCACCAAGTACATCCCATCTCTTTATGCGGGCTGCTCGTATGCTCTCTTGATCATTCTCGAGAATTCTGTAATGTCTCGTTAGTTTTCTGTTCCGCGTATTGATATTTGGGCATATCCGTGGGCACTTACGGTCGAACTTGACGTTCTCGCGTACAACGGTTCCTCTGGCCTCATTCTCCTTGTTCAAGGGAATGTTGACAGCGCTACCCTCGACGTTCCAGTTGCAGGTCTCCTTGACAAACTTCTCAAAGGCATCACCGTTGAGGTTGAGCCACGACTCGAGAACAGCACGGTCGACGCTCTGCATGGTCTGGCTGATGACAACAGCCTGACGGATGCGCATCAACTCCTCGAAGCCTTGAACATCGGCGATCAAATCGGCGTAGAGATCGTCACCGTCCAGCGAGGACCAGAACTGGTCGTACGAGGCGCCGATCAGCTGGCTGTGTAGGGTGTTGAGCTTTTGGACGGCCTCGGCGAGCGAGTTGGCAGCAGGGTTGGGGGTGAGGACGTGAGGAGGGAGGAGAGCGAGGCAGAGGCTGAAGTCGGGAGAAGGGAAGACGGTCAGTGCCTTGACCAGGATGTTGGTGATGGTCTCTTCGCGACCGAGGTGGGGGTTGAATTGGTAGCTGTTCGGACGGAATTATTAGTCTTGCGCTTCCTTTGAGACGCAAAGAGGTGCAATACTCACAGCTTAAGCAGGGCCAGGTTGGCGTAGCAGTCGTAGGTCTGGTTCTCGCATTGCGACACGACGTAGTCCTGGAAAACTGTCGTTGTCTCGGGGTTGTAGCGGTCGAGTCCGTTCAGGATGAGATCAATGTGCTCTGGCCTCTCGGGCGCGTAGTCGAATGGGACACCCATGTTGTATGTGATTGGAGATGGTTTATGTAGACTTGACGGCGCAAAGATTCTGTATGGTGCGCTGTTGACCAGCCAAAACTTCTCCGACTTCTCGGTCTTGGCGGTTGGTCGTCCCTCTCTCAGCGAGCACTCTCAATTCACTTGCAATCATGCAACACAATGTAGTTTTCAGACACGATTCGGCACGCCTATCTTCATGTACTAATGGTGTGAAATAATTCACTCAGATGTTTCCGCTATCAATGCGCATATTTATCAAGACGCCCTGCAATACTCCAACAACAGCATACCATGCCGCAACGCCATAGCCAACCACAGACACATAGAGACGCCATTTGTGTCAGCCACCGAGCAGGTTATATGTTCATTAATCATCGTAACGGCGTCTTGCCTTGCTTTCGTCTCATGCCGTCCAGCTTCTTCATCAACGACTCATGCAGTTTCTTGTTGCCTGACCAAGCTTCCTGCATCTTTCGCATGCGTACAGTAGCCATGATCATATATGCCACCGACTTGAGGCTCGGCTTTTGGTCTCTGACCTTGGTTTTGGGTGTCACTCCCATCTCCTCGAGCAGTTTGAGATCTGCCTTGTTGCTGTATAGGAAGTTAGTATGTTTTCTTGTAGAATCAATAGACTTGTGAGTATAACTTACCATGCGCCATACATCTCCACTTGCATTAGGAACCAGCGTTTGCTAAACACCAGATCCTTACGGAATGCTTCTTCACGCTCGCACTTGGCGCGCATGTATTGGATCTGTTTGGCAAGTCCCTTGAGTTCGCTTGCGTGTGTCTTCTCCTTGATCTCGATCAGACCACGAATCTCCCTCTGGTTGATCGTTCGTGTGTCATCTGCTTCACCACGAACATTCTTGAGCTTGGAACGCAGTTCGTTCTCGCGGCTGAGAGAAGATTGTAGGCGGTCTTCTCTCTCTTCGAGCTGCTTCTGCAGAGCCTCGCATTCAATCTCCACATCTTGCAATTGGGCGCGAAGATCTTGTTCGAGGAAGTGGGTGTCGTCAGATGTTGTTCGACTCTTCTTGAGTCTTTCGCGGAGCTCCTTCTCCTTCTGAGATATGGTCTCGATACGTTCCTCCTTCTCAGATAACTGGACTTGCAAGTCTTCGATCTCAATCTTGGAATCGCGAAGCTGGACACGGAGCTCTGCTTCACGTCTTGCGTGACCGGAGCTGCTACCCTTGCGCTCTCCAAGTTGCAATTCCAATTCCTGAAGTTGGACCTTAGCCTCTCTCAGTTCTTGAATCTGCGTGCGAAGTTCTCTTTCCTTGGCCATGTAGCCTGAGATTCTGGTATCGCGTTCTGAGACCTCTGATTGGAGTTGTTCCATCTCTAGACGTGCATCTTCAAGTTGAGCCCTGGCTTCACTCTCCTTCTTCGACAAAGCTGCAACCTTCTTGTCGCGCTCTGAGATCTGCAGCTGTAAGTCCTCGGCCTCTATCTTGGCTTCTTTTAGAGACTCGTGCAAATCCATGCGTTCGTCAGCCATGGTCTTGTCGGCATGAGCAGATTCCAAATCAAATTCGAGAGACTGAATGCGGTTTTGGAGCTTAGAGATTTCGGTCTGCGCCTCTCTCAACTTCGAACGAAGCTCGTTGCGCTCACGGACAGGTGTTCCGTTCTCCTTGGCTTGCCAGGCTGTATCAAGTTCACGCTCGAGGTCTTCAATCCGGCTCTTCAGACTCTGGCGCTCCATGTCGGCGTTCTTCATTTTCAAGCGAAGCTCGTTGCGTTCGCGTACTGGTGTGCCATTCTGCTTCGAGGCCAGGAATTCTCTTTCCAGATGTTGTATCTTCTGCTGCAACGCTGACCTTTCATTCTGCGCGTCCTCCACGTTTGATTCTAGGACGATAATCTCATCTTCAAGAGCTTCAAGAGCCTCGTTGTGATCATTCTCAAGCTGCTGCTTCTCATGGTCGGCCTCATGTTTGACTTGACGGAGACGTGATTCGAAAGCAATCATTTCGGACTCCTTTTCTTGCAGGGCTTTGCGGAGCTTAGTTTGCAGATCAAGTAACTGATCCTCTTGCTGCTCGATAGTCTTTTGCTTCTCTTGCATGTCTTCGTCCATGTGACCTGCGAAAGATTGGTCCTTTTCTGCTGATCTGAGACGCTCCTGCAGCTGTTGAATTTTCTGGGTGTGTGCGTCCAATTCAGTCTCAGCAGATTGCAAGTGCTTCTCAAGCTCGTTCAGTTCAATATCTTTCTCGCTTGACATGGCGCGAAGAGCTGACTGAAGGTTGCGAATCTGTTCTGCTTGTTGACTTAGCATGGAGTTCTTCTTTGAGGGTGTCTCCATGCCAGTAATGCGGTCTTTGAGAGCACGCAGTTCAGTCGCTAGCTGCAAAGCTTGGTGATTCTTGCTTTGTAGTTCCTTCCCTAGCTGCTCGATATGCTCCGTTTTTAGGCGAATCTCGTTACTTTCGTCTCCTTCCTGACCACGGAGTCTTGACTGTAGGCTACGAATCTCACGGTCCTTCGAGGCAAGAATCTCCGACTTCTCATCGCGTTCGGCGCCTGCACTGGCTTCGGTAGATCGTAAACGTTCCTGGAGTTGACGGATTTGTTCGGTTTGTTGCCTATGCTGCTGTGCTTGGGTGTTTGTGCCGTTCTCGATAGATTTGATACGTTGCTTCAGATCCGCAATTTCACGGTTACGTTCTTCGAGTAGACGTGTGGCCTCACGTAGTTGTGACTCTCTCTCGTAGACGATCTGATCCTTCTCTTGCAAGCGAGCGTCGGTCTGCATAGCTTCAGCGTCCCAGCTGCCGCGTGCTGTCTGCAGGCGATCCTGCAAGGCTCTTATCTCTCCGTCCTTCTGCTCAAGCAAAAAGTCCTTTTCCTGCAATTCGCTCTCGACTTCACGCATTTCGGTTGTTCGTGTCGCTTCTGAGGATTGTAGACGCTTCTCCGAAGCACGCAGCTCGTTGTGTTTCTGGTCAATGACCTGGTCTTTTTCTCTGAGCTGATTCTCCAACTCTTCCAGGCTACCTCGAAGCTTCTTGGTGGATCGATCGGTGTTTTGCGTACTTCTGACCTGTTGCTTCCACTCCTCGATCTCCTCGCGATGTTCCAAGAGCTCACGCTCTCGCGTCTCGAGATCGGCCTCAAGGGCGGCAACGTCTTCGCGCAGCCCGTTGAGCTCCTCGCTGTCTGTGTGGGCCTCTTTGAGCTGCTGCTTCAAGCTATCGATCTGGTCGTTCTTCGAGTCGACTTCCGCCTCTTTGGCACGTACTTCGGCTTCGAGATCAGCAATGTCATCGCGCAAGCCGTCGGCTTCGCCATCGTCGGTCTGCGCTTCTCTGAGCTTCTTTCGTAGCTTCTCGATCTCTTCGTTCTTGGTGTCCAGATCTATCTCTTTTGCGCGAATGTCCGCTTCGAGATCGGCGACGTCATCCTGAAGTTCCTTGACTTTGTCGTTTGAGGAGTTCCCAGCCTTGTTGAGTCTGTGCTGTAGCTCGTTGACCTGATCCTCTCGCTCATCGGCCAGGTGCTGGTTCTTCTCGGCTTGTTGACGCAGACGCTCCATCTCTTCCTTTACTATCTCATCTGTGTGCTTCCTCTTCACCTTTTCAGCGTAGTCGCGGAGCTGTTGACGGTATTGCTCCAATTCGGCCTCAGCACGCTCGATGGCCTTTCTCTGCTTCTTGAGTTCGTGGGAGAGCTGGGTATTGTCGGTCTTGAGTTCCGTGTTTTGTTTGATGACCTCTTGCTGGTATTCGGTGCCAGTACGCTTCAGATTCTCGTCAAGGAAGTGGATCTTCAGTTTCAGGTTGAAGTTCTCTTTCGTTACAGCATCGAGTTTCTAATGAAGAAATATGGGGTCAGCGATCGCCGTATAACAGTATGGAGAACGTGTGACACTCACAGCTTCTTGTTCGCGCAAGGTAAGGACGTTCCCTTGATCCACCAAGCCTCCGTCCCTCTGAGGCAGCATGGGCATTGGAGTAGACATGATGCTGCTACTTGCGATTGCAAGTGGAACAGGAGTACCTTCACCTTGGGAGCTGCCAGTGTGGTCGTGATCCACGATACTGCTATTGACCGGCAGGCCAGGCGTGTGAGACTCAACATAGCCAGGTTTGAGGTAGGCAGGTGTGGCAGGAGCGCGACCACTCAAGACACTATTGAGCAGATCATTGTGGTTTTCCTTGTTCTCTCTCGAACGGAAGCGGTTGTGTGCGGCACTCTTCAGCAGGGGAGTAAATTCGTTTTTCGAAGGTCCGTTCCTGGCATTGACTAGGTTGTTGCGTGCACGCGGAGTCTTGATAGACTGTGCAGCACCTTGCCGAGCTTTCATCTGTCGTACAAGATCATTCTTGGGATCCTTGGAAGGCGAGGGAAAGGGTTGTTCCATTGAAAAAGACAGAGCATCGGCATCGAACCGCGTCAGGTCGGCCATATCGGTGCGTGGAGTGTCGACAAAGTTGTAAGCCATGGTGGGCTGTTCGGCGCCTCACTCGGAGGCAAAATCAAGAATGCGACTCGAACAAAATGTTGGTAGAAAAAATGCAGAGCGACATACAGCTACGAAGCACACGGACGCGAACGTGGAGATGGAGCTTTGTTTTCTAAACAACCCGTTTGGGAAAGCTTCTGTCGGCCTTCCAGATGCCGATGGCATGTGACATGCTCGTCCGAATCTTCGACCATCCATTTTCTGATTTGCATGTCTGCTTGACAAGATTCGAGTCCAATGTCAAGCAAGCAATGGATCAGATCGAGTTCTCATCTTTCGCCCGCCAACGTTCGCGGCCCTCGTACGCCTCCGACGAACAATCATGGCTTACCTGTGTCCCCTGCCTTGCAATCATCTGAGAAACTTCCTGCCCGCGAACTCCAACCACTCGACTCATTCACGTCCTTTCGTAAGACAGTAGCTGCAAATTCTCATGCGAACGCTCTTGCCACTCCGGTTCGCCAATGCAACTTCACAGCTGCCAGACTGCCCTCGCACTACCTACTGCCATTCACCACCGTCTTCCGTCGAGAGAAGGACGACAGACTCGTCCCGTATCTTGCCCCTGTCGAAGAGCCTCGACAGGCCTCTCGCTCTTACATTCTAAATTCTCGCCAACTACTTGATCGTCTCGGTCAGAAGAAGACGTGGCAGCGCCTACTAGGTCATGATCTCAAATTTGGTCTGAAGAATAGAAATGACTACAGATGGCCTGCTGACGCAGATCATATTATTCTCTCTCAGCTACGCAGTTCTCTTATACGCAAACTCTCCTGGGTTCTCAACAAACCGAACCTGGTTGTTTCGATGTACTCCGACAAAGACTATCCCTCATCCGCGTCCATTCTGCACCTACGCACGGACAGCAAGGCACGCAGCCGCTCGAATGCAGGTGTAACGGAGTACCAACTCTCGGTCCTATTGGGTGAAGAGGCCTTGACGAACCTGCTGAAGAGTACTCGGTATGTAGAGAGCGATGCGTTGGTCCTCGCACAATCCTACATGACAATGTCCGCACATGCTGCTCTGGCCAGATTGTCCATGTTCATGTCTCCTTCGGGCACTCTTTTGAACAGTCCGAAGACATGAGAATTGAATAGTGTCTGTACAAAACTTCAACCAATATATCGACCGTGTCCAAAACGCCTACAAAATCGTCTACTTGATCATGACAGGGGCGACCTTCTTCGCCTTCTCGGCCGCGAACTCGGCAATCTTCTGGAGCTTCTCTGCTCTCATCTTGCGTACATATCTGAAAAGCAGAATGAACAGCAGTTCCATTCTCTCTTTTGTCATCATCAAGAATCCTTGTACCAACAGGCCTTTCAGGAGTTGAGGGCCGATGCCTTTGAAAAGTCCCAGGGGACCTTCATTGTCGATGATGTACTTCATCACTTCGAGGAACGAGCTGAAGGGCTTGCCCATTCTTGCAGGCGGCGGTCTAGACTGGAGACCAACCTTGGCGACGATAAGCGGTTGTGTAGCGAGGGTGGCCAGAGATTTCGACATTGCGCCGAGTACTGTATGCGTTAGTCATGTCTACTCGTTTTGGACAGCTTCCCAACTTACAGAATGCTTCGTGGGGTCTGAGGGCCACTCTGCCTGGGTATATAACATCCTTGAGTCTTTGATATGCACCGTATGTGATAGCTGGGTTCACCACGAGCACCAAGCTTGCCTTCATGCCTCTCCACAAGCCAGTCCAACCGTCCTCACTATTGATGACTTCTCTTGCCGTTTCCAACATGCCCTTCTTCTCTCCCTTGGGCTGTGTCTGTTGTCTCGTTGTGACGACGGCAATGGGGATAGTGAAGAGCTGCGCAAGTGCTCCGGCGGCTGCACCCAAACTGAGTTCAATGGCGGTCGAAGGAGGTCCGGCGACGGCGCGTCGTGATATGTACAGAGTTCTGACGACTGAATACCAATAGAAGTATGCAAAGTTTGTGCTTGCGACTCCAAGAAGCGAGCCGAACATGCCAGAGTACAGGCCTGCTAGGCCTTCGTCCTCAATGATACAGCCGATCGCATGTAAAGCACCGTCATAGTGTCGGTCATTTGTGGTGGTGGCCACTTCGGTAGGCTTTCTCTTGACCTGAACCTGCAATCGCGTCTTGACACTGACAGCGGATTAGCATCTTGAGCATTTCTTCCGAGGTAGGCTTCATACATGTCGAGCGGATACACGAGAGCATTGGCGAGGACGGCACCACTCGCACCGGCGATTGCCAGTCCCCATGGCGGAATCACCTCCTTGGATTGGACTCCCATTGTTCGGTTGAGCGGGCTGGCGTGGTTGATCGGTAGGTGAGAGACAGGCACGCAGGTTTAAGAACTTCCGTGTGTGTCGAGTAACTACGGTCTTGCTACTGAGATCGCTTCTTACTTGAAACCTCGATATCGATGCTAGTATTCTGGCCTAGAAGCAGAGGTTCGTCCGTGTGGTGCAGGTGTATGCATGGCGACCTCGGCGTATCAAACCTGTTCACGTCACCCCCCAAATTATTGTTTTTGCCGAGGTCGATTCGGCTACTCTTTCACAAGCAGATAAGGCTGTTGCAGACGTCGTTGAGAATCTATTTTGACCTTGTCAATGAGTGGCACGCACAAGCTGCCAATTCACTATTGTGGTTGTCTCCATCACTCAAGCCCCTCTCTTTGACGGATAGACCCAGATCTGGACGCGTGACAGTAAGATGTGTTGTCGAGTACACCCTCTTACACCTGTCTCGAAAGAGAGCTTCTTTTTTGAGAATCTGGGGGAGCGGAAGCCCGAGCTTAACGCCGGAGTTTAAAGCACATGGAGCGTCTCCGCCTTGCGTCAGTAATCACATGCGCCAATCAACACACCGGCATGATCTGAGCAATTGTGCTGCCAATGGACTCGAAAAATGACTTCGACCCATGATATCTCGACCTTAAAGGCGAAGATTCAGGTATATGGCTAATTGTTGATTTACGCATCACAACACTGATATTGGCATAGAAACTCGAACATGATATTCCATTTGCACCTTCGAAGGATGCCGCACTCGACTCGGCCATTGCGGCGGCTGAACTGGCCATGAAGGCGATGAGGCTATCGGAAGACTTGGAAACAACAAAGTCCATGAGAAACAAGAGCGAGTATTTTATCAACGAAGCACAACGTATCAAATCTATCGGAGAATGGAGACCTCGCGTCAGGTTCGATGTCGCTAAAGTTGCCAAGCTCGTGGAACCAGTATCACTTCGCAAGCTGCCTACATCAGAGCAGATCTTACTTCTCAGAGCCTCTCAACTCAACGGATTCAAATTCCCACCCTGGAACAGTACGCCCAAGGACTCCGATTTTCAGATCTCGGCAAGTGGAGATCTTTTCATGTAGGTTTAATGGATGGTGTACTCGGAATTGGCTCGATGGTAACGGAGGAGCAGTGACAAGCCTGAGTTGCGCCTCTCTACTGCGCAGCTCCAAGTCTTCGATGGCTGGAAACGAGCAGCTGGGGCTCTTCCACCACCAGCATGGTACACCGCCGAAGAAAGAAGTAATGGGCCGACAATGAGCTCTTCGCGAACCATTGATCTCGTTCAAGATGCTGCCACCGATTGCTCAGTCGTCGCGAGTCTCTGCGCGTTGGTTGCTCGTGGTGAGAGAGGCCATGCTAAGGTAAGCCTTTGAGTGGACGATGAGTCCACGACGTATGGCTGACATGATATAAGATTCTGGGCTCTATGATGTTTCCCTACGACAATACGGAAGGCCGTCCCATGATGTCTCCGAACGGCAAATACGCACTGAAGCTCAACTTTAACGGAACGTACAGAAGGGTTGAGATCGATGATCGTCTGCCTGTCTCAAAATCGCCGAGAGTTTTACATGTCATTGACCGTCATAATCCAAGCCTCCTATGGCCTGCATTGATTGAGAAAGCTTATCTCAAAGTCAGAGGTAGCTACGATTTTCCTGGAAGCAATTCAGGAACCGATTTGTGGATTCTTAGTGGATGGATTCCAGAACAGATTTTCCTGCAGAGGTTGGTGCTTGTCACGCCTCAGACATGCTGATTTTGGCATGTACTGACTCTCCACAGTGACGATACCATCACACATAACATCTGGAAGCGTATTTTCAAGTCACATCAGTACGGCGATGTCTTAATAACCATGGGCACCGGCAAAATCTCTAGTCCCACCGAACGTGCGATTGGCCTCGCAGGAGAGCATGACTATGCGGTACTGGATCTGAGAGAGGTTGATGGTCAAAAGTTCATGCTCGTCAAGAACCCTTGGTGTGAAGGAATGTCTTGGAAAGGAAGCATCCCCAGATCTCCCGTTGACAACGAAGATGAAGAAGACGAGGAATTACTTCCCTCATCGCGAGACCTGCTCAATTCTGATGACAAGCTGACCCCTGGAACCTTTTGGATGGATCTCAACAGTGTGATGCAGTACTTCGAGTCAATCTACCTCAATTGGAACCCCGGACTTTTCCAGCATCGTCAAGACATACATTTCGCATGGGACCTGTCGGCGTCTTCTACTAGCAGCAAGTACAAAAGCTTCGGCGATCATCAGCAGTTCCAGATGTCTATCGCGGCTTCGGGCACTGCATGGCTTCTTCTCAGTCACCATTTCCGGGACGGGAAGGAAGACGTGCATCCTTCAGAGTACATCAGCGTGTATGTTTTCGACAACCAAGGGGCAAAAGTCTACCTGAGCGACGGAGCCATCCAACGCGGGCCTTTCGTGGATTCTCCCCAGACACTCCTTCGACTAGACGACTTGGACGCAAACAAGAGCTACACCGTCGTCCCGGTCGAACAAGATCTTGCCCCGATCACGCACACTTTTACGCTTTCTGTATTTGCAAACTCACGCGTCACTATCGATGAAGCTCCCAACAAGTATCGCTGTCAGAGAACAGTCTCCGCAGCATGGACCGAGGAGACTGCAGGAGGAAATGCTCACTCACCAACATACTCGCAGAATCCGCAATTTAGCATCGTCGTTCCTGTGAGAACGCCTATCGCAATTCTTCTCGAGACGGCAACGGAGCACCTGCACGTCCACGTGAAGCTGGTGCATGGTCGAGGCTCTCGTGTTCAGGCGGTGCGATCCAAAGATATTGTGTTCGACTCAAAGGATTATCGTCGTGGATGTGCTCTGGCGCAGTTTGCCGAACTTGAAGCAGGAACATACACCATCATTTGCTCTACATTCGAAGCTGGTCAGAAAGGAAACTTCAAGCTGAGAGTAGACAGCATGGTGGCTACACAACTCGCAATACTCCCCCGGCAAGGTGCAGGACGATTGAGACGCGCTTGGGCCAAGGCAGCTTTCGAGGGCCGGCAAAGCGCTCTTGCGGCACCAATTGAGCCAAAGCGTCTTACCAAACTTGACGTGTTCGTCAAGCAAATCCAGCAGACTGGTCTACAAGAAAATGCAAAATCCGGCCAGGGCATTGAGAGAAGCATGATCCGTGTCACACTCGAAATCGGTAGAGGGCCTGAAAGGCGGATTCTTATCGCCAGTTCCAATGGTGAGTACAGTGACTCCTCTGCTGGCGTGCGCACAGGGGAGATTGATCTTTCTCCACAGGAGATGGGCAAGGTTTGGCTTGTCATTGAAAGAATGTACACGCCCAAGGGTTCGCAGGGGGAGATGTTTCAAATCGAGACATTCACAGACGCGCCCGACACAATTGATATAGGAGTTTGGAGAAGATGGGAAATCGATTGAAGTGTGGTAGCTAGGTAGTGGTGATACGAACCGCTCGGAGTTTTGTAGCAAACATGCCGGTGGTTGGCCGTACCGGGCCGATCCTTCCCCACACGATTGTCTGTGCGCAATCATCAATGTCCTGCGGGTTGGTGTCTTGGTTGGTGTACAACGATATCTTTCGACCTGCGGTGCGTCCCAGTGTGTCTCAGCGCTGTAGACACGAGAAAAAAAGTCCCAAGGTGGTGTGTGGGAATGTGCCCTTCATAAGACAAGCCTATGGCAGCCTCTTCGAATCACCAAAGTGGACGCCGACATGCGACCATGACCAACCACACGCCTTCTTTGCTCGGCCAGCATGTAGATGGCATTCCCGGTGCAGAACTAGAGGAGACGATACGGCCCAAACAGCTGCTTGATCTGCCCGTCGAGATTCTCAACGCCATCCTGAAAGAGGCATGTCGTCACATAACAGCATTGGCCCATAACGACTGACTTGTCGCAACAGCTAAACCACACAAACGATTTGACCTCACTTGCTCTATGCCACTCGACTCTTCATACTCTGGCCATACCCTATATCTATGGCAGATTCGACATCGTTTGGCCTGATAATGCATCCAGTCCCGAACCTCGAGCCGGCGTTGATGCTCTTACGTATGGCCTCTCTACCCTGGTCATGGCCGAGGAGGTCTTTGGCGGTCGTCGCGGACAGTCGATAAAACAAAATATAAGACGACGACGTGGAAACCACTTCGCTTCCTTCACCAAGAAGTTCTCACTAGGCAACGGCCCACCGGAATGGGTTCAAGATTGTACGTCTTTCGCATTTTCCTCCTCCCACAAATCATCCGCTTCCTTCTTGTCGGGTTCATTCCTGGGTGTTTTTGAGCTATCCTGTTTCATAGTATCCCCTGACGAGCAGAGTGAGTCGTGAAGAGCCCATTCATATATGCGTTATCCTTGGGGTTGACTCCTGAGAGACAGTACGGGCTGGGGCTATGTGACATCCCAGCGGAGCGATGGAGGACTGTATACCGTCAATTATCTGTCCTGTCCTTCTCGGCCCTTTAGTTCTTGACTCACATTACTGCGAGGATCTTACTGACTTGTCCATGATAGATCTTATTACGAAAGAAAGTGGAAAGATGCTGAACACCCTTGTTGCCTTGGCTGTTGCTCGCATGCGTAATCTCGAGTCCTTCGTATGGGATATGCCCACAGGCGTACTAAGTGCTGTGTGGGACAGCCTCTCGTCGTTAGGCGATCATGTCGACAACAAGCCATGTCGCTTGGAACGAATTGCTGTTCGCTGGCACGACAACTTTGTCGAGCCTCGTAATGCTCCCGTTCATATTCCACGTCGAGAGGGTGATGCAACTCCGCCGTTGATTGCTCTGCAACATGTCGAAAATCCATCATTCTCGATACTTCCCCCACTGAAAAGCATCAGCGTACTTGACATCGATGAAGTTCAGTACCTCGATGAGCTTAGCTTGCTCATACAGCGATCGGTAGACAAGCTTCGGGAGTTGCGTATTGGCATCGCTTCCCTTGCGAAGCATCGAGATTTCGCCAACGTGTGGGAAGGTGACAATGTTCAACAGGTCGATCGAGTAAATCCAGTAATGTCCTGCATCACGATTGGCGAAAAGCGACTTGGAGGCGTCCTCGGTATCCTGACCGGTATGATCTTTGACTTGCGATCTGTTGAACCTCAGACTACACGACCGACTAGGTTGAGGCGAAGGTCTAACGCAACTATTGGTACACCACAAGTCGTAGGGGTTCCTGGCGGCATCTCGACTATACCAGCCACTGAAGCTGCTGTGGATCCCAATGTCGACTTGGACCCCACGTTAGAAACCATCTCCGGGACACTCTCAGACGACAATACTGATGTGCAAGCGACTCCCAGCGTCGAGTACATCCAAGCCCTACCTAAGACGTTCCTTCCTGCTACTACTACCTCTCCTTCGCAGCTTAGTACTACCAGCGGTCCACCAGAGATAACTGTACCCCACCGCGCAAAAGGCGTCCCGATAGCGCAGGACAAACAATCTCCTGGTCAGAACGATGACCATACGCTAGCGCCGTCGAGAAAGCTTTCGTTAGATGCACTTGAGCTCGAGGATGTGCCCTTGTCCATTCCGATATTGCTGAATGCTATCGACTGGAGTGTCTTGACCACTCTTACTCTGCTTAGCTGCCCGAATCACGAGCACTTATGGAAAGCTCTGCGTCGTCAATATTCATCAAAGCCATCACAAAGTAAACAGAAATATGTCTCGGGGCTGGTCGATCCTTCGTTACAGGCAGCGTATAATGGCTCGAGCTCAGACACGATGTTCAGGTTGAACCTGAAACACATCTACACAGACACGGTGTCGACGCACCTAATCTCGTTTATCAAGGATACTCTCGAGCCAAACAGCTTAGAGTCTGTGTTCTTCTTACAGGGCTCTTCGACCTCTTCAAATGTATCACTGGACACCATCTTCAACGGCGTACTTCGTAGGCATCGTACCAGTCTAAGGAAGATATTGATAGATAGTGGTGAAAAAGATGCCGAGAACTTACCTGGAGCCAATGCAATCTGGCGTCAGTGGATGTTTAACCGGGAGATCATCAAGTTTCTAGGCAAGATGCCGTGCTTAAAGGAACTAGGAGCCGCATTGGATTATCGAGATTGGGTGAGTTCTTTGAAAGTGGAACATCTTGAACAACACTGACTGTTCCTGTCAGCACTTCTTCTTGCAGCATCTGCCATCTTTACTGAAGCTCCGCTCGCTCTATATACCGTTCATCGTCAACTTGAATCAAGGAGGTCCAGTCGATACTCGAGAAATAGCTCTTCAGATTGTGGATATCGTGGCTTTGCGCCCAGAATTGGAGATCTGCTACCTTGGGATCATGAAGAAATGTTTCGAGGTACTTGAACAACAACCGGGCACAGGGAAACCAACGAATCATGACAGGACTTCAATCGATGATGACTCTGGCAGCGAGGAAGCAGAAGACGAGGACGAAGATTCGGCCGACGAAGACGACGATGATGAAGACAACGATGATGACGATGATAGCGAGGATACAGCCTCTGACACGACAGATACCTACGAAGATAGCGAACTCGGTGTGTATGAGGACGACAAGGAGCTGCCGGCTTTGAGGCTGAGAGAGATTCTTTACTACGACGATAAAGTATCAGTATTTAGGGCTAGGCATGGAAGACTATGATACTCTGTTAACATGACTGGCGTACAGGATGGTACAGGACACGGCTCAGGCCTGGTGTTTTCAGACTCTTCGGCTCTCTTATATTTGTTCGTTAATAAGGCGCCTAAACTAATGCTTATCATAAACTGGCCTCACACCTCTACAATACATAGTCTCGATTGTAATGTTCTTCGTGACTGTCCAGCAGTGGTTCGCATTGTAAGCGATACCTAAAGTCAGGGTCACCTAGAGAGTGATGGTCGCGGGCTGCCGAGATTACCCCAGGTTAATCACGGCAGGAGTTCGTTCACCATTCGCGCTCACCTTATTATCCATCGCCTCAGCGACCTCAACATTCGTTAGTTGGCTACCCGCTAGACTATCAGATCGTGAAGAGAATATCAGCCTCGACACAAACGCAACTCGTCTCACCACTCTCGCGCGACCACAAATTAACTCCACACATCCATCTATCATCATGGCACCTATCACGACAGCATCGGACGAGAGCAACCACATGGCGCTTCTCGATAAGCTCGATATGCAAAAGATCCACAAACCATTCCGCAACCCAAAGTGGAAGCCTGCCCAGCGCCGCAACAAGACGGTGAAGCAGATTGTGTCGGAAGCGCAGCGCAAGGAACAGCAGCTGCTGCAACAATCAGTACAGGCCACTCGTAACAACAGTGCTGCCGGAACTCCTCAGCCAGAGGTCACTACCGAGCCCGACCCGCAACCTGTACAGCCGATCGTCACACCCAGCTACACATACACGTCCATCCAAGCTGCGCCATCGTTCAAGCCAAAGCAAAAGTACTGCGATCTCACCGGCCTTCCCGCTCCCTACAGCGACCCCAAGACCGGCCTGCGCTACCACAACACTGAAGTCTACTCGGTCATCAAGACTTTGAGTACCACTCAAGTGCAAGAGTATCTGGCTGCTAGAGGTGCACACACTATCCTCAAGTGATGTGACTGGTTCGCGTACGACATTGCATTTCAATTGCTATCTACAAGTATACTGGAGTACGGCTACGGATCTACAATATTCATGCAGGTCGAATGCATGTCAGTCCAACCAAGTCAAGCCCACTCCACCCACGCCGACCCTTTCAAATCGGCGCTCAAGAATGCGCTCCGGCTTATTTGCGAACGATGGCATCCTACGACACCTTTGCTCTTCGCCTTTGCAAATACCGCGAATCTATTGCTCAAAAGAGAGAGAGACACAGTTGCAGCTAGCTAAAGCTAGACTGCTGCATGGCGACATGTTAAAGAAGGAGATGAAGCACATACTATACCTTTCCATGGTCTGGCAATCACGGTCTTATGATTTCCAACCAGAGTCGGCTTCGACGCAGACAAAATTATCAAGGAAGCAGCGACGCCGATGCTGAACAACAAAGAGCCGGCGCGCAAAGCCGAAGCGATGAGTTTTTGCAAAAGTCTTGGGACACGCGCTTTGCTCCGACATTTTTCCGCACTCATCTCAAGCCCATCCGCGGCCCGTTGATGACGTCGTTGGAATCGACGACGACAATCATACCTAGGTAGCATGGATAGCCAGTAGCAATATATCGGATCAACCGGCTCTTTAGATATTCAGTATCAAGCAGTTCTCCAACATCTATTCACTTCCGCAATCTCGGCATCAAAATCCCTAATCGCGTCCATTCAATCTGCACGATGGCCGACAAATTCCTAGCTTCCCCCAAACCAGCTCCTGAGCTCGGCATACCTCAATCTGACAAGTTCGTCAAGGTATCAATCATTGATAGGTGAGTGATCGGCATCCAAGTGGAGTGACTAGCAACCTCTCTACGAACTCCAAGCCATGAAATGCCGCTGACTCTGCATTAGCACCTCATATGTCGAATTGCCGATCGAGGAGTTTCTGAAGCCATCATATAAGGGCAATGACCAGCTAGCTGGCCCTACGTTCTGCTTTCTTATTGAACACAACTCTGGAAAGCGTATTCTGTTTGACCTGGGCATCCGTAAGGATGCAGACAACATGGCCCCAACCATCGTACACAGTTTCAAGTCGAAGGGATGGACTGTCGGAGCCGAGAAAAACACGGCAGATATACTGCAAGAAGCTGGATTCGACGTTCAGGGCGGCGATATCGATGGAGTCATATACAGTCATCACCACTTTGATCATGTTGGAGATATGACGACCTTCCCGCCATCTACTCAACTGATAGTCGGACCTGGATTCAAGGCCGCCCACCTCCCAGGATACCCGATTAACAAAGACTCGCCCAATTTGCAGAGCGATTTTGACGGCCGTGATGTTCGAGAAGTCAACATTGCACGTGAGGGAGCGGGCCTGAAGATTGGTCGCTTCGATGCTTACGACTACTTTGGCGATGGCTCGTTTTACCTCCTGGACACGCCTGGTCACGCTGTAGGACACATGTGTGCTTTGGCCCGTACGACCGCGCCGCTAGGCGAACCAGCGACTTTTGTGATGATGGGAGGTGACGCTTGTCACCATGCAGGCGAGTTCAGACCGTCCGCATATCAACCTCTTCCGACAGAAATCTCTCCTTCGCCAAAGTCGCTGCCTCAGCCTACTTGTCCAGGTCATCTTCTGCAGGATGTACACTGCAACAAGAGCGCGAACGAGCCCTTTTACGAAGTCACACCGAGCTTTTGCTATGACTTGAAGCTGTGTCACTCGACCGTTGAAGGTCTGCAGGAGTTTGACGCTTCAGACAATGTTCTCTTGATCATAGCGCATGACGCAAGTCTGTTGGGAGCTCTGGATTTCTTCCCTGACTCATTGAACCATTGGCGAGAGAAGGATCAGGATGCAAAGACAAGGTGGAGGTTCTTGGGTGACTTCAGCGAGGCTATCACTAGGTAGTAGGGAAGTGAGCAAAGTTTTAGTGGCAGGCATCCTTCGTAGCACTGTAACTGCTTGAGTTGAGACGTGAAGATGGTCTCGGAAATAACGTAATGCGCGCGCCCAACAGTCACAGCAAGCCGGGCGTCAGTCATTCTTGGCTGCCCCGCGAGATCGGACCAACAAACCCGCACAAATTCTATTAAAGCGAGTCACCCCGACCGCTTGTGATTTCGAGTGTAATTGGCCTTCACTGTCCAGTTCCGTTCATACCGTTTGGACGAATCGCATCACGCACAATTACAATATGTCCACAACTGTAGTTCTCGGCTCGCAGTTTGGCGACGAGGGTACGTTTGTGACTCAGACTGCGCTGCGCTCCAACAGAGCTCGTCTAACTCCTCCCGTATAGGCAAGGGCAAGCTCGTCGACCTGCTGTCTGAAAAGTTCAAGATCACCGCTCGCTCTGCCGGAGGTCACAACGCCGGCCACACTATCGTTGTCAACGGTGTCACGTACGACTTCCACATCCTCCCCTCAGGTCTGGTCAACCCCGAGACCGTCAACCTCGTCGGCTCCGGTACCGTCGTCAGCGTCCCCCAGTTCTTCCACGAGCTCCAGCAGCTGGAGAAGCACAACCTCGACTACAAGGAGCGCATCTTCATCAGCGACCGCGCCCACGCTCTCTTCAGGCTCCACTCGCTCGTCGATGGTCTCGAGGAGATTGAGCTCGGCAGAGGTGCTGTCGGCACTACCAAGAAGGGTATCGGCCCGTGCTACCAGACCAAGGCCGCTCGCTCTGGTATCAGAGTCGGCGAGATCTTTGACAAGGAGCTCATGGACAAGAAACTGAGAACCATGGCCACTGCTTACCAGAAGCGTTACGGAGACTTGCTGAAATACGACGTCGAGGCCGAGATCAAGGAATACGACGACTGGCGCCCTCGTCTCGCCGAGTATGTCATTGACCAGGTCCCCATGATCCAGCAGGCCGAGGCTAGCAACACCCCCATGCTCGTCGAGGGAGCCAACGCTCTTCTCCTCGATGTTGACTGGGGAACCTATCCCATGGTTACCTCCTCAAACACTGGCATTGGTGGTGTCTTCACTGGTCTTGCCCTCTCCCCCTTCAAGCTGAAGGAGGTCATTGGTGTCGTAAAGGCCTACCAGACCAGAGTCGGTGGTGGTCCTTTCCCCACCGAACAGGAGAACGAGATCGGCGAGAAGCTCCAGCGTATTGGCCGTGAGGTTGGCGTCACAACTGGTCGCCGTCGTCGCTGCGGATGGCTCGACTTGGTTCTTTTGAAGTACTCGGCTGCCATCAACCACTACACCTCCTTCAACCTGACCAAGTTGGACATTCTTGACGACTTTGACGAGATCAAGGTTGCTGTCGGTTACAAGGTCGACGGCAAGGAGGTCCCCTCTTTCCCTGCCACCATCGACGCTCTGTCCAAGGTCGAACCCATCTACGAGACTCTGCCCGGATGGAAGTCGGAGAGCACCAACATCAACTCATACGAAGCTCTTCCCGAGAACGCCAGAAAATACATCGAGTTCATTGAGAAATTCACTGGCGTTGGTGTCAAGTGGATCGGTACCGGTCCTGCCAGAGAGGCCATGATTTTCCGATAGATGATAAGCTGAGATGCCCTCTATTTTGTACATGATGGCAGATTGATTGCCCAAGATTTGAAATTATGGGGTGGCTTTCGTGATCTGGTATCAGGGAATGAGAAACGCTTTAAGAAGGGTCACTATAGACACAAAATTCCTTAGAAAGACCTCTACACAGAAGATTCCTCTAACGCCAATAAATATTTTACGCTTATGACTGCACATCACGCTAAATTGGTCTGTTCTGACGTGATTATGGTGATAGATTAGGCGCGCCATTGCGTTCCTGAACCTCAATCTCGTACGACTCCGCATCCCGCTCGTCGTGCCTGCGAATCCCGCACAACTTAAAGTCTTACAGTTGACAGCCAACAGCTGTTCGCTTCCTCGTCCAATGCATTGAACCATCATGAAGTCTTTCATTGGCCATATATCAGCCTGGCTACAGGCACAAACCCAAATCCCTCTTGGTTCATCTGGTGTTCGGGATATTTCAAGCCGATGCTCGATAGACGTGCTGGCGAAGCCGGATCTCTTTGGCGCTGAGATAATTAACATGTCTGCTTATAAGGTCACCGATTACGCAGCGCAAGAAGCAACGGCTCTGGAAGTAGCCGAAGGAGTTAAATTGAACTTCTGCAACATCACCGTCACCTATACTCATCCTGGACAACATGACAACATTAACGTGCACATTTGGCTCCCACTTGATGATTGGAACGGCAGATTCATGGCTGTCGGTGGAGGTGGTTGGATCACTGGCCACCCAAGCTTTGATTCACAAGTCAAAGCGGGTTATGCTGCTGCAAGCACTGACGGTGGACATGGACTGGAACGATCAGCGGCATCATGGGCTTTGACCAGTCCTGGCAACGTGAATTGGAATCTGCTACAAGACTTCGCATACAGAGCACTCGACGACATGGCTACTGTTGGCAAGGCTGTCACGACCTCTTTCTACGAGACTGAACCCAAGTACTCTTACTGGAACGGATGCTCGACTGGCGGTCGACAAGGTTTGATACTTGCACAGCGCTCGCCCAAACTCTTCGATGGCATTTTAGCAGCAGCTCCTGCTATTGACTGGCCAACTTTTGTGGTCTCTGCCTATTGGGCTCAGCAGCGCATGAATCGACTCAATTCGTACCCTTCGACGTACGAACTGAATGTATTCAAGGCTGCTGCAACAGAAGCCTGTGACAATCTTGATGGTCTGACCGATGGAATAATTGGAGCACCAGGTCTATGCCGTTTTGACCCGCATACAGTCGTTGGCAAAACATATAAGCAAGATGGCGTCGAGAAACAACTCACGTCTGCAGGTGCACGCATAGCACAGGCAGCTTGGTCCGGGCCTGTCGATGCTGACGGCAACGCCGCTTGGTTTGGCGTCAATCAAGATGCAATTCTCAGATCAGCCGACGACGCTATCGTAGTAGGCGAAAATCATCGCAAGACGCTTACTATTCCAGAGGAGTGGATGAGTCTCTTCGTCGTCAAGGATCCATCATACGACACGACCAATATGACCGACGCAGAATACTTCTCTATATTGAAAGCTTCTCAGAGGGAGTACAACTCTATCATCGGCTCGAATTGGCCAGATCTGTCAGAATTTCGCAATGCAGGCGGCAAGATGATTACCTGGCATGGTCTTGCGGACGATCGAATTCCGCCGAACGGAACCTCGCACTACTATGAGCAAGTGCTGAAAGCAACCTCGAATGTCTCCGACTTCTACAGATACTTCGAGGCACCTGGCGTCGGTCATTGCGCAGGTGGAGCTGGACCTGCACCAGATGCACACAAAGACTTGGTGAGATGGGTTGAAGAAGGCATTGCGCCTGACACTCTTCGGGCTGTTAGTCAACATGGAGACGGTACTGTCAGAGAGCTATGCCAGTATCCTCTTGTGCAACGATACGTCGGGGGCGATCCAAAGATTGCTGCTTCATTTGAGTGTGCAGCTGGATTTGCTTGATTCAGCGTCAAGCAGAGCTACTAAGGTATGGCTTGCTTTCGAGAATGAGAGTCAACTCGCGTTCAGGATGCAGTGCGAGGTTTTGCTAGCTTGCAAGCCTCGGAAGTGGGAGGAGACCCGGTGCAAAACATAGCCCTCGGCGGTCATCGCAGTCTACCACACGTGCTTTGGTCGCTTGTTACACAGTTACACAGTCCGTCGGTCTCTCTGCTTTGCGCATACCGTTCAATAATAATCTCACTGCAATGCCGGCAGCAATCATGTTTCTGCTGTCCAATCACGATAGACCCTGACTCCTGAGAGTTGAGGAATGACGAAGCACCGGTGACAAAAAGAAATGAGAAACGTCCACATGATAGATCTCTGGCCAGCTTTTGAGGCCCCCTTGAAATTGTAAAAACTTCATCCTAGCAGTACCAAAACATCTTCAGTCTATCATCCATACGTGTTATGAAGCTCTAGGGACATGGCTGCTTCCACTTTAGCTTCGAATCCCATCGTCGGCCTGCCTTCAGAAGTACTTCTGACCATCTTTGGAGCTCAGGATAGCTTTCGCGATACCTCCTCGTTGTTCAGGACATGCAAGTGTCTCTATGCCCTCTGGCAAACGCGAGCGTTCTCTATCAGTAAACCACTACTCATCGACCAAACACCATGCTATGAACAGGTTGAGCTTTTGATGCTGGCGAGCGAAGCAGCAGACCTTACAACCCAGCCACGAATGAATGTCATTCTAGTAGACCCTGTTCAGGAGGAGAAGCTCGGAAGCACTCTTAACAGGATCACCATGAGTCGAAAAATGGCAGGCCAAGCAAAATATCTCTGTGAAATTATCGAAAGCCGGTATCTGCAACAGAAGTACAACTGCCATGAAGCGAAATGCCGAGCTCGTCCATCAAAATTGGCACCTCAGGAACGTGATGAAGTCACACGAGCACACCATTTCGTCAAGCTATATGCTCTTGCATACGCGAACAGAGCTCTTTCAGAATTGCGCAACAGCTGCGAAGCCAAGCTTAGAGGAATGAGCGTCGAAGACAAGCACTTCATCTTTCAGCTGACAAGAATCATGCACGATTATGCTCTGCCATGGGACAAGATGAGATTGGACCTCTGCTATTCGTACTCGCCATTATCCAACCTGACAGGCTCTGGTTCTTCTGCTACGTGGGCGGACAAATTCAAGGCTCTCCAGGAGGCTACCCGAGTGCAGGCGATTAGTTGCGGAAACTGCATCTACGACGATACGGCACGATTTGGCAGGATTGGCCAAGGTAAAAGTAATTGAGGCATACGGCGGTCGAACCGCAAGGCACTGTGTTGAGATTGATTGATGGATACCGCCAGCAGTTCAAATATTACACTTGTCAGAAGATGACTGGCAGATGATCATTCTTATCAAATATGGAGATTGTGTGATTGATAGATCAACGGTTGGCGACAAGCCACAACATGGGAGGCCTTGATCCTGCGGTGTCTCAAGTTGGTCTGCTACGCACAGAAGTGGCTGAGAGTGTTATGACGAGACCAGAGACGTAACGTAGAAGCGTATGGCCGAGATTCGTCGGAGTAAGAATCGTTGGATGGATGACAGATACAACTCGTGCGTAAGGTGCTGAATGCGATCAGATACGCGCGATACGCTGCTGCGCCACAGGTCTGGCGTATTCTCCGCCCCGGACGCAAGGGAGCAGCATTCGTAATAGGGAGGGACCCATGATGACGGCCTATGTTCAGATAGTACTTGGAATTTGTGGTCAACTGGCGAGTAGGACAGCGTAAGAGATGCAGGGGTGTCCAATGTACACACAGCCAAGTAAATCAAGAACTTGATTTCTTGCTTGTCGTGTCTTGCCTCACATTGTGTTTGCTGCTTGATGGAGAAGGTTTCCATGGGCTTCCGTACTAAGAGGCTTCGAGGCGTGGATCCTTTTGCTTGGCGTACGTTGTCGTGTGGCTGCAGGCAAAGCGATCGACTTCTTTCGCATGTCAGCCAACACGCAAAGGGGGACTTTTCGGACGGCTTCAGCAGGAATTCAACCATCCATTGGCTAGCATCAACATCTCATCCACATCCACAGACAGACTTGAAGGCATAGCTTGGGTTGAAAGCGAAATGCGTAAGTGAACAAGCTCTCAAGTTGTATCATGCGACGACTCAGTTGTCATTATCCCCGGATCGGAAGCGGCGCGCCGGTGCAAGCTAGCGTCTTGGTGCTGCTGATTGATTATCTATGCCATTGCCAGCTGCCTGAACCCTCTGCCACTTGCTTTCTCTCTTCACTTCACTTTCAATCATCCTTGTGGATTATACGCCGATGGGAGAACCTTCTGACCCTTCTTTATTAGACCGCATCCGTTCTTGGGCGAAACAACACGCCTCTGATCGCTCAAAGCACAACAACAACAACAACCAGGTTGCGCCACAGCGAAGCGTAAGCCCTATCTTACCTACGACCACCCGAGATCTACCGAACGCGGAGAAGGCTGGACCCTCAGGCCCTGCTCTTCAGGATGTTTACAGCAACACAAGTCACAATGGCAATGCCACCTTCAACAATACCACAGAGAAGACATCGCCTACTTTGCCAGGCCCCGCCCCTCCTCCTGAACAAGTCAAGTCGGAACATGCATCACAGAACCAACCCACCGTAGGAGGTGAAGATGGCACGAACGACGTGCCCGCTCCCAAACCCCCCATCCTTACGAGAGCAAAAGCTGGATCGATCAGATTCGGCTACCATACCTACGATGCCCTCACCCACAGCTGGATGAACCTCCTCCTTGTCTTCGTCCCTGCCGGTATCATCGCCAAGGCTCTCGGTGTCAACGCGTCAGTCGTCTTCGCTCTGAACGCTGTTGCCATTATTCCCCTGGCCGGCATGCTATCGTATGCAACCGAAGTCGTTGCCTCACGCTTAGGCGACACATTGGGTGCTCTCATGAACGTCTCGTTCGGCAATGCCGTCGAGCTCATCATTTTCATCATTGCGTTGGTCAAGGACGAGATCCGTATTGTTCAGGCCTCATTGGTTGGATCCATTCTGTCCAACCTTCTGCTCATCATGGGCATGGCCTTTCTACTCGGTGGTCTCAGATTCCAAGAGCAGATCTACAACAGTACCATTACTCAGATGAGCGCCTGTCTACTCAGTCTGAGTGTCGTCAGTCTGGTCTTGCCTACAGCATTTCATGCCTCTTTCTCGAACAGTGCAACTGCCGATGACAGAGTCTTGAAGGTTAGCAGAGGTACAAGTGTTATCCTGCTCATCATCTACGTGCTGTACCTGCTCTTTCAGTTGAAGTCTCATGCCTACTTGTACGAAAGTACACCGCAGCAGATTATCGATGAAGAGTCACACCCTGGTATCTTGGCCGATATAATGAACTCATCTAGCTCGTCAGACAGCTCGAGTTCTTCTAGTTCTTCGGATTCAGACACATCGTCACACACGACGTCTAAGCGCATCAGGCGTGCCTTTAGACACCGCAGACGTCGCAAGTCGAGTGCCAGCACTGCCACCACCCCTTCTGTCGTCAGTGCTCCCTCCGTGGAGCGTACTGGCTCTCATCAGTCTGAGATTGTCCAGCCTCAGCCTCAACGTCGTCCGTCTGCTTTAGGCGCCATCAATAGTGGCGATGAGGCCGACACAGATGGCGACTTTGAAATGCGTGCCTTCCCTACCCGTATCCGAGACTTCGTCGACGGACCCTTCTCTGAGGAGCAGCAGCAACAACAGCTGCAGTTCCAAGATATCAAGCCCGAAACACGTAAACAGAAGAAGAAGCAGAAGAAAAGGCATCATCACAGACGCCATGGCAGCCATGATGAGAAGCGCTCCATCGACGATGTCTCATCCATCCGCAAACAGGGCAAGCAACCTGCAAAGGACCAACACGCTCCTAAGGTGGGCTTTTCTGACGATGTTCAGTATGTCGCTAATGCCGACACTGGCTCGCCGAGAAAGTCCTTTGGCATTCGTCAGCTCTCTTCTCGTCAGGTGTTTCCCCGCCCTACCTTCCCTAAGATGTTGTCTCAGAACGTCTTTGTTACTCCCCCGCCCGTTTCGGGTTCTCCCGTTTCTGGCGCAACTATGATGCCTCGTACTGGAGTAGGCGCTCTACGTAGAACTAGCTCCTTGCCTGACCGTCTCAACCGTCAGAACACTCCCTCGACGCTCCGCCAAGAGAATCTCCCTCCTTACCCACGATGCATGGATGGTGAGCAGGAGGATGTGGAGGAGGTGGAGGAGAAGCACAACCGCATGTCCCGTACCGCTGCTGTCGTTCTTCTGCTCTTCTCGACTGCTCTAGTTGCTGTCTGCGCCGAGTTCATGGTTGACGCCATTCCTCAGATGATTGAGGCCACTCCTGTCAGTCAGGCGTTCATTGGTCTTATCATCCTACCTATTGTCTCCAACGCTGCCGAGCACGTCACAGCCGTTACTGTGGCTGCCAAGAACAAAATGGATCTTTCCATTGGTGTCAGTGTTGGTAGCAGTATCCAGATCGCCTTGTTTGTCACTCCACTTGTGGTCATTCTTGGATGGATCATTGGCCGCGACATGTCTCTTTACTTTACTCTTTTTGAGACCATCAGTTTGTTTGTCACGGCCTTCGTCGTCAACTTCTTGGTTCTTGACGGCAGGAGTAACTACCTTGAGGGTGCTTTGCTCATTGCAGCCTATGTAATCATTGCGTAAGTCGTCACTCCTTGTGTATTATAACATGACAATTTGCTAACAGCCGTCACAGTGTCTCGGCTTTCTACTATCCTGATGGTGACGATGCCAGCTCTCTTGCTGGATCTAGCTAGAAATATTAGGATCATGCTCATCGTTAGTTGTGGAGACAGGAGATCGACTTGGAGATATCAATATTACGATGAGTCGGCGGAGGTTGAGCCAGATTGGGAAGTTTCACGAAGTTTGGGGTTAACGAGCAAACGACTTGGACAGATTCTCTGATCCTTGATTTTCCTTTCTTTTACTTTCCGTATCCTCGAATGAACTTTTGTATTCTTGCTTTTGGTCTATGTCAACGTGAGCCCGTTCCATTCAATCTGCGCTGTGCTGCTACTTTTATATCGTAAAGGCTTACATGCAGTCATATAGGATACATGCGAAGGATGCCATTTCTCTCGCGTCCTGGTGACTGTCGTCGACGGTGTCTATATTCACATTGGCGTAGCCTCGTGTGGCTAAGTACGTGTTGCTTGTGCGAGCACCCTGTCCACGATTATCAGGTTCCATATCATTGACCATATACTTATAATTCGGTTCAAATACAGACCAAACTATCATATTACAGGTGACAATATATTGCTGTATGTTATAGAGTGATCTGTAGTCGATCTGAGAGTTGTCGGGCCTGTAGTGCCATTGTTCAAAAGTCGAACAACCAGAAGTCTGGATATTCCATTGAGACAAACAGCAAACCAAACTCATGAGAATGCATTTTATGTGAATTTACATCCCGTCTGCTTCGTTCGCCATGTATATTAAAAATGGTGACTCTAGTATAGTGAAATAGGAGATATAGTATCTGATGTCTATGCGGCAGATGAAGCTGTACCCTCCCGATGTGCTAAACTGTGTCACACCCATCCACTCTCAATGATCAGAGCAGAGCGACATCGAGCCGAAGCAATGCATAGTCATATCTTATACCGGAAGATCTTACATGGGGAGAAGTCTTTGACAAGATGTATCTCGCTGCCGTAGCTCCAGACCTGAAAAGGTTGTTGCCTTCAGACAGCTACAAGTGTGATAGTGCTTCGCACACGAGGAGGACCTTTCTAGAGGAAGAAGCCGTGTACAAGAACCGAAGGCGACTGAACTGACAATAGATTGACAGACATGGATCGCCTCACTTAAACATATCGACGATGGAAGGACATTGCCATCTCGCACGTGGAACGAGGTTCTCTAGTCTGCACCACAAACTTGGAGGGCGAAAGAAACATAACTTACTCGAGGAAGCCTGACAGGGCACATAACAAGGTGACAGGATCCACAAGCTTGGATATTCCGGGATAAACCGCACTGAGCGGGCGACTCGTACGAAGAACGGGAATCAAGTCCTGCTCGCATATCGTATATCGTATACCATCTATGTGGCGAGCAGCGACACCTCGAAGAATGTGATGGTTTTAGCGCGGAAAACGTCAACTCGGAACACATGGCTCGCATGGTTTGCTCAGCCTGCATGTTGCTTCGACATCGAAAAGAGAGGACCGAAGCTGTCGGGTCTGCAACGCGAGAAGTGGCACGTTCCGAGCAGCGGTGATCATGATGGGCAAGGAAAATGCCCGCGGCCCTCTCCATCGACACCATTTGGAAGAAAGTGATCGACCCACCTGAGACGCCAGGTTTGCCAAGGTCTGGAGATTGCATGGGTTGCTTGTATCAATGTCCAAGCTGTTCCCTCCACGCTGCTAATCAGTATATTGAGGACGACCTTGTCGGATATCCGGGTGTTTGAAGAGTGCCCGACTTCGCATCTCTAGATGGCCATGTCTTGCGAAGACCTGACCCAGCAAGGTCGTCTCGTGATGGGTACTCGATCTATTGCCAGGAACGCGACGCTACACCAATTCATGGGGGTAAGCTTGCCTTCTAGACAGGCAGGCGAGGTGAGACACGGAGATGCACCCGTTATTGGCATGACGGGTGAGTGCCGTCATGATTGAACACCGCTTCTCGTCTGAGGCATTTTGTCGAGTACGACATGGACCATCGACTGTATTACAAACCACACGGTGACAATAAACAGGGTTATGTCGGCGATTCGTATCTCAACGGGAAGCCTTTTACGTTTCCCGATAAACCTCACTGTCGTGCCGCTGGTTGGAAGAATTGACTTCAGAGTCCGATAGATCAATCAGATTAGATAAGATTATAAGTTCAATAGCTACGTCGTTCGTCGACGTTTACAGGTGGGACAAAGAAGACAGCGGAGACATGACTGGCACAAGCGCAGAAAGTCAGACGCAAGGAAGTCACATTGATAGTGCTGCTTTCATGAGTCGCATGCCGACAGGAATCTTGCATGGAAGTGCACGGCTCGACAGCGGGATGACATTTTACAGCATGACGTGGGCTGCATGAGGCTTATTCGGACTATTGAGCCGCATAAGCGCCCTGACGCAAACCTTGGATCATCTCGATTTCATGAGATGTCACCTGGAATGTCACTAGATTTGCCATGACCCATGGAAGGCAAAGACAAAGGAATGCAATGACTGCCATCAGCTCAGGCGTATGCAGCAACGCAACAAGACCTGAGAACTTCGCAGAAAGTATCTCGGCGGGTTCCTCAGCAGTTCAATCAGGCATGTTACATCGAGTTCTTGGCTGGTGCGGCTCATGCTAGTCGTCAATAAAGATTGATCCATGCACGGAGACTACCCCAATGGTTGCAACCGAGACGAAAAAGCGCGATCGAAGCAAGCGGGACGGCATCCGCCAGTTCACCAGATCAGGATCGCCTGTCTAGAGAGTGTTGATGTCACGATGCCGCTAGACATACTGGTCGCCGATGACGCTGCATGCCGAATTGTCGTTCCTGCAGAGGTCGCAAAATATATATATGTAGAGCTAATGGTTCGTGGGGTTTGCTCCTCCATTGACCATACAACTCTCATCTCATTGTAAAGATGTTCTCCAAGTCAATTCTCGCCTCGGCATTGCTTGCCGGTGCTGCTTACGCTGCACCCGCACCGCAAGCTGTTACCCAAATCAGTGATGGTCAGATTCAGGCTCCTCGTGCCTCAACTGTCCGCTCCGCAGTCACTCAAATCAGCGACGGTCAGATTCAGGCTCCCGGCCCTTCAACTGCTGCTGCACCTGCCAGCTCTGGCACTGCTGCCTCTGCTCCTCAAGGTGCCTATGCCTCCCAGGCTTCGTCCGAATACGGTAGCCAGGTTGCCGGTTACACTGGTGCCAATGCTCCTTACAAGTCGAACGCTGCTTCCGTTGACCTCGAGAACATCGCCACCTCTTTCGGCACCAACTCTGCTGTCAATGCCATCTACACTGCTGTCCCCACCGGCACCCAGTCTGGAGCCGCAGCCCCTCTCCGTAGCAGCTTGGTTACCGGCTCGACCTCCCACGGTCCCTACTCCGGTACTCCCACCATTGTTGGTGCTGTAACTACCGCCACTCTCGGTCTGACCGTTTCAACTCTTCCTCTCAACCCTACTGCCACTTACTACAACACCAACGGCCTGCTCACTCAGCCTGAGCCTGCTCCTTACACCCCTGCTGGTGGCCTTGGTACTAACGGCTCCCTTCCTCGCTACATGGTCGAGTCCGACTTCGATTACGAGTCCATCACTCTCGGCCTTTACCAGGAGTGGATTGAGCTCGACACCTTCAACAACGGTCTCGCTACTTTCTCCGAGGAGGATTTCATTGCCGCTGGTCTCACTGCTGAGGATCGCGAGCTTATCCGCTTTATGGCCCAGCAAGAGGAGGGTCACGCTACCCTCTTGACCAACATGCTTGGCCACACCGCACCGCCTCAGTGCACCTACAACTACCCTTACACCACCGTCCGTGAGTTCCTCGACTTCAACCAGAAGCTTACTCGCTACGGAGAGTCTGGTGTTTGGGGCTTCATCAACCACCTCGACAGCCGTGAGGTTGGCCAGCTCCTTGCTCAGTCTATTGCCACTGAGGCCCGCCAGCAGATGGCTTTCCGCCAGATGAGCGGTCTTTTCCCCATGCCCGTCTACTTCGAGACTGGTATTCCTCAATCCTGGGCCTGGACTTTCCTTGCTCCTTACATCTCTTCGTGCCCTGCCAACACCACTCGCCTCGCATGGCAGAACTTCCCTGCTCTCCACATTGTCAACCAGCCCAACATCAACCGCTGGTCTGCCAACGACACAGCCGACTACGAAGTCACTGGTAACCGCACTTCTGATCCCAGCATCTCCACCATCCCCGAGGAGGAGAGCTGCCAACACTTGAACGTTACTGGCTACGGCTGTGGCCCTGCCATCTCTCGCAACCGCTCTGAGCCTCTTTCATTCGCCGGCAAGCAGGTCAACTTCACCTGGGATGCTCCCGGTCTTGCTGTCGGTCCCAACAACAGCTACACCACCTCGGTCAACCCCGTTGCTGGCGAGCCTAAGTTCGTTGCCTGGGCCGCTCAGCTCAACTTGACCTACACTCCTCTCATCAAGACAGGCGCCAACTCTGGTTACACCTACCAGCCCGCTGGTGAGGTCTACGCTGGCGGTGCTTCTATCGTCAACGGTACCATGTTTGTTGCCCTTACCGACACTGACATGTTCCTCACCCCCTTCAACTTGACCATGATCAACCCTCACGTTATTGCGCTGGGTCTTTACCAGGCCGGTTAAACGCTTTGACCTAACCATGTTTGGGTTTTTTTGACGAAGGATATCCTGTTCCATACCATGCCTTTGGCTGAACGCTAGACGTTCATATTGCCAGGAAGGTGTACTTTTAGCAAAGATTAAAACCTAATTCTAATACTTGTCTATACCTTTATCGAAAGTTTGGGTACTCATGATGTGAAATGATGTCTGATCCTCGAGGTACATCGTTCTCGCGCCTACGCACCTCCACATAACATTCAGGACGCAGTAGCCCTAGAGATGCGTTTACGCTGACGCAACAGATTATCCATGTGTCGCCTGTCAGTTGACACAGTCACAATGTACCATTTGTGGACCATGACTCGTTCTCAAAGCAAGAACTCAGCAGACTGGCTATGATACGGATGCGTGACTAAAGCGAAATATTGGTACAAAAGGAAGAGAAACATATCCATGATTGTGCTGCTGTAGTTTGACATCGTCGACTGAAAGCGCCCATAGTAATCTTCATCGACAGAGCTCTGAGGAAACATTTAGCATGTGTCTTCGAGCTTTCATCAATCAAGCTTCAAGCTGCATCTCGATATGGAGGGGCAGAGAGGTGCCAAGGGAGGGAGTGACGAGCTTTCTCCACAAAAGCGCCGGACCCAAGGACAAATTTGACGTCACCGATGAGGTAGCTATGAGCAAGCTCTTACTCGAAAACAACTCAGCTCACAAACAAAAGGCACTGGTCATCTCCTCATTCTGCTAGACTCTCCCTCCAAGCAACACATCAATCCCTTTTCTTTCAAACAACCACCCCACCAAACACTATCAAACATGCCCCGTGACGGATCTGGAGCTGGCGACAACGCCATTGAGGCTGGCCACAACATCACCCACGGTGATGCTGGCGGTGTAAGTCTTGATAGCTGTCAATCCGACCATTTTCATCTTACTAACGCATCTTGCCAGGCCGCATCCACCGGTGTCGACCGCAGCAACAAGGCTGCCCCCATGCCCGAAATCGAGAAGGGTGACAGCATCGAGGGCATGAACGCCTCCGGCGGCGGTCTCTCTGGTGCCACCCTCACCTCGACTGGCCAGGGCGGTAACAAGGAGCCCTTCGTCGAGAAGGAGGCCGAGAAGCACGCATAAGCTACTCGCTTTCGACACAAATCTCGAAACACGACCTGAAGACCGAAATACCATTGCCATCCTACGTCAATGTTGGCTTGGAGGAATTCATGTTTACGACCAACGCTTGGAGAAATCTAGCTGTGGAACACGGGGCCTGGCAAGAGCCATGATCCTTTGAGGAAGGAATGCTGCTGTGAAGGTGGCTACCTTATGTAATCGAGATACGACTTTAACGAAGGACTTCAAACCACTCAACAATCTCACCCTCCATCCACCATGTCCACTTGATTTGTGTGAAAACATCACCGCGGTGCATATGTGTAAACCACTTGTCTATCTTAATACTCGGCATCATTGATTGAAGCATCATCGTCGCAATACCCACACAGTTCACTCCAGATGAGGTACTTAGATGGACCGTAGAAGACGTCTGGTGGTCCCATGGCTTGCGAATGTGTCTCTTTGCTACGGCAAGACGTAGCTATTCAAAGGTAAGATGCTTCTCTGGTTCACATCCATGTCAAAGTAAAGTGCGTAGGCGATGAATTGAGTGGAAAGTAGTTACTGCTGAGAAATCAAGACAAACGCCGCGAAGTCTTTGATGTACTGTTCCTCTTCTTGAACTTACGATCGCGCTTCTCAGAGCATTAGAGCGGCGACACGCTTGTGGACAATGGGGCGGCAAGAATGGACACGAGCTTTCAGAGCCATGACCTCGGCGCAACTATGACCAAAACCCGAGGAGCCACAGATGCAGGCCCAAGCAGGCAGTACAGGAAGACTATCAAGAAAAAGACTTAGCATATATATATATCACAGAGAACTAAACATGAAAAGACATGTTGGGGGTGTATTTTTTTTTGGTGATTTTGTGGTGTTTTATGTGATTAACCTGAGAAACCTTGCGGTAACGATGAGCGCGTTTCTACTTAGTAGTGACGCGGAAAAGGAAAAAATGTGCAGGTGGTCCTTTGAAGATCGTGGTCAGACACGATCGTGTCCAGTTGCTCCTCGCCATGCTGAATTCGATGTTACGCCCAGGCTCCAGTATCTGAGAAGCAAGGGCGAAACGAATTCGAAAGCATTCGGAACGTGAAGGTACTGGTCTCATGGTGACGGAAGGTGCTTACTTGAGCTTGTTGGCAATCTGCTCGGCGAACTTTGTCACGTCTTCATCCTCCCACTCGCATTCTTCGCCGTCTTCCTTGATGGTGAAGCATCCCTTGCCGAAGCTGACGACATCAAGAGCAGCATCCTTGTTGCCACCGTGTCTGTTGACAATGGCCTGAAGGAGACGTTCAGCCTCGGCGTAGAAGCTCTTGGACGTCTTGTCGGGCCTGCTGTTGACGCCGACTCCAGAAAGAATGCTGACGCTCTCGAGGTTCTTGCACTCTGCAAGCAGGTTCATGGTGGGCTTAGCGGTGGGCTTCTGGTAGTTCATGATGGTGATACGCGACAAAGCATGATGCACATCTGGGCCAACGCCGCTGAGGAAGCTAAGCAAGGTCATCGTGTTGTCAAAGCGGAACCTGAAGCTATAGAGGATGCCTCGAACTTCAGCGGCGAGCTGCACACAATTAGCTCAAGCCTGGATCGAAGGACAACTGATCGAGTCACTCTTTGTACGTACTTCCTTGTTCAACTGGCCGATGGCAAGTCTGTGCTTCAAACCGAACTGTTTGGCGTACTCTTTGGCCTTGGAACCATTGGCAATCTTATCAGTAGAGATTTGGATCTTGTTACCCTTGGTGTCAGGTGTAAGGAGCAGTTCCAGGATTGTCTTGCGGATGTTTTCGGGCAGCTTCATGAATTGGAAGGGGGCACTAGGCTTGATGACGATGGCCTGGAGACCGTTGTCAAGCATGTAAGATGCTACAAGCTCAAATGCCTGAGGAGCCACGAGCTTGATCAGATGACCGTAACCAGCGCCCTTGGGCAGAACCTGTGAAGAAGTCAATGCCGGATTCTATAAGCCTCAAACTATCTGATAGGGTTCCACTTACCTTGCTGTGAACAGATTCGTTCTCGTACGTGACGTCAACCGGAGCTGCACCACTGACAGAAGTGGACAACTTCTTGAAGACCTTTGGAGTTGGCTTGGGTCTAGGAGTCTTGGCCTTGACAGCGGTGGCTGGAGTAGAAGGAGCCTCATCTTCAGAATCAGCCTTGGGGGTGCTGGGAGCAGCGGCGAGAGCCTTCTTCTGTGCATATGTAAGTAGGTTGACGAGAAGTCAAGCATGGAGGGGTAGAAAGGATGATGGAAGATCAAAGTGGAAGGGAGAAAGATAACAAGATGTGACATAAAAGGGTGACAAGGAATGGAAGGCAGAAGGTCAAGGAGAAATGAACGGCGAGATGAACCCGGTACGCGTCGTTGCGTCGACCCGAGGCGCGAAACGGGTTGTGAGGGGGCTGGACACAGCGATATCAAGAAAAAACATAAGATATGACTTACGGAGCCCTTGGGAGGCATGGTTGAAGGTGTTGAGGGTCGGGTTGATCTGACTTGAGGTTGTCGACGTTCGGGAAGGAAAGATGGAGATTCAGGGAGGGAGAAATTGACCAAGTAGTGTTGAGAAGGAAAGTAGTGAACGGAGCGAAATTGCTATCGGATTGCTGTGACTAGAATTTCGCGACGCTCGGGCAAGAAACACGGAGAAACAGGGAGGGAGAAATTGGATAAGTAGTCTGAGAAAGAGAAGCAGTGAACGGAATCTGGTGGTCCTATTGTGTTGTTGTGCGTGTTGTCGAATTGGATTGGCAAGTGAAAGACAAGACGAATGGTTCGGATCGTCACGGTCGTACACGGAAACGATTCGCCGGGGTCAACAAATTGACGAACAGGTGGTCTGGTTGAAAGTGATCGAAATCTGAGTGAGGATCAGGGATGTTCTGAGCCAAACACGTTCTTCATCCATCGACGTCTGGTAGAAGACCAGCTGTAAAAATGCACAGTATTTTGAGGGAGTACGTTCGCTCAAGGAGATGAGTCGTTTGCCGTGCTCTCAACAGATGTGTCTCTGTTCTGAAAGAGATTTTGCCTTTCTACAGCTCACATGATAGGGGCATCAAAGAGGAAACATGATTGATATTCCTGTCGGACCAGGTACCCCGAAACTCTTAAGCCAGGTCCAATACACGTAGACAACTTCCGCGATCTCCTCACAGGCTGAGATGCCAACTACGGAGCTGTCGAAATGCAAGATGCTCTTTGAAGTCGAAAGAGCCGCCTGGGGGAGTGGCCAGTCGAAGCTGTCTCGCCAGAGGCGCACTAGGTTTCAATATGGCTTTGCATGCAGATAGTACACGGAATGTCTATCGCGAGAGCGAGGGCACATTCAATGGCAATGGCGACATATCAAGACATGTTTGCAGTCAATTCTCACTCACTACTGTGGGAAACGGAGATAGCTGGGTGAAGCGATCGAAGTGAGTCGATTGTGAGTGCAACCGCTTTAGAGAATCAACGGCCTGACAAGCCGCTTGACCGGATGATAGAAAATGTAGAAGCATCGCGTGGTTCGACAAGTCGCAGTCGGATGGGCTGGAGAGCAAGAAGAAAGAGAAGTAGTCACCACAACGCGTCCGTGCACACAGCACAGACCTTGTCAATCGCGCTCCGAAGCTGTTCTACGAATGCGATCGCATCTGCCATAACTTGTTTAGCACAAACAATCGTAATAAGATGGCAGAATCAACAAATGGCGTGTCTGCGCCGTCGATGAACGATGTGGAGATGAAGGAGGAGATGGCAGAGGTAGGAATCTATGCCAATCTGGCTGGACGAGCTGCTGACTGCCTGTTCATCAGCAATCCGTACACAGTATACCATCGGCGCCAGAACAAGTGGCAGGAACCGTCCAAGACGACCAAACAGCAACCGCTCCTGTAGACGAGAAAGAAGCACTACCGACCGACCAATCTATTACCGCCCGAGTCCAACTGCAGGAATCGACACCTACAAGCATGGAAGGCATACTCAATGGAGGCTCTGTCGCGCCGATTGGTCAAGTGCCTCCTCCGCCAGTCGCACAAGCTCCTTCAGCATCGCCATTGCCTGCTACAGCCTCGGCGACAATCGCGCCACCAACAGCATCCTTGCCAGCCTCAGCACCTACGCCTCCACCTGCTCCGCCAACCAGACCTTCATCAATTCCTCCAGCGGTATCACTACCACCCGAGAAACCTCATGCTCACGGCTCGCCAACCAGAGTCTATCTCAATCAGGCCGTCACACCGCATCTACTGGAGGGTATGAAGTACCTGGCTGCTTATGAACCTGAGAAGCCCTTGAAGTGGTTGAGCGAGTTTTTAGCGAAGCGCAGCATGGAGACTGAGGGAGAATCATGATGGTTTGGGCACGCACTGGGGCAGGAAATGACAACGTTGCATAGCGAGGGAAGGAGTTTATGAGATTCATTACGGTTGCCCATGTAAAATAGTACAATCACGTCAAGCGCGCTACTGAGGAGGGACGAAGATGATATACAATCGGACACATGGTTTCTTGGTGAGGGTCCAAATTCGGCCCTGGTCGTTCATTTACTTTTTCATCCCTTTGCAACGAGCTAGTGCAAACTCCGGCGACCTTCCAAATACACATGCCCTGAACGCCATGTGGTATCCACGCTTGCTCCTCCTCTCGACGTTTCTCAGTCGTGAGCCGCTTATGCGACGAGGGTGGAGGCGGTCGAGGACTCGTACTTCCAGGTGGGGGGAAGGACACCGACGGTCTTGTAGTAACGGGCAAGACGGTGGATACGGGACTCGATGAGAATCAGGCGGAACTTGGAGTCCTTGTCCTTGCGGTTGCGCTCGAGGTGCTTGCGGACGGCAACAGCCTGAGAGATGCTATGTTAGCCAACAGGGCGCAGAAGTTTTGGCAATCGGGATAAACAAACCTTCTTGATAAGCATGTAGAGGTCCTCGGGGATCTCAGGGGCGAGGCCTATTATATCACTCCGTCAGTCAAAGACCAAACAGAGGCAGAGTTGTATGTTGAAAAGTGGGTATTGGCAATTTCTTGCGCTTCCATCTTTTTCTTTCTTTCACACAGGGTGGACCGTACCGCTGGACTTGAGGATTCTCAGAATCTTGTTACCTGAAAGGTGTTAGTTTTTGGTCGCGCGAAATCTTTGCGACGAGTGGAACATACCAGTGACAACCTTGACCTGGGCGACACCGTGGGAGTCACGGAGGACAACACCGATCTGGGAAGGGGTGGCACCCTTACGGGCGAGCTTGCAGATCTGGTCGACGACCTGCTCGGGAGTGGTCTTGAGCCATGCGGGAGGAGCGCGCGAGTAGGGGATGGCGCTGGAAGCGATACCCTTTCCCTTGGAATGAAGACGGCCCATTTTGAATGTCGGTTGGAAGAAGAAGTTGTCGGATAGAGGGTCGTCAGTTACTCGTCGTCGTTCAAGTTCTCGCAGGAAGCAAAGCCCAAATCAATTTCGCTGGCTGGGGAGGCAGTGCCAAGACTCTCGTGGGCGGGTCTTTCCGACGTTCTTCCGTAGCGAAATCTTCACTCTGCTTCTCACCTCCATAAAGCTTCTGATCTCTACAACATGGAAAAGTCGTGTTCGCAAAGGCGCATTTTTACAACAACCTGGCAGAGCCTGATGGCTCACTGAGCGTGCGACCGCATATGTTGTGCTCAACTCGCGTGAGTGTGGCCTCAGGCTCTGCCCTTCTTCTGAACTGGTATGTAACGAGCCCCCATCCTTGACCCCGACTCTTCCACCAATCTTTACATGATGAATTTTGCTTTATTACTATTTTTCTGGTACCTCTTATGTCAGAGACTTTCACGAGTCTCGATGATCTAAATGGGCTTCTGATCTTTCCAACCATATTTTACTTCGCATCTTGGTCATTCCGCTTGCCCAGCGGCTAACAGTGACTTTTGCAGAAAACCTCCTTTTGAGCAGGACAAGCGAGTTGGTTATACCTGGCCTCGGCACCGGTGTGGCTCAGTGTCGAAAGACATTTGTAGCCCCTAACCCCCTGCTAAGTCCTTGGCTCTAGAATGCAGCTTGGTACTCGAGATTCAGAAATCTCTTTCTTACTTGGCTCCAAGCCATCCATGCGTGGCATCCTTGGGTATTGTTGTATGTCTTTTGGCAATCTTAAATAGCTTCCGAATCAACACATCGCATTTCTACTCCATGTCAATTGCTATACCAACGTTCCCGCTTTGATCGTGGATTTGGGGCGCATGCCCATCACAAGCCGGATAGACGTGAGGCCTTGTCAGATGGCTGTACGTATCTGTGTACGGGTATGAGGATAACGGTATCACCGTTTGATGATGCTTCGATCGGGAAGCACAACATCGGATTGTTATCCGCGCCGTTGCGACAGGATCTGAGTAACGTGAGCTGTCCTGACTCCTGACTCGGGCCGCCATGTGTAATGGGCCACACATCTCCATGTTTTACCCAGGCCATCACACCAGCACACGCTGCGGCAAAACAGAAGATCAACATCCCGTGTCATGTTTGGATGGGAAGCGGATCGCTGTTCTCGCCTTGGCACATGAATTTGGATTCGCTATTTTGGATCTGCAGGAACAAATCTCCAGACACTTCATGTGTCGGGATTGACCCTGTGTTCCTGCAGCAGCCGAGACAGAAGAAGAAGGTTTCTATGTAGCGACCACATGTTGTCCATTCGCAAGCAGGCCACCACCCGTCAAGGTCTCCGCGTCTGACACAGGTTCTGGATACCCAGTGAGTACAAGCGTTGGTAGTCTCTCGCCTGCTTCCTGAGCCTCGGGGCGATGGACATGCAGGGTAGCGCACAGAGTCGGTTCCATGGTGAAACGTCGAGTAAAGCTGCGGCCGTGCGGACTTCTTACAACTGGGCCAAGTCGCCGTCGGGGGGCCATGCCAGATCCTCCACGATCAATTGAAATGAGGGGCGGCAATTGATACGCCAATGATCTTCATGGGCAGCGTACAGGTCGTCATCTCACAAAGACAAGAGTTATTGCGGCTCATCAAACATTACTTTAACTGGTCAACAACAATGCCACTCTTTGTTCGCTGTCGCGCGACAGGTCTCCAGAGTAATGGAGGACAGCGGCACCCACCAAGCCACATGCATTCACGCTAATGTCCAGCGAGATTATGACCCACACTGCGACTCGGCCATAACGGCGCGTGTAAGAAAGGCTAACTCTAGGCGTGCCAGGACCATGACCCCAAGCGCCTCTTTGCTTGCATTGTTCAATATACCCGGGTTTTCGATTTCGCTTTAATCCAGGTCCCAGCCCCCGAGTCGACCTCGAGTCCCATTCCTTTACTTCGTCATTCGCTACCAACAACAAACATACCTGACCAGCAGTCATTCTTTAAGTGTCCTAGTGACATTTTCACGATCTTTACCCAATTTGCATTGAAGTCGCGTTTGATACCCCCTTGCTTTACTGCTATTCGCCTCATATAACCGTGTGCGCATCTTTTACGCCAAACCAAGCAATCCCTATTGACGCTCAACAACACAATGAAGAACATCATCGCTGCCAGTGCTTTCTTGGCTGCCTCCATCTCTGGAGCTGCCGCCGATCTCTGCAGCAAAGGCTCCGTCGACGACAATGGCAACTGGTATTGCCAGGCCGTCGATGCCATCACTTACACCGGAATGCTGGGCAAGGGCTCCTACAACAAGATCACTGCCATGGATAGCAACTCTGGCTCTTGCTCCTCCACTCCTTATGGTTACTCCGGATCAATGTCCCCTCTCGATGAGGAAGTCTCTCTCCATTTCCGCGGTCCTCTCAAGTTGAAGCAATTCGCTTTCTTCTCACCCAGCACCGACTCGTCCGAGCACATGAAGGCCAAGCGTAGTGCCATGCACCGTCACGGCCACGCTCACAAGCATGCTCAGAAGCACAAGCGTGACGAGGATGTTGAGAAGCGTGCCGTTGGCGATTGGGTAACGGCAATAATCGACGGTCAAGCCGTTTCCTGGATCAATGAGTGGTCTGGTGCCGCTTCCACTGCCGCTGCCTCAGTTGTTGCTCCCACCACTTCAGCCGCTGCTGCTTCTGCCGCCAACACCGAATCTGCCTCAGCTGGCTTCTTGCCCAAGCTCTTGAAGGTCAACGCTCCTGTCGCATACAGCTCCAGTGCTAGCTCCAGCTCCGCTGTGGTTGCAAAGGCTAGCTCTAGCTCCTCATCCAAATCATCCAAGTCAACCTCCACCACTTCTACTGGTAGCTCAGGATCCTGGGGTCGCAAGGCTTACTACAACTCCGAGGCCGGTTCTGCAGACAATGTCGTCTTCCTCAACCACAACGGTGGCTCCGGCTCGGGTGTCTTCGACTATACTTTTGGCAACTCACTTTCTTACTCCAACAACAAGGGTGATGCTGGTGCTTCCTCTCCTCAGGTTCTCGCCGACACTCAGCTTGCATCCAACCACGAGGTCATCATCATGTCCGACAAGGAGTGCGATGGTGACTGCGGCTACTACCGTGATGGCAACGTTGCTTACCACGGATTCGCTGGTGCACAAAAGGCTTTCTTCTTCGAGTTCGAGATGCCTCTGGACGGTAACACTGATGCTGCTACCAACGGTGACATGCCTGCCATCTGGATGCTCAACGCTCAGATTCCTCGCACTCTTCAGTACGGCAAGGCCGAGTGCTCTTGCTGGACTACTGGCTGCGGTGAGTTCGATCTCTTCGAGGTCCTTGCTCCCGGTGATCTCCGTTGCAAGTCTACCATCCACAGCAATATCAAGGGCGGCAACTCGGATTACTTCAAGCGTCCCACTTCGGGCAGCATGAAGGCCATGGTTCTCATGAACGGTGAGAACATGCACATCAAGGTCCTCGACAGCGACTACCAGCTCCCCACCAGCCTCGATTCCTCCTGGGTTGGAGACCTCTGCGAGTCTGGCTTGGTTCAGAGCACCTTGAACTCTCTGTTCGCCTTGGTTTCGTAGAAGGCGACAAGTTTCTTGTCCTCTTAACATTCTTGACGAGGCTATGTTTGTAATTTAATTTATTCTGAGATTCGCGAGGAGCATTGGATGTTCATAGCGCTGGCGTGGAGATGGTGTGTTGGAGGCGACTGCACAAATAGTGATTAGCATGCAACAACTGTACTTAGCGAAATTTCAAAATGCATCAACAGCAACATCTCGTCTCTCACTAGCCACTACGGAATTATGATAATCTCTGATACCAGCAATGCGGGCTTCCATATAAAGTGGCTGCGAGGAATGTGGACTTGGGCCTGGATCGAGCGACTGCCGCTACGCATCAATAGTCTCGATCGATCCTCGTCATTCCAATGAAATATTGACACGCGCCTTGTCGGATCAGGAGCATGGATGCTACTCTCGAGTAAGAACGCGATCATGCCCTGACGTTTCGATTGAGTTGAGAAAGACCCTGAACATGTGCTTCCCTCGGCAATGGCCAAAAGCGGAGATTTAGTCCGAACCGATAAAATCGAACATCAAGAAGTAAAATGAGAGGTCGGCATTTTAGTATGAGGCTGTAAGACCAGATAGATCCTGGTCTTAATTCAAATAAAAGCTTTACAGAAGGAGTTGCCTGCAAGACAAAGACCCGTTCACGTGCGCGTGACAAGGAAGGAATCCCAGGCGGCGGCGGCAAGCGGCCGACAAACAGCCTCGGCATCCTAGCAGGACGACAAATAGTCACATTCTCATCAAAACTCTGGGGTCACAACCCTTGAGCAACAGACATAGACACATATCTGGTGCAATGGCGACGCCATCGCCGCCGAAGCCGTGGGAAAGAGGACGCGCTGCCTCATCGTCGGGTACGTTTTGGATCGTCGGCGCTCGACCCCTCCAGACTCGACTGACGTCCATGACACAGCATTAACTTCATCCGCCGCCATACCCACATCATCACCATCATCATCAGCAAACATCACCGGCACCGCTGCGACTCCTGCATTGCCATCGCGACCAGAATCCCTCAACTCGGTCGTGGATCGCACCGCTTCCAATTTCGCCGGCAACCAGCCCTATCAATCATCACCGTACGGCTACGGCGGCGGCACAATGTCTTCGCCTTACTCACGCTACGGCTCCAGCTACGGTGGAGGCATGTACGGAGGTGGCATGTATGGCGGAGGAGGAGGCATGTACGGCGGAAGCCCCTATGGTGGCATGGGAGGCATGGGTGGTATGGGCGGCATGTACGGCAACGGCTACGGCGGCATGGGAGGTCCCATGGGCGGTCCCAATGGCCAGAGCTTGACGCAGACTTTCAGCCAAAGCACCCAGACCACCTTCCAGCTCATCGAGAGCATCGTAGGAGCCTTTGGTGGATTTGCTCAAATGCTGGAGAGCACATATATGGCAACCCACTCGAGTTTTTTCGGTGAGGCATACCTTTGAACACATGCATTGCGGTCTTACTAACGCATTCACAGCAATGATTTCAGTGGCTGAGCAGTTCGGTAACTTGCGCCAAACACTAGGTCAAGTTCTGGGAATATTTACCATCATCCGCTGGATACGCACAGCAATGGCGAAATTGACCGGTCGCCCTCTTCCTGCAAGCAGCACGGAGCTCACCCCTGCCAACTTCGCCAACTTCAATGGTCGTCTCCCTGACGGCTCTCCTACACCTCCTCGTGCCAGCAAGAAGCCTTTCGTCATGTTCGTCGTTGCAGTCTTTGGTCTGCCTTACCTCATGGGCAAGCTGATTCGCGCTTTGGCTCGCAGCCAAGAAGAGGAAGAGCAACGCCGCCTTCAAGCCGAGGGTCCTCAACAACCTCTTGATCCTTCTAAGCTCGACTTCTGCCGAGTCCTCTACGACTTCAACCCTGAAGCCAACGCAAATGTTGTACAAGGTGTTGATCTTGCCGTGGTCAAGGGTGACCTCGTAGCCGTATTGAGCAAAACCGACCCTCTAGGAAATCCCTCAGAGTGGTGGCAGTGCCGTGCTCGTGATGGTCGCAAGGGTTACCTCCCCGCTCCTTACCTGGAGACAATTCAGCGCCGTCCACAAGGCCAAATCACCAGCGGTAACAGCCCTGCAGGAAGTCGTGCTCAGACAATGACCACCGCGAGCAGCGATAGCCGCTCAAATACCATGACCGATAGAGAGAAGGAGCTTGTCAAGGCTGCCCCTAGAGACCTGCCCCCCAGTGTGCAAGGCAAGGCTGGCGATCTTGGCGTTGAGAGTTTCCAGAAGGGTCAGTTCTATTCATGAGACGACCTCTGTTACGCTATATTATGAAGCCGGCGTTTCTGGTAATGATCAAAGGACGGATGTCATTTGGATAATGGCATCTCAAAGTTCGGCATGGGTTATGTTTCTTTTGTATATTTTCCTCATACACTTTCTTCTTACGAAAGGACCAGCATTCTTCATGACTTCAGCCTATTGCTGTGCATTGAGTACCTAGTAGTGTGACTTTCTCAGTAAACGCTGATACGGCAAGCGCGAGTGGAAGAAGTTGCCTTTTTCGATGTGCTGACCAGCCGTGTCGATTTTTGGGAAGGTGCAAGCAACCAAGCCACCTGCCTTCTCAAAGCCAACAATATCTCTCTTTTCCTATCTGCTTACATTTGTCATCCATAAATCTCCGCCAACACGTCCCATCATCCTCCCATCCGCATCCCCAAACACGACAGGTTTCTCCCAGCGACGGACCCATTCACGCGATTCCCTTACTCCAATGCCTAACTCTATTAGGGGGAGACCCAACAGACCACAGCTTACAGGCATCCTCTGCTTCATTGCAAGTCTGCTCCTGTTGCGTGTGTGTCGACCGGGGCAGTTTAGAAGCGGATGACCAATCAAGGCGAACATACCTGATTTCACGGGGATACTGGCTCTGGGGCTTCTGCTTTTGTAACTTCAATCTCCTCCAATTGTTTCCTAACCTTACTCAAGCAAGCCTCTGATCTCATGGTCACTTTACCTTCGTTCTCATCCATCACCTCCGACCACACATCTCATCCTGGGCCAGAGATCTTCTCACGGCCGCGAGTCTCGAGCAACCCCTCCAGCATCCGCGAAGGCAAGCAAATGTTTGTCTGTTCTGACAGAGACACTGCACCTGATTTCGGATGGGGCCCAGTGTGCTGGATGGCTCGACTCTGCTCTACCAGTCCAGGTCTCAAGACTATCCGCAACTCCGCGAGGCGGGCAATTACGTCGATACACAGCACCGTTTCGATGAACACAACCGAGATGTGACATTTTATAGCCCCTCCTCAGATGTTGTTGTAATATCAAGAATGGTTATGCATGTTGATAGCTCATTCACCCTTCAACGTCGACGCCGGAGCTGGCTCAGATCACGAGGCATACCAGAGCAGACTATCTCGAAAGATAGACAAACAAGAGGCCCCACCTCGAGCCTTGCCATCTGAATATAACTTTGGCGAATCGCTATGCTTGCTCTCGAAGCGGCACAACGCGTCAGTGGCCTCGATCTACATCCATCGTGAAAAGCAGTAAGGGAAGAAAGACGGCTCAGGATGTTCCACTTGAGAAGAGGAGACACGACCATGAACAAGAGACATGTATCTGATCAAATTGTGCACTAACAGTCCTGGCTACACTGCTGGTCCAACGCATACATGAAGAAAAGAACATGAGCAGTATGCCTTGAGCTTCAAGCAGTCAATTCCCAGGACTGCTCTCAGATCCAGCGACGCAGTAGCTATCTATGCCTCTCTCGAAGCTCGATGCCAAAGAGATGATGTCTGATTTGTTCACGAGACTGGTGCCGGACGCAGGGTGTTGTAAAAGTTCTTGTTTTGGTATTCGTGAAACAATCGCCATTTGGCCAGTCAGCTTATTTACAGACCAACGTTTTACTAAAGACTACCTGGACCGTCCGAAGCAAGTTAAAACGCCACTGTAAAATAATCAACATGTCATCCATCCGTCCTGCGTGACCCTTGTACTTTGCTCTTCAGATCTAGAAGATTGCCATCAACTCAAATCTGTCACAAGTCTCGTCATCGAGATTAGGGTAGTAAGGCACCATAGCGTCGGCAGCGTGCACGTAGGCATCGTTGTAAAGTCTCCAGTATGGTGTTCTGACCTTTCGTGCCGGGTGGAAGAGACCAGCCCAGACGTAGTTCATCACAACACCAGTACCGACTGCGACACGCACAGCGTCGATGGCCTCAATCATACGGTCGATGACGTGTGGAGATGTCTCAAAGATGTTGGGGTAAAGTAGGTTGAGCAAGTGAAGCATGGCATCTTCGCAACCAAGACCCACAACACCCAGAGCAACGTGCTTGACGACCGAGGCTGCTGTTTGACGATGAACTTGGTCACGGTCAATAAGTGCATCCTCAAGAAGTGGTGTTACAGCATAGACGTAGTCCTTGGCCATCTCGCCGATATACTCGAACAGGAAGGACAGCGACTTCAGAACACCGTTCTGCACGTTGAGTTCGGGTACCCGGTATTCGTTCATCAAAGCTGGCAAGACGGTGAAAGGTGCGCAAGTTTCCGCGACAATGCCAATAGCAACGGCAGTACAAACACGCGATTGACGCTCCTGCACTCGCAAGTTGTTCAGCAGGGTTGCCAAAACATCTTGTGGACCGATGGCCTTGGCGATGAAGCCGAATGTGTTGTTGGCTGCTCGTCTGATACCCTTCTTGTGTGCTTTGAGCATGTCAAGTAGCTCGAAACAGATGCGCATCCATTCTCGAGGGTTGACACTCTCAGGACCACGATCTGCGATACGACCAACCAGATCGATGGTGTTTTCCTGAACTTTCTCGTGACGATTACGAAGGATGGGTGTCAAGCGTGGCAGCAGATCCTTGATTGGTGGCTGCACTTGACTGATACCAATAACTGTGACGATAGAGCGCAAAGCACCAAGCACTGAACCGAGAACCTCGGGATATTCTTCACCAAGGTTCTCGTACAGGTTGATGCTGATCGTGCCCAAAAGATTGTCCTGTCCGCAGTGCTTCATAACAATAGCAATTCGTGAAACTAAGTCCGCGGCTTGTTGTCTGACGGTAGCTGACTTATTGCTCAGACGGAAGAGAATCGTACTGGCAATCTGCGGCAGATATGGTGTGCATCGAGTGTCGAGGGCATTGACCACTGTGCCGAATCCGTTCAAGATGGTCACATCCTCCACTGTCTGTTCTTGGAAGGCGGTCAGAATACCATCGACCAATCGCTCCTCAAGGCGCTCGTTAATATCAGCAGCACCCAAGCTGGCAATGGACTTTTCGATAGTCTCCATTGTCATCTTTCGGTAAGCTTCGCTCTCGTCCTTCAGGTTGTCGACAACTCTTTCCACAATCTCGCCACAGCCGACTTTGCGGCCAAGATCGCCTGTAGTTTCGACGACCTGGACGTAGTTACGTCTGTCCAATGCCATTCTTCGCACCCAGAAACTCTTGAAGAAATCGTCAAGAACAGTCTCCTTCAAGTAAGCAGCAGTCACACCGTTTGTGTTGGCGCATTGTGACAAGACCTTCAGGACCACCTTCTTCATCTCTTCGTCGGGCGACGAGAATTCACGAAGCAGAATCTCCATAATTTGGCTGACGTAGTAATTGGCGAACTCTTCGTCCATCAGAGGTACGACGTAACCGACAGCTTTGAGGAAACCAGCAAGACCTTTGCCTCGCTGCTTACGAGCCCCGGTCCAAAGAGGGTTCAGAATGTCGTCGAAGCTCTCAATACCGTATGGGTTGGCAGCCTCGGCAAGAGCGGCGATAGCCAGGGCAGTTACAGTGCGAACCTTCGTCTGTTCGTCGTTCAAGTTGTCTCCTATGCAGTCGACCAATCCCTTGAGATGAGGCAAGACAGCACAACCCATCAAGATAGGGATTTGTTGCACAATCTTGACACCGGTGTGTCTGGCTTGCCATGACTTCTTACTCTTGCAGACAGCACGCAAGAAGGGAAGAAGTGCAGGGATGCCGAGAGCGCTAGCGACGACTGCGAAAGCACGGGCGGTTGTGTTTCTGACATATTCGTCTGCATGGTCAATATCTGGACGCATGGTAGAAATCATATGTGCAAGACCAGCGGCTTTTGCAAGGTTAGAGATGATTTCACGACCTTCGACACGGGCGTAGTAATCTTGATCAATCAGCAATGGCTCTATAACAACCAAGATCTTGTGGGTGTAAGGCCTGACCAAGTCGTCGAGCTTGTACAGGATGCGGTCAATGACCTTGACGAGCAAATGGCGCTCTTGGTCTTCAAGTGTCTTTTCCATGAGCAGGGGAAGGATCTGGTCAAAGAGTGGGCCGGCACCGAACGAACGAGCGTTGTCGGTAAGTTGGCGAAGCGCAGTCTTACGCATAGGCGGGGTTCCGTTCTTGACTTTGATCAGCAGACGCATGATCTTGCGCTCTTTGAGCTCGTCAACAGTCATTTCATTTTCATCAGCCCCATCGACGAGCTTTCCGAAGTATGTCATATCCTCGGGCTTTAGACGAAGCTCTCCAACTCCAGGCAGCTCGCTCGGTAGATCCTTACCCAGTGATCTAGGGTCGACAGGTTGCTGCATCATGAAACCGCCTTGTAGCGAAGCGGGAGTGCTAGGAACCCTGTGTGCTGGTACTCGCGTAGGCTCATATCCAGGAGGGAATGCCAGAACACGATAGCCATCCTTCTCGCCAGGCAGCATCAGGTCGAGCTCCTCATCAGAGAGCGGAGCATTTCTGCCAGAGATGTCGGTACCATATCCGGCTCCAGCTGCGGGGGTCTGAGAAGGGTGCATCGGAGTAGCGAGACCTGCGTTACCACCAACCGGAGTGGCAGCAGTCAGGGAAGGAGCCATGTCAAAACGAGAGCGCTTTCTTGGCTCGGCCTGAGCTGCAGGTGCAGGGGTAGAATCCCATCGTGAGCGCTTGCTTTCGGGAGCGTCTTCGGTCTTAGCGACAGCGCCGTTTGTAGCAGCATCCTCAGTCGCGCTGTCCCATCGTTGCTTGCGCTTGCGAGGAGCGGCGACTTCTATCGATTCTTCTTCGGCCTTCAGCGTGGGTTTGTGCTCAACAACAACATCATCCATGCCATCCCCTCCCTGGGCCTGCTTCTCTTCAATAAGCTTGTGTACCCGCTCTTCCTCGCGCTCGATCTCACGCTGCTTCATCACCTCCTTGTAGCTTTGACCATCGGGACTGAGTTGGCGGTTGAAGCGGCGTTTCTGGTAGTCTGACTCACGGCTGGCGATTTGGGCTTGCTTCTCGCGGTCGACGAGAATATCGGCTTCTCCATTGGCGTACTCGTTCATTTGTTCGGTGGTGGCAGTGTACTGGCCGACAAGCCTTCTGCTCTGGTCCTCGCCATCAGCATCGTCCATATCGTCATCCTCGACGACGGCGATCGACGTGTTGTATCCGGCATATTTGTCGACAGTGCCATTTCCGTAGAGGTCAGTATCGGCATTGTCGGTGAGCGATTGCTTGGTCGGGTTGGCCCTGGTGGAGGCGCGCTCCTGCTGCAGTCGTCGGATTTCAGCTATTGCCTCGTCAGTCTCGGCACGGCGCGTTTTCGCAGCGCTATTGTGCTTACCGTCAGACATGTTGATGTCGCTATCTCGGCATTCAGTAGGTCATTAATACAGAAGCTTTGCAAACGTTATGATGTTTGCGCGCGGCGTGAGGTTGTTGTCCGATGTGGTAGATGAGTTCGTGATGGTGCTTCTTTCTCAATGTGACGCTCCTCCGGCAAGTTGATGCCAAGTCGGCGGCCTCCCACTCTCCGCCCTCAGTCTCCAACTTCCAGGCTCCAACCCAGTCTGATTCTTTCCTGACCTCGAACTCGTCTCGACATGTCAAGTCGATCTATAAGGCTCTAGTCACTGGCAAAGCTATTTGTACGAGCAGGTAAGGCGTCTGCTGCTTTGCAACTCCTCGCCGAACCGCAACATGCTCGACAACCTCACCAAAATTCTTGTGTCCTTGCTCGAGAAAAACGGTATCGAGGTGGTAGCAAGTGTCTTGTCAACGCAACCCAATGATGTAGCAACCAGGTACGCCAGCGGGAGATCAGTGTACAGAGAGGATTACGAAGTTCGACCATCCGCTCTATTTGATGTTGCGGAAAGTCTTGATGACAGGCCGATATCAGTTGGCTCAAAATTCTCTACAGGAAATTTCGTATAGGTCCGCTTTTTGTTATTATCTTGAAACTCGAAAAATAAGCTCCATCACAACTACATACTTTCTATCACCAACACAATTTTTGATCGTCATCTCGTTCTTTTGTCGCTGTGTTCCTGCCTCACCGCGGAGACTTTGGTCATGGATAACCAATCGCACTATGCTATGAGCACAACACCATCGTTTCCATTCGAGCTGCACTATCTCAAAGCCTTATATCTAAATCACCAGTATAAAGAGTGTGCGCGCAGATGCGAGGAGTTGCTTGATCACAACCAGGTACAATACCCAACGATAATGACGCGGAAATTGGTTGAGAAGCTCATATCTAATACATCTTGCAGGATGAACCAGCACATGTCATCTTCCTCAACTTCTATGCTGCCCTTTCTCATGAAGGTCTCGCCAGAATAATGCATATCTTCTCTGTGTGGAGACTGCCCAAAATCATCGCAGCTGAGTCGGCATATCACAGAGCTTTGCAAGCATGCACAGCTGAAGAGCGCCTCCTTGAAGAGAGGATGACACTCTTCGTGCCGGGATTTGCCTTTGATCAGTCTTTTCATAGACCTACAGCTGCCGAAAAGTCTGATGCGCGCAAAAGGAAGAGCAAGCCCTCTCTTGCGCATCTGGGTCTAGGACTTGAGTCCTTCCACACCAAGTCCAACAAGCGAGCTGAGCGTGTCAACTTCAGCTGGCCACGCTCATTTACTCCTTTGTCCTGTGAGACTGTCAAAGCAATCCAGTACAGTGTATGTCAAGACATGGTCGCCCCCCTTGAAGACCCATTCACGGTATCTTCACCCGAGCCGTCGAGCGGCGCAACGTCAGTCCAAGATACGCCGATCAAGAGCGACAATCTCAGCGCAAATAGAAAAGGCGCATTGCACTCTCCTCATCCTCCATCTCCGACACCGTCTTACAGATCGATTCAGCCCACTGTCTCCAGTGCCCAATCAGCTTACGCCAACCACATCACCGCCATCTACACTCAGATAATCAGCCACCTCGACCATTTGCTCGACCTGAAACAGTCCACCACTACAGAGCAAGCCGAGCGTGTCCGCCGCCAGAGTGGATCCATGCTTTCTAAGCACAGCACCAAGCCGAAGCTACCACAGTCGCGCAGTTTCTGGAGTTTCAAGGATCCTGAGGCGGAGGCAAAGGAGAGAGTCACAAGAGTCGAGGAGGGTAGAGCTAAAGGCTGGAGAACTGAGAGATTTGAGCCGAAGAGATACATGGAATTGGCCGAAGAAGCGCTAGCGGAGCTAGAATCGTAGAGACCATTCGGCTTACATTGTGAAGGCGAAGCACATATCGAGGGAATTCAGGAGAGGTACATACACTCACTAACAGGTTGATTCTCTGACTTCGGATAGACATTCACCTTTTACAGTGAAGACCCGAGCTTCTTTTGTATAATCATAAATGAATGGCATTCATAAGGTCACTAACAAGTAACTCTATCTCAACTACATGTCTCACAGACACATCCACCTTCATCTAGCGTCATCAAAAATCGTCATATCATCCAAAGTCTCCCCAACAACTCGTATCTCGAGCATAACTTTTCGAGCCCTTCAGGATCCGAATCGCACCGGGATGGGCCCCAGCCAGCAGTGATCGCCGGTGTTGAACGAGGATACATACATGGACAAAGAGCGGATGCTAATCCATCACCTTGAGGGCATAATCGACATTCACTCTTTAACATCCAGAGTAGATGGCGTTGGCGTAAAGAGCATAAGAGTCAGCGTTGAGGACGGCACGGGCGCTGGAAAGCTGGGTGGCAGCGCTGTAGCCGTAGCCGTTGTCCTCAGTACCAGGGCTGTAGACACCAGGGGCGTGAGTCTCCTCGTGAAGAACAGTGGTGGCCTGGTCCTGGGCGTGGCACTGAGCGGTCAAGCCGGGGAGATCGCTGAAGAAGAGGGGGCAGTAGGCGATGTAGTTGTTGGAGGGGAGAGTGTATGCAAGGACACCAGACTCGCAGCCACCGTAAATGTCAGTGCCTGTGGGTAGGAGAATGATTAGCTCGCAATCTTTGAATCTCCGGGGTGGAAGCGAACATACAGTAAGTGCGGGTCTTGCCACCAGTAGTGGAAGCACAGTCAGATGCAACGGCTCTGAGGCGGGCAGCAACAGTGCTGCGGACGCTGGAAGAGGTGCTCTTGAAGTAGGTGTTGAAAGTGGTGGCCGAGCCAGAAGTGGCGGCGTTGGCAGCAGCTGTGGCCAGTTTGTTGCAGTTGCTAAGGGCTGAGCGGATAGCGGTCAACTTAGTACCGCTGCAGTCGCCCTGTATGGCGGTACGCTTCTGAAGCTTGCTAATGGCCATCTCGACCTTGGCAGCCTCCTCGGAGTCAACGTCAAGAGAAATGGTGTTGCTCGAGAATGAGAGAGCACTGCCAGAGAGGACAGTGGAGTTCAGCTCGGCGTAGGGAAGAGATCCGGCAGCGAGAACATTGTATGCTCCGCTGGAGGAGAGCTCGTAAAGCTCAGCAAGCTCGACCTCGACTTCGATGGTCTGGCCAGCCATGATAGGCTTGAAAGACTCCTCAGTGAGATCAGTGGTGGCCAAACGCTGCAGAATGCCAGCGAAGGGTGCGTTGGCAGCTGTGCAATGTCAGTAGTGGCCCGATAGTCTTTGGCGTAACACAATCCGGACTTACAGGCAGAGGTGACGTGGAACTTGTCAACGGGGGCGCTGTCAAGGAACGATCCCTTGTAGAACAAGTTGTAGCTGACATCGCCGTTGTTGGTCAGAACGGCCTTGACCTTGGTGTTACCTAGGGGGGTGAGAGTGACATCAAGAGGGGAGGCTCTCTTGTCGAGATCAATGGCGGTGCAGCTTGCAGTGGCAGCCAGGGCAATGAGCTGGGAAAGAGTGACCTTCATGATTGATGGTAGCGAGAGATGGTGATGAGCAGTGGATAGTGAGTGAAGATGTTGTTGTGATGAGATGCAACAAGACGAGGTACATGCACCTACTTATACCTCCTCCTGCCATGAAACGTATCAAAAGCTTGACATCTCTACTTCCTTCCAGCATCAAGCTCGGCGACCCCCTGTTGACCTAGGCGAACTCCTCTGAACGGATTGTAGTACGAAAGATTAGTACCAACCTTGTCATTGGCTCGCTCAGGCACTCGAGTCGATCAAGTAGGCCATGATACGAGCAAGAGGTCCGAATATTTGCAATAGACTCGGCGGCGAGAGGGGTCCATGCAACGCATACAATCGCGCGAGAGGCAACGTCGAACCGTCGAAGCATAACAATGTGGATTCATCAATGTCAATCTAAGAAGGCCACCAGTGATGTGACGCGAATTGGTGTCGGCCATACAATTGTAGTGTATACTGTGCATATATGGTTTGGCTTGGCTGCATTATCTGGTAGGCCGTTTGGTCTTTCGTAACAGCCATATGTACAGTTCTCCAGATTAGTTGAGCCTCAACTGATAGCTTCAGTAGTCTTCAGCTCATTTGAGCGACTACAAGCGAGTGGATGTGATCTTCATGTAAGATTTACAGGAGTATGGCCCAGGCATGTGCAGTTTAGCGAACTCTAAGTCAAAGATCGGCGGAGAATATGCTTGCATCTGTTGCCACGCTGCCACGAGAACAATGAAACCGCCCACAAGCTTACTACAAGGACTCGGCAACGGCCAAGGTAAGAGAAATGCCGGCATGTCTGTTCCTAGATTCTTAGACAAGGGACCAAGCGGGGGGTTCCAGGCATGATGGAAGCGTCTGAGGCGCACATGGTTTCATGTGGCGGGGCAATAGCCAGAGGATAGATAGCACATGTATAGTTCGGATCACATGGCGCCCGACATGAGTGCGAGTAAGGTCCATGCAAAACTCGAGTGTAAGTTTGCTGAGCACCGTTTTAGACGAGCCTCTAGTAGTGACATTGCACAGAGCAGGTCAAAGTAGATCGATAGAGCGGAGCGAGCAATAGCACGTACGGACGTACTGCGAGAACTATGACCATGTTCAGGGCATGAAGTCGAGATTGAGGTAAGAAATGGCTGCAGCGTGGGAAAACATTCAACGGGTCGGGCCATGAAGCAGATCCGCTCTTTTCCGCCTGCCTTTTCAAGACGCCAAGTAGCGCTTGATTGCGCTGGTGCCTTGGCATGCAATCCCCCTCTCGCGCTCCGCTGCACGTACGTCTCAGCTTGATGAGAAAACGAAGCGAAGGCTACTAGGAAAACCTCGGCATGTCTCTGTGAACTATTGCGTTCTACTGCGAGCGACTGTTGCCATTGGGCACGGTGTTTTTAAGATCATCGCAGGCCTGTGTACGCTAGACAACCGAGAAGATAAAATCTTCCACTCAATGTGACCTTCCACATCTGTCTACTCTGTGGTCGATGACAGCCAAGTAACGGTGTGCTCAATCACATACTACCTTCCATTCTTGTTTGTCTGCTTCTTTGCACCTCTCCTCTAGATTCCAAGGTGAAACCGATACCCACACCTCGACTCACATTGTATTCATGGCAGTGCGAGCAGTGATCGTTTCTCTCATCTGCTTCGTCTCTCTCCTCCTCATTACGCACTCCTTTGATACATGCACAAGCTACTACAATATGACAACATCATCTTTCCACGAGCAAGGCTCGACTCAACATCTCAAGCTCCGAATCTCGTCAGATTCGCCATCGGCCCTCAAGGTTACTCTCGAGAACAAACATCCAGATCAAACCTTTACTCTACTCACCTGGAATACACCTCTGGACACACAGGCTTTGAACATCGGTGCTGTTACCCTTGAGGAGGTCAAGACTGGAGAGGCAGTGTCAGGACCGAACATGAAGATCAACAGAATGATGCCTCCTCCTCGCGACGCATTGGTGGAAGTCCGTCCTCAGTCTTCTATTACCAGAGAAGTCAAACTCGATTTCCCATGGATTCCAAAGGATGGAAAGAGCTACCGTGCTCTGACTCCAGGACCTTGGAAGGCTGTGTGGGCCAAGTCAGCGGCTGAGGTCATGGACAAGGAGATTGAGGAAATGACTGGCGACAGCCATCTGAGCAAGGATATCCACAGCGAGAGTGCTGAGATACAGCTCAAGGTTTGAACGCTATCGTACGATTGATATGCAGAAAAGATGATGAAAATAAGCCGGTGCTGGTATCAGAATAGACTAGATTATGTACTTGATGATGACATGAAGTGTGTTCACACGATGTTCCTAGAGTTGTCCACCGATTCTTGGCTCGTATCCTGTAACGACAGCTCATCTGGTACCCACGGTTACGGTCAGCTAAGAAGCAAAGCGCAAGATCTCTTGTATAGCTTTACATCCTCGACACTTGCTAGCTGTGTGATCACAACTCCACGTTTAATATATGGAGATTAACGAGGCACACAGACTATGCGATCAGACGGGCTAGAATATAAATAATAGAAATGTAATTCTTAAATCGTTGTGTCAACTACATAACACTATGCTCTCGACGTCTCCAAATACTCCACTTGTTGATTCTTCTCTGCCATGGTACCCTTCTCATCATCGAACAAAGCAGGCGTAACTTCGACCTTGGCACCATACCTGCCCACCTTCCACCACGGCAACTCGAACACAGCATCCAAACTTTCCAGTGAACGTCCACTAGTCTCGGGTAGGAAGAAGTACACCCATGCCAAACCAAGCAATGTGATGGCCGAGAAGAAGAACATTGTTCCTGCGGTGGTCATGCCGACAAACATCTCGGGCACAGCTTTTGAGTTACCGTACTGGTTAACGAAATGGAACGCCATGGCGATGGAGCCACCCAGAGCGCGCAGACGCAGGGGGAAGATTTCGGCGTTGATGAGATATTGGATGGAGTTCCAGCCCATGGCCCACCCGAAGCCGGAAAAGTAGATCATGACGATGGCGCCTTTGGCAGCATGCTTTTGACTGGCTGACTGAACATCGCCCTTTTTTCCAATAGTGGTGTCGATGGCCAGGAAGAGCGCCATGTATAGCATAGCGATGAACTGGATGCTGATACCAATACTCAAGGAGCGCTTGCGACCGATAAAGTCGACGAGGAAGAAAGCACACATGATGGCACTGATGAATTTGACGAGACCAAAGACTCCAGTGGCGAGCAGCTTTTCTTGAGTGCCCGTTGTGCCCATCAGAGCAAAGTACTGAGGAGCGTAAACGGTGATTGAGCCCGCACCACTCCACTGACCCAGCAGTTGAGCACCAATGGCCAGGAAGATACGGTATCTGTTTGCTGGCATGACGAACAGTTCTCGAAGGAGACCGACTTTCGAGGCACCCATTGTAGCTTCTTGTTCGCGTTCCAGTTGACTGTTGATATCGATGATCTCGGTTTGCACGAGTTCGTGATCCTGTCCAAGTCCACGAAGTCTGCATAGATTCTCGACAGCTTTTGCCTGCTGCTTGGTCTTGACAAGCCAACGAGGACTCTCGATGGCGAAAAAGCTGAAGGTGAAGATGATGGCAGCGAAGTAGAGGTGCAGTGTGTTGGGAATCACCCATTGAATGGGGTTGTGGTTGCTGATGTGCAATGATGTGCCGTAAGATGCAAAGTACCCGAGCATGATTCCCAAGTAGACTGAGCCGGAGAAGATGCCAACACACAGTCCACGAACCGATCTGGGAGCGACTTCGGCAAGGTATGTAGGGGCGACGACGGTTGTCTGTCCAATGCCCAGTCCGGCGATAAATCTACCGGCGTACACCATGCCGATACTGCCATGAGCAGCGGCACCAAGAAAGATGGAGATACCAGCCACCCAAACTAAGCAGAGCTCACGAACAGCCCAGAGTCTGCCAATCCTGTCGGTGATGGGGAATGCAAAGAGAGCACCAAAAATCGATCCGAGTTGGACCATGGATGTAATGTTGGAGAGGAGGTTGGCCTGCTCGGTCGCAGTCATGTGAGGATTCTTGAGTCCGAATTGGGTGACAAATGATTTTTGAGAGGTAGTCGTTCCTATGAGACCTTCATCGAGACCACGGGCAGTGCCCAACAAGCCAAAGACTGGGAAATTGTCAGCCACAAGGCCTTGAAGGCGTACTTAAGCAAGACCAAGCATACCAAGCACTGCATAGCCAAGACGCCAGTTGAGAACCTCTTCAGGTAAGTCCTTGGCGTATCGTCTGAACATTGTAGCGAAATGGTCGTTCGTCGACTGCTAGGGAGAGAAACGAGTGCTGAATGGGAAGCGAAGAAGACAGGCAGCGCGAGGGACTAAAAAGGATACGAGTGCCTGCCTGAACGCACCAACACATTGCATCCCACCCCGTGGGACACCCCGGCAATTCGCTTCATAGCCTTTCAGTGGAGCATCTGTGGAGTCTCCGCTTGAGAAAAACCTAGGGTTGTCAGCGGTTCGTCCAGAAAGGGCAAACCATCGGCAAAGGAGCGTGCATGAGTCCAGCGGTCGGTAAAACTTTTACCCTCAACGCATCATTCCATTAGGGGTATGGAGTCCATCGACCACATGGCCCCTAGACGAGCGATACAGCCATAGCTGCAACGATCCATACAATGTAGAAAGAGAGACATCATCGACCAGTCTGGAGGAGCTACATGCCTCGATTTTGGCTTGACATGTCAAGCTGGCCAAGGATGCTTGAACGGCATTGGCTTTTGTTTGTGGCTGAGACGATACGAAACTCTGTTGGTGGCTGCGGCGGGGAGACAAAGTTGCATCGATTTGTCGCGGCATTTTCGTAAGAATGACCATCGGTAACTATTATTTCCGGCGCTGTCCTATCGCATGGCGCAGATCGGCTTTTGGCAAGAGAGGGCTTTGTCCATACGCCGAGTTGCAGGTGCCGAGGTGGAAAGAGCGTCGGATGTGTCCAGTTTCGGAAGCAATGGCCGACGACTGCTATTTTACCTACCGTGCTGTGCACTATCCTTGTAGTCTTGAGGTTATGATGCCAGAGTAGCAGCAAGACTTGATGGTGATGCACTGGCTAAAGGTGTAACTTGAGACATGGCAAAATTATCCGTCATGGTCACTGATGCTTGATGCGTCCTGTTTCGCATTTGAATCTGTCTCGCAGTCACCAAGCTTACGTGGATAGAAGTTCAACCTCTGTGCTTTTCGAAGCCTCTACTCTCACAGCTCCATGGCTCGAGTCATTCCTGACTGTTATGACCTGCGTTCTCATTTCGACATTCATTCTTTCGGCTCAGTCGACTGGTTTCAGCTGGAGCAGACGACTTGTAGATGACATGGGCCAAGTTGAGGACGAGGGTTAGTGCGGATGGAGTCATGCAAGCACAGTAGTATGTACTTTTATGGTTGCAGACTCGACCGAGATATCAGATATATAAGGTGTGACAAAGCGATGCCAATTACATACGGCCATAGTCAGCTGAAAACTGGGCATCCCGTCCGCTCTGCCATACATAAGCAGTTGAACGGCAGATTAGTACTACGGTGGGTGACCACGTGGGAATCCCTGCTGCTGTATGTTTTGCATTTCTTTTATCCTCTTCCTGTTTCTTGATCTTGCATTACAATCAGAGACACAAGAATTTGTCTATCATCGCTGGTTTCTCACATGCACACTGATCCAGTCAAGTTTGCAGGCCTTCTGGAAGGTCGCACTGGTCAAGTGTGAAAGTGCTTTGATCTTTGTTTCTTGTCTCAATATCATTGTCCATGAGAGACACTTGGAATTACGGTATCGAATCTATACAAGAGCGAATGGCAAAGATCAAATCTGTATTGCGAGCAAACGTTACATCACTAAAACCCAGCATGAAGTCAATTTTCCGAAGCAGACAGCACAGCAAAGCAGAGTCAGAGACATCGGACAGAAACAGCGGATCCACAACGAACGGAGAAGTCGCTCCAACATCATCGATTGAGTGGTGGCTTGCTCGTGAGAACGCCTTCGATACAGCGTGTCGGGTATACCAACAATTGCATAGGGACTCGGACAAATCTTACTACTCACGCGAGCAGGACTACGATCAAAGTGAGGGAGATTCGGAGTCTCTAACTTCTCTCAGCCCATCATCTTCGGATTGGAACGCCAGTTGTTTGTTCTGGAGTGCTCGGCGTTCCAAAATGTGGGTTACTCATGTTGCGAGCAGCAGATGGACTACCATTGATCTGGAGGACGGCAGCAACAGATTCACCGAGCCAGCAGCAACCATGGCTACACCAGAATCAGAACCTCGAATCAAGGCCCCTACCGAACATGAAGGCGAAACCGAGAAGAAGCCTGAAAGCAAGACGGACAGTGTGATCGAGATCAAGCCCACTGCTGTCAAGCTCCAACACAAACCGAAATTGACCTTGCAGATACCCAACGTCGTGCCAGCTTACTACTTCGGTCGCGAGCCAAACGATTACTCCAGCTGTAAGTCTCGTGTTACGAGCGAGGAGCGTGTCGAGTGGAAGAAGAACATGTTCTGAGGAATCGATTTAGGACGTGGCGGTAAGGCGGGGGTCAACAGGCAGGCGAACCATATAAATGGATGCGCAGAAGTGCAGAGGCAATGCAGCGTTTTGGAAGAGTCCTGAATGCTGGACAATTTGTATGCAATGGGGGCGGAGCAGCGACAGATTGTGAGGGTAAGCTGGATGACTAAGATTACTTTGTTGGATGATGATTCCCAGCCTCGTCGGCAGAGAGCAAGTCCGAATGGAGAACGATACATGCCGCGTACCTTCCTTGACAAGTTTGTGAGGTTTACGACACGCCACTGTGTTTGGAGGATTGTCAATGTCGTGCGCGATATATATACAAATAGAAACACGTGTCAACACTCATGAACAGTGTAAGTTGTAGCCAGCGGAGCTTGTGGTAGAAATAGATTGAGAGTCTTCGATGGAGTTCCGAGCCCCGCATGTGAAGCTCTGTTTCCTGATCCGGCTAGTGGCAAGTTGGTCTAAACGTGTCCTGTGCCGGCGATACTGAGACAGCTGGTTACTTTAAGGCCACTCTGTTCTCGCCGATTACTCTTACTCTCGACAGTCTTTCATTGCTTGACAAGAGTTGATCAATTGATTCAAGATGAAGTTCAACAGCGCCTATCTCGCCGTGGGTCTCTGCGCCGCCATCTCTCGCGCCGACGTGCTTGAGGATCTCGAGGATTCCGCCGTCGATGCTTCGTCGTCTGTTGCTTCGGTCGTCGAGTCTGTGACTTCGTCGGCTGTCAGCAAGCCCACCTTCACCCCTACCACCCTCAAAGCTCCTTTCCTCGAGCAGTTCACCGACGACTGGGAGTCAAGGTGGCAGAAGTCCGAGGCCAAGAAGGAGGGCACCGAGGAGGAATGGGCCTACGTTGGTACCTGGAAGGTCGAGGAGCCTTCAGTCCTCCGCGGCATCGAGGGCGACAAGGGCCTGGTGCTCAAGGATAAGGCTGCTCACCACGCCATCTCGGCAAAGTTCCCCAAGGCCATTGACAACACCGACAAGACTCTGGTTGTCCAGTACGAGGCAAAGTTCCAAGGTAAGCTTGTTGTTTCACGTTACACACCAGCCGTCACGTCTAACACTATGCACAGCTGGTCTTGAGTGCGGTGGTGCCTACATGAAGCTCCTTCAGGACAACAGCGCCCTCCACGCCGAGGAGTTCTCCAACGCCTCCCCCTACATCATCATGTTCGGTCCCGACAAGTGCGGCTCCACCAACAAGGTCCACTTCATCTTCCGCCACAAGAACCCCAAGACTGGCGAGTACGAGGAGAAGCACCTCAAGAACCCTCCCATGGCCCGCATCAGCAAGCAGACCTCCCTCTACACCTTGATCGTCCGTCCCGACCAGACCTTCGAGCTCAAGGTCGATGGCACTTCGCTCAAGACCGGTTCTCTCCTCGAGGACTTTACTCCCGCCGTCAACCCCGACACCGAGATTGACGACCCTGAAGACAAGAAGCCCGCCAACTGGGTTGAGGAGGCTCAGATCACCGACCCCGAGGCCAAGAAGCCAGCTGACTGGGATGAGGAGGCTCCCTTCGAGGTTGAGGACACCGAGGCTGAGAAGCCTGCCGACTGGCTCGAGAACGAGCCTCTCCAGATCCCTGACCCTGAGGCCGAGAAGCCCGAGGACTGGGATGATGAGGAGGACGGTGACTGGATGCCCCCTCTTGTCCAGAACCCCAAGTGTGACGAAGTCTCTGGCTGTGGTCCCTGGAAGGCTCCCATGAAGAGAAACCCCGAGTACAAGGGCAAGTGGTCCGCTCCTCTGATCGAGAACCCCGCCTATAAGGGCGTCTGGGCTCCCCAGAAGATCGCTAACCCCGACTACTTTGAGGAGAAGACTCCCTCCAAGTTTGAGCCTATGGGTGCCGTAAGTTTGACCGTTCCGATCCCACTTCAAACACGACGCTAACATGCATACAGATTGGCTTCGAGCTGTGGACCATGCAGAACGACATTCTCTTCGACAACATCTACATCGGTCACTCCGAGAAGGACGCCGCCGCTCTCGCCAAGGAGACCTTCGAGGTCAAGAACGCCGTCGAGAAGGCCGAAGAAGAGGCCACCAAGCCCAAGAAGGACGAGACCAATGAAACCCCCAAGTCCCCCATGGACCTCAACTTCATGGACGACCCCGCCCTCTACGTCCGCGAGAAGCTCGACCTCTTCATCACCATCTTCAAGCGTGACCCCATCCAGGCCGTCCAGTTCGTTCCCGAGGTCGCTGGCGCTATCGGTGTCATTGTCGTTACCATCATCGCTCTCCTTCTCGGCGCTCTCGGTGGCGGTGCCGCCGCTGCCCCCAGCAAGGAGCAGATCAAGGCCAAGGCCGACCAGGCCAAGAAGGCTGCCGTCGACACCAAGAACCAAGCTGCCGAGGCCGTCGCCTCTGGAGCACAGGCTGCCAAGTCCGAGGTTCAGCAGAGAAGCGGTGCTGCCAAGTCAACCTAGATTGAAGACTGGAAGCCCATGTTGCCTGTCGGCCCACAACTCTGAATGAAGTAGTTGAAGTTGATGAGGGTGAAAAGAGAGAAAGGGAAGATTTTGACATCGTTACTATTACCCAGCCAAAAGGCTACGTTTTGCTAGTTGTTTTGTAAAGAGGAAAAGTTGAGAAACTTTTTTCAAGCTTTTTATATGATATGTTTACTGCACATGACCTTTGCTATCGTGGAAGTTGCAATTCTCTCTCCTCGGTTCTGTGTGATTGTAGTACATGGAGAGATGCCAGTGTGTTGATGAACGTTCTCGAACCTGCCGTATGTAATCTCTAGAAAAACTAGCATCGACATGTTTGTACTCGTGGAGTAGTGGCAAGAGCATCGGTAGTTCAATGTCAAATGCTTTATAGCTGACTACTGTCCATTTACAGTCTCCTCCTTCACTGTCTCGCACTTTAAGGTATGTTCTGTCTACACATCACAACCTTCCACGACGACTCGGTCCGTCCCTTGACTTGTGTGGTCGGTAAAGTCAGCAGAGAGAGTTATGTAGATATTGGTTTGCTTCGGAAGCTCTCGGGTTGAAGATGTGCCGAAGCCTGCGGATCGCTGGTGGTACCACCCTGTCATCAATATCCCCCTTGACTTCCAATTTCCGGGCCTGTCATAAATTGGAGTGTCGATCTGCTATAAGTATTTAGCAACGCCTGAATATACCCTGAATGCACCACCATACTGTTGTTGCTGTTTTGTGGGAAGTTCATGCCAATACCACATTTCCGGAGGTATCTTGCGGAATCCCCAGGTCCAGCTATGGAAGCACGGATAACACAAATGCCATTCCCCACCATTCCCCAACGTTATTCACCAGGTCATCACAATCATGCCGATGTACACGACCGTCCAGATCGAAAGATGCATAATAACGTTAATTGCAATGATTCATATCTATCCAATGCCAATCATGCTTACCCGTATTCCAGACACCAGGTCCTTCAATCAATGCAATATGTACAACAACCCAAACCTTTCCAAGAACAAGGTACTCAATACTTCTGCCTAACACCACCTCTCAATCCTTCCTTCCACAAACAACATACACTATGCTCCTCACACCATTTCTGCACCATCCAAGGCTGCAACTCTTCCTTGATCATCTCCATTGCCTCTTCAGCGACATCGCTAGCATTCTTCTTTCCCTTTGCTTTGGATACCATGACTTCTACTCGCACGCCTTGGGCGTTGAGCCACAAGGTCAAATCTTCAAGCACGATGGGATCGTAGAGAAGGATTTTCTCGTGCCATGTAGGAGTTTTGTGATCCCGGCTTGGTGGTGTCGAGCGCACCGTCTGCGTGATTTTGGGAAATAATGTTGGAGCGATAGAGGGCCACTCGGCTTGCAATTGCTTCAAACTGCATCGGACCGTTGCCGAGACCATGGCTGGAAGAAGTGGTGGAGGTGGCCTGTCAAATTGTAGTGTTCCCTTTGGTGGTGAATCGGTAAGACGTCGTGGTGGAGAAGCAGTTTGAGAAGCCATTTCTGCATCTGTAATGGCGTCAATATCGAGATAGTCTGAAGAAGGCTCGGCGATTGCGGCATGTCGAGTAGATGCGCCAGGCGTGGACGGAAGCTTGCGAAGCTGGGATGAGATGGGCAGGGCGCCAGGGCTAGCAGATTTTCGAGGTCGTCCTCTTGGTCGCACTGGCGAGGCAAGCTTCGGAGCAGGTCCTAGTCTTGGTGGTCTTCCTCTGGGCTTGGATGGCGACAGTACAAGGCTCTGGCTGGGCAGCGCTTCAAGTAATCTTGCTTGCGAAGGTCGAGGAGAGGCTGGACTTGGACTGGCGGCCAGGAAACGTCGCCTCGCGTCTGCTCTAGTAGCGGGGGATGGATCTACCACCCGTCTGACGATAAGAGACGACCTCTGTGTAGCTGCACTGTCCGTCACTTTTCGTGGGCGGCCAACGGGCCGCTTTTCTGGAGAGTCTAAACTAACTACATTTGGCCTTGTCGTCTTGGGTTTCTTGGGAGAGACAGCAAGCTCTTTACTCTCTGGATCGATTGTCTGTTTCGTGATATTTGTATTTGGATCTCGAGCACCAAGAGCTCGTCGAGGTGCAACTTCCAATTCTGGAGTCGTGTCCAAAGATATGACCTCACGCGATGCGGGGGCAGCTGGCCCCTTCTTAGTTACCGAGTCAATGGGAATAACATCTGACTCAATCTGTTTGGGCACATGTGCTGTCTGGGGTGAGGCACCACCGGTGTGATCAATATCGACATACCCTGAGTCTGGGGACTCGTGCTCCTTGGGCGCTGACGACGATATGGTCAACACCTCAATCTGTGGCCTAACTGCCGTGCGGCGGGTCTCAGGGGCAGACTTAATACTGCTGCGCGGCGGATGCTCTGGTAATTGCGTATCACCGCTTGTAAGCACTAGGTCATTGTCATCGCGGGACTCGTCAGAGGCAAAAGTCGAATCTTCAAAGTCTCTAGCAGCAGACAACCACAGGACTCTGTCAGCCTGTCCAATAGATAGGCTGGTTCCGTGAGGAGCAGATGGTACGCGAGCACAACTTGTCGTGCGTGAGATGTCCACATGCTGGGACAGAATCATGTCCTCAGACTCCTTAAGTGCTTGCTGGAGTTCGTGAAGCTCGGTGGGAGACTCTGCGCCAGCCAATTGACTCGAGCTGCCAAAAAGCCATTGCTGTCTTTTGGCATTCTCGCGTGCTGCTTCTGGAGAGTCCAGTTTGATGTGCACCACAGGCACGCTGATCTGAACTTTCTTTGCAGCTCTTTTGCGTTTGGGTGCTGGCTTATTTTCAGCAGCTTGAGGTTTTGTGGGCTCTTGCGTTTCGGTATGAGCGATAGTGTCAGCACCAGGCTGCGGTTGTGGGAAAAAGTCCGAGATAAGTTTAGCCTGATCAGCTTCAGCGACATCAGGCCGTGGGAGATAAGCGGCGGTAGCGAGGGCAGTGATGGTCAGGGGCTTTTTCTTCGGTGCCTTTGGCTTCTTAGGCGGTTTCGGCTTTGGTTCCTTGGGCTGCTTGGGCTCTTTTGGTTCTGTAGCCTTCCTCTTCCGTTTCTTCGGTGCTTCAACTACAGCCACATCGACAGGGTCCAGACGTTTGCGTTTGGTCGTGACGCTGTCGCTCGAATTTCGGGAGAGAGGTGGTGAGGGCCTAGATTGGTCCTCTTGGTATGCAAAGTCGCCTATCAACTTAGTAAAGTCCAAGGTTGGCGGAGCATCAATCGCATCATCCTCATGTAAGCCAACTTGGATAGCATTGGAGTCGGGGTCAAGCGAGGTCTCGCTACTTTGCTGGAAGGATGGCGGAAGGGCGGATTCTGTTGGTGGGGTCCAATCGCGTCTGCGTCTTGGAGCTGCATCAAGTTCGAGTAGGTCAGTCGCAGCTTCGTCTTGTGCATTGGGCCACACGCCAGAGTCGACTGCCCCCAAGGTATCAACACCAGACGCTTCGGGTTCAATAGTTATTTCATCAGCAACTGGGACTGCTTCTGCCGGTGACTTCGTCTTGCGAGGTTTGCGCGGGGGCTTGGGCTTTTCGCCAGCTTCGACGGTGGTCGCCGGATCTGTTGTCTTCTTCCTGACACGTTTTGCTACAACCTTCGTAGCCACAAACTCGTCGTTTATAGCAGTCGCGGCGTCTTCAATGGCAGCTGCCTTCTTCGGACGTCCTCTCTTCGGAGCCGGGGGCGCATCTGTCGCGCCTTCCTGTTCGGTTGCCGTTGCGCCCTGCCTCTTGCGTGTCCGGGGCTTAGGAGGGACTTTCTCAATGTCACCAGCGTCGGGACCCTCGGTGGTGGTGGTTCTTTTGCGAGTCCGCGGTTTGGCGGCAGTATCATCTGCATTGACCGCCTTCTTGGGTCGTCCTCTCTTGGCCTTCCCAGGAGGGGCAATCGCTTCTGTCGCCTCAGCTTCGTGGCCGGTCTGCGACTCGAGTTCGGCAAGAACGGACCTTGCCGTAACAAAGCCCTGAGGCCGTGACGCCGGCTGAAGAGATGATATGGACGGCAACGATGGCGAACTCATCTTGAGCTTGGGATGGTCACGAGCGCGACGTGTTACAGTCGTCGTCGCAAGTGCCAGGCGCAAGACGCCTACATGTCTGATCCAGTTGGCAATTTTCGACTCGCTCCTAAATGTGCAGCGTGTTCGAATCGCAATTGCATGTCATGTCGCGTTATTTGAAGAAAGCTGTAGCATGCACGTTTCCCATGCCTGGGCAGATGAAAGAAGCGCGTGTGTCGCTAGCTTTGTTTCGCGCTAAAACGACCCGTCGCCGGAGCCGCCTTCACCTGGCTGTCCTCTCCACTATCCGCGTAAGGTGTTAACCTCATTTGCCGACCTATTATACGACTACCCACCGATCATCTTCTTTGCCACTTATGCTTCCTTAAGATGCCTAATATTGCCCTGCTGCTGGACGCCGATCCATATCCGAAGATATGGCAAACCCTTAAAGCGCCCGTCGCTGCGAATCTGGGGGAGGCAAATGATAATTCTTTGAGCTTCTCTCACCATATCTTGAGCCACAAAGTCTGTATTGGTTTTTGCTTTGGCCTGCAGCAACGCTAGCCCGCTGGTTCCCGGACCTCGTTCCCAAGAAAGTATCAGTCTTCTGTTTTATATATACCATCTACTTGCCGTCTTCTTTTTGGACTGCCCTATAAGGTTTCCTCTCACCTGCTCTCCTTCCGCTTTGCCGTGTAACCAGCACAGCTCTTCCACCTGTTCTGGTATGCATACCCGCAGCCATGAACCAGGAAGATTCTTCTTTTACTTCCCCGTCGGATCCTCAACTATCGAATGCAGCTCTCCAGATTGGTAGTACCGCTGGAGAAGCAAGTCCATCGCGAGCAATTGGACAACCAAGAAAACGAGCACCACTAGCGAGTGTTGCTTGTCAAGATTGTAGAAGACGGAAGACAAAGGTCTGTTATTCCACGATTGTGAGACGCCATATTGTATGATCTCTTGCCTGACTCGATGCGACAGTGCGACGGCAAGAAGCCTGCTTGCAGCAATTGTGCTAAGCGAAATGTGCAAAATTGCACCTATGACCTTGAACCCAATCAGTCCAGAGTCGCTGCTTATAAGCAGAAGATTGAACAGCAAATGTCGACCATCAGGACATTAGAAGATGAAATCTCTAGGCTCAAGTATTCTCCTATGCGGCCTGAAGGTATGGGCCGACTGCCCGTGGCCCACACATTGCAGTCTTCGACCTCCCCGGGTGGAGTCCCAATGCGAGATCTTTTGAATCCAGCACCGGAACCAAACCCGTCATCCTTTGGTTACGGCTCAAACGGCCCAGGTGCTGCTCCTAATCCAGCTCCGCCCCCACGGGATCAAATGTCTAGAATGCGAGATATTCAGCACAATCTTGAGATCGAGAACCGCTCGCTGAAAGAGCTGATCTTACTGCTCAACTCGGTTGTCGATCGGGAGATTGCACAGCAGATGGCCCAAGAGATCAATATCCACGGTGCATCCGACGATGTGCTATCAAGGGCGCAGCATCTGGTCGCTATGCAAGTACGGAGACCTCTACTCACAAACTTGCAACACGAAGCTAAAGGAAAATCTCAGCGACCTCCTGGACGTTCTGCGGAGAAGTCATGGCCATGAAGACCGCGCTATTGGACACTGGTAGATTGATCATCGGGAGGAGCTTCAGCTAGGTACACTGACGCCAAAGTCAAGCAAGGATTCAACCTCAATCGTGCATGCATGACCTATCTTTTTCGAAGCCTGTCCGACGAGACGTTTTTCCAGGCATATCTCCATGTGACGCGAACTCCAGCACGATCGCGGTGGGACAGGCAGAAGGGCGTCAGGAGACTGGAAGATCTCGGAGTTGTCACATGAATGCAAATTTTGATCAGACAAGTCATGGCGATTTCAAAAGTCATATCAGAAGATAGACCGAGAATGCTTGCGAGATCAGTCAGAGGCAGCACGACGAAAATACGCAGTGAGGTCCGAGAGAAGCTGGAGAAGCGCCAAGGCCGAGATCAGGTATGACATGGAGCTGCGATCGGCAGACGGATGCTCAAGTGGGAAGGTCGGTCTCACAACGGCCTATCTGACGCTCATAGGCGAAGAGATGGCGTGCCGTCGCATGTCAATGTTCGCATCTGTGTTCTTCAGCTTCTCTTCACACTCTGTGTCTCTGGGTGAAACAGCGCCTTGACGATGAAAGAGATGAGAGAGAAGAATACAGCTCAAGACATGGCCTCCAACGACGAGCGAACCCCGCTCATCCAAGTCGTTGCCGTGCGACCCCATCGTGACCGATATGGAAACCATACTGTGAGTTTGTTTGTGATATCGGGGCCATGGCCCCATCAATTTGATACAGGCAAAGACGGTCGCTAAGACAGCACAGCTTCGCCGCTTTTGCACCATAGCCTTGGTCGTCCTACCGCTTACGACGATTGCGCTCGCCTTTCTGTCTTTTGCCTTTGGTCAGAGTGACCTGTTCGGAGATGACAACCAAGGACATCTGGTACCATGGAAGAGTCTGTCAGGCCCGACTAAGCCACCTCACTCACAGTGGCCTGCTGGAAACGGCTTGAGCTTCTCCGACTTGAAAGATATTCTCTCCTCCACACCTGACCCTAAGAAGGCCAAGGAATGGTCGCAGTATTACACTGCTGGCGCTCATCTCGCTGGACAGAACTTGAGTCAGGCTGTCTGGACAAAGGACAGATGGCAAGAGTTTGGGGTGAAGAGTGAGGTCGTGCCATACGAAGTTTACATCAACTATCCTCTGGACCACAGACTTGCTCTGTTGAAGGATGGAGAAGTGTCATTCGAGGCCACTCTCGAGGAAGACGTCCTGGAAGAGGATCCTACATCTGGTGACGAAGATCGTGTGCCTGTTTTCCATGGCTACTCTGCCAGTGGTAACGTCACTGCGCAATATGTATACTGTAATTACGGTACATTCATGGACTTCGAGAACTTGCTTGCTGCAGGTATCGAACTTGAGGGCAAGATTGCTCTGGTGAGATACGGTGGCATCTTCAGAGGCCTCAAGGTCAAGAGAGCTCAGGAGCTCGGCATGGTCGGCACAATCATTTATACCGATCCTGGCGATGATGGTCTCGTCACAGAGGTCAATGGTTACAAGCCTTACCCAGAAGGACCTGCCAGAAACCCAAGCAGCGTGCAGAGAGGCAGCGTGCAATACTTGAGTAAGTTTGTGTCAACTTTGTCGTCATATCATTACTGACCTCAATCTACAGGTCAGTTCCCTGGTGACCCTACCACTCCTGGCTACGCTTCAAAGCCCGGCGTGCCTCGCCAGCCTGCAAATGCCTCCACACCTTCCATCCCGTCACTGCCGCTTTCATACGCCGAGGCCATTCCTCTGCTCCAGGCTTTGAACGGGCATGGTCCAAATGCCTCTTCTTTCCCCAATCGTTGGCACAAGGGCGGTCTTGAACACAAGAACGTTTCTTATAACATTGGTCCCTCTCCACCATCCGTCACGGTCAATTTGATGAACCTTCAGAACTACACCATTACTCCCCTGTGGAACACCATCGGTATAATCAACGGTTCTCTCTCAGATGAGGTAATCGTGATTGGTAATCACAGAGATGCTTGGATAAAAGGAGGAGCTGGTGACCCCAATTCGGGCTCCGCTGCACTCATCGAGGTCATTCGCTCTTTCGGTGTTGCTCTTTCCAAGGGGTGGAAACCACAACGCACCATCGTCTTTGCGAGCTGGGACGGCGAAGAATATGGTCTTGTCGGCTCCACCGAGTGGGTAGAAGACTACCTGCCATGGTTGAAGGACTCTGCTGTCGCTTATCTCAACGTCGATGTTGGTACTCGTGGCACACGCTTCAATGCTAATGCTGCACCCCTGCTCAACCAAGCCATATACGAGGTTACCAAGTCTGTCAAGTCGCCAAACCAGACTGTAGAGGGAGCAACTGTGTACGATCAGTGGGACAAGCACATTGGAACCATGGGATCTGGTTCTGACTTCACAGCCTTCCAAGATTTCGCTGGTATTCCCAGCGCCGATTTTGGCTTCGGCAAGACGGGGCCCTTGGATCCTGTCTATCATTATCACTCTAATTACGACAGCTTCGCCTGGATGGAAAGATACGGAGACCCCACGTTCCAGTACCACGTCGCCGCTGCTAAGGTGTGGGCGTTACTGACCGCTTCCTTGAGCGAGAGAGCTGTCGTCCCGTTCAACGCCAGCGACTACGCTACCAACCTTGAGAGATATCTTGACAGCGTGAAGCGTATGGCCGAAGCCTCCGACATGGCTCACGAGGAGAAGCTCGCACCTTTCAAGCATCTTGACAAGGCTATTGGACACCTGCAACACGCAGCCAAGAGCTTCGATGCTCGCGCCGCCGGACTCGCTGCACAGGCTTCTGCTGCAGAGGACACTTATAATCCTGCTGCCACCAAGAAGCTCTTCGCCAAGATCAGAGCTGTAAATACTCAGTACAAGGTACTGGAGCGAGCCTTCCTGTACCCTAAGGGTCTCGACGGAAGAAGCTGGTTCAAGCATGTTGTATTTGCACCTGGCAAGTGGACTGGCTATGCTGGAGACACTTTCCCTGGTCTTGTCGAGGCCATCCAAGCTGGTGATAAGAAGGCACTCCAAAAATGGGTTGGTATCATTGAAGGCATCGTGTGGAAGGCTGCCGGTGTGTTGAGTTAGAGGGTGAACATGCGACTGTGTTTTGACGGACAGTGTGTAAACGAGAGCATACTTAATTGATGAAATGTATAATGTCTGAAGCATAATATGAACCTTGCATTCTACTTTGACGGAGCATGCGCCGGCCAGACCAAGGGTCTAGCGACATACGATCATGTTTTTACTTACGAAGGCCGTCGTCACTGCTTGGTGGTTGGGGAGATGAGAGCAAGTCCTTTGCGCTCGAACATCGCTCGTTCTTGGTCATGCTGCGTGGACTGCTTGTTCTGCTCTGCGTCAACATGTCGGTCGTCGCTGTCTAGCTGGTTGCGAAGGTAAGGTCATAGCGGCGGATGTTTGGAATTGGGCAGCTACCCTGAATGGGTCGAGCATCGCGTTGAGCATGAGCGCCTGCGTGTGATGGATTCGGATATGTTGCTGTGTCACCTTGGCTTGTTGGTAAACAGTTGCATTTGACAGCTGCATCTAGATTGCAGATCGATACGTCATTTGTCCACCGATTCGCGTGCCATACGCGTCAACCCATTGATCGAACGTTGTGACAAAGAAACAGTTTAGAATAGACCACGCCCGTCGCCATGTGTTTTTATAGCGTGCATCATTGTTGGCAAGCCTGTATATGCAACAAATCGCTATTCGAGCCTGTCGCTGGTCCAACTTGAACCATCTCGGAAGAACGACTCCAGCCTCCCTAATCGCCATTCTTCATCGAAGACCCTATACAATGCCTCCGAAACGCAAAGCAACCTCGAGCCCGACGTCCGACGCACCTGTGAACAAGAAATCTGCTTTGCAAGCTCTTAAGCCGTCCGTGAAGCTTGAAGTCAAGACCGAACCCGACACCAACATCAAGTCGGATAATGCGCCAGACTACGAAGACCCAAAACGCGAAGCACTGGAGGAAGACTATGGCGTGATACAACGAGAATTCTACCCGGCTGAAATGTCGAACGAGAGATGCGCTCAATACAATGCCAATGAAATTCCGCGACCGATAGAGGTGCTCACCCAGGCTGTACAGAAGACGGCATTCGCGCGCAAGACGATCGACATTGGTGATGCCGTGGTACACTGGTTCAAGCGCGACCTTCGAACGAAAGACAATCGGGCTCTACACTTGGCCAGTAAGAAGGCAAAGTCGAAGGGTGTACCTTTGATCTGCTTGTTCATCGTCAGTCCGCAAGATTACCAGGCTCATTTGACTGCTCCCGTGCGCGTCGACTTCGAGCTCAGGACGTTGCAGGTGCTGAAGGAAGACTTGGCCAGGAAAGATATCCCTCTGTACGTCGAGACCGTCGAGGTTCGAAAGAAGGCTCCCGGACGCATCATCGAGCTGTGTCAGAGCTGGGGCGCCAAGCACATCTTCTGCAATATCGAGTATGAGGTCGACGAGCTAAGGCGAGAGACCCTCCTGACCAATTCGTGTCTTGAGCAAGGCATCGATTTTCATGCTGTTCACGACGATGTTGTAGTACCTCCAGGCAACCTCACAACCGGACAAGGCAAGCAATATTCGGTCTACACACCTTGGTACAAAGCCTGGATCCGACACATCCATGAGAATCCTACTATTCTGGACGAATTTGCAGCGCCAGAGCAAAATCCTGCTTCAGCGCGACAAAAACACGCAGACCTGTTCAAGACACCAATTCCTCCGGCACCCGAGAACAAGAAACTGAATGATGAAGAGAAGGAGCGATTTAAAGCACTATGGCCGCCGGGTGAACACGAAGCTCTTGATCGGCTCAGCAGCTTCCTCAACAAGAAGATCACAAATTACAAGGATGCTCGCAACATCCCTGCTGCAAACAGCACCGGTGTCATCTCTGTACACTTGTCGTCAGGCACTCTCGCTGCAAGGACGGCTATCAGGAGCGCTCGTAACATAAATTCTTCCAACAAGTTAGACTCTGGCAACGAAGGCATCAAAACCTGGATCTCAGAAGTCGCTTGGCGGGACTTTTACAAGCACGTGTTAGCGCACTGGCCTTATGTGTGTATGTCGAAGCCCTTCAAGTACGAATACACAAAAGTCAGATGGGAGTACAACGACGAACACTTCGCTCGCTGGTGCGAGGGTAGAACTGGCTTTCCCCTCGTCGACGCTGCGATCCGTCAGATGCACTCTATGGCCTATATGCACAACAGATGTCGCATGTTGGTAGCATCATTTCTGTGTAAAGATCTCCTCCTAGATTGGCGTATTGGGGAGAGGTACTTCATGGAACACCTTATAGATGGTGACTTTGCCTCTAACAACGGTGGTTGGGGATTCTCGGCATCGACAGGCGTGGACCCGCAGCCCTACTTCCGCGTCTTCAACCCGTTGCTGCAGAGTGAGAAGTTTGATGAACAAGGTGAATATATCAGAAAGTGGTTGCCGGAGCTGAAGAACATCAAGGGTAAAGCGATACACGATCCTTATGGCAGAGGAGCCGGGAAGGAGGCCGAGAAAGCAGGCTATCCCAGACCGATGGTCGATCACAAGGTTTGCAGAGATCGATGTCTCGCACGATACAAAGAGGCACTAGGCAAGAGTACTGCTTGAGATTAAGCATACTGCATAAGTTTAGGGAGTTACTTAGATACACATCGGATGTAGGTTTCCAAAATTTCAGCCTCCCTGAGCCTCCTGCAAGGACGAGCGTCGATCACTGCACGTGTCGTTGTCAGATTCAGCCTCCTAATGATCTCAATACCATATATTTTCTTTTGCCTTGTCACGAAGTCATTCGAGCAGAAACCAAAGTCTCTTGATTGGCGAGGGAATCAGGTCCGCCCAAAAGGCTACTTGCAGCGGTGAAAACCATCCGACAGATACGAGTGTTGAGCTTCCGTACGACCTGCGAAAGATTCGGCTGTAAGAGCGCGTGCATGCATGTACTTTCTAGGGGTCACCATAGTCGAGTAATCGACAATCGAGATATCACGTTTAGCCGTCTTGACCGGGAAATGTCTTTCTTCGATCTCTGTAGACCAATGCACACCATAGGTGCACACATCAGGACCTGGATCTCGGGTCGTTTTATCGTGCGCAGCGTGCGCCTGGAAGAGACAGTTTATTGTTAGTATATACAGGCCGAAAGTTATACCCAGGCGCCAAATGAGTAGAGGCTGTAGTTGGAGATGGCCAATCAGGAAGCGTCGCAAGCGCGGCTCTGACCGTGCGTGAAACCTCGCGTTGCCCAAGACACTTCTTTTCTTTGGTGATGATCCTCTCTTCCTCGAAGATGACAAGGCATTCGAGTCACACAGAGCGCTTTGTCAAACCGTAACGCCTAGGAATTCGACTGTTTCGAAAGCTAGATGTCTTGCATGAGGCTCGAGAGACTGTGAACTGGCCGAGATCGAGTACGTGTGAGATTGGATGGCAAGACAAAGGCACAACACCTGCGATGCTTTGTTGAACAGGTTTGTAGTGACGTGTGAGGCTCATCGATAGGTCTCACGGACATGCGACATCCACATGGAAGTGACATGTCTCAAGAGTAGGTATAACATTCGAGAAGCACTCGCTGAGATTCTCGAAAACACATGGCGGCTGTATGTAAGTCGCATGCTTCAGAAACATACAGACCGGGGCAAGCTCACGAGCTACATTGGACACGCGCGCGACCTGCCAAAACTGCCGCCCAGGCTTGGGGTCGATGAAACACATGAGTTGTTTGCTTCGGAGTCTCGACTCACCCGCATGTCGCATTCGATACGACCTCGTGAGCCCGCAATACACACAGATTACTGTCTTCAAAGCCACATACAAGACTCGCTTTTCCCGGTTCGAGTTTGTCTGGCTGTCGTTTGATTTGAGCTCTCCTTCCTTCTTGTTCCCCGGTCGCACAGCTGCAGGCAGTTTAATTCTTCTCCGTGACCATTACTTGCATTGCTGGTGTTAAGGTGTCTACGAGCAACCGGTTCCTTCTTCTTCAGGATAGCTTCGAGGTCACCGTTAGCTGTCGTTTCTTGCTCGTTTGTATCGCTAGCTGGATCTAGCGCGTCGCGGCTTCCAAAGCGCAAACAGCGACTTCCACATCAACAACCTTCACTACACGCCCACCGCCAACTTCTCCATCAACATCAGCGATCTTTGTTCAATTATTCGTCATTCATTCAACAATACTGGTTATTGGCGCTCGCTTGAAGCCCACAATCATCTTCTCTTTCTTGCATTGTCAAGGTCATTGTCGCCATTGTGAAACCATTCAACTCTCTTTGTGCAGGCATTAGTACTGTTCTTTCTCGCTGCGCCGGACGCCTTTGTGAGGCTCTTTCAGGGTTTTGCGTCTTTTCTGGCAACATCTTCCTACATAAGCACTCCCTCGATCCGCCTTGAAGGTTCTCGAAAACATCTCAGACATACTACAACAGAAATAACTTGACATCTCACGACTTCAATTTTAAGACAATCCACCCATTGTCGAAGACATCAAGTTCACACAAAAAAGGATTCGACCATCTTCCCTTCCCAAAAGCTTTACAAAGATATTCTTCGCAGGTTCGAAGATTTTGTCAAGTCTCTTGCTCAAACAATCTTTTTTCTACAAAACGTCTGTTTTCCAACAACAACAAATCTCATCACAACAATCATCTACAATGAAGTTCATTCTCAGCGCCGCTGTCGTTGCTTCTGTCCTCGGACAGGCCTCTGCCCATTCCTGGGTCGAGGAGCTTCAGGTCATCGACCCTACTACTGGAAACTACACTGGAGACTACGGCTACACTCGTGGCTACGTCGCTCGCACCGATTCTGGATTCAACGGCGATTCTGTTGACTACCTTCTCCCTCCTCTCGTCTCTGGCCGCACACGCATTGACGGCACTGATCTTCTTTGCCACCCTTCGCAACGCACATCCAACTACGCTAATACGAACTACCCCCGTCTCAAGGCTACTCCCGGCTCTTATGTTGCCATGAAGTACCTTGAAAACGGCCATGTAACTTTGCCCCAAAATCAGCCAGGCAAACCTAAGTCTGGAGGTACTGTCTTTGTATACAGTACTAGCCAGCCCTCTGATACTGAAAAGATCGCGGATGTCCTCAAGTGGAACTCTGCTGGTACCGGTGGCGACAAGCGTGGTGCTCAGATTGCCGCTCAGAACTTTGACGACGGTCGTTGTCATCAAATTAACCCTGGTACCATCTCGACTCAGCGTCAGACCAATTTCCCTGATCGTGTCGCTGGTCAGCCCGACAGCTCTGTTGAGCAGTGGTGCGAGACCGACGTCCACGTCCCCACAACCTACAAGACTGGTGATACTCTCACAGTTTATTGGGTTTGGCAATGGCCCACCGAGCCTGGTGTTGAAGAAGTCCACCCTACTGGCAAGGATGAATATTACACCTCTTGCGCCGAAATCGAGATTGTAGACTCTGTCAGCGACTCAAAGCCTGTTCACACACTCGTTCAGCAGGACCCACAAACCAAGGCTGTCAGTGACTTCAAGTCAAGAGCTGCTCTTACTACAAGTGCTCTCTACACTCTAGCTGGCTCTTCAGGCTCTATCTCTGCCACTCCAATGGCCGCTTCTTCGACTTTAGTCTCGTCCTCCGCCACCACCTCCGCTATTGCCTCATCAAGTGCTTCAAAAGCACCCAACAGTGAGTCCTCCGACCTTCCGAAGATCGTCATCGTCCGTCCTCCTTTTGCTAACTCCACCTCCTCCTCAGGACCCTCCTTCAACCCCACCAAACCCTTCCCCAGCCACGGTTCTGGTAACCCATCCCTTCCTTTCTTCAGCCCTCCCGCTGGAATGCTCCCAAGCTTTGTCACCGTCACGAATACCGTCACCATGAGTGCTGTCGCAAACAAGCAGCAGGGTTCTGCTACCGAGACCAAGACCAAGACTGAATTCGTCACCTCTTACGTCACAGCTATTCCCAGCACTGTTCTCGTCCCTGGATCTACTTCTTCCGCTACTTCGTCTGCCTCGTCTGCCTCGTCTACTGGTATCTCACTACCGACTGTTGTGGCTCTTCCTGATGCTGCTGGTAACGCTGGGTTGATTGGTAGAGCCTTTCGCCTTTGAGCATCTCATCACTCTGCACGACAAGACAACTGTGATATGAGGACATTGACTGCCCTCTGTTCTTCGAATCTACTTTTCCTTTTTCTCTCTCTTCTGATGAATCGATGAATGGCATGGTGTGGAGTTGCTTTTCTTATGCCACTGCTCGCAAGAATGTTTGGAGTCTATGATGACATGTGGGAAGGGCGAATGCCGCTTTTCTCCGCTCTTTACTTTTTCTTTAGCTAAGGGTTTCTTTCTTCCGCTCTTGATGGGTGGATGGCGGAAATGCTATGAATAATAAATGCTTTTTTCAACCGATTGACTTGTTCCTTGTGCCTGTGTCTCTTGTGATATGATGCGATATGATGTGATATCAAGTGATGGCGAACGTGGCTGTGATGCGTATCTTCACGAACTGACTTACATGTATCAATGTGTCAACCCTTGTGATTGGTAAAAGTCACTACTGCTCTCGAACGATGATGGTAAAGAAAAAAACAAAGGATCCAGATGTCAGTAATAGTGCGCCAGTGTTCAAATGATTATAGGTTTCCTTTTTATAAGAGAAAAAGCAGAAAGCCAAAAGCTGGTGAGATTGCACTCTATAATACAGATTTTGGACGCAATCTCTAGCCCAGTCCCAAAGCGAATTTGTGCGTGTGTGTGTATCTGGGGAAAAAAGCAACAGATCTATCTGTACTCGGGACGGACAAAGTCGGCAAGAGTCTTGGGCTCGCCGCCGAAGTTGTGGGAGCCATCGGTGTCGGCGTCTGTGAAGGGAGGTTGTCAGTAAGAAAGGGGGCTTGGGTAGGAGTTGGACAGAGGATATCTTACGGCCGACGTCGTGACCGTGGTTGCCGTGAGCGTCGTGGCTCTCTTGAGGGCCGACGTAGTCCATCTTGTAGACGGAGCCGCACTCGGGGCAGCGCTCGATGGGGCGGTCGCGCGACATGGTCAACCAAGTGACGACGTGCGAGTCGGCGGGGCAGCCGGTGCAACCGCAGTACTGCTCGTCACCGAAAGAGCGAACGACAATGGGCTCCTTCAACGTGCCTGGGGGGGTGGGAAAGTCAATTGTCTTGGCGTTTCTTTTTGGGTGGTGTGATGTTTTGGGGGGTTCCCTTGTTACGCACCCTTTCTGCTGGCATCCAGAGGCTTCATGTCGAAGATGTCGATGCCCTGCATCTTTCCGAGGATTTCGAGACGCTCGAGACCGGTGGCTTGGTCGATGTCGGTGGGGACGGTACCGGGCTCGGCACCAGCGGGCATAAGGTCATGCTCGTTCTGGATCTCTAATTTTGCGCAACGAAGCCGTCAGTTTGACTGGGACAAGGAGATATGGTGGGGACGTGTCGGAGAAGGATGAACGCACCCTCAAAGGGCTTGACTTTGTTGGAGTGTTGGCCGGGCTTAGGGTCGCTGTGGGCGTCGACTGCAAGCATCAATGGGTGAGTACGAATTGGTCATGTCTGGTGGTATGCGCGCATGCGAGAGCGGCTTACAGCGGGCAAAGGACGACGAGAAAGGGCGGGCGGCGACGGGGCGGAAGGCGGCGCGCTTGGCGAGGCCGGATGCTACGCGACGGACAAACATGGCGACGGTGAGGTTGTGTGTGTGTGTGTGGAGAGTGGAGAGTGGGTTATGGGACGGCTTGCTGGCACTGCGTTATACGCCCAAGGCCCAATCGCTGCCGTCGGGACCTGAGAGAGCTTACCACCGACCACCCGCGGCCAAAAGTCGTTGTCAAATCTCTTGGCCACCACCGACGGACGAACTTCCCGACATGTCTAAACTAAACATCAGCTCATCATTGCGCTCTCATCAACCAAGTAGTTATATTGATCCCATCCAATGTAAGCGAAAATGGACCAGCCGCTCTCGGCAAGAAATCTCAGAAGCCCAATAGCCGGCCTTACAAAAAGGTTGGTACAGGTAATTACAACCACTGACAGCCATGATTTACCAGAACAAGCCGGCTTTGACTTTCGATCTTCTGGTCAATGTGATGAGTCTCTATTCGCTGCCTTTTCGATCCCGCGAAGGAGCAGACGAGTCAAGAGCCGGGACTGAAGGTTCTGATCAATCAACACGGTTGAAAGTCTGAAGACACTAGGTCCACAATGAACAAAGCATGACAAGCAAAATCATCTCATCTTCAAGTGCCTGGTCGTTGATAGCTTGAGAATGCTCTGTGTTTGATATGACTTGCCTTCTTGCAAGAAGCTTGACCTATATGTCCTTTCTGCAGGGTATAATGTATCCCGTACCCATGCGCCTTCCTCCCAAAACGCCTTTTGTGACATGCATGACTTCGTGTCCTTTGTCCGTGATGCTCAGGTTGACTTGATGGCATCCCTCAAGCCTCTGCCATCTCGTGATCCCCATCACCATCGCCCTGCGCACCTCCTCCAAAGACATCTTCAAAACTATCCATCGCATCCTTTTCCTCTGCGCCATCCACCTTGGCCTCAGCCACCCCTTCCATCCTCACATCCCCATTGCCCTCTTTCTTTGCAGCATCCTCGTCCACAACCTCATCCTCCTCCCACAAATCCCTAAGACTCCACCCACTACCCGTCAGACAATACTTTTCCGGCGGCAACTGCACACCCCAACTCTTCTGCACCTTGGGCAACTGCACTCTATTCCTCTCCACCGCCTGCTCCATCATAAACTCCTTTGGCAGAGCACCCTGGAACTGATAATCCTGTCGACTCGCAATAGCCTGCCTCAACGCATTAACACTGATATTGCTCCCATCAGTAGCTTCACTGCGCTTTGCATTCGTGGGTGCACCAGGCGCACTCGCATAGCCCTCTGAGCTGAGGCGAAAGGCGTCGGCGAGCACGGAGGAGGTGTAGCGATAGGCGAAATCGAGGAGTTGGAGGGGTACGCGTTCTTGGTAGCTGTGTACGCCTTGGGCGGAGAGGATTAGATGGATTAGACGCGCGTCGCGCGGGCGACGGGAGAGACCGTCATCGCTTGTGCTGGTGGGTTGGGGGTCCGAGGGGAGGGTTGTGTGAGTGGGTGCTGGTGTGGTCGTTGTCGTTGGTGCTGGTGCTGGTTGTGGTGGGTTGGAGGCGCTTTTTTGTGCGGGCTCGGTGGCTGGTGAGGCCATGATGCGTGCGTTGGGTTGAGGTTTGCGATGGAGAGATTTCGATCGCAGTTGAGAGGTGTGGTTTGGTTGGAGTGACAAGTTGGTGTATGCTTTGCGACAAGATGGTTCCGCGCGTTGTGAAGGTGTTCGAGGTTGGTGCCAAGATATCTGGTGTGGGGAAGCCTCCATGAGCACATGCGTCACCCTGCCCATTCACTTTCTCGTTGTTGGCTACCTTTGGGCTGCTAGTCCTCACTAGTTTCACGGTCATAGTATCAAGTAGATCACTTCGAGACAAAGCAAAGAGTGAACATTCTTTCTCTTGGTTTTGTTCTTAATTTGGCTCTGATTGGATTTGACCTAAGCTAGACCGTCACTCCCTTAATGTGTAGTGCTTCACAGACAGACATTAACTGTAGTGGTGGGTAGCCTACAGGGAAGCTGTGCATATGACACTCTGCACCTATGGTGTGCGTAGACCCTCATTGCTACCGTGTGCCTGAGATACATCGAACACGACATACTGACCCAACGATGGATACTGCTCTCGAGCTGAGAACCTCCGAAGGGGCGATCAAAAGAACATAGCCGAAGGTCAACAAGCATACGCACGCGGCGAAGTCTGTGCATGTTGTCCAGTGTTATCGGAGGTGGCTGAGCAGTAGTCAACATATTGTCCGTAAGAACTGTGACGTCCAGGGTAAGGTTCACGATACTCGCTAGAGTACGCCCGTTCAAGCGCTGAAGGATACCGCGTTCTTCAAACACAACATGATTGTAGATCCAGTCCCAGCTAGGAAAATCCGTTCTCGATTTCAACACAACCCACCAACGTTTGTGGTTGACGTATCGGGCGGCTTCCAGATAGATCTGCCTGCAGCAGCGCAGCAAGTCCACTCCCACTAGATATATGACCTGGCTCCAACATAGATTATGGTGTCCTCCTTTCTCCAGGTGAATTCCGTAAATCCGGTTACGCAGCTCCGGAGGCAAGGCAAGGAAGCGAAAGGGCTTCCGATGGTCACCTGATGGGGCTTCAGAGTATGGTGTCAACGGCGGCACAAACGAGTACAAAGATGAGTGAGGGACCTCTCTCAATAGGCTCGAAGAGAGTGAGGACCAAATCTGATCGTCTTGCGATGACGGTGTTGACATTTCGATCCGCCCGGAATATCCTGTGGGGTCTGAGTTGCCCTCGTCGTTTACTGCGTAAGCCATTTACAGGTCCAAGATCCGATGGTATTGGCGAATGTAGAGTGGATGATAATGAGACTCGGTAATGACCGTTCATGAGACGAAAACGGTTAATATAGTCGTGAGGTGCTGAGTCATGTCGCATCAAGGTCTCACCAGGTTGTCATGGATGTGGTTGGTAACCAAATCTTACACGAGCAAGTTGTAGCAAAATTCCAGACCTTGCTCACAAGTGCTATTGATAACAGCATGGCGATAGTCTCGACAGCATGGTAGTGGAATGTTCATGTCAAGCGAAATCGGGGTTTGAAGTTAGCTGCGAGTTGTTGTACAGGGCAGAGGATGGATACTGAGCCATGACTTCCCGAGAGAGCAGTCACGAACTTAGCGACCAGCCTCTTTGTTCTTACGGTGACGGTGTGAGACACGTCGAGCACGATCAAGTTGTTTGAAAGAGTCGAGAAAAGGTCTCGTACACAGCGAATGAGGAAGTGGTCAGAGGTCAAGCGTGGGGACTCGGGAGGTGGTCAAGGGCCCAAGCGTCAGCAGCGCCAAGAGGCGTCGACGGGCATCGGGTGCGACATTGAAGCAACCAACGACGACGTCTGAATTGATCATATCATCACACACACCGCCGCCATGACGAGCTATACCGATGTGCCCATGAGGGCCAGACAACAGGTGCCCGCAAAGGCCCTGAACACCCCCTACCCCGTACGATGCCTTGCTCAATCGCTTGCCGAATGTCCGTGACTGACACCTTCCACAGCTCATTGACAGTGACCCGTAAGCTCGCCAGCTCTCCAGTAACCTCGAACGCTCTCCGATCTAACGTATCGCCTTTTCAGTCACTTCAAGCGCGTTGTCGGCTACGCCCGCCCCGGAGACTACCTGTACGGTGTCGCATTCGGTGCCTCAGTGCCCGCTACCATGGCTTTGATGGAGCGCGTCTCTCCCACCGGTCTCCCCCGAAGCGCCATCGCCAGCGTCATGCGTCTTTCCGGCGGTATTGGTCTCTTCGCCGGCTTCTACCTTTGTTACTCAAGATCCATCAGTGCGTTACCCGAACTCCCACATGTCCAAATTATCCTCTCGGACGCAAGAGCTTGGAATAGATGACACCGGACGTCAAAATAGTACCCGAGGAAGATTGGCTAACAAAATCTCCTCAATAGACCGCTTCTACGGCTTCACCGAGAACCGTCGCGAAATCGACATGGACATGCGCGAGATGGTCGACAGGGTCAAGCGCGGCGAGGAGCTTTACGGCAAGAGTCAGTTGACCGAGTACATGCAAGGTGCTGCCTCGCGTCAATCTCGTTACTCTGGTATCTGGATCCACATGATGCCTTGGTTCAACTTTGTCAACCACAACCAGCACGGTGTTGACACGGCAAAGTACTACCAGCAGGCCGAGCGGGAACTCGAGGCCGAGAAGGCTTAAAGGACGAGTCAAAAAAAAACAGACACTGATATCCCCACCGCACTGCACCATACTTCACTTTTCCTCCTGTTCTTTCGCAGATATTCTACCTTTTTTTCCTGGCGCATACAATCGGTAAATTATACACCTTAGCACCAAATTCCCCTGACCAACCCATCTGGAGAAGCTCTTTTTTCTTATACTTTCGTGTCTACTAACATGCGTGATACTGTTTCATTATATCGACATTTTCATTTGTTCGACTTCTTCATGCATCATCATTATTCCGGCACAGCCGCAGACTTTCACTCCTTCTCATCCACAACGCCCGCAACCTTGGTCAAGATCCAAGTAGAAGCATACATGTTGACTCTGTCAAGCGGGTTAGCATAGTCAGGTGAGTTTGGAGATTGACAAGACATACCTATCAATGCAAGAGCCAGGGGGAATGCGAGCACCAACTCTCTTGGCGCTAAATCCACGACTCTCAAACGTATCGACATACCAAGGTCTCAACCCAGCAGATCTCAACAGAACACGACCGCCAAACTTGAGCGCGCGATTGACAATCTTGACTTGATGATCTGCCTCTGGACCCTCGGGGTCGAACCAATCCATCGAGTCCATGAGAACGGCAATTGTGAGTGTCTCGGGCGCCATACGAGCCATGACCTCGCACAACTCGTCGGTATGGATACGTAGACCATCGAATGCGTTTGGCTTTGAAAGCTTGACATGAGCTCTAGGGGCCAAGTAGTCAGGATGACAACGCTGTGTATACCGACCCTGCAAACAGATCAAATAATACGGGTTCTCCTCCGACACCAACGTATTATTGACCACAGGATCCAGAGTATTGACCGCATACTCCCAAATCGCCTGACCGGACTTTACACCAGTAACACTCTTTTGCGCTGATTCACCATCGCCTTGCTTTAGGTAATCGTTTTCAATCATTTGCCGTTGATGGGCAGGAACACCCAAAGCTTTCCATAGGAACTTCTCGGTGCCGATGACGGTGTAGCTGAGGAATTGGCTGAGGAGTACTCTGCGCACGCGCTTGTCCCAGATCTCGCGTTGCTCGTTTAGAGTGCTGACTTTGCAGAGCTTTTCGAGGTCGGAGCGGATACCGAGGAGGCGGCCTAGCCATTGTACTAATTGCAATGCGTGACGAGAGCCGCCGGTGTAGTATAAACCGCGGCTGTTTGTGCCGAATGTGGATTCACCTTTGTGGAGCCAGTAGTCAAAGGCTTGGGAGGAGAGATGGGGACTCAAGTGATTTATGAGCAAGGAGCGGAAATCGTCATGTTTGCCCTGTCCAAACAACTTCCACACATCTGTGTAGCCCAAAGCCGTAAAAGCTGCGACCTTGAGTTCCAGAAGATGGTTCTGGTTAGGGTTGAGGTCGACAGCGTGGATGCGTTTGGGTTGTTCGAGGGCGTAGGCAAGCACATTATCGCCCGCACTGGTGATGGCTAGAATGACGTCTTCAGATGTGATCTTGAGGAGGCGGGCGTCGACTCTGGCGTCTTCCCAGGTGAAGGCGTAGATGTATTCGTCGCCGAATTGCTTGTGTTTTTGCAGTTGCTCGTCGTAGAAGATGCGCCAGTGGTGTTGTTGATACCATGCTGCTGGCAAAGGAAGGCTTGCAGACAGGTTGACGATGGCAGACTCGTAGGCCTTTGAGCGACGTTCGACAGAGGAGGATCTGCGAGGGCCTCCAACCTGCTTGCGTTGCAAGTCGAGAGCAGTGATGAATGGTGATTCTGTAACAGCGGCATCGAGAGCGGCGAGTTTGTTCATGGATGACTTGGTCTGCTTGGCACATCCAATCCAGATGTAGTAGGGGATACGGAAGCCGAAGAAGTGATTACGAGCGTTGGCGGTGAGAACGGTGCCGAACTTGTACTCGAGGTAGTCCTATGATTGTCAGTACACAGAATCTGATTGAACTTGGTATACTTACACGGCGAGAAGAGTCCAAGAATACTCTGTCCATCTCGAACCACGCCGTCCAGAAGACACGAGAGATCCACATGCAGTGGCGGTCAATGACTCCACCGACATAGTTGCGAGACTGGAACTGGATCTGGTTCTGGACGTAGAAATCGACAACACCCATGATACCGTTGGGAGCGAGAAGATTGGCGAGGGAGTCCACAACAGGGTGGAATTCAGGAATCATAGAGAGACTGTAGCTGAGAGTCAAGAGATCTGCTCCGATACTGTCGGCACCAGTGTTTTCGTCAAGTGCGCTTTTGCCAATGCTGAACATGGCATTGTCATCAGTGGAGCCTTCTTCGTAGTCGCTGAGCTTGAAGGTGCGGGCATCCTGGCAGACAACCTTGACATTCTTCCAGCCAAGGCGAGCAAATCTGGTTCTGGCGACCTGGCAGAGAGAAGGCGAGAAATCGACCAGGTAGACGGCATGGAAAAAGTTAGAGACGGACAGATGCTTCTCCATCTGCTCAATGTTCCAGCCTGTACCGCCACCTACATCGACCCAGATTGGCTTGCGAGTGTATTGGCCTTGCTCAAGCTGGAAGCGGAGTTGTGCTGCAGCCATAGCCAACATGTCTTCTCTTCCACGGAGCAGCTTTGAGCGAGTGACATCGTAGATGCCGGCCTGAGTCTTGTAGAAGCTCTCGAGAGCATCCTGTTGGTTGCCGGTATTGTCGCCAGTGTGAGGCTTTAGAAAGCACGAGTATGCAAATTTACCAGAGGTAGCAATAGCATTGAACAGTTTGCCAACAGTCTCGAGCTCGGTGAATGAGAGGGTAAAGTATGTAACGAGAAGAAGCACCAACAAGACAGTAGCAAGGCTGATCTGGTTCAAGGGGTCCATGAGCGCTTGAAGCACTCCTTGTACAGCAGCCATTGTCACCAAACAACAAAGTAGTAGAGATGCGGAGAGAAAAAGGTACAAAGCGTATGCAGATAGACAAAAAGAGATGCAGAGGCAAGGGTCAGGACCAACCTACCATCATAAAGCTTTTAGAGCCATACGACTCGTGCTCAACGCAACCTACCAACATCTTTTCAACAGACTCATGGCACATTGTCGCAAATCCTCGTCCTCCGCATGCGGTCTACACCCCGCTACCCCTCCTGACCTCGGTGTATCTTCATTTGGCAGAAAACAAAGAGATGCATCGTGAGCCTATGAATCTAAACACATGCCGAGGACGAGCTGCAGACGCAGGGCGATGATCAAGGGTCCAGCAAGGGCTGGTGTCCAGTACCTGACACGGCGGCGTGAAAGAACGTTTTGGATCCTGGACCTATAGATGGCAAGGACTCGAGGCATGTGTTGTGGAGATGAGATGGAGAGGCCTGCCAAGTTTTGGACCCTCGACCAATCACGACGCGGTATGACAGCATGAGCTCCGTCACTGGTAAACTTTGCTCCAACGTCTTCTCCTGTGCATGAGACGTGCCTGCGAAAGAAAAGTCTCGACTTTAGTCCTGTGTCGGGTAAATGTCGAGAGCGAGATACGAACTCGGAACGCGACCTACGGTCACGGCGAACTGTCTTGAGCTCGAGGAGCCGAAGGTACCATGCGAGCGAGCGCGTGAATGCCAGTTGAACTGGCATCGAGCAACAGACAACATCAAGTGATCGCATGGGCAGACATTAATGACAACGTGGATTCAGAGAAGGTTGTGTTGGTTGTGCTTGTCCGCGAGAGCCGTGCCTGGACGCTATTGGCGAGGGTGACCGGAGTTGATGCCGAAAGCGACGTCAAAACATGGAGCGACTCCTGGATCAGTGCACTGAAACCGCCTCTACCGTATTGGCAAAGACGAATTTGGTGGTGAGCATGCAAAACTCGGCGGCATCGTCGTGCAAAACAATCTACAAAGCATACTTTATTTGTTGAAAGCGAGTCATCAATGCGGAGACGACGAACATAAGACTTTGTCAGCAAGCAAGTCTAGAATTGAGAGACATTTCACATACCACGCATTGTCGTGTATGCGAGCGAATCTCTCGTATTGATGAATTGAGGACTAAATCACTCTGCCAAGACCTTCATGGTGAGACCACCGAAGTGAATGCTTATTTTTGATTTCGCTTTGCAACTTATCTCGAAGCACGCGACAATTGACCGCATGTAACACCTCGACCAATCTGTACAGGTCGCTCAGAACCAAGAAACAAAATCTAACAACGAGAATGAGCGAGGATCTGATGGCGAAATCGCAAGCAAGGAGGCGGAGGACGAAAACGACACAAGATCCGAAGGTGCCGAGTCAAAAGCCGATGGCAGTGATGCTTGGTCTTTCAAGCTTGGAGACGACGGATGTCCCCTTCCCGAGGAAGACCTTTGGTGTGATGAGTGTATAGGAGGAAATTTGGTTGAAACCACAGACACGTATCTTTGTAAAGGCATACGTTCGGTCTAAGTTGCGCCCTTTGTACAAAGCTAACAGCATCTTGCACAGATCGAGCGCCTGGACTACAAGCTCAGAGACTGCCCTTGTCAGATGGATGAAGGACCTTGTAGGTTGGGCTGCGATGAGGGCAGCAACGAATCAGATGTTGAGAGGGGCTCTGATGACTCGTCAGTACTGCCCTCGAAATCTGGGACGCAATCTGAACATACTGGCGGGCACAATTACTAACGAAGAGATGCATGTGGACATAGATACGTATAGTGCGATAGGGCTGAGGCATGGTTGCAACTGAGATTATTTCGAATGAGACCCTCAAAAGCTACGTCGTTGCGGTCATTTCTTGGGACAACGAACGTCTCCATCCTTTGTGTGTTACATCATTGTTCGTGTGAGAATGTCACCTGTCAGAATTTGTGTCGGCCTTACATCTCCAGTGCGGCGACAGCAGAGCGGAGAGCGAAAGAGCAAAACAGTAAGTGAAGAGTATACAGCCCTACATTTGAGCGCGAGAGTCAGTTCTCCGGGTGCTTGAGTCTTGGGCTTCGATGTCGGATCAACCTTACCATTTGAATCACACTGTTCCCTCGCGGATCCTACTTTCTCATCATTAAGTCCATCAGAGCTTAGGAAACATGCGCGCATCAACACTTTCGCTATTCATCTCGTTGGTAGTCTCAGTCCATGGCTTACTGGCATTGCGTCCAGGTGTGAACGTATCGCAGTACGTGCAGCCGCAGGCCGCCTTGTCTGTGCGGAAGATGTGGTCAGCTCCCACGGCTATCAGGCTCGTCCACAAGGACATTCGGTCTTTAAGAGCGCCTGGTCAGCTCATATCTGTCGGCGAAAGCGTCCACACAAGTTCGTCGACCATATGTTCACCTCCAGAACAACGCTGACGCGCGCAGTACCCACCACAAGCAGCGTGGCTAGTACTCCAACCTCGACTGCAACAGCATCCTTGAACCAGATCATGTGCGCTATTGGTTTCAACTTCAATGCAGGTACTCGAGCGTCTTCTCCGCCCAACAATACCACAATGGCCATCGAAGACTTTTGTGCCAACGAGATCGCCCGGGTCAGCAATCCCATATAGCCTGAACAATTCCTTCAGGACAAATTCAAGGACACCACGACCTACCCTCAGCGTTCTTACCTTTCCAGCGATGTCACAATCTCTATCATGGCCATATTTGCTGATACCGTGGGCATGTCCGGGCTCGCAGGATGTGGTCAAGATGTCGAGTTCGTGGTCAAGGATCGGGAAAGCGTCTGCAGAGGCATGTTGCAGCAGATTGTCCAAGAGTGTGATTATCACATCTCCGCTCATTCCTTGATCGTTGCTGACATGGACTAGGTGTCCACGAAGTTGTGCAGGGAAAGACTGGTGGTTTCGCTATTGAGAGCAGTGCAGAGTATGGATGCGTCATCTGGCAAATTTGGGGGTACGAATGATAGCATCTCTGCAGTAAATCTGGAGGTAAATGGCACGAGGACAGCATGACCATCAGTATCGGTCTCTCGTACGCAACAAGATGTGTTGAATCAAGGACGTTGTCATGAAGTTGCGTCCGAGTTGAAGTCGCATTCTCGCCTAGACAGCCAATTAGAGGCTTTGCAAAATAGTGGAGATTCACGCCTCTTCGACGCTCCAAAATTACACCATCAATCCTGACCATCTGAGGCCACTACTTTCTAGGCAGCAACATGTAATCGCCATGTCTCTGACCGCGAACAAGCGTTTCCAGTCGCAGTCACTGCATAGCGGCAACATGCCCATCTCTCCTTCAACATCATCTGTGCCGACTCAAGATTCTGCTGCTAGTCAAAGTCACAGCGCCTTTTTTTGAAGAAGGAGAAAAGCCAACACTAACGACTACATAATTTCCAAAATCGGAATTAATTTCCGCCTTCGGGCATTTGGTCAATTTATAACAATACAGAGAAGATTAGCATGGCCCCTGCACTAAGGATGGTGAGTTCGAGTCCTTGCTTGTCCAAAATACTTTCGTTGCAACAATTGGCTGATTGGTGAATTACAGACACATGCGAGCACGAGACTACTCCGTTTTTTTAAGGAATTTTTTTCTTTGGCAGATGAGTATATAAGTAGGTTCTCGATGTTTAGATGGACGTGTGTCCAAGGTGATGTTTCGCTCGCCGAGGATCACCTAGGTTCAAATGACCTCTCATCACTGTTGATCAAGTTCCGACGAACTATGAACGTTTCTTGCTTGCATTCAAAGTAAGAACAGAAGGGGACATACGTTGTCATAAACAATGCGAAATTTCGTATCTCAATAACCCTCGTGTTAAATCGTGTCGGCCTCCATTTCCTCCATGCCTGCCTATTCATTCTCTACCTCAACCCAGACCCATGCTAACATCATCACCCAGCCCCCAATCTGCTTCGTCGTTCTTCAGTCTCGCAACCGGAGGCACCACATCATCGGTACCCAGTGCTGCCCTGCTCATCTTTCCTTCGGTGCTTCCAGATGCACTGCTGGTGGCTCTGTTCCTACTGCCTGCGCTTGAGCCTGGAAGCCATGACTTTCGCTTGTAGCTGCTGGAAGGACTGCCTACGTCACTGCCTGTAGTAATGGTGGATGCAGTAGTCATCGACGGTGTTGGTGCATGTTGCGGCGCGTTTTTGAGTGCTTGGGTAAGGTTACTGTGGTTGCGCGAAGGTGTCGGGCGTGGTGGTGTCGGTGGCGGCTTCTTCTTCTCCGTTGCTGCAGCTAGAGTGGGCTTCTCTTCTTCAGGGACCACATCCACGAGCTCGGCATCACGCAACCATTTTCTGCGACGAGTATAGCGACCCCAGCCATCTTGACCTCTTCTTCCGTCTCTCCACTTGTTGTCATAGTATATCCATGCGTCGTCATCGTCGAGTGCTGCATCTTTGGATTTGTTCTTTTTGGACGAAGGAAGTTCAACGTGCCACTCGCTGTCATCTGCCCATTGCCATTTTGCCATACCACCATCAACCTCTGGCAACTCGAAGTGTGTAGGATCAGCAGTTGGATTTAGGTGTTCGTCAGTCCATGAATTGCGTTCGTAGGCTAGCATACTCGCTGTCCAACCTATGCCTAGCCATCGCCGTTGGTTCTCATGTAGAGTAAAGGTAAAGCGAATGCCCTCGCCTGTATCATTGGGTTTCGCATTTACGTTCACAGCACCTTTCGTTCCTGGACGTGGTGGTAGTGGAGGCGCGTATGCAGATGGCACTCCGAGATCGAGGCCGGTGATTATGGTACAAATGTCGCGAACAGTCTTTGAGCGCCAGAGGATGGTGCGACTGATGCGTGCTGGTCGTGAGTGCCACGACATGAGAATGGTGCCGAAGACCAGAACAGTTCGTTTTGTGGTGATGATACGAAGCGGGGGGAGGGTAAGGGCCCACCAAAGAGGAGAGGTGAGCATGATGCGAATGAACAAGGTGGTAAGGGCGGGTTGTGTCGTGGCCGAGGTGGCTGTTTGTTGTGTAGACAAGAAGTCTGTCAAGCGCAGCAGCGGGTCGAGCAGGATGTTGCATCTCGTTGTGAATGTCTGGAGGGTCGACAGGATCTCGTCCAGCGATTTGCGATGCTTGATGCCATCCGAGTGGTCCCGCTTGTGTCCCTTCTTTTTCTCTCCAGTCCAGCCTGTTGATGACAGTGGGGAGTACCTTCGCAGATACATGCCCACTATCAAGAGGGTAACCAGGATCAGGGGTCCGGTGTAACGGAGTATGTAGCCGCCATACAGCACGGTGAACCAGAAGGCGGCGACAAACAGGAAGCTCTCCCAAGCATCACCCGTCGTCCATGACAGCAGACCGACGAGCTTGTTCAGCGGAACAATGAAGGGATGTGAATATGCCAAGGCTCTCGTGACCTGCGGAGGTGTTGCGAGTAATAGTGGTGACTTTTGGTGCACGAGAATAGTCGAGCGCTGTCGAGTCGAAGGGAACGAGTGCGAGGTGGGCGAAAAGGCGGCTACCGTCGGCGGCTTGCTCGAGTTGGACTCCCTCCTCTCAGCCGCCGAGGACCCGCCATTCGCGGAAGTAGTCGATGTGTCCGACATGGAGGTCATCCAAGGTGTGTCTGTTGCTCCCAGCCCTCGTCAGTCCATACTTTCTGCTTTGTTGGTCATGTTGCTGCCCAGCACGCTTGTACCGTCACATCATGTCATGTCTGCGGGGAAGGCCTAAACACAAAAAAGCCATGGAACAAGCTCCGGATCTCACACGTACCGAGTGCTGCCATGAAACGGTGGTCTTCATTGGTCTACTGCCGTCGACTGAGGGCATGCCGCCGCTTTGTCTATGACATTCAAAAGGAGGCTTCACTTGTCCGCTTGACTTTCAGCACGAGACCCGGAATTCGATAAACCCTTTCCGTCATCGCATGTGAATGCCAAGCAAACGGTGATGGTCGTCTTCCTCTTTGTCCGAGGTATCAACGTGTTGCCGTCCGCAACACCACGCGTCGAAATGGTAATTGCCAGCACTCTACCAATACAAAATCCTCACATCAGGATGCGAACTCCCTCACAAAACCTTCACGTGGTCGTGAGGCTCATGCGAATAGTGCAAAAAGACTGTCAATGTCAATGCTGGGGATCGAACCCAGGACCTACTCGGATCATCTGGCACTGCTTGACAGTGTTGTTGTGAGCGAGGCGTTATACCACTAAACCACACTGACTTTCATGCTTAGTGGTCAAAGATAGGACTATAAATCGCCACATTAACAGGGTAGCAAGACCCCATGCGCTCCTAAGACGTGCGCTGGGCAACAACACACTCCTTTGCTCATATAATACATGTGTCGCCGACCGCATGCTCGGCTTCTTACTGTTGCGAAGGCATGTCGAAGATGTGTCATGTGGATGTGTCGTGCTGATGTGTTGCGTCGTGTTCAGAGACTTGTCAAAGTTTTCCGTCGCTGAGCCCTGCATCGCTGACAAAGCCCTTCAACAGTAACTCAATTGCATATCTCGGCAGAAACTTCGACAGGCACAATGCAAAGCAAATGTCTGGCTTGCATTTGATCCCGAGACGATCAATTTTGTTGAGTATTGCTTAAGGTGCCGTTGACAGAAAGTTTCTATGCCAAGTAGTGTGCAGCACTACTCGTTCAAGGAGGTTGGTATAAATCTTTTCCTAGAATCCTTCACATATGCCTCGATATTGGCTGGAACTCCCCAAAAACTGTCGAAAGCTGAGTTACATACCACAAATCAATCACTGCTGTAGTCAACTAGCCACAAAAGTAGACGTTCACGTCGCCATTGCATCCACAGTTTCTGACCAGGGTCGTACCACTGACCAAAGATCTGATCGGTGATAAGATCTCCAGATTCTATTGGCTGAGAAGCGACGCATGACGTAGTATACATGACAAGTTTTCACGCGTTTGCTAGCCTTTCGTGCCAACCACCTCGCATCAACACGCATTCCATGATCTTGAGCTTTTGCAATGACGCTCATGATGCTCTGGTATCGATAACTGACGTAGTGTCTCCGATCGCCATGATTTGACCAATGTCTCCAGTCTTGGACCAGCCGTCTTCGAAAGCTTTGGCATTCTCCTCAGAGTTGTCGAGATAGCCTACTGTGACTGCAAGACCACGAATCTAGATCTCTACTTGAGCAGGAACACTCGAAGTCACATACTTAAGGTCCGGCGCGTCAACCAGCTCAATCATGGATCAGGGTCGTAGTATCGTAATGGCTTCCAGGTTTCTTTTCGAACTCCAGTGGGGGTATTGGTAAAGTCGCTGAGATATTCTGATGTCCTGTATAAAGAGAGAGAAGGATGAGCTCTCATTGGTCAGTCAATGTATTGCGTGTCGTGGATATCTCATCATTACTGCACTACTATGTCTAGCTTTAATCCGGCCGTCTTAGAATATCTATTGGTCATTCTCGTCACGGATTCAACAATGCATACTCCATCGTGGCCATGCGCCCTCTGTACGACCAGCTCCGATGATGCGTGCGCCTACTCCTTGCCGATTACTGCTGGCTTAGCAGCGAAAGGCTCCTCCATATCCGACGACATCGGTGTCAATGATGCTTCGGTCTTCTCTGCCGCTTCGGGAGAAGCCTTGACTCTGCTTCCACCCTTCTTGGATGTACGGATCACCCATGATGATGCCTCCCAATATCCACCGCGGAAGACGAAGCCAGGATGGAAGACCGTCAAACAGATACTGGCAATGATGATCATAGGGCCTTCAAGGATGTCGAAGGGTACCTCCTCGTTCGCGAGTTTACCACCGAAACCTTGACAAAGCTCAATGACGCGGTAGATACATCTTATCATAATAACGAGTGCGGCGATGGGAAGAGCTGTGGAAGACACGCATACGTTAGCGACTGTAAGATCCGAAGGCCATGAGTTCTTGACAGTACATACCAATCTGAAACCACGAAAAGGATTTCTTGGCCCTGAAGTTATCAAAGTTCGAGTTTCGGTCTTCCCTGTTACCCTTCTTGACTTTCAAAAGGAAATCTGCGCTGAGAAGGATGAATGTCGCCAGAGATACTGCCTGTAGCGTGAGACCAGCGATAAGTACATTGGTACCATTTTGACGATCGGTCGGATTGTCCGCAGTCGCAGTAAGAGCACCACCGACAGCTTGAATGCAGAGAGAAAACAAGTCGATGCATACAAATACAAGCGAGTACGTCTTGGGCTTGAGTCGTGAATATTGTTCTCCGAAAACAATAACAACGTGGCCGAGTGTGATATAGATGGCGGCCGTGAGGAAAGCAGGACCAAGGCCGAGAGGAATGAAATATACAAGGAAGATATTCATGTCGAAAGGATTTGAGCGGATGAGGATACGCCCAGTGTAGCCGATAATTTCTAGCACCAATCCTCCGAACATGGCAAATCCAAAAGCCCATGTTTTGTAGAAGATGGCTATGCCAAGCTGGAGAATCATGAAGATGGCGAAAATCGTTAGATATGCGACACTGACACCGAGATTCGGAGGGTAGTCGAGGAAACCTTGTTCGAAACAGCATGTTTGTAGGGTACACATGTCCATTTCGATGGACTCATTGCAGGGCGCCATGTCTGGGGTTGGCGGTCTTGACCGTGAAGGCTGATATCTGGATGTGAGGCGCTCTGCGGGTTGTAGGTTTGCTGGAGTGACCTACTGTACGACACATACTAGCATACTTATAAACGTGCGTGTTCGCGACAAACCGACAATCAGGGAGTGACGCGCTGACTTCTATGCATATGCGCTCGGTGCGCCAGCAGCGGTACGGCTGAATTGCATGCCGATTCATGTTTCAACAGGCCTCATAAAAGACGTGGAATCCTTCGAATTCTCGCGCTCGGCGACTTATAGCCAATACTTGCGACCTACAAGACAACACGGGGTCGCAGGTTGCGACGAAGCTAGGCCTGGTGTGGAAGCATTGCGAGCAAAGTTATAGGTGAGCTACGCCCGGATAGGCCTCATCGCGAAAAGTATGTTGATTTTGTCGAATTACGACCGTAGGACGCGCCGTTTCCCCAGGATGGACGTTGTTGTTTGCTGTCACGCATCGAGATTGACTACCGCGATCAGCTTGCCAATCTTGATTACCTTTCGCACTGAGTCGCAGAGCAATAAAAGCGATCTTTCCTCGTCGCAAAGATGGGCTGGTAGAGAGAAGGATGAAAGTGATAAGGCCACGCGTTGCAGTAGTTACGTCAGAAATTCTCGTTGACCTCCAACCTCCTTCCTCTTTTCCCCGTGTTCCTATCGCGCAGCGGCTCTTGTCTTCATATCAGAATAGCAACGCGTGGGTATCTTGGTTCTCAAGATCTGCCCGACTACTGCGGCCATAATTCTTCGGATGGCCCTTGCAAAGTGCGCAGCTGCAACAATGTCGCCGAGCAAGTGCGACGACTCGGTGCGGGAAGTAGAAAGCAAAATGTGTGCTTGCATGTCTGGACTTCTACATCTCCCAATTCTCGTGTCTCGGAGCTTGCAAGCTCGCTGAATTGTTCATTGACTTGAGAGCGGTGACTTCTAACCAATGCCTCCAGACGTCAGTGTGTATAACTTACTAGCACTTCGCACTCCATGTTGAGTGTCCACCGCTCTTACTCAAACATCGACACTTGTTTTGGAAAAGATGTCTCCTTACATGCTAAGTGCTAACGCGCTAGCTGGCCCCGACTTTGCTAAGATACGAAACTGGAACAAAAGTTTGCCTACCCCTTTGAACACATGCGTACATCAACTCATCGCCGACTGCGCTAAGCTATACCCGGTGGCTGAGGCAGTAGTCTCAGACGAAATTTCATTCACTTACCAGACTCTTGACGCTCTTTCGAATGTTGTCGCCCATCGACTTGTCGCAGCTGGAGTGCGACCTGGTACCTTCGTGCCCTTGTCCTTCGAACATTCCGCATGGGCAATTGTAGCAATGCTTGGAGTGTGGAAAGCGGGTGCGGCATTCGCTCCCCTTCCCGCTGGTCCTCTTGCACGCGTCGAAGATATGCTGAATCAGCTTGATGCTGTCGTTGTTGGTGGATCGCCATCTCGGTTGACTCAGCTCAAGACGTTGCCGCACAACAGTCTCGAGATTGGGCCAAGCTCCCTCGCTCATGCCACTGATACCGAGTTGGCACAGATTGATCTGAACTCCGATTCGCAAAGTCTCGCGTACGCCATCTTCACCTCAGGAAGCACAGGAATACCAAAGGTATGATTCCAGTACGTTGGTTCAGTACTTTGACTAATTAAGCAGGCTGCGCAAGTCACACACTGTAATCTCAGTACTTACGTTTTCCACTGGAGCCGGGCGATCGGTATCGATAACAAGAGCAGAGTTTTTCAGTATAGCTCCTACCTCTTCGATGTCTCGATGTCAGATATATGGACGCCGCTTTGCGTCGGCGGAGCTGTCTGTGTGCCGTCCGAGGACGACCGCTTCAACAACATTCATGGCTCGTTGAAATCACTAAGAGCTACTCATGCTATGTTTGTGCCCTCTTTACTCTCTACAATCCAGCCAAATGAGCTCAGTCTGAAGGCACTTCACACTTTGTCAATCATTGGAGAAAAGTCTCCGGCGTACTTGGTTGATCGCTGGACTTCGGTACCAGGTCTGAGATTCATCAATGCCTACGGTCCGGCAGAGTGCTGCCCGGTATCGAGTCTTCTTGATATGTCTATCAACAATCCATCGGCTGGAAACATTGGCAGATCCATGGGGTCCTGTTTGTGGATTGTGAATCCGGATAATGTAGATGAACCATTACCTATTGGTAGTGAAGGAGAAATCATCATTGAGGGCCCACTCGTCGGAAAGGGCTATATCAAGGAACCCGGAAAAACAGCTGCTGCCTTTGTGCCGATACCGGCCTGGTTGGAGGGCTTCCGAAACAACTGTGACGATCCGCCATTGCTTGTACCATCGCACACTAGCGCTTGTGTGTATAGGACTGGAGATTTGGCACGCCTCAACGACGACGGAACACTGATGTACGTAGGTCGCGCAGATCTGCAGGTCAAGATTCGCGGTCAGCGTACGGAGCTCGGCGAAATTGAGCAACAGCTCCAAGCTACACTGCCCGCCGGTTCTGATATGGCAGTCGAGGTTGCAACTATCAACAATCAGAATAGTCTTGTCGCCTTTGTGGCGTTGAGTCCCATCTTATCTGCTGGAGACGACCAGAACAACGGATTAGCGACCTCGGTAATCTCGCAAAACTTGCTATCAGAATTGGTTCCAGGGTTAATCCGTCGGTTGAAAAGCCGTCTACCAGACTACATGATCCCTGCCAATTTCGTCGCCATGGAATTCATCCCGCGACTGCGCTCGGCAAAGACAAATAGGACCTTGCTTCGCAGCATGGCAAGCTCGATTGTCGCGGATAGCCCATCCTCCCAAAGAGCCACGTACCGCCAGCCATGCACCAACGTTGAGATCGCTCTTTGCCTTGCTTGGGCTGCATGTTTCTCGTTAGAGGCAGCTTCTCTGTCGGCCGACGAGAGTTTCTTCGCGCTTGGAGGTGACTCCATCACGGCTATCCGGTTGATGGGCGATTTGCGTCGCCGAGGTATCGCAATCACGATCAAGGATGTATTCAGTCATCCCATTCTCAGTGATTTGGCCACCGTGGCCCGGATCACCGACATCCAGAAAGCACCGACGCAACCTTTTCAACTCGTTCCCGTAGACAGCCTACCATCTGTCAAAACCATAGCTGCTAAGCAGTGTAACATTGCCGAGTCGGATATTCAAAACATATTTCCAGCACCAATGAACTCATGCTGGTTCATGATGACGTCCGAAGCAGCTCCAAATTGGTGGACTTCATATCTCAAATTTCCTCTGCCCGCGGATGTTGATCTCGACAAGTACTGCAAGGCCTGGGCTACTGTCGTATCAGAAAACGACATCCTAAGATCACGCATCATCAAAACCGAAACGGCAATCTGGCAAGTAGTCCTCAAGGAAGAAAAAGAGCCAATACGGACAGCGGATAACTGGCTAGAGTTTTGTCGGTCTGAGCGCAAGACCACCATGAACTGGGGAGAGAGCCTGAGTCGTTTCTGTGTGATTCAGGACAGAGATCACGGCGGCCGACATTTCGTCTGGACTGCCAAGCATGCTTTGTTCGACGCATGGGCCTTGCATCTTCTACAAAAGAAGATCTCAGACGTCTACTGCTACGGAGATCAAGGTCGGTTGAGCGATCTCACCCCGAGCGATATTATCCTTCACAAGCAGACGTCCAGTGTCGCCGAGGCGAAACAATGGTTCCACGCTCACTTTGCAGGTGTGCGTCCCCAGCCAGTCTTCAGCACGCCTAAAGATCATCAATTTGTCAACGATGTCTATCATTATCAGGATCTAGACCATGTTTCCCTGCCAGCTGTTTCTGGATTTCGCCCGAGCTTCACCATGTCAACTTATGTTGGGCTTGCGTGGGCTTTGGTCATCGCCCAACGGCTTGCTACAAAAGATGTCAGCCTAGGGCTCGTCCGATCGGGACGTAACATACCGCTGGCAGGTACAGACACTTATCTCGGGCCACTAGCGCAGTATATGCCTCTGAGAGTACGCTTTGGTCGCGACTCTCTGGTCCAAGATCTTCTCCAGAAGTATCAGGATGATTGGATTGAGTCGAGCGTGCATGACGCGTACTCATTCCATGAGCTGATGGACGCAGACACTGATCCCATGATCATGGCAAATGCGCATACCACTGTCGGCCTCAACATCGTACACCCAATGCCAAGCACTACTAGATCGGGTGCTGTTGCTGAAGGCACCCGGACGAGTCTTCCTGCACCGACGGAAATCCCGGCTGGCTTCACACAGAAACCCATCAATCTAAATGTCTACCTCAAAGAGGGACCTGGCTTGAGAGTGAAGATCAGAAGGGATGCTCGCGCATGTACAGCGGAACTAGCGGATGCATTCATGAAGAGCTTCGCTCGTGTCATTGAGCAGTTGTTGGATGCGAGAGATGAATTGATGCTCAAGGATGTCACTGTCCCGGATACTACAGCAGTGCCGGCTTCCTATCTGTGAATAGTTGGTTCATGCAATTTGCATCTCATTGCGAGCGACCTTATTTGATGTTTTGCTTGGTAGTTGTTTGTAGTTTTAGCCCGTATCGTCTGTAAATTACCCATAGGAAATCGCCCAATTGTCTGTGCTCAGATGTACCATATGCTGCCACATGCTGCTGTCTTGTACTGAGAACTTTTCTACATAAGATAAGAGGGGTAGTCGCCATAAAACCCGATATGCTTTAGTGTTTGTCGGGCTATGGTCTTGAATATAGTAGGTATTACTTATGCCTCTATTCATGCTGCCGGTTGACAAATTTGAAGACTTTGGAGTGGATGCTCAACCTGAAGAGCTCCAAGTCGAAGCTATGCCTCAAAACTGACCCAAATCACGTACAGACATGAAGGAGATCTGGGGGCAGCAGAGAAAACATACAAAACACTACTACGCTATTGACCGAACAAAACCTTACTGCTAATCTCGACACCGACAGCTCGCAAGTGCTCAAGATATGTATCACCAAGGCAGGCAGGAGTAATGAAGCCTGCACCATGAGTCTTCAAAATAGTTTCTGACGCTTGGAGGAGGGTCATTGCCACCTCTGCCATGAACATGGCAGTCATATGATATGGCCCAGCTTTGCAGCGGAAGATTGACAAAGCTCGAGGTCCATCGTTGCCGACCTCGGCTAGAGCTCTCCACTCTACTCCATCCTCTGCATCCTCCTTCGGGCCTTCTCCGGGCTTGGGTATCAGTTTCCCAGCGAGCCAGCGAAATGGTCTGAGGAAGATCAGACACATGCCGAACATGATCGTGACATGCATCAATACACCGGCAAGATATGTGGGAACGCGGATAAACTCGGCAGCTGAGAACATCACTTGGTCGAATACTCCGGGGTTCAAAGAAGACGATCGATGCACGATTGCCATGTTGGGTGGCGAGGTGACGGATGTGGTCAAGATGCCGAGATCAGAATGGCGGAAGGGTCCCAGCAAGCGTGAGATCAGGCTTCTTCGATTTGGGAATGGCTTTGCGTGGGGGGTTGGTGTCATCATCCACGGATCTGTGAGCATTTGCCAGACTCGTCTGTATGGATAATCATCGACCAGTGTCAAGCCACTTGCGAGACTACCCCCAGACATACCACCGCCCTTGACTTTGTGCAAGACACTGGTGATGCGGTTCGATTTTTGCTTTGTAGCTCGGTGAAGTGCTGATGCTGCAACAAAAGCTGCGACATCAGAAGGTGTTGATTCGAACCCAGTCTCAGGAACAAGAATTGCACCTGTGAGCTTTGCCGTTGAATCGAAGCTTGTGATCATGTCTTGAATCCATGGCGTTTCGCCAGAAGCGTCGACGTAGTGAGTGCCATTTCCTGCACAAGCTCTGACCACACCTGAAGAATAGATATGGTATGGCCCAATGCAGTTGATGATAACTCGTGTCTGGCTAGCAAGATCTTGAAGATCCTTGTCGTTCAGCTCGACAATGCAGATGTCAGGTCTCTGTTTTTCGCTCTGATTCGCAGTGAGACTAGCAGCCAGATTCTGCAGTTTCGCACTTGAACGACCGGCGATGGCCCATCTCAGACTGCCTGGCGTGTGCTGATGGATGTGTCGAGCTGTCAAGGTACCGGTGAAGCCTGTCGCCCCGAGCAGGACGACGTCGTACCTTCTGCTAGAGAGCATGTTGGTGATCGCGATCTGTTAGGTTCCATACTTGGGAGCTCCCTCAGAGATGAGATAAGTCAGATCCTGCAGCTCCTTCCGCGACTGCTTCGTGGTGCTCGGCGACTTACTGAGCCCAGCGCCAAGGCCAAAACAAACGCATGACGTTTTGAGCGTGTATCCTTTCTCATCAGTCCGCCGACACACCAATTCTCGCAACATCATGAAGTGGATATGAAAACCATGTTTTCACACGTAATGGGCGGGTGAATTATCGCATCGTGGTTGTTCATCGAAAAGCTAGTCTGCACACGTCCGGATGGAAAGTGCGACTAGAATCGCTCCCCTCTTTTCTCACCGGCATGAGCGTCTACGCCGCAAAGACTCCAAATTCATTCTCGGCGACATCTTACATGGATGAAGATGGGCCGATACCAGTAGCGCACGCAGCTATCCTTTGGGACGTACTGATGATGCCGTGACTATTCATCATGTATAAGGCTCACTGAAGTCGACATTGGCATGGGTCACACACCACATTGACCTCTTTTACTATCTGAATTCCCAAGATTCCCACCGATATGAACGATATTGACTGGTCAAGACTTGAGTCCAAGTCAGTGCTGTTGACTGGCGGAGCGTCTGGTCTTGGTCTGGCATCTGCTAGATCATTCGCAGCTGCTGGTGCATACGTCACAATTGCAGACATACAAGACGAAGCAACAGTCGGACACGCTCTTATCGACGAGTTCACAAAACTCGGACAGCATGTTAACTACGTTCGCTGCGACGTGACCGACTGGGATAGTCAAGTCGTGAGTTTTCAGTCTGCCGTCAATTTTAGCCCTAATAAGGTCCTCGATGTGGTGGCCATGTTCGCAGGAGTCACTAGCGAACCTGGAAATATCATGGATCACATCATCAAGGTCAAACTCGACTTAGATGCCATTCCGGAGAAGCCCGAGATTCAGTGCTTGGAAATTAACCTGATCGGTGTATACTACTCTGCATACCTCGCGTTACATTACTTCCGCTTCGAACCACAGGCGCGAGCAGATTCACTGGATCTAGCCTCACTCGAACGTACCAAATTGGAAGCTCAGGACTCCATGGCACAACGACCAAGCACAACTGAGGATACCCACCCTGAAGGAACCAGTACCTCAACAGAGCCAAAGTCGACCAAGTCTCTCATCTTCATCAACTCGCTGGCCGGCTACATCGATCTTCCAAAACACACAACCTACAGTATGAGCAAATTCGGTACTCGTGGCATGTTCCGCAGTATCCGAGGATACGCGAGAAAATGGGATGTTCGCTGTAATCTAGTCGCACCATGGCACATCAAGACACCAATGACAGAAGCCATTCAAGCCTTTATGAGAAAATACAAAGTGCCAGAGGGTCAGGGGATCAATTGGGCCGACATCCGAGACGTGGTGGATGTCGTCGGAAAATGTGCTGTGAGTGAGGACCTCAATGGTAGGTCGTTCCCAATGCTTGATACTCTGAGACACACGCTAAACATGTGATCAGGTCGCGCTTTCGCCATTATGCCCGATGGGATTTTCGACCTAAAGGACGATCTTGAGACTGGTTTTGGCGGAGAAGAGTTGATCGGGATCATGAAGACGCGTCGCGAGGCTGGCGACACAATTGCCTGAGGATACCTTCTTGAGTGTTCATTTACATCATTGGTTTATATGTTAATTACGTACCACATGTTTACTGGTCACAAGCAGCTAAGCACCAAATTCGTGTACCGCAAACCTAGTGACCTCTGGCCTGCCGATGCAGCGGATGATTTGGTGTGATAAGAGAGGGCTGTCGGCATTGACAATGTCTGCCAAATTGTCGAACGGTCGCGTGCATGGATAAACCAACGACCAATGTCTGAACGGTCCTGGCCTGCCGCTGTGCGAGGCTCTTGCTTTTGACTGGAATGCCCACATGGTCTTTGCCCGTGTAGACGAAGGGTCACTGCTAAGTCCAATCATGATCTTCACGGTAGCAAGTTGGCAAGGGTATCGAAAGTTGTGTTTCAAGACTATGTGGAGATAATATTGCAAGGAGTGGTATGTTGAAAGCTAAAAGAGTGCATGATAAAAACTCAAGACCTTGTGCTTTGACAACACAAAACCATACACCGCTACGCTCTTGACGAGCGGCCACCCGCCAAACTGAGAGAAGCTTCCTGAAACGATGCTCAATTGTCTTGTCGCTTCTCCATACCACAAGACCTTTCTGTTCCACTTTGCCATTGTCGATTGCCCATCAAGAACCTTCTGAAGCTCAAGACAATCGTACGCAGCTTGATTTGCACTTAACGCGATATGAGGGCGGAAAAGAGCAAGGGCATCGCCGACCAGGATTACCTTATCGTTCAGGAAAGTAGCCGATGCGCAGAGGTTATCGCTGACGGCCGCCACGAAAGGCTCGGCCGACTTCTCGACGAGCTCCACAAAAGGCGCGGCCAAATGATCTTTGGCAAATTGAACCTGATGCTTCCAGATCTCAGGTCGCATCATACCGGGTTGGAGAGTGGTGCGATGCACAACTCCAGCAGTGTCGGTCATGATACTGCGGAAGTCACCCTCGTCGGGACAGTTGTGATACCATACGAAGTTCAGTATACGCTGACCTGGTTCCATACCACCATCCGACCCAGGGATGGTGTAACTGTCATCCATTTAGCATTCGAATCGAGACATGTAGTTATGTCAAACTTACACAAGGATGTAGTTCTTCGGCATCTTGAACACGGTAAAGTTGTTCTTTAAAAGGCTCCTTGTCTCATCAGACACCTCGGACTCGAGCACGCCTCCTCGCCAAGCCAGGTAACCCGCATAAGGGCGGTCTTGCCCTCGTTGAGCAGGGAAGAAGTTGCGCCTGACCGCAGAGTGGGAGCCGTCGGCTCCGATGACTAGATCCGCCACGAGAGAAAGAGTCTTGCCTGTGCTCAGATCTTTGCACTCAACCTCGACCTGGCTATTCCGCTCCGTCAAGGAAACAAGTTGTTTCCCGAGGTCATAGATCGCTTCTCCCGTTCCACTTCTCGCCGCATTTGGACAATGCTTGCTTACAAGGCCATCGAAGTTGGCTCGCAGACGATAATACAGCATGGTCCAGGATGTCTGTTGCATGGGAAAGTTGATGAAACGCTTGTATTCGCTCTTATTGTTGATGAATTGCATGCCCGGGCAGTCCAGAGCGTAAGGCTGAGCTTTGTATTGATCGAATTCTTTCAGGAAGCGTTGTACCTCAGGGCCCGCTCGAATCCCTGCAGCCTGGCCGTGGCGAATGTTATCAGTCGACTGCTCAAGTATGCGGACGTGATGGCCGCGTCTTGTTAGCATTATGCCATGCATCAGACCGGCGATGGAGCCGCCAACCTAGAAACATCAGCATCTTGATTTCCTCAGAATAACAGTGTACCGACAATCACGACGTTCAGCGGGAGCTTCTCATCCATCTTTGTTGACGATAGCTTGAATCTGAAATTACAGAAAGGTTCTCGAGGGCCGACAAGTGTAGCACGGTCGATTGTCTGGCCATGTGGATTATCGCATAGTTTTTCGATTGCTGCCTTGCCTCATGTCAGGAGGCGCAGAGCTGCTCAGCCGTCACGTGGAAACACTGGAGGATTGCTGGCCAATCTGGTGGAAGTCACCGATATTGAACGCGGACTTTCAATGTCACCGAGAAGCTGGCGTCTGCAAGCCGGCTCGATAGCTCAGCCTGAAGGCCACACAGAGGGTAGGTCGATGATATTAGGTGATGAACGTGTCGCAGTATTCACGGTCTCATCTAAGTCGCATCTACTTTCAGCACCATCATAATTTCCGAAGATGTCGGTCGACTCCAGAAAGACAGTTCTCATTACAGGGTAAGTGTATTGTCTTGCTTACATAATCTTGCATCGATGACGTGGAAGACTGTTCTGAGGTGCTAACATGTTTCCAGTACAAATGAAGGTGGCATCGGAAATGCTTTGGCTCGGGAGTTCCATGCAAAAGGCAAGACAGAGTCCAAATTCCTCACACAAATATACAGTAACCTTGCTGATACGGTCCCAGGCCTGCGCGTCTTCGCCACGGCAAGAAAGACACATGACATTGAAGATCTGTCTCTTCTCGGCATCGAAACGTTCTCGCTCGAGGTTCACAAGCCAGAGAGCATCCTGAAGCTCAAGAATGTGATTAGCGAAATGACTGGCGGAGCACTTGATATACTCATTAACAATGCCGGCCGCAACTATACCATCCCCGCCCTGGATCTCGATTTGGAGGAGGTGCAGGATCTCTTTAATGTCAACGTGTTCTCAGTCATGAGAATGTGCCAGGCATTTGCACCTCTGATAATTCGCGCAAAAGGTATCATAGCGCAGATTGGAAGTTTGTCTGGGTTCATGTTAGTCGATCCTTCGCTCCTGTGTACCATTAGCTTGCTGACAATTTCCAGGCCCCACGTATTTGGATGTTAGTTCATTGCCATTCGCCCAACGTGATCCTACTGACTCCAGATTGCAGCCGCATACAATGCGTCTAAAGCGGCCCTGCATTCGTATAGCAACACATTGCGGGTCGAGCTGAAGCCTTTTGGTGCAAGCGTTATAATCCTCTATACCGGAGGCGTGCAATCACGTATAGCGCGCCAGGAACGTTCGCTTCCAGAGGACTCGCTATACCTCCCGGCAAATGAGGGCTATCTGAAGCGAATGACCCACACTCAGCAGAACGCAATGCCAACCGACAAATACGCGAAGTCGGTGGTGTCTCAGCTCCTTGTTGAGAAACCCAAGAGCTGGATTTGGGAAGGCAGCTACATCTGGCTGATGTGGACTTTCTGGACCTTCATGCCGAAGCATTTCTTGGTGAGTGCAGCGCAGCGATAACACGTGTTGACCGATGGCTGATAAATGGCAGGACAATTTATTCACGGGCATGTTTGCCCTGAACAAGCTAAGTCGAGACGAGGCACTGGCGCAGCTGAACCGTGACCAAAAGTATCGCGATTAAAGCCGCCGGGACTAAATAGTATACGGTTCAATATGTCGAAGGTTGCCTAGTGTATTCCAATATCATATAGCGTACTGTGTTGAAATAAGGGGCACGCGCTCAACGGCACTTTGACATCAGTTGTGATCGCAGGACTGAGAATGAGCTGTGAGTGGTTGACTTGGAGAAAAGTTTTGACTTCTGGAAGGATTTCGTCGAGATAGGCGACGCGACCGTTGATGTGAACCTTCTCCGCATGGCGCGTTGTGAGGATCTGCTCAAGAAGTCTAATGCTCGCGACATGGTTCCTTATCGGGAAATCCGGGGGTTTGGAAGATCGACAAGCTAATCTTGAAAGTACGCCACGATGCTTGTCAAAAGCTTGTCCTTCCAACTTTGTCGCTCTTTACCGTAAGAGGTACCTTGCGCGAGGTTACGATAAGTGCCGCACGACTTATCTACGGCTGGACGACAGGGAAGATCTGCCTCATGGAATGTAACGCAGGTGACCGCCGTTTGAGCGGCTGACAACGTGCATTGGCGACGTAATAATATCGCTTGGGAATATTCTCCGCCGAACGCATGAAGGATGAGCCTCACAAAGTTAAAGTCCTGCTATTACGAAATTCATCAAGGTGCTCGGTCTTCCGAATGCACGAACCAATGGCAGCGTACAGCCTTTTGAAATCAGCACCTCTGTCAATGCGTAAACAAATAGCAGCGTTGATGGATCGTGATCAACGATGTCATGCTGAGTGTAATTATGAATTGATGGTATTGAATTCTAGAAGTTGTACTCAGTCTTGAGGCTTTCGACTCCTCGACTGAGATCGTTTCTCAGTATCTTGATACTCTGCTTCATCCTCGTGGTATTATCACCAAGGACATTCTTGAAGCCATCGACCGTTTCCACTCTATCAAAGACACTGTACAGTCGAGCAAGCTGGGTGTCCATGACAGTGAGGTTGAGTGTTCGCATACAGACATCTGGTGGACAATGGATGTTGCCAGACTCTAACGCCCACTGGACAGTGGGAATGATGAGCGGCGGACTCCCAGAAGGCACCTGGTTGTATATGTATAAGTTGCCGAATGTTTCGTACATCTCCAGGACCATATTACTCGCGGTGATTACCATCATGAGCGTTGTCCTGTCCGAATCTTGATGTCCGATGGGCTGAGAGCTCGAAAAGAATGGCTTTAGTGTGGCCATGATACTTTCGTAAAGCCGCGAGACCAGGAGGAAGCCTGCGACCTGATTCTGAGGCAAGGGAATCTCATCTTGGAACCGACGGCCTCGTAGTGTAGGCTGCAGGTCAAACATGATGTTGACCAAAGAGTTTTCTGATGCATGAGAAGCGTCTGACTGGAGCACATTGTCCATTGAATTCATATCACTGCAACGATGTTAGCTAGAGGAACGACATGCGCTATTACGATGATACTGACGAGAGGCAGACAGGCAGTATTGTCGAGTCAAAGTTGAAGTCGATTCCTGATGAGAGCTTCGTTTGTCCGTCCTGGAATGGAGTAACTTCAAATGGTTCCATTTCCAGGTCCTCCGGGTTGAGGCCGATAGTCGACCAGAAGTCGACTTGGACGTCCACATTCGAATCTGGTGGAGTGATCAAAGCTTTTTGGAACTTCCATGGACTGTTTGCATTCGGCCCTGGGGAGAACTCGAAATCAGATAGTTGCATGCTCGTTGTATCGGCCAACGGGGTGAAGAATGAGTTGGAGAGCCCATCAAGATTGAGGGCTTTAGATAAATGATCGACAGGCTGCTGCGTGGACCAGCAGTCTTGCGACTCGTCCGGATTCTCCTGTATGGCTGTTGACCTTGCTTGGTGACGGCTCGATTGCGAGTTTGAACTCATATGCGTCGAGGTTGATGGGTTGTGCTCAAACAAGGACGCTCTCGTCAAAGCCGCTTGTTGCAAATGTGGAAGTGGCTGGTCGCTGTGGCGTCGTGACAAGGCAGGAGAAGCCGGAGCCACCATGACGGCTTCAGGGACTGGCGCCGCCTTCATGGCAATCTGAGCTTCACTTTTTCTGCTTCGTCTGTCCCGTTTGGGTCTGCCCATCTCTGACATCAAGCCAAAAACGCAAGCTCTGCCATTGGTGACACAGTTGGTGCAAGCTCCTACAGCAAATGGACACTTGATCTTCCTCGTATGGCATTCATTGCATGCTTCTCGGTGAGTCTTGGCCATAGTCATGAAGTGAAAAGGATACGTGGGTCGTTTGTGATGAAGGGTGCTGTAGAGTGGTTCGGTGAGTGTGGTGAATAGGACTCTCAAGATATATACCATCAATGCCATGTTACATCCTCAGGATCCCATCGAGATCGTGACTTGTAAGCCGGCACATTGAGTTGTGTGATCCTTCAGACTGGTTGGCAGATTGAAACATACCCAATCGTGTCTTCAGCTTCTATTAGCGCCGCTCCTTCAGGAGCTAGCATACTTCCGGTACAAGGGAGCCTTGGTGAAGCTTATCAAACGTTAACGGGCCACACGCAGGATCCCGTTTTCAGACCGCACTCGAGTACCTACATCTCTTGATTTGCTTATTGCCAACCAACGTGGAAGGTTGTTCAGCGCACGGAGAATATCTTGGGGCGCCCGAATCTCAGAATCCAGCGAGTAACATGCCGATATCTCGTATGCCTTGACCTATCGATTTGGAAGCGCCCGATCAGGAAGGTGGGCTTGGCAACGTGGATCTCCCTTATACAGAAACTACGATCGGCTAATCCCGCTCAATCTGGTTCTCCCCGGCCAGAATATAGCGGCGCTATAGCTCACAGATGTGCGCACCGGCTCTGCAACCTCTGTAGTTCGATAGGATTCGTGACTCTGGACATTCCCAAAATTGTGTCGTCTCGGCTCGAATGTCAGATTGGCAAGACAACCGAGGCGAAATACTCTTGACACTTCGCCACGTTCAGAGCCACCCATCAGGCAACAAGCCAGTCGTGTCGTGCATATGCACTATGGGAGCACCAAGCCCACCTGAGTACATGAAGAGTCGCAGCACAATATTTCAGGACATCTGCTCCGCCATCTGTATTCGTGTCCTGCGGGTCATCAAGGGGATGAGACTGATCGACAGAAAGTATATCTCACCATACGCGCTGTCAAAATAGCGCGACGGACTGACCCACTGGTTCGTTCACTCGCGAAGATGAAAACGAGCCAAACACGTGGACTTGCGACCCTAGGGCTCCCCAGGTTCGCGAAATGGTACTGTATCTGGAAGTCGCCGTTCAACGCATGCTTCATCCTTCCATAAAGTCGCCGTGTCGATGGCCGATTTAATTTCTGATGCCATCCAATACCGTGACACGCAAGTAGAGACAATGACAAGGCGAAGCAGAGAGTGTATGCCTGAGCTTGTTGTGTTATGCCAACATGCGCCCCTCGACTCTTGCAACATAGGTTATTTAGAGAGCATTTTTATCAATGACACCCACCGTACAATCAGAGAAGCCGGAATTATCCACGTCGCCGATTCCAGCCATGATGATGAGACCGGCCTTGGTCGTGGGATGCAGGTTTTCTCCATCAGCCGTGACTGAAAGGGCCACGAAGGAGATCGCCCTAGAGACAACATTAGTGGCCTTGCCTATGCAACAAGCTAGACTGCCGCATATCGAGGGTACTCGATTGTGGTTATTGATCTCAGTGTTAGTATGCCAGCAGCGCGTGGACAAGGTGTGAGAAACTTGACGAGGCTGACAGATGTTTGACCAGGTTGTGCCTGGCGCTGTTGATGTCTGCACTCGAGCAGCTGATCATTGGTCCTGCGCTCATTACAATATCGGAGGACCTGGGAAGATACGATCTTTCCAGCTGGGTTGTCAATGCTTACCTTCTCTCTTACAATGGTATTCCAAGAGCTCATAGCGTTTCCTAGAGATCCTTCTGCTCACACTTTCAGGCTTTCTGGTCGTCTTTGCTCGATGCTCCGATATCTTTGGCAGACGGTCTTCGTTCATGACTGCCCTCATAGTCTTCTTGGTCTCTTCTACCGCTTGTGGTGCAGCTCAAACAATGCTACAATTGATTGTTTTCCGTGCTTTTCAAGGCGTCGGTGGTGCAGGGCTGTTCACACTCACAGCAAGTACCAATGCCGCTCTTACATTTGGGTCAGCACTGACAGCACCGTACTAGATGAGCATAAGTACAGAGGTACCTGGCAAAGCACGAAGCATCATCTCAGGGCTTATCTCTGGAGTCTTTGGCATCGCGGCCGGCGCTTCTCCTTTGATCGGAGGTGCGATCGTTTCGAACACAACCTGGAGATGGGTGTTTCTACTCAAGTAAGTCGCTTCTGTTTCAAAGGTTGTTCAATGAGTTTGACGCAGCCCAAGCGTACCGCTCTGTGCCGTACTTATCATCATAACGTTTCTGGTCTTTCCCAAGAATCTCGCTAAGCTCGAGCTCAATCGAAAGACACTTGGGCAAGTCGACTGGATGGGCACTCTGTTGTATTTGATCACAGTCGTTTGCTTGAATTTCAGTTTGACCGAAGGTGGGACGAGATTCTCTTGGAGGAGTGCTGCCACAATAGTGCCTCTTGTCATCTCTGGACTGTCCTTGGCGGCATTCGTCGCTTGGGAGGCAAGATTGACTGCACTGGGTGCACGATCTCAGACTCTACCTCTATGGCCGACTAGACTGTTCCGGACTAGAGCCGTAGCGTGTGCGATGCTGTAAGTTGAGGGTCATGCGTAGTGACTGAAGAAGTGCTGATAAGTATCACAGCACAGCCTTCCTCTCTGGTGTGCCCCTCTATTCTTCGTACATCTACCTGCCGCAGAGGTTCGAATTAGTAAATTCGCTTTCGCCAGTGCAGGCTGGTCTCAGGATACTTATACTAGCATGGTTCGCCTTCATCGCAACAGGATTGTCGGCAGCGATATGCAACCACAGGAATCTATCGTTTCCAATACTGGCTGCTTCAATGGCACTACAGAGTCTCAGTATAGGGCTTATCTCTGCGCTGCCAAACACGAGACAGTTCCCGCCACAGCTCTATGCTTATTTGATAATGCTCGGCACTGGTTTTGGTTTGGCGCTCCCTACAGTATCGATGATCGCGCGATTGGAAGTCTCCCATCTCGACCATGCAGTAAGTGCTGCCGCAATATCCTCGCTGCGCAGTCTAGGCGGCACCATCGGTATCTCGATCGGAAACATCATTCTATCCAACCAAGTATGGTCGAAGCTTGCGAAAGAGCTCTCGAAGGAACAAATCTCGCAGATCCGAGACTCTCACTTTTCTTTGACTACGCTGACGTCTGAACAAATCACCAAAATCAGAGCCACGTTTGGTACAGGCTTCGACCGAAACACCAGAATCACTATGTATTTTGGCATCGCCGCATTTGTGTTCAGCATTGGATGCTTTGTTCGCAATCCATTGGAAATTCGACAACTAGACGAGAAGGAAGATGCCGAGAAGAGGCAACTCGATCGCGAAATTGCAGCCCAAGAAGATCTTTCATCACAAACCTCCGAGGTAGTAACACCAAGCATCAATTCGAGACAGGAGGTTTGAGACAATTGTATAGGTCTCTGCATAGTTTCGAGCCAAAATATGGTTAATAGATGTGGTCTAACATGATCTCTTGGTGAGGTCGCGTGGAAACATAATTTCAAGTGCGTCTTGAGCATATCAACGGAATATGCAGTTTTGTGATGGGAATACCAGCATTTCACCCACAGAGGCATCCAGATATTGAAGTGCCACTGTCTCTGACGCACCAGAATACAGTAAAACATTCTTCAAACTTGAGATTCATCTTTTCAAGGCATGTGACTTCCCAATGACTATCCTTCTATGGACACACGCGGTTGGGTTGCTAGCAGCAGATCTCTGAGGCTGTCAAACAGATCACGATGAGCCTTTTCCATCATGCAAGAATGTATCGAAGTCGCCGAACTTGGTGCCAAGCCAAAAATGAACAATAAGGTTTCGTTGCGCTCCAGCATTATCATTTCCACTTCGGACTTGATCGCAAATGGAAGCCAAACAAGGTGCCATGTCTCGGTCACTTCGAGAGAGGGCGGATCTGAAGGTTGGTCTCCGATGTTCAAGATGTTTCCGAGGTATGCTAGAACTCAGCAAGCGAGAATTTTCGCCGCATGTCAGCAATGGGCTGCGATCAGGCTGTAGTGACAATGTCGCCGGCGGAAAGAGGATCCTAGGTGACATCCACATGGCTACGCATCTACACGATGGTAACGACGACTATGTAAGAGTCGACATGGAAGCTTTTCCAGCCACAGAACAGCAGTTGTAGCACGATCAAACCATTCGTTCTTCCAACGCCAGGTCTACCTCATCCATCTCACCACCTCGTCGCCAACAGCATTGAACACCTATCATAATCTTGAAATAATGTCTCAATCAACCAACGACGTGCACTCAGGGCTGGACCCTGTTATGCCAATCGTAAGTTGAGCTTGACTTGATCAGTGCAACACTGCTGACAACGTAAGGCCATCATTGGTGTAGCTGGTCGTTATCCGGGAGATGCGTGCAATCCTGAGAGACTTTGGGATATGATTTCAGAAGGCAGGAGTGCTATGAGCGAAGTCCCGAAGGATAGGTTTAATGTGGATGCATTCTATCATCCCCACAAGTACGTTGCAGACTCTGCGGTTTGGTTCCCACGCTAATATATCGCAGCGAGAGAAGCGGCACCTTGAATACCAGGAACGCACACTTCATGAATAGAGACGTCTCCGCATTCGACGCTCCTTTCTTCTCCATCACACCGAATGAGGCGAAAGCAATGGATCCGCAACAGCGTTATTCGTTGGAGTGCTGCTACGAAGCCTTGGAAAACGGTACGTGTAGAACGGCGAATATGTTACGAACGAACGCTGACTTAACCCAGCTGGCATTCGTATCCCCGATATTGCTGGCACCGACACCTCTGTCTTTGTCGGCAGTTTTTCCAAGGATTACAACGAGCTTTCATCTATTGATCCTGAAGAGATCCCACTGTGAGTCAGCTTCGTGCCATATCGAGTGGCGTCAAGCTAATGGGTGGAAACAGATACTTTGGTGTAGGCACGGGTAGCGCTATGCTTTCGAACAGACTCTCATGGTGGTTCGATTTGCATGGACCCTCCGTCAGTCTTGATGTCGCGTGCAGTTCGTCCGGCGCAGCTCTGCACTTAGGTTGCCAAAGTCTCCGCACAGGAGAATCGAGCATTGTAAGAACGCGTGACATCACATTCACACAGAGAGTACTGACAGAGCTATAGTCTATCATTGGAGGTGTCAATTTGATCCTCCTGCCTGGTATCATGACCAACATGTCCAGTCTACACTTCCTCAGCGAGGACGGTGTCTGTCACTCATTTGATGAGTCAGCAAATGGATACTCCAGAGGCGAAGGTGCATCCTTCCTTGTCATCAAGCCTCTGGACGCAGCCCTTCGGGACGGAGATGTCATTCGTGGAGTCATCCGAAACACAGCATGCGGCCAAGATGGTAATGGAAACGCTGGCATCACTGTGCCTAATGGAAATGCACAAGAAGCTCTGATCCGAAAATGCTATGCTGATGCTGGATTGAGCCTTGCTGACACACAGTATGTGGAAGCTCACGGTACCGGCACACAAGCCGGAGACCCAGCAGAGACGGCCGCTCTGTCCGCGACACTCGGAATGTCTCGACCAAAGGGCGATCCTCTGCTGATAGGTTCAGTCAAGACGAATGTTGGCCATCTTGAGGGTGCAGCTGCTGCCCTGGGCGTCACCAAGGCCATATTCTGTCTTGAGAAAGGTGAGATCCCAGCGACCATTGGCTTCAAGACAGCCAACCCGCGCATTCCAATGGAGGACTGGAATCTGCGAGTTGTCGACAAGCTCACACCCTGGCCCTCCTCCGGCCCTCGCCGCGTGAGTATCAACTCCTTTGGCTATGGTGGTACTAACGCGCATATCATCATCGATGACGCCTATCACTACCTGAAAGCGCGAGGTCTTTCCGGAAACCACAATACTACAGTATCAAGTGGCTCGCTCACTCCTTCAACTCCAGAGTCTGTCGACTCCGGTCTGGGTCTGTCGCCGCAAAGCAGTGTGAGCCCGGAGGATCCCCTATCTCCTCAGGGAGAAATGGATTATTTCTCAGCGTTGAAACGTGACCGGCAGCCAAGATTGTATGTTTGGTCCTCAAACGAGCAGCCTGGCGTTCAAAGGTCAGCCCAAGTTTACAAAGACTACCTGGGCAAGAAAGCGTCGAAGAAGATGGCCTACAGCAGTGAGAACCAGCTACTCGCCAAGTTTGCGCATACACTATCGAACCGCCGTACTTTTTTGCCATGGAAGAGCTTCGCAGTCGCATCATCGTTGGAGGAGCTTTGTGTCAATCTGGGAGCACCCCCGGTCTCGCCAGTGAGGTCAGTCAAAGCTCCCAAGCTCGGATTTGTCTTCACGGGCCAAGGCGCGCAGTGGTTCGCTATGGGTCGTGAGCTCTGTGCATTCCCGTCTTTCCAGAGATGTCTTGCAGATGCAAGCACTCATCTCCTGAGTCTCGGGTCGCCATGGTCTCTACTTGAGGAGTTCAACCAAGACGAGAAAAGCTCGCAAGTAAATCTGCCAGCTATCAGTCAGCCTCTCTGCACTGCTCTCCAGATAGCATTGGTCGATCTTCTTGCCGAATGGAACATCAAGCCAAATGCTGTAGTTGGTCACTCGAGTGGCGAGATCGCCGCGGCTTACTGTACTGGTGCCCTGTCGCGAGAAGCCGCTTGGGAGGTAGCTTATCATCGCGGTCGTCTGGCAGCCATTCTCCCTGAGATCGCACCGCTAGCAAAAGGGTCCATGCTTGCCACCAATGTCAACGATGTCGACGCGCAGAGCTATATCAATCGTCTGATCAAGGGCTACGCGACCGTGGCTTGTGTCAACAGCCCAGAATCAACCACAATCTCTGGTGATCTGACAGCAATTGTTGAGCTAGAGGAGATGCTGAAAGAAGACGGCAGATTTGCTCGAAAGTTGCAAGTTACCACAGCATACCACTCAAAGCACATGACTGCCATCGCAGAGCTGTACGAGTCTGCGATCAAAGACATTGAGCTCAACACTTCCAAATCGTCGGTAATCATGTTCTCGAGCGTGACTGGTCATCATGTCGAAGCAAAGCAACTCGGACCCCGTTACTGGGTTCACAACATGGTCAAACCAGTCGAGTTTTCTGGTGCTGTACACAACTTGTGCCACCATACGCCTAGCAAAGGGTCCAGATCCAGGAAGCCATTGGTGGATGTCCTGGTCGAGATTGGCCCACACTCTGCTCTCCAAGGCCCGTTGAAGCAGATCATCAAAGCCGAGTCAGGCAAATTCGCCGAGGTCGCCAGCATTTCGCTACTTTCAAGAGGCCGAGATGCCAGGATCACGACAATGGAAGCGCTTGGCACGCTGTTCCAGAGAGCTTATCCAGTCAATCTCTCTGGCTGCAATGGAACTTCCCAAGCTGATGCCTTCCTGGTTGACATTCCGCCGTTCGCCTTTAACCATGGCGAGAACAACCGCTACTGGCACGAGAGCCAGGCCTCCAAAAATACCAGATTCCGAGCAAAGCCAAGAACAGACCTTCTGGGAGCTATGATCCCGCAGAGTAACGTTCTGGAGCCAGTCTTCCGCAACATCTTACGCGTGACAGAAATTCCATGGATTGAACATCATCGCGTTCAAGGTACTATCCTGTACCCTGCAGCAGGAATGCTTGTTATGGCCATCGAGTCTTGCGTTACCCGCGTCGATCCGACTCGTGTTGTTGAGGGCTACGAGCTTCGAGACGTGATTGTCGGCAAGGCAATCGTGATTCCAGAAGGCGAGAGCGGCACAGAAACATTGCTCAAACTTCGTCCTTGGAGAACTGGCACTCGCGATCTGGCATCAAACTGGGAAGAGTTTCGTATCTATTCCAGACAAGGTGATGTGTGGGAGTTGAACTGCAGTGGCCTTTGTCGTCCAAAGTATAAGGCTGACACCAAAGTCTGGTTCGCCGACGAGGAAAAGGCGACTTGGCAAAAGAAGCTGGCAGACTTCCACGAAGTCTCAAACAGCTCACCCAAACTCGTCGACATTGAAGCGCACTACGGACATGTCGCCAGCCTAGGCTATGGCTTCTCTGGTCCTTTCAAGAGCGTTCGCAAAATCCACAAAGGCCACTTCCGTGCGAGGACCGAGATCGAAATCCCGGATACTGCCGCGATGATGCCAAGAAACTTCGAATTTCCCCACATCATTCATCCCAGCACTTTGGATTGTGTCTTCCAGACTGGCATTGCAGGAGCTTCCTCCCTCGATGGCCGCATCGACTCCGCACTTATTCCTGTGAGCGCTCAGCGTCTGTTTGTGTCTGTAGATATACCCGTGAGAGCTGGTGCAGTGCTCCATTGCTCTGGACGCGTCGAGAATGAAGGCTTCGAGAACGCGCGTGGCTCTTTCACCGTCTATGACGACAGTTTCTCGAAGCCCCTCATTGTTCTTGAAGGTGTCAAAAGCAGTGCTCTCCGCCAGGATGAATTTGGAGCAAATCAAGGCACCAACATCAGAAAACTGGCTGCCCACTTCCACTGGCAACAAGATATCGAAAAGATAAGTCTCCAGGATCTGCAGCATGTCTGTGCAACAGCTCGAGCAGGTGAGGTTGCTCTTGATGCGCGAGTCACTTCTGAGCTCGAACACGCCAGCTACATCTTCATGAGAAATGTGGTCGTGAACATTTCTCCAAAGGAGGCAGCGTCTTTCGCACCGCACATGCAGAAGTACTACAGCTTCATGCAGAAAACGCTACAAGATGTAATGCAGAGAAATATCGCTCATCAGCACGGTTACCTCGACTGGCTGGTAGCTACCCCATCCGAGGAGGAGGCTCTTTTGAAGAGGGTTGCAGCCTCGTCAGCCGATGGTGCCGCGCTCTGCAAACACGGTAAGAATCTCGTCCGCGTCTTGCGAGGTGAAGCTCTAGCGATCGAAGTGCTCATGGAGGATAACCTGCTCAACAACTTCTATCAGTACGGTGTAGGAAATGCCCAGATCTACGCTCAATTGGGAAGCGTTGTAGACCTGCTTGGTCACAAGAACCCGGACATGAAGATTGTAAGACTTTCAAGAACACGTATGTTCATCACACTGCTGACAATTGATATAGCTCGAAATCGGAGGTGGTACAGGAGGCGCTACACTTCCCGTACTGTCGGCCCTTGGAGGCCAGAATGGCACTTCGCCGCGCTTCTCGACCTACACATTCACTGATATCAGTAGTGGCTTCTTCGAGAAGGCACACGAAAAGTTTAAGCCGTGGCTACCCTTCATGGACTTTGCGAAGATGGATGTCTCGACGGATCCGCTCGAACAAGGTTTCAAGGCTGGGCAGTATGACCTTATTATCGCTGCAAACGTCCTGCACGCAACTGCGTCAATGGATGAAACACTGAAAAACTGTCAGAAACTTCTCAAGCCTGAAGGCAAGCTTATTGTCAGCGAGATTACCAATTGTCTTCTTAGGTTCCACATGATTGTGGGCTCATTCGAAGGTTGGTGGGCAGGCGCCCAAGACGGCCGTGAATGGGGTCCAACCATGACGCAAGAAGTCTGGAATACGACACTGCTCCGCAATGGATTCAGCGGTGTTGAACTTGCTCTAGATGATCTAGAAGATGCCGAGAATCACGCATACACGCTTATGGTATCGACTGCATCCACACCACCACCGGAAGTTCCTCTTGGCAAGACCGTCATCATCCGGGCGCCACAAGCTACCTCGGAGTTGACTGAGTTTACTCTTATGCTTCAACAGTCTCTGGAAGCGAACGGCGCCAAGGTCAGATCCCTAGATTTGCATGAGGTACTCGCCAAAGACCTTTCCCAGACTTCGGTCATCTCTCTCCTTGACTGCGATGCAGATCATCCCTTCCTTTCTGATATCGCCCAGACGGACTTTCAATGTGTTAAACACATTGTATCCACAGCTCATTATTCGGCCTTCCTCTCCCGTGGCGCAGCGATCAACAGCGAGCATCCATTTTCTGGCCTCATGACTGGTATGGCTCGATGCATCCGCGCAGAGTCAGGGCCTACATTCGCTCTCTTGACTCTCGACCTGGATGCTTCAAACGCCATCAACACCGACAGCAATGTCGCCACTGTGGTTCAAGTCTACAAAAGTGGTGCAACCGGCACACACCGCCGCCGTCCAGATTGGGAATATGCAATCCGCGACAACAAGGTCATGATCCAGAGGATCTTGCTGGAGAACGGTACCAACGAGCTCATCTCCAGTCTCAACACAACACCAAAGCGTGAACTCATGCCTTTCGTTCAAGAAGGTAGACCGCTGACTCTTGGTATCGAGACACCGGGACGTTTGGACACTCTTCAACTCGACGACGATGCCCAATATTACACCGATATGAAACCTGATGACGTTGAGATTGCCGTTGGTGCCGCGGGACTCAATTTCAAGGATGTCATGATCGCCATGGGTCAGCTGCAAGAGCCAACCCTTGGTATGGACTGCAGTGGTGTTGTTAGTCGAGTCGGTCAGAATGTGAGCAACGTCAAGGTTGGCGATCGAGTCATGACCTGGACGTCAGGCGCTTTCTGTAACTTCGCCAGATCGCCTGCTTCCATGGTCTCTTGCATTCCCGACAGCATGTCTTTCGCCGTTGCTGCCAGTGTTCCATTGGTGTGGTCCACCGTTGTTTACTCGCTTATCAATACCGCGCGCCTTCAAAATGGTGACTCTATCCTCATTCATGGTGCAGCCGGTGGCGTTGGCCAAGCGGCTGTCATGTTGGCTAAGCATATCGGGGCCGAGATCTACGCTACTGTTTCTTCCGAGTCCAAGAAACAATTGATTATGGACACTTACAGTATCCCAGAGGATCACATCTTCAGCAGCAGAGACCTTTCCTTCGCTGCTGGTGTCATGCGGATGACCAGAGGCAGAGGTGTTGATGTTGTTTTGAATTCTCTTGCTGGAGAAGCACTGCAGGTGTCTTGGGACTGTATTGCCTGGTTTGGACGCTTCATCGAGATCGGCAAGAAGGATATTGGTAACAACGACGAGAGCGAACTTTTGACGACTTTGAACTGACATCTCATATAGAATCCAACACCGGACTCAGTATGGAGCCGTTTGGTCGCAACACGACATACTCGTCTATCGATCTCACCGGCTTAAAGGCGCATGATCTCAAGACTTGCTCGAAGGTTTTCGCAAATGTCGTCAAACTGCTTGAGCAAGGTGTGATCGCTCCTGTGCAGCCTATCGTCACCATGCCTTTCAGCAAACTAGAAGAAGCCTTCCGAACAATGCAAATGGGCAAACACATCGGCAAGCTGGTGCTAGAAGTCAACGATAACGACATCGTGCCGGTAAGATTAGTCTGATTCATATCGCGTTTCCGTGACTGACATCAGCCAGGTCATCCCTGCACGGGTGAAGCCTTACAATTTCCGATCTGATGCGACATATCTACTTTCAGGTGGCACTGGCGGTTTGGGCAGAAGTATTGCAAAGTGGATGGTCAAGCAAGGTGCCCGCAATCTTGTCTTCTTGTCGAGATCCGGCCCAAGCAAACCCGAAGCTCAAGACACCATCAGCGCCTTGACAGAGCAAGGCGCACGAGCTGTCGCATACAGCTGTGATATTTCAAACCGCGATGACATGAAACGAACCCTGGACACCATTCGTGACCAGGGCTTCCCGCCTATTCGGGGCGCGATCCAAGGTGCCATGGTTCTTCATGATGCTATGTTCTGCAATATGAGTCATGAACAGTATCTTACAGCGCTGAGACCTAAGGTTCAAGGCACTTGGAATATGCACGAATTGCTACCGAAGAACCTTGACTTTTTTGTTCTCCTTTCGTCTAGCGCGGGTATTGCAGGATCCAGAGGTCAAAGCAATTACGCAGCTGGTAAGTTCAAGCTGTTCGGAACATAACAACGAATCGCTACTAACAGCCAATTCCAGGTAACGCTTTCCAGGACGCACTCGCATACCACCGTAGAGCAATTGGTCAGGCTGCTGGTGCAATCGATCTCGGAGTTGTCCTGGACGTCGGATACGTGGCCGAGAGCACTTCCACTGAAGTCAGAGAGAACACCAAGCGGTTTAGCTTCGTCGCCCTGCGCGAGATGGAAGTGCATGCCCTAATACAAGCCTCAATCACTGGCGAAAGTATCCGAGGCCAGAAGGTACCACCTCAGATCATCACTGGACTAGGCACGGGAGGTATGGCCAAGTTTGCCGGCTACAAGATTCCTTGGTGGTTCAGCGACGCCAAGTTCGCCCATGTCCGCGATGTCGACACGCACACAGTCTCAGTCGAGACGGAAGATACTCTGCAATTGCAGACCTTACTCGCGGCTGCAACCAGCTTCGAAAATGCCACCGAGATTGTGGGCTCGGCATTGGTGCAGAAGCTGTCAAAGTCACTCATGGTGCCGGCCGAAGATATTGAACTCTCTCGACCCATGAGCAGATATGGCGTTGACAGTTTACTCGCTGTTGAGGTGCGCTCATGGCTCTTCACGGAGCTGCAATCGGATATTTCGGTCTTCCAATTGCTTAGCAATGGTCCTATCACTGATCTTGTCAAGACGATTATTGGGAAGTCGAAATGTGTGCCTTCTGCTTTCCAGGCGGAAATTTGAGAGTTCGCGATGAATGGAATACATCAGGTCATCGGTGGGATGTTTTGCAACCATATAGGAGTACTGGGTAGTGGTTTTTGTCTACAAGAGACGTGATCCTAGCGCAGGCGCATGGAACCTCTCTTTAGCTTTCTTTTCAAAATAGCGTTGTATATGCACAAATATATAGATCGAATATGATCACTCTTCTCAATTTACCGGCTCTGCATATCTATCTTTCTTTTTGGCCAGATCATAGCTGTCATTCAGAACTCCCTCATGGAAACAAGCCGAGGCAATCCCGAAGTCTTACATCAGTATCTGTGACGAATGTTCTTGCTCTAAAATAGTCACTGGGCATACTGTACTCATATTTCTTAGTATGGTCACGTCTTCACCGGCTGAGCTCATAGCATTAAGCAAATATGGATGATGTAGCACTATCTCCGATCTACAGGTTGTTGCTGCCCAGAGCACCATCGCGAATGGCACACCGCCACTTGCTTCATCAACTCTAAACATGGACGAAGGACCAGCTTCTTCAACCACTACTGATTGCCAGACCCTCGCATTCATGCACGGTAGTCCAGCAATCGCAAAACTACTTACCGCCGTCTTCCCACTTTGGAACCTCCTGTTTTCTTCAGCGGCGTTCTGAGACTACTACTAAGCAAACAAGAGTCTGCAAACTCGAGAAAAGTTTCTGTTTTAGATAAGTACGTCGACTGGAGAAAGCGGGCTTCGTCAGAGCATCTAGACTTGTATTTCCAAAGAAAGCTAGTTTCTATCGAAAGAGGTGACCCTAAACCTCATACCTTTGGAGCCCTTCTTGGGCATCGCGATCATCCCGTCGCTGACACACTCAATATCGGAGTCGTCGGTCTCAAACAGCTCGAGTCGACCAATGTCGTCCTTCGCCGTGTATCCTGGAGAGCCATATCGGCCGAAAATAGATACAATGGGTAGTATCATCATTGCAGTAGCCAAGTTTATCGCAGGACAAATCCTCGAGCCCTTGCCAAATACCACTTGATATCTCTCCAGACCAGGATTGTCGAGCCATCGTTCTGGGATGAACTCAGTAGGTCTTGGGAAGATGCGCTTGTCTCGCAAAATGAGACCATGCGACATACTTGTGGGTGTTCCCCTTGGGATGACCCAGACATCGGAGGTACCGGGGACTTTATATACCATTTCCTTTCGAGAGACGCGAGCAGATCTATGGCTGATTGCGATGCCAATGCGCAGAGATTCCTGTATTACTGCGGAAAGATACGGCAAACTCTCCAGCTTCGGCAGATCGTTCATGGTCTCCGGACCGTCAGGGAAAGCGATAGACAATTCCTCCTTGAGTTTCCTAAGAGCGCTTGGGCGTTTGACCAACTCATAGGTTGCGACACCGATAGACCACGAAGTGCTCAATGTGGACGCACAAATCAGCATTTGGGCGTCCTGCTTTAGTCTGTCGAGTGTTTTATCTTGATGTGGAAGACGACTGCTTAAGATCTGATCAAAGACTGTATGGCCTGCAGCTTCTTCTTTGGCAGCCATCGGCCTCGCCGCAACAGCTTTTGCTTGATCGCCTAGCAGCCGGAGCACTGTGACAAATTTCGTCATTTTCGTGCTCACAAAGTACTTCCTCAACAGTCCAGGCGGAGGGTAATGGGCCATGAAGACAAGAATGTCCATGAGCCACGGGAAATGGTTCATGATCATGACATTGTTGAAGCCATCTTGCACAGCGTCATGAAATTCCGGGTCGAAGTCTGGATCCTCAATCTTGCATTGAGGAATATCGAAGAAGTATCGCGAGGCGACATCTAAATCACGTTATTAGGCGTTTCCGAATTTGGCAATTTGAGAACATACCAGCAACATAGGCGGCGAGGCCATGCTTCAAGTTGACAATGTCGCAGTTCTGCCCAGCTTGTCCCATTCTTGACATCAAGGCATCGACACGCTCTTGAATTACCGGTTGCAGTCGAGCAATTCTCTGCTTTGAGAATACAGGGTTCCAAGCCGCTCTGCGATGTCGATGGAGGTCGTGATCCACGGTTGCCATAGTACTCAGATCGGAGCCAAAGCCCTTGCGCTGCCAGCCCCAAGCGTCGCGTTTTTCCTTGTTCGTGTATACCTCATTGTAGAATTCCGGATCCGAAATGTGTATCTCTTCCGGGTTTATACGAATAATTGGGCCATATTGTTTGTGGAGTTGCTCGAGCTTGAATACATACTGTCCGCGCTGATGGCAGTCATAGTAGTATTCATACCAGAACGATGCCGCCGCCAATCTCGGACCAGGAAAGTCGGCAAGAGGATGGAGAACCAGACGATAGAATGCAAGACCAATGTTATATACTAGAAGAAGCAGTAACAGGACTGCCGCGAGGCTGGTAACGCCAAGGGGCAGCGGCGTGGGCAGCGAAAATGACATCATGATTTTTGGGTCGCGCAAGCTGAAATCAATGCAAGAGGAAGCCGACTGCAAGATTTGACCCCTTACGAAAACATCGCACTTTGGTATGGTATTGTATCTATGCTTTCTATGTGCCTCCTACATAGGTTCACCTAAGAACTTACGATCTTCGGTGACATTTGATTGGCTGAGACGCTGAGCCATCTGTCGTGAAATGTCGCCGAGGTAGAAGTTCGGATGCATGCGAGGCAAGTCTCAGTCATTAGCATGTGTGCAGAAGCAGGTCAAGTATATGTTCCTACAAATTGGGTCTCTGGCGGCGATTCTATTCTGTTGTACAAGAAAATCAAGAGCTTCCTTACCAGTTATGGGTTTCCCACCTCTGTCTTCTCCACCTTCCATCGCCATCGTCGGAGGTGGCCCAGCAGGCCTCACCTTGATGCGAATTCTTGATGTTCACCTTCGCGATATTGATCCGTTGCGAAACCCAAAAGTCACCATATTTGAGCGAGACGCAAATCAGCACTCGCAAACTGATCAGATCGGCACCCTGGACCTGCACACCTATACCGGACTCGCGGCCATGAAAGCTGCAGAATTGTTTGAGGAGTTTCAGAAGCATGCTCGATACGATGGTGAGGAACTGGTCATTGCCGACAAGAATGGTACGGAGCTAGTTCATATGCATGCTGGAAAAGGCACAACACCAGGAGTCGAAGCGACAAGACCGGAAATCGACAGAGCCACGCTCATGGATATCTTGCTAGCCAGTGTCGGCACACATCGTATCATCTGGGGTAAGAAGCTCACATCTGTGACGGAAGACAAAAAGCTGTGTTTCGCAGATGGATCGATCTTTGGACCTTACGATCTTATCGTGGGTGCTGATGGCACATGGGGCAAAGTCCGACCTATCTTGACCAGCGTGAGGCCACGCTACTCAGGTATCTGTGGATTCGAAAGCCTCATTGTGGATCCAGACATCAAACACCCAGCCATCGCTAAATTGTTCGGAAGAGGGGCCTACTTTGCGTTCTCTGACGGCAAAGCCATGATGGCCCACAGGTTGGGCAGTGGTAACATCAAGCTCAACTACTGGATTAAATCCAACGAGTCCTTCCATTCCGATGTCATGAAGCAGTCCGATGGTCAGGATGACGTACTTCGAGATACGTTACACGATCTTTATACAGACTGGCTACCAATTCTTCGGAAATGCATCGATGTCAGCCAAAGGTTCAAATCAAGAGCTCTCTACGAGCTACCTATCGGTGACAGATGGGACCATAGACTGGGATTTACTCTGATGGGTGATTCGGCTCATCTGATGACCCCGTTCTCCGGCAAAGGTGCAAATGCCGCAATGAGAGATGGCCTGGACCTTGCTGGTGCTGTTATTGAGAGCTTGACGCAGGACAAGTCTCTTGATGAGTGTATTAAGTCTTACGAAGAGCAGATGTTTATGAAGATTGAGGAGGTTCAGAGTTTGACGATGATGAACAAACAAGGAATGTTCCGAGATGATGCTCCGGTAGGGTTCATGGTAGATATGATGGACGTCATAGCTAAGGCTAAAGGCAAGGACTTGAACAAAGGTGTTTTAGCTTGGATCCCGGTCAAGAAGATGGCCAGACTGGTGGCCTGGGTTATTGTTACAGCTGGCGCTTGGAAGCGTAGATTTACTGTTCTTTGATCAGCTGCAAATCTGCAATCACAGATCTTCCTCCAACCGTGGGCGAAATAATGTCACATCTGTGGCTGCCTTTAGCTACGATACTTCTTTAACATGCAACGTTGTCATCGGGATACTTCGTGTCATCCACTTCCTGCGCTACTCTTATCGATACGAGATATGACTATGCGTTTCTACAGCTCGTCTTTGCCCTGCTTTGACCATGTAAAGAGAGGATGTGACAGTACTTTGCACACGGGAAGGCTTGGGATTTTTTTATCATGTTGAACCCTACCATGCCAATTTCCAACACATGATGACTTCTGTAAGTCGCCACGAGATATTGATCAATATCGCCACAAAAACGTGTCAGTCGAGGACTTTGGCCAAAAGTCGCCGAGGGTCTGGTGACAACATGAAAAGCCTCCGACCGAATTCGACTACCAGTCATACTCCAAGGACGGCCCGAGAATCCTTATGAAGATAGTAGCTCTATGATGATATACCTTTACACACCCCAGGTCACCGTCCAAAGTAATCCGCTCTTTCCAAATCTCCTCAACCTCACAGCACATACTCTTGACATCATGAGGTTTCTCTGTCTCCATGGCATGGGTACAAACTCGGCGATCTTTGCCGTTCAGCTAGGACCAGTCCTTTCCCGCTTGGAAGATGCAGGTCACGAATTCACCTTTGTGGATGGGCTCATGGAATGTAATTCCACAGAAGGTCGGTTTTCGCCCTCCTCGCCATGATCATTGAAAACCTCGACTAATCGTCTTATACGATTTTCAGAAATTCGATCTGTCTTCCCTGGCCCGTATCTCTGCTACTACAATTCTCCTACCTCTGAACTTGTCGCCGCAGCGTTTGAATACGTCCACGAAATCATCGAAGAAGAAGGACCTTTTGACGGCGTCATAGGTTTCTCCCAAGGCGCCGCACTAGCAGCTAGTATGCTGCTCCAAAGTGCGAAGCAACACAAGAAGCCACTCTTTGAACTCGCCATTTTTGCGGGTGCAAGTTTGCCCTTCGACATCGACGACGAGTCTGGTTTAGATGAGTTCTATGCCAGTATGCGAGGAACCAAGATTTGGGACAACATGTTTGATGGCGATGATGCGATTGATGGTCCTCTAGGCTATCCTCGCCATTTTGATCCAGACAGAAAGCCATTGTTGGCGAGATATCATCCCGACAAGGTTAGCAAGACGAGAATCTCTGTACCTACACTACACATCGTAGGCAAAGAAGATGCATATGTAGGACAGGGAAGAAAGTTGATAAAGTTGTGCGGACAACAGGACACAGTCGTGATAGACCATGGCGAGGGTCATAGAATACCGCGAGAATCAGTTTTCGAGCGAAAAGTAGTTGCGGCCTTAGAGAAGATGATTTCAGGAGTGTTGCTGAGATGTTAGTCACTATATCACAGCCAATGATAAATCCCATGTCTCTCCAAGGCACATCAAAAGTGATAACTAGGAAGGAGAGTCGCGATAACGGAGACGCCCCTTCCACGCCAAAAGTCTTGGTATCCAGCCTCCTATGACGTACCTGGCAACCGGTCAGCAAATCAACGATATCCCATCTGCGTACAAAGCTAACGATCAAACGCGCTCACAGCTACAGTCCAGAGATATGCGAATGGTCCTTCGTGAAACACAATATTATCGCGGTGTGGTCCCAATCATAGAATTCCCCAGCCTGCGCCTCTGCGGTGCCAACGACTCAGCAACCATGCACATCAGCCGAGGCTGCGACACCCGTAGAGCAATCACGAATGCAGCCACAGGACTGGATTTGCATGCAGTGATGCTGCCTGACCGCCCTCGGAGGGCTATGTTGGTTTCCCGTCCACTGGCAGAGAGGAAAGCTGAAAGTCCGCAAGAAGGGAACCAATCATTATATTGCTACAATCCTTTGATGTGCAGACGCACGGTTATGTGCAATATGGAGATACGAACACCTCGCAGCGTCCATAGCGAACCGAAAGCTTGATTCTCGGAGACGCCGAGTCTCGAGTGTCCAAAATTGGCAGAGTAGTCGAGGTGCATCTGCACAGTCGCAGGCCTCTACAGCCATCTACCCTCCTTGTGGACGCTGCTCTCGAGACTGCACCAGGAGGCTCGTGGCCGCGGTACCAATCAAGCTAGACTCAGAAGCTCATCTGCCTGTTCAGTGAGGAGTGTTCTGTATAGAGATCTGCAACGTAAGGACACACTATCCAGCGATCATGTGCCTGTTACGGATTGCTCCTGCATTCGAAGGTTAGCGTATACATCGTGCGCTGCTCAAACCGACCTTGGCAAGCGCTGCCATTGGCTGAGTCATCTCTCTACGCAGAAGACAGAATCCTGTACTGCTCGTCGGAAGTAAAAGAGGGCTGTCGAGCTCATCAGTCGCATAGCGCGCGAGACAATGCATTTAGAGGCGTCGCTCCCCCCGTGGCGCAGCTGTCGAGAGCTTGTCATATAACACATTTCACACCCTCCTGATGAACGCAAGTAAAACAAGATTCACCCCTTGAGCAACATGCCAAACCCGATCCGCCTACACTGGAGAGTACTTTGTATCTTATATGGCTCGCTCCTCGCCAGTATCGCATTTGCTGTCGGCCATCACTTATACTACCAGAGTCTAGCGGATACTCCTGTGTCAACCGCCAATGATTTGACCTTTGGAACGTGGACTGGAGTGCCGTCTCAAAAGTTCAACACAGCAATCGGCACTACTTTCGCATCTCTGTTCCGAACTTCTCTCTCCATTACGGTCACTACAGCCTACTTCCAAATCGTTTGGAGTGTATTGAAGGCCGGAAGTACTCGACTAAACGTCGTTGATGCAATCAGTGGTATCTTGGCAAACCCGCTTGCTTTCTTCAATGGAGGAGCCTGGAAGAAGTCGAGTTTACTTATTATTCTTGCCGCCACCACCTGGTGAGCTTGTTCGAGGTGCTGCTTGTGACATCCCTACAGTGCTAAAGTTCGATCAGGCTACTTCCAATTGCCCCCATCATCACCCCTGCAACTTTGACTGTTCAGACAAACTCCCAAGTCTCTTATGGCCTAACCAATGTCTCTGCCGTCGATTTCAATAGCCTAAATTTTGCGTCCGTCGTCGCAAATTCTCAAGGAGCTTGTGGTTACTTATACAGAAGGCCCCAATTCGAGGTTATGAAGATTGTCGCAGCAGCCGCAGGACAAGATGATGTGCTACCCTTCTCTGCACCAGGCAGTCAGCCAAACGCTTCGTATGTTCAGCAATTTGCTGGACCAGCTCTACAATGTAACGACGTGGCTGAACCACTACGTGGCGAAATACTCACGAACGTTAATACCAGTACCTTCTCCGAATACACGTCGTATGGGTATCTCTCTTGGACGCCAAGTGACGAAAATTCTTTGCCATTTCTACTGGAAAATGTCACGAGCAATGGCGAGTCTTACTCTGAATATCAATTGCAATCCTATGCGCTAGGGCCTGGACGAGGTTCGTCTACTCCTCTGAGTTTGTTCGTCGCGACGTTTCCAAACATGCAAAACCCGTACACGGCAGGTTCACTTATCTCAGATTACGACTATGTTGGCAATGCCACAATCGTCAAATGTCAATTGAAGAACGCAACATATGCTTCATCCTTCAATTGGACAAACGGCATTCGCGACTTGAACATCACAGTATCTCCTGGCAGCGATGGCATTGTGTATCACGAGGGGGTGGACTGCAGCCAGTTCCTTTACACTCCGGGAGTCTCGGTCTCGGACGCCCTCAAAAATGGTTCGGATGATATCTCGGACTACAACAACACTATCATCCAGAACTTTGCCTACCAATCGGTGATGCACGCTTTCGGGAGTATTGTGACGGGCTCCATCAACTATCCACGTTTCCCGAACGGATTGGTCGTAGCGACTAACGTGATGGATACTGTTTTAGGTGCTACGCCAGAACTTTTGCAGCTGCAAAACAGCACAGCTGGTCAGATGAAAGGCCTAGCCTCGCTTGGTCGAAAGGTTTGGCCAGGCATTTCGGTCGAAAGCCTACCCGAAAACTCACTGGACCTTCGTTCTAGCTTGGAGGGACTTTTCCAGAATGTGACCATGAGCTTGATGAGCTCAAAGCTACTCCAGTCGGTGGTTTCTGTGTGAGGAGAGAGCCGTGCCATAGCTGACCATATTCCTAGGCCCGACCCTGCAACACCCTACTACCCGCCGCCGGTTAACGTCACCAGTATCACGTATCAAAATCTGTACGCATACTCAGCAACGATGTTATGGCTTTCATACGGAGTCGCGCTATTCCTCGCCTTGATAACAGTGATTGTGGGCTCAATGGCCATATTCTCGAGTGGCTTCTCATATTCGTCTTCCTTTTCAACCGTCTTGCGTACCGCTTCGCATGCCGCTATCAGCACCGACATCTCTCGAAACGATGCGACCGGTCAAGATCCATTGCCAGAGCATCTTTGCAAGGCTACAATTTTATTTGACCGTATTAATCAGCAAGGCGGAGAGTCTGCAGCCAAAGAGGTCCTGATGGTCAAGCAAGAGAGTGGCCGTCTCTTGGCTCAGAGCCGAGCTGAACGCTACAGCTGAGTGCTGTGCGATCTGGAAGACTTCACATAAGGTCGTGGGACCGTGGGACATCAGGAGCAGCGCTGGAAAGGACGATCTTGAGGGTCTTGCTGAGATGTTAGCTGAATCATCAAATGTTCTTGTAGCTCAATCAGTGCCATTCGGACGTTGTTGTGGAGGCTGCCTTCAGATTTGAAGGATTTTGTGCCTTGAGACAGCGGTGAAGTGTGATATTGTTTGACGCGTGTGTGGAGGTTGTGTTCGCTTGACCGCATTTCGTGATGTAGACTAAGCTAACCCGCACTCGAAAACATGCGCTCTTCATCGTTCATACTCTGCCTCTCTTCGCTCCTGTTCCTCTCCTTCGTTTCCAGTGGAATCTTCCAGATCGTTGCAATGCAGACAAACACCACGATCGCCTCTGGCAAAAACGTCATGAACATATATATCGTCTCGTCTCCCTTGACAGCATTGAATTTCATATCCCCTGTTGCCTCAAAGATGAGCGAGTACACTAGTCTGATAACCATGAATGGAATACAGGCTCCCACGCCCATGAGTGCATTTCTTTGTGCTTTTGCTGTGGCGCTGCGATTGCGATAGTGGACCAAGATACCGAGGAGCATGATTGTGTATGCGTACATGAGTACTAGTAATGCGCGATTTGCTTTTGAAAATGCGGTGGGTTCGTATGCGTTTTCCCTCTTTCTAACGACGACGAAGCCGACAATCGCGATGAGGAGATCAACATAGGTAAGCACATGTGGGACCAGTAAGGCGTATTTATGCAACACCGGTGCTTGTTCATCCCTTGCACTCTGTCAGCATCACCTCTCTCTACCTACGACAGGTCATAAAGAAACTTACACCCATCCCAATATCTCCACAAAGATAAACACGAAGAGAATGATGCCCAAGCCTTCACAGACAAACACTGTAGCTTTCAGGCCGTAGGTATCATGGTTGATCAAGGCGAGGAAGCAAGAGGCCGAGACGAGACGAACAATGCTGAAGAGACCGAGACAGAGGTAGCCTAGTCGATTTTTGCGACGGAAGTAGTAAGATATTGTTAAAGAGGTTGAGAAGGTGAAGATTTGGAAAATGCTGATGATGGAGCGGTAAGTTATTTGGCCTTCGCCGTACATTGCTGGCGGTACTTCTGTATTGCTGTTTTGGTTTGACGAGGTGCAGATGACAATAAAAGGCAGATGAGGATGCAAAGATGAGATTAGATGAGAACAACAGGAGGGAGATAGATGATTCAACGCATACTTATGTCTACAGGCCTATGTAAATTCATGATGATCGTCGCAATTTTCATTGGGCTATTATTGTTGTAAGCATGGCTGTGTCGGTGTCAATACTCGTTGTGTTGGAAGTAGCCAAGGGGTTGTCCCACGAGAAGGATTGCTGAGGTTCGGACCCGACGCTCATTGGTCGGTCACAGAAAATCTCCAAGGCGCAGACATTACTGCATCGAGTATGTAGCGCGCACTTCTTGCCGTCAGGTTGTATGACACATATGGAGTCTTCTGTTATGTTTCAGGTCTCCTAGAGTATTGGCGATACATGAGAGCTCGTGTCACCCAGCCGATGACGAAGTCATGGCGGTGCACTCGTCTCCAAGTCTTTACCACCGAAACTGTAGCACGTGCATGCTCCGTTTGATCGGCGCTCTGGATGAATCGGACCAAGTCACTGAGGACCAGGCTGGCAAGATGGCGACTTCGAGCCATCGAGCACTTCGGGCGCGTCGCTCGAGGTCACGACAGAGTTTGGTGCGTCGTGATGGGACGACATTTCCAGGAGTTTCCAATTCTGTCTGCGCATAGATCGATGCTGGGAGTCGACACCCCTCGGATTATCTACACGTTGCTTTGCGACAGCAATATGTTCGCGACGGCCGCAGATGATGCAGCGACGAGGTAGGTGTCGCTAACGAACGCTTGAAGATGATGCCGAAGAGTCGCTTGAAGATAGGCCAACCCCGCCTTTTTCGCTTGGCAAAGATAGGCCTCCCCTTTTCCAGCTCGGAATCGCAACATCGGTCACGGGCAACACTTTTTATGTTTCCCGCTCTCGGAGAAGACGATCGTGAGGTATGACTCGGCAAGAAATTAGCTTCCGGCAGAGGCGCCGGCCAGAGAGTATTGACCGGCGACGATAACGCGTTTCGAGTTCCTCCTGTGCTATCTAGAACTTGACAGCATCTACATCTTATAAGCACGCTGTCTGGGACTACGCTGCCCTGAGATCAGAATACACCATCAGATCTGCCGAATATGTCCGCCCGAGGCACAGCTAGCGAGAGCGTGGATGTCGTTGTCATAGGCGCAGGACTCGCCGGCCTGACTGCAGCTCGCGATCTCATAAAGGCGGGCCTGTCCTGTATTATACTGGAAGCTAGAGACCGTGTTGGCGGTAAGACATGGAGTCAGGAGCTTCCGGATAGCAAAGGAACAGTCGATCTCGGTGCTGCTTGGATCAACGACGTCAATCAAACTCAGGTGTACGGCCTAGCGAAGCAATACAACGCAGAGTTCATCGAGCAGAATACCACTGGTAATTGTGCTATACAAGATGCCAGCGAGAAGATCTCGACGTTTCCATACGGTGGATTGCCGCCAGTAAGTCTGATCATGACTGGTGATGAACTATGGCTGATTGAGGTAGTTTGATTCTGCAGCTGCGGAAGATGTTGTACGCATTCGCGACATGTGCGAAGCGGATTGTCAAGCTCTGGATGTATTCAACCCAAAGGACGATACTCTGGATGTAATGACATTTGAAGAATATCTCACATCACGAGGAGCCAGCAAGACGAGTATGTCCACCGCGACTGTATGGACGCGAGCGATGCTCGGACAGGAGCCTAGAGATTTGTCTGCTCTGTATTTCTTGAACTACTGCAAGTCTGGAGGCGGTCTACTGCAGATGCGATCGGATCGTAAAGGCGGTGGTCAGCATCTGCGTGTCCGTCAAGGCATGCAATTATTCTCAAAAGGACTTGCTAGCGATATGCCCGAGAGTGTGGTTCGTCTATCAAGTTCCGTATCAGCCATCAAGAACAACACTGGAAACGGAGCCATCGAGGTACATACAAATGTTCAGGTCATACAAGCTCGCAAGGTCATCACTACAGTCCCCACGCCTGCACTTAAGGGCGTCACATTCACACCAGATCTACCCGCAGGCAAGCGTACCTGGATTGAGTCAACGACCTATGGCTACTATACTAAGGCCATGATGGTCTTCCGCACGCCGTTCTGGATCCACAAAGGCTTCTGCGGCCTCACTCAGTCGTTCGTCGGCCCTGCCGGTGTCATCCGCGACACGAGTAGCCCCGCGGATGACAAGCATATTCTGACATGCTTTTTGGGTGGTGAACCTGGTTTTGCATGGGCAACCTTGTCCGATAAAGACCGCGAACAAAGTCTGTTAAAGCAGATTGGACAACTCTTCGGCGCGGAAGATCTCGCTGCCAAGGAATTTGTTCAGCTGGTCACTTACGAGTGGATCAAAGACGAATACTCTGGTTGGGGCTGTCCTTGCACCGGTCTGCCGCCTGGAGTGCTGTCCAAACTCGGAAGTAGTAGTCTGAGAAAGCCATGGCTAGATGTGCACTTTGCCGGTACTGAGACGGCTGGTGAGTGGAAGGGCTACATGGAAGGTGCCGTTCGTAGTGGAGAGCGTGCGGCGAAGGAAGTCATTATATGTCTTGGAACTTGATTTACTTCGATATACGAGTGCGGGTGTTTCTTATGTTGCAGCTGCCATGTAAGTGGTCAGTTGCTGAGATAGGTAGGCCTCACTACGGCCGTATATAAAGTCGATCTCTCAAAGTGCGCTTAGCGAGTCGTAAGCATGCAGACGGCTGCACATGGAGAGTATCCTGAGTGCGTTTGAAAGCGATGGGGTCATGATAAGTTTTGTTTGAGCTAAACGGCATCTGTAATTATGAGCCATGAAGTCTTTTGCTATGTACAAATATGGTATGGAATAACAGAAAGCAACGTCGCTCGAGAAGCAGCAGCGCCAATTTTAGGGTGTTCAGACCTTCAAAAAGACAGTCAGAATGGTTTAAAGTTCATGCTGAACAGAGCGACGACGAACCTTACTGCTTGCACTGCTTCCCTCTTCCGGACCAAGTCCTTTGGCAGCGCCCGAGCTAGGTACTTCAGTAACAGACTCGTGCTCACTGCCGCTGGCATGATCGACCATCTCGTATGGCTTCCAGAAGTCCTTCTTTCCCTTTGCGGCGCGGACGACCCATGGAGGGAAGAGACCGCCATCGAGCTTCCAGGTCCAGGGCTCCTTGAATTGCTTGTCTTGGGGAACGAGCTTGCCGCCTGAGGCCTTCTCGATCATGTAGATGGTGGTGTTGATGAGGATGTAGGACATGATACCAGCGATCAGACCGTAGGCGATGGAGTAGGTGAAGGGCATGACGGCGATGGTAAGGAAAGCTGGGATGGCATCACCCATGTACTTCCAGTTGATATCGGCGGCAGATTTGGCCATCAGAGAACCGATGATGACAAGGGTACCACCAGTAGCCCAGGGAGGAATGGAAGCGAAGATGGGGGCGAAGAAGATCGAGATGAAGAAGCAGACACCGGTGACCATAGCAGCGATACCAGTCTTACCGCCCTCTGAGATACCAGCACCAGACTCGATGAAGGCGGTGACAGGGGAGGTACCGAAAAGAGAGCCGATGGAGATACCAACGGCATCGACCAAGTAGGCAGTAGCGCTACCCTCGAAGTCCTGAGTCTTCTCGTCCATGACACCAGCGAAGCGAGCCATGGCGTACAGAGTACCAGTGCAGTCGAGAATATCAACGTAGAGGAAGGTGATAAGGGCGAGACCAAACTGACCACCGTGAGAGCTGACATCCCACTCCTGAGCAGCAAGGATGTTCTTGATGGGACGGAAAGTGACAACCTGCTTGAAGAAGTCGAAGCTGCTGTCACCGAGCTCGGTGTGGGGGAAGTAGGTGACATCAGTGCCACGGGGCCATGAGATGATCGAAACAAGCAGAATACCAGCGATAATCGCACCCTTGACGCGGTACATCATGAGGAACACGGTCAAGAAACCACCAAGGAAAATACCGATCCACATGGTAGGCGATCTCATCTTGTGGCTAGGGTCGCACATCAAGCCATCGTTCTCGGTAAGGTATTGCTGAGAGCAACCAGCAATCTCCAAGGGTGTGGCTGATGCTCCAGTAATCAGGCCAACACCGGCGCTGTATGAGAAACCGATGATAGTAAGGTAGAGACCAATGCCGACACCAGTGGCAAGCTTGATCGAAGTCGGAATGGCACGAGCAAGCCATTGACGGATACCGAGAAGCGTGAGGGCAACAAAGAGGAGACCCTCGACGAAAACAGCGGTCAGGGCGATCCTGTAAGGAACCAGACCAGTGCCGTTGAAACCAACAACAGTGTATGTGAAGTATGCATTGATACCCATACCCGGCGCCAAACCAAGAGGTAGATTTGCACACAATCCCATCATAAAGCTGGTTAAGGCGGAGATGGCCGCAGTAGCAGTGACGAGATCACGGCGGATCTCTTGCTTGCAGAGGTTGTATGTGATATCGGTAGCACACGCATCGAGGCTAGTGGGAGGGCAGACGCAGGTACCGCCAGTGTCTGAAACGACGCTCGAGTTGACAGCGATAATGTATGCCATGGCGAAGAAGGTAGCGAGACCGGCGCGAATTTCGGTGAAGAAGAAGGATCCATTGCGCGACAAGTGCTATAGGGAAAGCTATCAGCTTGAGAGTGTATGCGCACAACCAAGAGCAATGCTAACATGACCAGATCCCTCCAATCTGAAGTACCTGCCAAATGCCGACTTGGCGATGGTCTGGTTGGTCTTTTGAATCCAACTCATCTTGACTGAGAGGTGCGAAGCTGAGGTACAGGCCAGCAACTGTGAGCGCGTGCTCTAACAAAGATGTACTCGGAGGATACAAAAAAAAATGTCTACACCACCAAAAGGTCGGGCCTGGGATATTTTTTATTGCTCGGCGCGCCATAGCCAAGAGATAACTCTGCCTCACACCACGCGAGCAGTGCACGATAAGGGCATACCTTTAAAGGACAAAAGGGCCCAGAATACGCGGGAAGGAAGGCTCAGAGGCGTTCTTTGGGAGTACTAATTTTCTTGGTATGCTTGGCTGATCTTGGAAACGATTGTTTTTGCAGAAACGGCAGCGTGAGATTCGCCTATTTGACTCATCCAGTTGGTCATGCTAGATAGGCGTCGCGAAGGACCGCCTCCGAAACATAGCTACAACACTCGATGGAGCAGGTGTGAGTTTTCGTCGTGAACGGCCCCTCGATGGGTTCGTACTCGTTGTGCTTAATGATGTTGGTGCGCGGCCGTGCCAAGAAAGGATGAGCTCCGCTGACTCGACTCGCTTACTCGCTGGGTGTTATGGGATGGTGGCCAGGTGGCAGCAACACCTCAACCACCGCCCTCGCAGTGATATACAAGCTTATAGGATGTATACATGTCTCCAGGTTAGAACAGACGTCTAGTGAACCCCGCAATCGACTAGTATCGCCATCGTGGTACTTTGTGCATCGACATCTCCGTGCGAGGTGGAGCCCCAATGTGTTTCGGTGGCCTCCGATGATGCTTATCACAACCTCAAGCCTCTACAGGACCGCCACAAGGTGCTCTATCTACCTTGGAAGGCTGTGCCATCATCCTGGGCATACTTGACTTTGTGAAAGGTCTTGGCTACTCCTGCCTTATCTATTGGTGTTGTGGTTGCTGATCGGAGGTGGCCGCCAGCTGGGAACACGCCGGTGCTATAGCTGCATTGGTGCAGAAGAATGGATATTCGACATCATATGTGTGAGGCGGAACAACACAACCTGGAGATAGCAGAAGCGAGATGAGAGTAGGTCTACCGCTCTAGTTTGACACCAGGTCTTGCTGACGATGGCCAATGATCTGTTGAGGAACTCGTCGATACCACCTGAGAGATGCCAAGATATGCTGACCTTCCAGCCAGATGATCTAGAATCAGCACAGGAATCGTGTTTGGAAGCAGATGGTGTGTCCTTGGGATCTTTTCTCGGTTGCACACAGCACTGAACGTGGAGCAACCATCAAGGTACAATTGTTGTGAGTAAACAAACACCGGGTAATTACTGTGCATAAAGCTAATATTGTCGATGAGGGTTCTTCCCAGTTGCGTAGGCCCTCGTTTCATCTTTTCCGCACTACATCTGTCGCAAAGACTGTCTTTGGTCTGTACGGGGATCCGTCTAGTATGCCCACATGCACTTCTGGTTCAAGATTCTGGCACCGAGTCTGTCAAACTCTAGTTGCCCAATCCAGCTATCATTGGTGCCTCTCATCTTGCCAAATACACTACCACCCTTCCAAACCAGAACCTGAGGATCCAGCTCTCTAGGCGGAGGACCGACCAAGATCTCCTTCTGGAAGTTGGGTCGTAATGCTCGGAGTCGCTGCTCAAGGTACACGTTGAAGTTGTAGGTTTTGCTACCACCACCAATTACCATGATGCCACCGAAGAAGTCACGCGTCTTCTTCTCGTCGCCCTTGGCGCCTTCGTTGATGCAAGCGACGATTGCTGCATCTAGAGGCATTATAGGCAGAACACCCTCAGTCTCTGGCTGTGCGCCTTCAATCGCAGCGCCTGCTACAGCAGGAGTCGCATCTCCTGCTCCGGGTACAGGCGTCGCAACGTCTTCAGGAGCTGGCGAGCCTGCCGGAGACGAGCGAGGTGTGCTGTCGGCCACATCAGCGAGATGTGTTAAGCGATCTAGGTTCAATGGTTTGCTGGGTGTCGCGGGTACAGCTCCTGGTGCAGGTGTTGATGTTGATTCTGCTACAGCCGATGGCACGATGGTAGAAGAGTTCTTATATACCTGGAGTTGAGCCATTGAGATCGGGTCGTTCGGCTTGTCATCGTATGTGTCAGTCGAACGGCTGATCAGCTTACGTCGGCCATCAAGCTTTGCAGTATGATCAAAAATTGTTGGCCTAAAGAAGCCCTGCAAAAGTCAGCTAGTGGTCAAATTTCGGGCTAGAGTTCCGCATACCATTGGTGCCAGCATAACCTCATCATATGTCTTGAACTGATACTTGCGAGTGTCTTGACCGAATGCGCGAAGATGGAACTCGTAGAGCTGCACGCTGATGTGCGCATCTTCAAGCGTGCAGAACTTTTGCTTCAGCTCCTCCGCAAGTAGATAGTCGTGTCTCTTCAGCAAGTCCATACTGGCGTAGTTGAAGTGATCGAACAACATCATCTTGACAAAAGTCTCTGTAACATCCTCGCCACCAAACTTCAAATTCATGCGTGAGTTCTCGACGCACATGCCTTCTTCAACACAACAAATAGACGTCTTTTGTGCACCGACATCAACGATACAACTGCTTGAGTATCCAGCGCCGAAAGTTGCGGCCAGACTCTCCTGGATGAAACATACGCGCTGGAAGCCAAAGTCACGAAATAATTCTTCCAGGATCGAAGTTACGAACACTTTCTCGTACAGATCGGGAATGACGAACACGCATGAGTACTGCGCCCAGTCTCGCTTGCGGTCGAGACGTAGCTCGTGCTTGATGGCTTCCTCGATGATGCAAAAGAAGTCGCGTAGCAAGACAACTTTGCTGGAGTAATCTTGCTCATTGAGCCAGCCGTACTTGAGCGGCCAGTAAAGTCTGTAGCGAGGCTTGGAATGTTGTGGTATCCGCATTGCCGCATGTCCAGTAAAGTATTCAGGCGCCGGTGATTCAATCTCTGTCCAGTCCACGCGCTGAGGGTCATTGTGTTCGGAGATAGTTTCGGGCGCATTGCGCGAATTCCAGTTCACGACCAGTTCACGAGAGTTTGGCAAGACCCTTCGCTTGTTGTTACGACGAGAAAGCTTGAAGTCTGCGGCCATATTGCTATATTCCTTGGCAAACTGTACACGCGTCAGTCGTCGCAAGGCAACATGTTGGTTGATCAACCCACATCTTCACCAAACGCGTTCTCACCGGCAGGCTCTGAGGTACCATCTTGCATCTTGACACGCTTTGGTCGCGGTTCAGCGTCGGCCTCCTCATCTTCTGCGCGCGAAGCCTTGCGCGCGATAACCATAGGTATCGTTTTTGGCAGAGCATCTGTTGCGAGGCCAATGCGAAGGTTACGACTGCCTGGATGAACGACTATTGTCTTGGAGCCAAATGCTTCAGCTTCAGCAGCTTCATCCTCAGCAGCATCTTCGTCCATCTCTGCCTGCGCTGCATCGGCTGAGACTCCATTAGAAGCTGCCTGTGCCATTGCGCGATCCTTGTCGCGCGCAGCTTTGATCATGCGATTGCGGTTCTCCTCGCCCTGTAGACGGAATGCCAAAAACTGCTCATCGCGCTTTAAGAAGTCACTACAATGAGGATACAGGTGTTAGCCGAGTTGCGCTTCTAGAGATGAGACTATTGTACCCATGTGACCGCTCTTGCCGTTCGTAAATTCCTTTGGGCATTGGGTCATGTTACTTGAAACAAACGACAAACAAGGACAATGAAGGGACGCAAAACACAAAATGTAGCGGCTTTTTCGTGGACGCGAGGAATAGCTAGATAGAGGTTGTGGTTGAGTGTAGAGAAGGAGAGGGTCGACGAACGTATAGTAATTCTTCTTATTGACGACCTTCGGAATCAGTTCAAAAGGGGAATTCATCGGGCCATTAGATGAAGCCATCGTATGCGGCGCGACTTGCGGGTAACGGATATATTATTATTTTGTTTGCCGCCGCAAGGGAATGAAATGATTTGGAGGATTGCTCCGCCTTTGCAAAGCTGGGAAAGAGACCAACAACAGGTGGCTGATCGCGCATCGCTCTGTCGGGTTTAGAGTGTCACGTGTTTCGCGTCTCATGAACCAACCTGACATCTTGCGCAAGTCGAACCGTGCGCACCAAGCCTACAAATTTCGACTTTTCTTCCCTTTTGCTCTCTTTCCACATCACGACAACGTCGCCAGCTTCGACAATTGCAAGCAGCTCTCGCGTGCTGCCTGTCTCTACATACAGAGTGGAAGAGACAGGCGTCAACGACTCAGGTAAGCTTTTGCGCGTCTCTCAACATCCACACAAAACCCCCCTCCTCAACCTGATGAACGAATGTTTTACGATTAGTCTTACGGAATGTATTCATGTCGACAAACATATTCTGCCCTTTTGCTCTCTGATCCTTTATGGAAAACACATCTCATACAACTCAAGAACAAGCATGATTGAGCATTGGCTAAAATTATGCTCAGCAGGCTCAAGGCGCGATAGAAGAAGCACGGAGTTGTCTAGGCTCAGTCCGATTTCCGTATATATTCATGCCTTCCAAAAAAAAACTCGTTTTGTCATCATATCAACCGTCTCTGCATTCATACATATTCTCTTGTGACCTCAATATATGTGCCTCCCAAGTAGACACACGTCAGCCCCTTGCACCAAATTGCTTTCGTACGCGGTCATCAATCTCTTTTCATCGAGAGCTTCTTCCTTGCAAGTCCAAATTTGGCTTGCTCTTCTACGATGCTATGAACTGACATCTCTAGGTAAAGCACGCTTCCATACAAAGTTGCGGTTGGTGTAGCCTGGCGCCTAGCGAAATGAAAATCCATGCATTGATACCAGAAGAACGAAGGGCTCAATTGGAAACACTGACTTGTGCTCATCACGCTTCCTCAATCAAGTTGTCTTTGACGTAGAATGTCCGTCGAAGTGTACCTTGAGGATACTAGAGCTGACTGGACTTGGTGCTACGATTTTGAACAGGGTGACGACCAGGGCGAAGACTTGGAGATCTGCACAAGAAGATAAGCGATCGCCGCTTATGACGAGGCATGGAGTGGGCTGGACCCTCCTTCCTTCGCGCGTCTGCCGTGTCTTGTTGCCTGTCTACCGTTAGCCATCATCATACTGGCCGTGTGAGTCGAGCTTGGTGAGATGAAGTGCGACTCCGATTCTGAGGCTTGCAGCTAGTTCAGCTAAAGATGCTTGCCTAGGAGGTTATGGGCTTGTGGCGCAACCTAGCTGTATAGGAGGCCTGCCCGGATCCCCGGGTTGCCCATGATCTGGGCCACGATCAACCGTTCGTCTGACGTCGGTTTGGACCAAAGCCAAACGCACATCTGCCGTCCGAGCTCCGCGAGCGTGTTTGACCTGTAGGCTGTGTTCAAGACGCACAAGATGGCGATGGGCTTGTCACGCATGGCAATCTTGCCGACGGTCCTGAGAATGCCATCCGTGGCGTGCCTGTGACTATACCAAAGGCATCAACAGCAACGCGAATTTGCGCAATCGGCTCCCAAGGCTTCGACATCACGACCGACGAGCTTCACGCAAGATTATCGCGGCCATGGCGCCTGCGCAGACGCCCTTTACGCCAAAGCATGACGGCGAGCTCGAAGGTGCAAGAGCGAGAGAGTTCTACAAGCATGTATCCCTCTATCCATGGGTCCGGCGACAAGCTTCTAATCGCGAGCCTGCAGATACTACGAGCCCTTCGACAATCTCATGAGAACGAGCGATGACAATATCGATTCTGGTTCCCAGGGTCGCATGGCCTCGTTCGATGATGCCCTTGCTGCATTCGCTCAGTTCATCTGTCTACGACTGGCCGTCAATCGCTGCCTCGTCTCCTGTTTCGATCGCAATCGCCAATACGTCCTCGCCGAGGCTACACCCACCCTCTCCCTAGAGACACCCATGTCCGACGACCAGAAGGAAGAACTTTGGCTAGGCTCGGGTGTACGCCATCGAAATTCCATGCTATGCGAGCGCACCCTCGAGCTCGCAGAGAAAAAACACGACACCGAGCATGACGGCGTCGTTGTGTTACCCGATATTGCAAGGGATGATTGGTACAAGAGCCGTGCATCACATATTTCGCTACCTTCGGACGTCCAATTCTATGCTGGAACCGCTATTCGCAGTCCTCATGGTCCTGTCATCGGCGTAGTCTCTGTATTCGATGACAATCCCCGACACACCATGTCGGATGCAGACAAGACATTCCTCCGACACATGTCAAACACCATCATGTCACACCTTGAGATGGTCAGGTCCACAGAAGAGCATCGACGAACTTCGCAAATGGTCATAGGTCTTGGTTCTTTCGTCGAAGGCAAGGACCACGTTGACCAGGAGTTACACTCAAAAGAGGTTGGCGCCAGCAAAGACATAGAGCACCAGAGCATGCCACCGAAGCCGCCTGGAGCTGCTACATCCAGAGCCCCCGAGATGACACATTCCGAGGAGAACCCCCCTCTACCTACCGAGCACGTGGCGAAGAAGGCTGACGAAGCCCCCTCCTTTGAGAATCTCCAGGCGCAAATGTTGTCGACTGATGTCAAGTCTACGTTCAACCGAGCAGCCCGCATCATCAAAGACGCCATTGATGTTGAGGGTGTCGTGTTTCTCGATGCTTCAGTGGGAAGCTTCGGCGCTCTTGTCCAGTCTGTACCTGCAGTTGAGGACGACATGATGTCTTACTTTTCTCGTACTGCGGCATCTCACAAGCAGTGCAATATTCTGGGAAGTGCTGGTCACGATATACCTGGCTTCTCCATGACCGAAGGCTTTCTACACTCTCTTTTGACCCGATACGCACAAGGAAGGATTTTCAACATTGATCCCAAGGAACCCACGCTACAGATGACGAACCCCAAAACTCCTGGAGAAGGCGAGAACTTCGGCCAACAAGTAGAGCCAAAGGAAGAACAGCACTCGGACGATGAAACACGAGAGCAAGTGCGCCAACAAAGACAGGACGATCTTGCAGAACTCAGGCGTACATTCCCACACGCTCGGTCATTAGCATTCATTCCAATGTGGGATGACCATCGCATGCGTTGGTTTTGTGGTGGCATAATTTGGACAAACCGAGCAATACGTCTGCTTCACAAAGACTCGGAGCTGAGCTTCCTTCGCGCCTTTGGCATGTCAATCATGTCTGAAGTCGCCAAACTCGACACTGCAATGGCAGATAGAGCCAAGTCAGACCTTCTCAATAGCATCTCGCATGAACTCAGATCACCCCTGCACGGCATTCTTGGCAGCATTGAGTGCTTGGAATCCTCTGCTCTTGACGCCATGCAACACGGCCTGGTTGAGACCATCGACACCTGTGGGCGAACCCTCTTAGATACCATTGATCATCTTCTCGACTTCAGCAAGATCAACAATTTCACACGCAACAAGGCAAAGCGACAAAATAACACGTTCACTAGAGAAGAAGACATGCTCAGCCTTGACTCTCTGATACATGTACCTACAATCACAGAAGAGGCTTTCGAAACTGTCTTCGCAGGATACTCCTCTCTCGCAAGTTTAGGCGTGGACTCTGGCGCTGGTCAGTCTATGCATACCGAGCTTGCCGTCAGTCACGATGTCAAACTTATTGTTGACATTGAGGCAAGAGATCATGAGAGCTGGGTGCTCTGTACCGAAGGTGGAGCATGGAAGCGTCTAGTCATGAACTTGACTGGCAACAGCTTGAAGTACACGAAAGACGGCTTCATCTACGTCAAGCTCACTTCCCAAGAGTTGCCGAGGAACAGCGAAGGCTTGAAAAGTAGTCGCATCACGTTGACGGTAAAGGACACAGGAAGGGGCATATCTCAGGAGTACCTGCAAAACCAATTGTTCAGACCCTTCGCCCAAGAGGACCCATTACACCCTGGAACGGGACTGGGTCTTTCGATGGTCAGGCACATTGTCAGCAATCTCGGCGGCGAGATCTCTGTCGAATCAGAGCTGAACAAAGGCACCGAAATTCGTGTTCAAGTCATCATGCTAGATCTATCAGCATCTATCGACGCGAATGAAAAAGCTCGTGAGATGGTCGAGGCGGCCAAGAAACTACGAGGGCTCAGAGTTGCATTCATCGATCCACCGATCTCCTGTGATGGCGAGACTTCAGCTCAACGATTACTACGAAGAGCTCTTGACAAGCAATGTTGGGGCTGGTTCAAGATTGACTTCACTACAGTCAGCGAAGTTGGTGAAGTCGGTGACGCGGCGGTGGTGCTCACGACGTGTCGAAAACTGCCAGAGATCAAGGAGCAATTGGTCAAGCTCAACAGGCCAGTCATAGTTCTGTGTGAAAGCAATGCACGGATTCGACAAGTATACGCCGAAGGCGCAATCTTGAGGCGAACCGTCACTACGGATTTCATCGCGCAGCCTCTAGGGCCACGCAAACTGGCACGCGCCTTCATTGCTTGCAAGGATCGAAAACCCTCGAATTTGGAGGAAATTATCCTTCACAGAGAAACAGAACTCAGCACGCTCCCGGTGCATGAGGTAAAAGATGACCACGACAAGAAAATGTCAGGAATCCACGATTCGGTGCCTTCGCAAGCAAAACAGAGCCAAAGTAAGACCAAGGATGAGTCGAAGGCATCGACAGAACACGAAACGGGACCGAAAGCTCTACGTCTGCTCCTTGTGGACGACAACAAGATCAACCTACAGCTTCTGGTTCGTTACTGCAAGTCTAAGAAACACGACTACGTAACAGCCGAAGATGGCGTCGAAGCAGTAGAAGCATTCTCAACAAACCAACAAGATGTAACGACTAGATTCAATTTCATATGCATGGATATCTCCATGCCACGAATGGACGGGTTGGAAGCTACAAGAAGAATACGCTCAGTCGAACAGAAGAATGGACTGGAAGCAAGTAAGATCATCGCGTTGACAGGATTGGCGAGTGCAGAAGCACAGCAGGAAGCCTTTTCATCCGGGGTTGATCAGTTCATGACGAAACCTGTTCGACTAAAAGAATTGGGCGAGGTATTGGCGGGACGAAAGTAGTCGGCCTATCCACTCTGTCACTTTCCTTCTATTACTATCATCTTAATCAACGGCGTCTGGATCATGTGGTATAGGGCTGGTTCATGCATCAGGAACGGATGGTATGAGGGATCAGGACAAACGGGCAAAAGGGTACGCCCAAACGGTTGCATTATCGTAGTTTTATTCTCATCTTATTTTCCATGCAAATCCACAAGAAAAAGACAAACAAGAGACATCGGCTGAGTAGACTGTTTGACAGACGGGTTCAGGGGGTACATGTGATGGTGTACGAACGGGTTCGAGGCAACCCAAACATGCGAAATACTTGGCAGCCCTGAACGGAAAGGAAAAAAAAAAGAGGTCAGCAGCTCTCTTTTCTCGAAGCAGACAGCCGAAATGAGATGACAAGAGTTTAATCTATGTGACGTTCAAAGGCGGAAGGGTGCAGCGAAATACGAGCGAGATGACTGAGCTGAGGTATTCGGAGATCGAGGAAGAAGAGATCTTTGAATTATGAATGGCCATCGAGGAAGCACTCGATTGTTGTGAAGAGAAGTTTGGTTTAGTTGCGGGAGCAGCCGCCTAATACATACAATAGGTGAGCAAGGTGTTTGTGGTCGGGCTCTGTGGGCTCGCGGACAAGAAGGTGTTTTGGAAGTTGGACGGGAAATCAATTGATTGGGCTTGGCGGCCTTGTGTGGAAATTGCAGACGGAAAGTAGTAGGAACGTCACTTTTTGAGTTACCGAAGTGTTTCAGTCGGATCTGCGAGGCAGGAGAGGTTTGGCTCGAGTGGACAGGTCGGTGTTTTGATGCATCGGAAGTGTGTGCTTGTGCTGTTGTTGATGCAAGAGAGGTTTTGACGCTTTCCGTCAGCTTTTTGTTTGTGAAGCTGCTTTCTGCCTTCCAAACAGCTTTGACTTTGACAAAGACAATTTCAGAGTCTTGATAACAAACAGCAGTTGCTCTCGGCGGATGAGTTCAAGCGGAGGCTCTTCTTGGACAGCGCTTATACGAAACACAAACATGAGTCGAAGTTTACTCCTGATAGCCGTATAGAAACGACAGCACCATGGCTCCCACGGCATCCATCAACGCAGTCCTCGCCAACCAGAGCTACCACGACCAGCAACAACATCCAGACTCTCCTGTCTCTCCTTCGCAGCCCACGACGCCGCAGTTTTCATGGCCTCGACGAGTGCGCAGTCCCGAACCACACGTCCCGTTGCGCAAGGCCTCGCCCGAACGGCTGAGACAGAGAATGTCTAGTCTGAGTAGCAGCAAGACGAGACAGAAGCCTGCTCCACTGTTCATCACCACGAATGGGGGCAAGGAGGCTTTGGGGCCTGTGACGAGTGGCAGTGTAGCTCCACCGCACAGCTCGAGGGTCAATGCGAAGAGCAACAAGTGGTGGGAAGACACGGACGACGAGAGAAGTCCTGCCCGTCAACGCAACTTCTCCGCCGTAGAAGCACGCTCAAGGCCGCGCGAGCTGTCCATGGCCGATGCCACTCTGAAGCGACAAGGCAGCTGGCCTTTGGAAGACACAGCTGCCTCGATCCCAGTGCCCGACTTGGACCGCAACGAAACCCGCACAAGCTATCGCTCGCAAATGACATCTACCAGCAGCCACATGGACTCGACGACAGGCACGAATCGCAGTAGTGTTGCAACAGCCGACAGCTCCGTCTCGGATTGCGTCAAGATCGACTATGCCGATGAGGAAGAGGAGGACATGTCCAGCTATGAGGATGACTTGCTGGACATGTACATTGCCGGCTTTGGCACGCCTGTCAACCTCAGTGTTGATCTGCGAGAGGAGATGCGCAGGTCGATGCGCCTGAGTATGGCAAACTCTCGTACAAACAGTTTCCTGCATGCTCCAAAAGGCAGCGTCGATACTCTGGCTGGCCGTCCTGGTAGCTCTCCTTCGACGAGCGAGGTTGCCACCTCACACAGGCGCAGTCATTCTGCTAGTGTCATGGATCGCAAGAGCATCCTCCCAGACGCAAATCTCGGCCCCTTTGACAGAAACAACAAGCCCTCGCTATCGCACACTCGCAACTCGGCCCACATTCTGACAGCACACGAACTACAGCCACCGCTCTCCGCTCCGCTAGTCACCATCGACCATTCCCCCGTAATACCCTCCTCCGCTTCTCCCATCACCGCGTCACCCATCAACAGCAATCTCCCTCTACCACCCTCGAAACCCGTGCCCCGCGATCGCTACGGCTTCAAGAAGACTTCTCTTCACATCCCCGTCGAGGAATACGACGCTTGGGAACAAGAGTACAACCTTCACCTCGAGCGAAGACGAGCAAAATGGAACGTCCTGATGAAACAATTCGGCTACACCACAGAAAGCCCAACTCGTTTCCCTACAAAATCAGAAAAGATCAAGCGATATGTCCGCAAAGGCATTCCTCCAGACTGGCGCGGAGCTGCCTGGTTCTGGTATGCCGGAGGTCCGAAGAAGTTGGCAGATAACCCTGGTCTTTACTGGGGTTTGCTCAACCAAGTTAGGGAAGGTGCGCTGAGTGACAACGACCGCGAGCATATTGAACGAGATCTCAACCGTACCTTCCCCGACAACGATCGCTTCAAACCAGACAATCGGCCTACGACGTCTGAGCAAAGCCGTGGTATCGGCGAGACTGAGAATGAGACGCCGATGATCAAAGCATTGAGAAGAGTCTTGCAAGCCTTTGCCGTCCACAACCCCAATATTGGATACTGTCAGAGCTTGAACTTTATTGCCGGTCTACTCCTCTTATTTCTGAATGAGGACGAAGAAAAGGCTTTTGTACTGCTCAATGTAGTATGCACAGAGCACCTCCCAGGCACCCACGGCGTCGCACTCGAAGGCGCAAACATCGACATCGCCGTCCTGATGACCTCAATCAAAGAATCTCTCCCCTCAATCTGGGCAAAACTAGACGATAAACCAGGCACACCAGCCGCAGGAGCGCCCACTCGTCTCCCCACCGTCAGTCTCGCCACAACAGCATGGTTCATGTCCCTCTTCGTCGGCACCTTGCCCATCGAATGCGTGTTACGAGTTTGGGACTGCCTCTTCTTCGAAGGCAGCAAAACACTCTTCCGCGTCGCCCTCGCCATCTTCAAGACCTCCGAGCCGAATATCAAAGCCGTATCTGACCCTATGGAAATCTTTCAGCTCGTGCAAACAATGCCGAGGGGTATGTTGGATGCGAATGGGTTGATGGAGACGTGCTTTAGAAAGAGAGGTGGCTTTGGGGGGTTGAGTCAGGATGTTGTGGAGAAGAGGAGGGAGGAGGGGAGAGTGGCTACGAGACAGGGGAGGGTTTTGACGGCTGGTTCCGAGGGGATTAGGGGGAGGGGTGAGGATGGGAGGAGGAGTTTTATGAGGGCGAAGAGTAAGACTAGGTTTTCTAGACGGCAGACTAAGGGGGCGTGAGAGGTGAGAGCCTTGACGTCTTGAGTGGGTTGTCTTGTTATTTCTCTTTTGGCAGACCGATGTCCTCGTTGATGCATGGTTGGGGCTCTTTGTTTCTTTTGCGAGGCGTTTCATTGGCGTCTTTTCTTGCCCTGTCTTCCTCTCTTGTCATGGGAGGGTTAGCTCTGCATCTTGTATATCTATACTATAAACACACCTTTCTTCTACATGAGTATCCTCCCATCTTCTCTGTCCCTCATTTTTTGTATCAGCGTCCTTGACACTGTCTTCTTCGCCTACATCTTAATCCTATTTGCCCTCTCACTCTAAGCCACAACGAGGATGGAGGATGGGGGGTGGCAGAAAAGTGTCGATGATACGATGAATCGGGGGAATCTATATCTTTGCGGTGGAGGGGTCAGAGTAATAATGAGCTTCACATGCTCACAGCGGTCATTTTCCAGAACATCTTTTTTTTCCGCAAAAGACATCAAGTGCTTTTTTTAGAGTGGCTTTAAGCTTTTTCTCATATAAGATAATAGATGGTGAGTTGGTGTCCATTTTTTTTCTTCTTCTTTGTATCTAATATGTAAAGAAAAAAAGGCCATGGGTATCTTCTAGAAATTCAAACTCCTCGTTGGTTTTCTTTCTTGCTTTTTGAAAAGGTTAGGGGATTAGGGAGGACTGGCATTTTTATCTAGTACCATGACGTTTTTCTTGCTCACGCTATATCGGTGGGGCTTGTTGCGATGATAAAGGTGTGTTCTCAAAGGTTTTGCTGTGTCCGCAAACGATGACTTGAGGCTCAGTCCGCTGGCTGAGAGACCCGTGATGTTCAAAGCATTGAAAATCATGATGAGGAATTCGTGCATGTGTGGCCTTGTAGGATGGGTTTTCCGAGTTGCTTGGGGCTCTACCTTATGCCTAGAAGGAGTTTGTACTTGGAAAATGGCATTGAGTCTGAGCTGCCATCAAGGTAGGCGAATTTGAATTGTAAGTGGCCTTGGTCAAAATTCCTTCTTGTTCTCGGTATGTAAGATGCGGATGAATACTCGACTCCCAAATGACATGGTATGTTCCATCTCTGCAGACTTGTTGTCAGATGTCCATAGAAGGAGACAGTCGCTCACCGCGTCATGATTCAATAAATGTTCTGCCGCTTTGGTGGCTTGTTTTTTTTTCGTGACACTCATGACGACAGAACGTGCCGAGCACGGACAACAAATCGCGTCTCCATAGCAAAATCAACGACCAGGTTCCTCTTCAATTTTCTGGATATACAGCAAAGATGCCGGATATTGAGGACAACCAAGAGCAGACCAAGAACCAGATGGGCTCACTGCGGGAACATTTTGATGCAGAAGTTACCGAATCATGGGCCGATATGGTACTCATCGGGAGCAGCTTCATCACTGGTTTGCTGGACTCGGCGGTATTCAACGTGTGGTCATGCTTTGTATCAATGCAGACAGGTAAGATACTCGGCTCTTGTCTTTTGAGTCGCGCAACTGACACCTGATAGGTAACACACTTTACCTTGGTCTCGGTGTTTCTGGCCAGCCCAAATCATCACCATGGCGTTGGGCAAAGTCGGGAGTTTCAATCGTCGCATTCGTCATGGGCGCTTTCATCTTCAGTCGAATCATGAGATATCTCGGTCCCCTTCGACGAAGCACGATGATAGCGTCTTGGTTGATCCAAGGCGTGCTGATCTACGCATGTGCAATCCTCGAGAACACTGGTGTCGTACCGAACAACGCAGGCGACATTTTACCTGACAGTTTCATTGTTCTCTTGCCGCTGAGTCTGTTGTCATTCCAATCCGCTGGACAAATGGCCATCTCGAGGGTCCTTGGCTACGGCGAACTTACCAGCGTGGTTCTCACGAGTGCTTACTTTGATTTTGCCTTTGACGAGAAAGTCTTGACTGGTCCGACTCGCAATGTTAAGCGCAACCGCCGAGTCGCCAGCATGATCATGGTACTTTTAGGTGCAATTGCCGGCGGCTTTTTGACCACGGATGAGGACATCTCGAGTGTCTTATGGATATCGGGTACGCTCAAGATCGCAATCGCGATCGTGTGGGTGTTCTGGAAGTCCAAGGGATCTGTCAGATTGGAGTAGCCGGACGCAGAGATGAAGTCCACGTGGATCCGAGTAGTGGAAGGAAAGCTGACAGATGCCATTGAAGAACGAGATTGGCAATGACGCTTGTCAATTTCCGGCCCGATATGACTCCAAAGGCTAAACAGCAAGACAGCAACGCAGAGCCGTGAGCCCTAGTCATTGATTATTCAACCTCTTTCACATCCACTCTCTTGTCGTATTCGCAAAGTTAGAACTAGGTATGTCGAGTCTGTTCTTGGGGTCCTGGTAGTCCATGGAGATGCTGTGTTTCTTTGACACGGGAGAAATCGGGCGATGCGACGTACAGGCGAATTGTCTGTATTATCATGACTATTCGCATGTTCCAGGGTAGGTACACGCACGGCATGTCGATGAGTGCGGAAGTAGATCATCACTATATCCCCACGATGATCAGGATGCTGCTGGTGTGGATCTCTCGCTACGACATGGCCTCCAACAACTGCCGGCGATCCAGCCTCGGAGCGACGTCCAGTGCGAGTATGAACGAACCCATCATGAATCGTGTATCTGCCTCGTCTTCGGCTGCGAGACTTGTTTGCTTGTGCTCGGAGGTCGGAGCGACTGCCTCTTTCGTAAACTGCATCTCAAGATTTGACTTTCTGGTAGATTTGGTGTCATCTCGGCATTCTTCACACAGACGAACAGTGTGGTGTTGCATCGGACGATGGGAAGAGAAACACAACTCCACTTCAATGCGAAGGATCTGTGTATTCATCCGTCTTGACGTACTTCGTGCGTATCGCAAACACTTACAGTACCCCAGCTGTCTTTGCCTCAGAACTTTGAACATTTACCCACTGTGATGTCTGGTTGAAAGAGGAGAATAAAGTGTGAGACAGGGTTGTCCGGTCAGCGCGGGAAAATTGAAGGTTTGGTCTGGTGGAAAAGCCACTAAAGCCACGGCCCACCCAAACGCTGTTTACCCTTGGAGGGTCCCTCTAGCTCTTCGCGTACGGAAACAGACGACATTGTCGCATTCATCTGCCTGTGCGGAGGACATGAGCTGTTGTTGAGAGTTTTGTATGTGAGAGTCTCTCCACTTGTGCGACCTGTGTCGACAGCTCGGCGCCAATCTATTCATAGTCCGGGCAGCCGAGATGATCTGCCAGGGGGATCTGCGAAACTAAACTTTGTAGCTTTCGACTGGAGGAGATACATACCAGGAATACCAATTCATTGTCTCAGACACACCGTGATATCATGCTCGAGGTGCCAGTACGCAGGAGGGATCAGAACAGGCGCAAGCTCAAGTTGATCTCCAGAGGCCCACAGATGGTCACGAAACAGCGGGTCTGCAAGGCCGACAAGTGCCCAACATGCGCAGCTGTTGACAACAATCTGAGACCATTCCCTTGGCGTGCACCGATCAAGTTGAGCAGGCCAAGCGCCCGCCGCACTCAAAATGAACTCCCTCTGTGGAGCGGAGAAAAATGGATTCTCCCGCTCGGAGCCGACGGTTCCTGAAGTTCGACTCTCTGCGTGTCATCGCTACGCGATCCCGATGTTGTTCACGAGGTAGCATGAACCGAACCATTTGGGACGCTAATTAACTATCCTGCAGATTGATCATGCGGAGCTATTGCTTCAATATCGACAAAACTTGCCGCCCTACTTGTGTACCTGCTTACACGAGGTCACCATGCATAGATCATCAAAACGTGCAGAAGAGCTTCTCACAACGGTCTTCGTCGTCGTATCGAAGAACAGTTGCTGAAGTCTCACCATGACTCAACTCATCAACCCCCTCCAGCACTTTCGAGCACAGGTTTCATTTCGAAACACACAATTCGGCTTGAAATGTTTATTCTTTGACGGAAGTCATCTTGTCAAAAGCTAACGGGTTCCAGCCATTGACGAGTCAGTGGAGCCAGCTCGGAAGACTCTTGCCGTCGTACCTGGACCCCAATACTCTGGGACGGCACGGGCTGGTCCTGCAAAAGGTTCAGTGCCATCCGCAGGTGGTTCCATTCTATCTCTAGCTTTGGACTTTCTTGCCCGAACGGTGCACCTCTCTGCACGACGTGCACGACTTTAGGCTCGAAACATCATCGGGATCCATTATTACCACGCCAAGCTCATCGACATACGGCCCATACGGCAGGTGTAAGCTGGAGACTATTGTCTCACCTTGCGATTTGAGATCCCAAATCCTCGCCAAGAGGAGTCCGTGGGTACAATGTCAGTGGTATGCGGTCCGTTCGTGATGAGCCGAAGGTAGTAAGGTATGGTGCACAGCCCGGAGGCAGACTTAGATTCACGGACGAGAACGATTATATCCCCCCGATCATTGCATCCCCCGAATCGAGAACCAGAGACATCCATCCGGGTGTAAGTAGAGCCTCCTTGTGTCCATGCGGTATAAGTATCATCTCCTCCCACCACCAGAATCGATTTTCATCACTATCAACTTCTTTCGTTTCTCATCTACCTGTTCACTCGTTCAGTCAGGTATTTCAAGATGCGTTCTACTACATTCGCTTTGGCCGCCATTGCTGGTTTGGCTGCTGCCTCTCCTATGCCCCAGGACCTTGACTTTGCTCTTCTGGACGCCGCTCCTGAGGTTGCTACTGGACCCACTGGTATCGAGGTTGTCGACGAGGCTTCCATTGCTACCACCGTCGCCGTTAGCACAGTTGCTACTGCCAGCTCCACTGCCACCAGCGCTGCTAAGCGTGACCTTGAGAAGCGTACTTTCGGTCTTTTCAACCCCTTCTACTTCTACAAGGGTCTCGAGTGCGAGATCTTCCACAACTGCGGCAACAAGGGTAGCTCCCAGGGTGGCTGGGGATGCGGCAAGCCCACTGAGACCAAGGCTACCTGGTCTTTGATCACTACCTCTGCCCCTCCCACACACATTCCCGCCTACTCGGCTACCACGCCCTCAGGATACGGCACCACATCTGCCGCCTCTTCATCATCTTCTGCGGCTGTTTCGACCTCCAGCTCGGTCCCTACCACTACTCAGGCGCCTTCCACCACCGCTGATGCCAACGCCCCCTGCCCTACCACCCCTGAGGATGGTACTTACTGTGGTTTCATCAACCCCGAGGATGCTTGCGCTCCTCAGCCCGGAGGCTACGGTCCCCAGGTCCAGCCCGACACTGTCGACGCTTTCCTGGCTTACGCTCCCTTCCACTCCATGGCATCTGCTGCCCCCAGTGTTGTTCCCAGCTCTGACAAGACTCAGTACACTCAGGTCTTCAAGGACTTGGACGCTGCTGTCTCTGCCAACTCCTACATTGGTCTTTACACTTTGACCTCCTACAATGCTCAGGAGTGCGCTGCCAAGTGCGACGACACTGATCTCTGCACGTCGTTCAACATTTACATTGAGCGCGATCCCAGCCTTGCTCCCGCCAACAACGATAACACCACATACACTCCCTGGTCTACTTACTGCCCCAACCCCTCGTCCATCACCAACTACAAGTGTACCCTGTGGGGCTCATCGCTTTCTGTTGACGTTGCCACCAACAAGGGTGACTACCGTGAGGAGTTCCAGACCGTCATTACTGGTTCCAACGCCTATGACAAGACCGATGTTACCACTCCTACTTGCGAGGTTCCTTCCGTCTCTGCTACTACCTCTGCCACTTCATCTGCTGTTGCATCTCCTACCAAGCCTGCCGGTCCTCCCGCCCCTCCCGGTGGCCCCGGCGGTCCTCCCGCTCCTGGACACGGTGGCCCTGCTCCTCCTGCCCCTGGCCACCCCGGTGGTCCTAAGCCCCCAACTCTCCGCCCCGGCCAGAACTGCGGACCCAAGGCCATCTCAGCCCCCAAGTACCACATGGGCAGCAAGTTCATCCCCGGCCCCTTCAACGCTCAAGTCTGCGCCAACTACGCCGTCGAGCAAAACAACTTCAACCGTAACGCCGCCATCTCGGCCGGCCACAAGAGCTTCACTCCTTGCAAGATGTTCAACTCATACTTCTTGCACAAGAACAACAAGCCTTACGGTACTTACTGCTCGCTTTACGGCGCTGCTCTTGACCACAAGAAGTACGCCACTTTCGGCGGCAGTGGTGCTTACAAGACCCACCAGTCTTGGACTTTCGAGTTCGAGTACGAGACTAGCTACTACAGCTGGTAAATCATTTCAAGCCTTTTTCCTGAGATATGGAAAGCTTCATTGATTATGGAGACGAGTCAAGGAGGAGAGAGAGGAAGGAAGAAAGAGAGGATTGCTTTGACTAGCTTTATTAATTTAATTTCAACGAACACCACCACTATTTTTGTAGCAAGCAAGAGAAATCTACAATACCATTTATGAATCATAATATCCATACCAGAGCACAGTCAGACAGAAACTCAGTGTGCTGCAGGTGAGAGCATCATCGACAGAATTATCATGATTGCTGCAGCCGTCATAATCATCACGGCCCCAATCATCGTCATCATCATCATCATCATTGTCATGCCGAACATCATCATTATCGTCAAAGCTGTCATCATGATCACCATGGAAATCTTGTGACGCTCAGGATCACGTCAATGCGCATAACGGTGTTGATGCAGTTACATCTCATGGCTACCCACTACTTGATAAAGATGTCAACTATGATCATACAATATGAGCATATAACCAGTTTGCCGAAACCATAAAGTGTCTGAAGACTTCACCGGCTGCGTCCCTACGAACGCTCCGACAATGTGCACACAAAGACGGGTCAAGAGTCTGTCCAGTGAACTCCATGATGTTGCCATGCACGACTCCATGATCAATGGACGCGACACTACCGAAGAGAATATGAATACATATGTCGATGAACGAGCACTGACGATAGACAGATTAGTCGAAGACCAAGTTTATCTCGCTCGTCACATACGGGATCGAATAAGATTGGTGCATTCGACTGGATGCAGACGATGTTTTCGATACAATTCATGACTACAAAGCTATGCTCGAGCTCGTCGCGATGAAGCAAGTGTCTTGTGATCTAAGTTCTAGCTAACATGCTCAACAGCTTGCCTGATCTCACCGCCATGGGCAACAATCAAGGCTCCGTACAGCGATCAGGTCTGAGAGCCATAAACACGTCTCTCCAATTTGGCCGTGGGCACTTGAAGCATGGCTTCAGCGAGAGTAGTGAAGAAGTTTGTACAGGTCTCCGACTTCAGACAGGTGTGGTCCACCCACTCCTTGTCCTTGGACTTGGGTACAAACTTGACTCTCGGAGGACCCTTGTCTTCGTACTTGGTAGAAGTTGGGGAACCGATGCTGACAAGTGCCATACTGCTTGAGAGGTCGACCTCGGGATCTGGGGTCGACCCAGCTGTAGAGAGATCGGCAGTGTTCTCCTTCTTCTTGGTCATTTCTGCGGCTCTCTTGCGTTGGTTACGCTTCTTGTTCTTGGACTTCTTGCGCTCCATTTCCTCGGACGACATGAGCTTCGCTTCGGGCGCAATGGTCTTAGTTTCTGGGCTCGGGAGACGGAGAATCGGGGCTTCGTCGAGAGCAGGGTCGAAATCATCGAGACTGTCCATTTCGTGGTGACGGATTAGGGCATCGAAGTAGCCGTCAAAGAGAAAGTCCAGAAGATGTGCGTTCTCGACGTGTACGAAGCCATTGAACTTCTGGATGATTGTCAGCGAAGTAGAGAGCTTTCTTTGATGTAAAACTTACCTGCTCCATGGCTCTTCCCTCCAAGATCGCCTTTGAGTGTGAGTGGTCGAAAGCACGCTCGGGATACATCTTCAGCAACGGGTATCTGTAGCCCAAGCCAAGGTCCTGCAGGCCCTGTCTAGCTTCTCGCTCATTGCAGACCTTGATGGTCTGTAGGCAACAACCATGTGGCATGTTCCTCTTTTGCTGATTGGTGAGCTGGTCCAGCAGATAGTGACGCAGATTCTCATCGACGCGCGCAACGGCATTCTCACAGCAGAGTGCTGCCTTGCCACGGACCTGGAGGTACGACTGAGCGGCCTCGAGACGAAGTTTCTGTACATCTGATCAGCTCGTGTCGATTTAAGGTTTACGGACACAGCATACCTCAGCTTCGTTCCAGTCGGGCACCAAGAGACCAAGAAGAGCAGTCAGACAGGCGCGGTTCTCCTCATTCAAACTCGTGTTATCGGCGCACATCAAGACGAGGCGGATCTTGCGTGCAGCACGACGAAGTCTGGCCTTTTCGCCTGATGAGACAGCAGTGAGTACATCATACACGTTTCTGAAACCTTCAATACCAGTTGACGCCATGGTGATTCTGTTGATAGCAACGTTGATGGTGTGGTATGTTCGTCGTACATAAATTCCGTGACGTGGACGGCGAAGGAGGAAGGTGCAAACGGCCAGCCAACACCACATGTGAATGACAAACGACACATAGAGCAACCCGGAACTTGCTGGAGCATTGGCCATCCCTCAAATGAGCCAATCGATTTGTGCATACGAACGATCTTGATTTCGAGCTCCATCGTAGTGGGTCGCACCCGTCAACCGAACTGGGATCTCTCTAGAGCTGTAGGAAGGCACATTATTTTTCAATGAGCAAGCACCACCTGAGAGATGCGACTTTCCAAAGTCTACTGAACCAAGAGAAGCTCAAATGGAAAGGGCGACGACGACTTACCTCCGCAATCATCCGTCCATCCATGATCCTGGGTTGCTTCTGCACACCCAGTCAGTAGCTACCAGATGCGTGAGTGCTGTGAAAGTTGAATATGACAGGAAGGTACAACCATGTCTGTCATCTGATCCCTTCATATTGTTGCTTGAATGTCGCTGCATCGTTATTAGTAGTGTCCATTTCCACTAGAGATCCCAGCTGAGAGACTACAGTATGATTGCGCCCTTTCGGTACCATTATTACATCCTCAAATTCTTCCACTTCCAGAGTACACCCCACCCGCCAAACACAGATGCAAGTCCGGTGAACAAAATCAATGGGCCATAGCTCGACTGCACTCCAAAGTCACCACTAGCAAGTCTGCCATATTTCTCAGTGCCGGCTTTCAAGAGCGGCACGCCGATCAAACCACCAGCAACATAGCCGAGTCCTCTAGCACCATTCAGCAAACCATAAATCATGCCTGAATCGATGGCCTCGTTGGAGTTCCTAGCTTCGCTTTCAAGATCGTTGATCAGGCCTCCCCATGTCGCGCTGTATCCACCGGCGAAGAAGCCGAACGTAATGGCGAAGAGGACTAGTGTAACTAGACTGCCTTGTGTGTTCAAGCCCCAGAGAAGAAAGGCACTCAATGCTGAGCTCAGCCCTGAGACACAGGTGACTGTGGTTGCAGAAAGTGTGAAACGCTTGTTGTCGCTCAGGTAGCCAAAGAACGAAGAGGACGCGATACCGGGAATGTTGAAGAGTGTAAGCAATAACGTAGCCGAAGTCTGGGAAAGTAAAGCCACCTCACTAGCATATGTGTTGAGGTATGTCTGTGGGATACCGTAGCCTGCGGACTGCAGCATGATGGCTATGCTGTAGATGTAGATGGTGCGGTGATGCAAGAAGTGCCATGGTATCTTGCGTGATCTTGTCGGAAGCGAAGCCATCTCGCCGTTCTGTTCCTCGGTTGTCTCGTCCATCGCTACGAGCAAAGCCGAAGAATGAGTGGGGATGAGCAGAATGGTGAAAACACTCGTGCCAGCAATCATGATCGCCCAGATCCTTAGCGTAAAGCGAAAGCCATGTCTGTCAAGAAGTGCCGAAAACAAGAATGGACATACCGAGCCGACTATGTTTTTGCAAGACAGCGTGATGCCATAGGCCAAAGCTCGATTACTTGTCTTGTACCACTCTCCAAGTGACAAAGTCATAGGGCTGAACACAAGAGCAGATCCAAAAGCAGCAAGCACGCCTTGCGTAGCCACCAGATGCCAGACATTGGTGCTAAAGCTTGAAAGTACAAAGCTTAGACAAGCAAGAAGGGTGCCGCATAGTGCTGCGGTTTGGCGATGTCGTGCCCAGCGTTTGGTGAAGAGGGCGAAAAGGAAAGGCATCGATAGATACATGACTCCATTCGAAGTCATACCGATGATACCGGTGAGACTTTGGCTTCCTTGCAATGTCCAGTGTTCAATAAAGTATTCTTGGAAGATACCGTAGCTCATGGCGAAGCCTGAGGTGGAATGGCGTCAGTAGGCACGGTGAGAAGACGATATCGTCAAGCAAAATACCCACCCCAAATGGGTAGCTGCAGTATAGCAGAACCAAGAAGTACCAATGCCCTCTTGCTGTTTGAGTTGTTATGCCTCGAAGGCGTGTGTTCCACCACCAAGCCATCGTGGCCACTGTTTTGGCTTTCTTGGTGTGAAGCCAATCTGGCTTGCAGTACAATAGATTCATCGGGCATCTTGAACTTGCCGTACGACCCACTGCTGTATGGAGTTTCACAATACTGTTATATCCATAGAGAGATGTCGTGATGGATGTTTGTAACTCACACAGGCAAGATGGAGGTTGACAGACGACCAACACAACCCCGCTTTCGGATGACGGCAAACACACCTCTCGATAACGAGTCTAATCACGAAATTGTAAAACATGTTTCGCAAATCCTCTCTCTCAACATAAGACTGTTTAGATTATGTATCATTCGAGTACCAAGATCTAGTCAGACAATTCCTATCTGTATGTATGCGCGTATCCTCCATTCCTGTACATGCAATACTCAGCATGCGCTTTACACTTGTCCTTCAACTTCTTTTCCCACGTCACCAAACATATCCAGCAAAACTTCTGCTGACACGCTCTGTTACCACCTGATTATCTGTGTGTTAGCAAGAGTCTTTCGAATAGTGGCTACTCCACTCAGTAAGGTGATTCGGCTTACATGTCATCTGATCGCAGCCATCAATTTTCTCGATCATGCTTTGGCATTTTGGGCATTTCTTCCACACGGCCGTTTCTTCAAGAGAGCCGCCACATCCCAGTATTGGACAGTTCTTCGGAATCTGCTTGCCTTTGGGAATGATGTTTTTGCATTTAGGGCACTCCCTACGCCTTCCCTTGGCAGCTTGTTGTTCAATCATATATCTGATAGTCTTGCGCTCCTCGTCATCGCGAAGTCTCTTGTCGTCTTGGTTGGCAAGTCTTTCATCGTATTGTTCGCAGGTCTCTGAGGCGTGCCAGGCCATCTTGTGTTGGAGACATTGCTCGTAGTCGCAGGCGTGACACTGCATGTAGTTCTGATTGACGTCAAGAACCTCTTGACTTCCTGTGCATCCACTTCGTAAGCACCAATGAAAGTCTCGTATCTCATCGACGACGGTGAGCATGGCAAACTTGTCATATCTGTCGAATGTCTCTGGGTCACAGGCGCGACGGACATCGTGGTGACTCAAGATCTTAGTGCATTGTGGGCAGGCAATTGCTCTCCTAGCGTTGTCTTTTATCTTTGTATTCACCCATGCCTGGAGGCAAGCAGGGCAGGCTTCGGACCTGTGAGTGCAATCGTTGGATGGTGGTTTGGCAGGGAAGGTCAAAGGGTGGCACGAATCGCAACACACGGTACAATCTCTAAACTTTGGCTGTGACTCGGCAGCACGTCTACGGTTCTCTTCCTCCTCTTGCTTGGCCATTGTTTCATTCGCTTCAAGTTCGATCTTGTGAAGAGTCTCCAGAGCCACCATATGGTCTTTGGCTTGCTGAATCGCGTCTTCGAGTGATACCTTGCCTCGCCAAACTGAGGCTCGGGTCAGAGAAGCTTCTAAGCTGTGGGGCGGCTCTATGGAAGCATCGCTGGACTTTGATGGCCGATCCAATCCCTTCGAAGAATCACGCTCGTTCCGGAAGGAGTCCACCCTGTTCTTCGAAGTCGCCAGATTTCTTGAAGAGAAGTCGGACACATCCTGAGGCATGTTTTGGCATCTCGGTGTATCGACGACCCACCAGTCGGGTATTTTTGAGTAATCAGGCCGAGAGCTTACGTTGTGTTCAGCCTCTATCCGCACGTTCGGTCCGGGTTGGCTCCTGATAGACTCCTTGACGTAAGACAAGGTGAAATCTGCATCCGCAAGCGCTTCCCAAGAGGCTGCGTGTTCTGGGTTGTCAGGAGACATCGTGGGTAGTTGGGTCACGTCCGAGACTCGTACAGCATTGATAATTGTTGGCTCGTCCTGATCAGGGAAGGCACCAGGTACATGACCAAATGCCTTGACGGGCTCTGGCTGCACATACAGGGAAGATTCGTGACCAACCGGGAGCCTCCGTAAAGCATCTTGCCTAAGAGCTCGGCTTTGTTCCTCTCTGGAAGGGAAAGCGCCCTGATAATCACGAATAGGTCTGTCCGCGTTTTCCACCATGGGAGGCTGATTTTGAATCCGGACAGGAGTCTGAGGGATGGGGTTGGGCTCCCGAAGCGGCCAGTTTGGAGGAGAGTCTGACGTCGATGTAGCCATACAAGTAGGAGGCACGGGGATACGCGGCTGAGATGTTGTAGAACTTGATACCACAGTTTTCTCCTGGAGTCTACTTGTCGTGCCAAAGTGACCGTCACGTTGTTCGGAACTCGGGAACGCGATGTGGTTTGGGTTGCGTACATCTTCTGTGACATATCGAATCGGCACGGGAGACTTGATCTTATACCTAGAATATGGGGGCTTGCCACGATTGGTAGCAAGTCCGCCCGACCCTATAGCATGGCCTTGGCCTTGCCGCAGTCCGGTATCTGGTCTCAGGCTCCTGTCTGTAAGTTTACGGCGAAGACGCCGGAGCATAGGAGTGCCGGCAGCATCTCTCTGAACGCCTACTGAGTGAGACTGAGGCTGACCCATAGTGTTTGAATTACTCGGGAGAGGATAGAAGGGTAAGTAGCTTATGGCTACAATATATTGTCGGGCACCGGCTTGCTAAATAACTCAATCATGGTCATAATGAGTACCGCGAGCATGCTGGAGTTCGCGAGCAGACCATGAGCCAAGGGAGCAAGTTCCGGTTAGACGAGCAAATATGCTCAAGATGCAGCGTAGAACAAAGCTTACCTATAGCCCTGTGAATCATGAGCCATCATAACATGGCAGAAGGAAAGTAGATCCTTTGGTCATAGATGCTTCGTCCCTTGATGAATCAGAGGCCAAGAACATACACCAAGATAGTAGACTGAGGGCCTCGCCGGTGGAAATGTCATGCTGGTCTGAGCGCGTGTGCTCAGATCTGTAGATGTCTGAGAGCACGGTTTCCTCTAGATCTGAAATGATGACGCCCGGAAAGGTGTCTGCAAGGACTCCCTGCATCAACATTGATCGGTATGCGATATGACCTTCCCTTGCTACAGCTTGTTGTTGCTCAGCTCTGATGATTGGGACGAAAGTTGGTCCAGCAGAGTTTGACACACGGCGAGACGATCTAAACTAACAGGAAGAGCTGTCCGCCTGACCAATTTCAACAGATATCGACCGTGAGCAGAGTTGAAAGTCGGAAGGTTGTCAAGGTCAAGGGACCGCCAAGCGGCAGATCGGCAAGCACGAGCCAATCAACCAGATGCGACCCCAGATTCGATAGCGAACAGAGTGGAGTCATGATGAGACAAACACTCTTCCAGAAAGAGCTTGAGTATTATCTGCCATAGCTATGCCGTCCGGACGTAACTGAAAACGTTCAAGACCCGGTTTGATTGACGTCTTCGAGAGATACGGAGGACGGCGGTTTGAGTCGATGGTGGATGTGATATGGACAGGCGAGATGTGCGACGTGAGGCGTTCGTTAAGAAGATGACGACGATTTGGTTGCTGTGTCGACGGCTTGGACGTGTTGCTTGACAACAATCCATGTAGCCAAATGCACCCACGTTTCTCACGTCTCACACCCGGTCTACTTTGCTATCAAAGATCTATCTAGTCAGGATTGTCAGCCCATCCGACAGACAGGGCCACTCGTTCAGAGCATACATCAACACACTCACTGATCATCTCGAGCGACGAGAAGACGCGCCATGCCGGCGACACCAGGTTCAGAGATGGCACCTAGTGTGTCGCTCTCTTGTGAGTCCGACTCCAATTCAACCATTGCAGCGTACCGCTGACATGTAGCTGCAGTCGCGAACAACTTCTGGGGCAAGGAAGACGCCGGCGTCGACCCTTTACTCGAACGCATGCACAATGCAAAAATCACCAGCGACGAGCTCAAGTCCTTCTACACTCAACGAGCCGCCATCGAAGAAGAGTACTCTCGCAAGATCCTCAATCTCGCCCGGAAACCCCTTGGCTCCTCTGAAGCTGGCACCTTGCGCATGTCCATGGACGTCGTGCGCGGAGAGCTGGAAGCCATGGGCAAGTCACACCAACACATCGCTCAGCAGATGAAGGGCGAGCTTGAAGAGCCTCTCTCGACCTTCTCAGGTGGCATCAAGGAGCGTCGCAAGATCATCCAGAACGGCATTGAGAAACTGCTCAAGACCAAGACGCAACAAACACACACCGTCAACAAGGCTCGCGATCGTTACGAGCAAGACTGTCTCAAGATCAAGGGCTATCTCGCCCAAGGCCATATGGTCATGGGCCAGGAAGAGCGCAAGAACAAGGCTAAGCTGGAAAAGACTCAAATCCAGATGTCGGCGACCAGCAACGAGTACGAAACAGCCGTCAAAGTGCTGGAAGAGACGACTGCCCGTTGGAACCGCGAATGGAAGGCCGCCTGCGACAAGTTCCAGGACCTGGAAGAGGAACGACTCGACTTCACAAAGAGTAGTCTATGGAGCTTTGCTAACATTTCCTCCACCGTCTGCGTCAGTGACGACGCTTCTTGCGAGAAGATCCGCTTGTCTCTCGAGGACTGTGATGTCGAGAAAGATATTTCTGGCTTCATCAAGGACAACGGCACTGGTCAGGAGATCCCTGACCCTCCCAAGTACATCAACTTCTGTCGTGGCGACGTCAGCGACAATGCATCCGACGTCTCGGACGATGCGCACTACTCAGTCGCTCAGTTCCAGCGAACCATGAATCCAGCCTTCCGCTCATCTTCACCACAGCCCTCGACTTACTCATCTCACCATGATCCTGCATCCGTCTTGGCTCAAGAGATGGCTCTTGGCTCGTCGGTCAATTCTGAGAGGTCTCAGCGATCTCAAAGATCTCAGCAATCTGCTGTAGCTCCTCTACCAGTTCGTCAATCTAGCCAACAGGCAGTACCAGCCAGCACCTATCAAGACTTTCCCAAGGTGCCACACAATGAATACCCTATGGATGGCATGACCCAATTCTGCAGACTCGGCCCTCCTTCCGACCGCAGCTCAGTTCCTAGCCCCACTCGTCCTGAGGATGACTCCCACAGCGAGATTTCAAACGCCAACTCATTCTCGAGCGTCGAGCCTCCTGCTTCGCCCATGAAGCAATTAAATGGATCCACAGTCTCTACCAACAGTCAACAAGACGACAAGACACTACAGAAACGACGAAGCGGCTTCTTCCAAAACCACAGCCCTTTCGGGCGTCGTAAGAGCAAGCACGAGAATGCTGTTCCTGCTTCGATCTCGAATGGTCCCGCTCAGCGAAATACTTGGGCCCCGGCTCCCAGACCACAGACTGCTTCCTCTCCAGCTCGTCCTTTCGCGCGTGAGGCTAGAAATGTTGGATTTGGTAATGACCCTATGCCCAGTCCTGATGCAGAGCCCGTCGATCCTCGCGCCAACTTCCAGCTGAATATCGGCAATAACGTCTTTGACGTTGCAACACCTGATGCTCGCAGAAGATCAACTGCCCCTGCCCCTGAGGAGCCTACTAATGAGCTTGATCCAATTGCTCAAGCTCTGGCCGAGCTCAAGGGAGTGACAAAACAAGCATCCACTCGTGTGTCGGCTGATCGCTATGCTGGTATCCCTACTCCCGCTCCTGGCGCAGGCAGAGCATCTCCGTCACCTCTTATCGCCAACTCTGATATACGTGCGGGTCAACGTGGCACCCCTCCACCCTCATACGATCAACCAATGAGACGACTTGGTGCACCACAGCCGGCATTTACTAGCAAGCAGATGCAGCAGACAACTGCCAGCTACATGACGCAGAAGAGAGACATGTTCAATGCACCTCCGCGCAACACACCATCTCAGATGGGCTCACGTCCAGTCAGCAGAGGTGGAGACTCTAGAGGCTCAGGCGAGATGATGCGCTCCGCCTCTCCAGCACCCCTACGCACGAGCTCGCCAGCCCCTCCACGTGCTACAAGTCCTCGTCCTAGCACAGGATATGACCGTAGGTCCCAACCGGGACCTCCGGGCCAGGACTACCGCTCTGTCTCACCGAACCCATACGGAGGACCTCCTCCTGGCGGTATGTCGGCCGGAAGACCGCGCGCACAGTCTAGTAGTCCGATAAAGCAGCAGCAACAACGTCCTGGCTATAATCCGGCGTATGCATCACACGGAAACTCACCGGCATCTGCTATGCCCAGATCTGCCAGTCCCAGCCCTCAATTCCGTGGCTCGGCAGGACCCGGCAGTAGACCCACGAGCAGCCGTGGTGATCCAGCAGCCATGGCAATGCAGCTCGCTCCCTCGGGCGATCAAGGATATCCGCCATCTTCTCGTGGAGCACCAAACGGACAGCAAGCCACACCACTTAGACCTACTAGCACGTATTACGGAGCGGAAGGTGGTTGGGCAGCAGCATCATCGCCTCGTGGTAATGCTCCCCCTCAACAAGCACCACCATCACAGCAGCAGCAGCAGCAGCAGCAGCAGTTGAGTACACGTGTGCGAAGTCAGAGCTCTGCTGGACAGAGACAATTCACAAGGGATGGAAGACCTATCCTGCAATTCTGTAAGTTGAAAAGCAACACCTTCAGCATAACCCAGTACTAATATGACGATAGCGCGGGCAATGTATATGTATTCAGCAGCCATTCCGGAGGAACTAACGTTCGCTAAAGGAGATATCCTGGCAGTGCTAAGATTGCAAGACGACGGATGGTGGGAAGCTGAGATTGCTGGCAAGGATGGAAGTAGAGGACTTGTTCCCAGCAACTACTTGGCCAATGCTTGAGAATGTTTCTTTTATCCCTACAGGTACACCGCTGATCTCCCTTTATACCCTCCGGATGGAAAATTTCATTGGAGCAGTAGACCTTGCTTTGTTTATCTATTCGGCGGTCCCCTGCAGCTTACACAACAAAATGTCAAGATTCAATGCAACTTAGTTATAGTGCGTGAAACTTAGGCAGTTTACTTTGTATGCATGGCAGAGATGTGTCGTAACTAGGAGAAAATACATTAAGCATGAATGTAGCACTCGAGGGCGCGCAACAATGTGTAAAGAGTGATTGAAAGGCCGACCAGGGTGTTGGACGCGACTAAGCTGGCTTTGAAGTGGTGAGAAGTCGAGAGGCTGGCCTTGGCGGAGCGAGGCAGCGCCAAGACGCAGATGGTCGGTCGTCTCTGCTCGCTGGCGACACATAGCTATCTCAGCGCACCATCTTTCAATCACCTTCTCTTTGACAGCGAGCAGCAGAGACCAATGGACGGGTAGTCGTCACTAATGAGCTTCCCCTCGTCCAAGCACACGCCAAATCCCTCCGACATCCAGCCTCCGCAAGCGCAGCAGTCGACCTCACGCGCCTCGAGGCCAGCACGCCGCGGCCTTCCTCCCCTCTCGACCCAGGCCCTGTCTGCGGCAACCTCGCCCGCAACGCGCCATATTCTTAGTCGCGACTCGTCTGTCTCGTCGACGTCGTCTGTGCTGTCCCCCACGCAGCATCAGCATCAGCAACAGCGCGCCGTCTCGAGTGGCCTCACCTCTACACCCTCCTCGGCGACGCTACCACCAGCTCCCCCATCCGGTGGCAGGAGGTTCGCTAGAGCTTCTCAGCAGTCGCAGTCTGTGTCTGCTTCCCCAATCTCGGCTCATTCGTCGGCCGCGCCATCTGGACAATTGACCAGCTTGGTCATCACCCAGCTGAACATCTTGCTGAGTACGCTCAAAGACGACAAGAAGTGGGACACACAGGCCGAAAAGATACAGAAGGTGAGCGCCGCTCTGGCACATGTTGTCTTGGGCATTGTGGCTGACTCAATGCTAGTTGGTGGATGCGCACGGAATGGACGTGTCGACAACATATTTCCGGAGGCTGTTGCAGAGCAATGCTGCTCTCATCTTCTCCCCCCACCAAAATGCTCAGCGCTCCGCAGCAGACAGTGGAAGCTATCCGCTACTTGTTGGCGAGATGCAGAAACTGACGCGCCTGCCCTCGCAAGCTGCAAAGATCGCTGATGCTCTCGACACGACCAGCGACGGCGACGTCTTCAAGGACTTCGACCTGTCGACCTTCATGGACCACTTTAGACTGGACCCGACAGCAAAGGTCACTCTGGCGCTTGCCTGCAAGCTGGTCTCCAAGCAAGACATCAAGACAAAGGGTATTTCACTTGACACCTTTCCACCTACAACACCGCCTTGCAAGCCTTGTAGCTAACTTGTTCCAGCCGATGCCATACTCAGCAACAATTACTCCCCCTTCCTCGAAGCCATCGCAAACCCCACCGCCGACGACATCACCTCCTCCTTCCTCTCCAGCATCCTCTTCCGTCTAATCCTCGACCCCCCTCGGCAATGGAACAAAGATGCTCAGGATCACCTCCTTGCCAGCTTGAATGATCGCTTCTCGAAGCTTCGCATCTACCCCTCGAGCGAAGTCAGCGCCTTCATCGCCTTCATGGACCTGATTCCAACCAACACTGCCCTCATCCGGCCCATACAAAGGGAAGGTGTCAGGGCCACATCCTCAGTCGAAAGCTGCAAAGACGTTCTGGCCAAAATTGACCACATCTCGTCGCAGTCTGTCGCTGTTGCGCTGGCGTACATGCTCCTCTCAGACGAGTCTTACGACATCGGCGTCTTCGTTGCCGCCGTCCGCCAGCACCCCCAGGCCCAACAGATGGATTGGTACGCTATTGTCAAGACCTTTGACATGGCTCTTATGCGCATCACAAAGACGCAGTTCTTGGCCCTTTACAACGCTATACTCCCCATTGCTCGCGAGACCGAATCTTTCGACATTCAGTGCTTGTGGGGCGGTTCATGGCTCTCGACGAACGCGCAGCTGTCATTTGTCACCGCCTTCTTGTCATGTTCGCCGCATGAACTCGACGCTTCACAGATTCCCCGTCTGCGGGCAGCTTTCTCTCTGGATGAGTTCGCTGACGCCTCTGATGAAGTCAAGGCCTACGCCGAAAAGGCTGTCAGACACCCGATGGTGTCCCTCGAAGCTACCAAGTTCTTATTCCATGTCATCTTCCAGTCGCAGGACGCATACAATCAGGCACAGAATCTCGGAATCCCGGAAATCGTTATCAACGCCAACACGGACATTTTCGTATGTGCTGCCTCTGCTTGCGAGAAACCGTGGGCTGCTCTGCAGGAAATGGCCCTCAACCAGCTCTTCCGCCCCTTCTTCCACAAGTCTTTGCCCAACTATGACTTTGTTCTGCACGCCCTCTGGAAGCACGATAAATCTTGGCTAGCTAGCAAGTTGGTCGAGGCGTACAATGCCGACCCGACCTTGCTGGCTGTCATTTTCGAGCACGCTCGCCATCATGCATGGACTGATACACTTCTACAGATCACAAACGAATTTGGTCTGGACCTCGCTGCTTATGGACATGGTCAGGGCGAGGTCGACTTGGAAGTATGGGCACGAGGCCATCTTGAAATTTCGCCTCAACAGCTCGCTGGAGCTATAGTCAACTTTCTGCGTATTAAGGCTGAAGACGAACAGTTGGTTCAGCGCGACAACCCACACCAACTTGTGCCCTTGAAGGTCAAGACGGTATATGCTCTGCTCAACGTCATCCATGGTCACCTCAGCGACGAGGATATCGGCGCTGTTCAACGTGTCTGTCTTCAGGTCTATCCTCGTCTGATCAACTACGGCTTCAACTTTGACCACGTCATTGACGCCAATGGCGAGAACGGCAACTCTCTTTCCGAGGATGCGGACGCTAAGATGCAAGAACAATACAAGATGATGTACAGCAACGAAGTCGATCCCAGAGGCATGATTGAGCGCCTTCAACATCTCAAGGAGTCTGACTCGGCGGCTGACCAAGACTTGTTTGCTTGCATGATTCACGGTCTGTTCGACGAGTACAACTGCTTTGGCGAATATCCGCTGGAAGCTCTGGCAACGACTGCTGTTCTTTTTGGAGGAATCATCAACTATGGTGTGCTGTCTTCTCGTGTCACTCTTGGCGTTGCTCTGTTTATGGTCTTGGATGCCGTTGCGGATTACTCTCCAGAGGACTCCATGTACAAGTTCGGCCTCCAAGCTCTACTCCATTTCATCAACCGTCTCGAAGAATGGCCCAGCTTCTGTACTCGTCTTATTGCAATCCCTCACCTTCGTGGAACCGAGGTGTATGCCAAGGCTGAAGAAGTTGTACGTCATCAGCCTGGCGTCGACACACATTCCGACCCCCCGCTCGACTTGTCAATGCCACCGAACGGCACTCTCGATGACTTCCCTCTCGAGCCTCAGTATCCTGCGTTCCGCAGCGTTCATGCAGAAGCACCGCTTAGACCTGAGCTTTACGAGGAACCTGATGAGGAGACTTCAGACAAGGTTATGTTCGTCCTTAACAACGTTTCTAAGCATAACATTGAAGAGAAGTTCCAAGATTTGGAATCGGCTCTGGAAGAGCGCCATCATCAATGGTTTGCCAACTACTTGGTCGAGGATCTTGCCAAAGCTCAACCCAACTTCCAGGGTCTTTACTTGCAGATCTTGACGATGTTTGATGAGAAGATTCTTTACGCTGAAGTGCTGCGGGAGACGTACAGTAGTGTGTCCAGGATCCTGAATGCCGAAGCGACCATGAACAACCCCCAAGATCGTACCAACTTGAAAAATCTTGCTGCTTGGCTGGGAATGCTCACCCTAGCTCGCGATCAACCCATTCTGCACCGCAACCTCTCTTTCAAAGACCTCCTGATCGAAGCTCACCAAAGTCAGCGTCTGCTTATCGCCATTCCCTTTACCTGCAAGGTTCTCTCGCAAGCCAAGGACTCAAAGGTGTTCAGACCACCACAGCCGTGGTTGATGGAACTCATCAGTTTCTTGGTGGAGCTATACGAATACGCCGAACTAAAACTCAACCTCAAATTCGAGATTGAAGTATTGTGTAAGGACTTGGGTCTTGACCACAAATCAGTTGAGCCTGCCTCAATCATCCGCACTCTGCCTCTTCAGATGGACCCCGACATGATGCCAACATACCCGACTGACACAATGGACGGATTCGGTGACATGCATCTCATGTCTCTATCTAAGAGAGCCCCGAGCGAACGTTTCTCTTCTCAAGATGTCCTCAAGTCTCTTCCCGATCTCGGTGCTATGCTCAACTATCCTCCCTCGTCAGGTAGCATCTCTCATGCTCAGCTCAAGAACATTTTCCTCGAGGCTGCTCAGCGTGCTATCACCGAGATCATCGCACCGGTCGTCGAACGCTCAGTCACAATTGCTGCTATCTCTACGACGCAGCTTGTGGAGAAGGATTTCGCCATGGAGGGTGATACCGATCGTCTCGCTTCAAGCGCCCACAACGTGGTAAAGGCACTCTCAGGAAGTCTCGCACTTGTTACCTGCAAGGAGCCCCTACGTATGAGTATCTCCAACAACATTCGCATACTAGCTGCTCAAAACTTGCGAGAGCCACTTCCAGAAGGCTCGATTCTCATGTTCGTCAATGACAACCTCGATACTGTGTGCAAGCTTGTCGAAGATGCCGCGGAATCTCAGTCAATGGCAGAGATTGATGCTCAGATTCAGGAAGCTATGGATCGCCGCAGAAAACACCACGAGCAGCGTACGAGCGAGCCTTTCAACTACCCCATTGTTAGCCGATGGGCATTCTTCATTCCTGATCCCTATAGACAGGAGCCTGGAGGCCTGAACACTCAGCAGATGGCCATCTATGAGGACTTTGGTCGTCAAATGCGTTTACCCGCCGCTCCTCACGCTAGTGCAGTACCACAGGATAACACCCGCCAGCTACAGGAACTTACCGAGAATTACTTGACCAACCTGCCAACTCCTGCCGAGGCCCCAGCCATACCTAGGCAAGGACAACAGCAGCAGCGTGTTGTACCCGCTCAAGGCCAGACCAATGGGTACATGAGCACCGATGTCATCATAGGTCATGTCTTTGAGGCTTTGGCCGACCTTCAACGCGTCGCCCACGAAGCACCTGAAGAGCACATTGGCGAAATAGGACCCAGTTCGCCTGTGCGTGAAGCTTATGCGCAGTTGATGCGTATGATTGAAAGTTCTCCCGACAAGGAGCAGCTAGCTCTTGCCACTGTACAAAGAGCAACCTTGTTCGCATACACCAAGTCGGAGAGCCGTCTCGAGATTGAGGTCTTCGTTGAGGTCTTGAACCACCTCTGCCTGATTTCGGTCACGACTGCTCGTAACTTGACCATCTATCTGCAGTCTATCAACGATGACAAGGTATACAATGGTCCGGTTACTGTCTGCCTGCTTAAGACGGGGCTGCTCGATATCCACCATGTCGATTTGCAGACTTCTCAGGCGATCATGCAGAAGAAGGTTGTCGCTGTAGAGTTCCTCGGTGCTCTTATCGACGAACTGATTCTCAACGAGAACCCGGCCGCTCTTCGCGCGGACTTCGTCCTCTCCTTTGGCGCACTTGGTCAATGGCTCTCCGAAGATCCCAGCGTGGACATGGGCAAGGAGATCCTCAAGAAACTTCTGGATGTGTCAAACGGAACAGCTCCACCTAGCCCACCTGCTTCAGAGAAGCAAGACCAACTCGAGTACGTTTTTGAGGAGTGGGTCCGCCTGCAAAGACCCGAAGTCCCCGAGCGATACATGGTAGCATTCATCCAGCAGCTGCAGAGCCGTAGCTTGCTCAGCAACCAGGAGGAGTTCTCCGCCTTCTTGCGTGTCTGCATTGTGATGTCGCTCGACTGCTTCGAACGTGAGGCTCTCACCTACGGCAGCCTCGACCATGCTTACATCCATGTCGATGCTCTTGCCAAGTTGATCGCATCGTTGGTCACATACCAGAGCGAGGGCGAAGGCGTTCTTTCAGGAAGCAAGCCTGACTATCTCAAGGCAATCCTTGGTCTGCTTGTTTTGGTCATGAACCACCACCAGACCTCACGTTCTTCCGAGCGCTTCAACGACAGAATCTTCTTCAGACTCTTGTCCAGTCTTCTGTGCGAGCTATCAAGCTTCAGAGCTCAACTGGGCGACGACTTCCAGGACGTCATCCTTATCTTCGGCAAGGCTTTCTTGGCCCTGCAACCAAGATTCTTCCCCATGTTCACCTTTTCTTGGTTGGCACTTATCAGCCACCGAATGTTCGTGCCCGAGGTCATGAGATCAGCGGATAGAAAGGGCTGGGATGTCTACCTCCAGATCCTTCAAGTGCTTTTCAGCTTCCTGGGAGATCTGGTTAGCACTCAGGAGATTTCGATCCATGCAGCAGAGTTCTACCGTGGTGTTCTGCGTGTTCTTCTCATCCTGCAACACGATTTCCCTGAGTTCCTCACAGAGAACCACATGCGCCTCAACAGTAGTGTGCCTGCTGGTCTTCTCCAATTGCAGAATGTCATCAACTGTGCATACCCTTCATCGTTCCAAGAGCTCCCTGATCCGTTCACTCCGGGTCTGAAGATGAATCGCCTGGAACAAATTCGCCAGTTGCCACATTTGCGTGGCGGGCTGGAGGCTGTTTTGTCAGAGGCAGGTATCGATATCGCCATTGACAACCTGCTCAAGGGTAAGGACATCAAGGATGACGATATCAAGGCTGTCATTGATGGCATTGACAACGAAGGCAAGCCTGATGCCCTCATCGCCAATGCATTGATCTTGCAGATTGGCAACACTGCCACTGCAGGCTCCTCGGTCTTCTCGCCATCTGCCACACCTGCCAAGATAATTGAGCGTCTCCTCCACGAATCGCGCCATGAAGTGCGATACCAATTCCTCAGCGCGATCACCAACCAGATCCGCTATCCTAACGCCCACACCCACTACTTCTCAACCGCATTACTTCACCTCTTCACCGTCAGCTCCGAGGAGCTTCAGCAGCAGGTTGCCAGAGTCTTGGTCGAGCGTGTCATGTCGGCCAGACCTCATCCTTGGGGACTTCTCGTGACCGTCTTGGAGCTTGTCAAGAACAACTCATACAATATCTGGGAGCTTGGCTGGATGAAGGCCGCTCCCGAGGTTGAGAGAATGATGCTCAACGTAGCACACAGTTCGGGACTCGCACAGAGCCCGCGTGCCATGACTTAGATTTCGGGGGGAATCTAGTCGGAACACTTACGAGCATTTGGACAAATGACACAACAGCACAGGCAAAAAGTCAGTTGCAGAGACAGAATGATCTACAGGCCTGCTTTGGGGAAAGCAGATCTGAAAGCTTCGATCTGACCAGATGAAAAGACATTGCTCCACATTACAGACATGGCTCATAGCAGGCGGCAAGCACTCCTCTCACACAAGCTTATTTCTCTTTATACTTTTATCTTCTGTGTATAATTCTGGGATGGCGATCAAAGGGACGCGATGGATAAAAATAAGGCATGGAGTGGTATAACTCAATACTCGGCTACTACAATCGAGAGGAGGGAAGATTCATTTTATTTGCGGTAAGAAAAAAAGAAGCATTAGAACTGGGGGGGGACAAGTAGGCGTTTTCCACGTTCTTTTTTTTTTGTTCTCCGCCAAAGAAAACAATGGAAAGAGAAGAAGTGGTTCTTTTAGATGGGAGCAGACTATGATGATGACGATGATTGAAATGCCAGATTCACAAGTTATTATAAAAACCAGAGCGCAGTGCTCCATTGTATTCATATATACTTTCTATGATCTGACTACCTCTGCTGGGATGATATTGGAAGGCGTTTAGATGTGTACAACGCTTTGTGACGGTACAAGTAGGTATACGGTTCCGTGTTACAACCTTTCCATATGAGTCAATAGCTGTCTCGAGACGCGGTCCTTTTCCAATTCGAAGCGATGGTATCGGGATATGTCTGTTAGTCGAGTCTTGTCTCGGGATTTAGCTTTGGAATATGATCCTGGCTTGTTGCAGCTTGTCGTTGGTCTACTCTGATCATCGGAAGAGGGCAGGAGGGACACAGAGGAAGAGTGTTTTGACAGGCGGCATGGATGGGCGTTCTGGCAATGAGGCTAAGACGCCAAGAATGATGACGACGGGGGGAAACAGATGATGGATACAGGAGAGGCAAAGACGGCAGTCAAGTAGACGTAATCGGACCACTATCGTGACAAGTGTGTTCTGTACCAGACCCTTTTCTTGAATCTCCATCATCATAGACCATCTTTACAGCTTGTTAGAACCCCTTTTGCAGTCGAACGACCTTGATAGTTTCCATCGACGCAACGCAACGCCAGCTCTCGGGATCTCCGTAAATTGGCAGTCGCATCCAGCCCCTCATCTACCAACGCCCATTGTCGTGTCTCGACAAACTCACCACCCTCCCGCACCACACACATAGCAAAACACCTCACATTCCACATTTAATCATGGCAGAAGGTTCAGCTGTTCCCACTGCCAGCAAGGGCTCCTGGGGTTCTTTCCTCAAGGTAGACTAGCACCTCCCCGTGTGTTGCGCCCATGTTTTGACGTGGTCCACTGACGCGCCAATACAGTCGATAGCCTCCTTCAATGGAGATCTGTCGTCCCTCACCGCACCCGCCTTCATCCTGTCGACTACTTCGCTCACAGAGTTCTCGGCATACTGGGCAGAGATGCCGTCAGTTCTAGTCGCTCCCGCGTCGGAAAAGGACAAGCAGAAGCGCTGCATGCTCGTCTTGAAGTGGTTCCTCAGCACCCTCAAGCAACAATACACATCGCGCAACGAGAAGCTTGGTAGTGAGAAGAAGCCACTCAACCCGTTCCTGGGTGAGCTGTTCTTGGGCAAGTGGGTCGACCAGGCCGGCACCACCGAGCTCGTCAGTGAGCAGGTCAGGTGTGTACAATCATGCTATCCAAGTCTGCTTCTCCTCTGACACAAAGTCTAGCCACCACCCCCCGGTCACCGCATACAGCATCTGGAACAAGCAGCACGGTGTCCGCCTCCAGGGCTACAACGCTCAAAAGGCCTCGTTCGGTAGAACCATCAACGTCAAGCAGATTGGCCACGCCGTCCTCCACATTGACGAGTACGACGAGGACTACCTGATTACCCTCCCCGCTCTCCACATCGAGGGTCTCATCACCGGCTCCCCTTACGTCGAGCTCGAGAAGAGCACACACATTGTTTCCTCGACCGGCTACACCTGCAAGGTCGACTACAGCGGAAAGGGCTGGGTCAGCGGCAAAAAGAACTCCTTCACCGCCACCATGTACCCCAACGGTCGCGAGAAGGACGTCATCTATATAGCCGAGGGCCAATGGAGCGACAACTTTGTCATCAAGGACTCGCACAAGAAGGTTGTCGACTCGTACGATGCCAGAAAGATGCAAAAGACGACCCTCACCGTTGCCCCCATCGAACAGCAGGACCCTCTCGAGTCGCGCCGTGCCTGGAGCAAGGTCGCTGAGGCCATCACCCGTGGTGATATGGACACCACTTCGGCCGAGAAGTCTCTCATTGAGAACCAGCAGCGCGAGTTGCGCAAGAGAGAAAAGGAAGGCGGTGCTGAATGGCAGCGTAGATTCTTCACTCGCGTGCCTAACAGCCCACGCTTTGACGCCATGATACACCAGGTTCCTGGCGGCAGTCTCGAGGCTGACAAGACGAACGGCGTCTGGGAGTTTGATGCCGCCAGAGCCAAGGCTGCCAACCCTGCTTACGACCTGTAGAGGGAGTCAGGCCGAGAAGTAAATGATGTAAACTAAAGCTTAGCAGGCAAAACAGAAGAAGAATGGCAGGAATCAAAGAGCAAGTAGGATTGGGGCATTCTGTTTTAATTCGTGGCTATGGGGACTTATTGGGGAAGGTTTTTTTTTCTTCTTCTTTTTTCTTTCTTACTGCCTCCAAATCCCTCCAAACACTTTTCGTAACAAGACAAATTACTGTTTTCAAACCAAAGAGCCACAGATCATCATGTATCATTCGGGATTGTCGTCTCGCAGAAGTGCAGTGAAGAGGGGGTTTTCCTTCCTTGCTTGGTTATTGCCGATTGCCATGTTCAAGTCTTGTATTGGATCACCGTTTCCAACAAGGAAGAAGAAGAACAGACATCAATGAGAATTGGCATTTGGATGACATTGCTTTGGTTACTTGAAACCCTACTCGATGGTCTTGTCCTCTTTTCATTGTTGGTGTGATGTTGTTCTTCCTCCTACTCTTCCTTTCAGAAATAATGATTTAGGCCGGAGATTGGAAAAAAGGCACGGTCAGACGAGATGGGGAGTATCAAGAGAAGAAATTGTAGCTTTTTTCCCCCCCAATTATTCGTCCAAGCCCCTGATTTCTTGTTCATGCGAAGAGCTGAGATTTTTCATATGTCTTGTTTTCTTTTTTTGGCAAAGGGGGTTAGTCAGAGTTCTCTTATTTAATCTCACTCCATCCTTTATCCTCCTTGCCGCCCTCCACCATAATCGAGGTCTCTGTGCTTCCTTCCTTTTGGCTCGAGGCTTCATCACAAGCTTCCTTGAACACTCGAACAAATCTGAGAACATCCGTCCAAGAATTGTACAATGGAGCAGGAGCCACACGAATGACATCCGGTCTTCTCTCATCCACCACAACACCCTTTTGTTCCAGAACTGCCATGACGTGATCTAGTAATCCTGAAGCCAGTCTTAGTGATAATTGTGCACCTCTTTGCTCTGGATCGGAGGGTGTGATGATGCTAAAGGTTTTCTCCATGTCGAGTTGTTGAAGTAGAGTTTCGAGGTATCCGGTAAGTGCGAGGGATTTTTTGCGTAATGCAATCATGGAGGTTTTGTTGAAGATATCGAGGGAGGCGCGGAGGGCAGTCATATCGGCCACCGAAGGGTTTGAAAGCTGCCAGCCACCGGCTCCAGCGATGGGCGTAAAGACATTTTCCATGGCGAAGCGAGAGGATTTGTTACTTCCCCACCATCCACTGAGACGGCGTGTATATCCTGGTTTGCCTTTCTCAGCAGTAGCAGAAACAGCACAGTGCTTCTCATGTACGAAGAGGCCACCAATACTGCCAGGCCCGCAGTTCAAGTACTTGTAGCTGCACCAAGCGGCAAAATCTACATTCCAGTCGTGCAACTTGAGAGGAAGGTTTCCTGCTGCGTGGGCGAGGTCCCAACCCACCAAGATACCGTGTTTCTGTGCGTGAGCGGTGATAGTGGCAATGTCAAAGAATTGGCCAGTGTAAAATTGAATTCCTGGGAGCAGGAGAAGAGCTGTTGAAGATGCGTGCTCATCAGTCGTGGCGAGGATATGCTGCGTGGTGAGGATAGGGTTGTCGGGATCTGTAGGCTCGAGAAGAATCATGGATGTCGAGGGGTCCTTGTTGTGATGCAAGAGCTGCGATTCTACTGCGTACTACTCTCTTCTTATCAGCATGTTGTCCATCTTCGATCCTAGTCGAGGGGGGGGGGGGGGGAGCACTTACATGATCACTTGGAAAGGCTTTTCCTTCGATGATGATCTTCCACCTCTTCTCCGTAGGCCGATAGAAACTAGCCATGGCAAGATGCAGGTTCGCAGTCAACGTCTGCATCACAGCCACCTCGTTCTTCTTTGCTCCCACAATTTCACAAACATCACCAATCACATCATCGTCAACATGCAGCCAAGGAGCCAGATTCGAGTCTTCAATTTCCGTAAAGTGACCATAGACACCTTTCGTTGCCCAGGTTTGAAGATAGTCTTGCTGATATTTGGATGTTAGACGGGGCTGTAGACCGAGAGAGTTTCCGCAGAGATATGTGCATGATTGAGGTTGGTCTTGGGATGATGGTTTGAGAGTCTTTGCGTGTAGATCGGAAATTGTTGGGATGATGAATTGGTCTCGAAATGAGGATAGCGGATCTTGCTCATCCTGAGATTTGGCATAAGCTTCACTAAAAAGGTCCGGTGTTTCCTTTTGGTCCGCCATGATGTGAAGTGCGTGTGTCGTTGGATGCTATCGTGAGTTCCCTGGAGTCGTGGTTCTAGAAGTTTGAGAGAAGTTGGTCCTGGCGCCGGCGATATGTGTCCGGGATATCCGTGCTTGATAATCCAGTGATAAAGAGAATGCTTTGCTTTTACTTGTGCGAGTGATACTGCTGGACTGATCTGCTCGTTCTAATTCAGTTTCAGTGTCAGATGATTCACTGAGAGGCAAACTTTATTGATGTTCTTCTGATCAAACGAAGATGGTCATTTGTGGAAGATCAACAATGGCCAAGACGTCATGACAGCTCTCCCCACATTTTCTCCGACCTCGCTCGGATCTTTGTTCATTTCTGACCGAGACGTCTTGGGTCTTGCTAGAGAATGTCCACTCCTCATTGAATACGTAGCTGACTGTGTTGTCTGATGCGGAGCTACTAGTGTAACTACACGGGATGAGGTGGAACTTCCCAGGGCATGCAGTGATGGGTGAAGACCACATACCTGGTCAACGACATGCCGATTTAGCCTCGGCACGATCAAGGTAGGTCTCCTCATCTGGTAACGATATATCATGTACCTCTCTCCTCGGATCTTCTCGACACAGTCTCCACCTTACGAACAGCAATCATGGCACCCAATGACCGTGTCTCTCAGATCGCATCTCACCTCAACTACCCTAGGGGTCTCCTAGCCGGTCAAGTAGCCATTGTCACCGGAGCTGGTCAAGGCATTGGAGCAGAAACCGCACGTCTGTTTGCGAATGAAGGAGCCAAAGTCGTCGTCTCGGACATTGACGGCGAGAAAGCAAATGCCGTCGCCAAAGCCATCATCAGCAATGGCGGCAAGGCTCTGGCTGTCGCTGGCGACATGTTAGATGATGCCTATCTCAAGACCCTTGTCGAAAAGACGGCCGAGTTTGGAGAGGGCAAGATCCATATCATCATCAACAATGCAGGCTTCACATGGGATGGTGTTATACACAGCAAGTTGCATATTTCCAGCTGGCTTCTCGATACTGACATGGAAAGCAGAAACCACGGACAAGCAGTGGGACACAATCATGTCCCTCCACGTCTCCGCTCCCTTCAAACTCATCCGCAATGCCGCCCCTTACTTCCGCGTCAAAGATGGCGAACCCAGAAACATCATAAACATCTCCTCAACCTCGGGTCTACACGGAAATGCAGGACAAGCGAACTACGCAGCCGCAAAAGCAGCCGTCACAGGTCTCACAAAGACGATTGCCAAGGAATGGGGCCCAGCATTTGGTGTCCGTTGCAACACTGTTGCCTTCGGCTTTATTCAAACAAGGCTTACGGCTGCCAAAGAGGAGGGTGCTTTCGTGACTACACCTGATGGTGAAAAGATTGCTCTGGGTATTCCTGGTGCACAGAAGAAGGGGAGGGAGGAAGGTGCTGGTGCGTTCAAGGACATCCCGCTTGCAAGACCCGGTACCGCTACTGAAGCTGCTGGTGCTATCCTGGGTGTTGTAAGCCCTTACTTCTCCTATGTCTCAGGTCAAACGATCAGCGTCACTGGGGGTCGCAATATATAAGCAAAGAGCTCTTCTATATAGCGGTGGTCTATTTGTCAAACTTGTCTATACCCGAAAATCCAATTTCCAAAAAGAATTTACCCAGAATTCGGCCCCAAAGCCAAAGCCCAGATTGCCCAATGAGCACCCACAGTGGGTCGAGCTCTGAACTCTCCTAATCCCTCCTTCGTACCCTTGACAAAGTATCTATCACTGAAGGGCAGTGTGTTCTTCTTGTTACTGATATACGCCCAGATATCATCCACAAACATGTTTCTTGTAGCCTCTTCGCTAGTAGCCGCAACCCAAACGTCCCAATCGGTCTTGCCCCATGCCGCTGTTGAGGAGATGGCAACACCCGAGGGGCTGCGTATGGTAGGATAAAAGGAGGATTGAGAGGTAAAGAGGGAAGAAGGAAAAGCAGTGAGATTCAACAGAGCCTGCGGAAAGAGGTTGAAGGTCAGATACCAGTTCTTCGCCCCATAAGTCAGATCCAGATAACTCTGCTTGGTCTTGTCATTCTTTGCGATTCCCACGCCAGGAGTAAGAATCGTAGTTGCGAACTGTTGAGCTAGCTCCGTGTATTCTTTCTGTCCGGAGATGGAAGCATAAGCAGAAAGTCCTACAGCGGCTTTGATGGCTAAACTCGTCATATTGGTAAAAGCGCCCAAGCCATCTGTGGTGCTGAGTTGATGTTCTGGGTATAGCCCGTTATGGGCGAGATATTCTGCATATCCAGGCCAAAGATCTGAATATTGTGCTGCCCATGTCTTATCTCCTGTTGCCTTTTCATAAGCATCGATGAGAATAAACAGATTTCCGGTTTCTTCGATCGGCATTCGTTCGTCTTTCCCTGCATCATGGCCAGTCGCATTTGGGTAGTTCGCACCAATGTCGTGGACGACCCAGGGGTTTGGGTAGCAGCCTGATGCGAGATATTCCAGGACTGGATCAAGAAGGAGCTTTATGTATTCGGGTGCATAGACGTAGAAGAATGGGAACGTGGGGAATATGATGTCCACGGTGTTCATATTGCCATCCGAGGAGATCTCCTTGATGAAAGCTCGTAACTCGGTGGTGTCCAACGTGTCCGCGGGTATGGTGAGGTCGATACCACCCATTACTTGTCTGGTTGAGAGAGCCAGGATGTCGGAATAGTTCGTGCCGACCAGAGAGCTAGCTGTCGTCTCTATCGAAGAGTCCAGTGCCAGTGATTCGTTGTATGCAGCATCATAGTCGTCAAAGAAATGGCTTACTGCGCTCGGTGTATCCGGATACACACTTCTGTAGTAGTGGGTCTGAGGCGCATCAAGATAGTTGACAGCTTCTTCCCGCACAACACCAACAGCATATCTGACAGTGGTTGATTGTTGGACCTGACCAAGTCTGTATGCAAAGCCATATGACCCACCAACCTTGCAATCATCTGAGCCTGCACCCGAGCTAGTCACATTCCCAGTGGCTTGGAACTGTGCTCGTGAGACCTTAGCAGATCCAGAAGTCGAAGAAATAGAGTAAGTCTCCTGATGAGCTGCGAAGACAACTTTGGCCCAGAGTGCGATCTCAGACTTCGATTGCGAAAACGTGGGTCCATCAGCACCAAACTCATACAAATGTGTTCCGTTTATAACCGAGCTCGAGCACGATTTAGCTTTGTCGCCAGTCCAGAATTCATCAATGTCTGAGTATATGTCGACATCATGTGCTTTTCCGTCCTTTGGTGTCGTAGTTACAGACAGATATGAGAAGGGAAGAGATTGCCTTACGTAGTTCTGCGGCGACACTGGGGAGAAGAAGTCTAATGTGAACTCGATATGACCTGCAGTCACTGTGAAGACCGAGTGGGTTGATGTGAAGCTTGCGTTGGTAACGACAGCAGACTTCGTGCTTGCAGCCGGATTTGTCACCTGGGTGTAAGAATCAGGTTAGCCATTGCTTTGTTGTCATATACTCCCATGAGATGAAGCGTTCCAGAGAGAATCCCAGACACTAGGTGAGACTTTGCAATGCGAATGCTAGGATTGGCCATAGAGCTCATCTTGGAACCCTATCCGGCAGCTGTTCATTGGTGTCATTGATGTACTTACACCAAATAAGTTATATGTCTGCTTATCGACATTGGCCATCACCGACCATCCAAGGTTATTGCCGAACCAGAATTGAGGCTGACATGACGGTAGCTTTGCGACCTGGTCTCCAGGTAACCATGCTACAAACTATCAGCGATACCTCTCGAAAGTTGAAAATTGCATGTACTCGATAAATAGGGATTCCGGACGGCCAGGGGATACGAAGGGGGCTGTATAGGCGCATATTCGAATGCAACGGATGAAGAAGCAATACCCATCGGTAACAATATACCAATAACCCAGTCGAACAATCTAGGCATATTCGGTTCCTGCGATACAGAAATACTGCAGAATACTCGAAGGCCGAGAAACATAGTCAAAGAAACAATGAGATATAGGCTTCTCGGACTAAACCTTAGTACTCCTGAGTTACTAACGGGTTTGTTGAGCCTCAAAGACACATGCTTTGTTGCCATTGTATACGAGGTTCCGAAACTTGGTTGTGGTGATTGACAAGAGACATTCTACAGAATCGTAGCTCACTCTAACCTGGTCGTAGTTACTGGATGCTACCAAGCCATGCGCATTGCGACGCAGCTGACGTTGAATCGACCTCAAGTAGAGTGATGGAGTCTATTGTACAAGTGGAACCCCGCAGGCTCGAAGCACACCACGGCCTCGAGCCTGACTTCGACTCTTGGAACATGAATGTTTAGAAACAAGAATGTTGGTGTCAGGGTGCAGTCCTCGTTGTTTATCTCAACAGGACGTTGTTGCACTGTGAGTCGCAGAGACTCCCGGACGAGCTCGGCATTGTGTGCGAATCAGCCAAAACAATATTTCCCTCCGCCAACATATGTGCACAAGTCCGTTTAGGCTTCATTTTTACTCGCCAACAACACTCCAGTTGACATGAGCCAGACATCAGGAGGCATGTGATGATAACAAGCCAGCAAAACAATGCTGCCTCCTAACGGAGTCGAACCGGTGACCTCGGCATTACTAGTGCCGCGCTCTACCAACTGAGCTAAAGAGGCATTGATGATACTTGTGCTCCCCAAAGATCAATATATATACATTGTCTAATAAATTCTCCAGTTCGCGATTGTGCGCATGGGATACGGAGATTGGCACCATCAAAGATTAAATCCGTGGCCGCGTTGAACCTCCGAGATCACCGTGATAAACGCCTCGACACTTCCCTCGAGGAACATGAGACATGAGCAAGGCTTTTCAAAGAGTGCAGCAATGCCTTGAAAGACAGGCACAGTACGCCGGGCTGAACGCTTTCGTCACCCGAGCCAGTGCCACACAACTACAAGATGCTGCTAGTACGATAGACGACAGCAATAAATTCAATGGTAGGCCCATCTTTCAGGTCTTGAGAACATGGACTGATGTAAGCAGACTCAGCACTTGTCGGAAGAACGATTGCCGTCAAGGACAACATCGTCACAAAAGATTATCCGACCACGGCATCTTCGAAGATACTTGACGAATACAAATCTCCATACAATGCGACCGTCGTCGACAAACTCATTTCGGCTGGCGCACTGATCTGCGGAAAGACCAATCTGGATGAGTTTGGAATGGGATCACATACTCGACCGACATTCACATCGGCTACGCAAAGTCCGTTCAAGCGTGAGGGACAACCGCTGTCGGCCGGAGGAAGCAGTGGTGGCAGTGCAGTAGCAGTCGCAACAGGTCAGGCATGGGCTGCATTGGGTACAGATACTGGAGGATCGGTCAGACTGCCCGCAGCATATACTGGAACTGTTGGTTTCAAGCCAAGCTACGGCCGTCTGAGTCGATGGGGCGTTATTGCATACGCCAACTCGCTGGATACCGTCGGTACCTTGACTCAAAACGTCGGAGATGCCCGTATTATCTTCAAGGCGCTCGACCAATTCGACCACATGGATCCTACCAGCTTGTCGAAAACAGTCCGTGATCGGATCGCAGGTCAAACGACTGCATGGACTGAAAACAGAAGACTTCGCATCGGCATACCACTAGACTACAATACTGAGTCGTTGTCACCAGAGGTCCGAACAACCTGGTCTCGACTACTGCAATCTCTACAGGATGCTGGACACTCTCTCCATGCAGTCTCACTTCCCTCGACACATCAAGCGCTTTCGGCTTACTACGTTCTCGCTCCCGCAGAGGCTTCATCCAACCTTGCCAAGTATGATGGTGTTCGCTATGGTCATCGCACATCTGGACCTGATGCCAATCCCAAGGAGAACTTGCCTTTATTCGCCACTACCAGAGGAGAAGGATTCGGGCCAGAAGTACAAAGACGCATACTTCTTGGTGCATACACGCTGAGCTCAGAGGCCATGGACAACTACTTCGTGCAGGCACAACGAGTGCGTAGACTGGTGCAAAGCGACTTTGACAATGTCTTTGCCCTTCAAAATCCTCTGCTAGACACGCGGACTGAACGATCAAGTGATACAGCCAATGTCGATGTTCTGATCGCACCCACGGCTCCGACTTTACCACCGACGCTGGCAGAAGTTGAGAAGCTGAGCCCAGTCGAGATGTATATGAATGATGTTTTGACAGTACCTGCAAGTCTGGCAGGACTACCTGCTCTGAGTGTACCCGTCAAGCTGGGAGGAGGTGCAAAGGAAGCTGTGGATATTGATTCTGTCGGCATACAGGTGATTGGACAATTTGGAGATGATGAACTGGTCCTCCAAGTGGGACAAGTCATTGAGAATCTCCGAGCCGAGACTGCTTGAGGCGAATGCGCAAAAGGAAGCCAGCGCAACGTCTTCTACTTGTAGTTGGCAATGTCATGTCAGACTTTATTCTGTCTAACATACATGTCACCTGTACAAAAGCCGTCTATCAGAGCGGCTAAAATCAAGTATCGAACAATTCACGCTTTTAACAATTTCTTGACTCTTGTCTTGACTCTTGGACCCTTTCGGAGTTATTCCTGAAACAGCATGTGCTTCCTGGAAGCTTGAGCGAGAACGAGCGCGATGAGTGGTAGATTCTTGGGTTTACCATGTGTTTACCACGAGGATAGTATGTCATCCTGACGAGTGACTCGAACTCACGCTTCGCTTAAGCAAGCAGTCATGGAGGCGATAGATAGATGAGTGCTTCTTCTGCATGGTGTTGGGACTGCATTCTGTCTTCCCTTCTTTCTTTCCTCCCCTCTCCTTCGACACATCAACATCTTTACAGCAAAGACTTCCTCCAAGCCTCGAGCAATACTTCAAAATCAGCTCACTAGCAAGCCATCAGAGCACATATCACATCTGTGCAGAAGTCACGCGACCAATCACACAACCCTCCTTAAATGACCTACACATTCCCAACACGAGAGCCCTTTCGGCCATCAGAACTGGAACTCGACATGGTAGCTTTCATGACGGAAAAACTCAACATTACAAGTCCCTACCGACAGTGTCCCCCTTATGGTGTCCCATGCCCCTTTGGCTCAACTACACTACATCTCAGCGCTCGACGAGAGAAATGGTGGCAAATGTTAGAGGATCTCGCGTGGAAGGAGAGAGTAATGATGCAAGCATACGATGCAGAGCAACAACAAAAGCGAGAGAAAGACAAGGCCCAGACCGAGCAATGGATGCCTTGTGAGCAGAGGAAAGAGAGGAAGGATAGTTTGATACCGGCGGAGAAGGACGAGGTTGTTGGTACGAAAGGTGTTGCTGTGAAGGCAGAGGATGCTTCTGCTGCTTCGGCCGTTTACGATTCTGACGATGAGGATGCTCCCCCAGAGCAGATCGCTGGAGTCAGAACGAAGAAGCAAAGGATTACTGTCAAAGACAAAGATCAGGCACAGAAACATGAGCACAAAGTACGGCGGGTCAAACCTTTGGGCTGTTTACGCAGTCATGCGAGGAAAGGGTCTGGAGCAAGTACTTCCTCCACCAAAAGGTCTGCTTCTGGGTAGAGCCTAATCGACAGGCAGAGTTACAAGAACGAATACAACTAAACGAGTCGAAGAGCGCGGTACCCGACTGACTCTGTTGGCCATGGTACATTGAGCAGGCTCGGGGGGTCAGGGGGGGACTTGTGTATACCAGAACTTATGTAATAGACATGAACGAACGAGCTACAAGCAACATGTACATCAGATATGTTTCATGAGTGAGATGAGGTAATCATGGTAATATAACGTCGGAAGTGTCGGTAGAAGCCGAGGGCAGAGTCGGAGAAGAAGATGATGATGGCGGGATGGTTGATGATGCGGGTCTGAGCGTTTGAAGGTTGTCAAGTCTGGAGTCGGACGCGACACATGCAAGATCGGTTTGCATGCAGCAACACGTCCAACTCTGAATTCTTACAAAAACCTCTCCCTTCCACTCTTACTTAATCCCCGTTTACAGTCGCGCTTACAGGGTGCGATCATACTGGACATAGGAAATGGCCAAGAATAAGCAGCAACAGGAGAAGTCGGCCGTCTCGTTCGATGAGATGATCAAGGCAGGTGAGTAGCTCCGCAGCTCCATCAACACAAGTCGCAATTGACGTCGCATTCATAGATCGTCAAAAGCGCAAGGCCGAATCCCTTGCCCAGGAGATCTTTGGAAAGAAGCGTCGCCAGGGCGCTCCCCAGAATAACAGTAACAACAACGCCAACAGAAAGTCGCAAACGCCGGTTGGCGGAAGCCTGGCTAGTAGAGTCGGCATCACAAAGGCGCGTCGCACTTGGAGCAAGCTATGAACCGGACATGAACTGACCGTCTAGCAGCGTTCGTCGTCGGCCGCATCCATTCCAACCCTCGGCAAACAGCAACAGCAACAGAACCGTGGAAACCAAAAGAACCGCAACAACCCTCGTCAATCACTAGGAGGCGCAGACACAAGAAGAGATGCAGCATTCCAGACAGCAGCACAACAGGCCGTACCCGCCTCATTCAACATCAGGCCACGATCCTTTGCGAGTGTCGAGACCGAAATAACAATTCGTGGAGCCGCTGGTCCGTATTGCGTCGTCGCCAGCAACTTTGCGCCGGGAACAACTGCCGCCGACATTGAGAGCGTCATGGCTCCTGTCGGTGGTGACATGTCTGCTTGCAAGCTGGTCTCTTCCTCACCCACCGTCATCGCCGAGATGCTCTTCGTGGACAAGGCTGGCGCCGACAATGTTATCAACATGTTCAACGGCAAGAAGGTTGGTCTTTGATTCTGCGCTTGCTCAAGCCACACACTGACCCAGCATAGGCCGATGGAAGGATCTTGTACGTCTACCTTAAGGAGGGAGGCCCATCACAATCAATCCGCCCTGCCACGCCGCGCATCGCTTCTCCTGTCATCATGACCCAGCCCGAACCTGTTCAAGGACAGGGAACTGAAGACGTCATGGAGGTCGAACAAGCATTCCCCACAGAACCTAGCCCTCTGCCAACTCAAGAGCCACCAACCCAGCCCGCATACAACAACTCACGATCTCGCGATGGTAGAGCTTCCTACCGCGAAGACTACGATCGCGGCGGCAATCGTCACGCCGAATCAAACTATCAAGATGGAAGATATGGTTTCAACGAGCAACGCTATAACGAGCCGCGCTATGATGATCGCCGTCCCAGATACCGTGATGAAGGCCGTATGTACTCAGATGATGTGATGCGTGGAGGCTCTAGAAGAGGTGGAGGAGGCCGTGGTGGTGGTCGCTACCGAGGATAGGTTCCTGACTATGACAACAGCGGATAGGATCCAGATTACGACACGAGAACCGTGACGATTCGTACTTACTACTAGCGGCTGACACCAAGCTTGCCCCTCTCCGAGCATTGGGCTATGGAAGAGAAGCGCTCTTCAACTCTGCTTTCTGCATATAATATCCAAGTATCACTTATCTTCGTCATGAACCTGGAGTGCCATTATCCGAAGACAGAGGAGAACAAACCAATTCTCCTCGTTGATCATTGATTATGGCGAGGCCTCAGTTCATGCAATCATTACAGCGTTTCTTCCTTTCTAAAATGTATCACCATCGCAGACCGATTGAAATCGCATCTAACTCTTCTTACGTCAAACACTCGATATACTAGATTTACTTGAAGTGGTCTCATAAGCGTCATATAGGCGGCATCCATATGTGTTGGACATGGTCACTTCCTCTCCTGACATCACACAAGGCAGGAACAAGCTGTAACAGGGCACAGTCGAGTTCTGAAACGGAAGAGCCCGCGGGTACGGCAGATAGCCTTCGAGACTGCATTCCTCAGTAAATATGATTACTATGCCTTGAGACAGCTTTAAGCGTGGAGATTGCATCTTCAGGAAATGAATCGAGTCTTTACCCGATGTACCTGTCAAAAGCAGCCTCATGACATGTGAAAGCGCCAGCGCTTGGACCATGAGTTCACGATCATCAATGCGGTCAACCTGGAACCCTGGAACCCTTTCAATCACCATCACCATCTTTCTACCAAACACTTCCAAACTGTCGCAAACTCCAGGACGTGGTCGCACACACCCATCACACAATCAACATGGAACAGCAATGGACAGAAGAACAATACGAAGCGGCCCTAGCAAAACTGGAAGCCCTCACCGACCAAGTACACCCCCTCTGCTCTTACTCCCTCACGCTCACAAACAGCACAGCTGACCAGCGCAAAACAGCTAACAGCACTACGCACAACCATCCCCGCCATCATCTCCCCTCTCACACGACCCGCAACCTCGAAACCCGCTGCATTTGCTGGATTAAAGAAAGCTGCCACTGGAGCTGTGATTGGAGTCCAGGATCTGAGGAGAGAATGGCTGAGTGATGGTGTGCAGGAGATTCTGAAGAGAGGGAGGGAGAGTTATGAGAAAGACGGGGATTTGGGAAAGGCTGCCGAGGTGCCGGTTTGGGGTTGGGTGAAGGAGAAAGATGAGGAAGAGCAAGGTGAGGTCAAGAAGGAGAGTGATGTTGCTGGATGAAGTACGGTCTTGCCCATGATGCTGGTGAACGTTGTTGCTCGGGTCTCTGCTTGTGGCCTTGGGTGCTTCTTCTGCTGGACAGACGACCCACGCTTCCGACGACCGCGCAGATTGACCATTGCTCGTTTGCCTGGCTTCTTGCAACATCACTCCGCGAAGGCCTGGCGTCATTTTCTGCTGACATGTCACTTCCTCTGGACCGCCGCCTTCTGATCCCGATCTCGTACCGCTCTTCGATCACGCTGGATGTAGACCAACGCTGCATCACCTCCACCCTGACACATCCATCTAGGCGCTCTTAGACTCTGTCACAGTCAAACACAGATCGCTGTCTTACGCTCCTACCCTGGCTGAAATCCCGGTGTCTTCCACTGATTCGATGAACAATAGTATCATCGAAGAGGATTCTATGCCTTTCTGGCGTGTTTCGAAGGAAAGCAATTCTCGGTCTCTCGGATCTCCTTTGCACGACTAGAGATCTCCGCAGTGTCGATCTCGCAGGACTTTCCTCTGGGCGTGCGGGTGGAAGTCTTTTGTCCATACCATTCAGCTCTGTCCACCTCGGGCATCTAGGCGGAAGCTCTCTTGCATGCAGGCTTCTATCTTCCAGGCTCTGCCCATCGCAAGACCAATGCACACGCGAGCAAGACCGTGCTCTAGGATTTTATGGTCTTCTTGAAGACCGATGCCCTGTAGACATGGGCATATGCTGGGATCCAGTATATTCTTCTCTCTCACAACCAGAAGGATATACAGCAGCGAAGCAGTCTTTACACATTTCCGAAACTTGACAAAGACTTGGCTTGGACGGAGGAAGGTCACAAGACCTTATATACTGCTCTCTATCCGACTTCATACCTCCTCTTACCTACTAGAATCTTTTGTGTTCTCTGGTCGATTCCAATGCCTGATCAACTCTCTTTTTCGAGTTGGATTTGGGGGGGGGGGGGGGGGGTGTTTGGCTGAGTCTCAATCTCTGTGACGTTCGACCATGAAGCTCTTGAGGTTTGTCAGTTTATATGGTATGGAAGGAGCTCCTCTCTAATCGCTAGTGCTCCCTCCCTTTTTTCAATCCCTCCAAATATCAATCATTAAATCGAAGCACGGCTTTAACGTTCCCCCCTACCACGCCTTTCCAAATCTTGACACAATCATCCACCACCAAAACACAACTTCCTTCCACCTCAACATAAAAAATCACACTCCTCTTTTGATATAGAGTGCTTCACACGGCAAAAAGGAGAAGGTTAGGAAGATGAGATGGGCGGCAAAAGAAAAAGCCCAACGTGGGGCTCGAACCCACAGCCTCAAGATATCAGGGTAGAAGTCTTGCGCGCTACCATTGCGCCAGCCGGGCTGGTCTGATAGAGACTATTCTCAATTAACATTGTATAATGAGTTATGATTGTGATGACACGATAGATGGCAAGAGTCGTGACTAGAGTGGATATGCAAGGACTGTGCGAAATGAATAGGGTTTGGTGTATGAGATGAGAATAAAGACATAGAGACTCTTGCAGGAGATCAAAGTAGTGGGGAGTGTTTTCAGGTATAGACAAGTATGCGAAGGAGTCAACGGGGAAAGGGCGTGCGTGGTAATCAAAGGCGGATATATATAACCTACAATGACAGAGTGAGCAGCAGTAGACCAGACTCAATGTTCACGGAAATAACTCGACAAACGTCCAACATGAGCTTGCTATCGCCCCCCTAAGAGATCCTCAACCCGACACAGACCATAATCACAATATGTTGTCGAGAGAAATGATGTCTTTGAACCCATCCCAGATTGAGTCTGTCAGACCAAGCTAGCTACGAAAAGAATATTGTACCAAAGTCGAAAAAGGTGGTTGGGAATCTACGTTCCTGCCACGCAGGATGTGAGCATGACGAGAACTTTGCTCGTTTCGACGATGGTGGAGAGTTAGACGAAGATGAGTGAATTGTCTCCAGGAGTGGGAGGGATGTAAGCTGTGAAGGTCGCCTATACTTAATCGAGTACATAAGAGATACTCCAGACAAGACAGCTCCGACATCGAAATGATCAAAGACCCGAGTGAACACATTCTCGTAAGAGCAGGATCCTCTCTCCTCCAAGAAGGAAGAATTATAGAATACCCAATTAGAGCAGACCAACAAGATGAGGACCGGGGGGGGGGGGGGGGGGGGGTTGGAAAGTAGTGTTCGTTACAGCCGCTTCACTAGAAGACACATCACAAAAGACAACCAAACACACAAAAGTAGAACACGGAGATATTTCTTGATTGCACAAAAGCCTAAAAAAACACCGGTCTGGAAAGAAAATGCTCCCAAAACATGGCAAACCCGAGAGAAAAACAATAAAGAAAGGAAAGGAGACAACACCCATTAACACCGTCCTTTTTGTACAGAGAAAAAGCGACAACCTCTTCTCAGTCTTTCTCTCTTCGATCCGCCCTTGATCTGCATATCTGTCGCGAGTAAAGAGCAAGAAGTGGAAAATAGCCAGGCGACAGAAACGGTCTCGATCTGGTTCTGTGTTTTCCAGAAATAAAGTGGGAAAATGCGGAAAAGGGTTTTCGATAAAAACAGAAGAAGCTCTTTTGGGGTATCTCTCTCTCTCGACTGGGTGCACGTCGGAAAAAAACTCGTACATACGCAACAATCCACCCCCGCCACCAACTTTTTCTTCTTCTTCTTCTCTTTGTTGCGATAATAGGGCTCCATGTCTTTTTGTTCTCCGCATTCCTGGGATCGTCGTGGAGTGTGGCAGATAACAGCTCCTTTTTGGCTTTTATCATTGACGACACAACGCATATGCAAAAAAGGGAGGCATCTTTTTGAAGAAAGGACGAGAAAAAAGGAATTTTTGGACATTAGAAGAAGATGGACGACATTAATCAGACTCTCGCTCATGCGTCTGTGGATGATGCGGCCTCATCAATAGAAGGGATGGCCTTTGACACTGAGGGTGATCCAGCGTTGGAAGGGGGAGATGCTTCATCAGCACCGACGTCTTCCTGATTCTCAAGGGCGGCAAGTGCACTGCGGATGTGGTTAGCTATGATCAAGGATGATTAAGCACAGAAGGTTACTCACCTGAAAGCGTTGACGTGTGTCGTCTCCTCCTTCTTTTGTTGCGAGGGTGTGCCTGCTCTTGATGTAGGACCAGAGCCCTCGCCATCTCTAGGAGGACCAAGACCCTTGCGACCACTACCGCTGCGCGAGCTGCTAAACAGCGAGCTGGGGCCGAGTTGGGGACCAAGACCAGCACTGGCTTGACGTTGCGAACCACGGGCTTGCAGGCGACGCAGATCGTCCATACCGACCTGGTTGCGAGGGTAATCCGGTGGGGGCATACCGCCATGCCCAGAGAAGGAGCGAGCATCACCACGGCCCATGGGGGCACGACCATGGCCACCGCGGTTGCTGTTGTTTCTCTGCCTCTCGACTTCGGCAGCAGCCTGTGCAGCCTCGGCCTCGGCGTGAATTTCCTCGATGGTCTTGGGACCCTTGTCGTTGTCCTTCGATCTCCAGTTGTTCTTTCTGAGATCGATGATGTCCTAGAATGTGTTAGCAAAGGTCATATATTGTTCAAGAGTTAACATCATACCATAAGCATGAATCTCGATCTGCTGGGCATGTCCTTGTGTTGGTCAAGAATGCTTGCAACGCGGTCGTAGTAGACGTTGACAAGCTGGTGTCCTTGCTCAGTGCTGTCCATAGTAGCACCAACAGCCTTGAGAAGCTTGGACAAATTCTCGACGGCTGACTCGTCGGGCTGGCCCTCAAAGTTCAACAATCTCAAAACACACTGGTGCATAATCTTGACTGTAAGCATGCCGAGCTTGTAAAGCTCACCGATGAACTGGATAAGACCAAGACCCTTTCTCTTGGCAGCGGCAGCAATGTAGTATTCGTCGGACAAAAGAGTAGCCTCCTTGCCTTCGGGCATGGGAGGAAGGTTGGCCTCCCAACCACGCTCGAACTCTTCTTGACAGCGATTAAGCAAGTACTTTCTGAAGAGACCACCACCAACAACGGGCTGACCGCTTCTGTCGCGGATTGTCTCGTCAACAATTTCGTTGCTCATGCTAGTCAACATCTTAGAACAGAACTTAGCGTAAGTACCAGCCCAGTGAGCCTCGTCACAAGCCTTCTCGAAAGTAAGCTGAATGACTTGGCGCAATGTGCGGCCGTCAGTCTCCTTCTTCGATTGGTTGGCAATCTCGATGATCTGATCTGAGATCTTCTCAAAGTTCTCGGGAGTCATCTTGTTCAAAGCAGCCTTGACCTTACGCTGGACCATGTCCGGAGGCATCTGGCCATCAACAGGTGCCGCAGAGGCGGATGGAGGTGCGCCAATACTGCGAGCAGTCCAACCACTTTGGGACTTCTCGAGGGGCTTGAGGTCCATACCAGCAGTGAGAGGCATGTTCTTGGCAGCGTTGGCATCCTCTCTGTCGTGGTGACGGGAGGGGTTACCACGCTTGCTGCCACCTCCTCTGCGCGAAGTATTAGTTCTAGGCGAGCCAGGGCCACCCATGCCAGCCATGGTCTGAAGAGAGTTGGTACGGCTGAGAGAGCCCTGGCCGGGGAAAGCACCGCCACGTCCCATGCCCATAGGGCCACCTCTTCCAGAGGAGGCGTTGAAGCGATCGGCAGAAGTAGTGCCGGCGGGGAGGGTACGGGTGTTGCCACTGGCGAAGGCGCCCATGGCGCTGAACTGGCTAGGACCTCTGTTAGAGGGTTGGCGGCCACCCATGCTGGCACCACCACGGCTGTTCTGGCGACCGGAGCTGTCGCCCTCACCAAGGGTCTCCTTGACTCTGAGGTCCCAGTCAACAGTGGGCTTCTCCTTGAAGACGCTCTGGAATTGGAGCAAGAAGTCCATGTCATACTCCTTGCCAACACGCTTGCCAGTCTGGTTGAGTGCTGGGTTGGGGGACTTGAAGCCGTCGGGGTAGCTGAACTGGTCGTTCTTGATCTCGAGGAAACGGGCAGACTTGAGCGACTGCATACCAGCAGTGGGTTGTGCGGGCTCGATGTTCTTGGTTGTGTCGAGCTTGAGGTTGGCGGGCTTGGACTTTGCGGGAGCGGCCTCTGCGGCTTCTGCGGGTGCGGAAGTCTCTTCGGTAGCACCAGGACCAAGGGTGGGCTTCTTGAGCGAAGCAAAGAGCTTTGCGTCCTCGGCTTTCTGCTCGTCGGTCTTCTCAGCAGAAGCTTCGCCCTCGCGCTCCTTCTCCTTCTTGAGCTCGAGCTCTTCAGCCTCGCGCTCCAGACGCTTCATCTCCTCGTCAGCCTTGTCAGCGGCTTCCTTGTCCTTTGCGGCCTGAGCCTCCTTCTCCTTGTTTCTCTTCTCTTGGAAGGCGCGCTCACGCTCATCCTCAAGACGCTCGGCCTCCTCCATCTCGGCGATCTCGCGCTCGATGCGCTCGTCTTCTTCACGCTTGAGACGGGCGGCCTCATCCTCGTCGGACTGGGCCTTGTCAGCAGCGTCCTTAGCGGTTGCCTCCTCGGCGGCCTTCTTGTCGGCCTCTTCCTTGTCCTTTGCAGCCTTGGAGTCGGCCTCCTCTTGCTCTTTCTTGGCCTTGGCTTCGGCTTCCTCCTTTTCTTGAGCAGCCTTCTTCTCAGCATCTGCCTTGTCTTGAGCGATTTTCTTCTCGGCGTCCTCCTTGTCTTGAGCAGCCTTCTTCTCAGCATCGTCCTTGTCTTGGGTAGCCTTCTTATCGGCATCTTCCTTGTCCTGGACGGCCTTCTTCTCAGCCTCTTCCTTGGCGCGCTGAGCCTCGAGCTGACGCTTGACTTGCTCTTGGAATGCAGACTTGGTCTCAGCATCAGTCTTCGTGCTCTTGCTCTCAGTACGGATGTGCTGTACGCTGGGAGTGCGAGGAGGAGGTGTGGGTGCGGAGGAGACAATGGCAGGCGATTGAGGAGCGGGCGATGGCTTCTTGTCGAAAGAAATCTCCTCACCCTTGTCGTTCTTGATCACAATAGCCTTGCTCTTAGTCTTGGTAGGAATCTGGAAGTTGGAGGCGGTGGGAGTGGGAGTTCCAGGAGCGGGAGAAGGCTGGGGAGCACCAGAGGCGGGAGCGGCAGATTGACCAACGCTCGAGCTGGGTCTCTCTGAGATCTGGGAGCCGCTGCGAGACATGGGGTTGTGGTAAGGGGCGTTCATGTGAGCGGGAGGGCCACCGTAGCTGGCAGGGTAGGGGTTGTTGGGACGGGGGCTGGGAGGAGCGCCTTGCTGGTACTGGCCCTGAGGATAGAAGGGCTGGTAGTAACCGCCGTAAGCGTCGTAAGGAGGCTGCATGCCATACAAGGCTTGCTGCTGAGGGTTGAGGTGCTGTTGAGGGTAAGGGTGCATCTGAGGCTGGTGTTGCATACCCTGGGGCATGAAAGGCTGTGCGTGCATCATAGCGGGACTGCCGTTTCTGCCACGGTAGGCACCGCCAGGAGAGCCAGCCAGGTTTGCGCCGGGCTGGAATTGAGCAGCCTGGGGTGGCATGTTGGGAGGACCGCGACCTTGGTAAGGCAGTGGGCGATGGCTCTGGGCGGGCGAGTGTGGGTTGTAGTTGCCGGGAGTGAAACCGCCGCGACCACGGCCATTGCCGGGCACGAAGTTAGCGCGCATACCGGCGTCGCTGTGTTGTGACTGCTGCGAAGGACGGCGCATGTGGAGAGGCTGACTGGAGGGAGTCAGAGGAGCGGCGGAGTTCTGTACGACGTGGGTCAGCTGCGGTGCTACGTGGACTTTGATCGTGTCTGGACCGACTTCAGCGTTCTCGGCGCCGAAGCTGCCGAAGTTGGGGGCATTGTTCTGGCCGGGGAGATTGGCCGGAGGCTTGCCACCACTGGCGGCGGGCTGAGGAATGGGCGACGGCGAGTGCGAGGGCGAGATGATGTTGGGGTTTGCGGCAGCGAGATTGGGGGTGGTCTGCTGGGCAGGAACGCTGGTCGCAATGGCGGGCGAGCCGGTGGGGCCATTCATGGAGCCGAAGTTGATGTTTGGCCTCGAGCTCTGCGTCTGAGGACCGCCGTTGGGCATCTGGCCAGTGGTGCCAGAGGCGCTAATGATGACCGAGGGCTTTCTGCCATGTTCGCCATTCTGCATGTTGGATGGTTTGTTGGACGACGACGTGGCGGAGGCGTTGGTCTTTACTTTGCTTGCATTCTGCGACTGCTGGGCGGCCGATGGTTTGTTGGCGATACTGGCGTATGAAAGCTGCGCCGGCACAGCTTTTTGCTGTGTGGATTGAGCTGCCTGGGGCTGGTTTTGCGCAGCGGATGGGTTTTCGCTGGTCATTAGACTGGCGGTGTTTGACTATACAGTCGAGGGTGATGGAGGTCAACGACGAAGGTTGTTGGAGATTTTGCCTGGCTCCCGTAAATTCGACGGGGGACGTGCGCCGCGGGAGAAAAGACGCGCTATCAACTGATTCTCTGTCTCGTTCACAAAATGCTTGCGATGCCCTTGGGAAATGCACGCTGTCTTCGTCGGATGAAATAAAGACTCTCACACGTCTATGGGTGACGATCAAGTATTAGCCCTGGAATCTGACCCCGTCTTGAGAAATGCGTTTGTCGCTTCGGGTTGGGAAAAGCCTCACTAGGTTTTCCGCACACGACACTACTTAGCGAAAAGCAGTCGTTTGATGCTGATGATTGGGGTATGGAGAAGACTGCAATGCCTCTTCTTTCAAAGATTCGATTTCGAGTAGCGTATCAAGTATTGCCCGAGTGCGAAGATGAGACTATCAGAACAAAGGAATGCTTCTGGATATCTATCGAGGTTACTGCCTCCGCCAATAGCTTGGAGTGACTCCGCGAATTCAATTCACCTCACTTTTCACCCCATCCAACCAGTCAGCATCATCCTTGGCTCTCTCCCGTAGCTACTCCACGTTGTCGGACTGGTGAACACTGGGAGTGACCAGTCATCGAAAGTCTCTTCTCATTCGCCGCTTCCGCCGACTTGACTCTTCTGGTCCTACAGAGATGGCAAATACGTCTGTCGCTGCATGCCGCCGTCATCGATTGCATCTATCAAAAAATTCATCATATCTGGCTGTGACGAATCAGCTGCAAGGACAGAAATCTTGCATCTATTGTGGCTGTTGACAACGGCCTGTCGAACGTGGCAACTGAAAATCATCTCAAAGAATCTTGAGATTGTGCATTGAACGATTGTGATACTCTCCTCTATAGTTGATAGTTGCAGCTGTAGTCATTGCATCGTAGAGCTACTTTTTACCTATTGCTCGTCTTCTATGTCCTGGGAGTGATCAAGTACGATGAGATCGATGTTGCGATTTGCGTTCTGTTCAGGCACAAGCAAGATTTCGGTTGTTGACTCTGATCGTTGATTTTCATGTGATCGTCCAGAACGCAGTCGCGCTCGAACGTCCTGCCATTTTGATTCGCTGTTGAGCATCACTGTATATTGACTCTCATCCAGCAATATTCGGTTCATGATATCGTATAACAGAACCCGGACAATTGTGGGCTGGTTCTTCCAATGACAATGGTTCTCGGATCAACGTCGTCTGGCTTTTGTTGACATCGGTCATTTCCACCTGATGCACGCTTGTCCGCGGAAGCTTGCATGTCAAACAGCTGTTCGTCAAACGGTCGTTTGGTGTGACCCTCCCACAACTGAGCGTGTTTGACAGCCCGCGTCCCATGTGCTCATCTGCTCATCGCCGTAGTGGACCTGGTGAGGGAGACGATTCCAGGACCTGCAAAACATAGATCCCTTCCGGCTCATGATCCTTTGGTATGGCGTGCAGGATGCTCGGTCGCGGCTTGGACGCTGACGATTGTCGACTTCTTGGACGGAGAGACGAGCCACCACCAGCCTAGAATATCGCATGCAGGGACATCCTCGCCGTCGCGCAGTCCAGGGCATTATTGCAGAGGCCTACCAGCACAGACATGCGCCGGAGCTGTGAAATGTCTACACTCGACATTTCACCTGGACTACCAGTCGAAAGCAAGGAGCACGTGCTATCATCCCATCTCTCGCCCTAATATCCATGCTCTAACAATCTTGTACCCTTTTCGCCGCCTTCCGAACAAAATTACCAAAACACTGCAATTTCGGCATAGGCTTAGAGGATCATTGAGAGTCCAGAGACGGGAGAAAGAGACGCTGCAACCACATCCACCCACAGACCGCATGTTCAGGCAAGACACAGCAAAACGCACCACGGGTCTTCAACGCACAGATGTTAGGCCTCCAATTCCAGAAATCGCAATTCTAGCACGCTCGAGCAATGTTTTCTCAGCTGACGCCTCATCCAGATCGCACTGTCAACATCGCTTGCGTACCGTAGATGGCGAGTTAGAGGAACGCCTGGAGCAGTGTCTGGTTCTGGTGTAACCTGCCCTGCCGCCGTTGCTGTCCGAGCGTAATTCGACGACAAGTCGTTCTGCCGCCACGGCAAACAGCTCATCTTGTCGTCCTGTCTGCTTTGCGCTGTTTTCCGTCTTTGCCCATAGCTTCTGTGCGCATAGACAGCAAACGGAGCTGCGATTCAGGTCAGGGCTGACTGGTAAAGTTTCTTCTTTTGCTTGCTCTCAGCGACTCAAGGCAAGCAACACGATGTGGTAGGTTTGCTGGTTACTCTCCCGCCCTGATCTCCCGATATACAGACACGCAACGCCCGCGTGCCCGCGTGACTTGTTGACATTCTGGTTTCGTTCTCGGAACAGTTTACGCCGGGCCTTAGCTATCTTACAGACCCGTGGGCCGTAAAGCATCTAGCCAAGACTAATGACACCCAATATAGCAACAGCAAGAGCGAAGAGTCGAAATGGTAGGTCGAGATCGAATTACAAACTCTCGCCATGTGATTTGCTACCTGAGTGAGTCTTCCCAGATAGCAACCACGGGATTTGGCTCAAGCATAGATTGGACAATCGGGATCTGGAAGGAGGAGCAAGTTTAAGAGAAGCTTGAATCATGGAATCGCTCACCTGGGATCAGCACTCGATTCGTAAGACATCTTTTCGATTGCAGGTGTCAGAGGCACGTGTTCGCTGTCATTTCGTCAGTGTTAGTGAGCCATCGGCTGTGATTGCTATTCGAGGACTCTGGCTCCTGCCTTAGGCCAAGTTTCTTCCAGCCGTCTCACTGACTCTCCGTGCCCTGACCGGTCAACCACAAGTAGGCAAACTTTCGACAGTCCGCGAAAGCTTAAGCCGCATAACGGAGCTGTAGGATCAGATCACGGTAAGGAAGATCCAGCCTATTCCACTACTTCGGACAATACCATTGTTTATGCGGAATTGAGCCACGCATACTTTTTGCGTTCCTCTTCGACTCGTGGCCGTCTACATCGGTGGGTCGGTCTAATCGGCACACTTACACGGTGCTTACGGGCCGCGCAAAGGGTGCACGCACGCCGGGCACACACACGCAAACACACACACACACAGTCCGGCCAAGGAAAGAGAAGCAAAAAAGTATCCATGCAGCACCCATGCAGATATGCCCACACCCCAAACTCAAAGCAAAGGCAGATCAGGAGCTGGCCCCTCCCTTTTTCGAGACGCGTGCCGAACCAAGCAACACACCGGGGCGCCCCACCTCGGGCTCCAAGACTTGATCCTGCCTCATCCCTCATCGGCGAGTTCCCTTCGCCCCTGCACCTTGTCCACAATGTCTCAAAGCTCTCGCCTCCGGGGGAGTGGTAGCAGCAAGTAGTCCACAGGTGCCACGGCAGGGTAGACGAAAACATGAGACCCACGTTTTCTTTGCTTGCTTCTGTGCAAATCACAGTCGATGTCTTGGAATCCATGCTTTCTGGTCTCTGCTCTTTCACTAAAAGTGGTACTGTGAGCGACATGGCAATACCCAGTGTCCATGCACCAAAAAGTCGAAGCAAGAAAGCTGTCATCAAACGGCTATCAAGTACGGCAAAAGTGCACAAAGAGGACTACAGTCATCAGGAAGTCGAAGGAGGACTTCAGTGCGCTGCACACACTTAACTCTTCTCTGACCCACACCCTTCGCGATCCACCCTACCCATGTTGCATTCCCAAAACCTTGCTACTCCTCACCACAAAAGCCACTCTCCCGAACTCCCCCTTCTTTCGGGTGGAAATAGTTGGCATCAAAAAGATCACCAGAAACCTGAAATGTCTTGATCCTTTTTCTATCTTTCCCAAGTCTTTGGGTCTGGTTATATGCACATTCGCTTAATCTCAGACATTTTCACTTTGAGAGTCTTTCATTCTCTCTTTTTTTTGTAGATCTTCTGTGTTCAATGAAGGGCTGCTTACGTGGGTTTTAATATGAGGTAGACCGAAAAGGTAAAATAGTACCCCTTGGTGCTTTTCTTGTGAGTCAAGATCACGAGGGGTCTGTATGTGTTGCAGATTTCCAGGGTTGAGGGAGGCATGCATGTGAGGTTCTGGCTTTCACCGGCCTCTTCCCTGATCGGGGGAGGAGGAAGAAGATGCCTCGCTGCTTTTGGTCACGGCAGTTGTGATTTTTGGGAGTGTGCTTGCTTGTTTAGAAATTGAGGTTTAATTTGATAGGTCCAATGTTCGAGGAGAATCGGCGGAACTGTGATAGGTGGGAAGTCGGTGTTTTTTTTATTTTCTTTTTGGGAGACAACCCAGAGGGGGAGGTACGACTAAGGCGAGATAGTCCTTGTATCAGCAAGTTGTGTAGGAGGGATATGGGATAGCTCGTAGGAGCAACACTTTACCTATGCAGAGTGAAGAACTCGAACGTCTGTATATGTACATTTGCATCGCTATATTCAAAGATAAAAGTCCACAATCATTTCGATCTACCCAGCCCCATCTGCTCCTCCCGATGCCAAATTGATGCTTATGTCCAAAGCGAAAATGCCAGATTGATGAAATACCAAGTAGCATGTACATGAACGTGAAGGCGAAATGATACGATGGAGTAATAAACATTTGAGTTTTGATTTGAACCCTTCTCTACCGCTCTACGGTAATATGGAGAAGATGCTCAAGAGGAAATATACAGCGCGACACCTCTCCCTTCTTTTCTATGTACGAAAGGTTGGTCTGCGAAAGAATTGAAGATTTGACAAGATTTGAACACACACAAAAATGCGTTATGGGAGTATCCGCTAAAGGAACAAGAGAAAATTGACACAAAAGGAGACGGAGAGGATGATGTAGACAGGTGGTTCTTCCGATTCGTGCGAATCGGGCTGGAGCAAACTTTTCGTGCAGTTGGAGTGGCTCCTTCTTGGTGGGAACGTTCCTCTAATAAGATGATGTGATGGGCACGCCACCATCGCTGTGGTCGGCTTCAGACTCATTGCTGCGTTGTCCTGCGTATGTAGGTCGCTGAGCTGCGCCAGGTGCCACAGGAGCAGCAGATTGCTGCGCTTGGCTGGGTTGAGACTGCGATTGTTGCTCGGGACGTTGCATATAAGGACCCGAGTATGAGGCGGAAGGCGGAGGAGCGAATTGATTACCAAAGTTGGCGTAGTGGGGCATTTGAGGAGTAGAGTAAGGAGTTGGGTTGTGGTATTGCTGATATTCAGGGAACGAAGATGGGTGTTGGCTGAGCACTTGTTGGCTGTCTCTGTGGTATGCGTTGATCATGTCGATGCTTGGAGCGCCGCTGGTTGGTGCCTGGGCTGGGCGCACAGTTGATTGGTAGCTTGGAAAGCCGTCTGGCAACTATATTAGCAAGAGCATTGGGACTGCAGGCGCACACTGAACTTACAAGGTGGAAGACCCAAGCCATATGGTCCGCTTGGCGGAGGCATGTTTCGCTGCGCATCTTGTTGCGAAATGTATCCCTGGCCTTCAGAAGATTGCAAACCGGGTGTTCTCGCCTCGGAGGGGTGTTGCGAGCTTTCGCCACTCAAACTGCCATAAGACATGCTGGATCTCAATGGAGATGAGGTGGCAGTCTCTCCGCTTGCGCGTCTGAAACGGTCGTGTACGGGGAGACGAGGCGGCTGAGAGTATTGGCTGGTGTATGACGGAGGAGGTCCAGGGAACATGGCCCTCTGAGGACTGTCCAGGTTCGGTCGAGGGGTATATCCGTAAGCCGCGCCTTCAGGTGGTCTCGAAACGGGAGACATCGTGTCTGTTGCCGAATGTGGTGGAGTATATGCCATGGAAGTCATGCCGGGAGGGACTCCAGTAGGGCTGATGTAGTTGGGTCCCAAATCTCCCCGGCGAAGTGTGTCGAGGGTCAAGGGGCGAATGTGGCCAGGTTGGTGAAGGGCTGTACCGTAGCTAGCAGGTGATGCGCCAGGTGTGATACCTCCAGGAGCTGCGCCATAGTTGCTATGAAGACTGGGAGTCATGTCGAAGTTGTCCGGCAGGGCTCTTGATTTCATCATCCTCTCGCGATCCTCAGCTGTCAAACGCTTCAGCTTCGCACGTCTGTACTACAGTCAGTTCGCGTATCCATTCGATTGGTTTCTGTTCAGCTCACCTGTTTTGGAACCAGACCTGCACCTGCCTTGGGCTCAAGCCAGGAATCTCTCTTGAGAGCCTCTCGCGATGCGCAGCATCGGGATGAGCTTGACGACTGAATTCACTCATCAGGAATCTCGTTTGGTTGTGAGTGAGCCTGTAGTCGTATTAGTCTCATGTATTGTGGCTGGTAATCTCGAATAAGCCATACCTGAACCGCTTCATCTTGCGCTTTTGGTTTCTCAGCTCTGCCGCTGTCATTGGAGGCTTATTCTCGCCATCGTCGGCATCTCCGCTCGCGTCTTGGTCATCATCATCCGCAATCTCATCATCAGGGTCCAGTCCTTGTGAGTGAGGGCTCAAGTGCGATGACGGACTGCCAGGTAATGACTCGCCCAGAGTTTGTGATCCAAGTCCGGCACTGGATTGAGTCTTTCCCTCCGATGATGCGTGCTGTGTGTATGAGCTTGGGGCAGTACCACCAGCAGAATATTGAGCGTTGAGGGGGTATGGTGAAGTCTTGTACGACCTCAATGAAGGACCTTGAGGTGCACTCAATACATGACTGTTCGCCACAGGCTCTTGAGGTGCCTGGTATTGACCCGTTGCATACCCATGCCCGAAGGACGGATGGTGATCTTGATGCGTTTGCCAACCAGGGAGTGCTGGCTTGTAGTCTTGACCAGACATGCGAGGAGAGCTCGGTGGTGACAGGGGCCCAATGATCTTTCCTTGAAGCATTTGATTGCAGGTGTCTGTGTAAGGCGATCAGGTTACGATACCTGTGTTGATGTCGCGTAGATTGGTTGACGAGAGCCGCGAGGACAGACCGGAAAGCTACCGTCGTTTGTGGAGCTCGACAGAATTGCTGAAATGATTCCGAGACTTCGGAAAGATAACTGCAGTGAAGTCCAGCGGTGGCCGAGCAGATCCTTGGAAGGTTGACAAATTAATTCGATGTAGAGGATTGGGGCCAGAGGTGAGAAGCGCAAGGTTGATGAAGCAATAAGGGTACCGCGGGTGTGGCCCACTGTAGCTCGAAGCTGCCACGAAGTTGGTTGTGGGGATGACGAGAGTCGACACGAAGGAACGATCGCTCAATATCAAAGTAGTATCAAGTAGACGCGCGATCTTTGTTGGAACTGCACGCAAAGATGACGCGCAACTTCTGAATAAAGAGTGTTGTATGGATAGAGTGTAGCAAAACACTGACCAGCTAACGACTGTGGGAGGTACTGTACTGTAGGACAGAGAAAGTTGCGGCAAGGCCGAGAAGATCAAGGCAGTGGGCCGGTTGGTCTGGTCGACAGTTCGGCGGAGCTATGCTCACCGCACGGGGGATGTCAAGAAGGTTTAAACGAAGGGAGATGAGGCTAATAGATTAGCAGTTGCGCAAGCACAAGACTTGACTCGGGCAAGCAAGTGAGGATCTCGAAAGGAAGAGACAATCAGATGATGGACGACTCAAGGCTCTGAATGTGGGACGTCAGCAGCTGTTGCAAAAAACCAATTTGGTAGCCGATGTTGCAAAGAAGGTGGTATCCAGCCTCTTGATACTCGGAAGTCCCAAGTACCATAAGGGTGGCTGCAGGATGGGAAAGATGGTCGAGTCAGGGTGAGAAGTTTACACGGTAACTTCATCAGAGTGATCGCACGGGGATGAGGGCAGCGATGGCCATGTCAACATCAACATGTCAAGGATTCAAGCTCACCTGCTTGCTTCTGCACGGTGCGTCTCGGCAGCCAATGCTCGTCCTAGTGTCTGTGTGGATTCGACTAAGGGTCCACAGCCAATGGTAGGAATACGGATTGGCGTGTACCTCGGATGAAAGCCTCAGGTGGGAATATCCAGCATGTAAATAGCCTTGCGAATGGTGAAGCGTGCGGAGATTTATTCCACCTGTTGCAGTTGACCAAAAGCCCTGGACGTGCACTAGCAAGATGCCCGGGAAACTTTATGCGCTGTGCAGAGCATTTTCCGAGATGGCAGGAACACATGTGGTAACTGCCGATGAGGTGAATCGAGGTTGTGGTAGTGGGACCGGACCCTGTCAGGATGATTCCCACGTTCACCGCTAATGGTTGGCTGCAGATACAAGCCGCTACCACTCACGGATGAGGCGCTTGGATGGCGCATGGTTGCGGGGGTGGTGGGACTAGTCGTCAAGTGACATGTGTGCTTGTCCTGCCGCCAACAGGTGCACGGAGGTGGACGTCGCATGCCCTCTGTTCTTTCAATAGTGTCCTGCAGCCACGATGGTTCGCAGCAGTCATTTGAGCGACCGCGAATCTCCTGCGAAACACCTACAAAATACTGGACTCTCTACTGTGATGCGGCCCAAGATGTTCGGTTAGAAAGAAGCCCAAACACGCGTAATTCGAAGAGGGACATTGCTCCTGCTTGACACCCACCTTTTCGAAGGCCTTCATCTCGTCTAATGAGTCCCCCCGCTGTGGTCTGACGCTGTCTGAAGCTTAGACTTGGCTTCTTCGGCTCTTCCCTGAAGTGTGCATGAAGGCCGACCTGGCCTGGCTCGACCAATCCGAAGCGCTGTTTTTGAAGCATTTCCAGAAGATCGATCAACCGTTTTTCACACGACTTCTTCTTGCGGGCCGCTCCGGGCGTGGCAGGTTGGCACTTCTCGTTTGTCGCAGCTGTCAAGCAAGGATTCTAAGACATGAATGAGTCAAGTCCTGTGTTTTGTTCACCTTCTTAGTCCGTGATATGCTTGCATTTCTTTTCTTTTGCTTCGCGGCGCAAGAACGTGTACTTCCGCGCTTCTCCGTTGATGCTTTTCTTAGTTATCTTAACCGAAGAGGCAGGTGAAAGCCACCGCCAGATCATGAGCCAGGCGCTTTCCGGGCGGGTGCCACAAGAACACATCTCTAATGATCAGCGACCAGGGCGAGTGATGGGGATTGAGCCGGTGTGAGAAGATGGCTGTCAGGATTGCAGGAGTCAGGCCTCAGGCGAGTAGCTTGCAAGCCGTCGACGGGGAACAGCGTTCGCCCTCGAGCGCTCCGGCTACTCACACAACCGGCGCCACGTGCAGGCGGTTCACCAGTACAATCGTCAGGCACCCCTCAAATGACCGTGTCGCCAAAATGGCCTCCAGGACGTGTCTTGTGTTTCGAGTTGGACGGCATCACCTTTGCGAGCGGCGTTACCGTCGGCACGGTGGGCGGCTAGAGATTTGCTGCTCGAGCTCCTGGGCCTATCTTCCGAGTTGCTCGTGCTCGAAGCTTTTGCGACCCATGGAGTAGGACCTGTTGCTGCGGCGTGCCTGCGGAAGTTGGACTGCTCGGGCCCGATACGCGTAGAGAAAGACGGCGGTTTGATCTGCGCAAGGTCCCCTAAGCGAGCCGCCATGCGCATCGAGCGCCTTACGGTTCGCCAAGCCATCAAAACTCACCCCTTGGTTCGCAAGTGGCTCTTGCGCGATGGCTGATCTCGTCGATTGAGCAAAGAGGCTCTGCACAATCGGGCAGCCATGGCCATCAAATTAGACAACAACAATAATCACTAGTCATGGATGAATAGCTGTTTATCGAAATGCGATTGCCAAAAACAACACGACGTGAAGTTGGGAAGGATCAAGGTTGTGCGGGTGGAAACCGTCAAGATCCAGGGGCGCACAGGGCAAGATTGCAACGGCGCCCATCGCCGTCTCGGAACATTACTACCAAACAACCGCCTCCATCTCCAATCCTAAGTGCATGTGCAGATCGAAGGAACGAGGATGATCTTGCGTACCAACAACGTGTCTGCATTGCTTGTTGTCACCTCAAATATTCAAGAATAGATACCAGGATGGCGCATTGCATGGTATTTATTTATCCAGTCACCATCTGCTCGTCTGTCTTGCCGTCCGTGACCACGGCTACTTCCCCACTGTCATTTTCGGGTGCAGGTGTTTGATCAGGAGCGGCAGACTCTTCCTGGTTCTCTTCTTGCTTGAACAAGGCCGGTAAGCGTGTGGAGGGATCCACCTTGTCCAACAGCGCCAGGTTTGTTCTGGATGCAGCCCGCAGCGCACGCCAGGTCTTGCTCTGCTTGGCAGCCTCCAAAGAGTTCTTCTCCTCGTCTGTCATGGCCATTTCTAGATCAAGGTCGTCGCTCTCGATTCCTTTGACGAGCTTCTCGGGTGATGGAGCCGTGAATCTGTTTCCAGAATGATCAGCATCTATCTTTGGCAATGGCAATTCCGTGCCTGCACATACCTTGAAGCGTTCTTGAGACCCTCGAGACCCTTTGCGTTATCCACTTCTGCGAGGAAGGTCACGTCGATAGCCCCGATCGGTTTCGCCTTGAGGCGCTTGTTGACGGTCGCCTGCCGAGCACCAGACTTCGCTTCTGTATGCTCCTCTGGGGTGACTGCATCTCTGACGATTGGTGGACAGCTTTCCAATTTCCATCTCACCCAGTTCTTGTCGCGGGAAAGCACAGTGTCGACCATACGGTAGTAAAACTTTCCTTCTGGTCCTTCCTGCAGATAACCGGCAATCTTTGAGCGTGTCGAATTCACCCATTTCTCCTGCTGCGTGTCAGTACGCGCTCATAATCTCTTGCAGTACTGGCACATACATTGTCCTCGTTCAAGGTGAAGCCGTACAGAAGACCCCTGTTGGCAGACTTCGGATTGGCTTTCTCGACGTCCGCCCACTTCTTCTTCGCCTTTTCGGTGAGGGACAGCAAGAAGTCGATGAGGATCAGTCCTTGGACCAAGATGTGACGTTGGAAGGCCAGGTCGCTCAGCTAGTTTCCATCAGAATTGGTTTGTACGATCATACACTACAGATACATACCTCGAGCCCGAAAAGTTCGCGACTAGTCAAGTACTTGGGATTGTAGTTGCTTGCATATGGATCACTTGTTTCATCACCAAGCTTACGTTTGATACCACGCTGAGCATCTCCAGCACCTTTGGTTTGAGCAACCACGGGTGTCTTCTTGAACTTTATCAAGGTCTTCTCGATGCCGTCTTTGAAAGGGGTGAAATTCTCGTCTTCAAATAGTCGTGTCGGGTTGGAAAAATCGTGCTGCAATCTCCAGAATATGGGATAGAACTCTGAGTCTTCGTCGCCTTTGTTCACTGTGGTAGCCTTTGTTGTCTCCTTGGTGGATTGAGTAGCCTCGGTACCGTGAAGATCCTTTGTTTGGGATTCGGCTTCGGCGCTTCCTTCCATGTCAACATCTGCGGCTTCTGGCACATCGGGCTGTGCAGGAGGGTCTTTCTCAAAGACTGTGATATTCTCGGTGTGGAACTCGCCTCGTAAGTTGACGGAGCTTTTGTCGCCGAGTGGAAAGGTCTGAAACAGGAAGAAGAAGACTCGACCGCAGAAGACAGCATCTTCGGCTCTGGACAGTCGTCGCAGTAGTTCATTACATGAGCGCAGGAGGGCCAGATGCGTCTTGTGAAAGTCCTTCTGGATTAGTCGTTCACGTCGTGACTCCAGGTAGTCAAAAACTATCCTACAGCCTTCGGTGGTTTGGCTGTCGAGGAGCTCTTCCACGAGCCAAAAAGGCAGAATAGGTTCGCACTGTCCAAGTTCACCACAGAGCAGAAGAAGATCTAGAAAATCCCACATGCGCACAAATCCAGGAGTTTTGATATCAGTGGATTGCTGTTGATGTGTTAGTTCTTGAAAGTCCAGAAAGAGGCGGCTAGCGCGGATGAGCGTACAATGGTTTCGTAGAAAATCTTCCTCGCAGCGGTTTCGACGACGGAGAATTTGTGCGCATCAGGTTGAGAGTCAAAAACATCATTGCCGAGCGAGGTGACTTCTTGTACTAGATCGGAGACTGGTAGAGGAGGGTCGATGGTTTCTACTGATTTGATCTCCCTGGCGCGTAGGAGCAGTCCTCGTAGTCGCTCTGAGATGACAGCGACCGACGGCGGGTCAGCCATGCTATCTGCAGCCATCACGACCTTGTGATGTTGACTAGATTGATGGCGATAGTCCAGGCTTTCGGGATGATGATTGATGGTCTTTGATGTTGGCAGTTAAAGTAACGAGTGTATCGAGTGACGATGGCCAAAGTTGTTTTGCGGTGCGTGACGTCTCGGACTCGAGCGGTAATTCAGTTCCGATCCAGAAAAGTGAACAATCTCAGTCCAAAAGTATTCTCGGAAAATTGGTAGCTATTGTCGCAACAATCAACAAGGCATGCATACCGCGGAAGTTTGCTACCGCATTGCTTGGCCATCACTTTTGGCCATTGACAGTGTGCTCCGTTCAACGGCCAATTTGCGCGAAACGCGCTCCGTCGCGTCTCCCGGATTTTGGCTGATTGAGGTCTCGACAACAGATATACCAGTCCATTACATTCGGTCTTGAAAGGCCGAAGCTAGTTGAACATGCCAGCAGCAGTACCATCAAGCGTTCGTTCTACTGTCGAACGAGACGGTCTGGACGACATCTTCAACTACGATGCTGGTATCGACGCGACCTTCAACCCACCGGACCAGGACTGGAGCGCCCAAGACAACGCAAACAATAGCAACACAAACCAGCGTCAAGAAGATGTGCCAGTAGACATTGATGAAGAAGTCAAAGTCACCAAGAAACGCAAGCCAGTCGCGAAACTTGACGAGGATCGGTAATTGCCCTTTTCCTACACTTTCACCTGGCCAATCTAACTCTTCCATAGCCTTCTATCCCAGCAAGGAATCCCCAAATTGAGAAAGATTGCTAAAGATCGCATCCAGATCAAGGGCAAGGGTCATGAATTCTCAGACATGGCTCGTCTACTCAACACCTACCAACTATGGCTAGACGACCTCTTCCCAAAAGCCAAATTTATGGACGGCGTTTCCATGATCGAAAAGCTGGGACACAAGAAGCGCATGCAAATGATGCGAAAAGAATGGATTCAAGAAAGCAAGCCAAAGCCATCACGCGATGAAGAAGAAGATGACTTTGTCGTTCCAAACGAAGATGCTGCGGTTGAAAGCAACAATGGCCCTACCGCTGAGGAGTCTGCAAGCAACAATAACTCAAGGCAGGAAGCACAATCCAATGCGCGCGCACAAGGAGGGAACCGCCAAAATCCATTCGGCGAAGAAGAGCCAGACGAAGACGAACTGGATGCACTATTGGCCGAGGGTGAAAATGCACCAGCAACCACATCGAAACAGCACAACACACAACCTGCAGAAGAGCAAGAACCGGATGAGGACGAAATGGACGCTCTGATGGCAGAAGATGCATTGAATGATAGTGCACCAAGGAGCTTGTTTGGTGGGCCAGTATCATCTAACACTACCAAGACTGCTGCTCAGCAACCACATGACGAATTTGATGACGATGAAGAGGCAATGGCTGGTATGGATTGGTAGTATGAACATAATGATATCCTTCGCTCTACATATGTCCTATAACTTTTTTTGTTCTGCCGTCTCCTTGTAGACATGGGCTTCTGTCCTATCCAGCCTATCAAGACCTCTCCGTGTGCAAAGTACCGTCACACTTGTGGCTGTGTCTAGACTGCAAAAATGACGTCAGGCGTGATCAGTAAACAAGCCAGGGTGATGAGCTCAACTACCACTTCAGATCGATAATACAATATAACTCACCAAGTACGTTAGTTTTCGCAATTTTCAGTAGCTCTGCAGCATCTTTAAGCTTACGATACAAGGCCCATCGGCTCATATATGTGTATCATGCGTTTTTCATCAGGGAAATATCCATTTTGTGCTTCAAATTCACGAACTCAAAATTCTGCGTAATTGACGCGGCAAAAGTCAGTGAACTAATGTGGCTCACCCAAGATTGGAGCCAAAAAGACAGCAGGAGTCTAAAAGATAGATTGGTCTATTGCTATCACCATATAACACCTCGAGCATGCTTCTGAAGCATCAGAGGACTGGAACAGATTGTCGTTGGGCACCGTTCGCATCAGTTTTGAATAGTAAATATTTTATAGCTATGCGGAATCCGCTTCATCACGTGAACTCGTGTGTCAGTCGCAGTGGTTTAGTGGTAAAATTCGTGCTTGCCATGCACGAGCCCCGTGTTCGATTCACGGCTGCGACATTGTTTTGGCTTGTCTGTAAGCAAGATATGATTTTTGCTTGATCTCAACACGCCGACACTGTCGCGCGTAGCTAACGGGATCAAAGCACAATATGTTCTCCAAGCTGAGTGATGTTGGCTGAGAACCTGACCTCGTCGCGGACTCTCATGCCACCAGGACTATCTATGACAAAGGTGGGTCGAAGTCACAATGTTAAACACTTGGAGACGTCATATGTAATATCGCGAAGCATTCAGTCCAAGCTGTCTTCAAGGCTTCCAACCACCATGTTCCAAGTCTTTCTTATGATATGTGCTCTGGCTTGAAGGGCGTGCCTGAAGTTGAAGGTTGCTGGCCCCACTTGTGCAACTCTACCTCCACATGGGTCATCAAAGTCTCAGCTCGATCGAGACCATCGCATTTGTAGCTGACCCTGTTGGTCGCCCATTCAAGCCAGTCTTGTGCCAGCGAGCCCTCCTCTGCGTCGAACAGCCCCACAGCCACATCAACAAGACCAGGTCTTTCATCTCCGTTCCAGAAGACCATGGCACCGCAGTCACTACAGAAGTATCTCGTTGCGACGTCCGAGGAACGGTAACTTTTGAGCGTACCGGCGTCGTAGGAGAAAGGCACACTGCCATCAACGGAGAGACTCAAGTCAGTCGTCGGCACAAAAGCCCATTGCACAAAGTCGCAACTGCTGGCAAGACGGCAGGAGTTGCACGAGCAGACGCTGGAGCGGAACTTGGTTCGGTCTGCACAGAGCCACCAGGGATTTTTCATGTCGTAGTCACCGCGGTCAGGGTTCTGCCTGTTGACATCAGATTCAGAGTTGTCTGGCTTTGCGGAAGACGTCAAAGGACGAGAAATCCAGAAGTTGACACCCTTGCAGAGACAGTGGACGTGCAGTCGCTCACCATTCTCCTTAGTCGGCTTCGTAGTAGTTGTCGGCCAGTCTGCAGGCAGAGTATCATTCAAAGTAGCGTGAACCTTCGTGTGGAGCCCTTCGAGCCAGTTGCTGAAGCCGCCGTCTTGAGTATCCTTGATGTAAATTTGACGTTGGATCTTCACGTTGTCCTCTAGCTGATCGAGAGCACCTGTGTGTATCCAAAGCCGACCGTCCAACTTCCCAAGGACGGTGCTACCACAAGTGGAGCAGATGTACGATGTTCTACGACTTGACCATTCGCTAGCCTTGAGTCCTGATAACGAGTCTTGCACAGTCTTGATGCAGTCGTCGGGGACGTAGGCTGCACCCATATACAGAGTACCGGAGCCGTGTCGACAACTGTCGCAATGACACAAAGAAGCTGTTAGAGGGAGTTGTTCCTGAGGCACAGAGATGGTCAATTGATAGTGACCGCATAGGCACCTGGCCTTTACTTCGCCATTGTTGCTCATGCTGACTACTGAAGTGAGGATTGATGTTGGCTCTTCGCTTTCTGCTAGAACTGCGAAACAGCTGTCGACTTGCACAATGACTTGTAGATGAGAAGTTACCTGTCAGGAGTGTATTTGATTGTGTAGACGCGACCAGACAAAGGGCGACGCGTCGTTGCAATGATGCAGCCTTGCTGACTGACAGTGACTGTACGAATAAGCAAGCAGGCGGGTAGGCATCGAAGTAATCAGGGTCTCGGCAATTCGGCCAACGACGCGCACGACGCATGATTCGAGGAAAGAGCGCCCCTCGAATTCGCGCAAAGTCCGAAGCAGGCGCAACTTTCTGTACACTCTCCTTCGCGCAACTTCGCTTTCAGACCGACAGTCTTGTCAAACACACACAGATGGATCATTACGAACCATCATCACGACCTCAACGGACGTATCCTCAACGCGATCGTCCACCCCCTCCATCGTATCACGACGCGCCTCCACCACCGTCAGGCCCTCGCAGCGATATGTTCCAATTCCGTGGCGCCGCTGGCCGTCCCGCCGGCGACAACTACCGTCCAAATGACCGTCCGAGTGGTAGAAGAGATAACTTCAACTTCTCTGCTGGCAACAATGCGCCGTCCTTTGCGCCTTCCGACAACTACCCAGGCGCTAGAAGAGCCCCTCGGGACTCGCGTCGCGGCGGTCAACGTAACGCTCGTGGCCGCGGTGGTCCTCGTAGATTCGGACCCAAGCCTGCACATGAGCGCGATTTGATGCGCCGTCAGCGCGAACCCACTCCTGACCAGTTAGAAGGCATGAACGAAGGAAAGGAGTCGCGTTTCAAGATCCTCGACGATCTTTCCGACGACGACGAGAACGAGAGCGATGACAGTGCCATGGATCTCGAGGCAGACGCCCACGATCCCACTGATGCTTCTGCTCCACCTTCCTTCTCCAACAACGCCAGCCACTCCGATGATGACGACTCCGAGGACGAGCATCCTAGAGCCAAGCGCGCTCGAGTCAAGAGTAAGAGTCCCGAGTCCGAGCAGGCCAAGCCTAAGTGGTCCAACCCCGATCCATACACTGTGCTGCCTCCACCTGGAGAGTCTGATGCCAAGAAGAAGGATGTCGTCAAGCTCATCCGCAAGGCCAAGGTAGAAGCCGCAAAGCCTGCCGCCTCGGCTGCTGAGGGCGAGGACTTTATCTCGCTCAACTTTGACGACGACTTTGCCCAGGATAACAGTGATGATGAAGGTGGTATCTCGCTCAACGGCTCCGTCAGAGACGAGCCTTCTCTTCCTCATAAGCCCTCCTTCAGTCACTTAGATCATCTACACCCTGATCGCAACCTCGCCCCACCGCCTCCTGCCGAACAACCTAAAGGTGTAAACATGTCAGCGCCCATGTCTCTGCCTCGCCTCGATGTCTGGCCCCCACCAGCTGATGTACACGGTGATCCCTCAGGTCGTAGCCAGTACCACACTGGTATGCAGAGACAAGAGGCCAAGGATGCAGCAGCTCCTGTACGCAAGGAGAACAACAAGAAGCGTAAGCGTCGCGACGATACTCACGTCGGCGATATTGTTGACGAATGGAGGGCTCCCGTGGACACTGACCCTGCTCCATGGTTTGCCAACAAGCTCCAAGGCGCTCGTGCTGAGCAGTGGCTCCACAACGAAATTCTTGACTTCTACAACTACGTCAAACCTCGCGATTTCGAGAACCAGGTTCGTGAAGACCTGGTCAAGCGTATGGAGAACGCTGTCAAGAAGACTTTCCCTGACCTGAACATTCGTGCCTTTGGCTCGTTCGCTTCTGGTCTCTACCTGCCCACTGCTGATATGGACCTCGTCGCATGCTCTTCTCGTTTCCTCAATGGTGGCCCCGAAAGTATTGCTTGTACCAGAAACTGGATGTATAAGTTTGTTGCCTGTCTCAAGAGGGCTGGAATTGTCGTCGATAGCTCGGTCACTGTCATCTCACAAGCCAGAGTGCCGTTGGTCAAATTTGTTGAGAGGGCAACCGGTTTGAGGGTTGATGTTTCGTTTGAGAATGATAGTGGACTTCTCGCAAACAAGACCTTCCAAGCCTGGAAGCAGCAATACCCTGCCATGCCGATAATTGTATCGCTCATCAAGCAGTTCCTCGTCATGAGAGATTTCTCCGAGGTCTTCAGCGGTGGTCTTGGTGGCTACTCAGTTATCTGTCTGACCATCACAGTGCTTCGCGTTCTTGAGGAGCGTCTAGGCCGTGACTGGGACCCTATGGAAAGTTTGGACACGGTTTTGATGACCTTCTTTGTGCACTTCGGTAGGGACTTCAACATTGAGAAGCATGGTATCCAGATGGAACCTTGGAACGTTGTCTCAAAGGTAAGTGTCTCTTCACGCAGGGCGGAGAACGAGCAGATCTTCTGGAACAGTGCGGCTTGCCTATGTTTGATTGAGCCTCATAGCTTTGATCTCTATACTGCGTGATCTGTTCCAGAAAATATTGAAGCTAACTGTGTCAGAAATCATGGAGAAACGCCAAGGGTCAACCATCCAAGCCCGATCGACTCCTCATCATCGACCCCAACAACTTCAACAACGACATCTCAGGTGGCTCTGGTTCAGTCTTAAAGATCTTCGACAAGTTCGCCGATGCTTTCAAAGAGCTCAACATCTGTATGTCGGATGCTGAGGATACACACAGGGAGAATGGAGATGTTATCAGTATTCTTGAGCGTGTGTGGGGTGGCAACTATGCACTCTTTGAAGCGCAACGTTCTCGTCTCAGATCTGTATGGCAGCAAAATATGGCAAGGTATGCTGCTATGCACTCAAACACCAGAACGAACACTTGAATAACGGTAACGTCCAGCGGCAGCAACTTCCCGCGTGGCAACAACAACAACCAGAGCGGAAATAGCCATGGTGGCGGCTATCAAGGTAAACCAGGAAATCCTCCTCCTGGCAATCAAGGAAATCAGAGTAATCAGCCAAAACAGGGCAAACGGCCCGCAGATGATGAATCCAAATCGAATAAGAAGCAGAAGACGAGTTCTGATAACGAGAAGAAGTAGGCAATCCCGACTTGAATAATTTCCAACCGTGGCTAATGTGCAATCAGGCGTCCACCCTTGCACATGGAGTATGATGACCCGATGGAAGAAGTTACAGCAGCAGTATCAGGCCCAGCAGGAGCTGCAGGTCAGAGAAAGAAGTCGTCTGATGCCACAGCTGGCGCACCAGGATCCAAAATCTTACCGGATCAACCACTAGCTAGCATCGAAGGATCCAAATCAAGGAGATCGAGAACGAGCAGAAAAGAGAAGAACGCTACTGTAAAAGAAGATTCGAAGACGAGCGAGTCGAAGACGGACGAACAAAAGAGAACCGAGAAGGACCGTGCAGAGTCTTTTAAGAGGAACCATCCTAGCGTGAAAGACCTTCCAGACAGAATGGACAAGGAGACGTTCAAGAAACTTACCCAAATTCACAGTGGCAAATCGAAGGACGCCGCCAAACCGAAACACAAGAAGAGAAAGCACAACTAGACGCTGGCATTGAGGGATGGTTCCTCATCTGACACGATATTCTGACCGGTCTAGGTGCTCTGTCGATATTTTTCGACGTTTCGCATCACTACCTCTGTCTTTGTACGAGCATGTCACTTCTCGCAGGGATATTACATATGGAGCGGCGCACTGTCGGAATTGCTGATACCCCGTCACTCATGGCCTTGTAACGATAGCTTTCATTTTACACATTCACAGCGACAGTCGTCGAGCATTTCCCCTGTACTTTACTTCTGGTGTCTGGTGGACTAACCTTGAGGCAGGACTGCCAGGATGGCGACCAGCATACTGATGAGCATACAGGCAATTAAACAGTGGGAAAGTGGGCTTGAAATGATGATTCCTTCGGGAGTCGGGCAAGAACTCGGTCACATTATGAATCTAGAGTCTGCGGACTCTTGTTCTGGCAGCGGAGCTCTTGACCCTCCCCTTCTATGCTGCGAAAGCGGTATAGAGGGTCTTTTCTCATTGGACGGCCCGCTTTATGCAGGTGTCTGAAGAGGATCAGTACCGTTTTGGTTGTGTATTTGTGGATAGAGAGATTACATGAGCGGCATAGGGGAACTACCGTATGTACTTGGACGTCGCAGCACACGGAGCAGAGGCAGAGGCAGAGCAAGAGTCATGTCATTCCGAAAAGCAGTTGCAAGTGGTCAATGATTGGAGGGGCTGCCCCGCCTTTCCGTCACCGCCCACCCTCTTGGCGCCCAACATCAACAATCTATTCAAGGAGAGAGGCCCGATGCTGAACACAAAGCATTCAATAATTTCCATCTGCAAAATCCCGACGAACACGCGCATCCCACTCCCACAACTGTCACCCCTTTAGTCACATCTTCAAAACCGCCATAATGTCGTGGCAAGGTAAGCCTCCTCTGGACTCAGCGCACGCTGATGACGAGCTCATGGGCTGACTTTTGAATCAACAGCATACGTCGACCAGAGGTACAACACATGGCCATCGCTATAGCCTACAAGCCCATCACTGACAACCCTATCCTCAGCCTCGTTGGCACTGGCAACATTGACAAGGCCGCCATCTTCAACAGCGAAGGCAACAGCGTCTGGGCCACTTCCGCCGGCTTCACTGTGCGTTAATCCACCCTCCATCGCTCCTAACGGTACCGGAAAGAGTTGGCTTGCAGAGAACGAAGAGCTGGATCCGGGTGGAAGTAGAAGATGGACTGATCGTGTGCTTCACCGCAGGTTTCACCCCAAGAGATGGCCGAGGTTGTCTCTGCATTCAAGGACACTTCCGACGTCAAGAAGGTCCAGAGCACTGGCCTCCACGTCGCTGGCGAGAAGTTCATCGTTCTCAAGGCCGACGACAGAAGCTTGTACGGCAAGAAGGTGTGCTGCGACATTCCCAGCTTGCCTCCAACCTCACCCAGAGCTGACAATTACACCAGGGCAAGGAAGGCATCCTCATCGTCAAGACCAAGCAAGCTCTCCTCGTCACTCACTACCCCGAGCACGTTCAACCGGGTGTTGCCGCCAACACCGTCGAGCAACTCGCCGACTACCTGATAAGCGTCAACTACTAGAGAAAGAATATCCCACATCTGGATTAGCTTTTTCTGGCCATCATCTCCCGCATTTTGTTGTCGAAATATCTCCTTGACGTTGAGATTTTGAGGCTTTGACACCGCCCTTTTTCTTTTTCCTTGATTGTACAGGGTGCAGAGGAAGAGGACTTGGGCTCTCAATACAACTCCACACAAAAAGACAGCAGCAACACTGTTACACCACTCGAAGACTTGTGCATAGCGAATATATCTACCTTTTGTTTACTCCTTTGGCTCTGCCCTTGATCTGCCCATCCCGATCGCTTTTCTGACTGACATGAGAAACATCTTGATTTTGGAAATTACAAGGTTGTGACATGCTGATCAATTCAAAGAAAACCCTCCCATATCTCTTCATCATCTCCGCCAGCAACCTCACTGTCTCGCACAACCTCGCCTAATGCAATAGGAGAAGCCACAAGCAAGTCGCAAGCGGCGGCAAACACATCGACTTCCAAACAGAGGACCCGACGTGGGAGTATAAGCGTGACTGCCGGCTGCTTTTAGACGTCTGGCGAGCGAATCCTCTCCTGCGGTCTTTGTAAAGGCTTTTTGGATACTGATTCGATGCACAGTCTTAATAACTAAAGATACGAGTTTTAAGCCGGCAGCTTTCCTTTAATGCATTTGCGTAGGACAGTTGGCCAATGGTCGGCTTTGATGTGACAACGACTTGGGGTTAATTGAGGACGTTCTGATAACGTCAACTTCTGACGAGATTTAAAGTGTTTATGGTGAGTATCTTTTTCTGCAAGAGTTTTGTGTTTGGCACGAGTAGTGTAGCGAAGGTGTGATCAACCATTGTTCCAGGTTGCTAGATGAGGATACCACCGGGCTATCACGGGACAGCATTTACCTTTGGATCGAAGCTTCTCAAGAGATGCACTTGTATCGAGGATATGAACAAGACATTGCTTCTTTGTAGAGGCACCCTGGAAGTTTCGTCGATGGTCACCCTCGAGCACACTACTTCATCGTCTACGGCTCTGGCTTCGACTAACTGCACGCGCGCGCCTGACACTATTTCTCGCAGTAGGTGCAGGTCTGAGAACGAATTCCTCCATCTCAGGGTCGATCTCCAGCAACTCCCTCTCAAGTGGCAGAAGCGGCGCTTCCGGTATAGTTCTCGTCGTAGTATTCCTCTCGGATGTCCGCAGCTTCCAGAATACGTCCGGTCGACCACCCTTTTCTCTGTCGTAGTCAACGAACAACTTCCAGTCTCGGAGGGCTTTTGGCTCGTAGAGGCCGGTGTCACTTACACCGGGTCCTTTGAGGCGAAAGCGGGTGCGTACTGATGGATGGATGTATTCGTGGGTTGACTCTAGCGGGATATCAGTTTTCCGGCCGTCGTTGGGGTCTACTACGTAATATCTGCCGGGAGTTCGCGTCGTTGCGCCGCCTATAGCGTAGATACCAACCATTGAATCTACGATTTTTCCGAATGACCAGGTGCGTGGCTTTTGTTTCGTCTCCTTGTAGTATTGTTCAGTGTCATCTTGTTGATCCAAGGCGTAGTCCAGATCCATGTCAAGGAATGGCGCTACTTGAGACATCATCCAGGCTAGAGTAATGTTGGCTAATTCTTGATCGTCAAGCCCACCGCCGATATTGGAGTGTACACCTGGAAACCAGACTTGGCGAAGTACACACATGTTGCCGGGTTTCTTCTCCCAAAGAGCTGGTGAGAAAGAAGATCTGCGTTCGTCTAAGGCTAGGGCTTGGAAGGCATACTCGACACAATCGCACAGTCGTGTATCGTAAAAGGACATTCGCTTACTGGCCGAGCTTTGAATACCTAGCTTCTCCAGCCAGCTAATTCTCGGTGTTCCTAGTGACCCTGTGCGATGTCAGAAGATACTGCCTGCGTGTGAAGATTCCAATATTTACCAACAGTGTCCCAAACACCGACCACCTTGATTGGGACTTGAAGTCGTGTCAAACCTCTTCTCTCGAGCTCGCGACCATACCTCGGATCCATGGCACTTGGCTTGTCCTTGAATGGCCTATTCGGGTGCTTGGGCTTATAGTCTGGATCATGTCTATGCTGAACATCTCGAAAGATTTCTGCCAGGTACGGAAGACCAGTTTTGGTCAGCATGCCAACACTGTTTATGAGACCAGCTATAGCGCGTGCGGTAAACCTGTCGGGTTTCAGCTTGGAAGCATCTTTATTTTCATGCAGAATCTGTTGCTTACGCTCCGCGACTGAAGCCGAATAAGAAGATCTCATCGCCAACCTCCCAATTGGTTGCGAGATAGCTGTATCCTTCTCGCACAGCTTCTGATAGGCCTTGTATCATCCAATCAGTATTGCTCTACGACAGAGTGGTCATGTGTCATGTTCTGAGAGTGGAAACTTACCTTGACCTGTGGCTCCTCCGTAGACTCTATCAACGATGCCACCTTGACTGCCTGCCATATGTGAGAACCAAGTCACTCATTTCGAGTGGTCTGATCATACCAATGCCATAATGGTAGTACACGATTTGTGGTATTGAGTCTGAGCTAGCTGGCTTTATAGCTCGCGAGATTCTAGTAACGTTACTCGCAAGATCATCGCCGCCCTTCAAGCTACCGCTGTCGGAATTAAGCCATGTGCCTACGAGAACCCTATTAGTACCACGTTCTCTTCGATGTTTGACGAATCAATAGCATTAATGAATGCGACACGGATGGCCGCTACAGATGCCTCACCATCGGAGCAGATTATAAGTCGCTTAATAGAAGGGTAGCCGGGCCGTCGAATGAGCCGAGTTTCTCTGACTCTCGATCTATCAACTCGCTCATGGTCAGACATTTACACGAGCGAAGTGAATAAGAGCCCTTCAGATAAGGAGTCACATTCGCCGGCTGGATGATTGGTAGGGCAATGACGATGCTGAGGGAAGCTTGACTCGTCGCGTGTGTCGCAGGAGATTTGCCAGCCCCGCCCAGCCACCTCTGGCTGTCGAAACGGCAAGCGCGAACGACCTCCCTGTGTATGAAGCACTGTCACACTTGTAGCTGTCTCAAGGCAAAGAACATTTCCGGATCTAGAACGATCGCACCGAGATACATCTCGTCGACGATTTTCTGTGTCAGATGCTTCAATGTAAGATATGATTGTGCATTGCTTCAGCTTGTTATCGCTCTGCTCTAAGCATTGAGAGTGAATGGATGCGACAGAGTTTAGCACACGGGAAGGGAGGAAGTACATTATTGCTCAACATTGGGATTTATCACTCGGAACATGGACGCGACACGATGGTGAGAAGAAGACGAAAATTTATAAATGCAAGAAGATAAAATGAAACCACCACGACCATCGGAGTGGTCGTGGAAACTCTCTCTCTCAAAAACTATCGAAAAGCCGAGACTCAAAATACGGACTCAGTCGAGACACGCAATATTCATAATGATCTCTTATTGCTGACCAGCGTTGCTGACAAGATAGTTGATCCAGTCAAGACCATCTTCAAGAGTAAACCCCTCAGGGATAGGCTTAGCAGTACCGTTCGAAGCAGTTCCAGTTGCAGTTGGGACAGCAGTGCTCAGAGCTTTGGCGGCGGTGTTCAGGTCTAGGCCTGTAGGAGCACTGTCAGCGCCTGTGTTTGCAGCGGCGGAAGAGCTCTTGGTGATTGTGATGGTGGTTGTGCATGGTGTACTGGAAGCGGCAGGGGTAGAGGCATCAGTTACCTTGTTCTCGCCGGCAATGCACTGGGAGTAGTAGTCGTTCTGGACCTTGCAGGTGTAGCCCGAAGCGCACTGTGTGGCACCAGTGTAGCTCTTACCACCACACTGACCGTAGGCGGCGACAGTGCCGCTAGCAGAGCCAGAGGAGACAGGAGCAGCGCTGCTGGACTTGACAACAGTAGCCATAGTGGTGGGCTTTGCGGAGGAGGCAGCGACGGTGGATGAGACGGGTGCCTTGGCAGGAGCGCTTGAGGAAGAGGTAACAACAGCCTGCTGGGTTGAGGTTGGAGTAGCGCTGGAAGAGACGACAGGAGCGGCGCTTGACGAAGCAGCTGCACTGGTGGCAGGCTTGGAAGAAGTTGCCTTGGAGCTAGCGGGTGCAGAACCCGAGCCAGATCCACTGACGGTGAAGTCAATGCAAGACTCATAAGTCTGATCAACCTCTCTAGCATCCCAGAAGTGCTGAATAACACAAGCACCAGCGGTAGAGCACTTGCTGCCAAGATCCTCGGGGATAGTGATGTCGAAAGAGGTCTGATCGGCAGGGACACCCGATGCGGTGGAAGCGTAGACGTCCCAAGAGATCAGAGGAGTACCGATTACAGTGTTGGTGGCAGTATCAACGATCGAGACGTTGGCAGTGCCAGTGTGAGGGGCGCGGACATCGAACTTGATAGGAACCTTCTGACCGGGAGTATATGTCTGGACGAGGTCCTTGTTGTCATCAAACTTGAAGCCCTTGCAGAGCCAGATGTTACACTCAGCGGCCTTGTAGTCGGTCTGAGTCTTTGCAACTTGGAGCTCGCCTTGGATGTTGCCGTAGTTGTCACCGGCCTGGTTGTAGTAGACTTGTTGACCACAGGCAGCCTGGAAGGCATCACCAGGCATGCGAGCCTTGGGAGAGGTGAGGAAACCGTGACCGCGAACGGTGGCAGCCATACCAGCAACGGCGAGAGCAGTTGTAGTGTACTTCATCTTGGATTATCGGAAAGTCGGAAGCTGAAAACTGGGTGGCTAGAGAACGGATTGATTGAATGAATGTAAAAGCACCAGTGCTATGGGTCAAAAGAACGAATGAAGGTGGGTGGTCACAGACCGTGAAGGAGAAAGAATGGACAGGCGCGAACAGTGCGATTGATTCTGAAGAGAAAGGATCGAAGAGCAAGCACAAACATACATATACTTGAATTGCCTGCAAAAAGTAGAGTCCTCAGCCAGGAGACCAGGTCTAGGGCAAGGTTCATGCTGTCTCCACTGTTTCATGCAGCAAGAGTGACCACACGCGATATTGACCATCGATCAAGACGATCCGCCGAATGTGAGTCTCGATGCTAGTATGGCCAAGCTCGCTTCTGTAGGGTTGTTGTAGATAGATGATAAGGTTGCGGCTCTTGTACGTACGCTGCAACTCCTGGCTCATCTCGGGTGTTGAATATCAGCGCCAGCAACCGTTTCTGGCGCAAGTGAGCGGTCTAACCGAGCCATACCCTCATAACGCCATATCTTCGAAACATGAACGGTGAACAAGGAGTCGTTCTGGGGCACGTTCGTTTCACCTTAAAAATCTTGGAGGGCTGGATGCCAAGACAAAATCAGGGCATCGACGGAGAAACTCCACTTCACCTTGAACTTCATCTCGTCAACTGCTTCGGCGCGTCTCCGTAATACAATACCGACTACATCAACGACTGTGCATTTACGATCTCGTCTTGCCTACCGAAATTGGTCGCCCCTGTTGCTCGGTCGACTTTCTTCACGTAACGAATTCCGCGAACCGAGAATAGCTCGACGTCACCAACAGGTAATTCGACTCAACCATGGCTCCAGTAATAGGATTGTCACACATTGCAAATCCTCTTGCAACACCCGATCAATTACAGACTACGGCATCTCAGCTCGATAGAATTCCTGATGCCCTGGAGATCTCGATCAGATTCGAGGGTTCAAGGCTGATCCAAGCCGCCGGCGTTCTGCTACACCTCCCCCAGGAGCTCATTGCAGAAGCCATCATTATCTTTTCCAGATTTTGGCTAGGTTCCGAAGGTGGAAGCTTAGCCGAGTATGCTGCCAAGGTATGCATGTTAAAGGATAGCGGTCTGGATGTGGTTCAAATATGTTGGTCAAATTGTCATAGCCAGCGGTCTATGCTCCGGTCCGTGGCCTGCCAGACTTAGCCGCCGACTTAGAGGGATCGATTTAGGGCTCTATCGTATCCACAGTGTCTCGACTTACTTCATCCATGTGGTTGATATCGCACAGCTCAGAAGACCAATCTGAGTCACATCCCAGCCGCCTTCCGGAGCCTCATTAATATGCTATTTACTGACTTCTTGTTTAGGATGTTACTGCTGCCTCATTATATTTAGTAACCAAGCCTTCGGCGCATCCAGTAAGCCCTAGACGCCTGCTGAGCGTTCTAGCATATTTGGACAAAGTCCGACCGTCACTCGATTTTGAGTCCGCCTGCAAAGTTGGCCCTGAAAATTGCTTCCTATCAGAGGGCTCCTACCAAGATGGGCGGATTGCACTTGTTCACACCGAAGCACAGATGCTCCGTATTCTCGGCTACCAAACTCATGTGTCGCTCCCATACGCAATCTGCATCAATTATTTGCAGGCATTGGATGTGTTCACGACTTCTGAGAAGGGACAAACTCTAGCAAAACGGGCATTTGCACATCTCAACTCGGCTTTGTTCAGTCCGCAGTTGCTCTACCTGACACACCAGCCTCCGGCCCTCGCCACGGCTGCTATCTACCTTGCCGCTAAGGAGATAGGAGTTAAGCTGCCTGGCGAGGAGTGGTGGGAGGTGTTCGATGTGGACAGAGAAGAGCTCGGCTTTGTGGTGGTTGCGCTGATATCCATGGAAGGCTTCATCGTTGAGGAAGTGCAAAAGTGGGCTAACAGCAGAGTTCCGTTGACGCTCGAAGACACTCAAGCTTGGATTGACAGGGAAGCATGGAACCGAGCTTCGCCTTAAGAGCCAGCTATAAGGACTTCGCTGTGTATGACACCTACGCAAGCAAAGTGCTATAATGTGTTGCAGAGTTGTGGCCTCACTCAAGCTTTCTCATGTGTTGTCTCAGACCTTCCAAGACAATCGAAGAAGATGACGCAAACAACAAAGCGACTCTACTTATCTGTCGCCAAAATTAAACCTCCTTGCAAGACATCAGCCTCAATATCCAAACATCGATACTACTAGAGACACGCGCACTTTTCCTGCAGCGAAGCCACCTCAAAACCTCACAACCACACAAAAATGTACCGCCATACAAACACCGAGACCAATTCGTCACAATCCTCTGATCACGACTCCACATCCACAAGATCTTCCGAGCGACGACAAAGACAAATTCCTCTCGCTTTTACAAACACAGAGTGGGGTCGTGAATACGCCTCCAACCCGAAGCGGTCGCATGAGAATTTGGAATTCGCTCGTCAAGGGTCGAGGTTTCGCCCCGAACCAGCTCAGCTCAATCGGCCGACACCATTACGTGAAGTCTCGAATCTTGCTCACGACGCATACATATCAGCGACGTCCCCTCCTGTCTCTTCGGCAGCTACATCAAGCACCACCTCTCCAACGACGATCCAAAGCGCTACTCAGTACTCCACCATGACAGCCTGGAGTTACTTCAGTCATACCCTCCCACCACGCACTAGGTCTATCTCGCCCAGGGTCACTGATAGCGAGAGCACAGAAACACCAAGCCCTGTGCGAAAGGAGATCATAACGGCAGGCCCTTGGTTTGAGATGTTGATGCGATGGGAAGATTTCAAGCATTGGAGGTTGGGGATGTTGAGTCAGCCATGGTATGCGCATGACAAACCAAAAATTCCAGAGTAACAACAGCTTCCGGTAGAGCTTCTGCGATGCAAACAGTGTAGATATAAGACTGTTGGAATGTAAAATCACTTTCTGAGATGATGCTTTTTTGTTCAACCGGAGCTATCTCAAACCCGGATGCCGAGTGGCCAGCAGAGATACTGTACAGAAGCTTCAGATCACGATGGAGAATGAAGGCGGCGACCATAAGAAGAGCGACTCGTCTAGGGATTGACGCTGCGATAAAAACAAAGTCTAGCTGAGTCTGCTCCGAAGCACAAGCGCAATGAAACTGCTCTTGAAAGTGCTCGGATGGCTAGTCATCCTCGCTGTCAGTACTTTTGGCTTTGCTCGTGCGTATTCATAAGACATATCATGTCCTTGTGCTTGTGTCTCGAGAAACTGGTTCAAATAACCTCGATTTGATCAGGTCAAAAGTCTACAAGATGGAGATCTGTGATTGCTGGCTCGCCTCCCTCCCTCAATCATCGTTCTTCAAGCCTTGAGCGCCGTTACTGTGCTTAGGGGCAGTGTTGTTGTCCTAATGACGATCACGAATAATAGAAACTGTAGGGGGAGACCTGATAAAGTTGCTATGAGACTACCATTACGTAGCACTATGGCATACACCAACCCTTTCACAGTCTCATGTTGCCAAACTCTCGTTCAATGTCGTTGGCACGAGCAACGCCAGCAGCAGCTTGGTGTCCCTGTCCTCCAATGACTCCACCACATTGAGGGCAGCGAGCAGTCTGCATAGGCATACCACACTCACCGACAGTGAATGGATGACCGTTCTCGCAACGGTACCAGTGACCAGTACCTCTGAACTCGCGTGCCATGGCGGCAACGACATTCTTCATTTCCTCGTTTGTCACCGGGCTGTAGAATGTACTTTCACGCAGCATCTTTACCACCTCTTCAATTTCAGACTCGACGACGCGGGCTTGGGAGTGTTCGGCGCAGAATGTGCGGGCTCCGGCGAGGTGGTTTTTGGCTTGGGCACGGAGGGTGTCGAGTGCATTGCTACCACTGGGATACACATTAGCTTTTGTCAGTCGAAATCAAATAGAATCTTTGTCATACCTTTCTTCCTCATGCGTCGAGCGCCAGGAAATTTCGAGGGCGGCGAAGTGTGCCCAGAAGATCAAAGCTTCAGCCTGCTGCAAGTGATGCAGTCCTTCTTGAGCAGTAAGGAAGAGAGCCTCACAGTCTCTGCGGTTCTTGGTAAAGTCCAAAGTAGTGCTAGTGCCAAATGGAAGTGGCTTTGACGAACGTATAGCGAGTACGTCTGACAGGATAACTAGGTCGCAGCGAAGAAGCAAGGCGCTGGCTAAAGAGGAGCTTCTGGTCTGCAGGATGACGCTATCGTCAAAAACAAAGTCTGACTGAGTCTGCTTCTGTTTGCGAGCGTAACGAACGAGCTCCTGAACGCGCTTGAATGGCTGTTCATCTTTACGGACGAGGCCTCTGAAGTTGTCTATGGAGTGTCTCAGAGCAACAATGTTGGCGTATCTGCGCTTTGAGAGACTGACGTGGATGACCTGGATTTGATCAGATCGAGACCCTACAAGATGGAGGTCAATCTCTGCAGGCTTAGCCTCTTCCAAAGTCTCTTTCAAGGTATTCTGTGCCGTTGAAAAGCTTCCATATGCCGAGACGTACAAGTTGTTCGACCAAGTAATGAACTTCAGCGTGCTCTGAATCAATAGTGCACGGCGGATAATTCTGCCGTATCGAGGGATGTCGCGCAAAGAACGGCGGCAGTCAGGGCAAACCATGCGAGTCTTGTCGACATCGAGATTGTCTTCGGGGGTCTTGAGAGCGACAGGTAGACCGTCACCATCCACGACATAGTGCTCACCAAGGCTTAGATGACCGTCCATAGTGCTGACTGTGTAGAAGTGGCCACAAGCAGGGAAGATACAAGGGTCTTCTTGCAAGTCAATCTCATTGTAAGTACTCATCATGATCAAGTCAACAACTCGGGCCTTGATGTCATCACTGCCACACTCCTGACAGAACCTAATGTCGGGGCAAGCCGCGCCATCGACAGAAGGGCATTGATGAGAGCATGGAAGGATCTTCTCGCAGCGCAGAGAGCAAGGAACCCAGTCGCAGGGGGCTGCACAAGGCATGTTGCACTTACTGTGAGCACATGAGGATGAGCAAGTCTGCTCTGCACACGGGGGGCAAGGCTCAGAGCAAGTGGAGGGGCAACTTGAATGACTGCACCGGACCTCACAGGGCTGCGTGCAGACACCGCAGTCTGCATCTCCATGGCAAGTCTTAATGCAGCTGTGGTTGCAGTTGTTGAAGTCCCGGCCACACTGTTGACGACATTGGCCATGCTCTTCCTCGACAATAATGCAGTCGTTTCTCTTCTTGCAAGTATGGCAAGGCTTGTTGCATGTGTGTCCACAAGTCAGAGCATTTCCACACTTTACACGACACAGGAAGTGGTCTTCTGTGACATCAATACAACAGCGGAGCTGCAAATCGTGACCACAACCAGGCACAGTGCGCTGAACAATCTCATCGCACCTGATCTCGTCTTGCTCATGATACAGCCAGCAAGGAAGAGAGTCCTTGACATGGCCACAAGGAAGCTGCACAGATATGTCTTTGACAATCTCCATGCATCTAGGCGGACAAACCTCTCCACAAACACGCGGACACGCATGAGAGCATGAGTGAGTACCAGGCTGCCTGGGGCAGGGTGCGAGACACTTCACAGCATCGTGAAGGGTTTGAGAGTGACAACGAGAGTCACAGTGATGTCCACAATTCAGTCTCTGAGCGCATGGTAAAACACAGCCACCGTCAGGAGCGAATTTGATGAAGTCGTCCGGTTCGGCGACATTCATCTCGTCCTCAGGATGTCTGGGACATGCCAGCTCCAGAACTTCGCCGAAGTTACTGTCAATCTGAAGTATCTGAAGGACTTCAGCCCACATGGGGATGTGCTGGGTGGTGGCCGAATTTCCGATGATGTACATGCCATTCTTGGCACGAGACAACAGGACATTGATGCGATTAGAAGTCCGCAGAAATCCACACTTTTGTTCCTGATTGCTTCTGACCAGGGAAATGATGACAACCTCGGCTTCCTCTCCTTGGAAGTTGTCGACAGTAGCAATGCGTACGGCAGAAGCGATGGAACCTTTCTGGACGCCAGGCGCCAATGGAGCTCTTACCTGTGCTGCGTCATTCATACCTTCATCTTGGAGACTCTTGACGTCACGATCATCGAGCAGAACTTCAAAAGAGCTCTGCATCCTGAGACGGAGTTTTCTGAGTTGCCCCAAGTATGGTGTGAGAACTGCAATGGCTCCTGGTTTGTACGTTCCTTGCTTGATCAAGTGCGAAACAAGAGCAGTAGTCATCTCGACTTCGTAGTCATTGGTGTGTGAGGTAGATTGAGCCCCCCCGTGGGTTTCAGGATGCTGGTGATCAAGCCAGAATAGACGCTTTCTCATCCCAGCTACTTCCGGGTGCGTGAGAGTGGACGGCGCGTCCGAGAGTGTAGGGTATAGCGTCGAACGCACTAGCTCAGCAATGCTGGGATGCATTCGTCGCTGCGTGTCAAGACGGCTAAACGGAAGACGTATTCCACCATCGGTCGCAGTGACAAGTCTCTCGAAAAGGGAGGTATCTAAGGAATACTGCTGACCTTGGATGCTCTCCTGGGACAAATCGTAGCACTGGATGTGGGGTCGTAGTTGCAGATGATCGCCAATGAGGATAGCGTGCTCGACAGACGGTAGCAACGCAGTCAGGAGATGAGACTCAAGCACTTCGCCAGCCTCTTCACAGAGAAGAACCTTCGAAGGAAGTCTACGCAGAAGACTAAGATTACGAGCAAGGCCTGAGGTCGTGACTCCGACAACATCAGCTTGCTCGAGCACGCGAAGATCCAACTCGTTACGAACGTGGTTCAGGTGTAATTGGTGGTCCTCGAATTGCTCGACGCGGTCCATGATCGCATCAATCAATGGCTGTCTTGCCCTTCGAAGCCAGTGATTGTGCAGCTTGTGTCTTTCAACGTACGAAAGAGTTCCCAAATCGGCAACTCCGGCGACTGTTTGAGTAGGCATGTTGCTTCGGATGTGTTTACCTCCACGAAGCCAAGACTTGAGACGCTCCTCAGGGGTACTATGTTGGACGGTGACGAACCCTTCAGCGTCGGTCTGTGCGCCAAAGAGGTAAGCGTCATGAGAAGAGTTACTTCGTGCCAGGTAATTTCTTATCAACTGAATGTCTTGCGAGATCTCTACCAAGGACTCGTTGATCGCCCTGGCTTCGTCCTTCATCTGTCCTCTGGCCTTTCCGTACTCAGACTTTTCAACCTTGGTTTTGCCTGCCTTCTCGGCAACTTTGCGCAGGTTGAGGTCGGTCAAACGTTCAGATTTAGAACGACTGCCAATACGAACAACTTGAGCGATGCCCTCGTCAAGCAGATGCTCTAGCGATTGATCCAAGGCATGGTTGGTGAAGGTGACCACGAGGATAGGACCAAGCTTGCCTACCTTCCTGTTGTTGACGAGTGTTTTCACAAGTGCAACGCCAGTGTAGCTCTTTCCTGTTCCGGGAGGGCCTTGAATGAGCGCAAAAGACCTTGACAGAGAGGTAAGCAGAGCGGTGGCTTGAGTTTCATCCAAGGTGGACATCTTTTTCAGCTCTTCCACATCGGAGCGCTCAAGGCTTGCCGGATCATACGAGTGGTTCTTGCTTCCCTCTGTGATCAAGTCCAATTTGAAGCGAAACCCGGCTCTTCGTGCGTAAGCTGGTGGGGGGATGGTCATCGTGTCTTGTTCTTCGACAACGTCCAAAGGTGCAAGGAAGGTTGAAAATGGCAGGACACCATTCCTGGATAAGGTCTGGAGCGCGGTCAAGGTAGGAAGGAACGCAGGTAGGAGGACTCCCGGGAATTCGACTAGGGAGCGGCCGCCCTGGATGTTTGTGTGAGAGAAGGTGCCTAGAACCAACATGCATGATTAGCGACGGTTCAATACTACTTCCAATTTGCAACAATCTGTCCCTTGTACCTCCCGCTCCGGTACTTGTGAGTGCGAGGGCTGTAGAAATGCACAGTAACTTTTGTGGAGCTGTGGCTACTCGTGAAGCACAGTCGGACACTGCACTCCCGAACTGCTCGATGCTACGCCAAAGAAAACTGTGCGTCCCGATAGCCCCAGATGTGACCAAAGCTGCGGCTGGGGAGTCACGCGATCAGAGAAAACATACCTAAGATATGGGCGACAGCCTCCGAATCCATCTCAACGGGTCGAGCGATTACCCTGACACGATCTGTGTCATAAGATGTGATGTTTTGGTGAGGGTCAAGGGTCTCGCCTGCTTCTCGCTCAGGCCTCCTGGCGGGATCATCAGGGAAGCTGATGCTGCAGAATACGATCGCCTGGGTCGAACTGATGAGACACACGAGCGCATCACCTTCCAGCCGCTTTGAATCACGCCACCAGTCGCTGCGCTTCTTGTTGGACTTTGATTGTAGCTCAATCGGTTGGTCAAAGCTGATAACGAACTCTAGGCCGTTACGTGGTTCAAACTTGGGATGTTCAACTAGAGCATTATGGTAGGTATGCTTCTTCAATGTGCCGGTATTGTTGCGGGGTGAATATGCTGATCCTGGTCCCTGAAGAGCTTCAAGCTCAATACGAGCACTGTCTCGCAATTGACCGACGGTATCCTCGCGTAGCAACCGGAAGTGGCGATCGAGTAAGCCTTCAAGGCCTTGTTTGTGCCAAGTTGAAGGATCCTGTAGGGGTAGATATTCGGCGTGGGGGCTTTTGATCTCGTCAGAAGTTGGCATTATCTGAATATTCTCGATTGACTCAAAGTCGTTGTCGTGACGGGGTCTGCCGTTGGCCAGGCGCCCGGGGTAGTCGCGTTGGAGCTTGAACACTGGCCTTTGAAGGTCCTGAGTGTTGCTAGTTGCAATGTTCCGGATTGTCTTGCCAATTCCTAGACGCTTGTTGATACCATCAAGATGCTTCTCTGCTTGACATCTCAAAACATCGGCAGCTTCGTCATTCTGCGGTGTCATCATGGCTGCCATAGTGCTTGCATAAGTGCCAAAGATCGGTGTCACCTTTGCAGTGCTGTTGAATTCCACGATCTTTGACAACACTGCGAGTGATGCTTCAAGAGAAACATAAAACTTGACATCCGGATTATGCATTGATGCGGACAGTGCTCGAACGACAGTAGCAAAGAGCTTTTCGCCTCTGATACCTCCAACACCGTACATGAAAATGCAGATATCGCCGAGATGGCGTTCGAGGAGAGGGGATGACATGACATGCTCTTCGGACAAGGCGCGGAACAGAGGCACAATCTGAATGGTGAAAACATGCTCCGTCGTCTTGTCAGACATAGTGTCGAAGTTCTGACTGACCAACTCGAGGATTCTAATCAGACCGCGATCGGAAGCAAGAGTTCTAACGACTTCTTGTCGGCAAGCATTGTCGAGGTTGACAAGCTGCAAGGTCTGCTCGAAAAACTTACCGAGCCCGAAACCGAGCGGTTGACGTTGAGTTAACTGTTGCCTCCACTTGTCGAATTCTTGTGTAGTGGTGTCATCATCTTGATTTTGACTCGTGCGGTCATGCGAAAACTTGCAAGCAGTACCAAATTTGCAGCCTTGTGGTGTCTTGAAGAGGTTGCATGGTCGAAGGCGTGATGTGTGCCCTTCATGTGTCAAGTCGTGGCTGAACTTGCATCTGGCGCCATAGTGGCACTTGCCTCGCTGGAAGGCGTGGCATATGCCTGGCTTGCGATTCATGACTTCGCGATGTCAGAACGTTGGATATGATGATGTGATGCTGTAAAACAGTGGTGTTATGATCTCGGAGAAAAAAGTGGCAAGGGGAGCGAGCAAGGAGAAATGAGGCAAGGTTGAAATGAGTGCAAGGAAAAGAGAAGCGCAAACAGAAAGAATTGCAAAGCTCTGCACGGGTTGGTCGCGTTGTGAAAGACATGCGTGTTTCCGCTGTTGGGTCACAGAAACACACAGAAACCGACGGCTTCGCGTCTTTCGAGAGCCAGCGCAGTGTCTAAGCTGCTGTCGCAAAGCAGAGTAACTTCCAGACTACAAAAGACCTCCATAGGAAGTATGCGAGATATCGGCTCTCCACAAGTAACTATACCAATCTGAAAATCGTTGTATCTTTGAACAGCTGTTTCCATGGAGCCCATTGTTGCTGGGAGTGTGTAGATTAGCTGCTGTCCACTAATAACACTGGCTTTTTGAGAAGCATCATGCCTGTAGATAGCTGCCTTTGGAAGCTTGACATTACTGCGAGCATGGTTGGTGTGTCTCACAATCTGCTATATTCGCTTTGATACGCAATGTTGATAACAAACCTTGTCTGAGGCACAAACACGCCTGCGAGGTGAGAGACTAGTCTATCACGGATGTTCGTTATTTCTGCAGAAGGGCACGTTGCCTTGTTTACCTAGCAGTTGCTATCCGAAGGCGGTGAATGCGATCGACGGCAGAATAGCGCGGTCCCTGGGATTCTGACATGACCACCTACTGAGTTAAGACAAGACGATGTCGTGGTTTAGAGGAACCTATAGAAAGAGACATGTGTATTATTGCAAGTTCAAGAAGCCCTGTATGGAGCTGCAGAGCTGCGATGAACGCATTACAGCAAGAATATAACTTCCAAAATGCCTCTCAGATTTGATCGCATCCGAATCGAAGCCGAATTAACAAGGTTCGAGGCATTTGCTCCTTCTGTGTATCAAGCTTCTGTAGAGAGTGCATTGTGCGTTGATTCGGCTAGATGATGTGTGCTGTTCGTAGTCGAGAAATCTTTCAACAGCATTAGTGGCGAGGAACATCAGGTGATGATGGGTGCTAAGGATGTGTCTAGTCGACGCCATTGCGCTTTGAAGCGTTTCCAGGTGCTGCTTGGGCGCGGCAGCTTGATTAGTCAGTACGGCACAGCTACCTCATGTATCGCATCTAGAAGCAAGAGCGACAGGTGTTGAACTTTCGATCTCTGTATTCATTCGTGTTCTATTTTCTGTAAAAACACGTTTCCTGCCCTCCGATGATATTTTGCGACAGCATGTCATCAAGAAAGAGACATTGCGAATGAGGGGAAAGCAGGCGAACTCTTGGTGACGAGAAGGTCAAGCAGTGGATTGACAGTCTTGCCCTCATCACGACTCCTTGCTTAATGGTTCTTCTTCCTGACATTCACATCTTGATCACATTCGGCACCCTCGAAAAGCCTTTCTCTGGCTTGAGGATAACGACGAAGAAATGACGACAGACCACTCAATGGTATTTCCACTGGCGGAAGAGGACAAATGCAAACTATTCCAACAACAAAGAGGTAAGAAAAATGGACACTGAATCAAAGAGTCCAGTAGAGGAATGAATCGATGATTGTGGCTGATGTACACAGACTCAGCTGCGGGACTCTGGGTATCTGGATATGTTGCTCCTGCAAAAATGAAACCCGAATGTCCTCATGCACAGATCTCGGAGTGCTCTTTTGAACATACTCACAGCTCCTCATCCTCATCAATAGCTTGGGCAGGTGGAGCGGGGTGAGCAGGCTGAGTCTGAGGTGCTGATGTGCTCGCAGAAAGAGGCGATGCACCAAGAGGGACAGAAGGATGAGTCGTAGGTGCAGAACTAGGACCTGTGAGGCTGGGCTTGCTCAGAGGGCTTGCATCGACAGCTGGGCGCTGTTTCTTCAGGGGACTCTCGGTGTAGTCACCTGTAGGCTCGGCGAGAAGCTTATGACTGGCCTTGTCACTAGGTGAATCCAAGGCCTCGGTGATGTGCGCGGTCGAGGAACCGATGTGAGGAGATTTGCTAGGGGTGGGGTTGTTGAATTCGCCCGAATGCTGACGCTTGAGCTATGAGAAAATCAGTCGTGTATGGGACAGCGTAGGATTGCTAGATGACGAACTTTGATGTGGCGGACACCCTCGGCCATCTCCTCTTGACGGGCACGGTCTTCTTCGGTCAGGATCAAGGGGTTACCATTCTCATCTTTGACATCAACATCGTCCATGTCATCACGAGCGCCAGGCTCCTCGTCTTCTTCATCGCTATCCATTGTATCGGCGTTCTTCGAGCCCTTGCGGGGAGCGAGTGCGGCAGGATCGCGGTAGCTTGAGAAACCCTTGGTGCCTTGGTTCTTCAAGGGACCGAGTTTTGAGAAATCAGTGCTACGTTTTCTCGCGACGGTCGAAGAAGTCTTGCGGCTGGGTGCGATGACGCCCATCTTTTCGAGTTGCTCTACAGAAAGGAATTAGCATGTGCAGGATAGAAAGTGTGAAGGAGAGGGGAAAGGTGAACGTACTAGGGCTGCGGTAGTAAAAGGTAAAGGTAGCAAAAGGGCTGTCTGGGGGATCGATGCCGGTGACAGTTTGTGTGCTAATACTCTTGGGATCGAGCGTCTTGGGCTTGTCAAGGCCGGTGGTATGGTCGACATCCTCATCCTCGGCGGCGTCATTGTTAGTGCCTTCATCGTCGTGGACGTCAAATTGCGGTGAATACTCTCCACGCTTGATCTCGCCAGAGGCAAGAACGCGGAAGAGCACAATCTTGATCTGACCAGCAGCCTCGCTCTCAGGCATGTCCGAGTCCGAGTCAGAATCAGACATGTCCTCGTCTTGCATGATGGCCTCTGTGGGGGCGCCAGTATCTTCGCCGTAGCGCAGGACGGTGTTACGGTCATAGCGGGGCTTTTCCTGGTCGTCCTCGTCATCACTGTCTTCTCTCTTGATCTCCCTCTTCTTTTCCTCGCGTTGGCGCATCTTTTCGAACTTCCTTCTACGCTTGTCAATCAGAGCGGCTTTTGCTTCCTTATCGGTGCTCGTCAGATCCAGTCCGTTGAGCCAGCGTTCCAGGCCGACCTCGCGGAAGAGGAATTCGCGCTCAGCCAGACCGCCTCCTTCACTGTCAGGTATGCTGACCCATCTTGAGTTTACCCAAGTCTCTTCGCCTTTGCGGAGTAACGTGGCGACTTCCTCTTTTTGGCGGCCGTCAAAGTAGATGTATGCAGCGATAGTCTCGTTTGGCGATGAAGTGCGGGGCTGGTAGGGTGGGATAAGGACTTGAGGCTTTCCAGTCTCAGGATCGATCGGCGCAGGCTCTTTCTTGGGCAGACCTCTGGTCATACCAGTAGTTTGAGGACCGACATAAACAGCTGAAGGGTTGGGGTTGGTAGGAGTGGGGCGCGGAGTCGAGTAGGGAACTTTCAAGCCCTGAGTGAGGAGAGTGATGGAGACGGCAAAAGTCGACTGTTGCGGCTGACCGGTCGTCGAGTTTGGCGGGATTGTAGGCGCAGGGACGGGGATGTAGGTGTTGATGCGACCGAAGCGCGACAGACTCTGGACACCATGTTCGGAGAGGGGCCCTTCCGGTGTGTGGATGCTGACGGCGATGCCCTTGAAGCACGGCATGCTGGAGAGTCCTGCGAGCGGTGCCTTGGATGTGCAGGAGGATTAGATGGCGCTGCGAGTCTTGTCGGACGTGGCTAGCATCCAGGCGCGGCGTGTCGACGAGAGCGTGTTTGCGTCAAAAGTCGATCCAAGGGGCGGGGTCAAGTGAAATGATGCTCGACCGTCGAGTGTTTGCGTCTTGTGACTATCCGAGTCGGCGACAAGCTAAAAAGACACGGCCAACTGCTGTTGATGGATATGCACAAGGAAAAAGACAGCCTCGTGTGCTTTACATGCACGAAAATGACGGCCTTCCAATGATTCTGCTATGTCGAGCTACCACCAACTTCCAGACCAAGTCCGTCTGCCAAGCGACACGCCTGCATTAATTTCATGTGACTGCCTTATTTTTGTCCCTCCGACTTCAATTTCAATCTTTGCAGCTAATCTCTTTCTCACTTGTCTCGTGTTCCCAACTGTCTCTTCCATTATCACATGCCGTGGTTTCACATTCTGTACACCTCTAACCTTGTGCATTCATATGCTTGTTTCAAAACACAGTCAACCATCGCCATCATCGACACTTATCTCCCAACACGCGCTATGACGCGTGTCGCGTGAACCTTATTGCCGAGGCTTGTTTTCTCCACCTCCACGCTTGTCCTTGCACCAACTCCAACTCTGGATCTCAAAAGCCGTATCATGCAAGATCTGACTCGCGAGACATCATTGGTCCCACGACTAGGAGGAGGAGTCTTGGGGCGATCATGTTGTGTTCAGCGTCAGAGTCGAGAAAGGACCGAGAGAGTCATAGCGAAGTGCGGCATGACTTTGGCAGACATTCTTGTAAGGCATCTCGACACCAAGTGCTTTAAAAACCACTGACGAGGACAAAACGAACGGGAATATGGACCTTGAGCATTTGATTCATGTGCATTTCCTGAGCTCTCAGGAGTACCATCTAGAAACCTACATATCTCGACAAGAGTGTCTTCTTGCAGCGCTGCACTTCATCATAATTCCATCTGGGCCTTGAACTGTGCTCCTCTTATGTCATGATCCAGAGTCGGCACCCTTGATTAATTCAACTACGCATTGATAGTCTCCTTAATCAAAGCTGCCAATCGCTGATAATCCTTCAACAGCTCATCTACATCTTTAATCCTCAGATCCTGAGCATTCTTCGCCTCCACAAACCTCTGTATCGGAGGGGTTGCCTTTTTCAGCAACGCCAAAGCCTCCAAAGCATCCAAGTCTGGTTCTGGCTGTACAGCACTAGTTCCATCAGATTTCTCGGACTCGGGGATGTGACCTAACTGCTTGGTCTTTTCGGCCATAGCAGCCGTCGAAGCGGCAGGTGTGGTTGGAGTCGAGGAGCCACTAGCAGAAGCTGAGCGACCGAACTTGCCAAAGCCACCAAAGCGTGAAAGGGGGTTGATGGAGTTCATGAGATTGCCCATAGACTCAACCGCCGACTGTGACGGAAGCGACGAGGAAATGCCATTATTTGTGAGTGCGAGATTTGGCTTCTCGGCGAATATGACACGCTTGCCACTGCCTGCGCTGCGATTACTGTCTACACTGCGTTCACGTAGACGACCGCCGACCAAGTTGAGCATGGTGTTATCTGTGCGAGGCGTGGTGAGAGGGTCTGCGGTCGGACTAGCAGATAGTGATTCTGCAAAGTTTGGATGGCTATCGATGGGTACCAGAGGTGGCGAACTAACAAGCTTACGAGCATCCTCTAGCGTCCTGGGCATAACGATGGGAGAGTCTGAAGTTCCGGCGCCTTGCTCTTTCATACGGCCGAAGAGGAACTTGAAGCTATTCTCTAGAGTCGAGTTGATGGCATCAAAGGCCTGATCGGCTGAGTTCATAAGTTCATCTCGACCGGCTTCGATGCGTTCGGCTTGTGCTTGTATCAAAGATGAGAAGCGTCGTTGTGTAAGACCAGGCCGTGAAGGGTTTTCAAGAGCGGCTTGTGAAGGAAGAGGCTTGATAGATGTGTCGCCTGGACTGATATCAGAGGAAATGGCTGATGTTGTTGTTAATCCGGGAGCAAGCGCTCTTGGACTAGATGGTCGCCCGAGATCAGTGGATCTCTCATGACGAGTTTCTGGGTGTTGACCGCCTTGAGGGGCTTCGTCGGCCCTAAGAGACGATAAATCGACAGTCTCGAGAAAGGAGATGGCGGCTTCGAGATTGACCAGACAGTAGGCAGCCTCACCATCAACCTTTGCACGAGCACGGAAATGTTGGACGAAATGCAGATTACTGATGACGTTTATCGTTTCTGGCTCCGAAGTCATCAAGGTGTAAATGAGAGTTGGAAGGACTTCATCAGCAGAAGAGGTCGAAGGAAAGATGCGGGATAGTGTTTCAACAATGCTTTTGTGAGCCTCGGTAAGCATTTGCAGTTTTCCAAGTGGATAATGATGGTCGTCCATTCGTCGAAGGTGGTCTCTCGCAGGAGCAAGCAATTTGAATATCTCATCATGTAAATCCTTCTCGTCGGTTGGTAAGCCGTTGCCCTTTGCTGGCTCAATATCGACATGCAGCTCTTTCAAGCCAATACCGACCAGCGAAAGGGCAGCAGTCCTTGAACGAAGCTTCGCGTCTCTTTCCTCATCATCGGCACTCCTGTGTCTGTAGATACGATCGTAGACCTTTTCGCACACGGCTCTCTCAACAGCTTCCTCCAAAGCCAGTCTCTTGATCTCTAGATCTCGTCGAGCTTTGCGGCGATCGGCAACCTCCGAGGCTGTCAGCATCTGCTGCTCTCCTTGACCGTTCGGAGAGACGGCCTGTTCGGCGCTTTGTTTCCTGCCTTTGAGTGTATTGCCCAGAGCCTTTGTCGCAGCAGAACGCGAAGGCGACTTCTCCCTTGACAAACGAGTGGACAGGGTTGCGATGTGTGTTGAGATGTGAGATTCTGCTTGTTCGTAGAAATCTTGGAACAGTTCGGATATGGTATCGATGTTTAACGGGTTGGCGTGAGTCTTGACGGACAGCGACTTGAAGAAACGCTCGCTCAGGCTTCTGATCTCGATAGGGAGTTGGTCCCATGTGGCAGGGACATTGACAGTAGGTTCTTCGGCCTTTTCCTCATCGACGCTCTCAAAGACATCGCCGTGTGAGAAGGAGGCTATGTCTTTTGCTTCAGGGATGGTCTGAATGGTGCTCGCTCTTGCGCGGGAGGGGGAAGGTGGAAGGGATTCGGGATTCGCTTCCAGACGGGTGAAGGATCTAGATACATGGAGAGGTCGCGGCCTGGGAGGCTGTTTTGGTGAAGACGAATTGGACATGTTGATGATCTACAGGGTCGGTACTTGATGAAATTCCCGCGATGTCTGGAGAGTTACGGCAAAGGTCGGAGATGGAACCGGTCGATCTAGTTGAGCGAGTGGTTATGGGCAACGGTCATGCAGGAAGAAGAATAGACAAGTCAGACGAGCAATCATGTGTGAAAAGGGTTGAATATGTCGTGTGCTTTGTGGAAACAGGAACAGCGTGCTCCATTGACTCGGGCGTGACCCCACCTTTTGCGTCGTCGTCTCTCAGCCACTCTCCAATCTAGCCACTCTCTCCAGCCACACTTTCCCTTTGTTGATGACATCGACAGACGCCAAGAAAGCTCCCACTAATGTACTAGGTATCGTCCACCCGCATCCCACGGCCATAGGCAACCGCGGTCACTGATTGGAACATACCTACCTCACAACCTATATAGGCTGGGCGTTTCTTGTATGTCGATGGGGTTTTGGCGTTGCAGTTCGCACACTTGAACTCTCGTGATTCACGTCTTTCATGGCTTTCCTGGGCACGAACAGAGCATCTCTGGGTTGTTCTTGCAGTCCTTCTTGATGTGACCGTACCGCTGACATATAACGGAGGCTTTCGGACCTATGTTGCTCTGAAACACAGATATCTGAACGGCACATCCGAACATAAAATGTCTTTGCCTTTCTGCTGGATTGAAATTGAAGCAACACTTTGAAGCAGCTGCTTCGTGTCAGGTATCGGTTCTCATCTCAATCGAAAAGACACTTCAACGGCCCCTCCCTAAAGAATGCCTCGTTCTTCACCCAGCCTTCAACCACAAAATCCTTTCCCACCTCCACAATCCTCTCAATGTGCTCCTTACTTCCCCAGCCCTGGACTCTCGAACCCCAGCAAATCAAATGCACACCAAGATGAACCGCAGTTTTAAACGCCAACTCCTCGTCAATCTCTCCATAGCCCCCGATGAAAGCTTCGATGAGCCACGTTCCCGCATCAATATCCTTAAAATGCTTCAGCTCAAAGAGTTCTGCGAACATTTGGCCGAGATCTAAGGCTTGGGACGAGACCTGGCAAAGTTCCCAGTCGATGACGAAGACTTTTAGCTGATCGGCCTGATCAGGAATTGGGCCATCGGGTAGAAGAATACTGTTTCGGCAGTCAGTACAAACCGCAGCTTCATCTCGCTGAGTAAATCAAAAACATACTTCCCACTCCAAAAATCCCCATGAATCAACACCGCTCCGTCATCCAAATCCTTCCTTACACCCTCCCTGACCGTCTCAAATAAACGCCTACTACCCTCTAAGATCTTAGGGTAGGTATCAATGCTTTGCACCAACCTCTCATAATTGATCATGAACTTCAGATCCCGCATCGCCACATTACCTTGTATGCTCTTCACCAGTTCCTCCTGCTCTTTTGCCTGTGCCCAATCATGGAATTTTCTGGTCCAGAGCCCGAGAGCATGACCTAGACGGAGGCATTGTGGATGAGTGATGGCAGAGGCGTATTTGAGGACATAGGTTTTCAAGTCTAGGGAGGAGGGAAGGTCGCTGTAGATTTGTGTGTTGGTTTCTGGTGAGAAGAGGTGCAGGGTAGGTGTTTGGACGGTGATGTTCGAGTGGGTGGATGGTGAGAGGCCGAGTAGTGCTGTGAGGACTGTTTGTTCGTAATCCTCGATGCATGTTAATTTGTTGGTATGCGAGTCATGTTTGAGACGTGTGAGAGCTTACGCATCGGGTTGTGGTTAGCTTGAAATTGGGACTTTGAGCTACGTAGCCTTCTGTATGTTTGATGACTACCGTCTTGGACCCGTCTTGCAGAGGAGCAGCTAGAGTGCCTCGATACACGAAATTGGCGGTGCCGCCGGAGAGTTTATCAAGAGATGTGCAGGCGTAGGGTCCATCCCGAAGCCATTCCTGGACCTTGAGCGATATCTCATCAGGAGTGTCGGTTGACATGCTTGTAAGCTGAACAAGTTGTGATTCGTGTATCGAAACGACACTACTTAGGCAAAAGTCTGGTCAAAAAGCTTAGAGCAAACTTCGACTATCGGAACTTGTGAATGTGTGGTGATTCCAGATGTGTAGGTCTTACGGGGAAGATCGACCAAGTGCTCAAGTACTTCGCATTCAATAGCATGTTAAAGGAGTATGATGAGTCACGCCGACAGAGAGAAAATGGATCGTGCTTTGATCAGCTACCTAGGATCACATGACTATGCTAGTCGAAGGATTTGCACCTAGATTAAGTAGAACTAATAGCGGATGTTGACTACGCTACTCTAGGGTAGAGAAGGGATTCTATGTTGGCGTAGTTAGAACGCACTATGAGGCGTCGCTTAAGGTAGTTGATGGCAACACATGAGGAACACATCACCAAAGCGGAGGAGCGCTGCGTGAAGGAATCCGATCCGGGGTAGCAGCGGCACTTGTCGATGACATCGACAGACGCCAAGAAAGCTGCCACTAATGTACGATCGTCCGCCCGCATGACACGGCCATAGGCAACCGCGGTCATTGATCGAAACATCGCTCTACCTCACAACCTAATCCTCTCCGTCGCGCCATGATCCATTTGCCCTCGTCAAACTCTTGAGTAATTCTTTCACCTGCGCACCTGCGGAACACACCATGAGAAGCAGCTTCGACCTTCTTGTCCGTCTCCTCGCCTTATCTCCGCTTGCTGTCGAGCCCGCCACAGCGACCCGTCGCGATCGACCACAAGAGGCTCTGCTACTGCCTCTACCTCCCATACCCATCGATAACGCCCCTTTGCCGACCCGACAACATGACTTTACCCTGAGACACATCTACCACAAGGGCTCACATCAATACCCGAATCTCTTGCGCAAGGTCGACATCACGCCCGATGTTGTTCTCGACCACGTTCAAGATGGGGAAGACAGTGAATACGCCGCTACAGTCTCGGCTGTAGACTCATACCGTGTCAACTCGGGTCCCATGACGATAGAACGTCTGGCCGATCGTCGTAGGTCTACTATCGACCGCCTACTCGAGGCTGGTCAGATGCGTGGAGAAGCCGTCTCTCTGCCCGCCTCTTCTTGGACAATGGACGAGCTAGACGCTCCGAATATTACCGACAAGGAGACCGTTCTCGCATTCGCCCGCATGGCCTCCAACGCCTATGTTCTCGTGCCACATACTGGAGATTGGGTCGATGTTGGAGGAGGCTTCAACTACACAGAGGACTTTGGCTGGGAAAGCGACGGCTTACGAGGTCACATCTTTGCCGATACTACAAACAAGACGGTCGTCATTGGTCTAAAAGGCACCTCGCCTGCTGTTTTTGACGGTGCAGATACAACCGGTAATGACAAATTGAACGACAATCTGTTTGGAAGCTGCTGCTGCGGTTCAGGCGGCCAGCCCATGTGGAAGATTGTCTGCGACTGCCAGACATCCGCCTTTACTTGCAACTCGACATGCTTGGTCAAGAGTCTGCGTAACAAAGCTCACTACTATCAAGCAGCCCAAGAGCTGTACCACAACGTCACCGAGCTGTATCCTGATGCTGACGTCTGGCTGACTGGTCATTCGCTCGGTGGCGTCGTCACTTCCTTACTTGGTCTGACTTTTGGCCTGCCTACCATCACCTTTGAAACTTTCCCGGAAGCACTTGCTGCTAGTCGTCTTGGTCTCCCTACCCCTCCTGGCTACCACATTGGCGATCACAAGAAACGACCCCACACCGGTGCCTATCACTTTGGCCATACTGCCGATCCCATCTACTCGGGAACTTGCAACACCGCATTCTCTGGCTGCACCATTGGCGGATACGCTTTTCAAGGAAAATGCCATACTGGAAGTTCATGCACATATGATACCGTCAAGGACTTTGGCTGGAGACAAGGAATTGGCACACACAAAATCAGCAGTGTCATCCATGACGTGATCCTGAAGTATGACACTGTTCCCACGTGCGAAAAGGATGAGGACTGCATTGACTGCTATGAATGGAAGTTCTTCGAAAGCAACGGTACCGAGACCACCACTAGCTCGTCTTCCACTGCACCATCGACCACTCGCACGAGGACCGAAACTTGCAAGACTCCAGGTTGGTGGGGATGTCTGGACGAATCCACCAGTAGCCTCATCACGGTTCCAGTCACTACTACAGAGACCATCACAACGACAACCTGTCTATCGCCTGGCTGGTTCGGCTGCAAGGATGAGGTCACGACGACCGAAACAACCACCGTGACGAGCAGTATCGAGACACCGGCGCCAGCTCCAACTGTCACCACAACATCGGCTGCTCGTTCTTCCTCGTCGCCTCACACCTCGTCAGCCTCGAGCACAACATGCAAGTCACCCGGCTGGTTCGGCTGCCACGACTCGACGACTACGACCAAACACCACGCAACAAGCACTTTAGCCTCAAGCACATCCACAACCGAGCACGAATGCACTTCCAAAGAATGGTTCGGCTTCATCTGTGTGGATCCTTCAGCCACACAATCAAAGCCAAAGCCTACCTCATCACACAGAAAGTGTGTGAGGAGGAATTACGTTGGCAAGTGCAAGGAATGGAATTATGGCGAGGGAAGTGATGACAAGACTGATTTATGAGGTTATGCATTTCTACATTTGCACAGGCGTTCTTGGTGATGGGGTCGCATGAGGTAGACATATGCATGGGGTACGGGGGCTTGCTCTTTCTTGTAATCTATTTGGTAGCAATGTGACTTTTTTTTCGAATACCTATCTCGACTGTCTTGACCAAGAACATGATCAGAGTCGTAGAGCATCGGATCGAGGCTCCCAAGATCATGAATGTAGCTTCTCGCTCGCTTTGTAAGCCTTTGCATTCGCACTTCTCATCGTACTTTGAAGTTGTTTCGATGTTGCAAGTCCGCGACGAGAGGCCAGAGCTACTGCGAATGCTGTGCTTTCTGACCGAACTTTTGTAGGCCCGGCAGCCCCGCTTGTCGAGTGAGTTTGAATCATTTGCGACAATTCACGTCCCTCATCGTTTGCGATCTCTGCTTCTGCTGCGACTGCGCGAGCCATAGCTGCTGTAGCTAGGACTTCTACGCCTGCCACCTCTGCCACCTCCGCCGCCTCCTCTAGGGCTTCCTCCCCGTCTTCTAGGTGGAGGGCTGCGCGTCACACTTCTACTGCGACTTGGGCTCCTGCTCCTACGACTAGGGCTTCTGCTCCTCGGGCTGTAGTCTCTGTTTCTCGGCGGCGGTGCGTCTCTACCAGCAGGACTAGGACGATAGGTGTCACCCTCATCCCCGCCGCCACCTCTTCTGCCACCTCTTCTTCCACCACCGCCACCGCCTCTTCCGCCACCAGCAGCAGCCATATCCCTATAACGATGCGGCTCTCCGAATCTATTCGGCGGAGGACGTCTAGCAGGTGGAGATCTACTAAACCTTCTCCTGGGCAACACAATGCTGACGCCAATCTTCGCGCCGTCGAGCTGGCCTTCATGCATGTGTGCTATAGCGCTTTCGGCTGCTGCGGGGCTGTTGTAGAGGATATACGCCGTTCCGCGGTTTGTGTTGAAGGATTTGTTTAGCGGCATGTCGAGGTCCGCGATTGCGCCGTAGGAGCTGAAGATTTCGGAGAGATGGGCTGGTGTGACATTTTTGGTGAGTTTCTCGATTACAATCTATTCCGCATTGTCAGCAAACGAAGTTCTGTGAGGGTTCAAGAAGTGGACGTAGATCTCACTTTCGAGCTTCGAGGCATTGGAGGTGAGGGGCTGCGATCGCGGCCGCGAGATGTGCTGCGTGCGCGATAGGAATGACTGCGACTACGCGAGTGAGCGGCGGGGCTGCGTGTGCGTGTGCGTGTGCGTGTTCTGCTGCGACGAGCTGGGCTTGGTGAAGGTCGAGGAGAGATTGAACGACGGGGTGATCGTGAGAGCGAGCGCGAAGCTCTGGGGCTCCGACTCTGTGATCGAGCATCACCTCTCGGTGTAGGCGACCGTGAAGGCATGTTGTGTGTATGTGAGTAATGATCGATTGATGATGTGGTGCAAGTAAGCGCAAAGGTGAAAGATGCTCTGGGCCTCTGGCCCTCTGGGCGGATTCGTGACGCAAAGTCGATAAAGTCCGAGCGTTTCGAGGTGCTTGACTCGTGTAGCAACGCATGACGTCTTGGCGGTGATAGCGGTCGAGTCAACAAAAGCACCCGAATGGCCAGCCGACTTGACTCTCTGATATACGCGACAACAATGATATTCGACAACTCTTGGCTAAAGACAGCCGCGGCAACTGGATGGCTCTCAATAGCACTGGTTCCAGGCATCTTGGCCTCTCAGCCGACAGCTCCTGAACCCGTAGAGGCTCCTCTTCGCAAACTACCATGGGGCCAATTGAACTTTCTCCAAACTACCGATTCTCACGGCTGGCATGGAGGTCATCTACAAGAGTCAGTATCATAATGAGGCTGTACCAACTCGTCTGACATACTTGTAGGCCTCAATACTCGGCCGATTGGGGTGACTACATCTCATTCGCCCACCATCTCCGTCAGAAAGCCGACGATGACGGCAGCGATCTCCTTATTGTAGACACTGGCGACAGGGTGGAAGGTAATGGTCTTTATGACGCCTCGAATCCTAAAGGTAATTACACGTTCGACATTTTCAAGCATCAGCATATAGACATCATCACCTCGGGCAACCATGAGCTATACAAGAAGAACTCTTCCGACAACGAGTTCTATCACACTGTGCCGAACTTCAAAGAGGGCTACATCGCTTCGAATCTGGACATATACAATCCCGAGACTGGAAAACTGCAGCCTCTTGCACAGAGATTCAGGAAGTTTACCACGAAGAACCAGGGCATCCGAATCATGGCCTTTGGTTTCCTCTTCAACTTTCAGGGCAATGCGAACAACACCGTCGTGCAACGTGTTCAGGATACTATCAAGCAGAAATGGTTCCAGGACGCAATCCATGAAAAAGACATTGACCTCTTCGTCGTCGCTGGACACGTTCCTGTCTCTGACTCGAATGAGTCTGATGCCATTTACAAGGCCATCCGTGAGGCAAGATGGGATACCCCGATCGCTTTCTTTGGTGGACACACCCATATCAGGGATTATCATAAGTTTGACAAGATCGCCTATGGTCTTGAGAGTGGTCGCTATATGGAAACTATCGGTTTCATGTCCATCTCTGGTCTCAGTCACGAAAAGGAGAAGGTCTCTGATGTCGTGCTCTCTTCTACCATCGATTTCAAGCGCCGTTATATTGACAATAACTTGTACTCCATGTACCGTCATTCTGGCAAGAACGAGACAACCTTCCCCACAGAGGCCGGCCGTAACGTGTCTGTATCCATTTCAGCTGCTAGAACTCGGCTGAATCTCGATCATGCATATGGCTGCGCTCCGAGAGACTACTGGCTTAACAGAGCTCCTTACCCATCCGAGTCCAGTATCTTGACATGGCTAGAGAATGAAGTTCTTCCGGACACTGCCGGAAACGTCACCAAAACACCTCAGCTAATCATCACCAACACGGGTGCCATGCGCTTCGACATCTTCAAGGGTCCTTTCACCATCGATACCACGTTCCTCGTGTCGCCCTTTACAAGCGGCTTCCGCAGGCTCAAGAATGTGCCCTACAAAGCAGCAAAGCAACTTCTGCAACTTCTCAACAACGAAGGCAAGATTATGCTCTCAGAAATGATGGTAATGAGTGCCGTCCACAGAGATCTGGATCGTCCCAGCCTATGGGAACTCGCACCTCCAAACCCACCTGTTAGCCCCTGGACACTACAAGAAGTCCAACACGATTTTGACGATACACTTGGACGCGACTCCAGTCAAGAAGTTATGAACGCCGCAGGACGCGGAAATTCAGATAAACCACTCTCACCAGGCTACACTACCAAAGACGACGCAGGTAAAGATGGCGATGACACGATCCACGCTCCCATTCGCTTCTACGACGTCCCCAATTGCATCCAAGCAGAAGTCAACCTTCCCAACGACAAGAAAGATGTCGAGACTGTAGACATTGTCTACAACGAATTCATTGAGAGATGGATTCTTCTAGCTTTGAGATTCCTGGGTGAGGACTTTGGAGTCAAGGATGCAGAGACTACTTTTGGCGGTATGAGTTTTACGGATGTACTTAGTGAGTGGGTGCATAAGAACTGGGCTTGCTGATTTTTTTTCTTTTGTTATAATTCTTAGGAGGGGATTTGAGGGCTGTTTATCCTTTCTCGGCTTGTACCTATCATTAGACAATATCTACGCATATGCATATATTCTTTCTTGCTACAGGAAATCATGAGACGATTCAGACGAGCCGTGACGTCTGCCAGCTTGATTTAGGACGGCAGTAGCATAGTCAAGAATATGTCTGTTATAGCCATGTTAAAGGCTCTGTACACCAAGGGAGCGTGAAGTTGTGGACAAAAGCAAAACGAAGTGTTGATTGTGTCCCAGATAAGTGTATGAATGATTGCGCCTATGCTTTATCCCTGTCCTCATGCCAGTTCCGTAACGCCCTGCTATATCTGCAAACTCCTCGCCAGATGCCGGTATGTTCCAAGTCTGATTTGCTTGAAATTCTTCGAGTCGACGGTACTGATTCCGTCCAGACCGCGCAAGAGGGATGCGCTAAAGGCGACCTCTGAGATTTTCACGACGATTTCCGGAGGGGTCGAGATGGCAGACTCAGTCCAGAAGTGCGATAGTTCCCAACACTCGACATGGCCGGCTTGTCCTACTTGCAGTACTTTGCGATGAATTCCTTTGCGTTCTTGTCGAAGGTCTCGCGGTTGTTTTTATACTCGTCGGCGATTCTACTTTCAACGGCATCATCGGGTTGGGGGGCGGCGAGGATTTGGCGGACGAGGATGAGAACGTCGCGGATCTTGTTCGGAGGCTTCCATTGGTCGGAGCGAAGCATGCCTAAGCACATGCTACCCTTGTCGTCATTTGTGACATTTGGGTGGTAGATTTTTGTCTTGAACGAAACGGTGGGTGGCTTGAAGGGGTACTCCTTTGGTAGCGAGACTTCGATCTTGAAATTTGCGTTCTGGAAGGAGGAGGATGGTCAGGTGGTGAGTGAATTGGGAGGCAGCAGACATTACGCACGGCATAGACAGAGTCCTCAGGGCCCTGCATGACGACGTCCCATAGAAAGACGTTGCCTTCTTCGGCGAGCTGCACCGATGTGCCTGGCACGGGGTTGTTCGATACTTGGCCGAGTTCCTGCGCGTCACATTAGTCTGAGTCGAGTGCGCGTTCGTCAGTGCAGCTTACGGTAACGATTCTCTTGTTGGCCATGATGGATGAAGAGTGATGTGTGTAGAAGAGAGAAGAAGGAGGGCTTGACGAAGAAAGTTGCATCAGCTCTCACGAAGGTGTTTCACCTGCGGGCCGTGAGTCCGTGACGCGGGGTCGATTCTGGGTGCGCCTGGAACGCGGGGCCAAGCTTGAGGTCACTTCCACCCAAACATTGTCACTTCCCACCTCTGTCCCCTTTCTCGACTCTCCTTCCAACTCTAACGCTTGCACCCTTCAACACCTGCATATGTGACCTTCCCATCAACGCGTCCATCCCGTCAACCAGGCAACATGGACGCATTGCAGATCCCTCCTCGTCAATAGCTGCATGACCACGGCGGCTGCTGCCTAGTAAATCACACGCGCCCAATCGGCTGCCTGCAACCTCCAGCCTCGCGCCAGGGGAGAGCGTGACTCTCGACGCGATAAGTAGAAATCTCCACATCTTGTTCCCTCTTTCCTTCCTTCCTCCACGCACGTCAAAAGGTCGCCGACAATACACCCCCTCCAAGCATTCTGCATAAGTACCGCTTTCTTTTTCGCAAGAAGAAGGTAAGCGGCCACTGCCTGCGAGAGCTTGTCCAGTGCGCACCTGTTTCCTTTCGAGCATCACTCATGCTACGCGCGTCAATCTTCATTCGTTTATAAGCTCTCTTCCTCCCTCTGCTCTATCTTCCTGTCGTGACAATCTCCTCTCCAAGATGTTGAAGCGTTCTTTTGGTTTCAAGGATCGTGCCGGCAAGGCTACCAAGCCTGTCAAGAGATCATTCCGTGATGATGCAAAGTTGAAGTTGATGGAGCAGCTTTCTCAGCCGTCCAGTCCGCCGTGTGCTGCGTACGTGTCCTGCTCTCATTGACTCTGTCTCCTCCCTCGGAAACCTTTCTGCTTAACAATTGACTCATGCATTCACAGCCAAGCCTCACCCAGGCTCAACAGTGCCATAGTCACCATAGTGGTAGGCAAGGACCAACGTCTGTTCGCTGCCCACGAAGACGTCCTAAACACCTCGCCCTTCTTCCAGTCGGCAGCAAAGGACGCCCTCTACACTTCTTCCTCGCACTCATCCCGCCGCATCTTCCTCCCCGACGAAGAAGCAGAGACCTTCTCCGCCGTCCTCGAATTCATGTACAAAGGCGATTACTTCCCACGTCTCCTCCACGACCGCAGAAGAAACATCTGGGTACTCGAATCCATCGACGACATCTCCCCCAAATACCAAGGCAGAGGCAACTCCGACACCGTCACCACCTTTAGCGTCAAAGTCAATGGATTAATCTTGCGAGATACGGCGATTTACTGCCTGGCTGAGCGATTTGGGCTTGAAGAGCTCAAGAAGCTATCTTTGCGTAAGCAAGGCTTGCAGTCGGGTATTGAAGTAGCCACTATCTTGCGCAGTGCAAGATTTGCATATGATAACACTCCAGAGACTGATTCGAGGTTGCGTGCGCATTACCTTGCTTTGATTATTCGCAGCCGCAACACTTTTAAGCGTAGTGGTACTATGCAGGTGGAGATTGAGAGTGGTGGTCGCATGTTCTTTGATCTGTTTGTGGCCATGGCGAATCATATTGATGATTTGACTGAATTGAAAGAGTGAGTCTGAATTTCTCTTTTTGCCATCTCATGTTTTCGTGCTTGGTTTTGTACTTGGCTACATTGCTAATGCTTGACTTCTTTGCAGCACTCGCCCTTCTCGTGTCGCTTGATTCATCCTTCGCTGTGACCTTCGTCTCTCAGGTCAAGCTTGCTTCCAGGAATCCATTTTCTCGACATCCTTCTATCACATCACCACCTACCAGAAACCCCAAGCCAAAAAATTGCTCATCACTACCTCGATAACTCGGACTGTGCCCGGGTTGATCAACATTTTCCTCTTCCTCTCTTTGCAACCCAAATTGTCAACTTCACGAGCATATCTTTCGACTCGATTCGATATTTCTTTGACAACCAGATTGGCAATCACATCTCATCTCATATCTTACGACCAGCAAGAAAAGAGAAAACTCAGCAAAAACAATTTGGAAAATATGATTCAATCTTGCAGCTCTTTTCGACGAAGGGGGTTTCAATGATACTTTGGCTGGGGGAATTGGTGTGGAGATTGATTTGATGGAGGATCGCAACTCTGTTCTGCTGTTTGGTTTGCTTGATACTAGCACTATCCGGCACTACACTTCTCTGTCCTTTCCGCAACCAGGATGATGACTATGCTGAAGTATCGGTCTACAATACTTTTGTAGTTGATATGTAGCAGCAGCATAATCAAAGCGAACAAGACAATTGTCTCGTTCTGCCAAAGGCCTCCTTTCAAAACACTCGGTCCTGCACGCACAAGACGTGGTATCGAAAAGATTGAATACATGTTATTCTTCGAAGAAAAATGTGAGCCATCTATGCAACTTCCACCAATTCATCCTCGTCATCAATTTCCTGAACCTTTGGCGGCTGAGGCGGTTCCTCACCCTCTCCCTCTTCGTCTCTAGCAATAATCTGCACAACCCTATCACAAGCCTCTTGAACATCTGGACTCTCGGTGTGCAAATGCAATTCCCTCATTACTGCATATACATTTTTCTCTCTCATGACATCTCTAGATTCTCTTGTTGTAGTGAGCAAAAGCAGAGTTTCGAGATGGATGATTTGAATGTCAATTTCCGGCTCGCGTGTCTTGTCTGGAGGTAGAAGTTGGAGTTCTTCAGGCATTGTTTCCATGTCTTTGTCGTCGTATTCTTCGGGGCCCATCAAGGGGAGGAGGAGGTAAGGGAGGATGTTTAAGCCGCCGGAGGTTTCGTCTGTAGACAGCATTTTGGCATGAGCGTCTGTGTCGAAGGCGGCGTTTTTGATGGTTGACGCTACACCTCTACGTCTAATGGTAGATGTGTGTTCGGTAAAGACGATAAGTTTCGTCAATGGGATGATATTCTCATCTTCTTCGCGAGGAGTGAGGAAGTGTTTTCTGCCTTCTTCGTATTTTGAAATATCGGCAAAGACGTAGCAGAGATAGTCAAAGTTTGCCTTTGGGTTATAAGTCCCTTCTTGACCTTTTACGAAAAGATCCAACAATTGATCAATCGCAAACGGAGAAGTACTCAGAGGTTTCGGGATATCGCGTTTCAGTGTGAGGAGTGTCTTGAGATGATCATGTTTTGTGAGGTTTGCGAGTAACATGGCCATTTCATCTGCATTTTCCTCCTTTGCATTTGTGATGCGTGATAGCAGTTGTTCGAGGAATTGATCGTCTTCGGCGAGGTACTTCAACACTTCTTCGTCCGAGGAGATGTTTACGAGGATTGTGAGGACGTTTTTTGCTATGGGTGCGTAGTCGCGGATGAGGAGTTTCATGTCTTTGACGGGCGTGAGTTCTTGGTATTTGAAGAGGGAGGGCTGTGCTGTGGAGAAGCCGACGAGATTTTCGACCGCTGAATTACTTGTCAGCAGTTGCTCTCTACTGTTCAAGGAATTCGAGGTGTTCGGGGTGAATGGCCATACCGATTTGGCGGATCTGGGTGTTTCCATGGTGAAGAAACTCAACGAGCTGCGTGTGTGGTCAGCAGAGGTCTCCGAGTCGCAGATTGAATTAGACTCACTTCTTCGAGTTCGGTAGGCATCTTGAGTGTTTGTTGTGACTGTCCTCTCTGAATTGAATGCGACAATCTTTTTTCTTTGCCAATGACGAAGTGGAAGGCTCGAGAATCCTTATCTCTTATCGGGGATGGTCTTGGCGTTTTCATGCGCTCCGCTGTACGTGTGTTCAAGGCTTGCCTCAATGGAGTGCAGCAGTACCTCTGTTGACTACAGCGCTGGCTGGTGAGGCTAGCATTGAGAGCAGTGAAGATTGCTTTCACCTCGACATTTTCACCCCGTCAGATGCTCAGTCTTCTGACCTACCTGTGCTCTTGAATACACATGGTGGCGGCCCGAACTTTGTCAGTCGCTCTAACGGAAGTCTCATCGTTGTGTTAATCCAGTATCGACTAGGTGGCTATAGTTTCCTCTCTCTCCTGATCCCATCCAGGAAGATGGTTCTGCTAACGTCGGACTATTCGGTCAAAGATCTGCCATTAGATGGGTGCAGCGCAACATCAGTGCGTTTGGCGGTGACCTCTTTAAGATCACCATCTGGGGCGGAAGTGCAAGCGGAGGCGCGATTCAATTTATCATGTATGGCGGTGAGCCTACTCCTCCATTTAGGGCTGTAATCCCAGAATACCCCTAGATGCAGACATACAAGAATAGAACAACTTTGAACGCACAATACTTCGACATCCTCTCGGCCAGCAACTGCTCCACCCTTGCATATCTCAGGGCTCTGTCTGGACCTGCACTCAAGGATGTCATTGATTCTTCGTATGAGGGCGGTCATACGAAAGACCTTTGCGCTCAAGATTATTGAATCTCGTTTGCCAAGACTTTGGACCCAAATGGAGATGCTGGAGTACAGAGACCAACGTGGCCCAGATATCTGGGCGACGGCAGAAATGAGACTGACTTCTCGGTCTTGGAAGTGCAAGATGGTGAGGTCGGTGTAAAGACTGACGAAGATGCTAATTTGACATGCGACTCGGTCGCTCTGCTGAGGTCATGAATTGAGAATTGTCCCGAACACCCCAACTACCGTTTACCTTCCTCATACAAAAGGCAAACTCGTAGTATTCTGATAACTCCCCCTCTTTTCCCCACCATGCTCAACTAAAAAATCATGCTTCACCACAATCCCCTCATCCTCCAAATCCACACTCTCCGCCGTTGCCAATTTACCCCCAAACTCTTTATTCTGAGCACTCACCGAGATGAGTTCGAATTCACTATCATCTACAGAATCTCTGGGTCGAGATATTCGTGTGGCGATTTTGGCGATGCGGCTGCTGGGGGCGGGAGGGTGGGGTTCGGAGGATTTGTTGTAGCCGGATGTTGAGCGGGAGGAGGAGTGGTTTGCGACGGTGCGGGTTATCAGGACTTTTAGACCAGGGAGGGAGGCGACGATTAGGGAGGTGCACATTTCTGCTGTGCACATGACCGCTAAGATTGTGGTTAGTAGGGGCTGGAGTGCTAAGAGTGGAGGGTAGTGTGTGCATACCTCCATCGTTGTCACCGAGGTCGTAATTTGAAATTGTGTAGATCATGAAGCGACCAAAACTTATGGCCATGGTGATCAAGCCTAGGGAGAAGACGGCGATGAGACCGAACTTTTGTCTTTGACGCAGCTTGAGAGACTTGATGATGAAGAAGGGGATGAAAAAGACTGTAGATCGTGTCAGCATATAACTCAAATTTATGAAGATGGGTTCTCCATACGTATCACATCCGCCGAGAAATTCAGTGTCCAGTTGACCCAAAAGTCGGCCCATGAATTCCGATAGGCCTTGCTCATCATAGTTCAGAGACCAGTTGTAATGGACGGGAACACAAAGAAGGACATCAACCAGGACAGCGGCGATGGCGGCGAGGAAGATGTATACTGTGGTGATCCAGAGTAGAAACCGCATATTTCTAAACACAATCGGGATAAGCCACCAGTAGAAGGCTGTGATAGAAGCTTTGGGCATGAACAGTCCGACATCGAAGAAGAAGCATGATGCATAGACAGCCTGACACGCTGTTAGACTAACAACAGTAGTGAGACTTGATGTTGACATACCTTGAGATATGTTGTCGAGTCGGTATATGTAGCGTCCACAAGTGGATGCGTTCGTGCAGCATTCAACGCAATGCCTTGACATAGTACGAATAGTATCGTGAAGACGCAGCCCACCCAAACCAAATAGTCAGACAAGGTAAGGGCGCGTGCTTCAATCCTCAGGCGAACGAAACATCTTAAGCCAGTGATTGACAATGTCAATGTGAGTAAAAGTACCTGAGCTATCTGAGAACTCCAGTCAGTCCAGAAGAAACAGACTTCAGTAGAAGACAACACTCACAATAGCAGTACTGAACTCCATCGGAACCAAACCACCGGAGAGAAGAGGTCGAGTCGAAAAAGACTCGTGGGGGAAGTGGACCTAAGTTCTACTGCCACGAGGAGGCTCCAGATCCACATGTACCTAAACCCATTGCAATCTACCTTTTCGACCTGCATACCTACAAGCATCATACAAGAAACTCAAAACGCTCCCCAGGCTAACTCTAAATGTAGCACACGCTACTTACCCAGAAGAGCCATACGTCCAAGTGTCTGCACCTCAGGTACCGAGTCCCAGCATCCGAACAGGAAAAGCGCAGCAAAGCGTTATCTGTAGTCTATGAGCTGTTGAGCGGTGCTGACGATTTCCCACTCAATGCCGACCCGGCAGTGACATCCTCCCAAAGTCTGGATCTTCTCACGGCCCTCGAAGTCATCGATCAGAATTTTCGACCGAAGATACCCGCTACGACAAAATAACCAAGCAAACCCGTTATGATCTTGAATAATGAAACGCTGGTGCCATTGGCAAAGGTTCAGCCACAGTGTGTTGCTAATCAATTGATGCGAGCCGCGTCTTCATCCTGCAGCGGATATGGAAAGCATACTTTGCGATTGAAAGTATGATAACAGGAGGACGGAGGGACACTGATTCATGTCCTGGTCTGAATACCGTCAATTCGCGATTCGGGGTTGTTGATGTGGACCGAGAGGCACTGGGTTGGGATCTGCAAGCATGTTGACAATGATAAGGAGGACAGAACCCAGGAGCATTTCGGACGCGGTGAGAGACCTATCGACTCGCTCAAATGTCTAGGTCAGAGAGATCAAGAGGAGACCAGGTGTCTCCACGCCATCAGCCGCCGTGGTCTTTGCTTCAGCCGCGCCGATGATTGACAGAGCCTCACACGGTCGCATTGTCTTCAAGCTTGCATTTTTCCAAGTCAAACTCGGTCCGCATCGCGAGCAGAATTCATAACGCCTTTTGGCTATCGTTGATTGTTCTTTTCCCTTTCTCCTTCGCTCTCAATGTCTTAGGCTTCAACCAAGCACGTACCGCGAGAAGGCTCAGCTCTAAAAGTTGCACTGAGCGACCGAGCAAAATTGAGTTTTGCTTGGTCAAGTGAATATATACCCCAGAGATGGAAAACTCCTCAACCAACAGCTACAGGAAAGCCCAGCTTTCACATCTTCCGTGGCGCAATTGGCTAGCGCGTTCGACTGTTAGATTTTCGCAAGGAAATCTGTTATCGAGAGGTTCCTGGTTCAAGCCCAGGCGGAAGAGCTTACTTTTTGGCTTTTTCGCGGTCGATATGCATGGATATATTCGATTTGCTCTGGTCTGAGAAGCGAACAGTCGAACGCACTAGCCAATTGCGCCACGGAAGATGTGAAAGCTGGGCTTCTTGCGCAATGATGGTGTTGTCGCGAGCGACAACACTGCTTCTATTGCAGGCTAACTGCATCTCGCGACCTTGGTTTTTGTCACTGGTGCGCGCCTCAACTGCGAAGGCTTGGTGGGATGGAACCTTTTCCTTTGGCTTGGTCCGAAGCGTTTGTCACCGAGCATGTTCGACGGTCGCCGCTGTTTGCATCAGTTGTGGAGCCACGAAGCTAGAGATATCACAATCACCTATATCTCCTTCGTATCTGCAACCTAGAGCACAAGACTTGACAGACGACTTGATGATGGTCTGTTAATCTTGCAACATGAGAACTTACACGTGAATGTGATTCTGAGGAAGATGAACGTGACATCAGCTTCGGCAGATGATGGCTGTGGGAAGCACCCTGGTCTCTGGAAGCTGGAGTACAGGAGTGAGAGAGCTTAACACAAGGGGAGGAAGCAACAAGTTGGCTAGAACTGCTTGTGGTCTTAGGTAATTGAATTCATGGCAGCTTAGAGATGCAACATTTACTATCATCATCATCATCTCCGCTAAAAGCATGCTTCATCAGCACTTGACGATGCAACATGCGAGAAACTTGATCACAGCCAAGGTTATCTCACGCGCCATGCGCGGAGATATGCTAGCATCTCTCGATTTCTAGTAGAACATTCTCTCGGCGTAGATAGTTCCGTTGCCAGTGAAATTTCCAGTTTGTGTGGTGAAGTCGCCATCGTAGGCAAGAGAATCGATGCGTCCAAGCAAGAGCTCGATGGAGCGGTATGCGGCGCCAGGAGCGTAGCCAGGAAGTTCATGGCCGGCGAGCTGAGCAGTGTAGAAAGTGAGACCTCTCTCGGAACCGTAGTATCCAACCTTGCCAGCTCCTGAGAGAGCACCACCGTTGTACTCGGGGTGGTATGGGACGATAAATTCCTTGCCAGGGTACTCCTGAAGACCTTGCTTACCGTTCCACTCGATGCCCTGGATAGCGACAAGAGTACCGTTGGTGGAAAGCAGCATGTCCAGGTTACCTGAACCAATGATTGTATTGTTGGTGAACTCGATGACGCGCTGGAGGGTACCATCGAGAGCAGGGCCGGGGCTGGTGTCGCTCAACGATTGGTTCTGAGTGGCTCCACCGAAGACATTGACGCTGGTGCATTGCTGCCAGTTGGTGCCGACAGGAGCGTTGATGGCTTTCTGGACGTCGGTGCGGTTGAAGTATACAACCTCTCCCAAGGGAATGTAGTCACCAGTGTTGACACCGCCGAGAATTGACCATGGGTGAGGACAGGTTCTGTGTGTTATTAGCAAGCTGGTGTGGTAGAAGAGATATGTAGCACTTACTCGGTGATGTGGTAGATGTTGAAGCAGGGGTTGACCAGAAGGATTGCCTCGTAGACAGTGTCGAACATGTCACACTCGTAGGTGTCGGAGGCGTAAGGGTTGGGAAGAAGGGGGAACTTCTCCTGGGGCGGAGGGAAAGTCAAGTACTTCTCCAAGTACGAGGTGTAGTTGCACTGGTCGGCGCGGTCGTGGATCTGCTTCAGGAAAGTGTCGTTGAGGTAGATGACGTTCTCCCAGTAGTCGACGTAAGGCACGATGACAGCCTGCTGCTGGGCTGTTTCATCGCCAATGATGGGATCGTTGATAGCGATACCCTGCAGGTTGTAGTACACAGAGTCGGTCATGTTGATGAAGACATCGGCAATGTAAGGTACATAGAAGCCTGTAACGATATCGACGTATTAGTCCAAGTCGTTGTAGCACAGAAAGGAAGTTGACTTGCCTGCGTAGGATTCGCCAGTCAGGTAGACCTTCCAGTTGTGAAGGCCAAAAGCGTCAACGAACTGCTTGTAGAAGCCAGCGAATTCCAGACCAAGTTCAGCTTCGTTGGTGATGTTGGGCACACCCTGGGAGAAGCCGACTCCAACGGGCTGTTCGACCTGTTGAAGAAGATCAGTACACGGTCATTGTTCGTTCCTTACTCTTCCATACGTACCCAGAGCATGTTGGTCAGGTTAACCCACGTGTAGGGGTTTTGGACAGGCTCGAGCGTGCCAGCTTCCTAGAAGACGGTAAGTACGTGTCATATATATGGTATTACTAGGCTCGGCGAGAGGAAAATACCCAAGTAAATGGACCGTTCTCCGTCAAGAGTCCACTGAGCGAACTGCATCCAGGACCTCCGTTGAACCAAATAGCAATCTCCTCGGTGGCGTTAGGATTGGTCGAGGGGAAGAACCAGAAGAAAAGCTCGCGTGTCTCGTTGGCAGCACCACTGATGGGCAGAAGACCAGCGTAGGACTCGCCAACATCAAACTTGACATCAGGGATGGCAGATCCGTTTACCCAGAACTCTGTGACTTTGGTTAGTTTCTGCGAAACAGGTCCCGCCAGAAGCCTGAGAAGAACTAACTCTCGGTCGCATTGTTTAGGTAGGGCGAAGCTCTCTTCTGAAGTCTAGGGTGTTCAAAGGGCTTGCCAATCTCTCTCTTTTCAATGATAGGAGCCTTTGCCCTCAATTTCTCCGCGCGTTCGAAAACATTGCGGCCAGGCGAAGAAGCGCTGACTGAGGCAGCCAACCCAAGGACGGCGCCAATCTGAAGTAGTGAGAAGCGCATAGTAACAATGTCGGGAACAATTCTCCAAAGAATGTGGATGCTCAAATCAACGGCGCTGGCGGCAAGCAAGAGTTTATAACAGCCTCACTCGCACCTTCCCTCGCGTGCGCACACCAAGCAAATCACGGAACCCCCCATCTGTTGGTAAACAATATCATAGCTCGACACTGATCATTCCCCGGTTAGGCAGGTTGAAGTTTAAACATTCTCGTAAAACATAGATAAACGATGCCGTCATGGTGAACCATCTGGGGCTAATCGATAGCACCTGCCCAGGAAAGCTTAGGCGCAGGGCCAAGTTCGTAGTCAATTTCTTGACCCTTGCGCGTCTGACGCTTGTCGAGTTTACCATGCGGCCGAGATAACGCGCGTTTGCTCGTTGCGACAACCCAAATGACTGTGTCAAGGATATCGGAATGAGACGCAAAATATCCGACAGCGTTCGGAACTCGTACGTACGAGTAGCACAACAGCAAGTCAAGATTCGCGGGTTGGGCTCGGTAGCGGGCAGCCTTTACCGACGGAAGCAAGAAGAAAGAACGAACCTGCTGCCATCCGCTTGATCGCGTGCACAGCATGATCTGATGCATAGAATCTTGGAAGACCACACTGACCTGCCTAATCTGCTCCCTTGCTGTTTGCTCAGTGATACTGTCTGCTGGACAGGACGGCCCACAAGAAATGTCGCGGTCATGATCGCTGTTTGATCAGTTCCAGGGTCCAGCCTATCTCTTATACGGAGTACGAAACCATCCCACCCGCGATGCACAGCGTCATCGACGCACTTGGAGGGATTGTCATCAGCAGCGACATCAACTTCACCTTCTCTCACGTAGCTGTCCTTCTGCTAACATAGGACACGGTTACTTTGTGCAATCAGATTCTGCCTATTGAGAACGACGACAGGCACGTTTTTCCCCCAGAATCTTACTATCTAGGCGAAGGCTGATTAACGACTCAGACCCCTACACAATTGTGGTTGCCTCAGGACTGACGAGATCCTACACACCACCTCATCCGCTTAGAGCAGTTCTGACCCAGCGAATCGTCTGAATCGGTAGCAGGTCGTCCAAGAGTTAAACCAAGTTCGCAGCTACGGCGTCAATCAACGACAAAGGCACAGTAACGGATGTTCTACGATACGGCATCAAAGCGTGACTCTTGATAATTACGTTTGGCAGCGCATTTTACACGTACGGCCATAGTCAGCTGAAAACTGGGCATCCCGTCCGCTCTGCCATACATAAGCAGTTGAACGGCAGATTAGTACTACGGTGGGTGACCACGTGGGTATCCCTGCTGCTGTACGTTTTTGTATTTTCGACCGGTACATGGCTCCGGTATACACTTGTCGATCGCTGGGCTACCCTTCGGGCTAGTCGCGAGTTTTTTGACCGAGCAGAGACTCATGTACTAAGGTGCTGCATACCACACCTTCATGCAAACGAGACCTTGGACTGAACGTGGATACCAAAAGTACCAACCTTGTCGACAATTCGGGGTCTCTGCATGTTTCGGGCCTCAACCAAAAGTTGTCGTCTGGCCATGCCGCACGGTGCCTCTGTGGAACACATTTGCGTGGCTTAGCCAAAAGGTTCTGGCCACGGTCAACATCGCGCCACATGTCGGCGCATCGTTTGGCCGTCAGTGGTCATGTACCTGCAGTTTTGCTTAGAGTCCATTCCTAAGGCGACACAGCCGAAGCAAGTTTTTCCGATTCAGAACTCCCATACGACAAGTTCGTCAATCGATGGTAATTCCTTGCCTCTCTTGAACATTTACGAACCGTCGTTCCCGGTCCCTCGCGGCCCAACGCTTGCGTAAGCATCCACGGAGAACGCGTCGGGAAGAAGTCAGAAAGATGAGGCTGACTCAGAGTGAGCCTGATGACTCGAGTAGCCCCAGCTTTGCGCACGGGAAGATACACAAGCAGGATTGTATGAATCCAATTCGAAAGCTGCTGAGCATGGCAGTGATACTTTCGAGCTGCCGATTCTGAGGTCTTGCAGTTGACAGCTTCTATAGACTGAGGCTCTTTGCCCGTCGATTCCCGCATGCTGAGCATCATGGGCTTTCATAGAGCTTGAGACACTTTGCAAGAACTTCTCGATCTCGCCACCACGACAATAGAACCCCACGGCTCTTCCGACAGGGGGCGGACTTTTCTCCGTTCAGGGTAAAGTCTAAATTAATTTGTTTGCCACCCGTCAATGGCTGGCACTTAAAATGTCCGAAGTCCTGTACATGCTTCTAATTGTCCTTGATTGACGGGCAACGTGAGCAGCCCGTCTCTTCACGTCCAATGCTATCCGACTCGCATGGCGTCTGGATCCTGTGTTCCCACTGACGACCTACCGACCAATGCCTCCGTGGATTTATACCAGGAGATCACGGACGGTATCCAGGACCTGCTTCTCGTTTTAACCGAAGATGGTCGCATCCTACATGCATCGACAGCAAGCCATTCTTTGCTTCAAACTGCGCCACGATCTCTTATCGGGAGATACATCGCTACATGCATGAGTGTCGATGACATGCCAGCATTTCTTCTGGATTATGACGCAAACATGGAGGCGGGAAGATCCTGGAGATATTATCACAGGCTTCGTCGAGCTGACAAGAGCTTTGTGCCTTTCGACTCGACATTCAAGTCATATACCGGCGATGTGACGCTCGGAGGTGTCCTTCTAGAAAACACCAGGATGTGTCTGGTTACTGCGAAGCCCTACAAGCTTCCCAACACATCCTTGATGGACTCCTTTCTCGAGCAGTGCACTGAACAAGCTCGGCTCATCAACAAGGTCCAGCATTTGCGTCGAGAAGAATCAGAAGAGTCTGATGCTGAGTCAGCTACAGCACGGCGTGTCTTGATGCATCATGCAGAAGATACAAAAACGACAGGAAGCGATGATTCTCAGGACGACCCAGAAATCATCAACGGTAAACCACGAGTGGACTCTGCGATAGGAGATGAGGGAATCGGCATGGCGCCCTCACGTGTCCAATTAGCCTTCGACACTGGCTATTGGATCGCGAAACCTCGTGCAATGAAGCGCAAGTTACAAGATCAGAAGGCGCATCTGTGCAATGATTGTGGATCCATAGCCTCTACAGAGTGGCGGAAGGGTCCCCTGGGTGCGAAGACGCTTTGCAATGCTTGTGGTTGTAAGTACATGCGCGCGAAACATGGACGTGGAGCTGGTACTAATTCGCGGTTGCTTAGTGCGCTGGGCCAAGTCTCAGAAAGTCATAGAAGGTCGGAAGATCAAGGTAGAGGAGGAGCAAGAAGACTTGAACATGCTGGGGGAGGTCTAAGACCAACATGCCGGTTCACAAGATTCATTAGAAGTGTAACTACAGTCACGAGGCGCAGCGCTGGAATGCAACACACAATCGACTTCATGAGAAGCTCGGATCGCACAACACATGGATTGGGGAGCCCGTTCTCCTGGGTAGACTATACAAAATTATACTGTATCATTCGTGGTAAGGTTCGACATTATATACTCATCGTAATCACGTCGACCGTGTACACCACTACTCACAAAGCCGTGAAGCCAGAAGTGACCTGAATATCTCTACTGCTAAATCCAGCTCTGACGCCAAACTGTCCAGCAGGAATAATCCACTGCTGCTGCACAGCATCCCAGAAACTCAAGTCTCTTCTCTGAAGAGCGAAAGTGACGGTCTTGGTTTGTCCGGCACCAAGAAGCACCTTCTCAAAGCCTCTGAGTACCTGGACAGGGGTACGTCCGAACAAAGCATCAACAGGCTGAGAAAGGTAAAGTTGAGGAATGGCGTCGCCGGCGATTGAGCCAGTGTTCTTGACCTTGACGGTGATCTCGTAAAGAGTATCGTAAAGCAGCGGGTTGCCACCAGGAATGGTGCCGGCATCGGCAGGACGGGCTGTCAGGTTCTGGGCAGCAAGACGATGAACCTTGACGTCGGACATACTGAAGTTGGTGTACGAGAGACCGTAACCGAACTCATACTGCACAGACAAGTTGTAGTAATCGTAGTGACGGTAGTCAATCAGAAGACCTTCTTCAAAGTCTGCTTGCCAAGCGTTGGGGTCTTCGGTCAATCTCAACTCAGTAGAGTTGGTAATGCGAGCGAAAGCATAATCGGACTCATTATAGGCTATGGTGTAAGGGAGCTTTCCGCTAGGGTTGTAGTCACCATAGAGGACATCAACTAAGCTGTTACCAGACTGCTCTCCAGCGAAGTGAGCTGCGAGAATAGCAGTGACATTAGGATGATCAGCCCAAGGCATGACGATAGGGCCTGATGTGTGCGTCACAACGATGGTGTTGTTACAGTACGCAGCAACGGCTTCAACGACAGCTGTACCGTTCCAGTCTGGTAGAAGGCTGACCTTATCGTTGCCTTCGGAAGCCCAGGTCTTGAGCATGACGATGCAGGTATCAGGATAAGGGAAAATTGCGCCGAAAGCAGCATTTGGCGTAGGGTCTGTCAAGAGTGTGTTGTTCAGGTTCCATTGAAGAAGAGTGCCGTCCTCTTTAGTGCGAGCCTTCAGGGCGTCAAGAGGAGTCGACAGGTAAGTGAGACGACCCGTTCCACTTCCTCCTCCAACCGATAGATGTCCTTGCTCGAAGTCACCATTGCCAGTAAGAGACAGTGAATACAGACCGTTCTCCGGATCGCCAGCGTCGTTACCAAATACAGCGATGTTTCTTGGCTTGTTAAGAGGTAGAGCGTTGTTTGTGTTCTTCAAGAGGATGGTACCTGCTGAGCCAAGTTTTCTGATCAAATCTGCGTGGTCGGCGCGGACATCGATGTTCGCTTCTCCAAACTGGAAGGTATCGAGATAGGGCTGAACACCAAGAATATTGACGGAGCCACTGGCGGGATCAATCAAAGGATAGTCTTGGTCCTGTCCGAGGAAGAAATAGGGAGTCATGATTCTGTGAGCAGCATCATCAATCCTCGACATTGGAACAGTTCCGTTGTTGACAGCGTTGGTCAGATTTTGGCCGTAGTACGATGGTCCGGCTTGGAAGAACGTGATGGAACCTGGCATGTCTTGATCCATTCCGGCCTCGATATTAGCCACCCCTGCATGTGTGGCTCCCCCTTCAGTCGATTAGCTTATTTCATCGTGAAATCGGACAGCTGCCTTACAATCAGACATGACATAGCCCTGAAAGCCGAGCTCTTCCTTCAAAAGACCGTTGAGAGCCTTGCTATTTTGGCAAGCGTAGGAGCCATTCAACCTGTTGTACGAGCACTGTAGTGACGTTAGGAACATCTGCTTTACTTGACTAACATCCATATACTGACCATCATTGATGCAACGCCAGCTTTGACCGCATCAGCGAAAGGCCACATGTAAAGCTCATGCATAGTTCTGTCGTCGATATTCGCAGAGACAGCTTCGATAGTCCTATTGTTGGGTGATACGGTGGGATTTCTTTGAGTTTCTTGCTCATTGCCGATCCAATGCTTTGCGCAAGCCTGGACACCGGCTCCCTGGAGAGCTTCGATAGTCTCCTTCATAGCAATACCAGTGAGGTATGGATCGGGCGAGAAGCCCTCCCATCCTCGACCCGCATCGGCAGATCTTCCAAGAGGTCCAGCCTGTAGTGGTTGGAGAATCAGTATGGGCTTCATCAACGTTCAGATGACATCTAGTCCCTTACCACCGGTGCCAAGGCAACATGTGCACCTTTATCCCTAAATTCGGCTCCAAGATACTCGCCTCTCTGGCGGATTAAGTCACGGTCCCAAGACGAAGCAGCAGCGAGACCTGCCGGGAAGACAGAGGCATAGGTTGCTTGTCTAATTGAAAGCGGGCCGTCTTGTAGACACAAGCCATTGAACCCGACTCGGCGAATAGGTGCAATGTTACCTGCATCATGTAAGAAAACCAAAAAGACTGCCTGCAACTCATCTTACCAATGCAGGGACCCTTGGGCTCTCCCGTAAGCAAGCCAACCTTTTCCTCAAGGGTCAGTTGAGAAACCAATTGCTTTGCTTTCTGCAGAGCATCTTCCCAACCGATACCAGTTGTGTTTGCTGGGTTCCGTCAGTATCACCAAATCGCGCATGCTTCAGTTCACGTACGACTAGGGAAGACACCAGGGCTACTTGTGTATAACGAATGGTCCCAAGAAGAGTTCTGAGCAGCAATGTTCTGCCCGAACAGGAGGAGAAGTGCTACGCTCGACTGAAGGTTGTACATACTGAAATGAGGCGCGATGATTTGGAAAGCACTGAAGCGGCGATACTCGAGCCTTCTTATACCGTAGACATCTTCCCCGCAGCTACAGTAGGGCTCCAAGAAGACAGAGCAGTGGGGTGCTCATAATCACAACATACTTTGAGGGGGCTTGACTTTAGTTCCCAGTCCGCCTCGCTGTTCGCGATCGAGTCAGAAAAGGCGTTCACTGTCGGCCGAAAGTTGGTATGGAAGCGGCGACTCAGTCCTACTTTACCTGCCGAATATCGGAAGACAACCACTGCAACATCGTGACACGGTCCCAGCCCCCAGACAATGACGGTGATCCTGGTTCCCCACGGGCGTCCGTTTGCGGGGGTGGTGTAGCATGTGGATCCGCAAGCACTAGACGCCGGTCCAGGACTTGGCTGTGAGATGGGGACCCCGAAGCGAGCAATGTGGAGTGTTATTGTCCATTACCATATGCACTGTTGACGTCGTTCGAGCTATGGCTTGAACAACACGAGCTTGGTTTTGTCGTGGGTGGAGGTTCTGGTGACGACTGTCAACAACAACCTCAACTTTCGAGTGCAGAGCCGAGCGGATCAGGCATCAAAGTTTATACTGAGCCAAAGTTTGACCCAATAGTACGTCGAGTATCAAGCCATGATCGCTAACAACAGGTATACGACCCTTGTAGACATGAAAGGCGAGCAGGAGGGAAGAACAAAGTCTGAAAAGTGTAAGGTCTTAGCTTGGCGTGTCGATCAAGATTCATCAAACCGGTCGGCCGATTCCGCACTCTGCTTTCCCGCATGCCCAGCCCTGTGCGGGGTCCTCGGGCTATGTTGTCCGAGTTCTTTCGGACTTCTTCATTCCCGAATCATCGCCATCGCCATCGCCATCGCCAGCACCATCGCCATCTGCAGTATCGAAGTCTCGGTCTGGAAACTTCATCTCCGCACGCTACGCTGCGCATTCACGATGCGGGGCACGGAAAGTGGCTGCAGAAATATCTCGGTGGAAGGCCTCGTGACGAGGGACCGTAGTTCATACGACGCGGCGGATGTTATTGAGGAGCTATGGACAGCCCTCGGTCTTCCATCAGAGACATTGTCGCGTGTCGAACTCGACGCTGACATACCTAGCTTACCATCATCGTTCAGAATAGGGGTGATTGCGCAAAGCTCTATTGCCCTGGTCGCGCTTGCTGCAGCCCAGCTCTACGCCGTGCAGAAAAAAGTCCAGGTGCCGAAGGTGAAGGTTCCTCCCCGACACGCCGTCATCGAGTTCAAATCCGAACGGCTTTACACAATAGATGGGCAAACACCATCTTCGCCTCGTGATACTATAGGAGGACTCCACAAGACCACCGATGGACACATTCGAGTCCATGACTCTTTTCCCAATCACTCCAATGGCATGCTGGATCTGGTTGGCCTTCCCCGAGGTTCTACGCGAGAGCAACTCGCCAAAAGGATTGCTAATTGGCGCAGTCTTGAACTTGAAAATGCTGCGACCGTGCAGGGAAGTATTGCAGCGTACGCTCTGCGATCTTATCGCGAGTGGGATGTATTGCCTCAGTCTAGAGCTATCAGTGATATGCCCGTACTGCTCCAGTCTTTGCCCTCGGACAGCCACGGGAATTGCCCCAGAAGGATGAGCAAAGGCGCAGCCAGGTGTCTGGACGGTCTGCGAGTGCTAGAGATGAGTCGTGTGATAGCAGCCCCTCTATGCGGCAAGACTCTGGCTGCTCATGGCGCCGACGCTATCTGGATCACATCGCCGAGCCTTCCAGACATACCAAGCATCGATCGTGAGTTCGGACGAGGTAAACGAACAGTCCAGCTGGATATTCGCAACGCAGCCGACAAGGCCAAGCTATTAGATCTCATTAGGGATTGTGATGTTTTCATCCAGGGCTTCCGACCGGGCAGTCTTGCGAAGCACGGCCTATCGGCCGAAAATCTGGTCAGGCTCAATCCCAACATTGTGATTGCAAACATGTCGGCATTCGGCCCAACGGGACCTTGGTCGCACCTCCGTGGTTTCGACTCATTGGTACAAACTTGCTCAGGCATAAACGTATCTGAGGCGCAACATGCAGGTAATGGAGAAGCAGCTCGTCCACTGCCCTGCCAAGCTCTAGATCATGCAAGCGGCTATCTGCTTGCATTTGGGGTCATCGCAGCACTATACCGTCGTGAAGTCAAAGGTGGCGCCTGGCAAGTAAATGTCTCACTAGCTGGCACCATGAAGTATCTACGCAGTCTGGGACAATACTCAGGAAAGACTGGTTTCGAATGCGATGACTACAAGCAGCAATCGGATGTACCTACCGAGTATCTGGAAGCTAGACAGACTAGTTTTGGACATATGGTAGCAGTCAAGCATAGCGCAACGATTGCTGGTTGCGAAGTCGGTTGGGAAGTCATGCCGAAACCGCTAGGATCGGACACCGCAGATTGGCTATGAGGAGGCATGCTCAGTCTAATCATGTGCATATGCAGTAACAACATTCTCGCCATGTCAATGCATGGTGTCTGTATTCTGGAAGGACATGCGTACCGTCAGCCGCTGCTTCTTACAAGCTTCAGTTCGTGATGTCTATGAGCTGCAGTTATTGAGTACATGAGGCTTTTGTTATCAGAAGTGAGATTTCGAATCAAATCGCAACTATGGACAGCTAAATCTGCACGTCGGTAGAATCTCTCCTGCGCGGAATACTGTCGCACTCAAAGCTGTTTCAAGGCACTATGCTTTATGGATCGGCAGCGATACCGCCGAGATTCATCTTCTTGTCTAGTCTCTGCGTTAGCTTTGTTGGTACCAAGTATCATCATGCCTTGCCACATGTCTTATTTGCTCCGATATGCTTATGGCACGACTGTGTTTTACAAGATGTGGCCCAAAAAGAGGGAAGAAAACGGCCAACCGCTATGCATCCAACATCTCAGTATCTCCATCCGATTCATGTAGGATGACGAAACCGTCAGAGTTCTCATCCTCAGTATCGCTTGGATCGACATTCATGTTCTTGACAGCCCGTGTCATTGCCTCGTTTTTGCGAGCTTGTTCTCTCTTCCAACGACGCTGGGACCGTGGGCTTGAGTCGTCACACCCTTTGCTGGGTAGTACATCTTTCTGTCCTACAGATCTAACACCCTTCCGTCTCTCAAGTCGACAGCGTTCGAAGCCGTATCGTCTGACCTCATCATCCCAGAAGGTCTTTGTGAACAATTTGCTGCACCAATCCATATGGACGGGATATGCAGTAGTCCAAGACGCGCCATAGGCCTCTGGCATACCTTTCGGAAACACTTGCATATCTTTGTCATACCACAGTAATTGACCAGGAAAGCGTTGTATCATGAACCCATAGGGATTTGTAGGATGTCTGTGGTCTCCAATCGGGTTGACATGGCCCCCGAAAATCATGTTCTCCAACTCAAAGCCGAGCTCGTTGATTGGGCGGTCTCCCAAGTACGGTTCGGCGGGATTAGTGTGCTGTCCAAGTATCCAGAAGCAATGCGCGAATTCGTGTACGATGGTAATGGCGAGGTGGACCTTGGTACGCAGCCTTGCTGACTCTTCGTTGATCCCAGGGGACCACGGCATTGACCATTGCTGCGCACCATAGCCAGGATCTCGACGAAGGAGTTTCAAGAATTCTTCGCTCAGTTGCATCAAACAGAGACCATGCTTTATGTTCCTAAATGGGTAGTTGTTAATACTTGCGGACTTGGATTGGCCTCCTTGAACAGATTCAACTCACCAGCTTGTTGTCGCGTCGCAATCGTTTCCCAAGTCTGCGAATTGCAAAGTACTTTTGTGTCGTGTGAACATCATAGCAAACATCGTATCCCTCAAAACAGGATCACGCGCTGCCTTGCGATCCATTTCCCACCGCGTGAATTTCTTCTTGTAGTCATTTTCATAATTTTCGACATGAAAATCATCGGCCAAGTCGCCTACCTTATTGTCCAAGCCGCTGAAAAAGCCTGCAATGTGTTGTTCGTCCAAGATGCGCGAAGCTACCTCAACACTCGGCAAGATAGCGTTCCAATCTCCACCGGTGAGTCCTCTCCACTGCGATCGCTGTAAGCACGGGTGAATGTGCAATGGCTCTGTTTCTGCAAAGTACTCGTCGAGCATACCCATATGCTCGTCCTCATCGTCCACCAGCTTTTGGTCTGAGCTTTGCATAAGCTGTCGTTGAAATTCGAAATAGCGTAAATCGGCACCGTGGCCAGAGGCATTGTAGAATAGTGGGTCGGGAGATTTGACAACGCAGTTGACGTAGCCCTCATCGTTGAGAGCTTCGATTGTATATTTGTCGACCATTGCACCAAATGGTATAGATCCAGTAGTTGCGATCTGTGGCCGCATACCTCCGGACATTTTTGACTCTGTGGAACCCGTGTCACGAGCTTGAATTGAAAACAAAAGAAGATGCGAACTTGACAGGCGGACTCGGTACTTAGGCTAGGTATACACAATTACCAAATCCGGCATACACGACCCACAAAGAAATCTGTTTTAGACAACAAAGCCAATACGAATTTTTATCTCTGGAAATGACTTTGGCAGGCACTCGTTTTCTTTCATGATTACTTCCGGCGGAAAGGTCGAATAGCCCGATATAGACATGGTCGAGCGCTTGCATTGAAATATGACCTGATCCGAAGGTGCCCAAATTCTATATATCTCATGGCTCTTGCTGAAGATGTCTCTAGCATATCTTTAAGAAGGCTTTCCGTCCTTGGATCCTGGACCCCAAGGTTCGCAAAGATCCGAGCCTAGATTGAGCTGGAGATAACTACCCGGCAAAGGTCGGTCTAGCTCCATCCTTTGAGCGAGTGCAGATGCTCAGAGTACGCAGTTGGCCTGCCATGACGATGAATTGCCTGTCCGTGTGAGTGGGAGCAGTTAAGTCCGTTTGGCCAAGTCGATCATCTGGGTCAGCAGAATTGATGCACAACATCATACTGCACAGCGATTGCATGCGCAGTTTGACATGGTGTAGTCCAGACAGCAAACTCCATAAGTCCGAACAGACATGATGTGGCTTTTTCGTGGGAGACCAGTTCGCCATATCTGTGTCGATTTCGAGACGTCTGCAACTTCATGGTAGTGCTCGAAGTATGTTCCCGAGAGTTTGGTTACTTATCCTAATGCCGATATAGTCCAGTGCACCCCTTGTCTTACCGAGAAGCACGGAGACCATCAAAGAGAAAACGATAAGGTTGTTGGCACATGGGAGAACCAGTCTGGCTAATCGTCGGACTTGTTTTCCAATAGCAACCTTATTTGTGGCATACCGTCCTTCCTGATTGCCTCTCGTAGAGCATCAGCTTCAAGCCAGTTTGTGAGAAGAAATGCTTCGAGTTGTAATGTGAGCGATCTGATCATATACGAGCCCTCGAGACGGATGATGACGGCGGCGATAAAGCGATTGAGGTTGCGATTTGTTAGTACAACATGCTCGTAAAGACTTGCGTGCGCTACATCGTGCTAGTGACGGGAGACTTGCAGACACAGGAGAAGATACCTCAGTCCGTGTTGCTCCCTAGTATGACGTGAATTCATATCATATTGCATGAGCACACTCGTGGAGACTGGCAACTTAGACAGCTTACACTTTTTGTGAACTGGATCAGGAAATCTCAGAGTCAGTCGATGATGTATCTCAGTCTGTGTACATTGGAGAATGTGCCTAAAGCAGCCATCTCACTCCGGCGGAAATCTGAAGCCTCGAGTGATCAAGTGATCGAGGCCAGTAAAGGTGAACGGCGCATTCTCACAGCTCTCGAGTGTCCAGATTGCGCGAGTGACGATTTGTGAACAGCACGAAAGGGACAAATCTGGAAGACACAAATTAGGAGGTCCCGATTCGCGAACGGAAAGTGCCAAGACATTCTACGCGATCGCAGTCAATGTACTCGGCCTTCACAGCATTTTCAAGCCAGTCATCCATTACTGAGTGTTACATGGATCTGTGAAAAACACATTCTTACGCAGGACAATCGTGCGCTGGTATCGAGCGCTCACTCTTGAGCCAACCAATTGATCGCAATCGCTGGTCCTCTACCAATCAAGCAACGGTGTACGCGCCGTGACACACCTTCGACCAGCGCTTCAACACAGTTTGTGCTCATGGGCGCTAATTCAAGCGACCAACGATGGCAACCCATCACACGCTACCTTGTCAATATCATCCAATAGCTCTCTTGTGCAATGAGGAAGCTTGTGCATCTGTCTCTGACTTGTTACAAGTCTGCAGCCCTAAAAGCATACAGACGCTATCGATTCGAACAGCGGCTACGATACCGTGACCGTCTTACTGGTACGCAACTATAAATCATACAAGGTAAGTCTCGTCCGCAACGACAGTTTTTCTTCAAATCAACTCTCGAGTTTTCAATCCCCGCCGTGAGTTGTTTACAATACTTTGATTCTCCAGTCATGACATCCGAAACATTGTCGCTCTTTCCATCGCCTGTGTGTTCAATACCGCCAAAGTCTTGTCTGCGACAAGCTGAGGATGTTCACGCAAGACGTAACACACCATCACCCGTAGTCAGCTCGAAGCTATTTACGTCTGGGAAGCTTCGAGGTCTTGCTGTACAGCTTACGTCTGAGGTCGACAAGCCTGTCACCGCGCAGTCATCAGGGGCTACTGCAAAGCCATCCTTCTCCAGTCATGTCTCTTCTTCCTCCTCAGATCATCGCGTCATGGATACTGGGCGATCTCGTGAAGCTACTCGTGTTACGAAGAAGAAGCCTGCTGTTGCTATTCGGAAGATATCTATCGACACCACGTCAAGCGAAACGCTTTCCAATTTTCCAGGATCAACGCTCGCGCGGTCAAACAGCACTGCGTCTGCGGAGCCAAATCTCGTGTCACCGCCCATCAAATCGATGTTTCCCGAGTACGATCCGACCTTGCCTCTATCACAACAGCGATACTATCCAACGGATAATGTACCTCGACCCAGTCATGAGCGTCGCACGAACTGTCAACATCATGCCCTCACGAATCTGCCCTCGCCTGAATCACCAACTTCTGCTGCCGGACTTTCTCAGCTACAGGCTCTGTGGAATGCTGCTAGTGGTCAGAATGCTTTGTTTCAGTCTGAGAAAGTCAAGTTGGCAATGCATCGAGACGAGATCGGTGTTGGCTCGACTGCTACCGAGGTGCGATTCGGATCACGAGAGGGCCGTACCTTCTACTCTATTTCGCTTTCGGATGCTTCAAGCGAGCTCTCTGTTCGTCGTCACCACCCAGCAAGGACTGGTATTGTGCCTATTGCTCAGCTGGACGTTTCAGCACTACAAACAGGAGCCAAATGCGAGACGACTATTTTTCCACAACAGGCAGCGTTCGCCGCTCTCGAAGCGGCTGCTATAACGCATAGAGCTAATGCCATCGCGCGATACGACCCTCGAGCATCATCACCACAGGCTGCACAACTAGCATTTGACGCAGTAGCCGAGGCCAAGGCGAACGAGTCTTGCCAGCTTGTACGCATGTCGGAAGGTGCCCGTGAATATCAGTATGATCTGCGACATCCACGTGCCAGCGACTTCATCATCTACGTTGAAGGAACCTTCGACCTTTCCAAGAAGAGCAATGCACGAATTACATTGCAGCAGTCGATCAACGCAAAAAAGTCTATGGCCAAAGCTGCTAAGCTGGTCTGCCTCGATCTTGACACTGAGACACTCGAAGTTGATTTGGGTCTGTTTAGGAAGCTACAGAGCAAGTACATGATTGACAAAGCGATATGTGCCGTTTTGGCGGTCGCATTCACGGAAAGCAAGCTTGCCGAAGATAAGACCAAAGCAGAAACATTCGCAGCACCTCCCAACATGTCATACAAAGAGACTGGTGGAGCGAAGCAGGAGAAAGGTAGCCGCTGGCGGCGAAGCAAGAAGGGGAAGAAGCAAGACGGCAATGACGAAAAGGAGAGGCTGCCAGGCCTGACCCGAGGGATTCTGTATTTGCTTGGGTTTTCGTTCGAGGCGATCGTATGGTTACTCGGACTTGGATTCAAGGTGTTGAGCAAGGTCATTGTTTTCGCGAGTGGCATTGTTGGCAGAAAGTAATGAGACATCCGTAATCCTACCAGATATATTGAATACGAGTGAATACGATGAGTTGATACGTTGAAGTGGAGCGGGACTTCAGGAAGCCGCGGAAGCTGACGCACCCCCTTCTCCATCTTGGCCCCAAGGCCGAATAGCGCTTGATAAGTGATGAGGTGCTAAGTCAAGGAACACACCAACTGTCCAATGCCCAACTGCTTTGATCATTTGGAAGAGCCGGGATGAATGATTGGATATACCCCAACAGGATGATAACATAATTGTAAATCGACACGATACTTGCCTGCATTTCCCGCCACAGGCCTCCACCGCCGAAAGACGAGCGCCGCCTCGAATCGCCGACGCCATGAGCGGCGAGGACCCCTATAAGAAATATGCGCACCTCCCTATTCCTTCGTATGAGGAGGCCACATCTTCGCGACCGTCGTCGTCGAACACGAACAACGAGACGAGCGACGAGACGGAACGTCAGGGTCTACTAGGGAGACAGCAACACCAAGCAGCCCGCAATGGCCCATACCGACCGCCCACCGCAGAGTCACCGCGACCGAGCGAAGACAGCGACCTGTACCTACCAGAAGTAAACGGCGAAGACGATGACGACGAAGAGGCGGCCGTGCGGCGAGATATGGAAGAGATGGAAATCCTCGAGCCCGATTCTGTAACAGGCCGGCGGCGAGGTCAATTCCTCGGCAAGTTGTCGCATACATGGAGCAGTCTACCTTCGTTCCGCCGCTTCTCCATGCCCTCCTTTGCATCGCTGCGCCAGCGACTACCCACGATACCCGAAGAGTTTCGTCTCAGCTTGCCTGTGATAGCCCGTCTGTTCGGCCTCTTCACAATTGCCGCATTGATATACATCCTCTTCGCCCTCGACATTATCCCCAACGCCGGTCACATGGCACAGCATTACGATCCAGAAAGTGTGCGCGCTAGAGTACAAGAGCAGGCTTCACTCTCACCGAGTCGCATATCCGAATACCTCGAATACATTACATCATATGACCACGTCGCAGGTACAGAAGGCGACTTCTACCTGGCAGAATGGGTCCAGACCAATTGGCAGGCTCAAAACTTGGATGACGTCAGAATGCATGAATACTTTGTCTACATGAACTACCCGGAACCGGGCGGTCGCAACGTCGAGATCGTTTCTCCGCCGGACAGGAAATGGACTGCTTTGCTAGAGGAAGAGTCGGTTTTCAAGGACTCGGGGAGAGAAAAACAACAGACGCTGAACTGGCATGGATACTCGAAACAAGGGAATGTTACCGGTCATCTGGTTTACGCAAATGGCGGCTCCCGAGAGGACTTCAAACGATTGAAAGACATGGGTGTCGAATTGGATGGAGCCATTGCTTTGGTGCGATACTATCATACAGAGGCTGATCGCGGTATGAAGGTCAAGGCTGCTGAAATGGCTGGAGCTGCAGGTTGTCTCATCTACTCGGATCCAAAGGAGGACGGTTTCCTGAAAGGTGCAGTAATGCCCGATGGTCCGTGGAGACCGCGCGACTCTGTCCAAAGAGGATCCGTCGCTCTTTCTAGCTTGGTTGTGGGAGACCCCTTGACTCCTGGATACGCTTCGACCAAGGATGCCAAGCTGATTGGGGACATCAATGGAAATATTACTGGTCTACCACAAATCCCTAGCCTGCCACTGGCTTGGAGAGACGCCCAACACCTACTCATGGCACTGAAAGGTCATGGCCAGAAAGTTCCATCTGACTGGGAGGGAGGTGTTCCCGATGTCGAATGGTGGACTGGCGACAAGGGATCACCGGAAATCAGGCTTGTCAACGAGAACTCTGTGAACGCCAAGCAGCAAATCTGGAACGTCCACGGCTTAGTGCAAGGTATGGAGACCCCAGGGAAGAAGTTGATCGTTGGATCCCACCGTGATGCCTGGTGTTTTGGCAGTGTCGATGCTGGAAGCTCTCAGGCTGTCCTTATGGAAGTCGTCACTATTTTCGGTGACCTTATAAAACTCGGATGGCGACCTCTGCGATCCATCGAATTCGTGTCCTGGGATGCAGAGGAATACAACTTTGTCGGCTCTACCGAGTTTGTCGAGGACAATATGGACTATCTGCGCAAGAATGGCGTCGGATACCTGAATGTCGATGTTGGTGTATCTGGCTCCGAGTTCCGTGTTGCTGGCTCGCCAGTGTACAAGAAAGCACTCATGCACGTCCTCGACCGTGTCTCTGATCCATACAAAAACGTCACTTTGCGCCAACTGTTCGACGAACGAAATGAAAAGATTGAAGGTCTCGGGGCTGGCTCAGACTATGTTCCATTCCAGGATATGGCCGGCACGTCATCTCTGGACTTTGGCTTTGAAGGCGAAGAAAACGGATATCCTTACCATTCTTGCTACGAGACTTTCGAATGGATGACCAAATATGGAGATCCGGACTTCCAATACCACAAAACACTTGCCACCGTATGGGCTCTGTTGATCCTAGAAATCGCAGATCGACCGATCATACCATTTGACCTGAACGACTACGCTGCAGCTCTATCACCCATCATCGACGAACTTGAAAAAGACGCCGCTGCCACCGCCAAAGATTTGAAAACCGACATTGCTAAAACACCCTTCTCAGTACAACCCTTACGAGAAGCTGTGGATGCCTTTGTCGCAAAAGCCAAAGAGTTCCATGAATTCGACGATATGTGGGCAACCAAAGTGCTAGCTGGAAGTGGAGGCTTCGAGTCCAACGCCTATGCTCTTCGCCGCATCGAACACAACTCCCGCGTTATAGATTTCGAAACTAATCTCCTCGACCTCCCTACCACTGGCGAGGAAGGTCCTTATGGTGTAAGTAACCCCTTTCTACCTCCTTTTCCCAGAACATGATTACTAATGTCGGGAACAGGTACCAGGTAGAGAACAATATAAACACGTCATTTTCGGCCCACAGCTTTGGGATGGCTATGCGGCTGCTTATTTCCCTGCTGTCAGGGATGCACTTCAAGAAGCGAGGTGGGAAGACGCGCAGAAACAACTTGAACGTGCGGCTAGGATATTGAGGGTTGCGGCTAATAAGCTGACTGCGTAAGTGGGCAGTGAAAAATAAAACTTTTTTCTTTTACTTCATTACCTTTTTACTTTTTCTTTGTATGCATAAGTTTTGCCTGTGGCCATCAGACGTCTTTTCTTTAACTTGAGCTTCGGCGATAGAAGGTGTTTTGCGATTCGAGCAACTTGATGGGGGATGTGATTGTAGTGATGAGTAAGAGTCTGACAAGCAGCTGGGTGAAAAGCTGTGTGAAGTGGTCGAGAACACAACTCCTTCCCCACACGACTCCACCTACCGCACCAGAGTCCTCGAAACAATGAAGGATCAAGAAGCCCTTCCAAAAAAAAAAACGGCCCCAGCCTCAGTAATTCTCCCTGTACTCCTTGATCGCAATGAGGATCTCCCAAAGAACACGATCATAGCGTGTTCCGCTGAGAATGATGTACCTGGCGACGAGACAAGATAGCGAAGCTGTCGAGAAAAGCCAGAGATGAGCTCTAAAGAAAGTGTCGACGGTGTAGGCGCCGACGAGGATGGCGAGTAGATCAGTGACGTTCATGATGGCGGTGATAGGGTCGTTTGCTTGAGGACGGGTATTTTCCAATGACTGACAGACCGGCTGTGATCTTGAAAGTCAATGTGGTGGTGGTGTAAATGCTTGAATTGTTGTAAGATGTATGGCAAAGATACACAGCAGCGGTGGGTATATATGTGCATTATCAACTTCCTCCGGAACAGACGCTTCCCTGGATTCCCCAGAGGTCTCAAGAGAGATTAAACATCTGTCTCTCGTGCGACATTGTCTTAGAAAGTCCATGCTTGATGGACAATTGGATTGTCTCGAGCGAAGTTCGATCATAAAGCTGACTTGGGAGCAGGCATTGGGGTGAGAGATGTCTAAGAAATATATTTCTGCCTGTGCACAGCGCCGCTACCTTGAAGCTCTCAAACTGTACCACTTGACAGAGAAACAGCATTCATCAACAATTGCCATCTTTGTCGAACAAAATAGCAAAACTAGTACCTCAGTATCAGAAAGGCCTTCCACTCGTCCACGATCTGAGTCACTGATGTCGGTCGTCAGCTGCGTATTGCTATCCAAGACGTACGTTTTGGGTCAGAGGCTCTTTTTTGGTGCGTGAGTCTTGATTGGTTAAGCCGTTACACCAAACAGAGGACCGACGGTAATTCATGGATTCGGGGAACATATATGGGTAAGATGAAGGGGGCGATGGGTTCGACTCACAAGCTTGGTGAGAAAGTTTTGCTTTACATGCAATCTTTCACGTGGAAATATCCCACCACAGCGGGATGGGTGTCTTAGTAGTCACGGTGAAGCTGTGGATATCTATCAGCTCTTTTGTGTGTCTCGATAAGCCACATGTCGTCACCTTTTACTGCACTGAAGTAGGCGTTTGGGCGAAAGCTTGCCAAAAGCGTCATTCGTGAACAAAGGACCTTGCAGCTCTGGTCGGCCTTTGGCTACTGCAAAAAGAGCGAGACGGACAGCTTGCTTATCTCGTTCCTTTCAACGCTCTTGATCGATAGATATGGTTTCCAGAAACCGAAGGCGTCTAGACGAAAATCTGAGCGGATGGATGATAGGTTATGCACGGGAATCGAGGCACGAGAAAACACCCAAATACGAAGAGTCTACATAACACCTCGTCTATGTACTGATACCACTAACTTCGTTTGCTAGTCTTGAGGGCTCATCTTCAGTACAGACTTTTTAAACCTCGACATAGTATCAGCGCCATACGTGTTAAGTGCCGGGGCTCAGTAGCTGCACGCCTTCATCCCGAAACGAACTCTTTCCCCAACTTGCTCGTCATACGGTGACGGGATGCCCGTGAAAACTCGATTCTTCCCACACCGTCGATTGAGGTGTCTTTACATTATCTCCAAGAGGGCAGCTGAGACATGTTGAGGCTGGAGTGCCAGTGAGATTGAGGGAAGAGATTCGATCCGGTGGATCTATCACCAAAGCTAAGCGCAGGGATCTGAGCGGGGGTAGCCGAAGTGGAAGTTGTGGTAGGTTATGCTGTGTGTCTGAGACGGCTACCAGTATCGTTGCCAACACTGACTCGGCGAGATGGGGCATTTTCGGGGATCGGAGCGGATGAAGCTGACCGGCTTTTCTCGCATCATGGTGGGGGTTGAGAGTGGTAGGAGGTCTGATGTGGACGATGTACGAGTACTGAGCGTCGAGCCTGGCCTTTTCCTTTGCGCGACTCGAGACTGGCACTCTCTGGCGAGCGGTCGTAGAGACATCGTTCTGCATTTGAGGAGCCAAAAGCCCGTCGACAGCATTGACTGGAGCGCTTGTGTTATTTTCACCGACATAATTGATCATGTCCTGCTGCTTGCGGACGGCTAGTAGTCCTTTCCAGTTCTTTGGACCTTGCACAATTGACCAAAGAGGCTTTCCAGAGCTTTGTCCAGTGTGACTCCATCACCGATGATTGTGGGTTGATGAAGACCTTGTAAGAAGGCATATCAGGAACCGCTATTCCCAATTATCTCCTTGTCGAAATGGATCTCCGGCGTAGGCTCTCCAGGTCTGGCCCAAGTCCTTTGGTACATGCCTGTACGGCGCAGAGTGAGAATTGATCTTGACGATGGCATGCGTACATTTCTTACTTTGGATGCGATCTCCAGGACGGCGCGTATCTGATAGCCGATTCTTGCTGATGTTGCCAAAGTGAAAGAAGCTGGGTGCTGCTCTGGAAGAATTGGACAGGATGCAGTAGGATGGATCGCGCACACGAAAAGTATGCAAAATCAAAACAATGTAATTATGTCTTGAACGAGGGTTGGACGCTTGAGCACATCGCAAGAGATCTCATTTAGGAAAGTTCGCGGTGTTGTGGACGTCCTGGCGGAGCAACCGCTTCCGATTTGGTTAGCAACAACTTGTCTGCTTTCGGCGCCCTCTCTCCTTCCCTACAGCTACTGCAACTTTCGAAGAGTTATGTGACTATCCGGCTTTGACCATCCGTTCAGCGTACCGGCATCTGCTGTAGAGGGGTATCACGACCTTTTTACAAGACCTTCGACTCCAGTAGTTCGATATATCTCCCTCCCACGAGTCCCAAAGGTACTCATGCTGATACGCCAATGCCCCAGTGGCTAATCTCGAGCAGTCACCAGCGAGCATCCAAGATGACTCTTTTGAGGCATCTACCACATTCTAGCATCGGAAACAGACGATGGTCAATACTCGTATGGCCGAGTCCAAGAAGACGATACAGCTACTCTATCTGATCTCGAACTCGGGATCATATATCTCAATTGCATCACCAACAACAGAACTCCTAGATTCTAAGCTCGTAATAGCTTACTCATGGCTCTAGAGGAGACTGAATGCGTACTTCCTTGCCTGCGATATCCCTAAATACGACACCATTAGCTGGTACGCCTCGTGTCTCATCACCCCATAGCTCTTTCTGCAACACAAAAGATTGACACCAAGTGCTGCAAAGTTGAAGTAGCCTCAGAAATAGGCGTGTTGTACTCGAGACAATGCCACGATACATCATCACTCGCCGAACGAGAACGAGCCTACGTATAAGCTCACAGCACTTTGTCTTATACTAAAGAGTTTGTTTTCTTCCTATCAGATTCTGACTTGACAATATCCAGGAATGAGACACACGTTCGATAACAGCAAGCAAGCATGCATCAATCAAAAATTATGTTCTATTTGCTGAATCTAAGCAACAAATATGCTGATGATCGTGGACTTTATACAACCCTACCAAAGGCTGCAGGCAAACATTCGAGACAAAGCATGATTCATCAAACAACAACCTGGACGTAACCAACCTTCTGACACCATTTCTTCCGACTCTTCGCTCAGAAACCTTCTCATCCACGATATCCGCAACGATGTCTGACCCACACATCTCCACTATCTCTGTCCTTATCTCGTCAGTTGTTCTACCTACTCCAGACGGCATCATAGGTCTTCGCACTCAGATCCTGGGTACAGCGTTCACTCTCCTCTATTGATATCCGCGAGAAACTAACACAAGCCAGACAACTGGTGGTACGCCCATCCCAACAACACTGCAGTCTTCATCCTCACTACTCGCCGCCCGGGCCCTCATGTATACAAGTACGAGGTCGCCATCGTGGAGGATTGCGGTCAGAGTGACAGGGTCTTTTTGGAGTCTGGCCTTTATAATTTCGTCGAGGATGCTTTACATAAGATACTGTGTCGTGTTTCGGAGATGGTCACGCCGATGATCGATGCCGTTGAAGTTGAGGAGCTGGTTGTCAAGATCCCTTCCGAAGATGACATGGAGGCTCAGAAGGAGAACGAGAAGCCCAAGGAGGTTGGAAAGCCGAGAACTTCCGATACCGAGACTGAGATGGCGCTTACGAATGAGATCAGGAGTAAGTAGAAGCCCCTAGGGTATGTCCAAAACGCGCTTACTGACAGACGACAGAATTGTGGACAGCGATGGACTGTTCGACAACACCTTGTGCGCTCAAGACCCTTAACATGAAAGTCTCTGGTTGCAAGACCGCAATGGTGCATGACCACTTTGGTAACGGCGAGACCAAGACTGATGCTCTTCGCAACTTGGCCGACTGCCTCTTCGCCCTGGCCTTTCCGACACTTGCCAATACCATCAAGTAGGTTCAGCTTGACTCTACATCAAAGTTGGCTGGCCGCTGTTCAGAACTTGGAGCGTCACAAGTTTCATAACCGTTCGTATTCAATGTGAGGGGATTTTCAAGCAGAATGGAGGATCGATGGATCTACATAGTCCAATCAAAAGTGGAGAGTCTTCCATCTTCTTTCAACCATAGTGTCCAAAACCACTACGTCAGCAGAGTCCGACGCGATTGTTTTCAAGAAGCATCTACAACGCAACATCACCACCAAAGCCCACAGGTCTCCTAGGCGCCTCTCCCTCCTTGGGCACATGCGGTAAAATCGCCATGACCTGATACAACTTGCCCATACCCTGCGGTCCCGTATCCACCAACCTCCTCCAACCCCCCTCAATCCTCTTGACCGTCTCCGTCAACTCACCCTTCGTCCTCTTCTGCTCCCCTGCCTTCTCAACCACACTCCCCCTCTCCCTATCAACAGCCAATTTCACAAGTTGCGCAGCCCTCTGCTCAATCCCCATGGCCGTCAAAAATCTCGCTTGATCGATCGGTCCGTGCACTTCTACATGCAAAGAAGCGTTTATCGCACTTTCAGCCAGAGCTAGGAAATCGACATCGGCGCTGATGTCCACTTTTCCGGGTTCTGAGAGGGGAGAGACCATTTTGTGTTGCTTGATTCCGCGGAGAGAGTTTACGGGGATGGTGGTTGGGGTTCCGTAGTCGAGGATCAAAGCGGCGCCAGAGGCTTGTTTTTTGACGATTTGCTCGAGGGCGCGACGGGGAGAGACGCGGCGGCCGATGGGTGGGGGCGTTTGGTCGGGGGTAGTGTAGAGGGCTGATGGACTTTGACCGCCGCCGATGCGGACGGCGAAGTCTGCGGCGTAGGTTTGAGATTCGGGCGATACTTCTATGAGGGCACCTTCGGTTTCCTTGAGGTTTTTGTAGCGGGGAGATTGTTCGGGGAGGAAGAGGGAGTGGGGTGTTGCCGCTTGGGAACGTGTGAGTGAGAACTCCGGGACTGGTTGATCACGTTGAGATTTGGGTGTATTTAGAGAGTCGTGAGTTGCGTAGGGCGAGGTTGGTGAGACGACGAGTTCGCGCCATTGGGAGACTGAATTTGGTGTTCCGGTGGCTGATGGGTCGACCTTGTGGACTCCGGTAGGTGTGCGGATCTGCTTTGGTGCAGCCTGAGTCTTGACAGATTCGAACACGTGGATGGGCAGAGCATCGAAGAACTCGTGGGCAACGATAAAGGGCGAGCTGTCCGTTTCTCTCGGGACGAAGCGAATGTCCTCGCACCAGATAATCTTGAGGTCTGGAGTGTACTTGCATGTACTCTTGTAGCCGATGTCGATTTCCTCCAGAGGGTGGTCACCACAAAGAAGCTTGTGCTGAGCTTGACGTAGCGAGGCACTGGCTTCGACCATGTAGATGCCGTCGATGGCTTGAGCCAAGGGTTTGAAGTTACGGATCGATCTTAACATGTCGTCCATCAAGGTTCCTCGTCCAGGGCCCATCTCCATCAAGTAGACACCGCTGCTTTTTCTACCTTGAGCGATCCATTCGGCCACAAACCATAATCCGATGAGTTCGCCAAAAATCTGGGAGATTTCGGGTGATGTTACAAAGTCACCTTTCTGGCCAAAAGGGTCCTTACCTTCGCCTGATTGAGTGTAATAGCCAGTCTCGGGAAAGGTGAGGCATTGTCGCATATAAGCAGCTACGGAAATAGGTCCGGTCGTCTACATCTGTCATTTAGATTTATTCCAGGAAAAATGTGTGTCTAGGGAGACTGACTGTAATTGCCTCTCCCAAAGTCTTTGCCAGAGGCGTTGACCACTCTCTAGAGCTGGTGGATGGATTTCTTGCGCCGGAGCAAGTCAGAGCACGTCGCGACGAGGCGAGTCTCTCTGACACCAGTCGTCTGGATATCTGCACTGTACTACGTCTCATAGTGTGCTTCCGACGGTCGGTGGAAGAAATGTGTGAGTTGTGTTTATTGCGACGAAAAGTGGAAGAGCTTCAGCTCGGAGGTGTCGACTTTCGCCGCAACTTCATGACGCACCACTCGACAACACCATCGACGGGACAGATAACTCGTCAACCTATCAACACTCAGCTTCATAATGGTGTCCCGCTGGGCCGACGACGAAAATGATGCTGCCCTGGAAGCACAACGCAGACAGGAAAAGGAGGAAAAGAAACGCGCAAAGGCCGAAAAGCAACGCAAGCAAGAAGAAGCCGACCGCCTACGACAACAACAGCAACAACAACAAGCGACGGCAGAATCAGATGATAGACCCTCAAAACGAAGAAGACTCTCACCAACACAAGATCTCGATCAACCCCGTCAACTCGTCCGCTTCCACACCCCGTCATGGCAACCCGCACGCACAATCGACAGCTTCGAACGATTGAACCACATTGAAGAAGGAAGCTATGGTTTCGTCTCGCGAGCGAGAGAATTGGCGACTGGAGAAATCGTCGCAATCAAAAAGATGAAGATGGAGCCTGGCGCTGCACAGAATGGCTTTCCTGTCACAGCTTTGCGCGAAATACAAACTTTGTCTGCTGCCAAACACCGTCATATCGTCGACCTACGCGAAGTCGTGGTCGGTGAGAAGGGCAAAGTGGACGACATATTCCTGGTCATGGACTTTTTGGAACACGATCTCAAGACATTGATGGACAATATGGAGGAGCCTTTTCTTCCCAGCGAAGTCAAGACATTGATGCTGCAACTCGGGAGTGCTACTGACTTCTTGCACGATAGATGGATTCTCCATCGCGATCTCAAGACGTCAAACATTTTGATGAACAACCGCGGCGAGATCAAAATCGCAGACTTCGGTATGGCTCGTTTCTGCGGCGATCCACCTCCAAAGAACCTCACACAACTCGTCGTGACACTCTGGTATCGAGCACCGGAACTCTTGCTAGGGACCACGACATATGATAGCAGTGTGGATATGTGGAGTGTTGGCTGTATCTTTGGCGAACTTCTCACAAATATACCGCTTCTTCAGGGCAAGAACGAAGTTGATGAGCTCAGCAAGATCTTTGAGCTTTGCGGTGTTCCTACTGATGCATCATGGCCTGGCTTCAAACGCTTGCCCAATGCTCGCTCATTACGACTGCCACGAAACGCTCAAACGACAGGCTCGGTAATACGTTCGAAGTTTCCCTTCCTCACGAAAGCAGGCACAGATTTGCTCTCAGCCTTGTTGTCCTTGAATCCCGCGAGTCGACCGACAGCGAAGGATTTGTTGGCACATGATTATTTTACTGAGGATCCAAGGCCAAAGAGCACGGCTATGTTCCCGACATTCCCTAGTAAGGCGGGTCAAGAGAGGAGACGTAAGCATAGGACGCCGAACGCACCTATGCGTGGTGAAGGAGGTGCTGCGGCTGCGGACTTCAGCGGGCTGTTTGCTGGGAGGGATGATGAGGAGATTGGTGGTGGTTTCCAACTGAAGTTAGTGTAATGTAAACATCTCATGGGTATGTATCACGGTCATGAACTTCGAACACCGGATTGTCTTGCTCAATATTCAAACAACAGCTCAGTCTCGAAATCGAAATTCTGCTTACCCAACAGCATTATCTGAGCAGTCGATGATGTCTACTACCTCAACGAGACTGAAACGCACGATCGTCTGATACCTCCATGCAGACTGTCATCAAGCAGATGTCAGACGTCTAATGTATTGAGTGAGTAGTTTGGATGCCGTAATTACTCATCAAGGTGCAAAAAGAACCATCGTCAGGGTCCCCCACCCCGCGAAACAAATTTTTGAACATGAACTTTTGGATTCGGCGCGGCGCATGGCGACTGTGAGAGCTGCTCGAGATCAGCATATTCTCTCACGACTACACAATCATACTGACCGACTCGAAACATTCACACCCGATCTGCGCAACCTGAAGATACCACCGCTTGTCGCATAAACCACCACAACGACCTCGAGTCCCACCAACCCCTCCCCAGCGACTCATCTCGACTCCGACCACCAAAAGCTAGTCGCAAACCACCATTACATCCCAAACTCTGGTCGCATATCCCAAGAGCACATACGACTAAACGGACACTTGCAAATCATCAAACACAATGTCAAGAGGAGGCGGCTGGGGCGGTGGCGGAGGAAAGAATGACCTAGGCAAAATGGGCGGACAAGCTCTACCCTGGGAATACGACCCCGAGCTCGAAGGAAAACTAAACACCAAGCCGAGCGAAAAGTTCCCTGTACGTGCATCTTATTCCTCTTTCCTCCTCTGTGTGGGGATGTGGGAAACTCGCAGAAACTCGCTCGCTGACACATTCCCTCTCTTGACCAGCCAATTCAACCTCCCATAGCAGATCCACCCACCAACACCGAAAAACACCTAGTCCACCATTACCGCACCCTTCGCGCCCGTATTCATGATGGCCCCTTTTACGCAATCCTAGACTCCAGCGCTCGTGTGCATAAGTCGGGCAAAAAGTCTCCTGCGACCGCTCACTACGATCCCTTTGAATCCATGCCCACCTATTCTCAAAGATATACAAAGAAGAAAAACACTTTGCCGAGATTAGGGGGTCGGCCCTTTCAAAAGAGCTTTTTCCCCGAAGAACTGTGGGCGATCATTGAGCCGGGGGTTGCTGGGAAGAAGGTGCAGGGAGGTGGGCAGCAGAAGAAGGTGTTGAGTTTGAGTACGAGGACGAGGCTGGATAGGTTTGAGACGGAGATTGATGACGAGGAGGATGAGGGTGAGGAGGGGGATGAGGAAAAAGTGGAGGGGGATGAGGAGGATAAGGAGGAAGATGATCCGGATCAGTTTGATGAGGAGGACGAGGATGATAATGATGATTATAATGCGGAGCAGTACTTTGATGGTGGAGATGATGATGATATGGCGGGAGATGATGGGGGTGGTGATGATGATTATTAGTCGTCCTTGCTTGGTTCTGCCTCTTGCTCTACTCGTATACAACAAGGCTGCTTCTCTATCAAACATCCTTCAATCCATACCCATGTGTACATGTCAAACGCCACCAATGCATCTCATCATAACTTCGTCACAGACTCTCGAAAGCATCAAGTCCCCTTGGGCTTCCTGACAACCACCACACCATCTTCCCTCAACACCCAACCCACCTTGTCCCTCTCCACCAACTCTTCCCAACTCCTCTCAGCACTCTCCTCCACATATGCCTTATCAGCCATCATGTAACTTCTTCCCAAACACTTCAACGCATGCAATCTGACCCCGTCCTCGGCCCACCCCATCAAACACCTCTGATAGCCGTCCACCGCCCTCCTCGTCCTCCAAAACAGCACCCAATCATCATGCACCAGTGCCTTTAGTACTGCGTCCACTTTCCTGTCTTTTACCTTGAACCCTCTTCTCAAGCGAAACGCCTCCACGAATTCTCCCTGTCGACATGCAATATCGAAGATGAGGTATATCGCAAATTCTTGCAGCTCAGGCCGTGATAAAGGTGTACGAGGGTGAATCTTATAGAGAAGATATTGCAGTGCTGGGTGATAGGTCTCGAGATGCTTGCAGAGAATCGCAGCACGGATCTGAAATGTATAGACTCGCTGGGCGAAAGCGTCGACTCGGTGGGAGGATACAAGTGCTTCTCGAAGTTTGCGCATTGCCATGAGGATGATTCCCATTTCTTGTGGAGCTTCTTGAGTCGTTGCATGATGTTGTGTTTTTGCATCCTGGGAAGCCGCTGGAGGAGTAGGGGATGACGAGCCAGAGATCGAGAGAGTGTGGAATGAGGCTTCTAGTGTCTCGCCGCTCTGATGGGAAGCGCAGAATTTCATGTAGCGGGCAACGATGCGTTCGAAGTATGTCTCTTGAGTCTTGAGGTCTGCTAGTCTGTCTTTTTAAGCGATTGCTGAGTTCATCGTGCAAAGTGTCGATTACCTTGTCTCACCCTTTGACGGCAGACCATAGACTTCGAGGGGATCAATTTGTGGCTGTCGGAGGCGACCCCATGCGCCCGAAGGCCCTCGACGTGCTGGCGGTCGCGTACTGGAAGATGACATTGCTGCGTGTGGATTGTTGTTGTTGCGATGGAGGGGCAGGGCGGTGTTTACACTGACGTAGGTCGGGGTGTCCTAATGTGGCAACTCTTGCGAAACTCTCCTTCCTCGACCACACCGCGGATGCCGGCAAAGGCCAATATATCAGTCCACGATTGCATCTTGGATATTTGTTGAGCTCGTTGCCTAGATCTACCGCTAGATAATACTCGTTGACCTGCACTACATTCTCATGTCCCCCTTGTCTCGCAGTTTCTGAGCCGTCTAGTCTGTCTGTTGAGAAGAAGACTACCATCAGGATATCATTACTCTCATCGAAGCACGACACTCATACAAATTTACATCGCTGGCATATAAACTTTTCCCGCTACAATACAGATCTCCACAGATTGTCTGACCGACAACGGACAGTCGCCACTTGAATTGTCCGACCCGCAAAGATGAATCGCCGGAAACCTCTATCTACCATACAGGAACAAAATGACAGCCATGATACAGACATCATCACAAAGGTGGAGGAGAAAATCTCCAGTGCCTTGACTGTACTTTGGTCAGATCTACCTGCCTGGCAAAGAGACAACCACTACATCCATTCTGGCTATCGACCTCAGAGCAACTCTTTCGCCCGTTCTTTCGCATCTCTCACACACATCCACAATGAGACTGTCAACATCTACACACATTTGCTGGGTGCTATCGCCGCTCTGATCTGCTCCGTGTACCTGCATTCTCTCATCAAACCTAGATATGACCGAGCAACGCCCGAAGATGTCACGGTTTTCGGTTGCTTCTTTGGAGGCGCTGTTGCTTGTCTCGGCATGAGCGCTACTTACCATACCATCTCTAATCACTCACCCAAGGTCAATAAGATTGGCAATCAGTTAGATTACGTCGGTATTGTTTGTCTGATCTGGGGTAGCTTTATCCCAAGCATCTTCTACGCCTTTGCTAGACGACCGGGATACATCGCCGTATATTGGTCCATGGTGAGTATTGGTCGCTTACTGTGTTTTTTGAACCACCGCTGATTGTCTTAGATTACCATGATTGGTATCGGCTGTGCGACTGTGTCTATATTGCCCAGTTTCAGAACTCCCAAGTGGCGACCTTTCCGAGCTGGCATGTTCGTCGCCATGGGTGCAAGTGCTGTCGTTCCAGTATTGCACGGTGTTTCTTTGTTCGGTGTTACTCAACTCCAGAAACAAATGGGTCTTTCATACCTAGTGTTGCAAGGCGTGTTGTATATCTCAGGAGCTGCCATATACGCTGTAGGCTCATCCCGCTGAAACTGATCGCGTGCATCACACTCATCGTAATCACAGGCACGAGTACCGGAACGTCTGAAGCCAGGCTCTTTCGATATATGGGGTAGCTCTCACCAGATCTTCCATATCCTGGTTTTACTTGCGGCTGCGACTCACTTCTTCGGCCTTGTCAAGGCGTTCGACTACGAGCACAGCGCAAGAGCTCAGGCTGACAATGTTGTGTATGGTTTCAAGCATATCTTTGGCAAAAACTAGACGTCAGCCAACTGCTGGTACGAGTACAATCGAGGCATCGAGACCACAAACAGACGTTGGACACGTCCTGAATGCAAGCTCAGCGTTTTCAGAAACTCATAATCGATCCTCAATTTCATGAACAAGTTCGCAATCAATAAGAGTTGCGGTAAGATAATCACCCGAAATGCCGACAACCTTGACGATCACCTATCCCACTTCCCCAGCTTGAATAGCCGGACCATAATTGCGGAGCCCCAAGCTAGCCACCCCACATCGGCCGGTAAAGGACCACATCCATCACCTCAAGAGTCAAGACTTGCCATTGTATTGGCGGAAAAACCAAGCTCATGCATAAGACTCGTCAAGCGTAGATGCGTTCCTGCCAAAGCAAGCCACTTTCTCCGCATGCTGCATGCATGTCTTGGCTGGTCACCCCGCAACGCGTCTTCCAGTATTTACGAGCAAATATTGTTAAGCGACGTCAGTATTGATGACATGGTAAAGGATTTCAACCTGGAATATCAGCTATTGTCCGGCTTGGCTGTCAATCGTGCATGGCCAAGATGGAAGAATTGTCTCGCAGGCCCCTTCCTTGCTGGTCTGAGGCTGGGACAATGGCATACTTAACATGCATTGGGTTCGCTTGGACATGACGAGGACGACTACCTGTGCCTACTTCCAATTATCAAGATGAGAGTCTTTTCCTGTCTCTTGGTAGTCACCACTGCGATCACTTCCGCTGTAGCCTTTGACATCCCCGAAGGTGCATCAATTTCTGTACCATGGCGACACAAGGGACGACCATACTTTGGTTGGAACTTGAAAGACAAGTGGGGCAACAGTGTCGAAGAAGATCGCCACAAGATCACCATCCGTGCTTCTGAGGATGACACGGACGACATATCTGCAGACTTTGTCTGGGCTCTTGAGCAAGCACAGAATGGTGGTCTTGTGCATCTTGAAGAAGGCAAGACTTATGTCATTGGCAAGAAGATTGATCTTCCCGTTCTCAATGATGTGTACATCAAGCTTGATGGTACATTGAAGGTGTGTGATAACATTGGCTTTTGGGAACAATGTACTGACGAGACTGCTTTAGTTTACCGACGATATCGAATACTGGCAAAAGAACTACTTCTACTACCCCTTCCAGAAGAGTATCACATTCATGGTCTGGAGTGGCCAAGATATCAGAATCTATGGAAAAGGAACTATGGATGGAAATGGTCAGGCATGGTACGACGGCTTTGCCGGCCGTGAGATCTTGGTGAGTAGCTCGAGGACATTGACGACGATGGATTGATGACTGATTCGAGTCTAGGATGCCGACAACACCTACTACCGTCCTATCCTGTTCTTGACTGACAATGCTACCAATGTCGATGTCGAGGGCATTACCTTCCTGAATAGTCCGTGCTGGACCACTTTCTTGGTCCGCACCAAGGATGTCTCCTTTGATAATGTCTACATCGAGGCATTCAGTACTAACGCTTCTGTGAGGCTACCCTATCTCATACCTTGGTGGAAGCGCAATAATGCTGACCTGATCAGGCTCTCCCAAAAAACACCGATGGCTTCGACTCGCTCAACGTGGATGGTCTAACCGTCACAAACACCCGCGTCAATGTCGGCGACGACTGCTTCTCCCCCAAGCCAAACACCACAAACATCTACGTTGAAAACCTCTGGTGCAACGGTACCCATGGCGTCTCCATGGGCTCAATCGGTCAATATCCCGGTGTTCTCGACTACATCTCAAACGCGTACATGAAGAACATCACCCTCCTGAACGGGCAAAATGGCGCCAGACTAAAGTAAGATGATGCACTCCTACACCCCTTGCAATGAGATGAGAAAGTTAGCTATACTAACACAGTCCCAAACAGGGCATGGGCAGGACCTCAAGTAGGCTACGGCTACATCTCCAACATCACGTACGAAAACATCTACATTGAAAACACAGACGCACCCATCGTCCTCGATCAATGCTACTTCAACATCAACGAAACAACATGTGCTGCCTACCCCTCCAATGTAAACATTACAGATGTCAAGTTTATCAACGTCACTGGCTCGTCGAGTGGGAAAGAGGGTGGTGTGGTGGCGGATTTGACTTGTAGTCCTGGAGCTACTTGTAGTGGCATCATGCTCGAGGGGATAGATTTGACGAGCCCTAATGGGACGTCGGAGATTGTGTGTAATAATATTCAGGGGGATATCGGGGTCCCTTGTGTTTCTGGGGCCGACGCTTGAGGAGGAGAGAACGGCTTTGGGGTGGAGGTATAGTAGTCGTGTACAAGCTTTGACTACCTGCACAAAATACCACGTATCAGGATCCACGTCCCGACAACTCGAGAATGTCGACGTTGTGTTTTTCCAGAACTAGTCCATTTTCTCACGACCTCGAGCACGGTATTACGAGTACAGTACTTCTTGTAATTCCAGTGATCAAAACAAAACGACACTGGAGCGATCGACAAGAGCAGTGAATGTGAGCTTTCAAATATCAATACTATGAAATTATTGTGAAGGGGGCGGCGCCTTGCGATGTTCCTGAATGGCACCAGACTCGACCAAAACAAGGTCCACCACAAGCTCGTATATTAGCCGTGTAACGAAGCAAACACAGGCTCATTCTTTCCTTTGGCGATTCTGCATTGATCCAGAGTATCCTGGGCCCGTTGCTTGATCATGGAAATGGCCTTGCTTGTGAACACTTGTAGCCCAGCCATGATGGAATTGGCCACAGCCTCGATGGCTTTCCAGGCCATAGTCATGAATTCTTTGATCTTCATAATGGCGATAATTAAGAAATCAGAGCAGGCAGAGAACGCGTTAGAAGCAGGCCCTCGCAAAGACTCAGGCAGCTTTTCGAATTCTCTTTTCGGCGTTTTCCCAAGGAATCATCCATCATCTCTATGATCGCCCGCTTGCACTCTTCAAACTTGGTTCTGAGTTTTTCCTTCCCAGGCAGGCACCTTGGACTTGTTTTTCGGGTGATGTCTGCACCTCTATCTCGAGATCTTTGGTAAACTCCCGAGTCTTGCCATAGACTGCATCATCCGACTTCAGTCGGCTATGGCCTTGACTCCCTCCATGTCTTTTGTACCATTCAAGCCGGAGAGAGGCTTTTGTGTAGTGGCAATATCATGGCCTCCTATGCCATCGTGTTGGATGTCGCCATCACGGAACATGGTTCTGTACAGAAGAGGAAGGGGAAGCTTTGTTCTGCAAAGCGACTCGACCCCTCAGAGTAGCTGAGATCTTCGAACAGTGAATCAGAGCTGGATATATGCATGTGTATCCTTCGAGGTCTTGTCTCCAAGATCCAAGCGGAAGCGATAGTGGTGAGGAATGCCCCAAGCTTGTGACGGATGATATCATTCAGGAGTACGAGCGGACGCTTTCTGGTGCACAACGAAGACCCACTTGTAGGTCTCATTAGCGGTGCGATGGAGATAACAAGAAAGCAGGCCCACGTATGAGGTGGGATCTTGGGACGGATCTGAGCACTGATCGAGGCATTGTCAACGTTGTTCATACGGCCGATTTCAGATCATGCCGTTTGTGATAGTCAGTCTCTCATGACCTTCATTCTATATGATTGTCTGCTTGACCACGCTATAGGGGCATTATTCAGAGTTTCTCAGCAGCCATCTGTAAAGCAGCCTCAAGATCCACCAACTCCCCCTCGTCGAGACCAAAATCCTTCGCCGTGATAACATCACCTCTATACGGCGTCGTCCAATCTTCCACATGCGCAAAAGCTTTTAGCATAAGTCCAATTTCCTTGCCAAACGGACCCCAGATCTTCTCGTAGTTTTCCAGGGTAGTGGTGATGAATGTTGTTTGTCTGCCAGTGACATTTATCCATGCTTGTAGATATTCCTGCATTGTGCCTTGAGAGGTGTATAAGAAGGCGTACTTTGCGGGCAGAGATATAGTTGGGTTTTTGAGAATGGCAGAGACGAAGATACCGGCGTTGGTGGGGACGTCGCCTGCGAAGTAGATGTGGAGGGTCGGGTCGGCTGGTTGGATGTAGACGTGAGAGCCATTGGTGTTTGGCTTTGAGCGTACAAGTCAGTGGAGGGTATACAAGATGTTGGGGAAAGCTTTACACACCACTTCGACGGGCTTCAACATTGGTGTCTCGTAGAAATTGCTGGTGAAGAAGCCGATCCACATGAAAGTGGTTTTTGCAGCAAGAACGGGAAGTTCCTTCTTTATGATGTCTGCAGCTCCATCTTTGCCCTATCAAAGTAGGGATGTGTCAGTACTCTCTTCAATCCATGGCCAAACTCCGACTAAGGTACTCACGTCCATGTGTGGTACGAAGTTACCAGGTCCGGCAAGCTTCTCACCACCAGGGAGAGTGTGCAGGATCAAATGGTCGAGAGTCTCAATCTTGCTAGCCGCAGTAGCGACATTGACAAGTTGTTGCTTTTCTCTCTCAGCAGCTGCATCAGGACCGTCGTCGAGAAGATACTGGAAGATGTTGGTGATGCCAAAGATCGCGTGAGTGCCCTTTCGCCATGTCAGCTGCTGTTCAACACAACGTTAATGTTGTCAAGTCCCCACCTGGAAAGCAGTCTCGAGGGATGCTATGTCATCATAGTCGGCAGTCGCTAGCTCAGCACCAGCATCATAGAGTGCCTTTGCAGCAGCGGAATCCTGGTTGCGGGTTATAGCTTTGACATGCCAGCCTTCTTGGAGGAGTCGAAGGGCTACTGAGTTACCAACAGTGCCAGTGGCACCACACACAGTAATTGTCTTGGTCATTGTAATTTGGATCTGGAATGCCAACCGAGCTGGCTAGGGCGCTGTAGTTATCATCCAAAGTCTGACGCGGACATCATGGTCTTTTATGTGTCGAGGTCTAGGAGCTGCACAACTTCAAACGAGCGAGAAACGCTAGCTGCTTGATTATCAAGCACGCTCAATGCAACTTCGAGGTGTATCAGTAACTGAGTTTCAAGTCATGTTGGTCGAGAGTGATCTTTTGAGTTTCTGTCCGGGGTCCAGGGATTTTTCGGCCGAAATTTGAGAAGCCGCAGGCTGAAACCTCGGCGATACGATAAACAGCGCCTTCCTCGTTGTAAACTCCGATAGATTCTTCGGACATATGCTATTGAGGTGCTGCTGAGAAGTCCCGTTACTAATGGCACTCAGAAGTCGTGTCCATATATGCGTGGCCATCCGGACATGATCCAACTTTTGAAACAACACCGACTCTTCTCCCCGTTTGAGCTTCCAAGTACAACATGTCGAATCAAGCAGCATGGCTCTATGGTCCTAATCAGCTGTTCCGAGTTGGTTCAGCTCCAATGCATGAGATCGAGTCTCATGAAATCTTAGTCGAGACATATTCCATCGCCATCAACCCCATCGATTGGAAAGTCAGAGACTATGGCTGGCTGATCAATACCTGGCCAATGGTTCTCGGCTGCGACGTTTCTGGAGTCGTCACTGAAGTCGGCAACAGTGTGCACAACTTCTCTAAAGGCGATCGCGTCATAGGACATGCCGTCAGTCTGGTGTCGCAGAAGCCGAAGAATGGAGCTTTCCAACATTTTGTTGCTGTAGAAGCGGCAAAGGCTGCGAAGATTCCAAGTGCGCTGTCCTTCAGTGATGCTTGTGTTGTTCCATTGGCTTTGGATACTGCTGCTACTGGACTGTTCAACAGCGCTTCAGATGGCTATCTCGGATTGGAATGGCCAACAATGGGCTCAAAGTCAGACAACAACAAGATCGTCATCTACGGTGGAAGCTCTTCTGTCGGTGCATTGGCTATCCAGCTTGCCGCAGCTTCTGGTGCCCACGTTATTGCTGTTGCCTCTCGCCGTAACTTCGACTTCTGCCGCTCATGTGGAGCCCATGAAGTCTTGGACTACAACGAGCCCACCATCGTCAATGATGTCGTCAACGCAATCAAAGTAGCTCCTCAGACACACTTTGCAGGTATCTACGACGCTATATCGCAGGAAGACAGCTACAACATCACTGTACCCATTCTTGCACAGATCGGATCTGGCAATCTGGCGACTGTACTTCCAGGACCGAGCACTGTGCCATCGACTTCGAAGACGAACTATGTGGAAGGTATCAATGATACAGTACACAGACTCTGGGAGAACTTTGTAGGGCCAGCTCTGGAGCGAGGGACATTGAAGTGCGTGCCCTCAGCATATGTGGTTGGAAGCGGACTTGAGAGCATCGAGAAAGGGTTGGAAATCAACAAAAAGGGTGTGAGCGCAAGAAAGGTCGTTGTCGAAATCAAGAAAGAACAGATAGCGAGCGGTTGTAATTAAAGTTTGAGGAGTCGCGAAGTGCGTATCGCCGAATTTGGTATAGGTCATCCTTCCTACGCAGGACCATCGAAGACGGACAAACAGAAGCCGCGGCTTACGGAATATTATTGTTAGCGGTCGCTCCTCATTCCTCCGCTTAGCAATTATATCTTGATATAACTCGTGATTGGTCTTATGCTCAATATCCAAATGGTAGCACAAACGTTCCGTACATATGACTATAGCGTTCGCTAAGCGACTCTAGACAGTATAGGCCAATGAGGTATGCGAGAAAGATTATACTTAGGCAAGTCTTGCTGACACATACTCGGATCGTTTCGACCTCCGTTAATGTTGCTTCGTCATACTCTTTGCGATGTGAATGTTGACGGACCCGAGCTTTGCTGACCAAGACAGGAACCAAGTCGATTCCGAGCTGAGGTAACGGTGAGATGAGTTGGACAAGCAGTTCGTCCGACCTGATTGCCCTGGGTAAGAGTAACAATTCAATCAAACATGAGACCGAACGTATATATGTGTCGTAGTTGGTACCATTTTAAGGTCTCATCAACATCAAGTCAAACTTCAATATTTCAAGAACATCTTTCGCAACAATGGACGCCGACGCTTTCACCAGGCCCTTCCAATTCACCAAGAGTCTACGTCGCGAAATTTACCCTTCTATCGACCCCAAGAACACTGCACTCAATGCAGCTGGCAAAGTGGTCTTGATCACCGGTGCTGGCGGTGGTGTTGGAGGTGTAAGCAACCTCGAGACAGCTTTGTAAATGTCGGAAGCTGATTGAAGAACAGGAAACTGCTCGCGCCTGGGCCATAGCTGGAGCTCAAGGTATTGTCCTTGTTGGGCGCAGAGTTGCATCTCTGCAAGAGCCTGAGGAGGCTATCTTTACCATCAACAAGGATGTCAAGGTCCTGGCTATAGCCGCTGATCTGGCATCTGAGACCGACGTTGAGAATCTCTTTAAGCAGGTCAAGGAGTCCTTCGAGAAGGTGGATGTTGTTGTCAACACTGCCGGTACCATGACAGGTGGACTCATTGGTGACTTGCCACCTCAGCAATGGTGGACTGACTTCGTAAGTCCAGTCTACACTCGCCGAGACTATTCTGACAAATGACACCGTACAGGAGGTCAACATCAAGGGCACTCACAACCTGGCCCACCACTACCTCAAGACTTTCGGCGATGCTGGAACTCTGATCAACCTCGTCAGCTTCGGAGCCTCCCTTACCCGTCCAGGTATCTCCTCGTACTCCGTTTCCAAGCTTGCCGTCATCAAGCTCGGTGAGTACCTCGATGCCGAGAAGCCCAACCTCCGTGTCTTCAGCGCTCACCCTGGAATTGTCGCCGCGACTGAAGGAGGACGAGGCATGGTTATCGATGCCTTCACGCCATTTGCCAAGGATCCTGGAATGTTGACTGGTGGACTTTCACTCTACCTCTCGACTCCGAGGGCTAACCATTTGCGTGGCGGCTTTGTCAGTGTCAACTGTGAGTACATGATGAGTTTCCACACGATCTGCAAAGAGCTTTTCTGACATCCGAACAGGGGACGTAGATGAGATGGAAGAACACAAGGAGGAGATCAAGGAGAAGAGATTGTTACAGCTCTCTTTTCTGAATGCGAAGCTTAGTCCTGTGGGTCATGCGTGGTAGTGGCTTGAAGACATGCGTCATACGCTCTAGAAGTTAGGATGTGTGAATGAGAAATACCTGACTGGTGAAAGAAGCAGAGTGAGGTATTGATCAAATGCTAGTGTTGTTATCGCATGTGTGGTCGCGACTGTGGGAAGCCATTGTGATGAACTCTGCTTCACCGTAACCTCGGCTATATTTTCTTCTAGGCAATCTGGTAGGAAGCTAGATCTTCCTGTTGCGGGAGATTGGCGACCAGATTGCACGACCAGATGTCCAAAGATGTCCATGTGCCGAGGTTTCATGGCTATCGCTTTGAATCTGCTAGACTCTGGTGTTGGTCGCCGACTTTTTAGCTCGTAGAACAGTTCAGCGAGACCAGCCACTCGGCGTCTCCGCCAGCTTGCAAAAGGTGAATTAGCGGCACGCTCATTTCTTCGCTCAGCTGAAGGAGATAAAACGGTCTCATTCAGACTTCGACTAGACCAACTCGGCCTGGTCCATAACTTTCACGGTACGAGGATCAAGGCGTGGCGATAGTCGCGGTCGAGTATAATAGTCATGGGCTTTGCACGCTGATTTTGTGTAGCAACGCTCAGGGTTGACACGAATACTTCCGAGCACAATGCATCCCTCGTCCGTCCTCAGTCTGGTGACTTTCAGTCTCATCACCAATGCTTTGCCAAACAGTGTTGGACTGTCTCGCCGCCAGGACATCGATTTCGATCTGGTTGATGACACAGCCGACCCTCTCAAAAGCCCTACGGATACCAGAAACTACAACCAAGCCAGCGCTCTTGCTGCCGTAATCAGCGATATCAACAGTGACCCATTGCCTCAGCAAGAGACTCAAAGCGCCAACTTGGCCAGCCGGGATATTGTTGTGACGACGATTGACGGCTATACTCCGAACACTTTCCTGGACAGTGCCGCAATCAACGCGCCCTTGGGCTGCAACAAAGCTGTAGGAATTTACAACCCTATGTAATGACTGTTGCTAACAACCCGAAATAGGATACGTACATGGGCGTCAAGCTGTTCAACACTGGCCCATTCGACACCACGCTTTGTGCTGCGGCATGCACGTAAGCTCAACCGCGATGGAAATTCCTATCTCTTCCGAACTTTGCTGATTTTCAAAAGGGCCCAGACAAAATACAACCTCAAGCATCCTCCTTCTACAGGAAAAGCGGCTACTTGTCAATTCTATAACACGTATGAGATGTACAGGAACGATGTCTATCAGGGACAGTACTGGTACGTTTCAACATCCTTCACTATAACATCTACCAAGATTCAGGGTTTGACGAGCTACAGTACCCTTTACACCCAGGCTTGGGATACGACCTACGCCACGAATAAGGGGCAGTGGCGAGGAACTGCTCACTACACCATTGGCAGAAGCTATATCGCTTCGAACGTCACAGATGATGGTGTAGTCGTCTGCTCGAGCAACGTTCCATCCTCTACGTCGAGCTCTGCATCTTCAACTGCTTCTCCTTCCTCCACGATTTTGACATCCTCATCAAGCTCCGCATCCTCTGCAAGTTCCCCATCCATGTCAAGCTCCGTGTCCATGTCTACCTCTGGATCTTCCGTCTCAAGTTCCTCATCAAGCACCACATCGAGTGCCCCTGGTTGTACATTCTCACCGGCTATCGCTACACAGCAGCAGATCAAAGACTCAGCTGCACTTGATTTTTTGTTCAGCCACAACAATCTGAGCTCGATGCTCTCTAGTCTCTCGTATAGACAGCTCACGGAGACCGCACTCACTGGAGACATCCTTCCATCGGTTCAGATCGCTCTCCAAGATGTGGTGTCTTGCGATCAGTACATGGTCTCCACACAGCTCAAAGCATGCACAGGATCCACATATGCACAGCAATTCACATCATGCATTATAGCCCAAACCAATCCAGGCTTTTTGAAGAGGAGAGGTGCTAATAGCGCAACACCAACAGCAGCGCTGACGTATTTCCTGGGCAGGTGCAAAGACATTCTGTCTCAGAACGCTGTCACCCTATCGCCAGACATGTCTCCTATCGAGATCATTGATCGTACAACGCCTGGCGGGTACTCTCAGAATCTCTGCTTCATAATGATGCAGTACTACTTTGGAGAGGGGACTAGACTTCCGCTTTACTGTTGATGGTGGCGGCCCGCTCTCTAGTTGTATGTACTCACCCAATAGGATCTTGCTTTCCCAGTGACGATGGTGCCGAAATCAATTAGCGTCATCGCAGCTTCGAGCAGGAATTGGCAGCGTCTGCTATCCATCATTGAGTGCGGCCCTTCGAGTCGTTGTCGTCCACTTGAGGCACGAGTATTATCTCTGACGGTCGCGGGAACACTGAGACTGTCCGAGACATCTGGCAAGTTCCTTGCCGTCCAGTGAGCTGTACCGTTATTGTTTGCTACGCCTAGTCTTTTGAGCTCAGTGGCAGATTTATTGAGTGTCTCAACTGTGATTCCGGTATCAAGCTTGATCTGGTAGAGTTGCACGCCAGCCGGCCAAGCATTCTCAGGCCTTGTGATGAGCTCGAACATGAGCAGCTTCGCATCGCACTCGGTGAGGTTTGTGTTAGTTCACTGCAAACTGCCGAAGCATATTTCGCGCTGCCTCTTCCTCCATCCTGGACCATGTCAGGTGATATCTGTTGCCGTCTGTGGGGCAGTCTTGGGAATCCGGAATATGCAAGTCCATCATCATGGACAGGAAGACGGTCTTGCATGAGTCCTCGGTCAATACGAGCTGGCTGTGCTATTCTCCTGAAGTGTGGACTGTTGGCGCTTCTCGTCTGCAGATCATTCTGCGCATCGGAAGTTGGATCTTTCGGCATCCAAGTATAGCTGTCGGATCCAACCACTCTATCCTGCATGAATAGTTCCACAGCATAGTCATTCAGTATGAAGAGTGAGATGTTGGTCACGAATGCAAGATCGTGCAGTTTGATGCCACCAGAAGTATGACGCTTGCGCGCAGTGATCAGTTCAAACAACAACCTCTTTGCTCCCGGAGACGCGATCGGTGACAGCGAAGCACAAGCAGCCGTGGCGGCAGCTGGAGCTATCTGACACTCTGTGGGGACCACGTTAACTGAACAAAATTCTCATAGTCCACAATTGACGCAGGTCGCTTCTGTCCCCGCTGAGGAGTAGGGGAAACCACCGGCTGCGCTGACATTTTCACGAGGTCTGGTAAGTCATCTGAACTAGACGACGATGAGATATACAATGGCACGGCTCTCGGTCGAGAGTTGTCCAGTCGAGCTTGCCGCCACAGACCAGGCTTTTGGCGAGCTTGGAGTAACATTATAGCAGTCGTGTCCAGCAGACCTTCTGTGGCCTCTGTGACAGTGCTGCCCTCATCGTATCAAGTAGCGGTCTCCGCGAGACCTTGTCGGTGATGATGGCACGATGACCTCCATCGTGAACGGCTTCGACGATGATGTTGTCTCTGGAAGCTGGTGTATTTGCGAAATCGAGATGATCAAAATTTGCTAATTTTTGTGTCAGGCAAGATCCTTTGACGTAAGACTTGTCATCGCTGAGGATGACCTACCGAGGATCTGCTCTCTTAAGCCTTGTACTTCCGACATGATGAGTTTGGTTGATTGTCAAGGACAGAAAGTGCGACGCGATGGCGTGGACGCGGTCGGAGAAGATGCACGTCATGATCGGATTTGTGCAAGTTCAAGAAGAACTTGTGCACAGTTTATGCATAAGTAAGATATTATGCATGAATGCTATGCCCCTACGCATTCAGCGCGAGCTGTCTGGAGCAATGCGAAGCAATGATCCTCTCATGGTCTTACAGAATCATGTAACCTCCGGAGCGCACTACGAGCCATCCTCGTCCTCCCATTCGTCCAGCACAGTCCACTTCATCTCATCAGCCTCGGTAGCAACATTGATGATGCCTCCCTTCTCGTTCAGCTGTCTGACTCCAGTGATGACATCCTCCATTGAAAGACCCGTGCGGATCATGATCTCATCCTCAGTCAAGCCTCTATCTGCTCCATGGCCTGCGACGCTGTGATAGATAGTTCTGGCAACTCTGGAGACGTAAGTCGGGAACCATACTTGAGGAGTCTGAAAACTGAGCGGAGCCGCCTGACCTGCTTCGTCGCCGAGTTCGTCTGCGCTGATTCTGTCTTGTAGCTCTTCGTCGCTGGTGATTTTGCGTGATTTGTTGGCTCCGGTCTCCTCTTCTTCGAGGGCAGACATACCGCGCTTTAGTTTGGCTGCGACCGGCGTTGAATCGACCTTTTTGGGTCTACCCCTTCCACGCTTTGCTGGTACAGCGACGTCTTGCTGATACTGTTCTGTATCCTCAGGAATAGCTACTGCTGCATTCTTGCGTGGTCTGCCACGACCTCGCTTGATAGTCGAGACTGCATCGGGAGCGACGACTGGTGCAGTCGGAGCAGCATCAGCCTTTCTCGGTCTACCGCGACCACGAGTAGCTAATCCATTTGGCTTCACCTGGGCGACAATCATTGGTCTAGCTGCTGGAGCGGCTCTTTTCGCGCTTGGCTTGACCACAGATGGGGTTGGAGCAGCAAGGGTACTCTTGGGTCTTCCACGACCACGCTTCACTGTCGGACTTGCTAGTGCTTGTGAAGAACCAGTACCAAGCATATTAGGAGGGTGAGCAAGTAGTTCGCAAGTGTAAGTCAGAAGTGACTTCAATGCAGTCTCAATAGTCCTGGCGTTATGTGCTTCGTCACAAACATTCTGACCAGTGGACTTGTCCGCGATCGTGGCGCGGTAGTATTTTTGATGCACGTATCTCACAACAATGTCGACGTCGGACACAGACTGAGCTTGCCCCATGAAACCATAGTTTGCTGGAGAAATTAGACTGTGCTATGAGATTGCGGTCTGGTAATTTTACCAAGAATTTGTTCTCTGAGACCAGAGATCTCGGCCATGCTGTGCGATGGTCGTTGCGCGGTTGGGTTGACTGCAGTGGCGAAGGACCGCTGGGTGAGAGAGATGAGAGGTATAACAATAGAAGGAGACACTCGTGTCTGTTCAAGGACAAACAACGCGATCTGTGATGATTGACGCGTGTGAAGATGTCAAGGTGGTTGGGAGCGATTGTCTTGGGTCATCCATAGACGCATCCGAGAATGGGCGCGGAGCACAGCGTCATAATTTATGCAAGCTGCTCACAAGCACAGCTTGCCGACTTTGCTACCAAGTCTATGATCACACAACTTCGAGCACCGTGCAGATTCACTTGATGAATCATTGGGGCTTACACGGTTCATGAGCTTCTGATCCAGAGTATCGAGTGCATCAGAGCTCGCGTCAAACGTCAAAACCCATTCAATCCTATGGCTTCGGCAAATTATTGTCGGTTTACGAGTCAAATCCGCCATTTCAATTGCAGCAAGAAAGGCTTCCGTCGGAGAGAGTACTAAAAGGTGTGAAATACGATCAAATGAGCTTTTTGTTCGGCCTTTTGTAGTGTCAAGACTCGACCCGGCTATTATGGTCAGGGTCATCCTGTTTCGAAGGGACTGACGCTCAGGCCTTTTCATGTGAAGGGCAGTGACGTTGTTGCAGACAGCGTGGGGAAGAAGTCAGCATCATCTTTCTCTCTACCCATACCACAAGCACCATGCGACATGTCCGACTACGATGATGACGAGCCTCAAGGTGTTGTGATGCGTGTTAAGGTATCATATCTCCTTCGATCTCAAAGACAAGCAGCTGACCCGCCAACAGAACACGGCACTACTCCCTCTCCGTATCGCCGTTTCCAAACCAGCCCAGCGCGCATACCTCACATCCGTCCTCTTCTTCAGCACCTGCTTCTTCCTCCTCCTCGTCTCAATCGCCGCCTATGCCGCTTTCTACTGGACCTACATCCCTCGCATTGGCTTCAGCCGTCCCATCCATCTCCAATTCGATAGCCTTGAATCACCGCCATGGGGTGTTGCGAATCTAGCCCCGGAGCTGGTTAGTAGCCAGCCGTACGACATCAAGATTCAGATCCGTCTGCCACGCACAAAAACAAACACCGAGATCGGCAATTTCATGGTCGAGACTACCCTCTACGCACCTGGTGAAAAGGGCTCCGTCATAGAAGATACCCGCATGCCTGTTGCAAAGAACCCCGACACTTCAAAGATTCTTGCTAGCTCGAGAAGATCAGCTATCTTGACATACTACTCACCTGTCGTCGATCTCGCTCGTAAGGCTACCGAGCTGCACTGGCTTATCCTGGGATGGCGGCTTGAAGCGGAGACTTTGGACATTCCGGTCTTCAACGGCGTCCAATTCGCAAAGGGATGGAGGAATGTGCCTGATACCATGCAAATTCAGGTTCAGAGTTCTGCTCGCATGCAAATCTACGAGGCCAATGTCATCTTCAAGGCTCGCTTCCAAGGTCTGAGGTGGATTATGTACAATCATCGCATCACCAGCGCTGCTGTTTTCATCGGCGCTTTTTGGGGTACTGAAGTTCTCTTTACTGCCATATGCTGGGCTGTCTTGAGTGTCTGGATCTTCTCGTCAGGCGATGATACTACAGTCAAAACAGAAGAGATGGACGCCCCGCGCATCAAGGCGGAGGACTCGGATTTTGAGGATCCGGCTAGGCTGTCAGACACGGAGAGAACTTACCCTAGCTATAGCAAGGGTGCGACAATGCGCTACAACTCTCCGGCCATCAAGAAGGAGGAAACAGAGCCTGAGCCATTTCCACAGCTCTTACCGGCTGCATTGGAAGCTGATGATGAAGACGAGAGCGACGACTTCTTTGACTCTGGTCTCGGTACTAGTCTCGAGAGCAGCACTGGGCACGGTAGCTCTAAAGAAGCTCTACGCAAGAGAAAGACCAAGAAATGAAGTCAGAGCCCTAGCTTTTCTCGATATATATATGACGATACCCTCTTCTGAATACTCTTGTACCACTGACTCCCCTCCTCAATTTCCATGCACGAATGGCTTCCTATCAATCCAATTTGTGTTCCCAAACTTACCCGAGAACGGAAATTGGAACACCTTCTCCAGCGTACTGTACGGAGCATATTGCGCATCCGTCATCACAATCGTGACATTTCCCTCCGTCCTCCCCGTAGCATTCCACCCCGGGCCATAATCCTTATACTCGGCCATGGTCGTATTAGCATTAACCCTCGGATCCGTCTTACTCCACTCAATATAACCCCCACTCTGAATACTATCATCCAAATAAGTACTTGCAAAAATACTCCTGTGCAAAGCATTCCAAGGTCTTCCCAGCGCGCATTTACCAACAATAGAGAGGGAGGCATTCGCGGCGAGAGCAAAAGAATCGTGAATGTAGACACCGTATGCGTTTGGGAAGGTGGTGTTTGTGCCTTTCCAGGCTGTTATTCCGCCGCCGCAGCCGCGGAGGGAGAGGAGGGAGGATTGGAGCCAGAGGGTGCCGAAGCCGTAGAGGAAGTCTGTTTGGCCGGCTATTGTGGTGTTGTACATGTATGTATTTCCTAGTTTGCCGACGTAGACCTGACAATCACTTTAGTACTTTTCGAGCAGAGGACGATGGGGAAGCAAGGAGGCGTACGGTGTCTTGGTAGCTGTAGAAGCCACAGTAGTAGAATCCTGCATTTGCATAGCTGACACTCAAGGCGAGGGAGGGGCCAGCGGAGTAGGGCAGGTAGTTGTTGATGAAGTTTAGATTGTAGGCTCTGAAGTCTGTGTTGCCAAAGGGTGTTCCTGCCGGGACTTGATTACCTGTTGGTCCACTGCCCGTCAAACTGCTGTTGAAGGTTGGCGCAATGGTCAGAGTGGATGTGTATGCATTGTCGTAGCTTCCTGTGCTGGCAGTGCCAGTTGCGTTATGCCAGATCACATTGACAGAGTTCTTGGTGTTGTCGTTGGGGAACTTGGTCTGAGCAAGCAGAGTCAAAGGGCCTGGACGGGTGACATTGACTTGCTCGGTGTAGTTGCCAGGTAAGACGAGGATGTAGTACGGCACAGTATTGTTCGGGATGGAGAGGACAGCAGATTGAATGCTCGTGAATTTTGCACTTGGACCAACGAGCAGTGTGCCCTGAGGACAGCCTTGGAGTGGGTTCTGAGTTGGATATTGACACTCGCCTCGACTGTATGCTTGGGCTGTTCCGAAGAAGCTAAGGGCCAACAACGAAAAGAATGAGACTGTGGTGACCATCTTGATAGTCAGGAAGGATGATGGGTACCTCAAAGACTTGGCGGCAATGCTTGTTCTTATAACCTACACCTGATCCACTCACACGGAAGATCTCTTGACCCATGACATTTACTCCGCATTTGTCCCCAAGCTCCTCTTGGGTTGCCGCATGTCAAGCTGCTTGCCGTGTGTTTGATGCGGAGATTTTGCGGAGGACTTTGTGGAGGTAGAGTGGTGCAGAATGTGGAGATGGGGTATGATCTGCGAACTGGAGAAGATCCACCAATGACGTTCGAGATCTGATTCCGCAGCATAGCCGCGACTCCAGTTGTAAAAACAGACATACGATTGTAGTTGTCTAGTTCATACCACTATGGCCCTTCAATGATCTGTACAGCGATGTGGCCGAATATGAGAATGCTAGCGAGGTACGATGCTGCCTTGCCAGATGCCAACGCCGAGAAGCGGCCAGCTGAGAATCGATCAAGCGGGACGTACCGTCTGTGCGATACACAAGTACGAAGATCCAATGGAACTCTCAAGTCGTTATATTGTTCAGGCCCGGAGGAGCTCATGGTAGCGATGAGACCTTGTTGAGGCGACTCTCGTTGCTGGATGTTTATGCTTATTTATCTCCAGAGGTTTCCAAAACGTGCCCGTTTGACTCGTATCATTGGCGGCGTGTTGAACGTTGGAAGAATGAGCAGACTCGAGACAGACGTGCCGTCTCTGGGCGTGCTGGCCTTTTTGTCAAATTCGACGCATGCTCAAGCAGCTTGTCCTGGAGTCTTCTAGTGCGAGGGCCTTGAGTTCATAAGAATGGATCTTCACTCTATTCGACTGTCGACTAGTGGCAGTAAGGTTTGATGTCGGCAGTTGCGTGGTCATCGCGAGTCCAGAACGTGCGAAGTTCTGAACCTGATCCTGTTTGGAATGGGGGCGTGGGACCGTTGCCAACGAATGACAACGCTGTCCTCGCGTCTCGCAAACTTGCCTCCACCAGATTCTTCTTCGCAACATTCATATCAAGAAACACGTTCATACCGCTAAGCCAAATGCCCCAGCTAAAGGACCAACAAGCACAATCTGTGCGAGGTTCGCAACGGAGATCGTATGGTGTAGAAGTCATGGTTCAAACGATCGAAAGTCTAGCCCTGACGACTGAGCCACGCGGCAGCCGCGTCGACGCCTCCTCAGCTCTTCACTCTTTCCAGAATCATATCTCTGAGTCCTGCGCCAGCTGATAGCCACCCAGACTTTGTAAATCAGCACTTCTTGACATCAGCATGAACCTTCCGGCTTTGTAGAGCTGCAGGTCCTCAGCTTTGGCGCTTCGGGCATGACCCATGTTGTCCGACCAGATACCGCTTGTAGCTAACAGAGGCTGCTGCTTCGACGTTTAGGTTTGAGATGTACACACCCTGTTCGGCAGCGGCAGATAAGACTGACCGTTTTGGGACAACGTCGGTCAGTCATGGCCAGACTAGATCTGGCGTCATCCATTATGCTTCAGCTCAATGTTGAGACCTGAAAAGTATAGTAGGTTGGGTTATAGGCCCCGTGGGCAGAAGGCACATGTATATACCTGCGCTCATTGTACCTGCACTTCAACTTAATCTCGCCCTTCCACACCCTCTTGATAGGCACTCAATATTAACGCCTGGAACTCGGACTGAACCACCACCAGAAGCCGCCACAAGTATCCTGGCATGAGGGGACTGGATCAACTGGATTCAATGACGGGACTACTGAGCCCACGGTTCGAGAAATACGATGCCGAATATCTTACAAATTATGTCAGCAGTCCTTCGAGGTGTCTCAAGGTCGTCAAAGGCCTTGTCTTCACAGGATGTGCTGTTTTGTGCGTCCTCCTGTATACAACTGTAGCCACGCACTCGGACTGGAATATCGTGTCATCGGACATTGGTCACTACACAAACTCCAATCTTACAATACTCACAATACCTACGGCATCAGTGGATGCGGGGACCAAACACAAAGAGGGGGTCACAAAGTCTCTGCTGCCAGCCCAAGTGCCCCAGTACTACACAATCCATACGAACGAGCATTACGACATTGATGTAGCACTTCGCACAGTATTGAGCCTCTGTCCAGATGAGGTCTACTACAATGCGTTTACACAACCAATCAAGACTGGCGGCGAGGAAAAGCTACACGAGACAGGAGTACGAGTGCGCATGTTCAAGAAGTACTTTGACGCTTGGGAGTCCCTACATGTGGTGACAGACAGCCTCTCCGACACAGCCTTTGTACGAGACGACGTGTTGCGATATATCAGGGACTCGCAACACATTTCGGCATTCACCTCTGGAACACGAGTTGAGGCAATGCGGCAATACGAGACTTACCGCAGCTTCTTGTCAAACATGTCCTCGATTCTGTTCCCTTGGACAGCGCCCTATTTCTCCGACCACATGACGCTACATGGACATATGTACAATGCTGGTCGCGGCATCGTCATCTCTGGTAGTAACTCCCAAGCTTCTTACATCAAGACTGCAATTTCGTCGTTCCGTGCTATGGGCTGCACACTACCCGTGGAGGTCATGTACCTTGGCGATGATGACCTTGGTCAAGACATCCGTGATGACCTTGAGACCATCGAAGGCGTCATTACTCGGGACATCAGGAAGATGGTGAACGATCAAGGATGGGCCCTTGAGGGCTGGGCTGGCAAAGCTTTTGCCGCGTTTTTGAGCTCTTTCCGGGAAGTGATCCTGCTCGATGCTGATGTATTGTTCTTCGAGAATCCGGAGTCACTGTTTGACGAGTCTGGATACGTCGACACTGGCGCCCTCTTCTTCTCCGATCGCACAGTTTGGCCGCAAGATAAGAAGAGCTTCCTCCGAAAAATCCTGCCAAGACCAATCTCGAGCAAAGCAAGAGACAGCAGATGGTGGAAGGGCGTGAGTGGTGAGAATCAAGAGGCCGGAGTTGTTGTCGTGGACAAATGGCGACACTTCTTGAGTGTTTTCCTGACTGCACGACTTAACGGTCCAGACCGTGATGACAGCGACGCTGGAAAGGGAAGCTACTCTTTCTGGTGGGGCGATAAGGAGACTTGGTGGATTGGCTTTGAGCTCGCTGGCGACACAGACTACCACTTTCACCAGGGCGGCACTGGCAACATTGGTAGTGTCAGTAATACCGAGCCTATCGAAAAAGCCGAGAAAGAGGATAACCACAAATCAGAATCTACAGAAATTGCTACAGAGGCGCCTCAGCAAAACACCGACAAAGACGATTTCGAGGAAAGCCTGCGAAGCTTACGGGGGTCCGAACACGGCACAAGTGGGGAGTCCGCCACGCCAGCAGATGAATCAGATACCTCGAAGTTGGAGTCAACAATGGAGCATGACGACAGTATTGGTTTCTTGGCCCCTGCCCCGGATGCCGACGATGTCATGAAAGCCATCAAAGCCGCAGAAGCTGCAAGAGCCTCTCGACTTCCCACACAGCCAGCTCACTTCATCTCACCCAAAGGCGACGACTTGCCAAATGTTGTCAAGGATGAACCACAACCCGTTGATCCTAGCTTAGAGCTCGAGCTCGAGCCCGAGCGTTCACTTTCACGTCGCCACCTAACCAAGCGTGACAGCTGGTTTGACACTGCCATGGAAAGAAAACGCACGAATCTCACCGGTGCCGCAATGCTCGAGCTCAAAGACCAAAATATCATCCTCTGCTCACCACAACTGCTTCATCTCACCACCAGCGGCCGTCCCATGTGGTTCAACGGCTGGATCCAAGACAACAAGCATGAAGCCAGCTCTGATATCTCAGTCTTTGAGTTTTTCATGATTGAAAAGAAGAAGAATGACGAGTGGGCTGAATGGGCTGTTGGTGCAGACAACATGTGCTGTTTGAAGGGCGATAATTTGCACGCACTGCATGAGAAGGAGTTGGATGCTTTGAAGCTGATTGTGGATATTGCAAAAGAGAATGGTTCATTGAATGAGGTGTTGAACAAAGAGAAGAAGTCAAACAAGAACATTGAATGATAGGGGGACGATTGACTGGATTTTTTTGATGCATGCGGCTTTATTAGCGATGGTGTTTGGAGTCTCATGAATTTAGAATGCTTTTCATCTTTTCTTGTTCATTCATCCTTCACGATCCGCCCTGTGCCCCTGTCAACAGCCTCTGTCTGTCTCATATTGCAAATTGCATGTGTGTGCTGAGTTGATGCCTTGAGCGGTCTTTTGCTTGTTCGCTCAGCTAGAGTGACAATATGGTAGAGACAGGGAGACTGACCGCAGTCGCGTGGAGCTACCACTCAGAAGCGAGTCTCCGAAACGGCACGGCCTAAGAATTGCTGAGCCATGTTGCGAGTGTGAATACAGCTCTTCAGGAGAAGGTCGCGGAAAGCAACTCTACAGTTGGAGCAGCGATATTCTATTCCACTCCATGTGGAATGGACGGCGCCTATAACAACAGCCTTGTAAGCTCTGTTCTCGCACTCAATCAGAATGAGCTTGTATGAGTCATATTGACCAGGGAAAGAGTAATTGTCTACGATGTGGTCAGTCACATGAATACCAGAGGAAAAGTGCTAGGGGCAATACCCGGGATCTGAGTACGTAGGTTGCTCAACTCTGCCATGATGGATGCGCAATTGTGGGGCTGGTTCGACGGTGACGAATGTTGTCGGATACAAGAAGTTGAAGATCAGGACTAAGTTCTTAAGAAACACTTGTCGCGACTGGAATATTGAAAAGCCTCGTGAAAAGTGACATCCGGAAAAGTGAGAAGCAGACGCTGCCAGGTTTGCCTCGTCACTTCTCCTGGCCTCGCTCGTTTGCTTGAAGTCAAAGTACCGAGACTGATATTTTCTGCTATCAAGTCTTCTACACCCATACTCACCTTCAAGATCTTGTGCTTCTCGCCGCTATTACCATTGGAGCCCCAGCCATCTGTGTAGCCGTCGATTGGACGCGATACGCATCAAGTTGTGATATACTCAAGATCTGCGCACGCAGGCCAGAGATCTCTGACATGGTGTAGAAAGCTGTTTGACAGATTATCTAAAATCGATAATATACTTATGCAAGAAGGTAGGCAGAAATATAGGGATGACAGGAATCTTGTTTCGGCGGTCGCTAAGGTCGGCAAAAGGGCAATCATGGGACTCTTGGAAACAAGGGAAAAAATGCACCCGCTCTGTCCTTCCTCTTCATCTCACTTTTCTTGCACAAACACCCCGGGTGTGTTCATCACTCAGCTTAACATGTAGAGATCGTATCTTGTCATGTGAATCGGTGATTTCATTGGGCGCTAGGGCATGTAAACATGCCTCAGGCTCTAGCAATACCTCAGTGGCTGGCGGGTTGACGATCTTGCGGAATGACCCATTGGAGCAAGGCCAATCTTTTCTGCTTTCACGATCAATCCCTTTGATAGACAATAGGTCATCATCTAGACTGACTCGGAGTTGGAGAAGCAGACACTACCGATTTGGCTCTATGTATCTAGATTTGAAGTTGGAAAGACGACCGCATAGACATGATCGCAGCTCTCTGAGAGCAGATCGCACAAAGCCGATTCGATAATATCAGTGATACCTGACTGGGCGAAGGCACAGTAATTGATTGCGGGAAGGTTGCCATGGCGTATGGCGACGGCTTGATAGCCACCCGTTGTGGGGTGAAGAACGATGACCTCAAGTGTCGAGTCTTCAGATTCGTTGACGAAGAAGTAGTTGTCTGCCATCGTAATTAGTGGCGGATAGTCATGGATGCACGGAAAAGGTTTACCAAGGATCTGAGCGCGAAGGCCCTGGATTTCTGACATGATGAATGTTACACTTTAAATGGAGGCGTAAGATAATACTTGGTACTGTCAGGAAGCGGTTGGATGTAGGAATGAGAAAGGATTACGTGAGAGAGGGGAGAGTTATAAAAAGGGGAAGTGTGGGAATTTTCTCATGACAGCCTCAACACGGCGTTCAGTCTGTCTGTCTATTGCGTTCTTCGTGACTCAAGTGCTGAAGTTTTCATGTCGTCTCAGACAGAGATCTGAGGTGCATAGTAGTCTCAAAGTAAGACGAACTAGCGTCACGAAAGCTTAATCCCAAGTCTTTGTCGAGAAGCGATCTGAATCTTTGATAAGCTTACACCAATATTGTCCCTTGAACCCAACTTGTTGGCGTTTGTCCGTCCATCAGATACACTATGCAACTGAGAGGCAAGACCAGAGACGAGGTCGACATATCCGTCTTTGTGGATGTCGAACAAGATCTAGGAGAGTAAGCCCAACCACGAACTTGCAGTCCTACGCCAAATGGTAGTCAAAGACAGACACTAAGCTAGTTCGGCTGATAGACATCATCATTCAACGTCCAAACCATGGTACTTGTGACTTCCAATAGCGAGCTCAAAACAGCTTCAATCGTAGGCTGATAAGTGCTTGTGGCAATAATGTCAACATCAACGACAACCCTAGCCACCCATTTGTCTCTATCAGGGGACATTGCAATTACAACTCTGGGCTGAGAGTCGAGATGGATGAAGGAGATGTTGTCTGAACTGGTGAGCAAGGTCAAGTCAAAGTCTGCCAAGGGCACTCACCGATGATCTGGGCACGGATATCGAAAATCTCTACGCTGGGCATAGTCAGAATCTGCAGTACGTGATTTTCGGTTCTGTGGAAGACCTGACTTGGAAGAAATGGTGAACCTGGAGAAATCTCTGAACATATAGTTCTCGTCGAGCTAGAAGATTGAACAAAGAGTTAAGATGTCCTACCGTTGTGCTGCACGTGCATCCTTTTACTATCTGTGTAAGGAAACAAAGGCCTTTGAGATTTGACCAAACATTCTCGTTGTTACTGCTGAAGCATAGACTGTATGAAGCATCTTCAAATCGGCGTCTCCTTTCGGACTCAAAAAGATACTTGTCGGTGAGTGGTCGCTATGTCCAATCATCTAGCATTTCCCTGGTCACATCTTCTCGCCACTTTTGAGCTCGAGCCTGGATTTTGGCAAAGAATTAGTCCAAAGTCACACAGCAACAAAGAATGGCTTACTGCGCTGCACAAGATCGACCGTTGTTATTGCGGTGGGTGATGACGTTCGAGAATGTCGTAGACGCCGACACATGTTGAGTACAGTAATGATTCTATGACTCCGTCAGCTGATCTTTTCCAGACACCTTTGCAGATGTTGAAGTCGAGATCGTTGCGGTCTACGGCTACTGTACGGAAGCGGGATCCGGTTGTAGACATCATCAGGACGATCATGAGTTGACTTTCGCGAACCATGTATCTGCAGTTGACTTGGGGTGTTACTTACGTCGAATGGATCGAGTTCGAGAGACTCACTGAATATCTGCTCACGCTCGATGTCGCGACTAAGCATATTGCGTCAATGGAAGACGTTTCTATTGATGAGGAGGGTTAGACCGAAGTGTAGGGGACAAGGAGAACTATATACCCGATCAGGAAGCAGCCAAGATAGACTGTGAGGTGCGCACGAAGAAACTGAAGAAAGGCCTGGAAAAACTATGTTATCATGGAAGGCATTGAAAACAGGTCCGTCTGATCACGACACTCAAGTTCCAGCAGGGGCTGGAACTTCAAGTTGTGCGAGAACATCATGTCGATCGTTGGAGAATCTATTGACTATCCTGCGCTCGCTTGTACGTATTCACGAGACCCAAGAAGTATCTGACGATATTCTATGCTGCTCCATTTTCTCATTGTGCTAGCAATATGTCAGTGGCCTTGATTGAATTGATCTGGAGACACTTACCATCCAGCCTTTCAAGAGCTCTATGACGAACGAAGATCGAACCGCGCGTACGCTGAGAAGGATTACTACTTTTGGTCGCAAGGCTTACTTTTATCCTTTGTCATCTTCTCGTGGACCATGTCGCAAGTCTTCTCGAACATCTTGAGGATGGCCGCTTCAGGAGAAGCCCAAGGACTGAACTCCTTCATGAGAATTCTGCTGCCCTTGTTGGGGTCGGTGACCAAGATGGCCTCATACATCATGTCGGCGGTGTACGTGACAATAGGGTAGAGCAACAGCTCTTCGGTGTTCTTCTTGCGCAGAGAGAAGACAAGGATGGAATCGGCGAGGTCAGGGTCGATGAAGCGGATGTTTTCTTGGAGCGTCAGTTTTGTCCGCACTTGGAGTATTGTATACTACTGACCGAGCAGCTGTGTACGTATGGCTGCGATGTTGTTGCTGAAGTGGTCGCAAGACATAATGATGTTGCGTGAATTGTGCTTTGATGAAGACTTCCAGAGAGATGGAAGAGAGAAACTCTGGCGAATTGTTGTGATAGATGCGGCTGAAGTTACTCACTTGTAATTACGAGGGAAACTGAAGGTCTCTAAGTTGGCTCGCCGTAAGTCGCAGACCATCGACTTTCATTCGTATCGACTTACAGGCGCGTCGCTTTACTCGCCAGCCACGGCCCGAACAACAACATCAGGTTTTGATCACAACACAACCACCACCGCCTCTCATATCAATCGCATACCCCCATATCAGTCATGGTGGATGTCTGCAACTTGATCCTCTGTAAGTCTGCGCTCGTTTCCCTAGATGATTGAAAGAGCCTGTCTCTAACGAATATATCAGCCAATATCGCCGTCACCTATCTCTGCAGAGAACTCGTCGTCACAACCGCCTTCAACGACGACACCTGGTGGTGCATTGTTGGAACGAGCAAGGTCACTCCTTCATGACCACCGAGAAGGGCGAAGAAACTCCTGAGAAGGCCTAGCTTCACATGCTCAGAATCACCAGCATCTGGGTCTTCAACCGCGGCATGAACAACAGAGTCAAGATGGCCAAGTGAGATTACTCGACTCGGCAACATACCCTTGTCTTCGCTCTATCTCGTGCTCCACGCCTTCACCTTCGAGTCCGTGTGGAGGACTACTACGAAGAACAACGCCCTCTTGACATCAAGTTTTTGGAGTGGATAGCCAGGGCACGTTACACAGCTTATTCTATACATCCAGAATTTCTAAGAGCCGGAATCCATATTCCAAACCCCAGTAGACGTTTTCGTGACATTTGATCCCATTTCCAGGCGAGTGACGAGTGCCAGTTGAATAGTGAAAGTGTTGGCGGCCGCAGCTCGATTGCACGACGCTCACCACAACCCATTCTTGAGATCTCAGTTCATCTCTTTGTTTAGGTGGGTAAGTGCAGGTGCAAGGGTAGAAGTACAAAGACTCCCCTCACGACTCCACATTGTGCCCGAATCTAGCTCAAAGCGATGATGGCAGCCGTTGAAATCAACTTGTGCGAGGTCCGCACTCAGATCAAAGGTAGTGTCGACCACTTCTCATTTTATGCGCATTTCATCCTGATACCGATAACAGAGAGCCTCCGCATCCTCAAACCCGAGCACAAGGATCCATTCGTCAGTCGCATCTCCCTCGACAACTTGTGGTGGATCCACATCTACGGAAACGCCTGTACAAGCATCTGTTATTTCCCTCGAGGATTCGTCACGGCCGAAGCCGCAATGAAGCACATGGCAGATTGCCTCGTCCAGGACGCCCAAAAGATGTTGAACAAGGAGGGACGCTTTGTCCAACACTGAGCCGCACTTTCGAAAGTAGACATCGGCTTTTAAGTCTACATTCTCAGCCCTGGAAGGAACAGTCCTCGGGCCTCATCAGGGATCTCGAGCAGCGATACACCAAACCTCGGTCGTAGAGATAGTCATTACAAACGTAATCCATCCATCATCGAATGACAATCAATCCAGTCAACCATACGCGTTTCGCAGACGCGTTCATGTCCTCGTTATAAATGAACGATTTAAGTGCGACTCTGCGTTATCATCGTCGAGAGAGTGATTGGGGGTTCAGTAGACACACACAAAGTCCGAAAACAAGGTTGGGAAACACAGCCGATGGTTGGTCCATAGGAGACCTCGTTTCACTATACATCACGAAGTGATGCTATTTCTTGCAAGCACATGCTGTGACAGGATATTATCTCCCATCTCTTCAAGCTGTGCCGATAGTTCTTTGGGATTCCGTTTGCCAGAATTATTCTGCAGCATAGGCGTTCAATCCAAGACAGCGTCCCGAAGGAGGGGGAGGGCATGTGATGGAACGTTCGACCCAAGAAGTAGGCATTGTTGACCTTATCCGTTGTGTGAGGGATGCGAATAATTTCGTAGTCCATCAGATCCTTGGTGACAGCCTTCGCATCGCTCAGATCAGTCTCGTAGAGACATAGTCCCAGATAATAATCGTCACAGATGGACATTCTCGCACCATACGCAGAATAAGGCGAGGTGGCATGCGCTGCATCTCCGGCCAATGAGATGCGGCCTCTTGACCATTGCTTTAGGGGCACAATATTACGGATAGGCCACCGTTAGCAGCTCTCTGGGTCGGTATTGTCAATCAGATCTTAGAATACTGTCGAAAATGGCTTAGCCAGTCCTTTGGAATGTAGTAGAAGATACAAGGACCGGCAATTCCATCGAAAATGAATGCCTTTTGGGCTTCAGCCAGGTGGGCTCCCACAAGATATATGGACACTACATCCTGGTCTCTATATTTCAACAAATTGGCGGATATAGGTGCTCCAGCGGGTTCGGGCGCTTGTGGAAAGGAGCATGATCCTGATCACCCCAGCCGAAAAACAGAGTCCGGCCGGCGCGTTTCCGTCGGCTCGGGTGGGGTAAGCCCCAGCCGGGGACCACTAAGGCTCTGTACACCCCTGATTTTGAGCGCAAGAAGCGGTACAAGCAAGAAAACATCAACTCCAACGTGTCGGGAACGGTGGTAGAGAGCTCCTGATAGCTGCAATAGATGGTTGGAGAGACTGGTTCAGTGTTGCGGCGTCCAGCACATCGAATGAGGCGTGTCTTAGACACGCGGTGTGTTTGAACTCTGGACACATAGGTCATTGCATCCAGGTAGTAACAAAAGCTCTTCCGTAGATCTCAAGAGATAGCAATTATACATCGCGGCGCAGTGTCAAAAATGTCTGTCCAAGAGACTGTGTGGAGTTTCGTGGTGCGATCCTTGCCAGCAGTAGGCAGTATGGTGGTGCGGGGTCAGCGCTGCGCGCTTTCGAGGCTCTCTCTGCTCATGGCCTCGTGCTTTCCCACAACTAGGAAGCAAGTCCGCACCTGCCTCATCATGAACACCATATCATCTGCTGGGCCTTCGAACCCTTCAAACACTTCAAATAAGCGCAAGCGTCTCTCTACGGCCTGTGACCGTTGTCGCCAGCGTAAAATCAAGTGCGACGACGCGTTGCCTGTCTGCACCAATTGCCTCAGAGGCGACGCCGAATGCGTGACAAGAAATCTTCGTCAACCTCACATACAGGCCCAGCGCACCGAGGCTCGTGGCAGTCGGAAGAAACGAGTCGGGCGTCAAACCACTAGCCCACGGGTCAATGGTTCAGACTTGCGAGTATTGCACGATGCAGCGAGCTTCGAAGATCAGGCCAGCGCACAAGCAATTGGATCTCTGAGACACCCAACCTCTCAAACCTCAAGGAGATACTCGACTCCTCAACATCGACCAGCTGACGCACCAGTATCGGACACCATCGACGCTGTTGCTCTGCCGGATGCTGATGATACAGACAGCTTAATGGCCGGTCCTTTACCGTCGATACCACGATTCGGATCTGGTAACAGTTTGCTCGTCCTCACTCAGTGGCTTGATCTTGCATTTGCTCGCCTGAATTTTGCCGATCGATTCTCCTGGCAGTATAGGATCAACCCGCGAAGACCACATTCCCGTATCTCCAATCGGCCTCGCAACCAGCATGACTGGGGACTTTCCTGGTCTGATACTGACAAAGAGAGCCTGGACAGGTATATGGCCACCGTCAACCAGGTATTTCCGATGATCAATCCAAGACATTCCCGCACTATGGCTCCGAGGTCGCTCAATGCCGATTGTGATATAGAGGACCTGTTCTACTTTACCGCGACCGCAGTTGGCTCGCCCTTGGCTTATTTTGCATCCGAATCGAGTCAATGTCTACATATCGTTGATCTCGCGCTCTCGCGTATCTTGGATCTGATGCAGAGCGAAAGTAACTACGCAGTAGGCACTTTGATCCTATTGTCGCTTCTCTTCCGTGCTCGAGACGAGTCTGATATGGCTTGGCACATGTTGAGTAGTGCCGTGGCGCGAGCGCAAGCTATCGGGCTCGATCGACGAATCCCATTTTCTCGTAAAGCAGATGTGGAAAAGATCCGAGACCAAAGAATCAACATGTGGTGGTCCCTGTTCATACTGGATAAAATACTTGCTGTGGAAGTTCAGCGCCCGCCGATGATACGACACTGTCTATACGATCAGGAAATGCCTTTACAAAATGCTCAGGGTCAAGTTCAGGAATCGTTGCAATCATGCTTCCTCGCCATGATCGCCCTGTCTAAGATACAAGAGCGAGTTTCTGGATCTCTGCTTGAATGTTCTCAAGCAGAATCATCTGGTCGTACCACTGTTGATTGGGCTATCAACGAGAAGATCCGGATCTCAGGCGAGCTTGATCAGCTGTTGAGGTCTTGGGTTGACAGATTGCCGTATGACCTGAAGTATGCCAGATCAATGGTTTTGCATACCTTACACCGCTGACTGTCTCGATAAGGCCATCGGAGTATCCTTCTTGTGATAGTGAAGTCCTACCTGCAGTGTCTTTCCTTGCATTGCAGTATTATCAGACGTATGTGCTGATATGTCATGTCGAAATGGTCTATGCATTGCTGACTCTTCTCAGCCTTTTCCTCATACACCGCAATGCGTTGGTCATCAGTGCGCAAGCCATCAAAGCAAGAGTTGACTTACACTATTCTTCAGCCACGTGGCGACATCGAATACTGAAAGGTGCTAGTCTCTGTGGAAGCATCGCACGCTCGATGATTGATGTGCTTGATAAGTTATCTGAGTACCACGCGTACTCCATCTTGAACTCGATCTACGCTCCGTTGATTTCAATCTATACACTGGCCATCGTAATTGTCAAAGCACCATCAAGCGAGAGTGCTCGGATCGACCTCGAGGTAGGATATCCTATACGTCGTACTCAACGACACCGTCTCTGACCAGCCCACCAGATTCAAGCTAGCGCAATTCGGATGCTTGAACGTCTACATCCTATGGAAGGAACAAGCGCACCTAGTGTCTACAGCGTGATCAAAGCTTTACACTCTCGGGTCGCGCGTCGAGTGAGTGACAGGACTAATGTCTCGCCATTCACGACACGCGAAGCCTCTGCACCAGCGCGATCTGCCGTCGACATCAACGTTCCTGATTCCCTGCACTTAAGTCTATGCGTGACCGGGTGCTTTCCCGAAAGCACCGACCCGGAGACGTACACGCGAGGAGACACACGTTTGCCAGGTCAAGATACGACGTTGCCCTATGACTTCTTCAATCTACCACTGGATCTGGATGGAATGAATCTCGACGCGTTTGCACAAGCATTTGACTTGCCGTCTTGATCAGCAAAAAATATTGATGTGTGCGCGTTAGATATGCAGTGAGGCGCCCACGACATTAATGAGCAACGAGCAAGATGACTACATCGCCAGTCGTGGAGCTAAGGAGAATTGGTGATGATCTCTTATCCGTTCGTATCGTTGGAGCAGGTTCCGAAAGCCTGACATCGAAATCGATGAGGACTCTAGATGCACGACTTGTCATGGATAGCGTATCACACATGTACTGTATAACGCAATCATGCCCGACCAGTGTAAGGCGCCAATGATGGTCGTTGGGACCCTCCCGATCACATCTTGTCGTTACGTCCATCGTGCATTTCCGAGCACCATGGCCTTGTACCAGCATGTGCATGCTCCTACTGAAGCACGTGACGATCTCAACGCATCTCGACTGCTACAGCTCCTCAATTGGCTGAGATGGAAGCTGGGACTGCCAGCAAACTTCATTAGTCACGTGGTGTAGTACTATTCCCACGGTGAAGGGGGCGGAGTCGGCACATGCATTAGCAGTGGTTCTTGGACAAGAGACAATCACCTTCAAATAACCATATCAAAGTTCCAAGCATAATTATCTGTCAAGTATCGGCCGCGATCTATCGATTATCGAGCTATACTGTGTGGATGTGCATCCCTTGCAATTCTCCTCCCGTATCACGCCTTGGTCTCGATGTATGGAATACCAGTAAGCTTGTATGCTCTCTCACTGAGCTGAGGCCTTCCAGACTTGGGAATGCGGTAGTTGAGGTGATCCTCGACACCATCGCGAAGTATAGGTAGCACGACTTCTTGAACAGCATTTGGCCAATGCGTGGTGCTCTGACAATCTACAGGTACCCTCGTGTCAGTCTCTCTCAGAAGGAGGAGATTGTTGAGAGTGGGAATGATACCTTCGAAGGCGCCTTTCTTGCGCAGAAGATCTTCTTTGCTGACCTCGGCTACCGGAAGGTAGCACGTGTAGGCACAGAAGCGAGGAGTGCTCCCCGTTGGGGGAAGATTATAATGAGGGGTGCGAGAGTCCCAGACAATGAGATCGCCAGGCTCGGCACAAACCTTCTCCCACTGGAAACCCTTGCTCTCAAGCCAAGCCATGCCTGCTTTGGTGTAGCCATACCACTCTTTGGTCCTGAACAACACCTACGTTAGTCCTTGAATGACGACACAACGAATGTGATTCCGACTTACCAAGCCCAGATCTTATCCTGCTCATCCTTGAAGAGCTTATGAAACTCCTCACTGGCTTGGTGTGCGCCTTTACAAACGATCAAGCCACCGTCACTGGGTCCGTTGGGCAAGAGATTCACAAGACCCTGTAAGCATCTGAAATCAGGCTCCTCTGGATCTTGATCTTGATGAGGCCAAGGACTGTTAGCCTTGAGATCTGTACGGTTGGGGAACGCAAAATTGAGACCGTCAAAGGAAACAACCAGGTCTTCGGTTTTGTAGACTTTCTCGAAAGCGCCTACTACACCTGGCTCGGACCTTATGGCCCAGCTGAATGTCTCGTGTGGCAGGCCGTAGCCGTGGCACATGCCCTTCTCATTAATGATAGGCATGTTCTTCCAGTGTACAGTTGAGGGATCCTCGCGCTTAAAACCTAAGCCACTGTATATGAGCATTTGTCAGTACAGAATGTTCGGAGTTGTACAAGACAGGGTTGACACGAACAAGTCTTCGAGGAATTTGTACATCTGATCAGCGTAGTTGTCTGCGCGTTCGCGAGGAATAGCACCTTTGATTACAGCGAAACCATCCCTGATCAGATCGTCCCTAAAATCACCATATTTGGTTGTTTCTTCTCCTTTAAGGAACAGAGTGCAAGTTGTTGGTGCAAGAGTTGCGGTCTGACTGTACGCCATATCGAATGCTCGTCTTCTTTGGGGGAGCGGGTTCAATAAAGTAGAGAGTGTCTGTGAGATCTCCAATGTGTAATCAAGATCTGATCTTGAACGCAGTCTTATATCCACCGTATCTGCTTACATATCCGACTATGTTGCGCCCACGCCTGCGGGGTATGGATCCTCACGGACTGCCTTAACATTCGGGTGGGGGACGAAGCACGGTGCCGAACCGAGTATCCCCAGCCGCCGCGGCCCACACGGTAGTTCATGCTTGCAAGCTCAGCTTCCTGCCGCTCAGCTGAACATGGCGATTGCAGTGCGGAGCTGTTCACTTGTTACTTCGGGATCTTACCATACCGAAAGGCCCCATGAGCCGTCTACCAAGTGAGGCCGCGGGACTGCACCGGAGTTCTAGCTTCCGAGAGTTCCTTCGCGGCAAATAGACGAGATTCACTCAGTAGCAGAGACTGTCTTTGAGACACGTACTTTGTTGTCCTTTGCACTACATACTCACAAGTATCATGACTTTTTGGCTACCGGCAGACATTGTCGCATGGGACATTCCAAGGAGCGACAAAACACGAAGGTGTACAAATGTGGTTGTCGAATGTCTGATTCAAGTCAAGTCTAGTCTAGTCTAGTCTAGAGGTTGGGAATGATGGGAAGAATCAAGCGACTATCATAAACCCCACCAAAATGCAGCACATGCTTTCCTTCATTTTTGCTGTGTTCACCATTCCCGAATCCTTTCATGCCGCGATGATGACCACTGATCTCAAATTGAAACCCCTCACCGGCTTCATACTCGACACCCATGGCCCAGATACCAATCTCCAGCTTGACGACGTCGCCTGGCTTCACCTTCTGCATCTTTTCATGCGGATGGAATGGCCAGTTTTCATGCATAGACTTTGACGTATCAACGTCTCTGTGAGAGGCGCGAAGAATGCCGACCGGACCCTTGTAGAGAATGACTTCAGTGCGTTTATCCTCGGGTATGTCTTCAATCTTGGCAACAGGCACTGAAGACCAAGGAATGTTGAGATTGTACATCGGTTCTCCAGATGTTGATAGCTTACGGACAGTCACGTAGATGTCCATATCGTCGTACTCGTGACAGGACATGTACAGCACTGCTTTGGGCAAACCAACGACTTGTGTCCGTTCTTCAAAAACATGCTTGAATGATAAAACACCTACTTTACCATCGTATGAGGCTGTCTTACTTGGCCCTGAAACTTTGGCCAGTTTCACCTCGCCTCCAGGCTGCAGATAGAAGTTTTGGTATTTTGTATTCGGGATGGGAAAGTCTGCCACGATTTTGTTCGCAATAGGCTCCTTCTCACCGAAGCGTAGGACTGCCATGCGGATCTTCGGAGTCGCTTCCCAATCGTTGTCAACGTCTTTCAGGTAGTGATCCATGAACATGAGAAGTTCGTCCTTTGCTTGCTGACAACCCCATAGATCGTACCACTCTTGGTAAGGATGCCATCGGAGCCATTTCTTCTCTGCTGAAACTTTGAGCCATGCACGAATCGCGCCCATACCATGCATGGTATTGGTCCATGTGCCCGTGATGTAGGTGGGTATGTTTATCTTGGTCATGTCCGGTCGTTTGTTGTTCCACCAGTCATCCTTTCCAGGTGTGGCAAGCGGATATTGTTTGAACATCTCTCGGAAGCTTTCCATACCTTGACGGCCTTTCAGAAGGTGTTTGACAATAAGCTCGTCAAAAAGGTCTCCAGCATAGATACCTCCTCGGGCAAATTGTTCTCTATACAGATCACCACATCCTTCCCATGGCGCAATTGCTTTGAGAGATGGGGGATTGAGCGCAGCGATAAACCACTGGATTATGGCCAGGTGAGAGTTTCCTGCGAGTCCAACATTGCCGTTACACCAAGGTTCCTTTGCGAGGGCTTCAATCACATCGTAGCCATCTTCAGCTTCTTGACTGCCCATGATGCTCATGACACCCTCGGAATTGAAGGACCCACGGGAGTCGACATTGACGATAGCATAACCCCTTGGCACCCAGTCTGCTGGATCCGGCGCCTCGAACTTTTCGAGGCCACTCAGATCATTGCTTGTGAGGCCGAGATTCCAGGGCGTCATGTATTTGAGCGACGTGAGACCGTTGAATTTCTTCCCGAATGGACTCCAACATATGATGGCTGGGACCTTAGTTGGATCGTTCGCGGGACGCAAGATGTCCATATACAAGGTAACGCCATCTCTAACCTTGACGCCGAAGTCGTGCTGTACAAGAATGTCGGTGGTTAATGTCTTGGTCGATTCTTGAGCGTGCCAGCCCGTCGGCAGGATCTCATCGTGGGGGTTCAAAGCTTGATGGCCGTTGTGCCCTTCTACTGGGTGTTCCAGTTCGATGACTGGTATCTGGACGTTGTATCTCATGGCAGAATGGAGTATGCTGCGTTGAAATCCTCAGATTCGTGCGGGTTGTCGCTGTGTATACTATAGCAACTCCTATCGGCTTGGTGGAGGGACCGGCTATGGTTATCGACATACAGTATGACCCGAACCGTCGGTCGGGGTCACGGTTGGTCGACGTCCACCCGATTGCGGGGAATAATCTACCTCATTCTAGCCTCCCCGGAAAGCGTGCACGTTGGGCATCTCGGTTGGGATCCTCTATACAGTTGGGGACTTTGTTCACGCCCTGGGGACCCCGGCGAATATCCCCAAAGTACCCCGGACAGTGCATGATCGAAAGCGGGGGATAAACGGACTCTACAGATGTGCTATATTTATAGCCATGCCTGGATCTTCAAGGTGGTCATCAAGAACTCGGCCAGAGTCTCAGTAGTAATCAGCACACCCATCGACCATGAACGACTATAAGAAATCATCTGTCGAGGAGATCGAGAGACTGCCATCGTCAAGCGACAATGCAATTCAGCTGATTGTCAACAATGAAACAGTGCTTCTGCCTACACCTTCCGAGGATCCCAGAGGTATGACTTACTTCATCTTATGGCCACCTGTAACAATCTACAGCTAACTGCTGGCTAGATCCTCTCAACCTCCCAACCTGGCGCAAGTGGGCCATCTTGATCATCGTCAGCGCTTTTAGTTGCTCAGCTGTCGTCCTCGCATCCGGGCTTGGACCAATCTTCCCCATGATCGCCAGGGATTATCCTGGTCAAGAGCAGAGAGCTAATGATCTTCTCACATATCCGACCTTGTTCATGGGCATTGGCAATATTCTTAGTCTGCCTATCACCAACGTCATCGGCAGAAGATCAGTATTCCTTGCCAGTATCGTCTTGCTCATCGCTGGAGGTCTCTGGTGTTCGTACTCCAAGAGCCTAGAGAGTCACATTGCTGGACGCAATATCATGTCGCTTGCCGCAGGTCAAAGTGAAGCACTAGCGCCTCTGATTGTTCAAGAAATCCACTTCCTGCACGAGCGTGGCCGCAAGCTTGGATGGTTCATATTCATACAGAACTTCACAGTCGGTATCTTCTTCTTTTCCGAGACATATATGGTCACTTCTTGGGGATGGCGTTGGTGGTATGGCTTCTTCATCATCTTCAATGCGGTCGTTTTGATCGTCGCCATCCCATTGGTAACAGAGACATTGTACATCAGACCCGATCAGGCTGCCTCAGGCGGATTGACAACTGATATAGCCGATGATGGTCTCACTCGTATAACGACTACTCGTGGAAACACTCTTCGGCCAGATATCCATGGTCACCGCACTTGGCGTAACGACCTGAAGCTGTTCACGAAGGGTAGCAGTTGGAGCACTATTCCAAGCTTTTATCTCGACTTCGTCAAAGGCTTGTGCCACCCTCTTCTCTTCTGGATCCTTATGCTCAACGGTGCGTATCTTGGGCTCTACATCTTCCAAGCTTCGACCTTCGCCACGATTCTACTGTCGCCACCATACTCCATGACTTTTAACAACCTCGGCTACGTTCAAGGTGCCCAGATTCTCATGTGCATCCTGTTCCTCCCTGTTCTAGGCTATGGCAGCGACTTTGTGATCAAGACAATGTCCAGACGCAATAACGGAGCATACAAACCCGAGTATCGTCTTTTCTTACTAATCATCCCTACGGTCGCGACAGTGATTTGCGCTATAATTTACGGTCAAGCTGCTCAGTATCCAACACAATGGACTCGCTTGGACATCGCCATCCCCTACAACGTCATTTTCTTCGGCTTCCTTGGTGCCAATATCGTGGGCATAACTTACGGCATCGATAGCTTCCCTATCAAGGCAGCGCCAGTCTTGGTTGTCATTTGCGCCGGTAGAGGAATCATATCCTTTGGCTTGAGCTATGCTGTTTTGCCTGCTATTACTGCCAAAGGGTACGACGGAACGATGAATATCCTTGGTGGACTTGCCGCTGGATTGTCGATTCTAGCAGTGCCTGTCTATGTGTTTGGGCCACAAATGAGGGCGCTAGGAACAAGGTACTACGGTTTTGGGGAGTCTAAAGACTCACACAATGGAGAGACTCATGCTGTATAAGGAAGCTGCTTCGCTACAACGGCGCAGCTTGGAAAACCTTGTGGCTTTTGAAACACTTTGTCATCTCTCTTCTTGTTCTCAATCAGCCTTGTTCAATGAGCTGACGTCGAGTACATGTATCGAAGACCATCGATAATCAGTTCTCCAGTGGCCGAATTGACTTGGGCAATGTGCTTCCGTTACTTGCTTCTCCTCGAGGATACATCACTAGTCTCTAGCGCGATACCATGCAAGGTGACTGTTCTGTAAAGAAAAGGGCGGTTTTCGCCACACCACACAGTACATCCTGTTCTCCAATGGAGCAGCAAGCGCTTGTCACCGTGTTCTGGACGGCGGCTACATGATGCTCTGTATATGGATACAAGACGACAGAAAGATAGGTCCATGGCTCTGTATCCCCAAACCTTGTTATTTCATCGAAAGCTCATCGATAGCATGACGTGCCCTGATCCGAGAAAGTCGAAGGTTTCTAGTCTCTCAGACCTGAGTCGCTCATGTTTCCTAGTAAGTGTAGCAAAGCCAATTGGCATCTAGACTCTCCAATACTATCCAACGCAAGCCTTCGATACAGGTTGCACGAGCAGTCTACGTTTACCGTGAGGCTCGAGTGCTCTGGAGCTGGTCAGTCAATGGCTTGTTTGAACATAGCGCCCGATGACGGAGAGATTGACGCATCACGAAAAGACAAAACGACTACGCCACGTTGAGGATTGTAATCAGCTCATTCATTTGCCTGTGTAATGGCTCATGATGCTCATCAGCTTGTGGAGAGCGAGAGGTTTCTCGACGTTACAGAACTCATCATCAAGTACACCCAGACTCACCGCACCGCCGGAACTCAGATCAGATGTCTCGTTCAACTATTGCGTCAAACACTTCGGCACAATTGAAGACAACTCTAGATTGAAAGGTCGTATCTATTCCTGATGAACAATACACGGTTGCAGACGCAGTCTCGTACAGGGCCAAAACCTGAATGCTAGAGATGGGGCTAAGACATTTTTCTTCTGACCAGACTTTCTGAGGATGCTGAATCCTGTATCGATAAATCACAGCAAGGTCAAGTTTCCTTCTATGTGTACAGTCTCTTCTTACAGCGCAAACGATATCAGAGTCGCACCTAGATCGAAAGTACAAGATGTACATTGTGCAGGGGACTATCAAATTGGGTTTGAACTCTGATTTGAATAATCCCTTGCACCGTCTGAATTCGGAGTTGTATGAACCTTCTAGATAGATCGAACGACCTTTTAGAACAACACTAGTCAACACTAACACCAACTGTGTTGTGTTATTTTCGTAAAAATACCGTACACTTTCCCATGTTGGTGAAGCCAGCAACAACACTTCTTGACCGACAAAGTTCATCTCCTACTTTCTTAGCATATTATTCATACAAGTCTTACGATTGTGAATCAGGAAGAGCCCGCGATTTAGAACCAAATCTCCTTTGTTTCGAGAATCATTGATCTTGCCTTATGGATCTCAACCGACTGCAAAAGACCAGACTCGACGTTTCATAGTTTCACATAAACGATTGCTGGTCCGTTGTTTAACTGCAAGAGCTTTCTACAAAGTTTCGAGTATTAGTGTAGGGTAGGAGAAGAGGAGAGAAAAGGAGGTTAATGAGAGGTCGCGGTAAGAGTTTGGAAGGAGGTTCTAGCAAAACTTTTGACAGACTATAAACCAATGTCTTACGCTCTGGTGAAAAACATCCTACGAGGTTGGATAAGCAGGAAGAGAGAGAGGAAGTAGGTCCATGACCCCCCTTTTCCCCAGCCTCACTACCCCTTCACACCCTCCCCCTCCAGTGAAATTGCTCACCCCCAGAAATTTCCAGCAGGAGTTTCGATGTCATAGATCATAGACCTGAGTCCTTTACCTCACCCACTTCCCCCATCTTCGCACCTGATTTCAAATCGCGTATTGAACATTGCCATGATTTTGGAGTTGAGCAGGCCCACGATACCGACGGACCGCCGCGCGAGCCAGCTCATGCAACGAACGAATGGGTCGGTGTCAGGGGTGTTGCAGAAGTTTGTGACGATTCGGCGCGATGACTTTATAGCTCATGTCTTTGGATGAAGGCGCCCAAGGAGAAATGCAGAGGTTTTGTAGAAGCGTCAAAACTGCAAGTTTGGAAAGGGGATGCAGAGTCGATTTTGTGACGCCAGTCCCTCTTATAAACGCCATGCTAAAACACTAATGTCCATCGGAAGAACTCACGGATTTGACCTCGCCTCCCACGACCAAGAGAAGCAATACCCAGCAACCAAGAAAAAGAGACCATCATGTGTTTCGCAGAATCCGAACCAGTCGAAGTAGCTATGAGTACCATCTGCGCCAACCAAGCTTAGGCTCAAAGTCCTACTTCAAACCCAAGCCTACATTAGCGGCACTCTCTCCAACCCTGATAGAGTCCTCTCTTTCAAGTCCTTCGGGTCTTCTTGACGAGGTGGTAGTGCTTTGACTTTCACTTCTATCCCTTGGTCCAGTAACACTAGTACCTCCACTTCCAGTCATACCAGCCATATTTGCAGCCCACGCACTGACACTGGGACGCGAGACGCCTGCTTCAACGCGAGGGTTGGGATTGTTCGTGTTGACGGAAGCTTCAGAGGTTATGCTGTTTCTACGACCGCGGAGGGCGCGTTCAAGAGCCTTTACTTTCTGACGGAGGGCTTCGTTTTCTTGCTTGACGAGGTCGAGTTCTGCGCGGGAAGAGGCGATTTCGGCGGTGCTGGATGAGGATGTGTAGGGCGAGACGGGACCGAGGGCGAAAGAGCCGGCTGTGGAGATGGCACTGGCGGTTTGTGACAGACTGGGGCGGTGGGGGAGGGAAGCGGCGGAAGCAGATGTCAGGGCTGGCGTCGAGTGGCCTGATGTGCTGCGGATAGAAGGGTTGCGGCTGATGGAGGGGTTGGTTGTAGAAGTAGTAGGAGCAGCGTGGTGGGAAGCGCGGTCGAATGAGGCTTGGGAGACACCAGCTAGCGGGGCCGTGGGTTGAGGATGGTGCATGTGTACGTGGCTGCCGCTGGTCGAAGCATTGCTAAGGCTGCGATTGGAAGCATTTGACGATGAACGATGTTGACGTGTGGGTGTCGGGTGTGAGAGACCGGTGTCTGGAGCCTGGTTGGAGCTTGTGTGCGAGGCATTGCTGGCAACAGAGGCCGAATGTTGGGCGCGAAGAGCAGAGAGTTCGCGTGTGAGACGATTGACCTGAGTAGGAGGGTCAGAGAAACAAAACTGAGATACTCGACGGGTAGATGAAACGTACGACAGCTTCTTGCTCCTTCTCGAGCTCCAGGTGCAGCTCAGCAGCAGTCAAGGGACGAGCATGGCGCATGGGCAGGTTTGCATCTGTTGTGTTGATGACAGCTGAGGCACCATCGCCTCCGTGGGAAGGGCGGCGCGATGACATGTTGGAGGAGCCACGTCGAAGTGACGGACTCAAATTACCGTTGCTCGTCATTTTGTGTGTCTTTGATGCGTGTGGAAACAATCTTCTCCTGACCATCAACAAAGTCGACTATTAACAGAGTGGACCCTGTCATGCCTATACACTGCCAAGACATGACGACGCCATCAGCTTTGACATGTGAAAATTGTATTCGTTGCTGCTGCTGCTGCTATGCATTCCTATCTTGCACCTTCTGCTCATGAAACATTGCGAAACTTGCACTTGCTTTTGCTTGTCGTCCTCGCTCATCATCCTGCAAGGAACATGTTCACATTGCCGGCCCGTCCTGCCGTAAATCCGCAACGCCGATGCTGACTTTCCCAATTCATTTGCCTTCCTGCTTCTTTTTTGGACGGGCGCAGCTGCATCTCCTCTATGCTCTCTTCTAATCGTGTGCAGCTTCTCTTGAAGCGCCACATTGACTGTACATGTCGGCTAGATCTTTCTTCTCACTCACGGCATAATCCGTTTAGTAAGTTCTCGACAGGTTGCGGAGGTACCAGTCTACAAGTCTGCGGCCAACCTTGGCTTCCGAGACGTGGATCAAGTCCTGGAATCCTGTATTAGCATACGTCATGTTGGTATTGGATCTCGAATTACTCACTCCTTGCATGGCGTAGTCGAGGTCGTTGGTGGTGACAACATCGCCGTCGAGCAGACCACCCTCGGTGTGTCTGACCTGCTTGCTTCTTTGCTTGTTGACCAACAACCATCCTCTTAGAGTGTCGGGGTCAATTTCGAGGAAGCCAGCCAACTTCTTGATGTCCATGGTTGTGTAAAGCTTGAGATAAGAACGGACAGTGGGGCTCCACATGTTGTTCTTGACCTCCTCCATGAAGATCGAAAGATGGTGCTCGATGGGGTCAACGTTGACCGAGGGATTCTCAAAGTCCGGAGCAGTGGGGGAGATGAATCTAGGGCAAGCCTGGCGGAAGAGCTCCTCGAAGACGGGAAGGGACTCGGGGCCACCGAGCTGCATACGGGCAAACTGCTCACCGTATTTCTCACGCAGGGCCGAGTGAACCGTGTCGTCAAGACGAGTGGGGTTGAGGGCAACGCAGATGGCGACAAGAGCGTACATCTGATCGCTCTTCTTTGCGATGCTGTCGTACTGTGCGTTCTTCTGGAAGTTCTTTGTGCGGGAGATGTAGATGAGGATGTGGGTGAACATGCGGATGGCATCGGTGTAACGGTGCATCATCATGTATGAGAAACCGACGTAGTAGTAGGTGCTGAACTGAGCGGCCATGATGCGGGGGAACATGGACTTCTTGTTGAGGTCAATGTTGTCCAGAGTCTTGAGGGCCATGCTAAAGTCACCGAGCAGGCAGTGGACGCGGAGGAGACCGATGAGCGAGAAGTATCCGAGCATCTGGTAGAGAGGGCGGTTGCCGTACTCGCCGGCGTAGGCGGCGGGGTCCTCACCGCGCTTGCGAGCCTCGAGCTGCTCCTGTATCTGGCTACGCTGGATGAGCGAGTACAGGACGTTGAGGACCGAGTAGCAGCCCCAGGTGTTGGGGTTGTCGCGGAGAATCTGAGCGTCTTCATCGTTGTCCTGCTTGAGGGCGACCTTTTGGCGGTAGGCGCAGAAGCTGTTGAACTGGTAGATGAATTCGTCAATTACCTCCCATGCCCAGTAGTGCTATATCTTGTCAGTCTTCTTGTATTTGCGCGGCGTATACAGCGGTCTATTGGTATTGACACACGTTGGGGACATCGAGGTCCACAGGGCCTTCGGAGTTGAGGATGAAGTGGAACAGGTTGCAGTAGCTGTCGTAGCTGGCAATCTTGGTCTCGAGAGTGGCTCCGTATTCGAGAGGTTGGGCGGCAGCGGCGAGCTGAGCCTGGAGATCCTGAGGACCGCTGGAAGCGACTCTCTCGAGGTCGTTGTCGTCGCCGTATTGAGCCTGCTCCTTGTAGTTGCTGGCCAGAACCTCCTCTTCGACGTCCGAGTCGTCCTGGATCTGGCGCGCGGGCTGACCCTGCTGGTATGATGCTTGCACGCTCATGTTGACGGTATGCGGTGTATTGCGGTACTGTATCAAGTTCGTACTGTCCTCTGTCGCGCGACAACGAGTTCTGGCTTCGTGCAACTTTTTTGTCTTGGCACTGTCTCCTTCCGAGTGTTGAAACTAGTCCGCTTTGGGATTCCCCTCTTCCATCATCGTCAGTCATCGAGTACATATCTCAGGCAATGTCAAGAGACCAGACAGACTTTAGCTAGTTCCACGCTGGATTTGCTTCATCTACCTGGACAAGCTCATTCTTGTAAAGACTATCGCAATTTTCAAGTTCGAACAGCATCTTCTAAAGGACAATGGCTCCCACTCACAAGATTGCTGTCATCCAGCTGCACCCGAAAGTAATCGCACCACGAAATCACTGCGAAACCATCTTGCTGATATAATGCAAGCCTCTTCATGTCGAACAGAATTTTCAGAAAGCAGCAAATTTCATCAGAGCAGCCTCTTTGCAGGGTGCTGAGCTAGCCGTACTCCCCGAGTACCATCTCACAAACTGGCTTCCAAATGACCCAAAGTTCAAGGAATCTTGTGCAAACTGGAAGGACTACCTTGAGAAGTACCAAGCTCTGGCCAAAGAATGCAACATCTGCATCGTGCCTGGCACCATCGTCGAGCTGCACACAGACGCCGAGCATGATAGCACTGGCATCCTCACCAAGGAGGACGAGACCAGCGAGCGTCTCCTCAATGTCGCATACTTCATCTCAAACACAGGAGAGATCCTCGGAAAGTATGTCAAGAAGAATCTCTGGGGCGATATTGAGCGCGGCCACTTGACGAGTTCTTCGCACGACCCTCACCCCGTGTTCGATACCCCATTCGGTAGAGTCGGTATGTTGGTATGCTGGGACCTAGCTTTCCCGGAAGCCTTCCGCGAGATGATCGCTCAAGGCGCCAAACTTTTCATCATTCCAACCTTCTGGACACTAAATGATTGCTCTCCCAAAGGCTTGGCCAGAAACCCTTCCGCCGAGGCAGTCTTCCTAGACTCCATGCTCACAGCTCGCTGCTTCGAGAACACATGCGCAATCGTGTTTGCAAATGCTGGAGGTCCGCCAGGAAAAGGCTATGCTGGGCTGTCGCAGGTGTGCGCTCCTTACGTAGGCCCCATCGTACGCTTGGGCAGTTGTGCAGAGGGTATGGCAGTCGTGGATTTGGATATGCAGATTGTGGAGGATGCGGAGGAGAACTACCAAGTCAGAGCCGATCTTGCGAGGGGGGACTGGCATTATGATTACCGTCACACCAAGGACAATGATTCCAAACTTTGAGGGGGGACACCAAATAGTCACATGCCTTATTGCATATTTCACTTGCGAAGCACGATACCTCAGTTGCAGCTTCTGTATGTGAAGGTGCATAATCGGAGGTTAGCCATCTTTGTGACGACAGTCAGCATTCTGAGCCTTTGCTCTGAAGCCGGTAATTTACTGAGGTGGTCAATCGTTGCATATCCGATTGTCACGAGCCTCAAAGCCAGCACTCACGAGGCGGCTCCACAAGTTCTGCGAACCACGACTGTGTCTAAACAACCTCCCAGCTAGACAGACATCCAGCACCTCTGCGTTTCACAAGTCTCCAGAAGTTTAGTATCTGAGAGACATGAACGTGGAGTGCATCAACTTTGGAAGGAGAAAATAGGTGTCCGGGTCTTCCCCACAGCAACACTCATGGCGACTTCCTCACTCATGCCTTATTGATGCCAAAGACTACCAAAGCCGACCTGTCTCGAAATCTTGATCTCTCTTGTCCATAGTAATAACACCATTGTTACCGGTATTCAATTATCACCCTATCCTACTTCGACATGTGCTCCCCAGGCCTTCACAACTACAGAAACGTCGATGAGCTGGAACATGACCGTGTCATTCATGTTGCTGGGATTGGGGGTTTGCAAGTCCAGAATCTCACGGACGAGCAGAAGGTCGCTCTGCAGGGCCATATGGACGAGAGGGATTCAAGTCCTATCGAGGATCCAGAATCCCAGCAACCCAGTCCTGTCTCTCCCGCTTTAGAGCCAGTCAGGCCTAATCCAGCTCCCGCATCAATGCTCGCCAGCACCACGTCTGTTACATCATCGACTACTCACGCGCTACTATGCTGCGATCCGCTACCCCTGCCGAGATATCCAGCCTACCCAGACCTCACACCTCGAGCCATACGTGAACTGTCGGGTGGTCCAGAGAATGTGGTATACTGGATGATGAAGACCTTCTTCAAGCCGTCACTCAAGTACAAGTACAGATGCTTGTTTGTACCCTTCACAAGAGGCGGACTTGAATACCTCAGAGACGCCATTCAAGATCCCCGCCTCTCGTTCTACATCGAGAAAGTCAAGTTTGATGGCAGGCATCTCGAAGCCATTACTGATGTCACCAACCTTAGTGGACAGCTGGCTCTCATGGACGAAATACTGGCAATACTCATGACACAGTCTGTAAGCCAAAGGATACCCATCAACCGTGCTCTGAGTCTGCTCATCGCGTCCATGAAATGTCTGTGTCTCGACAAGCGAGACGTGATGGTCACATAGAACGTGCAACCGGCTCCATCTGACAAGGACAAGAAAGCAGTAAGAGCGTCTTGTTCTGTATCGAACAAAGCACTCTGCCTGCCGGACCCCAATGATCGAAATTTCAAGCTCAGATTCGACTGGCGTCTGGAGTCTGGCAGGAAGGCCACTATCATACCAGCATACAATCCGCCACAATCCCGAATATGCGTCTTCGCGGATCCTCAAAGGAAAGATCGAAAGGGGTAGTGATACGCCCCCAGACTGCAAACCTGATGATCCATGACTGCACGCCCGAGGTGCTACAGGCGTACAGTTCCTCACTTCCCGAAGGTCAAAAGCTATGGTTCTTGAAAATTGCCTTACACTCGATCGACCTACAAAACATCACGGTTAGGCTGCCAGGCCTGATTCATCTACTGTTCCGAAACAGAATGACTTTGAGAAAGCTGGTCCTGGAAGACGTCGACACCAAATCAGTGAGCATCAATTGGGCCAATCTGCTCGGATTCACCGCGACTCACGTTAATCTGGATCGTGTTCAGATTCGAGGTTTGAAGTTCAAAGGTGACGTAGACAACGAGCTGGACCTCAGTGCAGGCGACGAGCACGCAGTTGACCGTTCACCCGCTCACTGGATGGAAAATTTGAGAACTGTGAAAACGACAATCAATGCTGTAATCCAGCCGCGAGGACCGGGTGCTGCGATCGTCTCCCACGTAGCCTTGAGCTTGTGGTGATTGGACTCCTTTGCGTTAGCTGATTGAATGTTCGAGGTTGAGAGCTGCAGATGTCGCTCTCTTATTACGGTGGCGCTGTGTGAGGTGGGATGTCAGCCAAAGGTCATTGCGCAGTCTGAAGAAGACACCCATCGTTGCTTGGGATGATAACGCTCATTGTTCCATGATTAGCACTCACTCCCATTAATTAACAGTCCTTCGCTCATCTTCGACTTGCTTCGTTGTGCGGTAGATTTTGATTGCCTTGTATTCCGATCCCTCACTCCCAATAGTCTAGCACAGTCATCGGCGAAGACTTTTGGCGTCATTTTCGACTGGCTAGATCGAGCTCCTGATCTAGATAGCGGCAGTGAAGAGTCGCAAAGTCAGCCAGATGAGGGGAAGTGTCGACGTTATGATACAAAGGTAAACATTGCCGAGAAGCATGCCTCAGGTTACCCAGCCAGACTGAAATATACCCAGCAGCAGGCCCTGAGCGCCTCAAACAAACCGTTCAAACGGTTGTCAATTTTGAGAAACGTCTGTCAGCCTCGACTTGCCTGCTTCGTCGCATTGGCACAATCGACCACTATCTTCCGCCGCGAGTCCGGTCGAGATGCGCTCCTATCTATTGAAGAGGTCCGCGCGTTCCATCGAGACCTATTGGATCACTACATGCCGACACAAACCGCTCGTGTAATGACAGCCGCTCAATGTCCCTGACTCTGCCTTCGCGTACACGGTAGGTGCCTCCAAGGACGATAGTGTGGCCGTTGAGTTCAAAAATCAAGTATTGCTTGCACCTTCGTCTCATGATGACTTGTGTCTGCCGATATAAGCTGTGCAAGGTTTTTGCTGTTTGAACTTTGCGTTTTTGCTTTGAACTTTGCTCTTGCTCTTTCCTGCTGTTTCGCGCCATCTCTTACGTTTAAAGCTGAGTGTTCCTGGGGAGGCTCTGATTGCTTGTGTTGCGATATACTGTTTTCGAGACGACCGCACTTGACTGGAGAGCTGGATGATATGGCGACTTCTGCGTATCATCTAAGGACGGATTATCTAGTCGAAGCTTTTGGCATTGATAATCCACGACCGGAGTTCTCATGGCGACTGGAAGCTAGCGATCCCTCGGATAAACATGCCGTGGTGTTTCAAATCGCCTACCGGGTTCAAGTCGCCCTGCACGAAAGCTTTCAACCGACAAGCATAGTCTGGGATAGCGACATCGTGCGCTCGCAAGATCAATCTGGCATCATTTACTCTGGCGGTCTGCTGCAATCTATCACGAAATATTACTGGCGGGTACAGTTATTTGATTTGCATGACTTTCGCAGTGGGTGGAGTAGATGTGCTACTTTCGAGACGGGGATTATGGATGCGAGACTCTGGAAGGCTAAGTGGATTACCGGACCTGCTGAGGATACGGAACATGCTATGTACTTCAGGGGATGTCTCACCATACCTACTGGAGTGTTGAAGGGCAGGGCGTTTGTCACAGCACTGGGTTGGTATAGGTTGTTTGTCAATGGGGCGGACTTGACTGGCAATTGTTGCGTACCACGATGGACGCCACTGAACTCTGCAGTTGAGTACCAAGACTACGATATTACAGCATACCTTCGACCAGGTCTCAATCACTTTAGCGTTGTGGTCGGCGATGGACGCTGGAGAGGCAGTCTGGGCTTGAGAGATACAAGAGCAAAGCATCATGATCCTGTCGCTACCTTTGTCCAAGTCAACATCAACTTCAAGGACGGCAACAGGATAGTCTACGGTAGTAGCGAGGAGTGGTTTGCTGGCACAGGTGCAATCATCCGCTCTGACCCGAAGCTAGGTGAAGAACATGATCTCCGGATTAGCAGTGACGAATGGCTTGGTAGAGTCGCACCGATCCCACCGTCTGTGCAAGGCTCTCGCTGGACTCCCGCTCGTCTCCTCTCAACACCACAATCTCGCAAACTGATTGCTGAAGAAACACCAAGGACAAAAGAGATTGCACGATTACGACCAAAAGGTATTTTGCGCTCGCCAACTGGCAAACAAATCTTCGACTTTGGACAAAATATTGCTGGCTTTGTGGTTGCAAAGTTGAAGGGAAAACTTGGGACGAAAGTTACAATTACTTATTCCGAATCTGTTGGCCCTGACGGAGAGCTGGATCTGGATTATGCACTTCCTATTGATGGGAAAGCACAACGCGACTCTTGTATCTTGAATGGAAAGGATACTTGGTTTCAGCCTTGGTTTACTCGCCATGGCTTCCGCTATGCTGAGATTGTAGGGTGTGATGATGTAGGCTTCAATGACATTAAAGCTCTGATAGTCTCGGCGGATCTTCCGGAAACTGGATCTTTCACGTGCTCGGACTGGAGACTGGAAAGATGGAGAGGTAATGCTCTACGCTCCATGCGAGCGAATTTCGCAGACGTTATCACAGACTGTCCAACCAGAGAACGGCTTTGCTGGATGGGAGATTTACAAGCCATTTCTCCCACCTCAACAATGTTCTTGGACACTCAGACTTACCTGCGACGTACCATGCGAAACATCAGTCTTGAGCAACTGCCTGATGGGACAGTACCGCCCTTCCTCCCTGGCGAATGTGCACAGGTCTACAAAGGGCTCTGGTGGCCAATGTCCCTCATCACAACCTCCGTAGGCTGGGGAGACGCCTGTGTCCTGGTGCCATGGACTCTATACCAATACTACGGCGATAAAGCAGTACTAAAACGACAATACGGATCCATGAAACGCAAAGTCGAACAAATGACCAGAGACGCAAGATCAGGAAAAGGCACATACGGCAAATACTTCAAAGGCGATCGTAATGAACATGAACCCTATATCTTGGATTCTGATAAGATGTGGGGTGAATGGTTGAAGCCTGGGAGCGGTATGTGGGGACTTTTCAAGTCTCTGATGATTCCGTCTCCGAATACTGCTACTGCGTACTTTGCGCATAATGCTTCTGTGTTGGCGAAGGCGGCGGTGGCTTTAGGGTATACTCAAGATGCTGAACATTACCTTGCATTGGCCGAGCGAGTACGAGTAGCGTGGCGTGCAGCTTTTGTCTACGCGGATGACCGGATTGGTGATGACAAACAGGACGACTATGTCCGCGCTTTAGCGTTCAACCTCGTGAATCACTCTTCTCGACCCCAGACTATTGATCGTCTGGTTGAGATCATTCACGACAGTGATTACCACTTTGGCACCACACTGCTCAATACAGCAATGCTTCTCTCGGTCCTCAGCGATAATGGCAGAGCAGACATCGCCTACAAACTCCTCATGCAGAATTCTGGCCACAGCTTCCTGAATCAAATCGAAGCCGGCGCAACCACAAGTTGGGAAACCTGGACTGGCTACGACGAGACCGGTAGAGCAAAAGGATCACACAACCACGTCGCTTCTGGTGCCTGTACACGATGGCTACAAGAAGGCATCGTCGGCATCACACCCCTCGAACCAGGTTATCGCAAGATCAAAATCCGACCTTTAGTAGGAGGCGGCTTGGATCACGCATCAGGAGGTATAGAAACACCGTATGGGTTATGCAAAAGCACCTGGAGAAATCTGGTCACGACTGGCATGGTTCAACTCTGCGTCACCATCCCCGCTGGCGCTGCTGGAGAAGTTCATTTAGGTAATGGAGAAGTTCATGATGTCCCCGCCGGAACCCATTTTTTCGAATATCAAAGTGGGGATAGTCTTGCGGTATCTCCTGCTCCATCGACAACCAGTATCGAGACCGTCGTCTTTGGGAAAAGTAACTATGCATCATCGCAAAGTCCTGGTGGCAGTTCAAGTGCTTTGCCTTCGCTTAACGCATCTTCTCCGCCGCAAAGTCCTGGTGGCACGTTATCTCCTCTGTCGCCTCTGAATCCTGGAACACCGCCTGCGAGGGTTGTGGTCAATGGAGGGAGATTGATGCCGCCTGAACCGGTACAGACAAAGAAAAGGGTGGATAGTTTGGTGCCGGGGACTAAAATTGGGGGGCTTTCTGCAAAGAGAAGTTTTGTGTTGCCGCAGAATGGGTGTGTTGTTTCTTGGCCACCTTCTGCTGCTACATGATAGAGTGGGAGGGGGTGTTGGTGGCTTCTTCTTCTTCTTCTCTTTCTTCTTGTTTGTTGTCTCAGCACTTGTTCTGCATTGTTGTAGTCTAGACTTCTTGTTCTCCTTGTTGCTGAGGATTATGGACAGCTGGTCTGTCTGGTCCGCTATCTTTGCATTGTCTGTACTGTGAAAGGTATGGAAACATTGAATCATTTACCTGATGATCAATTACACTTCTATAGCTTGTTGTGCTACAGGATCTGTCTAACCTTCCTTGAAAATACTAGCATAAGCACTTAAAGCCGGTGCACCACCAAGATGCGCATAAAGCACCTTACTGCCCTCTGGGAACTCTCCCTTCTTCACCATCTGGATCAGGCCGTCCATACTCTTACCCTCATACACAGGATCCGTAAGCATACCCTCTGTTCTCGCAGCCAACCTGATAGCTTCCATGGTCCCTTCATTAGGCAACCCATACTCAGGGCCTCCAAATCTCGTATCCAGAATGACGTCGTCAGCAGTAATGGGTTTTCCAAGTTCGACGAGCTCAGCCGTGTTTTGAGCAATACGCAAGATCTGCGCATGAGTTTTCTCAGGCTTTGCAGAGGCATCAATCCCAATGACCGATCTTTCTCTCCCCTCACTCGCAAACCCTACAACCATACCCGCCATTGTACTGCCAGTAACAGCACAAACAACGATGTAATCAAACGTAAAGCCCAACTCTTTTTCTTGCTCCATGACCTCGAGCGCAAAAGCAACAAAACCCAATCCTCCGTATTTATGCTCTGAGCAACCTGCTGGGATGGGATATGGTTTCCCTCCCTTGTCGCGCACGGATTGCATGGCTTCTTCCCAACTAGGTCTGATTCCTATATCGAAACCTGCAGTGTTCAACCTAACATCCGCCCCCATGATTCTACTCAACTCTATATTCCCCACTGTATCATAAACGCCCTGCTCATCTTGCTTATAATTAACCCAATTTTCCTGCACAAGCACACATTTCATGCCTAGTTTTGCTGCTACGGCGGCGACTTGACGGGTTTGATTGGATTGGATACCGCCAATGCTGACGAGAGTGTCATAGCCTCCCTGAATGGCCTCGGGGATTACGTATTCGAGTTTTCGTGTCTTGTTGCCGCCGAATGCGAGGCCGGAGTTGCAGTCTTCGCGTTTTGCGTAGATTTGCACTTTTGAGCCCAAGGAGGCGGAGAGGCGGGATAAGTGTTGGATTGGAGTGGGGGTGCCGAAGGTGAGTTGTTCTTTTTGGAATTTGTCGAGACGCATGGTGGTATGGAGGATTGTTTCCTGGTAGAGAAGTGTGTTTTTATCTTTTTGCAAGTGTGATTGTTTAGGTTGAGTAGGGTGAGCAATTTTGAGTCTTGTGTTTTGAAGGATGGAAAGAAGGGAATTGGAATGGAAGAAAAACACTGAGATGGGTTTATACTTGTACCCTTTTCTACACTTTCTCTCCTGCTCTATTACAAACCTGTAGGGCTTTCTATGATGGTCGCTTTTGCCCTGACCATACCTATCCTTACCCGGTTGGCCTATCAAGGGCAGCTCCAATCGCCGACCCCCGATATCGTATCCTGCTCCTCCTCCACCAGAAGCGGCGGACGCTGGCCGGTCGCAAAACATTACCAAGTTCGGTGAGACGTGATTGAGTGGTGAGGTACAAACGAGTCATAGACTCTTGTAGAAATATTTCCTGGTGATATCCCCCAGCGAAGAAAAAAGTCGTGCTCGTAGGCAAAATGCAAGAAAGAACAAAGGAAGAATACGAGCAAAGACGCCAAAATGACAACAATCGAAATAAGACTTGGCACCAAATGCGGCCAACACTTCCTCATCCTGCCCCGAAGCAAACATAGATATTCTCGAGTCACGTCACTTGCACCACCTCCCAAAAAAAGGCCACTTTTATAACACATCACTTTTATCAATGCAAAACCAACGACTACAACAAGACCCCCCAGAAATGAAACGCAATCTCCTACTCTGCGTAGATGCCTTTGGCACGTTATTTCGACCCCGAAGCCCCATTGCCGAACAATATGGTACAGTAGCCAGAGGCATGGGTGTCAAGATCTCCGATGATGAAGTAGCGAAATCATTCAGAAGTGGTGAGTAAAAGATGTGTTTGCATGAGATTTTCCCTCAAGCGGAAAAGGGAAAAGAGTGGATGATAAAAGGCTTATGCAAATAAATCTTGCAGCATTCAAGGAAGTTTCAAAGGCATATCCGAATTATGGCAAAGCTACTGATATGGGAGCTAGACAATGGTGGACAGAGGTAAGTTTTCATCTGTCCAGGTGATTTTTTTGCATCTAAAATTGCGTGTTTGAATGTTCTGACAATTTTCACAAAGGTCATCAACAAAACATTTCAACCTCATCACAAAGGTCCTCTGCCCTCTGATCTGGTACCGAATCTTATCCATCGCTTCTGGAGTCAAGAAGGATACACAGCTTTCCCTGACGTTCTTTCGTATCTCCAAAGCCTCTCGACTCAGCCTGCACGTCTCGCTTCCGCTTCCCCTCGCTTGGTGGTCGGTGTGATTACAAACTCGGATGACAGGGTACCCGACGTTCTGTCATCTCTAGGACTACGAGTACACCATTTACGCCATGGATCAAAGGTAGAGCATATCAGGCAGACATCAGAACCCAAGGATATTGATTTCTGCATCATGTCTTATGATGTTGGGTGTGAGAAACCAGATACCCGTATCTTCGCCGCGGCAACTTCACTGCTAGAAACGATACTAGCAGCTGAAGGGAGCAAGTTCGAACAAAAGGACTGGGAACTGTTATATGTTGGTGATGAGGTGAAGAAGGACGCCCAGGGAGCCATCGGTGCCGGATGGAATGCGGTGATTGTAGACCGAGGTGGCGAAAAGGATATGGCTTATGAAGGCGATGCACCTGGTGTGGAGGGTTTCATGGAGGTGCAGGGTAAACGGGTGACTATACTGGAGGATTTCAAGGCTTTGGGAACATATGGCGGTCATGACTTGCTGTCTTTTGACTAATAGTGGCGATGAGTGGGATCCTCCTGAGATTACGGTCTTCTCAATTGCAAGATATCATCAAGCTTGACTTGACCTTTCGCTCCCCAACCAGCCCGCCCCGCTTCAACCTGTGGCCGTACCTTGACATACCAGCTCCAGGCCCGCTTGTCCAGATCAGAAGAGTCGAGATTAGACCAAGACTCGAAAAGCAAATCCAAGGCTCTGACCAGATGACCCAAATTTGTCTCACGCTCAGCAGCAAGCTCAGATGCCGATTTCTTTTTCTTGGCTATAGTCTCATCGCCATAGACAGAGTCAAAGGCCCTCAAGATGTAGCTACGTGCAGAATCTGGGTGATAGACTGGAAGGCTTTTTGTGCTTGCCGATGTTGTGACGATAGGTGGAGCATCTGAGCGTTTGAGCTGTTCGAGGTCAAGAGCGAGGAGTGCAGGTGAATCTTCGGACGGCATTCGATGATGAAGACTCTCAGGAGAAGGCTTCTCTTCCTTGTCCTCGGTCTTGATGACAGCTTGGTCTTCACTTTTAATCGCAAAAGTATGATTGTCAGGCTTCCATTCGTAGCCCCAGCGCTTCAAAACACGAACATCCCGAGTCATCACTCTGACTACAGACTGACCCTGGCCCCAGCCCTCCTTCTCGGCGGAAGAAGAGTTACTCAATCCAATGTTGGCAGCTTTGGCTTGAGCATTCAGAGACGTTATAGCCTGGGCCAAACTAAGGCGTGATGAAGGAGGCTGTTCAGGCATAGTATATTTGATCAAGGTGGCAGCGAAAGTGAGAAGCAATGGAGCACGGTTTGTTGTCAAAATGATAGTAGCAAGGTCATTTTCGGCGAGGGCAGATATGGGTAGAGCCAAGGACGCTTCCACATCAGCAGGAGATTTGATCTCAACAGGGTCAACTCTCGCTCGTTTGGCAGATGTTGAAGTGGATATCTCGGGCAAACCTCTTTTTCGCTTGATTGAAACACGTTTCGCAGCAGCCAAGGTAGCTTTGGCAGCTTTTTCGGTAGCGGAAGCAGCCTTGATGGTGTCAATATCGGTTTTGGCAAGGTCTTCGATAGTGAACAAATTGGCCTTCTGTAGACCTGCGGCTTGGGCAATAGCGGCAGCCAGAGGAAGCTTTGCCTCTGCTGTCAGGAAGCGCAACAGATTGTTGGTATCTGCCATATGATGTGGCAGACCGGAGCAGTAGTCCGAGTGATGGTGGAGTTCGTAGTTGGGGGAGGCAAACAAAGAGCAGGTGGGAGATGTCCGCTTCCCCAGAAGCGAGGCTTGACGCTTTGACCAAGGGTTCAGTTCAGGAAGGAAGTTGAACTTGACAATTGCAGGAAGTGATGAGTTGACAGTAGCATCAACAAGCGAATCATGACAGACAAGACGATACCGGACCTGTCGACCAAACTGAATGCGCCCAAGAAAGTGTCTGTTTTTGAGAAGCAGCGCCAAGAAGCCGAAGCCAAACGAATTCGCGAAGAAGCAGAGAACCGAGCAGCACTTCGAGAATTTGAGGACTCATTCGCCGACGAGGATGAAGACGATTTTGTCGCGCAGGTAGCTGCTGGCCGCAGTGCATACGGCGGCTCAAGAGTTGGAGATGGAGGGGGATATGCGCGGGGTGCGCCCATGAAGAGCAGCGGACCAGGCACTCTGGGCCCACCACCAGGACCTGCGCCCATGTCGTTGAAGCGCAAGAGAGAGCTGGAACAAGAACGAGAAAGAGAGAGTCGACGACGGGACAATAGACCAAGTCCCGAGGCGGTGGTCAAGCGGCCGACGATGCTGCTGTCGTCGCTGCCACGCAACACGACAGAAGCCACGATACGAAGGCTGCTGCCAAAGAACCTGAAGCTGGACGACATGGCCTTTGCGAGCTCGTCTACAGGCCACTCCATGACTGCTGTTGTTGCTCTGTCACCAGACACGGCCTCTAGCGATATTGACAGCGCCGTCAATGCCTTGCAGCAAAACTACTTGGGCTTCGGCGCATACCTCAACATCTCAAAGCACATTACCATCAGCTCGTCGCCAGCCTCAGTCCTACATACTGCAACATCCGTCATGCAGATGCACCCATTTGGTGCAAAGCCCATGCCTAGAGAGCCAGCTCCGTCACACTCGTTCCGCAATGCCCCTCCACCTGAATCCCTTCCACCACAACTACGCTACCAGGGCCCTCCTCCTCTAGTCGTCAACGTCACGCCTCCTTCAGATCTCAAACAACTCGCCATCATCAACAAAACGGTGGAAAAGCTCATCACATACGGCCCCGAATGGGAGTGCTTGCTCATGGCTCAATCAGACGTTCAGCATGGAGAACACTGGGCTTGGTTGTTCGACAATACCAGTCAAGGTCATATTTGGTACCGCTGGTTGGTCTACCAATACTACGCCTCCCAACCACCGAAAAAGGAAGCTCAAGACCCCTACCAATGGTCCATGATGGACGAGCTTGCCCGAATCAACAACCACATCCGTCCATTCAACGACGGCCCCTTCTGGATACCTCCGCCGGAGAAACCAAAATATGAGCATGCTCAAAATCTAGCAGACTTGATGTCTGATTCCGGCTATGTCTCGTCTGATCTTGACACCGACGACGAGGATGATCACATCGTCCAAACCCAAGGTGTCGCTCCAGAAGACCCATCCACCTCACGACCACGTTACCTGAATCCCTACCGAAAGGCTAAGTTGACCTTTTTCCTGAATCACCTTCCCGACAGCACTGGCTTGCTGTGTGAAGGAGACGTTCAAGCTGTGACTGATTTGGTCATCAAGTTTTCTGGTCAAGGTGCCGAGGAAGTTGTCGACATGCTTGTCTCAAATCTTGAGAACCCCTTTCGCTTTTCGGTCAACTACAAAATTGATCGTCCGTCGGACGACAAAGACCAGGAAGAGGTCGATGATGACGACAACTACGATCCCGAAGTCGACGGTCCTCGAGCTTCATTCGGCATGCTTGGAGGCAACGATGAAGCAGATGTTGAGGAGCCCACACAACAAGACACGACTGAGATGCAAGTTGATCAAGCGAACGACATCAAACCAGATCCCTCGACAGGCAGAGACATTACAGGCGCACAGTTGGTGGGTCTGTATGTCATCAGCGACGCACTAGCCGCTACATCAGTCTCTGGCGTCCGCGACGCCTGGAAGTATCGCTCACTCTTCGAGTCAGCCTTGACATCACGTCAGGTATTCGAGAAGCTAGGTCGTATGCCCAAGCAATATGGCTGGGGACGCGTTCGCGGTGAGCAGTGGAAGAGTCGCATCACAGTAGTCTTGGATTGCTGGGAGCGAGAAAGTATCTTTGCGCCGGAAAGCCACAGAAGATTCAAGGAAGCGTTCCTGAGCCCGCCATTGACAGATGCAGAGCAGAAACTCAAGGATGAGCAGGAAAAGCAGGAGAGAGAGGAGGACTTAAAGAAGAGATGGAAGAGTGGTGAGGTTGGAAGTATTGTTGCCGCTGCTGCTGCTGCACCCGAAGTCGCAGTTCAAACGACGAAAACACATGAACCTGCACCGATCCAACAGCCGGTCAGAAGACAGCCATCACGGCCTTCGGCTGCAGATCTCATTCTCGCGACAGCAGATGGCGAAGCACCACCCCCCAAGCCAGCACCAAAGCTGTCCAACTTTTCCATGTCGCTCAATGCACCACCTGCTGCCTCTGGAGAGGAAGTGAAGAAGGTAGTTCCTGCTATGGGGTTTTCACTCGGTACAAGCAGTGCATCTTCTGGCAAGTTCTCGCTTGGGAGTGCCAAGACTTCTGCTGAGGCTGTGAAGGAAAAGAAGAGGGAGAGTTTGGCTCTTTTTGGAGACTCTGACTCTGAATAGAGCTAGCTTACTTGAGATGATTCATTACAATTTCTCACAAGCAACGCCAAATTTCACAGCTGCTCTCGAGGTGGTATTGTGTGTGACTTTACATATTGCGCGCCTTGCAAGGAGGAGGAGGGCCGGCCATCGGGGAAATGGCGCCTTGCCCGATTTGGCAAAACATCAACACCTCGGCAAGCTTTCACAGCCGATGACATATTGCGGGGGGGAGCTTTCTGCTGTCGGAGCTCCGTGCAATTCCACCTTGATTTCGCAGGCCCAAACCTTTCACTTCACTTTTGTGCCCATTACCACTTCTTGTTCGTAAAACAGAACGGCCCAACAATGCAGAGTCTACGCGTTGCCAGACCTTTTCCTTCTCGCTTTGTTACAGCGGTGGTGCCGAGGGTGCAGAGACCATACTCTACACCTTCAGCTGCGGAACACAAGTATGAGCACATTCAACTCACCACTCCTCGTCCTGGTGTTGCTTTGAGTGAGTTTTCTTGCCCCCCTTTTTTTGAACACCCCTCCTAGTTGGAAAGAAATGAAGAGTAAAAAATAGATTACTGACAAGAAGTGTGAAAAAACATCAGTCACTCTCAACAGACCAAAAGCACTAAACGCCCTCTTCTCCCCCTTGATAAACGAACTCAACACCTGCACCTCCTCCCTCGACCGCGACACGTCAATCTCCGCAATCGTCCTGACCGGTTCGCCAAAAGCCTTTGCAGCAGGCGCAGACATCAAAGAAATGGCTCCAAAAACCTTCTCCGACGCCTACGGACACGACTTTATAGAGTCCTGGTCCAACATCACCAGGATCAAGAAACCCGTCATTGGCGCCGTGAACGGATATGCATTGGGTGGTGGCTGTGAATTGGCAATGATGTGCGATATCCTCTACGCAAGCAAAACAGCCACCTTTGGACAACCAGAGATCAAATTGGGTATTTTGCCAGGAGCGGGTGGCACGCAGAGACTTGCGCATGCTGTGGGAAAGGCAAAAGCTATGCATCTCATCCTCACCGGGGACAATTTCTCAGGCGAGCAGGCGGAACAGTGGGGGTTGGTCGCCAAATGCTTTGATGATGCTGAAGCTTGTGTGAATGGCGCGCTTGATACCGCCGAGAAGATTGCTGGATACTCCAAGATTGCCGTCAAGGCTTGCAAGGAAGCTGTCAACAAGAGTCAGGATTTGGGTGTTAGAGAGGGTGTGGAATATGAGCGAAGACTCTTCCATGGCCTTTTTGGCAGCCAGGATCAGAAGATCGGTATGGAGGCTTTTGCGAACAAGAAAAAGGCCGAGTGGACGCACTCGTAGAAACAAGTCCGAGACCTCAGCGTTTAGATACATTTTTCGGCACACTCAGATCGTTTTGCTTCTCCTCAACTAGCCAACGGTGATCTTGCTTCCCCAAATTGAATATCGCTTCCCGAGCCATAATGAACAGACTCTTCTCAGCTATGAGCTTTGCAGCTTCCACACCCTAACACCCGCCCCTCCAATCTCCGTGCCATTTCCTCCCTCCCCTCCACCCAACACCACCGTTCCATTGACCTCAGGCGCCTTAATATCCTCGGCTCCATAGTTGAACGCCCATACCAATCCCCCTCGTTCCAAAACCCTCAGGTTATCTCCAAGATCATTCTCCTTGCCCACAACTCTACCGAAAACATCCTTGACCCCTACTGCTTTAGCCATGTCCCCAATATAGGACACCAAGAGTTCAACAGGAGGATTAAAAGCAAGATAGTGGAATTTGTTCTTTGCACAAGCAGCTGGTTTGCCCTTTTTGTGTACAGAAGTTGATGTGATGGTTATAGTGCTTGTCTCGTTGTCGCGGGCACAAATGACGGTTTCTTCCCATGCAGAGATGTTGTAGGTTTTTTCTGCGTACGAGACTCCACTGTTGGCGTACGAAGGCGGAGTCTCCACTCGCGTGACCTTCATGGGTAGTTTGTCGCGGATAGTGCCTGCAGAGGGGTTGAGACCAGGTGGGTACGCAAAGTTGGGGGTACGAGAGCCGGTATGTGGGCCGAAGATCACAGTGCCGTTGTATGAGGATAATGCTTCGTTGAAAGCGGCTGGAATAATAGGCAAACTGGGTACCACAACCATCTTGTATCGACTCAGGTCCTGCTCGGGGGATATTACCTCGATGTTCAACCCCAGGCGGCGAAGCGAAGTGTAGAACGAAGCAACAACTTCGAGATATGTTAGTCCGATATTTTCAAATCCTGCATCTTTTGGCGAGTAGGATCCACTATATGGTTCGATATTCCAGGCCCAGACGGAAGTATAGTCAAACACCAGAGCTACACTAGCCTGTGTTTCCTCTGTTGACATAGATTCGCGAAGTGCTGGCAAATCTTCCAAAGCCACGACCTGGGTCTCACCAAATCCTTCATCAGGCGTATTATCAGAAACGAACAATCCAGAAAGTGTCTGCTCCTGTGCATAGGGGACCTGTCTCCATCTGAAGTAGTTGACTAAATTACCTTTCGAGGCAAAGGTCTCCAGTGTCCAAAGACGGACCATACCTTCCAGCGGGGACACACGATAAGTATTCCAATTCAGCACGCCAGGTTGCATCTCCATGACACCAAAAGGACCGTTGTTTTCTCCATATGCAGCACCAGCGATACCACGATATATAGCATGCTGCATAGCTTGCAAATCCGGCAGTCCGGTACGCAGGTATTCATTTCCCTCAGACACACCGGCAAGGGGATAGTTGTCGAAAGTCGCAAAGTCAAGTCCGACTTCACGATTGAACTTGTAATGGTCAAAGTCCGTGTAGCTGACCATAAAGTTTGTGGTCACCGCATGACTAGGTGCATGTTGTCTGATGATAGCAGTCTGCTCCTTGGCAAAATCAATAACCATGTCCGAGCTGAAGGTATACCAATCCAGTATTTGTGCCTGATTGGGCATGTAGACGTTCAGAAACGGGGGCTGAACAGTGTCGAAACTGACGTATTGAGAACTCCAGAAGACTCGACCTTGGGCTTCGTTCATCTTCTCAACGCAACCATATTTCTCCTTCAACCATGTTCTGAATCTGATGATAGCGTCATGATCGTAGGAGCGGACAGTATCGTGGCAGCCAAATTCGTTGTCAAGTTGCCAGGCGACGATGTTCGAATGATTGCCATAACGCTCAGCAAGTTTCTGCGTTATACCTTGGCTAAGCTTCCTGTAGTCAAATGAAGAGAAGCTGTAATGTCTTCGGGATCCGAAAATGAGAGTCTGGTTTGTACGGTCCACGAAGTTGACATCATACTTCTCCGTCAACCAGTTTGGTGGAGCTGCAGTAGGGGTGCCAACAATGGCCTTGAGACCATATTTGCCAAACAGCTCCAAGGTTGTGTCCAGAAGAGTAAAGTTGTATACGCCCTCTGATGGCTCCAGAACTTCCCAGTCGAATTCACTGACTCGGACGTAACTGATATTGGCATCTCTCATGGCAGCCATGTCTGGCTCCCACATGTACTCGGGCCATTGAGAGGGGTAATAGTCGACAGCAAGATGTAGACCACTAGGCCACCGACTCTGATCCGGGGTAAAAGACACATTGTACGCTCGTGGGACGAATCGTGTGGTAGCGCTAAGAGCCACTTGAGTCAAGATTGGCACTAAAGCAATTGATGTGTGCATGGCGGCTGATCAAGCATACAGCGAAGCTCAATTCTCAACTCAGGAACGGGGATCTTGACATCTTTGTACTTGGTGCTTAAGCATATCATCTCGGGTTATTGATGTCCGAATGATCGATCGTCGGCCGACGGTATCGGCAAAGGTATGAAGATGGCGGGGGCCTGCATAGGGCAGTGTGGAGTGCACGCATTTGACAATCAGGCTGATTGTAGACCTTAGGGCAGGATGATCATGGATAGAACATTGCGCTGGAGAAGCGCATTACTGGGTGGTCCATGACTTATACCAAGTGGTCAAGAATCACGAATGATCGCGAGGCAGCTTTTTGAAATCGGCGCGGTCAGCGTCAGCAAGTGGAGAAAAGCCCGATGCTGAATGTTCTTGCCTTGACGATCATTCCTGCTCTTGTCTGAGCATTTATCAGCTCTAAACACATGTGTTGCGATTACCATTGGTTCGTATCTACCACAAAGTTCTCGTCCATGCATTCATCGTATCATGGCTCATCTTGGTGGCCTATCATGAGCCTTCTTCAGCTCTTGTTGGTGCCCAATTGCCAAGCCACTCTCTCGCCTTGTCCAACTGTCCGTTCTCTGCTTCGAGAGCACCGATACACCAAGGTAATGCGTAGGACTCTCCCTTCATGCCGTGTTCCTCCTTCAGCATCTCCGCCAAAGTTCTCCTAATCTGGCTAGGCTCATCAACACAGAAGTGCAATGGCTTTACCTCGTTCGACGTGACAATTGCATCCACGTATGGTTTGATCATTGGCAAGGCGTCCTTCGTTGTCATTGCGCCGCCTACACCAGTGTTTGTTCTTCCAGTCTTGCAGAAAGTGTTGCAGCACCAAGACTTTCCACAGCCAGTCAGAAGCTGCGTCAGGTATCGACGTTCGATTCTACGCTTCAAGGCTTTGTTCTCTGGATCGTAGGTGCTAACATACAATGGCCCGAAGCAAGCTGCACACAAGCCAATATCGTTTCCTGTGTCTTTAGCAACGGCTCTTGTGTTGCCATCGTGAGATGTGCCATCGAGAGTGCGGCCGCAGTTGGTATTTCGGCACAGACGGGGCTGTGATCGTGATTTTCGAGTCAAGTCGTGGTGTTTGAGATGAGTTTCCATATCTCGTAGGCGTACGATTCGTGAACAGAGATGACATTCTGTCGTCCTGCTGCCATCGGCTAACTCGTGGGGCGTGAGACCTGAGAGCAATGCTTCCGCATTTGGCACATCGGGATCACCTTCTTGTGGTACTGACAAGTGGCAGAAGCGACACAAGATCGTCTTAGCTGGGCAGACAGAAGTTTTGTGATGAGCAAGCTGGGGAAGAGAGGAAAAAGTGGCAGCCGTGCTGCATGACGTGCAAGTGAATGGTGACGGTGGGTGGTAGAGGTAGTTGTGCTTAAGTTGCGAAGCAGAGCTGTTACCATAGAAGGTGTCGTGTGGACAATGCCAGTGTTTCTCTAATGCTGGGGAGCGCTTTTGGAAGACCTGGCCGCATCCTTGAGGACAGAGGACGTTGTTGCGCAGACAAAAGTTCTCATGAAGCATCAGTGTTCGTTGCGGCACCCACTGCCCGCAGTTCTTGCAGCGCACATCTTCGGGATTCGGTGGTTGCTCAGGGATTGAAGTAGAATCGGCAGGTTTTGTGTCACCTGTCTTTACACGCACTGTAAACTGACGAGGTTCTGCTGAGACATGGTTGTCTGCGTCACGGAAGACATGAACGGAGATCCAAAGAGCCTCTGCATCTTCGAGCTCGGCGTTGGACGCTTCAAGGCGGATTCTCTTCGCCGGCCGTCCACTGAAATCACCAAAGACGTGTTCCTCAAGACGCGGCCTGTTCCGTTGGTGTGCTGAGAAAGGCGATACGAGAAGGTCAACGTCATCGTCTGTATCTACACCTTCGACCTCGATCTCGATTGCTTGGGACCTTGGCCATGATGGCAACTGATAGTCAATGTAATCGCCAGGCGAGATTTGACCCTGCTTGGCTCGGAAGAGGTCAAGGTCTCCGCCTGCAGAGCTGCCTTCACTACCATTGGTTTTCTGTATCTTTTGTGCAATTCTGGCAATCGTTTCCCTTGCTTGCTCTTCATTCAGAGCCTCAATGTCAACCTCGAGATCGGTGTCTACGACACACACGGCATCAGACTCTGGTTTGAATGAGTCTATGAGGAAGCGGAACTCTTCTCTTGCCGGGCCAGGCACAACCAAAACCTCTCCCTTTGTCAGAGTAGTATAATTTGAACGCAAATGCTGTTCCAGCAAGGCCTTCCAGTCGTCTGGATCGTAGCCAGCCTCGAGCGGGCGTAGCTTGACGAACGTGCCCTTGGGTATTTGTCGCGCATGTATTGTGACTTGTGCTTCATCTTCTTTAAGATCCAGTGCTTGCCAGAGGAAGCTGCTTAGTATGGTGCATCCCTCTTCCGCCGAGAACTCGCGGATGCCTGCATAGACGACTCGGCCATTATTCGCGTTGACCAAGCGGAAGGTCAGAGGATGTGGTAACTGGTTCTTTTGTTCTGATGAGCGGTGATTAGGCTGTCGTGAGCCTGCATAATACGACGAGTAAGAACTGAAGTCATTCGAGGGTTGCGATGTGGCGGAGGCGGCTGTCGAGGCGGCCGTGAGTAATTGTTCGAGCGCAGATTGAGGCAAGACAATCTTGTCTCCGCGCAAGTTGCCGGCAGGTGACGCTGTAAATTGTCCCGACCACTGTAGTTCACTATCCATGTCTGAGGCTAACTGACGACGAGAATGCGGCACGCGAGAACATAAGCAGTCTCGCGATTGTGTTTGTTCTAGAAGTTGCCATGGCACATATGTCATCAACAAATCTGCGGCTATTAGATAAGATAGTCTGCTATCTCCTTCGACAGTTGATGCCAAGCTTACATGGCAAGCAGCATGACCCTGACCATTGGTTGTCATGACATTCCAGAGCGATTACTTGAGGCAACGCGTATAGAGATACTTGCCAACGATTCGTCGTGGTTGTCGCAGCATACTGAACCACAGCTGCGACCATGAGAGGTTTCGAGACCACGCAATTCGCAGCTCGGCGGCTTCTCGCGGCTTCTCGCTGCTTGTGCCGCGTCACAAGGACATACACTCTCCCGAATCGATTGCTCGCATCAGTTTTGTAACAAACGATCTTGAATCGTCATGAGTGATGATCAGAGACTGTACTCGGTGGAACGCGATTCTAGAACATTGAGAATAAAGTAATCATGTCAAGCCATTCTCATGTTCTCGAACATCGCCTGTTGACCTGAGTTTCGTGGCATGAAAAGCATCCACGTTTTCCTGGTCTGTAACACGCAAGAGATTACGAATATGTCGAACCTTTCCTCATTCGCTTGTGTCAAGGCTTGTCTCGTTATAATTGTGGGAAATTTCGTTGTGACTTCAATCCTCAATAATCGAACACAGCATGCAGTCAATACCCCGACTGGTCGTTGCGGCGATAGCACTGCTGACCATCACCTAGTTCTACTACCAGCTTTCGGATCTACCACATCTCAAAGACCTACTACAGCAACCATCTCATGAGAAGAGTCATGCTACAACTGTATTGAGCTCGGCAGAGGACTCCTCGAGCAGATCTGCTCCAGGCTTTGCCATACTCGACAAGGCAGGGAGTGTGGAAATTGACAACTCGTCCGGGGGCAATCATCCTTTGAATGTTGACCCAATCATCATACCTACTGGAAATAATTCTGTCGCTGCAGCGAACGACAAAGCTGTAGTCATGGGCGCACTTTCAGCTGACGACGTAGCATGGGCGACAACAAAACTCATCGGATGGGACGCTTTCGTGTATACAGTCGACGACAACACCAGCATGCTACTCCATACTGATCGCAACGAAGGCAAAGAGGCAAATGCCTACTTGACGTATCTGATCCAAGAATACGACTCACTGCCGTCGACCGTTGCATTTGTACACTCACATGAGTTCGGCTGGCTCAGGGCATGGCATACCGATGCAAAACGCCACTCCAATGTCGAGAGTCTGAACTCGTTGAATATCAAATTTGTGGAGAGGAATGGCTATGCAAATTTGAGATGCGTGCCTAATCCTGGCTGCCCGGATGAGGTGCGCCCTTTCCGAGATCCTGTCGACACGACAAAGACTACTGAAGTGGCATTCGCTGCTGCTTGGAAGGATATATTCGGCAATGACGATGTTCCGGAAGTGATCGGCGTGGCTTGCTGTGCTCAATTCGCAGTGTCGAGAGAGCAGATTATGAAGAGGACCAAAGGTGAATATGTTCGCATGCATCGATGGCTGATGAATACCGAGCTGGATGACCAGACGTCAGGGAGAGTGTTTGAATATCTCTGGCACATTGTGTTTGGTCAGGGGTCTGTTTAGTCAGTATCGTGTATCGACTAGTGAATTTCCCAGCTAATGGATTGTAGCTGCCCAGATCTGGCACAGTGTTACAGAGACGTGTATGGCGATGAGTGAGGCTGACCCTCAGCACGGCCTACGGCGCATTCGTCGAATGAAAAGGCAAAGATGGCCTGGTCAGAATCAGTCATGGTTGCACAATAGACGACAGCACGAGACGGCTCCAGTCACTCTATAAACTTGTTCTCGTCAAATCGTCTGTCAAGCACCAAGCCGTCGGCGACAGCGAACGCAGTACCTGGCATGGCAGCGCCCAGAACACGCCAGTCTGCAGGTGCCTCGATGTACCAGGAACATATCACTGAGGATGTGTGTGCATATGCGAGCGCCTTGAAAAACATCATCGGCCAGCGCACTCGACCCAGACGGACATCATGTATCACTGCTGCGACTCCAATGAGGTATATGAGCAGAGCCGAGACGATCACTGTGCGTTGGGCAATGAGCAGAATTCTGCTAGGAGCATCCGCACATAAAGCGCTGGAGAAAGAGGTAGCACCAACGGCCTGCAGCATCGCGCCTGCTGCTGCCAGGTGGTATGGTTCGCGATGTAGGCGACCGAGCTCGACACCGCCGCCGATGGAGGTCTTGAGCATCTCTTTGCTCTCCTGTCTCGAGTCGTGCTCGACATTTAGCTCGGCCATGTTGGAAGGCTAAAGACGAGGTTCTATTAGGAATTCGAGTGTAGAGTACGAGAAGAAGATGCGAAAATAGATGCGATGTTGTTGTCAGGCTGCCATTGGAGTATCGGCCAGTCGGTCGACTACCTCGGTTGCCTGCCAAGCACGCTTCACGACTCGTTCTTTGCATCCTTCACCCTCGTGTCCCCCTGTTTCTATCTTGGTCGCACCTATTTCTGCATATCGTGACTATCACTCGTGACTTAACGCATGCAAAGGCAAATATGTCAGGATTTCGGTGAACGATGACAGCAAAGAAGCGAAGAAAAGAACATGCGTCATAGCACACGGTTGTCGCGATTGACAACCGGCGCGAAAGCTGTTGGCAGAGGAGCGAACCTCACCCCCCCACATGTCATGGGAAAACCAATCTGCCAAGCACTGCTGTTTGTTGTTGCTATTTCTGCACCGTTTTTTTCTGCAGCGTCCCCGTACACAACGGCGCGATGCGTTGAGAAAACGGACTCGCAATCTGTGCCGGAGACACGACGCAACGACGACGTACACCGCGGAACCGCCAGCAGAACTTGCTGCAAAAGACTTGTCAGAGTATTGGGAAGAAAAAGATTGAGAGACAAGAGAGTTGAGGCTGGCGGGGCGATCTCGCTCGGGCCTGTCAGCGAGAGAAAAAACACGCAAGCCCTAGCGAAATTCCGGGGTGAGGCTGGGAAAGAACTCCTGAGCTAGCGATGGCATGTTCCTGAGACTAGTTTGCATGTTTACATGCAAGGCACAGAAGTCTGTTTCCATGCTCATCTAACAGGGGGATTTCACTCGCAGTATGAGATTAATCACAGAGGCAGAACAGCAACAAGCCGAGAACTCATTTGCAAACGGTCCAACTTACAACGGAGGTTGTGCGGCAACAGAACATGACTACAAGGCCCGTTATCACTCCCAGAGCCGAAGCATACGAGAAAAGATCCCCCAAGGTGAATCCTTCGTCCGTGCGATGTGCTATTTCGAAACTCAAGCACCCATAATTTTTCCTGATTCATCCAACAGCTCCAAGATTGTCTAGCGCTGGTGTTGTATGTTGAGAACAACCGGGGCCTTGGTGTGATGGCTTGCAGCTGGCTGAGGCTTTGGCCTTCCTTCCATGCACATAATCAGCCTTGGTGGCCGGTAATATAGCTATCCACATCTCCCCGCCACCGTTTTTCTTGTTACTTTCTGCGTGTTCATATTAGAAGACTTCCATACCCCTGTGTTTTGTTCTCTTACATCCTTCTTTTGCATCTCACCTTCCGCCCTTCTCCAACCTCCTATCACACCATACCGCAGATATGAGATACACTACCGCAATCCTTTCCCTGGCCGCCATTGCTGTTGCTCAGGACTGCGTCACCAGCTACGAGTCGTGTCTTCTGACCACCGACGAGAACACTTGCACTTCTCAACTCGCCTCGTGCAAGAACGTCTGTGCAAACGGACTTGATGCATGCAACCAGAGCGATGCTGGATCCGTCGTCTGCCAGAAGAACTACAACTCATGCCTGAACACCTTCCCCATCATCCCCGGTGGTTCTGACTGTGTTGCCAAGTACATCAAGTGTGGTGAATCTGGTCAATCAATTGAGAGCTGTAACTCCCAGAACGCTGTCTGCAAGTAAGTTTAAACTGGCCATGCATGCAATGTGAGAAGTCAATCGCTGACCATGTATCCAGGGACACATGCACAAACATCAACAGCGCCTGCCTGTCATCTGGCTCCGCCGACCAGGCTGCCTGCGCAACCCAGTACAACCAGTGCTACTACTCGACCTCGGACACCATCACCCTCGACACCGTAGCCAAGTACCAGAACTGCCTCAACACTGGCGCCAACGTGACCTCGTGCAACGCTGAGCTCACCAACTTCAAGGACGAGTGCACCACCATCCAGGCCACTTGCCTCGTTTCCGGAACTGCTGATGCCACCTTCTGCTCGGCCCTCACCGCCTCCTGCTACTACAACGGCAGCAAGTGGAGCCGTACTTCCTGCTCTGCCGCCTTCTCCGCCTGCACCGCTGATGACTCTGAGTGCCGCCGCCAATTGACCCAGTGCAAGGACACCTGCACAAACGCCGAGGCCTCTTGCCGTACTGCCCAGAACGCTGATGCTTCCGCTTGCGCTGCTGTCCGCTCTTCCTGCCAGGGCTCTGCCAACGACCCCATCACCGATCCTAACATCTCCTCTTCTTCGTCCTCTGCTGCTGCCTCTTCCTCTGCTTCCGCAGCTGTCAGCAAGACTTTGAGCTCCATCTTGACTGTCAGCACTGGTGGCTACACCTACGCCAACGGCACTGTTGGCAAGAATGCCACTTCCACCTACACCCCCATCTCCTACACCGGTGCTGCCTCCAAGGCCGGTGTCTCTGCCGCTCTCGCTGGTGTTTTCGGTGTTGCTGCTTACCTTTTGTAAATGGTTTACTAGACTAGGAACGTAAGATGTTTTTATTAGACGGAGAGAGTTCACTTCTGATGTAGTGTTTCATGGGAAATGAGGGAAAAGGTGGGGAACAGCATTCCCCCCCAATGGCCATTGTGAATGACACAAGACCTATTTTAATGTATATTTACGCTGTCACAAGAAATATGAAAGAAAAACATATCCATCAATATTTCTATCTTGCCTTTGTTAATCTCCCTGGTGTTCTACAATCTCATGAGACGATGCTGGAAGAAGCTACGCTGCTCTGGATATGTACATGCTGATCAAGGAGAGAAGTAGACCGCCAGGGTCGCGGGAGTGAATACTCAGGTCGCTACATGGCAGCGCAGGTGGCACAGTGTCATTAGCAAAAGTGACACTGCTTTCTCGACAAGACTCCTGGTTGTACTGTGGCGTTGCAATGCAGAGTGTTTTTCGCTCTTCCTGAGCATCTGCTGAGAGCTCCCCTTCTCGGCCCGCAGTCTTGTCCTCTCAGCGTGCGTATACACATTTCTACAAATGATGCTGCATATCAATAAGCACAGAACAGTGGCATCACGCAGAGCGGACGGGATGCTATATCTATACGAGTGATGAGGGCTAGCGGAGATCTTCAGGCAGAGAGGCGATGATGGTCTTTGCGAAGGCGACCAAAACCTCAGCTTGTCCCATATTGTCAGGGGGCCCCTCGATAGCTTGGAGACCCGAGCCGACGAATACATGAACATCCCTGACAGCCTCCTCGAGCATCTCGTTCATCATCTTGTCCATCTCAACCATCGACTCCTTCAAACCACGCATGCTCTCTTCCTTCAAGACCTCAAACTCCGGATCGTCGATAGGGGTAGGATCGGGGTTCATGCTGGGTTGCGGTCCAGCTTTGATGTAGTCGTGGTATCTCTTGGTCAGCCCGGCGATCGCGTCGAGGGATGCCTCCGAGTAAGGATCGTAGAACCCGGGCAGCATGTAAGGGGGCGTCGGTCAAGAGGACATTCATGTTGTCGCGGTGAACCATGAAACAGTTTCTGAGGGCAAGCAGCAAAAGTCGATGACGATTAACGCGCTGATCTTTGGTTCGAGGGGTGGAGGGGCTTGATCCCACTCGCCATTGAGCAGCCCCTTTGCGATGTAGGCGAGACGAATGAGATCCCATTTCTCACAACTTCTGAGGGTGGTTTTGTGGATGAAGTCGAGATGAACTTGAGAAGGCGAGGAAGGCATGGGTACTCATCGTGGTCACCACCGATTACGTCGTTCGTGCCGTCGAAGTGGTTGCTGATCTCGTCGTTCATGTCGTCAACGACGTCGTTGTCAGATTGATCTGCGCGCTTCTCGAAGTCTTCATCGGGTGTGCGCAGGTCGATCTGCCTCGAAGCTGGTTCTTGTGACATCGTTGCTGATGTGTGGAAGTTGGTTTGTAGTGGGAGGACCGGTAATAGAGCGTAGTATGCGTATGTGGTGTGATGCACGACGTCGCGTACCTTGGCGACCAGGCGTAGTGAATGAAGTTGAAAGTCTGTGTTGGCCAGAGCTAGGGCGTCGGGCAACGAGAGAGGTCTGAACGACGCAGACCACTTGATAACGTACCGGGATTGACGATGGTTCAACACGACAACGATTGTGAACTCTGCTAGCACAGTCAATACCGTCCAAGACGAGTCAGTGAACCGTCTGTCAACGAGATTTAAGCTGCTGTGCCAATGACGGTATGAAAACATCCAGCCCAACGTGACTACTGCACGTGTTGTGTACTCCTCAAATTTGGCTGCAGTCCGTCCTATCCTCTCCTCTCATGCGGAATGCTCTTTCGACGAACAGTTCGTAACTCTCAAGATTCCCGTCGATAGCTAAGCGATAGCGTTGGCTGTGTCGGTATAGGCAAATTGCACTAACATCACTTTTGGCAGGCGTACAGCCAAAGATGGCCTTGAACCGATCGTATCGCTCCATGTAATCGCACCGTATCTCGAAATGATCTTGTTCAGCTTGTGCAAGATTGCTGTAGGCATGTTGAAGGATATCGTTCCGTTTCCGAACTTGGACGTCGCTGAGAAGATGGTCTGCAAGAGCCTCGCCGTCAGGGTAGAAGAGTTGCTCATACAAGTTCACAGCTTGTTCAGCATGCCAGCTTTGATTGTGGTTAGCAGAGGCATCGGCCCATCTAGCGATCCGACATACAGAAAGTTCTCGTCACCGAGAGAAAGGATACGATGACAGCCTGCCTGGTGGTAAATGCTGAGATCAGCGTAATTCAACAGAAGACGGCAGAGGCGCTCGCTCTCCTCAAAGTCTTCCGAATCAAAGCTGTCGCTGGCTCTCTTGAAGAGACTCCTGAATACATGCTCGCGAGCACTTGTCTCGTAGCCTGCCAACATCCTTGACGGCCTCGAGAGATTTTCTTTGAGCAAAGTTACGTAGAGAGAGATAGCCACGGATAATACAGCGAAAGGGAAACACAAGGGAGTTGAGACGAACACAATGACGGAGCTCACCAAAATTGGCGTGTCGGTTATTCGCAGCAATTTTGCATGAGGGAACAAGAAACCGCTTTAGGTAGGAAATCGCAGACCTCTGCAACGACATAAGAACGACATACCTCCCAGTCATACGCTGGGTTTGCGACCATATCACTGCTCTACATTGTGGTCGATAATGCGCACATGATCATGCAAACTTGACCGGCAATCTGTTGGAGGCCTCCGTATCCTTCTCAAGGCAATTGAACAAGCGGAAGCCTCTGAAGTCGACGTATACACAGTGCCTCGAATGGCATCGAAATTAGAAGTCGATACATTCGAGTTTGTGAACGAAGCGCTTGTGACACCACTACACACGGTGTCGAAAGCTCCCATGCGACTTTGTTGTATTTGAGGTGCGACGAGATGCGGGCAAGGCAGGGAACAAAGGACTCGACGCGTTGGCTCTCTCCAAAGTAGCAACTCGACGCGAGAGCTCGCCAAGGCGGCCGACTTTACCCGACCTCGACCTCCCAAGACTCCTTCAACCATCTGATGGTCCCGCTGTCGCAGCAATACATCAATATACTTGAGCAAGTTTCATGGTCTGGAACTCTTAGCGAGGGGAGGAGATCGTCAACAAGCTGACCCCTCGAAATCAGGTGCGAGGCTTGAGCGAATGCCGAACAGCTTCTGCGAGGTTTGTGCTTCTCCAGCTTTTGGGTTTGCGAGATTTGTGCCTGTAGAAAGATAGGCCTTCCGCGCGACTTGTGCGTAGCGAGTGTCGTATCATGTAATGCTATGGCTCTCATGACCACCGACGATCTCATAGGTCGAGAGCTTGATGTAGGTCAGCACAGCACAAAAGACTCAAGTTCCTCGAACGTGGCAAGATGATTTGCCAAGTCTTATTGGGCTCTGTAAGCCCGCTCAGCACAATTGACGCAGGGTCCAACATGCTGGGAAGCTGAAGCACATACCCCCAACCAACGCACAAGTCTCGCACGCACAAGTTGCTCAGCTGGTATATATACTTGGCCATCTGCCACCGCTAATCTTCTCAGCTACACACATCAACATTATCAAAGCTTTCACTCGACTTTCAGCCTTCCGTTCATCTCTGCCCACTTTCCAACAACCAAATCTTCAACTCAACATCAACAAACATGGCTGGTGGCTGCGGTAACGCTTCATGTTCTTGTTCCAGCTGCGGCTGTGCTGCCGGTAGTTGCACTTGCGGCGTGAGTGATCCTTCTCGATCCACGTTTTCTTTTGTCATGAGCCATATGGATTTCAGCTTCATCTCATGACGCCTCCATGCTTTTCCTGTGTAGCTAGACCATGAACGCTGACACCAATCACAGAAATAAACACCTTCACTCGTCCTCAGCTAGCTGGCCATGATGTCGTCTCTATCCGACCACTACTTGTCAAGGCCCCGCTAGCCCAGAGGCATCAAAAGTCGACGACATCATTGTGAGCCCGCTTGTGAACAGAGAGGAGCCTCAGCATCGACAAAAGCCCCAACACAAAACACACCAAAAACAACATCACCTTGGAACCTCATGGCGCGTGAGATGTCCTCCAGATACGAGAACGACCGACTATCAGATACGGACAGAAATTCGTTGGAAGCAGACGTCGAACATGGATATATCAATTGGGATGGTGGAAGATAGACTTGCAAAGACAGACAGTTGTTGAGCTATTCTTACTAGTCAAATCATACGAACCGACATCTGACTACAGTAATCGCAATCGCGTTCTTCCAGTGCTTCGTTCTTCCAGTGCTTCGTTCTTCCAGTGCTTCGTTCTTCCAGTGCTTCGTTCTTCCAGTGCTTCGTTCTTCCAGTGCTTCGTTCTGTCCGCGTGTACAATGGTGACAAAGCGTTTCTTCTATGTTTGTGGCTAGAGATGCTCCAGAATAATCAAGCATGAGTCACAAGATGGACCAACGAGGTCTTGTCACCTAGTCACACATAGTCATCTAGTATCCGTGATGAATGCACATAGTGCCTACGACAATCACAATCCGCGTCTGGAAGAAACGATTATGGAATCCCTCAACGTGGAACTCAGGGCGGTGTCCGACGATATGGGTCTGCGTCTACTCAAACTTCACTTCAGGTACATCTACCCACATCTACCTGTATTGTCTCGGACACAAATGCTCGGCGATGACAGATATATGCTTGACGTATTTCACGGCTTGCCTGTCTCTTTGCGTGCTATGGTTTACGTCTCTGCAGCACCATTCATGGTGTACGACGACGTTCTGTCAACAATTTTGGATCAGTCGTAACCCTCCATCCAAAATCTCGCGCGTGTCGCTTAGCAAGCAGTCTCACACGAGATTCACAGACCACATCTTTCCACCCTGCAAGCTTGGCTACTGTTACTGCAACGCGAGAATAATGTGCCATGCGTACAAGGTTCTGGCTTTCAGTGGAGTCTAGTGGCCTGGACAGTAGGTCTTGCACATACTCTTGGCCTGTCTACGGATTGTTCAACTTAGCAAGATGTACCGGTATGGGAGAAAAGACTGCGACGAAGACTCTGGTGGGCCACATTTGTGATTGATAAATGGACATTGCCTACCGCTGGCCTCGCCAGTCATATCAATTCTAACGCTTTTGATGTCTTGCCTTTGACGAGCGGCGATTTCGAGTCCAAAGGACAGGCATCTGCTCATCCAGTTTGTACCGTGAGTGATTCAGTGGCTGCCAGGTCGACCTTCCAGCAGCTGGTCGAGCTTACAATCATTCTGTCGGGTATTCTCGAGACCTTCTATACCGTGCGTACATCGAAAGCGACTGCCACAAATCTATCTATCTTTCTAGACCTGGCCAAGCCGTTGCGAGGTCGACTTGAAACATGGGAAAGCTCCTGGAACGAATTCGTCGAGCTTGACAGATCGGCTGTCACTGATCGATTCAGACTTGACCGGACGGTATCCGCCACTCTCGCCCATCATGCTGTCAGGATGCTGTTATACTCCGCCCTCTTAATAAAACACCGAAATCTGTCGAGCAGAACGAGCACGAGCGGGTAAGGCAAGAGGCCGAAGAGCGGTGCATCAAAGTTGTACATTTTTTGGAGAATCTTCCATCGAGAGCGCGGAGCGCCTACTAGCACAAGTGTATGTTGATGTGGTTGAGAATACCCGCCCTCGATGCGAAGCTGATAATCCTTGCAGTCTTGCCGAGCAATTTTGCTATCGCTCCATCGCTCCTGACAAGAATATTGGTCATAGTGACGACACGAACAGAGTCCAGTCGGCTGACCGAGTTGACCAACAGATGGCGATGGCTACTTAGAACGGCGAGAGGGGACATTGAAAGTGTCATGATGAGCCTCACATTGCTACGTCTTGACAGAACCTTGCTCAATAGCCGAGGACAGCTTCCATGAAATACTGTACAGCTACGCGGTTCACATCTGTTCACTCGTCTGGGGTATCTGGCGAGTCGTATACTGTGCAGTTGACGATAGTCGGGATCTGCAAAAATCAACAACCAATGCTGTGGGGATGACCCTGTTCGCTCTTCACTCTGACAAGAGAAGCACAACATAGCGGACTCTTTCCAACGGACAATCGCTCTGTAGTGTGATCAATCGTCTTTTGTATGGAGGCTAATTGTTCAGTCAAAATAAACCTCTAGCGGGCTTCGCCTTGCGAGAATCATTTTGGAAGACGACGAAAGCAACGGAGCCGAGGCATGCCAGGCTTCAACCGCGGTTGTTGAAGTCCCTCATCATCTCCTGCAACACTCATCCCGTCGCGTGTCTTTTCCTAAAGTAACAAACTACAAACTCGTGACACTTCTACTATCATGAACGACATAACGTTTATATCCATCTCGTTACCACAAGGAGTCGCCATCCAAAGCACCTCCGCAGATACTCCAGCACCATCTCCCTCATCACGCCAACCCACCGACCTAGAACTACTTTCCCCCACCAGCAACCATGATCGAACCCTTGCCCCCACAGACGGCGGCCTTGCAGCCTACAAACTCCTCGCTGCCGCTTTCGTATTCGAAACATTACTCTGGGGCTTTCCACTGTCTTTTGGTGTATTTCAGGAATACTACTCTAAAACACCTGAATTCGCAAAGTCGGGATACATCTCTGTGGTTGGCACTGTGGCTTCTGGATTGGGGTATTTGGGGGCTCCGGTATCTATGCTGTGTTTACAGAGGTTTGGGAGGTGGAGGCGAGAGATGATTTGGGTGGGGTGTAAGTGATCTTTCGTGGGTGAGCTGCTGGTGAGATAAGGATGAGCTGATATGTAGGTCATAGGGCCAATCTGTATTCTTGGCCTAGTAGCTGGATCTTTTGCGTCAAGTCTGGAAGCTCTAATTCTATCTCAAGGAGTAGCTTATGGGCTTGGCTTTCTGGTCTTCTATTATCCCATCTTGTCTATGGTGGATGAGTATTGGGTTGCAAAGAGAGGAATGGCTTATGGTATCTTGTGTGCTGCATCTGGCTTCTCTGGCGCATTCATGCCATTTCTATTGCAGACACTGCTGCAACAGTATGGATTTAGGACTACTCTGAGAGCTGTGGCTGTTGCTCTCATAGTACTCACAGGTCCGCTGATTCCTTTCTTGAAAGGCAGATTACCAGTCTCGAGAAATGCGACAACAAGAAAGATCGACTGGATGTTCCTACGCTTACCTGCCTTTTGGATCTTCTCGTCTGCGAATTTATTGCAAGGATTCGGCTATTTCTTTCCCGGGCTCTACCTTCCCTCTTTTGCATCATCTTTGCAACTCTCTCCCAAAACAGGACCAATGCTCTTAGCCCTGATGAGTATTTCTCAGGTCCTCGGACAATTCACCTTTGGCTTCCTGTCTGACCGCAACAATATTTCCACCACTTTCCTTGCCGCTGTCAGTATATCTATTGCAGGCGCGTCAACACTAGGACTTTGGTACACTTCCACTCATCTCCCTACTCTTGTGATCTTCAGCCTATTGTACGGATTTTTCGCAGCAGGCTTCACAGCTCTTTGGGCAAGGATGACGTCTTCCATGACCTCCGATCCAGCTGCCTCACCAATGGTCTTTGGCCTGCTGAATTTTCAGAAGGGCGTAGGAAATGTGCTTGCCGGACCAACTGGAGGATTACTGGTTGCAGGTCAGCAAGAGGTGTCGGAACCACAGCGATATAGACCAGTGATTTTGTTTACGGGTGTTTGCTTGTTGGCCAGTTTTGGTGTAATGTGTTTAGGATGGTTGAAACGTCTGACCGTTATGTTGGAGGAGCGACCACAGGCTTCAGCCGGGGATCATGTTGCTTCCTCCCTGCTCACGGGCTGAAAATCCAGCATCGCTCATACTCCTGTCCTCTAGGCACTTCGAATTTCTCAATCTTGCCGTACAGCTCGGTCTTCGTCGTCGGGCTTCGCCGATGTAATGAAAGAAATGTATGTTTTACATATTATGGCCGGCATGAGGATGTCATGTATGCAATGAGCGTTTCGTCTCGGCGGTAGCCACTTCCACCTCCCGGCGCTCCTGATCAAAAGCAATCTTAACGTCGTCGCATGGGTTCTAAGCTGGTGATCTAGAATATGATAGGTGGTTTCTTTGTTCTCAATTCTTGAGATTGACTGCCAGCCTCAGGTCTCGGTTCTCTTCCAAGCTTTGACTTTGTTCAAGTCCGCATCCGGCTACATTAATGAATTGGACCAAACGATGATTATGTCGCAGATGCAGTATCTTACAAGCCGACGATATAAGGTGTCAGATTTCTTAACCGTTGCGACATGTCCAAATACCTGAAAGATCTCGTGGTTAGTCTTACAGACTCGACAATAGCTTTTGACGACACCATAATTGCCATCGGTATCGAAGAGCTAAACGCAAAAGGCTTTGTCAATCTCCCTGACTCGGAGTTCCCTGTTATCCCGAAGTTCGAGCTCAAAGCAGAAGAACATTTAACTGGAGCTTTTATCCGAAAGGCGCGAGGTTGGGAACCTGTTGTTTCCTCAATCCACCTGATTCTCCGACCGCGGGTATGGAAAAACATATCCACGGAAGACTACGACCTTGTCACTCCCGCTTTGAAGTTGGCTAGTCGGATTCTGGATGCTTTCAAATAGATGTAGACGAGGGACTGGTGGTCTTGTTCAGTATACTAGCTAGCAACCGAGATGTAAAGTAAGTATCACTGACGATCCAATGTTCCTCACACCTTCTTCGCTGTACGAAGCTATCGTCGGAGGCATTCAGAGCAAACAATGGAATGAATTCATCAACAAAGGAACAAAGAGAGGAAAATATGTCTGCAACCGTCTCTATTCGAGCAAAGAAGACAGCAATACTTGGACAGCAGCTCAATTTGACGGCTCCAAGCATTTGACTGAGCAGACCCCTGGATCACATATGGAGGAATGGCGCCATATAAGTTTCAAAAGTTTGATCAGGCTACACAACGCATGTTTGTCTAAGCCACTCTCGACAAGTCATTTCACCATACATTGACATATATCAGAGCATGTTTGATAGGAATTATGCGTTCCGTCAGCCTGCTGTCACACTAACCTGGACGAGGGGGTTCAAAAGACTGATTGGTATGGTAAGGCATTCTGCTAGTGCCGCACCGGTGCAAATTTGCTAATTATGCCATCTGCTTCCCCAGAGTCATGGGAGATCTTGAGAGAATGCTACACCACTCGTAAATGTCTACCCAGCTGTGAGCAGAAACTGTACTCCGAGTGTCATCTCCCGCTTGTCCGCCAGCCCAGATATCGGAAGCCCGACGACGGTGCTGAGGTCTGGTAGGTCTGATCTCTGGAAACCGCTGGAAAAGTCTGTGCCCCAGAAAGTCGAGGACCAGATGTAGAGCATCTACCATATTGACTCCATGAGCGCTCATCAGTGGTCTGTGGAGCTCGTTGACAAGCAAGACGCTGTGACTATTCCGACTGATGGGCGTATGTAGGATCAGTACATCTCTGCTGTGCGGGTAGAGGACGAGCGCGGCGTCTGATTCTGTTAGTAGGAGGATATACGTGACTAAAACATTGAGACTCGCCCTTGATAGCTGCACGCAATGCAAGAATGTCTGACATTGTGACTGAAGAGCGACTTGGAAAGACAACAGGTTGTTGTTGTTGTTGTTGACTAGGCCATCAGCCCGGGACGCTGAAGTCAGCAATATATAGAAGATTTCCAGCAATTGTTTGTTACTTTGACAGTCGATACGACTGTGTCGTGTCTACGAGGCGGGTAAAAGATGATTGGACTGCAACCTACCCAACCAAGAAAGTGCGGTGAGGACATTCAGCGCCACGGACTCGTCATGATGGCATGGATGTAATCCATGACCTGCCGTCAGACCGTATCTCCTTGGCGCTCTCTGTCACCAACCTATACTGTACACAAGACCGTTGGAAATGTAAGTGAGAGGAGACAAGTAGTGAGCGTAGGCAGGGAAGCGAGCGAGACAGACAAGAAGACAAGCAATTGACACAGACAGCGAGGGGAAGTAGTGAACATAAACTGGGACAGCAGTGAAGCGTCTCCAGTGAAAGCATCGTGATGAAGCAAAAAATGTGTATGCAAACAAGTGATTGATTGTCAGCCTCTCAACGAGGGAATTGAAGTGAAGTCATGGCTCGAAAGTGAGCGAACATGAACTTCCAAACGCGTGCGCGACCAAAAACAACAAAAACAACAACAGTGGGTATTTTCCAACTCCGCGCTCCCTGTGATTCGAAATCCTCTCTGCCTTCCCTCTTGATGATAGTCTTGATGGTAGTGTGATGCTCAAACGCTGGTGTCGCGAGCCATGATCTTGAGTACCTCTTCAATGGAACCACCACTGGCGCGGGCAAGAGTGGCACGATGAGGGCCGACGACGACGTAGACAGTGTAGAGGGCTAGGTCGCCGCGCTTCATGACAGAGGTTGACATGACAATGTTCTCGAGATGAATATTTTCAAGAGACATTCACTGAGGACATCAACGACAAGAACAACAAGTGGATGGCGCATCAGGGAGGAGAATGGAGGCATAAGTCAGGGGCGGAGCATGGATCGAAAGCGCTTACGCATGATCAAGTCGCGCAAAGCCTGGATGGAAGACATCTTGGTTGTTTTGAGTTGATATGTGTTGATTGTTGTGGTTGAGGATTGAAGATGATAGATGATTGAAAGACTTCGAAGAGTGGATGTTATATGCGTGTGAGGCGGTTATGGTTTGTTTGTGGATGTTTTGAGGATGGATGTTGTGGTTTTGAGGGAGGAAAAGGCTGATTATATAGCTCTGACACGGAGCGACGGTGATCCTGCTCCGAGTGATCTTTTCGGTGATCTTGCTGTCGATGATTACGGGTCCGGTGACCCTGAGAGCACTGACCCGACTGCCGGTGATCTGACGGCATGCTCACGGAGCTCGACGGAAAGGTTTAGAATGTTGAAGCTTTCGGGCTCGGCGCGGACTCCTGAATGTGATCGTGCAAGAATACAGCGGGTTCGGATTTAATCTCAACTAGGAAGCAACTATGCCTCGCTGCACCCTCGCCACTCCTCGAGAGTTGTACGAATGGTATACTCCGATCTGAATATTACCACATCCGCACTACATATTAGAGACCTATGCACACGGACTGATGTACAGAAGCGTCGCGTACGACTTAGAGCTGAGGACACCAGCGTCTTCACCAGAAAGGCCGCGAACGAGTATAGCATCGGTCTCTTTTATCAGTTCCTCGGTCATCGATTGGTTGCGCTTCACAAACACAGTAATGATATGTCGAAAAGCAGCGGCGTGCTGTACGACTTCGCGCCTAGAGCGTGCCACCTTGACTTCGCCGGACTTCAGACCTTTCAGAGCGAATGCGTCGATCTTCTTCTGACAGTCTTCAGTTCTGCATACGTGCATCAGTCACACGATCTTGGGTCACAGATTGGTACATATTATGAGCTCCGTACCTGTCTTCGTACTCGACATCAATCTCTCCTCGTAAGATTCTCATACAGAGGTGAAAGGTTTCGTCCAGGCCAAGGCCGACTTTGTCAAGCTTGTTGGAGCCGAACACTGCTAACGTCAATTCTTTAAGGATGACTGCTTCAATGTCTTCGAGCGAGGCTTTGCTGGAGTCGATGAAGGCAGAAATTTCGTTCATGACCTGTTCAGCAGCACCGAACTCGATCTTCACGTCAAGCTCCGTATCAACAACTGAATGATCCAATCGCCATCGATCATCATACACACGGTGACCTTCCTCCAGCCGGAGAGTGAAGGCTCCTGCGCTGTCATCTCGAGTCAATCCCTCTACTGCCCAATGAGAATCTCCCTGTTCTCACCTTGATGAAGCTGTCTGCGGAGCGGCAGAGCTACGAATTGATGGTGGCCATCCCTTGCTAAATGAACCTTCCAGACAAGAAGTCAAACGTAAAACAGAGGATGATTGCGTGGATGCGCTTGCTGGGGCAGTGTCCTTGGCAGAGTCGATCTTCAAGCCTGGGAAGGCATCCTGAAGAGAGGCTCTCTTGTTCTTTCTGGATCTTGGCGAAAGATTTTCATCCATAGCTGTCGTCTCTGGAGTCTACGATGGACGGTACATCAAGGCGGGAGGGCCTCAATATATCGTCGCGAAAGCTTGTCATTCTAGTTAGTATAACAATATCGGAAGTTTGTCAGCACGTCAAGGACAATGGGAAAGAAAGAGCAAACTTGTAGACTGAAATGCACTTTGAAATCCTGTGAGAAGGCAAATAAGAAAGTCTGTGATTTCGTGATGCAATAATATGCTGATTGTTTGGAAAAGGTCTGCTACCACATCTCTCGAGCAGATGATTGCGCTGGATGGACTTTGCCGCAATGCACGATGCTTCTAATCGCAGGCTGCTTCTGGCCAAAGCGTTAATTGTGCGCGCTTAGTGGTAGGGTCACAAGCCAAGCTGCGTTGCAGAAAGCACCATTATCCCCCTGTATAGCAGCATTGATGAGGAGTGTTTCTTGCGCTTTGTTGCTCTTGCAAACAATATTCCATCGATCATGTTTGCTGACGCTTGCTGGCTGAGAAGCTCGAGGGTGCTTGTCATCCCATGTGATCGTTTGCGCCCCGTAGCCCTCATGGATGTGTTCAAAGCAGTGCAGCATGGGCTTGACGCGTTGAAGAGCGCGAAGAGTGTGTTCGCAGCCGACATTGTCTTGAGGACAAAGATCTAGTATGCCTTTTGGCGGTCCATGCGTCATAAATATGTCGACAGGAGACTGCAGATCAGTGAATCTGTCGTGAGAAGGTACTGATCCAAAGGCCCAGTCGCCAAATGCAGGCGAGTATAGGGAGACGTAAATTGAGAAGGAGGCGCCATTTTGGAGGGTGAAGTGGTGCGTGCCTTCGTCTAAGTATATGACACCAGCGTCCCTTGCTAGAGGACTCTTCATGATAGCTACAGCTTGGTCATGCTCTTCCGGCTCGTCGCCGCCTTCCTCGTCAAGATGCTTAAGCCAGTAGTCACCATCAAGCTCAAGATCATGGTTACCGGCGATGACTAGCTTGAGCTCTGCTTCTATTTCCCCTAGCATCTTGAGAGCCTTACGGAGAGATCCATGTCCTCCGACTTGAGTAAGATCACCGCAGTGTAACAAGACATCAACTTTTGGTAGAGGTAGCCGAAAGGCGTGGTCAGTGTTCACATGGATATCCAGCCCATGAGTGTCGGAGATTGCGAGAAATCTTGTGTTGACGGCCGGCATGATGTAGTTCGTTGTTCTGTTGTTGGTTGCGGGAGTCTTGAATATGGAAGCGTGAATTAGAAGTGTTGCGAAGTTATGCGAGTAGCATTCAGCAGAACGAGATCTTGTTTGTCGCAATTTGTGACTCATTCCAATCTTTGGGAAGCCTTGCGGAGCACGCGCAAGTTTTCACGCGATACTGAGTGAGCGCACTTTGTCTTGCTTGGTCGATTGAGGACAGCAACAAACGCGCTCAGTACCGCGAGTGACAACCCATATCATACTGCAACCTCACATCCTTGCTTTCGTGCGGACTGTGTGCGTTTTGTTTCCATCTTGATTGCATACAAGCAGAGAGCCATTGTCACTTGCACAAATGCCAAGTCCAGACCTTGGGACGATACTGCGTTGGATCATGCTGCTCTCAGATGGATACATAGGGACCAAAGCCGTGTCCTGCGATCAAAAGCCACCGTTAGGAGTCTACGACCAATCTCAGATTGTTGAGACAGCCAGAGTTCTCAGAGCTACTATGACTCGGACCATCACGCTGTTCAAAAGAAGTAATCGGACAGAGAGAGCAGTTCGGACTGACCTCATGAAAAACATAAAATCGTGACATACAGCAAGGAAATTTAGTATGCTGGTCCTGTTGTCTCGTTTGGTCCGGCTTGGTTAATCTGCGTCGTCTTAGGCTTTATCCAAGCTGGGGGCAGTCTGCATAGACCCTGAGAGAGGATGCATGACTGCATTGCCAGAGTCCCGTGGCTCAGGTGATAGCGATGGTCTCGCTTCCACTTGATCGTCCTTGTCGCTCGGGTGAAGGGCAGAGTTCGTCCTTGCAACCAATTTCCGCATCTGGGGAACCAGCTCCGGGATACGGAAGGGCTTGGTGACTACGGAGTCCATGCCAGCCTGCATCATGACTGCAATCTGCTCACTCCTCGCATTTGCTGTCACGGCAATGACTGGGATGTGTCCGACGAACTCTTTTACAACTTCGCGAGCTCTGATTTCTCGGACACATGTTATGCCATCCATGACAGGCATCTCTTGATCCATGAGAACCACGTCCAGAGCGACTGGTGCGTCTTTGGGGGAGGAAGAGAAGACGGAAGTCGCGAGGAAGGTTAGTGCTTCTAATCCATGATTGGCAATGTGAACAATGCAACCCTGCTTCCGGAGCTGTTGCGACATGACCTAAAACTATCAGCACATATGCCAGACCGGTACTTGACAAACTCACTCGTTGATCTACAACAACGCATTAGTACAAGACCAAGAAAATTGACCAGAGGAGCAACTTACTAATCAGATTATCCTCTACGACAAGAACGTGCAGTGACCTCTCCAGAACATCTCGTTTGGATGGAGACTGGAGTCTTGTGTATGACAACGCCCGCGTCGGCTTGGCAGGACGTGAGTTGGCTGCATTGTCTAGTCCCACATCTTGGGGCATAGCTGTGGAACCAGTGACTGGCGTATTCCAAACATGCTGAAGAGCGACAGGTGACTCGGGGGTAGATGTGACGTCTCGCGGGCACCGGCGAGCACGTACATAAAAGGCGAATGTGGTGCCATGACCAAGACCAGGGCTACTGACACCAATCTGGCCTCCCTGCAGCTCACACAGTTCTCGACTGATGAACAAGCCCAAACCACTACCGCCATATTGCTTGTACGTCTTGGGACTGGCTTGAGAGAAGCGCTGGAATAACAGACTCATCTCCTCATCACTGAGACCTCTGCCAGTATCCTGCACGGCAATCTGGAGATAGATGTCCTTACCTTGACCCCACTCTGCGGACAAAGAAGTCGAATTCTCATGTCTTATCGTGCGTGGCTGGATAAACGCAAGCTTGTGACGAGATCCCGTCGGCTTGACATATGAAGCGCCAAGGTAGATTGTCAGGCCGCGTTTGTCAGAGAACTGGGTGAACTTGATGGCGTTGGTGAGAAGGTTGATGACTACCTGTAGCAAGCGGCTTGGATCCAGCATAATATATTCGCAAGAGTTCATAATGTCGTAATAGCTCGTCTCAATCTCTAACTCGGCCTTGACCGAAGCCCTTGCAAGCTCAGCCTCGTACATCTTAAGCACTCTGCCTACAAGTTGTGGAGGTGAGACTTTATCAGGAGTTATGACCAGCAAGTTTGAGTCAAGCTTCGATAGACACAATATGTCATCGACTATGCACTTCTGGTGTGAGGCGCAGAGGATGATCGTTTGTGCAGAGTCAAGGATGCCATCGAGCATCTCGGTGTCGCCCTTCCGGCGTGGTCCTTCGTCATCGAGCGTTGTGATGATACCATCTGCAGACTGAAGAATAGCGCTCAGTGGATTTCTCAACTCGTGAGACACCATGTCTGAAATTAAGATACAATTAGCCAGTGTTCATCAGATAATGCAATACAATACTTGTTCAGCCAATCAACTGATGATTCGACATGGATGAAACAGCTTCCTGGATCCCGTTTCATCCTGCCAATCAGAAACTCAAGCTGGTTTACTGAGGTTTTGCCTTCGTCTTACGTACCGATGAAGTTTTCTGAGGCGCGTTTTGTCTCCAACGCCTCCTGAAGTCGACTTGATAGAAGAGTCTCCGTGTAGTGGCGGAAGGATGTGTCATGTAGCCAGGCATGAATGAAGAGCAAACCACCATTCTCGTCCTGCTCTGTCACTACGTTGTTCATGAGCCATGTCTCTCCAGTAAGCTCACTTCCAGTAGCCCTGTCGACAGAGCGCCAAGGTCTCAGAGCCCTATACTCTACAATGGCGGAAGTTTTTTTCTGCTCCAACAAATCTTTCCAGACCAGCTCGATGGCTGGAATATCGTCGGGGTGGACGTTCTGTCGCCATGTCGCCTTTTTATCCCACAGCTTCTGCCAGTCGAATTCTCGCGGCACACCAATCAACTTCAGGTACTCGTCGTTGCAATAGACGGGTTTACCATCTGGACGGAAGGTGCAAATACCGATCGGTGCTGATTGAGCCATTCGAGTGAACCGTTCCTCATTGCGCGCTGCCGCGAGTGTGCTGATCTTCAGTTGTGTTGAAAGACTGTCGTGAATCTCTTCGAATCTTGCTTGGTTCAGCAGCGAACTTGCCTTTGTCAGCACATCCCGTAGGTTGTGTGCAAATTGTAAAGAATCTTCGTTGAAAGGTCGTCGAGGATTCAAACCGATAACGAAGAAGGCGAGTGCGCCCGCAGCATTGATCTCGACTGGCATCACGCAAACCGCTTCGATAGGGTCGTCCCAACCTCGACCAGGTATCGCAGTGGCGAGATCAGCAGGCAGTGTGTTATCATGACGACGTAGAATCACAGTCTTCCTCGTGACGGTCGCCTCACGGCAAGCTCTGGCCAGGCCATATACGGACTTCCTGTCTGTCAAGTCAAAGGTCGTAGGAATGGCGGCGTTGTTCTGGTCGATACCCATGGAGCCATGTAGTTGATACTGCCTCAAGGAATTTGCCCACGAGCTTGATACTGACGACGTGCTGTCTTCTTCGTTGGAGTATATCAGTGCAAAAGGCACGTCTTCCGGATATGGCTCGAAGGAGCTCAGGCATTGTTGCCAAATCTCCGATAACGTGGTACATGTAGCGACCTGCTCTTTGAGCTTCTCTACCACGTCTCCTCTGCGCTGGTTGATGACGTGACGTGTCAGTTCGACCAGTGAATCGATCGCGCCAAGAGCATATCCTTCGGCGCCGATGATCGGGAAGATAATGAAGTTCCAGTAGGTCTCCTCGAGAACGCCATTCCTTTCCTGGAAGGACAGCTCTTTCGTTGACTTGATAGCCTTCCCTTCTGTCAGGGCGGGCTGGAACAACTTCGACATCTGAGGCCAGATCTCAGTATGGACTTCGGCGCAACTCTTTCCCATGGCATAAGGATGTCTCTCCGCAAGAATACGAGCACAGGGCTCGTTGTATATCATGCTGAGCTGCTCCCCCCAGACTATGATACGAGGGTCAGGGTTGGTACATATGCTGAGGACCATTGAGCTCAGACGACCTGGCCAATTCTTGATTGGTCCTATTGGCGTGGAGGACCAATCGAAGTTTTTGATAAACTGGATATGAGGAGAGAGACCCGGTATATCGAACTTGGTCCAGTCTAGGAGCTTGGCGGACTCGGTTGGGGGCGGTGTCAGTATGGTCCATTCTGGTGCCTTCTGCATGCTCGTGCGGCCGCGTTGGGGCAGTGGCTCAATTTGCGCAGGCTCATCAGTGATTCCTGCATCGACTACCTGTGCACAATATACCACCCACCATTTGCCGCCGACCAGCGTACGTTTCCATGCTCTTCCTGAGTAGATCGATACATTCTCGTCCTTTTTCGACCGATCGACCAGAGACGCAGACCAGGTTCTGAACGTATCCGGTGGAGACTGGCTGGCCAAGAACGCGTCGAGGGCAGTGTTTGTAAAGACGACATTGTGCCACTGATGAGTCTCGTCTTCCGTAGTTGGTCCTAAGACAAAGGTTGGGCGGTCGTCGTCTCGTAGAAGTTCTAGTATGCCCACGTCGGCAAGCCGCAGAGCGCGTAGCGAGGCCGACATTAAAGCTTCGAGTGAGATTTGTCGTAGATGGTAACCCCTCAACCTCTTGTCACGTCGCCAGGAACGTTCCACTGGCGAAGAGGTGGAGCCTGCAAGCAAATTGCAGGACCAGACGTGCCTGAACAACGGTTGGAGACCTGGTTGTGTTCCCACGTGCGATTCTCATTTCTCCAAAATGTCACCAGCTGGTGATGACGATTGAGTCCAAAGACTCGATCTTTGGCCGACTCCGCATTTCTTGTTCATCACGATTCCAATGAGGTTTTGAAAAGAGTCCATTACCGATCCCGTTGCCGTTTCGAGCTTAATCTTTGGGACCCTTGATGACATCAGACATGGCGAAAATGGACAATAGGAGGAGCTGAGTCCGTCAATCTCTGCTCTCGTCCGCAAGGCTTTACAATCATGGAGTCTAACATAGCCATACACAACCTTCGTGCGTTAATGTCTGCCAACTTCTGGACTTCATGGCTGCTCGGCAAGTGCGTCGACTAGACCCAGCTGAAGACAGACTCGAGACACATGCGGAGGTTGCGATCCGCTGTCAAGGCGTCAACTGCTTCCGGTAGGACGGTTATGAGACCTGAGAACATATCCTCGCACTCTGAAAATCCGATCATCAACCAATACCAGCTCAGCTGGCTCATCTTCATTGGTCTAGTGGTCATGATTTCCGCTTGTCAAGAGTAAAATCTCGTCAAGCGCGGGAGACCAGGGTTCGATTCCCTGATGGAGAGCTTCCTCTTTTGCTATATGAGCAACATATCCTTTTGGCTTACAATGAGTGACTAGCCTCGAAGTCCAGCGATCAATGTCTGATATACAAAATTTTGTTATCACTAGCAGAGAGAGAGAACAGATAATATAGAAGGTCAGATTGTTCCGCAGCAGCTGTCCACCAGCTTGCGCTTCTCAAATCGTCAATGTGTGATTGACAGCGTTCCCGGGTACTCTCGGATAAAATTCGAAAGTGAAGATGACATCCTCGCCCAGGGCCTGCACAGCGCTCACAGCAGCAGCCGTGATGATCAGATTGTGCGTGTCCCAATTCCACTGCGAATTATAAGTCTGCGAAGTCCATTAGCATCTCAACCAGATCTGCCTTCCGACGACTCACGGTTCTAGCGTTCTGCAATGGGCCATAGTAGGAGGTGAAGTCGTCGACCAGGTACTTTCCACTCGTAGTCACTGCTTTGACAGTAGCTGGTTTATTGATACCTTTCCATTGGATGGGAATAGAAATGCTGGAGCCGTTTGCGGTCGCTGCAGAGCTTGATGTGATACCCAAAATTGGTGTGTCCCAGAGCACAAGATTCAGACTCAGGTTGGCTCCAGTGGAGAAGTCAAGAGTCAAGTTGGCGACTGAGGCAGGCTTTGTGGAGTTCGTAAAGTAGTTGCGTAGGAACGTGGCTGAGAACGTGATCTGGTCATCAGTGATAGAGTAGTCACTTCCCATTTCAAGAGTGCCATCAGGCCCAGAGATCGAGTTCAACGAGGTATCCGAGGGAAGGATGTAAGGCAGAGTTTGCGAGGTCACGTTCTGCCCGACGCGCACGAACAAGTCAGCGCTGGTGAACTGAGTCACAGCATTGGTGTCCGTAGTGCTGTCGGGAAGTGCATTCGCCTGTCCATCAACAGCAGACATGTAGATATCAATGGCAGTCTGGTCGCGCCAGACGTGACTTCCTCGATCCAGAAAGTCCGCTCCATTGTCCCATAGCACAGTGGTAGTATTGTACTTTGCTGCTATACGGACAAAGAAGTCAAAGTATTTCCAACGTGCTGCAGTCTCTGTCGCAACAGGCGAGGCAGCCCATTCGCCTATGATGAGAGGCACATCTGTAAAGTTATTACGAATGTTGGCGATATCGGCTTCGAGTGCGGCTTTTTCGGCATCTGAGCCCCAAATCGTGCTTCCCCACGCAGAGAAAATGAATGGATAAGGCGAATAATAGTGATACTGAATAGCCCAAGGATTGGTGATATTGGTGGGCCGGACAAAGTACAGCGAGGTCAGATCACTATTCTCCTGGGGACCGTTCAGAGTGACGACACGCTCCGGATTGAAGCCACCAGCATCAGTAATCGCTTTTAAGAATAGATCTTCGAGCTTCTTCAGCTCAGCAGCGTGCGCAGCAGTGGTACCCGGTGGTTCATTAATGGGCTCGTATGCCAATAAGCTTGACTTGCACGCCAGTTTAGTTCCGATTTGATACCATAGGCGGTAGAACTTCTCTTCGATTTGAGTATAGTTCGCATTGATCTGGGTGACATCCGCCCACACCCAGGAGTCGTGATGAACATTGACGAGCACGTACATGTCAAGGTCGATAACCATGTCGACGACATCCGAAACGCGCTGTAGCCAAGCCGGGTTGACATCGTAGTCAGGAGCTTCCGTGTCGAAGTGGTATGCCCATGTCACTGCACATGTTAGTTGCGTCTTCGCCGAGAGGTCGGACGAGTACCCCACCTGGTAGCCGGATGCCCTTGAAGCCAGCCTTCTTGACATCATCGAAGGTCGAGGACACGACTGGAGGATTGCCCCAATCACCTTCATTCGGAATACCATCGAGGGTATTTCCCAGATTCCAGCCCGGATTCATCCCGTCCACCCAAGTCTGGGCGGAGATGCGAGAGAACGTGCCATTGCATAACACAGCAGATCCGATGGAATTGGTGTCCCTGGGTAAGACGTTCCTACCCGATACCAAGTTGATCAGTAATACTGCCACAAGACCGGATGGGTAATACATCGTTCGATCCGGGAGTTGCCACTTTCAAAAGAGCTCGAGTTGAGCAGGCGCAGAGACCGCGTCCCGGCTCTTATAGCTTCGCGATTCCATGCAGCGCAAGATCTCCCATCCAAAACAGCCGCTACCACTTAGCCGGCGTCTCGAGAATATTGCAGAAGAGGATGCCTGATGTGATACTCGGCCTGTTACAGGTATACAAGTACCTTCGCGTATAATGGAGCGATGCGACAATTGAGTGATCACGTTGCTACATCACCAGGTGTTAACGATCTACAGAATCTGCGCCAAGCGTCAGAAAGGAACCTTCGCGTGGATAGCCATGTGAAGATCAGCAGGTTAGATAGATAGCGCCGCAGTAGAAGAAGGGAAGAGAGAAGTGTTCGAGCCCAAGTGCGAAACAGAAGTGTGGGGTCGACGCGAGTCGGGAAATTTATTCACCGCAACCAATCCTCAGTCTGCTTATGCGTCGTTACACATATTCGAGCCATTTGATGCATGTTGACTGATAGTATGACGATTACAGGCCCATACTATGAAAGACATATGTCCCACCAATGAGTCGCCGGATAAAGTAAACACATCAAGCTCGGCAGGAAAATATGGATGTTCGATCATGGGAGTCGCTGTCGTCAAACAGAGTTCCACTTGCCAGTGCGTGCGCACCCTTTGCTGACACTAAAATAGCTGGGTGTTACGTTCAGCTTCCAAATGAACAGACACGAGAGATATTGGGTGAGATCTGTTGACGATTCAGGGTGAGCAGGGTAGCCCTCTGAACAAAGATTTCTTTTCTCCTTTTTTCTTTTTTCTTCTCGTGGGCAAGACGCGGCGAATGGGGCTCAGACCGTCGGACGAATCCTCCCGAAGCGGGTAGCTGCATATTATTGGCACTATCAACACCCCTGACGAGGGTTTGGCAATCAAAATTATCACCAACTGTATTCTCCATTCCTTTCATCGGATCACACATTTCAAGAAGTCGCCCAGCCGTGCAAGTTGCTCCACGCCTCAGCGCCACTTCTCACGACTCTCACCTGCGATGTCTGGCAACCAACCGTACGCGAAAGTCCCTGGCGATGAAGAGGAAGGAGAGTACCAAAATGTCGCAGATGCATCCAACCAGATTCCGGTAGAGACTGCAGGGACGCGACCCAGCGTCACCAATTCGCCGATGATAGCAATTCTGTCGTATTGCGGTAGCTCAATCCTCATGACTGTGACCAACAAATATGTATTGGGTGGCCGAGACTTCAACTTGAATTTCTTCCTTCTTTGTGTTCAGGTACGTTATCAATGCTCGAAGTTGAAGTTGGCCATTTCAAGACGCTGACGTCGCACAGAGTGTCATTTGTCTTGCCACAATCGAGGGCTGTAAATATGGTGGTCTCATCACGTATCGCGAGTTCAACATGGCTCAAGCCAAAAAGTGGTTTCCCATCTCCGCGCTTTTGGTCGGCATGATATATACTGGATCGAAGGCACTGGCATATCTCACTATCCCAGTCTACACTATCTTCAAGAACTTGACCATCATCTGTATTGCTTATGGCGAAGTTCTCTGCTTTGGAGGCTCTGTAACTCGCATGGCACTGGTATCGTTTGGCTTGATGGTCCTCAGCTCCGGTATCGCTGCTTGGGCAGACGTCAAGACTCCTGCGCAACCGGGAGATGCGGCCGGTGATGGCGGCTTGTTCTCAATGCTCAATGCAGGGTATGTCTGGATGGCGCTGAACTGCATCTGCAATGCAGTTTTTGTCATTGCCATGAAAGTGCGTATCAAGTTAACGAATTTCAAGGATTTTGACAGTGAGTATTATTCTATTCCCTTGACTTACAGTTGTCTCGGACTGACCCGTTGTGCAGCCATGTACTACAACAATCTGCTGAGTATTCCCATTCTGTTGGTCTGCTCGCTCTTGCTAGAGGACTGGTCTTCCGCCAATGTCGCTTTGAACTTCCCAGCCGATAACCGCACGCCAATCATCACAGCAATTGTCATATCTGGGTTATCCTCGGTCTTCATCTCGTACTGCTCTGCTTGGTGTGTACGCGTCACTTCATCGACCACATATTCGATGGTCGGTGCTCTCAACAAACTACCGCTCGCTATCAGTGGTCTACTGTTCTTCAACAATCCTGTCACGCTCGGCGGCTGCAGTGCTATCGCACTTGGATTTGTTAGTGGTCTGGTGTATACCTACGCGAAGATCAACGAGAAGAAGCCCGAAAAGGCTGATGTCTTGCCGATGACCAAGATGCCCACAACAAGGGAGACCTGAGTTGATACCCAACAAAGATCTCGATAAATGCAACGCTACACCGAGAAATAGATCTATCGTAGAATGCATAGCGCATTGCATTAAATAGAATGGTCCGTACAGCCTCGAATTGATCGATTGCCAATGTTGGACTCATCATTCATGTGCCCCACTTCGGCCGGTACCTCTCCATACAGAAACACAGGACCCATACAATTTCGTATATCATATCGCGCAGGCAACTTCTCTAATGTCAAAAATATCAGTACACAAGCAATCAAAGCCGAGGGCTTGAGCTACTCAGGCCTCGTCACACGAAGGATCACGTCTTACGGCCGAGCCAAGAATGACGTATCGGAGCCAGGCAACCGCAACCGTGACTCTTTGGAGGCCTTCTCATTTCATGTCATCAGTAAAAAGTGATCACTACAATATGAATCGCTATGCATTGCGGCGAAGAGTCGCTGACATGCAGACTGAGACGCCTGACAACGACACACAGAGGCCCCCGGCCATGCCGACTACGGGAGAGAACATCTTCCTCTTTGTTCCAAATCTGATAGGTGGATGTCCCGCGAATGATATAATGCTCCAATGATGACTTGAACAGGCTATACACGAACCATACTCGCTGTTGTCTCGCTATACTTCATGCCTGTCCATCCTCGCCGATGCAGCGCTCTTTACGTAGCGTCATGCCTTCTCGACGCGCTAGACGGCTATGCCGCTCGCAGACTCAATCAAGGCACCAAGTTCGGCGCTGTCCTCGACATGGTGACTGATCGATGTACAACAACTTGTCTCCTCGTCTTCTTGGCAACCGCTATGCCGAGGTGGGCTATGGTGTTTCAGTTGCTCATCAGTCTTGACTTGGCAAGTCATTACATGCATATGTATGCTACGTTGAGTATGGGGGAACAAAGTCACAAAATAGTTGATGCTAGGAGAAGCTGGCTACTGCATCTCTACTACTCAAATATCGTAAATCTGGATTCACTTCAGCGATTTTGAGCCACCAAGCTGACCTTGGCAGGCTGTCCTATTCACACTCTGTGCAATGAATGAGCTCTTCTTTGTCGCTTTATACCTCCTCGCCTTCGCTGAACAGGACCTCTTGCTGGCTGGGTCTCAAATGAACACGCTACTCCAGAGCCAACCATGGTCTGCTGGCGCCATGGGAGCTGCTCGGTATGTTGAAATCTTCCACCAAGAGCACAGTGTGTTGTGGTGACTAACATTCGACTTCATCTAGAGCGAGTAAGATCCAGAGCACTGTCCCAAAACAGCTCATGTTGATCTCGATAATCCCGATGTTGATCAAACAGATTATCAACATCCAGCAACTGATAGTCGCGAGCCAATGGCTCGCAGAGGGCGATGTTGTAGACCGTGCGAAACGCGAGTAAGCGATGACACCAGTGCCGATATGAAGCACATATCTGCTGGGGAAATTTTCGGGCCGTATAATTCGAAGTCTATCGACACAAGCGGATGACGCCCAGGAGTTGTGATGAAGTCAAAGATCTCTGAAGATGCCAAGGGAATCGAGGTTATCATTATGTATTTCTACACACCAAGATTTTTGCTATCGGCATGCAATTTATTGAGGCTCAGCTGCTCTCGTCTTTTGGTCGTATCGCGGACATGAAGATGTGTTACGACCGCGCAGGCCACCACAACGGCAAGGACGACAACGCAACCAAGATATCCGCGGACGAAAGAACAGAATGTCAGCGGGAGACAGCACATCACGCTGATAAGTCGCATGAGAGACTTCGTGCCAGATGTAGGGAGCTGAGCATCTTTCGAGGGAATCAGCGTGTCTTCGGTTGCGAAACATGTTTCTACATTGTCATACCTTCATCTTGCATCATCACGCGATCTAGTCTAGACAGAGACAACAACACTGCCCAGCAGATAACGACTGACAATATCGTGGATGCGCTATCGTGGAGAGGCCCAAAGATACCATCTTGCCCCCTCAAGCATAACGACAACGCAATCTGTATAGCACTGAAGGAGATGAAGATGTTGGGTACCACTGGCCGTCGGATGATTTCCGAGATGCGTCTCGAAAGTGTCGCCATGGTTTTTAAAATGCGTACTACTTGAGTGAAGTCAGATGTATTGTCCAAGATGTGGGCAGGATTATCCGCGTGTCCTATGTCATCCGATGAGGTGTGTAGGATGCGACGAGCACGCCGGTCGTTGGCCGAGGAATCCTTTGCTTATATAAGCTGAGCGATCAGCATCATGACGTACAAAACACAGCAAGAACAACATATCGGCCGAGTGACACAACTATTTGGAAAATAGCGTGTGCGAACATGTTGACCTTATTGAGATACTGACGGTAAACGCAGCCGTATTTATCATTGCGAGCGCCCCAGCCGTCCAAAGAACCAATGTACCACGGATCTCACCGTTCGCTCTATCTGTTTTGCAGTGGTAACCAAGGTGTGGAGTTGACAGAGTTCTTCTCGATTCGGATGGAGAGTAGATGAGGGCGCAATCATCATCCATGTACGGTCGCTTGTCATGATGATTACGAAGCACCGTCAGAGCTCAGTGTCGGACAGTATGATGTTCCGGGGTGCTCTAGTAATTGCTGCAGCCCGGAAGTATAACTCATGGAATCATAAGTAAGAGTTGCAGCCTCCCCGGAAGGTGGTGTTGCTCTACTACCAGCACTATCTCAACGAACTCTTGTCGTAGGAGGCAGACTCCTCACACGATCAAGCCTCGATTGGCTGACCATCTTACTAGAACGCTGACTATCTTGACTTAGTGGTGGGCAAATATATGCGGCGACGTAACAGGACAAGGAAAAAACACAGGTCTAGGACACCCGGATAATATATTCTCTCTTCCTTGGTCTATCTGCGTGGAGGCAGGCTAAAGGCTTTACCACTGTCTAATCAGTCATGTGCTGGTGTTACAGACCTGTCACTCACCTTGCCGACCCCAAATCTCAATCAGATCACCGCAAATGGTAGTGAGAAGCATTCGTGCATCAGATCGTCCTTTTCCCATTGATGGAGTGATTAGCGAGAAAGTGGAGAGCACAGGCTGATGGCGCCATATGCCTTTGAACAGTCGATAAGCTTGAGGTTCTGTCGGTGTAGACCTCCGGACTCTAGCACCGGTCATAAGGATGTCTCAATTGTGATTGTTCGTTGTGGAAGCGTGTTTGGTGACATGAAAATTACCATATATTCCCGTCAGATCTGAGATCTGATCGACACCTTCATTAGGCTATTGATTGTAATTTGGTGAAAGAACATGTTTCAAGCTCTTGTCATCAGACAACCTATCGAAAGCACGGATCTACATATGTCAAAGCTCTGATCATGTCAGCGTCAGTTTGATGACGGACTCATCATGCAAGAACGGTCGAGACGGTCATCAATGGTACAACAGCCAGCTGCCTGTCTCGGAGATTGGGTCATCGTCTGCAGCAGGTTGGCTAGAGCTAAAGGATTCGACACGTAGAGTACAGAGTCGTGTACGTGATCAGACGCGTCACCCCCACCTGAAGGGCCGTACTATCTGTATATTGGTCATTGATCTGGGGACCTAGCGGTGGCTGTGGGATCACTAACCTTGCTTATTGATATATATGTCCGAACTTCGCACTCGAATCAGATCTGACCTTTCTTCTTCTACTCAAGTGGCCTTCAGATCTTGTACCTCACTCATCGTCTTCCTTATGTCCCGTCTGCAAAAGCGATCAAGTCGCGTGGGTGAAACATGAACCTGCTTTTCCTAGAAGACACCATGGGTACTGCCCACGATTGGGCATGTCGCCTCGAGATATGAACGTATTCAGCAGAGCACTATTTGAGCATTGCAATTCTGTCCACCTCCAATCCAACACACCTGCAAGTGAAACTCTTCAAACCGCGCGTCGTGGTGTTCTCGTCGCTATAAGGCAACTTGAGTTGGTGTCTCTGGAGCAAAGAAAGAGATAGACAGGTCCATGACTCTCAGCTAACCCCTGACATCTCCGTTTTGTCGTGACCGTATCCTCCTCGTCTCTGTTAATACCATCATCTCACGAGCCTGGGTATCTCAGACCTGACTCCTTGCTTCATCCTCGGACATGTGTTTGCGTGAGAACGACTCTCAGCGTGCAGGTTTATGCTCGGCTTGGACGTTTGCGGTCAGAATTTGGGGTGAAGCTCCTTAGGCTTGGACTGTCTGATCGATAATGACAGGTACGAGACTTTATATATGCTGATAGGCAAGAGAATTCCGAGCCGTAATACCGTCACAGCTCGGCTATGAATTGGTATATCGTTGCTCAAGAGATATTTATGTGTCTATAGGTCTTACATCTGTATCGTACACTTGCTCAGTTTTCAGAGCGATTCTGATTGGGCTGCACAGTAAAGGCTGTGTTGGAATAGTATAGTGCATACAGCGTAGGTCGCATCTAGGAAGAGGCCACAGAATGGAGAATTGGCAGATGGAGGACTGGTTCAAACTTCTCAAAGCTGTGAGACCTGGTACCGATGGAATTTTGAGCCTTTGACTCAGATGCTCCTCACAAGAGACATCTCGAAGTGCCCCCAACTGTCCCTTTGTGGCCACAGGTTTTGGATCGAGGAGGACCATGTCTCAGCTATTTGAGAAATGAGTATGGTCTGCTCACTGGTATCCATGACTATATGAACAGCACTTGTTCACGGGACTTACAAGCATCCAAGTCACAATCGACAAGCACACCTCAGCATTACCACATTATCAACCTTACAATCACTATGGTCGTTACCCGCCAACAGCTCCTGGGTGAGTACCCAGCTCCCTTCCACTCTCGTAATCAGCCACTAACATCCGCATAGAAAAATTTCGTCAAGCCTTCCCTCATCGTCACAGACCCAGAGTCGAGGTAGCCTGGATCCAAGAGTCATGGCGAGTCCAGGTCTGCTATGATCCTGTGCAAGAGCGCTTCGACAACCATGGTAAGATGCTTCTTTCCAGTGGTTACACTGACAAGGAGACTGTCATGAGTGATGCTCTGGAGAATCTGCGTTGCTTTAGGATTGAGTATTTGCAAGCTGTATCTCAGGAAAGGGCGGGGTGTTCGGTCGTTTGTACGAATCCGAGGGCAGGCCGTGAACCTTGAGGGGTTGATTGGAGAGACGTGATCGTCAGGGCAGTCTTGTAAAAGTCTGAAGGTACATTTGCGTTTGTGATGACAATCCATCTGATGTTCAGAGGGCTTTGTCATAGCTGTCAATACAGGGTTGTTGTTGTAGTAATTTGTATAAGATGTGCGTTGAAGATGCACGACCATCTCTCTTCCTTGTCGTTGTTCATTCGATGCGAAAGATGTACAAATCCAGAACTCGCGGTCTGCAATCTTGTCTTGTGCCAGAAATTCGAGAAACTGCACTGAAGTTAGTCAAGGCGTTGGTATTATACCAGCAATGGTCACCAAGATAAAGATGCTTGTGCACAGTGACCAAACGCAACTTCTAACATATTCCGTGGAAGTGATGAAAAGCTACACAAGTGATAGCAAGCTCGACATGCCAGCTGCCGCGGCAACTCTCTTCTCTTCTTCCAACACCAAAACCCCTCCTTCTTCTTCTTCTTTCGCGCGCTCACTATCCTCTCCTGGAACACACTCAATCCACAAAGACAACTGTTCTACATCACATCTCAAGCTCTTCTTCGCACACCATGACCATGGAATCCCGCGCTCAGATCATGGGTAATTGATTTCCAATCTCTCCAATGACTCTTGGAATATCCACTTATTATGATACGCAGACTGCTGTCACATTCTGCACCCTGAATACGCTCCCTTCCGCGTCACCGCTGTCACCCATGACGAGCGCTGGTGGGTTGTTGTCTGGGGTGCTGCCGGCACCATCGTCCGTGCTCTTAACGGCAGCAAAGAATCCGCCGAAGCTGCTCTCCAAGACATGGCCGATTTTTTGGCTTCTCAGGTGTGGAACGTCGTTGACAGCAAAGGCCACAAGCTGGTCAAGTAGGAAGAATGTTCCTTGTCGGTCGAACTTTCCCGCAACAGCAGATCACGACTGAAGCGAGCTGGAGTGAACGGGATGTCTGGGACTCGACTGAAACAACTGAAGCCACAAGACATTACATCCACAAAACAACGAGCTGGCTGGGAATGAGAATGCTTAGATAGTCTGTCTCAAACTATCATCTCCGCCTCTCTCCAAGCAGGCTCCTCCTTTTCCTGTACCCTGGTGACAAGTCTTCCCTCCAACCACCTAGCAAACCTCACAGAAGGCCCATCCACCCCCCTCGTAAACACGTCAGCCGCCCAAATCGACGTCGCCGTGACACAGACTGCAGAAACTCCAAACGCAATTTCCTTTTTCAAATGTGTTTCTGTGCCAATAATACTCCAAAGAATTTCCAACAAGCCATAATGCAAAGTATGTATAATAGCACCGTGGACCAGATACAATGAAAACGATATCCTGCCTAGGTATTGGGAGATACGGTTTGTGAAGATTTCCTGCAAGAGGGAAGAGTTGGATGTTGACCAGATGAGAAGGAGGGAGCCCCAGCCACTGTAGTAGCGGTACCAGTCTTTGATATAGCTAGGGATGATGGAGTAGAGGAATGTCCAGCCGGGTGCGTGTTCGAATTCTCTTTCTGGTTGGCCGCCGAGGTAGAGACCGCAGACGAAGGTTAAGATGTAGATGGCTGTCCATGGGATCTTGGACTTGGAAGCAGGGTTGAGAGGTGTCGAGGTGTTGCGGCGAATGTCTAGTTCAGCAAGGATGAAACCTCCGTAGAAGAGAACCATTTCCCAGCGATCGACACCGTGGGCCCAGATCATGAGGCAGAGTAAGGTGAGCATTCTATATCGTGTTCGTAGAGCTCCGAGACCAAGTTGCGTGACGTAAAGGATGATAGAAGCTCTCTACACACACGCAAAAGTTAGCCTCAACCCTTGCCAAATCCATCTGATTTCATGCTCAAAACTCACATATTCAACAGTAATAGTCCACAGATGCGTATCAACATTTATCCCCTCGCCACTAAACGGATTCACAAACCCTGCAAACGCAGAGCTCCAAACCAACATTTGTTCCCCAAATGTCTCATACCTCCAGGCATGTTTCTCTCTATGTCCTGTCAACCTTATCTCATCACTAGCAAGCTCTCTAGTCTTATCGTAACACCCCAATCGCACTAAAACAACAATACACAATGTAGACACCAAGCAAGGCATATACAACCTAAACCCTCTTCTAAGCACCGCACTCGCCAACCCCTTGCCTAGTGCTTCCACATCACCCTTTTTTATTTGTTGCACAGGTTTATAGCTCAAGGCATATCCACTCAACACAAAGAAGATAGAAACCATAAAGGGTCCATGGTAGAAAAAGCGAATTAGTGGTAGGCGTAAGAAATCCCGTTTTCCATCAGCAAGCCATGCGGTATTGACATCATGGGTGGAATAGGCAAGATGATACACAAAGACCAGAAAAGCGGCGATGCCACGCATTCCATCTATCCATGCTGTAGGTTGAAGTGGTTTTGCCGTGTTCAATCTCGTATATGTTGGAAGACCAGTTTGAAGAAAGGAAGGGAGGAGAAAGTGGAGACATTTTCTCGTGTGCTGTGAGATGGATTTTCGCGATGAGATATTGGAGACTTTCATGATTGGCATTTTCTCATAGTCTCAAAAGTCCAGAGAAAGTCGCTCTTGGTGTTGAGTCTGCCTGGTGTGAGATTTCTCAATGTCGCACTGAGTCCGAGAAGATGGAGAAAAAGGTTTGTCCGTGATCACAGCAGTGAGAAGAATACAGTATGTAAGAGGGGAGGACATGTTCGCGCGTTATACATATCTCGTAGGATTCTCCATTGGCCAATAGTGTGTTGAAGTCAAAAGACGTTAGATGAGAGCTGAGATCTATCAATTTAAGGAGGTCCACGTCTGGGGAGATTTCAGGGTCGTGCATAAAAGCCACACAAAATGTGCACGGATTATGCAGGGGAACTCGAGTACAAATTCATCTCAACACAACAAGATATACAACGCGATGCTTAAGAAAAGAGAGAGAATACCAGTCTCCTACACTCTAGCCGCTCGCAAAAAGCCAACCATACCACCACAATACTGTGCCAACATCTCCACTCTCTCCTTCTCCTCTACAACACGATCTCTCCATTCCTTGACACTAGCCCTAAGTTCTTGATCTTCAATCACGACATCAGAGTGAATCTTCAAAAATACAGCCATCCAAGCCTGACCGAGTTCAAAGTCGCGTTTGGAAGCGCAAAGAAAGGATAATGCGCGCACGAAAGCGACGAGTTCGTTACAAGCACCGGACTCTGGATCGAAAGATGTGATAGGGGAAGAAAGACTGCGAATCTCGATATCTGCAGCTGCGGGCGTGAGGGTTTTGAGATGTGTGATGAATGGCAAAAAATCCCCGGTTTCTGATGCGTCGCGTAAGAGGGAGGTGAATTTCGAGATTGTGTTTTGACGGTCCATTTTCATGATGCGACTGCGTTCTTGCTCGATGGCTGCGAGGTCTTGTGTCGTGTTTCCATTTGCGAGGGCTGGATTTGCTTGTCGTTCTTGCAGGGAGGGGAGGAAGAAAGGTGCTTTTTCGGGCTTCTTTGGTGCCGCAGTCGGTGCATTGCGTTGGCGGATTATGTCCAGATGGAGGAGGTTCTGCCAGCGACTGCGGGGGACGAGAGAGAGGGAGACGAGGTCGGAGGAGAGGGCATCGAGGTCTGCGTCTGCGTCGAGATCGGTATCCATGTAGTCTTCTTCGTCGGACTCGACGTCTGGTGCGTTGGCCAAGGAGCCAATGACGGAGATGCTACCTTCACCTGAGACCGTCGGTGCTTGGGCTGCGCTGGCCATGATTGTCGATAGTTCTGCCTCGTTGATGTGACGAGTGGGCACGTGGGTGAAGAGAGTCTTGTTCGACCAGACGTCGACACCGACATGTTCCTCGCTAGCTGTTGCCAAATACTCGCCAGTCGGTGAGAAGCTGATGGCGTTACACGTCGAAGGAAGCTTGAAGACGTCGATCAAGTGACCAGTCGGGAGATCCCAAGCGCAGACAAAGGAGGATGTTGCAGCCATGACCCAACGACCGTCATTCGAGAAGCCAAAGTCGGCAAAGTCAAAGGCCTTTGATTGCGATGAGCGCGACATTCTCAACTCACGGATGAGCTTAAATGTGGTGATGTCGACCACACGAACACAACCATCAGAGCATGTGAACGCAGCCAACTCTGATCCACGATGCAGTCTCAAACCGGTGATTTGTACAGCTCCCGACCAGTCAATCTCTTGCTTGAGAGCGCCACTCATGAAATCCCAAAACTTGATCTTTCCATCGATGCTGCAACTGACAACAGTGCGGTTCAGGTTGTCAACGGCCAGACCGGTAACAGCAGCAGTATGCTTGCCTTGACCGCGGTAGAACTTCTTTTTACCGGCTTCAGCATTCGGTGCAACTGCTTCTTCCGCTTTTGCCAAATCGAGCTTGAGTTGTTGTGCTTGAGTCGGAGTGAGCCTTGCCGGATATCTCTGTCTATGGCTGCCAGATTGCAGGTTGAACATATCGATGCCACCATTTGCCGAACCGACAAGTGCAAAAGTGCCGCAGGGTGAGACTGCAACGCTCTTGACTTCGCCACCATCCTGAGTCTCGAATGCCCATCTTCCAGCCTTCTTTCTGCCCCAGAACCATGTGCGTGCCTTATTGTCGCCTTCATGTGCAGTGACGACACTCTCCCATCCGGTCATACTCGTGGCCTCTGTGCTGTTCTTGGTCTTGCCCTTTCCAGATTGCCAGATAGGGAACTTGCCGGGCATGGAGCCCATACCACCATCGCGATTGAGCGAGCAAGCAATGGAAGTGATCGGGGGAGCCTTGAGAGCCTCGATAGTATCTCTGCCTTCGGAAGAGAGGATACCCTGCTTTCTGGCCTTCTTGGTAACGTTGCCTTGTGAAAGTTCAGCGCTCTGTCCATCTCTTCTCAGACTCCAGCCCCACAAGCTGCGATCCTTGGAAGTGCTCAGAAGCCACTTTCCGCTTGCATCGGAGCCGTCTGAGGCAGCAGGAAGGAAAGCCAAGGTTGTGACAGGCGCACCATGACCGCTGCGCTGGTGTAGAATGCGAGGTACAGGGTTGAATGGACTCTCATCGAAGATCCAAGTTTTCAAGCTATTGTCCAGACCACTGGTTGCAATGATGGCCTGACCAGGCAGAAATTCGACCTTGCTGACACCGCCGGGTGAAGCAGAGGAAGGAGGAGCATGTGCGCCACGGAGAACACCTTGCTTACGACCGCCGTTGTTCAGGTCCCATAGTGTCACGTCGCCGCTCTCGTTCGAGGCAGTGGCCATGACACCAGCTCTTTTACCATCATCTCCTGCACCCATAGCATCCGATCTGAAAGTGATTGATGTGATTGAGGGACCGTTTGTGCCGTGGGCGCTCGCATTGAAGTGGAGAAGCTTCTTGTCTGCTTGGATATCCTGGATGATCAGGGGGCCGGATTCGTAGGCGATTGCGAGCAAGTTCAGGGCGGGAGTGGGTTGCAGAGCGGTGACGGCGCCGTAATCAGCAGCCGGAGGGAGGACTGAGTAGACCAGCTTTCCGCTTGAGACGTTCCAAATCTCGACAGTTCCATCATCCTTACCGGCGACAATCTTGTTGAGCATGGTGGGCATGCTGCTGAGGGTGCCGGTGAACGAAGAGGCGGTGCTGCTCTGGAGGGTGGTGTAGAGTTCGTAGTTGGACGACTTCCAGACAAGGACCTGGTTGTCGCATGCACCAATGATCCAGGAACCAAAGATGCAGAATGACTCGATGTTGTGTTCCTGACGCATGGGCATTTCCAGGTCAGCAATCTTCTTGCCTCTCTTGAAAATCCAGACACCACGCTCAGACTCGGCAGACTCTCCTCCCCAAGCGGCGAATACCAGATCCTTCCATGCTATGCTTGCAGTGATGAACTCGGGAGTCTGAGGGCGGGTGATGAAAACGAGATTGAGACCGCGGCGCAAGTCATAGGTCTGGAGACTGCGACCGACTGATGTGGTGAGTTGAAAGGTCGTCTTTCCGAGAGCGATGCTAGTGAAGGGAACAGCGGTAGGCGAAACAAGACCGACAGTCTATAGAATACGGTCAGTACAATGCTAACAGACTTGAGGTAATTGGGACAAGATACCCTGTAAGGCGCAAAAAGTCGCGAAGAACCAAGCTGTCTCTGGCTCTTGACGACCACCTCGTCCTGACCGATTCTTTGGCGCTTGACCTGACGGCCTTCAGCAGTGCCGTTTGGATCGACGGCAGCTGGCATCTTGTGTGAATATTCAGTCTGATACAAAAAGTCGAGTCTTGCTCCAAAACTTCAATCACGACGCCAACATTTCCAGACGCTTGGACCATACGGCGCTATCGATAAAGGCCGGCGCAGGAGCACGCAACAATCATGCTCATGTCTGCTGCATGCATACCACCGTCATCCTGCTTCACTATCTCGAAAAAGCTTCGAATTTCCTATCAGACCGTGCCCTAGTAGAGACCTCAATTTCATTTATTCTTACCGTCCTCTCACCAAGTTGCGTGCTTGTTCATATACCTTGCTTGAAGACTGAGTCTGTCTTGGCCCATGGAACCTCTGCATCGCACTGTGAGTTCGTCGAGCCAGCAATCGAGGAGGAGCTCGTCAGGAGCCTCAAATTCCAATCACGTCTCCTCGCCTTTGCTGGACCACAGGGCCCACTATGCGGAAGCAGATGTCGCTCGACTCAGCAGTGCGGCCGTCAAGAGAGCAAGCATTAGTATGCCTCTGCCCATGACACACGCGCCGTTGAAGTCAAATCCCCATGCTTCTTCTCCGCCTCCGCGACGAGCATCCAGAGCCAGTTCAGAGCACAACCTGCTGGCTCACGTCCTGCAAGCACATAGTCTAAGAATGGCTTCTTCCAGCCTGCCAGACTCGTCTGCTATCATCGACGACTCGGACGCCACTCCTACAGCCACTCATCACAATAGCGAACCGAACCTCATCGTGCCCCGCCAAGATAACGACGACTCGAATCGTCTTTCCTTCTCGCTTTACCAGTTGGGTTCGGCCTTGTACGACCGTGCAAGAGGCGCTGTTGCAAGTACCCCTGCAAGTTCCGTCGCTGGTTCAGAGACGGATGGTAAGTCAAGATTTCATCCTCCCGCGACTCAAGACACCAAGACTATGTTTCTTCCTTCTTCCGTCATTGTGCTTGTGCTCAACCGTCGATAAGACATCAAATCCCCTTTTATCATCTGCTCCGAAAGACTGACCATCAACAGCTGCTCCCAGACTAGACGCTGCTTCCTCGTCCTTGCCTGCCTCGATCAACAACGGCACACCTCTTGTGCCCGCCGCCGCAATGAGTCGCGACAACACTCTCCCACCGCCTCCTCAATCGGAGCCCGCTTCGGCTGCCACCTCGCCGAGAGCCAGCGTATTCGCGACTTTCCCGCGTCAACCTCCACCATCGTCCAATGCCAATCCTCGTGGTAGAACTCCTCAGTCGAGAAGGGTCAGCAGTAGCACAATCAATAGCGCGAGCCCTAGTACTGAGCGCCCTGAACAAGACAAGCCAGTGCCCATTGGCAAGATTGGCATCTGTGCCCTCGATAGCAAAGCAAGAAGCAAACCCAGTCGCAACATTCTCAACAGACTTATCAAAGAGGGTGAATTCGAGGTCATCGTCTTTGGTGACAAGGTCATCTTGGACGAGGATGTCGAAAACTGGCCCGTCTGCGACTTTCTCATCTCTTTTTTCTCAGAAGGCTTTCCCCTAGACAAGGCTATAGCATACGCCAAACTGCGCAAACCCTTCTGTGTTAACGACCTGCCCATGCAGACAATCCTCTGGGATCGCCGTATTTGTTTACAAATCCTAACAAAGCTCAATGTACCTACGCCCGATCGTGTCGAAGTCAACAGAGATGGTGGACCCAAAGTTCAATCAGCCGACATTGCTCAAAGGTGTTTCGAAAAGACTGGTCTTCGCTTCCCCGTTCTGGGCAGTCAGCCCGAGACTGAGTCACAACAGACTGCCAATCCTGTCGTTGAGATGCTAGACGACGGTGACACCATCTCAGTGGATGGTAAGACCTTGACCAAGCCTTTTGTCGAGAAGCCCACAGACGGCGAGGACCACAACATCCACATCTACTACCCAAAGAGCCAAGGTGGAGGTGGCCGAAGACTGTTCCGCAAGGTCAACAACAAGAGTTCCGAGAAAGACGAGACTCTCTCAGTACCCAGATCAATCACAGAGCCTGGAAGCAGCTACATCTACGAGCAGTTCCTCAAGGTGGAGAATGCCGAAGATGTCAAGGCTTACACTGTCGGTCTCGACTACTGCCACGCTGAAACGAGAAAGTCGCCTGTTGTCGATGGTGTCGTCAAGCGCAATCCCAACGGCAAAGAAGTCCGTTACGTCACTAGCCTCAGCAAGGAAGAAGCTGGCATGGCTTCGAGAATTGCAGATGGTTTCGGCCAACGTGTCTGTGGTTTCGATCTTCTGCGTGTGGGCGAGAAGAGTTACGTTATCGATGTCAACGGCTGGAGTTTCGTGAAAGATAACAACGACTACTACGATAAGTGCGCAAGCATCATGAAGAGCTTGTTCATTCGTGAGAAGGTCAGACTTGATAATAAGCAGCAGCAACAGCAACAGCAGCAGCCCACCTCTGCACCCGCGTCTACTGCTGACGAGAGCTACGAGAGAGAAGCTCCTGGGACCCAACGCAAAAACACTGTCTCGAGCCATCGCAGTCACCTCAAGTCTGTCTTCCGCTCTGCCAGTGCAACCAGACTGCGAGACATGGCCAGCAGAAAGCCCGGCTCTCCTGAGATTTCCCAATTACCTTCCCCGATTACATCACCTCCAAGCTTCGGTAACCTCCCTCCACCACGTAGCCCTGGCATCCCTCAAGATAGCCAACTCCCACCTCCTGCTATTCTTGATGAGAATCATCAATATCAGACTCTGCAGGAATCCATCCACGAAGCTGAGGAGCATGCCGAGCCTGTCCCTGCGCCTGCGACTAAGTCGCAATGGAAGCTCAAGGGCATGGTCGCTGTCATCCGTCACGCTGATCGTACACCTAAGCAAAAGTTCAAGTTCACCTTCCACACCAAACCTTTCGTTGATCTGCTCAAGGGCCATCGTGAGGAAGTCTTGTTGGTCGGCGAAGCTGCTCTGAAGAGTGTGCAGGAAGCCGTCCAACAAGCTCTGCGCGAGGGTGAAGAGGATCAGACCAAACTTCGCACCTTGTCAAATGCTTTAGACAAGAAGGGCAGCTGGCCTGGTACGAAGGTGCAGATCAAGCCGATGTTCCGCAAGAGAAGACAGGAAGAACTACCTGCCGAGCTTCAGGACAAGATTACGGTCGATCAGGATGGCAATGCTAAGCCCAAGCCTACCCCTCTGCAAGGAGAGGAGGCCAATCACTCGCGAGGAGACTCCATGGCCGATGTGACTCTATCCAGAATCTCTGCCGCAGAGAACAATCTTGTCCTCGACAAGCTGCAGCTCGTCATGAAGTGGGGTGGTGAGCCCACACATTCTGCTCGTTACCAGGCTCAAGATCTTGGTGAAAACATGCGTAACGATCTGCTGCTTATGAACAAGGATGCTCTGAGAGACGTCCGTGTTTTCACTTCGTCCGAACGTCGTGTCTCGACCAGCGCTCAAATTTTCACTGCCTCCTTCTTGGACCAGAAGGAGCTCGAGCCTGACTTCATTTCCGTGCGCAAGGACTTATTGGATGACTCTAACGCAGCCAAGGACGAGATGGACAAGGTCAAGAAAAAGTTGAAGGGACTTCTCCGCCAGGGTAAGCAAGCACCTGAACAGTTTGCTTGGCCTAAGGATGGCACTCCTGAGCCGTATCTGGTCGTGCGTAGCGTTGTTGAGTTGATGAAGTTCCACCGTCGTGTCATGCTTCAGAACTTCACTAGACTTCGACCCGAAAGCGAAGGAGGCCCACCAATCATGAGTCCTCCCAGCAACGCCTCGTCGGCCAGTCTCGAGTCCTCCGATGGTGTCGAGGCCAAGCAGATCCAGTCCAGATGGTGCTGTGGAGAAGACGCTTCCTTGTTCAAGGAGAGATGGGAGAAGCTGTTCAAGGAATTCACCGATGCCGAAAAGGTCGACCCTAGTAAGATTAGTGAGCTCTACGACACGATGAAGTTTGATGCTCTGCACAACCGACAGTTCCTCGAGTGGGTCTTCACCCCAAGCAAAGACATGGTTGATGATGATCAGAAGCGTCCCGACACTTTGAAGCGCACTGCTTCTGCCGATATGAGAGAAGAGTTTGGCCAGACTCATGAAGGTCTTGCACCTACCAAGGAGCAGACTGCAGCTGTCAAGGATACACCGCCTTATAAGCAGCAAGAAGATAAGGTTCAGATCGACGACAAGGACAAGCTGACTCATGCGGCAAGCTTGAGAAGACGTTCCGAGAACCCTTCGACCACTTTCAAGAATGCTCAAGCAACAATCGCTAATCGTGTTTCTGGTAACCCTGAATCCTACTTTTCTCTCTTCACTGGCAACAGAGACCTTCCCGAGTCGAAGGCTAAGGTCGATGTCCGCCTGGAGAAATTGAGGGAGCTGTACCGCTTCTCGAAGGTGCTGTTCGACTACATTGGTCCTCAAGAGTATGGTATGCTGGAAAGCGAGAAGCTTGAGATTGGTCTCTTAACCAGTCTGCCTCTGCTCAAGGAGATCGTGACCGATCTGGAAGAAGGTATGTGTATGCCATCCAATTTACTTGACAAGTGTTTGCTAACACAACCATCACAGTGCAAGCATCAGATGATGCCAAGTCGTTCATCTACTTCACCAAGGAGTCGCATATTTACACCCTCCTCAACTCCATCATCGAAGGTGGTGTGCAGACCAAGATCGCGCGCAACGCCATCCCCGAACTCGACTACCTCTCGCAAATCTGCTTCGAGCTGTACGAATCACAAAACGAGGCTCCATCTGTGAACAACGAAGCCGGCTGCTTCAACTACAGTATCCGCATTACTCTATCTCCTGGTTGCCACGCTTTTGACCCTCTCGATGTGCAATTGGACAGCAAGCACTGTATCGGTTGCACACCTCGCAGAAGCCTGACACCTCACGTGGAGTGGAAAGAGGTACTCGAGACGCTGAGAGCCAAGTTCCACACTGTCAAGTTGCCCAAGAGCTTCTTGGCTGTCAATTTGAGTGAGAAGGTTCCTCAGGCTTTTGCTCCTCAGACTGAGGGTGCTGAAGGTGAAGGAGTTGAGCCAAAGGTCGTTGGTGTGGAAGCTAGTCCCATTGCTACTGCCCATCAACCTTGATGTGCTTACTCTATGCGATCTTTATCCACGACGCGACATGCTTGGTCTTGGGGCGTTTGCGAAGGTGGACCTATGTGGGGGGTTTTTTTTTGCCTCTTTTTCGGTTACATAGAACAGAATATACAATTCACGTCTGTGTTTTTCCTATAGAAGAACCTTCTTTACATGTTGTGTTGGGACCGGCGCGGCAGTATTCCAAAGATTGCTAGGTAACGTGGCAAAGGCTTTTGTCAAAAACTTCGACAAGTCGTTTTTCGAAGAATTATGAGGACAGAATTTCTCATTTCCGTAGGGGAGGATGGGCAAAAAGTCCCTCCCTCTAAGGGGGTTGATTTTTCATCCAACATCCCACACCAAATCAATTGTTTTGGGGTGAGATGGTAGAGAAATTGAACAAGGTAAATCGTTTTTTGCTATTCATAGGAGGGAGAAAAATTGAAAAAAAGAAGTGATTATAAAAAAATGCCGTGTGTCTTTATCTACCATCACTCTGTTTAATACTCCTCGTCATCATAATCCCCATGCCCAACTGTCTCTCCCCATATCCATCATCGCCATTCCCCAACCCCATCGGCGTAACACTAACCCTATACTCGCCATCCCTACCCTTTAACCCTTCCTCTGCCACCCCAAGCCCAACATCCCCACCACCACCACTCCTCTGACTCCCCTTCCTCTCCAAATTGGTCAATCGCACCACTGATTCCGTGCGATGCAGACTCCCCGACGCTAGACTGTTTCTAGTGCTTCGACCTCCGCAGCCAGAGACTAGGAAACGTGCCCATGTGGCATAGTCTCTGCGGAAGGGGGAGGTTGTGCCGAAAACGATAAAGATCAAGAGGCCGAGGGTGACGCCTGGGATGAACATTACGAGGGAGATTATGGCTGAAGAGGCGGAGAGGTCGAGGTTTGCGGTTAGGGAGTTTGCGGCAGAGGCAAAGTAGCGGGCTATACTGTAGTAGATGAGGTAGATTTGCATGATGCTGTTCGGTGGGGAGAAGAAAAATATGTTAGTATGAGATTTTCGCGCAAAAGGTGAGGATGAAAAGGGAAGGGGGTAACAAAACTTACCACAATAACACAAAACAAATGCAGAAACGAATCAGTAGCCATTTATCATACATCGAGTCGTTTTTCCTCGCTCCAGAAGCTTTGTTTCTTGCAGGTAGTTGCGAGCCGCCGGTCTGATCGATGCCACTTTGTAATTGACTGTGCATGTTATTCTGCATTTGGCTCTGTGCAGCACTTTCCATGGCTCTACTGCGTTGACTTCTACTTTTTGAGGAGCTGGGTAGGGAGAATTTGATGCGCCATTTGAAGCGGGCAAAGAAGCCATTGTTTTGTGACGAAGAGTCGCTGAGGTACTTTTGGATGGAGACGTATTTGTAGAAGACGAGGGCCAAGAGGATTAGGCCGACTGCGACACTGCCGGCCACTGTTGTCTTGTTAGTCTATGGTGGTTGGTAATCTTTGAGATGGGTATAGCTTACATAAGATGTTGCAAAGGATAAGGGACACTCCTGGAGTGCGGTCCACGGAAGATGCGTTGGCGATGCCGATCAAGATGGCTGGGACAACGGCAGCAGCGATCTTGACGCTGGTTGAAACCATATGGCCACCTTTATCCAGCAGCTCGATGCGAAGACGCCAGACATGACGCCAGAGTCCAGCAATCCAAGCCAAGAAGAGAAGTGACTCGACGTTGTAGCAATACAGTTGAATCTCATACAAAGTTGTATCAAGAGGAGTGTTTGTTCCAGTAAATGCCGGCTTTCCAACATAGTGACCGCTGACTTGATAGTTGTAGCTGGCAATCTGAATAGTCTCGAAACTGGTGAAGAAATGTATCTGCTGAACAAATGCGGCAACAATGTTGACAATCATGAAGCAAGCACACAAAGGGACATCTAAGATATACATCAGTACATGTAAAAGACCTGCGAGATGGTGGACCCTTACATCCAAAAGGATCGCCATGGCGGAAGTGCATAAGGACTACAAGTCCGGCAGCCACAGCATTGAAAATCGTATATATCAACACCACGATCGCCAAACCTTGGGCATCAGCAGGGATCATGCCTCCATCCAACATGACTGCAGAGCAACCAAGCCTTTTTTTTTGTTGAATCGATCTGATGACAGAGAACAGAACGAATAAGAAAAAAGAGAAAAGAGGGAGAAGGAAAGACGTTTGTTTCGAATATGGGAAGCAGAGCCCCATATAGGACATGTGGCATTAGAGTTAGATGTACCACATGTCATGGTCTTTGCCTTTGTGTACAAGCTTCCAGAGCCGTGAGGCCCTAGTGGGTATAGCGATGGAGGGCGAATCTGACCCTTGTCAGAAACATCGTGTCAGGTTCAGTCTCACAGTAGAGAGATGCCACCAACACAGGGCTGATTTGGATGATTTGAGTGTGGTCGCTGCGATTTGTGGCGGTGCGTTAGCCGCGAGCATGTTGGATCCAAGGTTCGGACAGTTGGATACGAGCGTAGATTCGACTCGGCCCTGAATCAAGCTTGTAGAAGCATGTATGCTTTGGATAATGCCTACACCCATGACAGGCGCCAGATAGTCAGTTTACACTGCACACTGTACCCGATGGTTTGCAGCAAGTAGACGTCTGCATGCGAAACTCTCCAGCGTGCTGGTTCAACAGCCTTCTAGGGCTCAAACGAACGGCAGTCGAAAAGACAGTGGAGCAGCCCTCGGTAAGTGGTCCACATCTACTCCGGAAGTGAGGTGCTTCGACAAAAATGGGTGCAATATATCTGATCTCCCGGCCCGCGTGCAATGTCTCATCTCGCGTGCCCTTGCAGATCACTGTCTATCAAACACCGTGCTCCGCACCACTCCGGCTCCAACTACAGAAGCAATTCATGCACTCGTCAAAAGACCCGGCTCATGGGTCTCCAACGCGACGAACAGACAGCAGGAAAAAAAAAGTACTCACACTTGTGGTAACATGGCCAAACTGCAAACGCCGGATGAAAGTCTAAGACCCTTTGTCCTAGCCTTGGTGGAACTTCTCGGCCGTTGCCAGCTATAAATTTTGGCTAAACTCGGCGAGGCGGATTCCCACGTGGTGAACTTCGAGAGCTCGGAGCATGCGGCTTGCCTTTCCGAGCGACTCTCCTTGGTGTCTTCGTGTAATCTCAAGTCAACACAACAAGCGATAGGCTGGTCTCTAAGCGAGCTAGAATGCACTGCATTATGAGTATCAGGAGAAGCTTTGCCAATTGATCATCTAGCTCTACATTGCGGGACACTAACACGATTCCAACGAAAGATCTAGTTGGTCCTCGACCTTTTTCACGAAGATCGAGTCTACGATGATGCTCGTCAACCACGCCACGAGCGATATTCCAAGGCAGGTACAATAGAGCGAGCCGGTTCCGTGCCGTGAAAAAAAGGCGCGTATTCACCATTCTGGAAGCTTTTGTGAATATCAGCAATTGCGAGCGGACCAATCAAACCGCGTGGACGCGTTTCATCAAAAGACAACCATCTTGGTGTAGGTTTCTTGCTTTCCCTTCTCGGCCGAGTCTGAAAATGGAAAGCGATAAAGACCCTGTCGGCTCCAACCATTTTACGAGCGTATCGTTCTTTCACTGGCTGAGAAGATGTTGTAGGAAAATCAAAAACTCTGATAAGAACCCTAAAGACAAAGCACGACAAGGGTTAAAGTTCCGTCAGAAGCCTTCAATAGGCACGAGATTGACTTATGTATATACTTCTTTCTTTGCCTCTTCGATCGGCCGTATAGTCAACGTTATCCCTACGGCGCTCCCTCGAATAGCTCATCTTCACTCTTGTTCCGTGTCCCAATTAGTGCTTGCCGACATGATTTCAACAAGCTCATCAAGCCTGGCTGGGGTTGCTGAACACGTCTTGGTTTCGGCTGCAAGGTTTCAACCAACACGCATGTTGAATTTATGACTATGGAAGGGCTACGCAGGTGCACGGATGTGTGGATTACCTTGCGAACGATCATTTGATGATGGTGAGCGTCATCACATGTCACGGCAAGGCCCCCGGAATAGTGCTGATCGTAAGGAAATGATTTGATCGTGCTATCCTCCAAGCCTAACAATGCATCGTGAATATACAAGAAAGAACCAGGTTTGCAGTCATTCCTTTCATGCAGTAGCGTTCTCGACAGGAGTCTCAACTGTGCCACTCTTTTCTTTTGCTTCTTGATTCTTCTTATTTGCAGCCAGTTGCCATGCAGGGATTGCAGCGCGCCCATTCATCGATCTACCATAGGGGCTGGATGTTGAAGAGCGGTCGGGCACTGCAGGCTTAGTCTCCGCAGCGGGTGTTGGTGTAGGTTCGGCTGGAGTAGGATCTGTTGCTGACGTTGAGTTTGCGGCTGCAGCACCACTTCCAGTAGCAGGGTTGAAGGTAGGTGCAGATGGGTTGGGGCTCCTTGGTGCTGGAGCTGGAGCAGACATGCGATTGTTGATCAGCGTCTTGAGGCTCTTCATCTCGGTAGCGAGATCGATCAGACGCTGGTCGGCGGACTTCTTCTGCGACTCCATAGCCTGAGGGATCATGTCTTTCAAGCCACGGATTTCGTCGTTCAGCCTTCTTCCCTCATCATCACGTCTTCTACTTGCATCCTTGAGCTGGCCAATGACAGATTCGACGTCGGAAAGAGCAGTGTCCAGCTTCTCTGTGCGAGCCAGTTCTGACGACTTGAGGTCTTGTGTGTCTGTTGCGAGTTGGTCAAGGAGAGCGAAAGCCTTCTCAAAGGAGGCGTCCACTGCAGCCTTGTCTTGCTCAAGTTGAGGTGGTGTGGGAGGGGCGATTAGAGGGTAGATATATCTCTTCGCAACCGTGTATGCGCCGAAGCCTAGACCTCCTACCACGGTGGCCATGATGAACCAATCACGCCAGTCTCGTCGTGGGAGCTCTGGAGGCGCTTGTGGAGGAGGTTGCCAGTAGGCATTCTGACTGTATGATTGAGGTGGCGGCCTCTGGTAGGGCTGTACTTGTGATTGCTGCGGTGATGCAGAGGGAGGTTCGGAGCCGGCGCGTTGGAGAGCAAGGTCGATCTCTTCTTGGGTCAGGTTCTTGGAGCGGAGGAAGGCAATGCGTTGATCTACGGGCGCTCCAGCGACTGAAGGATCCTGTAAGACTAGGACAAAATGTTAGATGAGGCAGATGAAGGACGGAATGGTGACTGCTAACACGAGACCTGAAGACGATGGGTTAGCATATCGTTCGTGTTTGGCCGAAAGTGTTTCCGGCTTCACTCACAGCACTGTTGATGAGGTCTTCGCGCACCATCTTGACGACTTGGAGTGCAGTTAACCAAGAGCCAACAATGTCACAGGAACATGCAGATGTCGGTCTGGAGATGATGGCCGGCAAAGTGTCATAGGCCGATTGCGCCGAGGCACGAACCGAGGCTTTTGTGGAGAGAGTCCGGGACCCTGCTGCCTGCTCATGTGAGGTGCTCGTGCTTCACGGCCTTGGCATTGTTGACGCCCGGCGCCGACTCTGTTTACTTTGGCAACTCGACTTTGTCGCACCGCTGCACACTTTTGTTTACTGACGACATTTTGCTTTTCACTCTTCCGTGCCCTCTCGACCCACGCGCTATACCTACAGCATCACTCTACAGTATTGCATAGCTCGACATCTATCAGGCGACACCATGTCGCAAGATCAGGCCATCTTTTCTGTGCGCCGTCCGCGCGAGGTCAGTCCAGTCGCATACCAGTCCTCGACGTGCTCCCCCTCACTCTCATACAGACACTCGGCCCAATCAACCACAATTCATCCGCAATCCCCCTACCTGCTTCAGCCATGAAGCGCCAAAGTTCCTTCGGTCTCGGCCAGATGCAATCTGCCTCGCATGCGCGCTCGACCTCTGGTTCCCGTATGTCTTTGGCTCCGGGGTTTCCTAGGCAGCCAGACTTCCAGCGCGCCTCCTCTGGCAACAACTTGGCCGACTTGGCTCTTTCCACAGTGAAGCGCCCTTCGACTCAGAATATGTTCAACAGCACTGGAGGTAGAAAGAGCTATGCACCTGTCAGCAGCACTCCGGCTCCAGCCCTTCAACTAGGCGATAGCTCCCAACGTCGTAGCAGTGTCTACAGCGCCCGCCCCTCGACTGGTTTCGGTGGGCCCATGGGTCACCAGTCCTTCTTCGCAACCGCTCCCCCCTCAAATCAGCCTCCTCAGGATCCCCGCAGACTACGCGATGCAAACACGCGTCAAGTTATGGGTACAGAGCTCATGGAGTTCCTCGCCCAACGAAACTTCGAGATGGACATGAAGCACACCCTCACACACAAGACCATGACCTCGCCCACGCAAAAAGACTTCAACATGATTTTCCAATTCCTGTACCACTGTATCGATCCGGCTTATCGTTTTCAAAAGAATATCGACCAAGAAGTCCCTCCGCTGCTCAAGCAATTACGCTACCCGTACGAGAAGAACATCTCAAAGTCAGCACTCGCCGCTGTAGGAGGAAACAACTGGGCCACCTTCCTCGGTATGCTTCACTGGATAATGCAATTGGCAAAGATGATGGAACACTTCAGCATTGGCACCTACGACGAAGCCTGTATCGAATCTGGTCATGACATTGCGGCCGACCGTATCACATTCGAATTCTTGAGCGACGCTTATCGCACTTGGCTGTCAGTCGACGACGACGATGAAGAGGATGACGAAGAGGCTATTCAAAGGTTGATACAGCCCCATGTGGAAGCCATGGCAGCAAAGTTTGACGCTTCAAATCAACAAAATCTTGAACAAGTCAAGGCTCTAGAGGAAGAGAGCAAGCAACTACAAGATCAAATTGATGAACTCGGCAAGACTGCACCTCGCCTGGCCAAGCTGGATGAACAAAACAAGATTCTCGAAGAAGACAGGGTCAAGTTTGAAAACTACAACAACAGCATTGACAAGAAGGTCGAGAAGTATGAGGATCGATTGCGCATGCTGGAGAGCGAGATGCAACGTCTGGACCAGGAACTCGCAGACGCAGAGCAAGAACGCAACAGTTTGCAAGAAATGGTCGACCGACAGGGCATCACCGTGCAGGATATCGACCGCATGACAGCAGAGCGCAAACGTCTTCAGACAGGAGTTGAAAGCACAAACTTGCGACTGGAAGAGACTCGTGACTCGGTGGCCAAGAAGGAAGCGGAGGCGGCTCAAAGACTTGAGGAGCTTGAGTCGATCGTGTCCAGGTATAATCGAATGGCCTACGAGATCGGTGTCATTCCTCCAGATGCACCAAATGCTCATGGTCAAGAATACGAGCTCATCCTGACCACAAACGAGGGACCCGGTTTCGGATCATCTCAAATGGGCGAACAACCACAAGATTCTGATCGTCTACTGGCAGAGACAGGTACAGGATACCAGCCACATCATTTACTCAACCTGGACGTACGAGGCGGTCTTAAGAGCAACATGATGAATCTGCGAAAGGAGATTAGTGAACGCAGGAACAACGCTCTCGAAGCGGACATGAACAACCAAGATCTGCTCGACAAGATCAAGGAGGCAATTGGAGACAAAAAGGCAGAGACTGAGACACTCGAGCACCGTGTACGAGCTGCCGAGGAGGAATTTGAGAAGACGAAAGAGGTATGTCATACACTGATTTGTACACTTCAAGTCGAGCATTTTCGCTAATACACACTAGATCACAAACTCGCAGAAGATGGCTTCTGACGCTCAAATCGAGAAGATGGAAAAGGAGCTCGCCAGGATGCGTGCCGGACTTACAGAATCCGTGCAGCTGATGGAGCAGCGCGAAATGAATACTAATCTCGAGTACGAGCAATTGACAGTCGCATCTTCGGCGCTTCGCGAAGAGCTCCACACGGAACTTGAGCGCATGTTGAACGACATAATCAAGTTCAAGGTGCACATTCAGAGCAGTCTTGAAGGCTACGAAGAGTTCGTGGCACAAGAGGTGGAAAGAGAATGCGAGGAGCAAGAGCGAGAAGAGATGGGCGCTGACGATGAGAAGTATGGCGAAGATGTTGAGGCCAAGGTTGAAGAGATGGATCTTGACGATTGAAGGGACTTGTTTAATGGCTTGACGAATTGGTTATGTCAGATGGTCAGGCATGATGGTGGCGTTTGGGCTGTTCTGGTTGGTTGGGACTTTTCTTGATGATACCTCTCTGTTGTTGTTTCGCTCCTGGATTGATATCGGCAATGTTTAAATGATTGATGTTCAGGATTGTTCCTGCTGCCTGCTTTCTTCTCCGCCGGACAGTTGATGACCATGCAGGCGTGGCTCAGACGAGATGGCTCGTGCTTGTTCCGCCACGCAAGTTGAGGCTGTTGGCAGCGGTTGCCCGCCAACACCTGTTCACATCAACAAACCCCTGCTTTTCCCGCCGTCCTTGATCGTCGCAACTTCTTTCGCCAACCCTTGTCGCATAACAACTGCGAGAGAGCAAGTCAAGATTCAGCCGGATTCGCATCGTCTTCGTCCCATCATGGACAGCCCCGAACCCGACACGCCCTTTGCGGCCGTCAGTGCTCAAACAACAAGAGCTGGAATGGTGAGCTTTCCCTCGCCCCCCCTTGTCGTACTGTTTCTGGCATTTGGGGGAAAGAGACGGGATTGGGACGCGCAAGGGCACTTTTAGCTATGGACATCACATGTAAATGCAAGAAGAAGATGGGCTAAGACTTTGTCGCAATACAGCTCTACCAATCTTACCTGGACAAGTCGACACCGTACAAGACATATCGATGGATTGGAACTGGCGTCGTCTTTGCCATGTTCGGCCTACGTATCTTCCTGGCTCAAGGCTGGTACATTGGTATGCATCATGTGCACCTAAGCTTCTCCCGACCCATCCTCTAACCATTTCTCCCAATCAAACAGTCGCATACTCCCTCGGCATCTACCTCCTAAACCTCTTCCTCGCCTTCATCTCCCCCAAATTCGACCCTGGTCTCGAGTCCGCCGAAGACATGGAAGAAGGCAGTAGCGGCGACCTTCCCACAAAGTCCACCGACGAGTTCAAGCCTTTCGTGCGCCGTCTCCCCGAATTCAAGTTCTGGCACGCCGCCACTCGTGCTATCGTGCTCGGGTTCTTGTGTTCATGGAGCGAGATTTTCAACTTGCCCGTCTTTTGGCCTGTTTTGGTGGTTTATTGGTTGATTCTCGTGGTTTTGACCATGAGGCGTCAGATCCAGCATATGCTGAGTAAGAGGAGCCATGATATATCTTATGAGGGACAAGGAATACTGACAAGGAACCACAGAGTACAGATATGTTCCATGGGACTTTGGCAAGAAGAACTACGCCGCCGCTAAGAACAGCAACTGATCCTTTTCGCGGAAAGAAAATGTCACTTTAATGTTACACGAGCTCGCGCCAATCTGTATTAACAAGGAACGCACTGATCACGAAGCACGAAGATGCATGCGCGAAAACGGGCTAGGATGTTGGGAGGCTTGGGTATGATAGGAGTATAAAGGGACTTTGACTGTCAGCCTCTCGTAACTTGGTGCATTCTATCGGTCGTTCTTGAAAAGCTTTGTGACTTCTTGCATAGAGATCTGTCTATCAATGAGTGTTATTTAACATTTGGGGGTAGTCTGTTTGAAGGCTTCTGAGCATTCAAGAGGCCACTGTCAGAAACAAGCCCTGAGAAACCATTAAACAAAAAGATGTCGGTTGACCCATCGGTATGCTATATATCAGGCATCAGCTATAGCCCATCAAGAGGTATCTAGGTCTAGTTGCCTAGTGCAATTTCAAGGCAGACAGCACGCGTTGGCATGAGCCATGATAGATGAAAGTTGTGAGCAGGGTTATCCTCATGACGATCAGCCCCACTATGTCCGCCCTAATGCCGGCTATACAAGAAGACGTCACTTTCGCGCCGGCTCTCGACGAAGCACAATACGCATTTGAGACAGCAGTTCCATACAACGAGAGAAACATGGCAGCACCAACGAGGCCAGAACAGGGCCATTCTCGTCACCAATCGAGTGACGTTAGACGTGGTATGCGACCCTAGTTTGTGTCACAGTCAAGTCATAGCTCACACATGGCAGTCGCGATGCCGCGTCGCAGCACCCGAGGACCTCTGGATATGGATACAACGTCAGGCCACTCAGCACGCCTAGACTTCGATGTAGCAGTCGCTGATATAGAATATCTACAGTGCTGCATCGACCACTGAACCACCTCCCTCGGCGACTCGAACAGCATCACCAGCACCCACGGCAATGCCAATCCGCACAGCATCGCCAGCTTCCTCCCTACTATCTCCCACTCAGCATACCAATCCTTCAATACGCACACGATCCAAAAGCCCGGGCTCTCGAACAATGCAACTAGATCTTTCTCCCTTGCTGCGACCATCTCTCTATGCACCAGTCCCTACCTCTCAAGTCGCTACTCCGTTTCTCTCGTCCTCACACCAACCAGTCCCAGACACGGATTTAGAAACCCTACTCTCTCATCGTCGCTTCCTGCACGCGGCGGAAAAAGCCACCGATCTCCTAACATCCGGCTCCATTTCCCCCTCTGACACGCAAAAAGTACTGGAGCTACTCTACGCACGTTTTTCCTGCCTAGTGCTATGTAACCTATCTCCCCTCGCAGCCAAAGAAGCAAAACCCCTCTCGGATTTACTGGCAAGGGAAAGCGCTGCATATACACGTCCTTTTCGCGAAGCCTTTCTAGCACAAATACCTTGGCATCTACGGCTTTTACTCCTCCACTTGCAAGTCACTGGACAAGTGGACGGACACAGAAAGTGCATCATGGGATTATATGCTTTGGGAGCTGATTGTCGCTCGTTGAGCCAGAAAGCTAGACTTGAGAAGAATGAAACAAAAGTAAAAGCTTGGGAGCAAAGGTTGCAGGATTTGGGGATCAGAGTTGCTGCTGAGCTTGTCGAGATGGGTGAATTGGAGACTGCAAAGAGGCATTTGGATACCATTTCCTTGGACACTGCGGATGAGATGGAGAGACGGAGAATGTGCACGAGACAGACACTTTTGCTGTTGAAGATTGGGGATACAGAGGCTGCAAAGACCTGTCTCTCCGCTTTTCCCTCTGCTACTACACTGGATGAAAATGCACAACTTGACAAAGGAATCCTGGAAACTCTAACCTCCCTCTCATCATCAATGTACCCTGCCGCTGTCACACAACTCCAGGATCTCGCCTCCTCTTCCTACCCTCCCTCTTCTGCTTTGGTCAAGCATAACCTCGCCATAGCACACCTCTACACCAACAACGTCAACATTGCAGCAAACATGCTGGAAACTCTGGTACAAGAAGAAGGGACAGTGTTTCCAGCATTGCTATTCAATCTAAGCACAATGTACGAATTGAAGACTGAGAAAGCGAGGGAGAAGAAATTGGGATTGGTAGATACTGTGGCGGGATTGGATGATGGGCAGGGGAGGAGCAGCGCGCAGACTGGTGGCTTTGAAAAGGGGTTGGGGGAGTTTAAACTGTGAAACTTGATGTATTTTTTCCGGACATGAAAGGATAGCGAGTGTCATAACGAAATATTTCACGAAAAGATATGTATGGATTTTGATTTTCACCCCAAGGAGGACTTCTTTGTACCAGAGGCAGTGATATGGAACCCTTGCTTGTTTTTTTTTTCTTTCTGAAAGGGAGCAGATCAACGAATTGGGAACTGGCAGTGCCGTTTCTCAAAGCTTTCGTCTTTATATCTGCAAAAAAGAAAAAAAAAGATTTAGAGCTTTTTTTTTCGATTTCGTTTTTGCTGTAATCTGTTAAGTAACCTGTTTTTCGCTGTTTTTAGTCAGTTCCGATATCGACTTTTGTATATGCCAAAAGCCCCCCGAGCAATTTGTGATTTGCTTATGATTAGGCAAGAGAAGAAAAGAAGTGGAACAAGAAAGCACACTGACAAAAAAGACCAGACAATTGTTTAAAGAAAGGAATTGATAAAATCAAGATGCTTTGTGGAGACACTCTACGAAAAGTGTTTTTTTTTCCCCAAGAACTCGTATAAGTTTCTACCTAGGAAAGATCGTTGAGATCATGATTGTGGTCGTGTGTATAGTTGAAGAAAAAACTCCGACCTTTGGCCTATTTCGCATTCCCATAAAACGGGAAGCGATGAAACATTGTTGAACTCCGCGCTTTGCCCATTTCGTGTGTTGTTGTCGTTAAAAAGTCGGATAGAAAAGACGGGGGTATCATAAAAAGGGTGTTGAAGAAAAAAAAAGGAATGTCATAGGACACACACACAAGCTTGGTGAGTATGCTGTTTTCTTAATGTCCTTGTCGTTTGAAGTAGAAAGAATTCAAACCATCTGTCCATCATCCTTCTTGGAAATGTGCTGAGGAACTTCTGTGGAAGAAGCAACTGCCGAGCTGACAGATGAGCGAGGTGAGCTTTTTGTGTCGTAGTAATCGCCATCGATGATGATTTCGGTGCTCTCGCCGATGAGGAAGAGGTACCAGTAGACAAAGGCGACAAAGACACTGCCGCCGACAATGTTGCCTAGCGCGGCTGGGATCATGCTTTTCCAGATGTAGTAGCCGACTGTAATGTCAGGGTGGTGTAGGAAGATCTGTAGACGTTTGTCAGAAAAAGTTTCACGAGATGTGGATTTTAAAAAGGTTGAAGGATGGTGCGACTTACAGCCATGGGAATGTAGAACATGTTTGCGACAACGTGGTCCAGTCCGAGAAGAACAAAGGCAAAGACAGGCCACCAGATAGCGCAGACCTTTGAGAAGAACTCTCTGGCACAGCAAGCCAAGAAACAAGCCAGACACACCAACCAGTTGGCACCGATAGCCTTTAGGAAGATCTGATGCCACTCAGGTGTAACAGCCTTGGTAGTAGCAATCTTGAGAAGTTCCGTGCGGTAAGCAGGAGCCGACAAAACGCCTCCGTAGCCAACAATGATACAAGTAACAAACAGAGCACCGGCGAGGTTACCAAAGAAGGTAATCAACCAATGTCTCAGCATCAGCAAGACGGATGTCCGGCGATGGAGAGCAGCCAAACTGGTGTACATGAAACTTCCAGTACAGAGATCTGCTCCAGTCATGACAATGACAACGAGACCGAAGGGGAAGATCAAGGCTCCAAACATTCTGACGACACCAGGAGCATTTTCGTTCAACCAGGTAGATGTGTTAATGACGGAGTAACAGGCACCGCCAAAAGAGAGAAGAGCACCGGCCATAAAACTGCTGACAATCGTCTTGTCGATGCGCATGTGTGCTTTGTAGGCACCAGTTCTAGATGAAATCTCGATCGCTTCCTTTGTGCAGGTGTAAGAGAATGTTCCAAAAACAATCGATCAGACTCATGATGTGCTTACCTTTGGTGTGTAAGCATTATGAACCACAGGCAGCGGTTGCTGTTGACGCGGAATCTCCATCTCCGCGACAGGAAGTTGTTGATCAGGAAAAGGAAGATGCATGAGGGAAAAAACTTCCAGATAATACAGTGCTTCTCAAAGATGTGATAAAAACTAAAAAGATGCTCAAGTGGAACCAAGAGAAAGGTGGGTTGGGCCACGGGTACTTTATATGCTTGAAGCAATGCAAGAGGAAGCGGGTGTAAGGGAGAAACAACAAAAGTATATGAGTCAAAAAGGGCGCCAAAGAAAATAAAAATGGCTAAACAGTTCAATTCGCTGATCTTATCTGCTCATACCGCGGCACGAAAAACAGACATCGATATTCCCGTAAGAGGCGCCGTGAGCAGGCGCAGCGGTGCAGCCAAAAACCTTGTATAACCGTCCGAATCCACCAATGACCAAGTGTGTCTCGTAAAGTGAATTGTCAAGAAACAGGCGGAGGGCCCAAAAAGTCTACTTGCCACGATTCGCCAAGCGCGACCTGAAAGTTCTAGATTTAGGGTTTCCGTGGGATGAGGGGTAGAGCATCAAGTACCATGCAGCAAAAAGATACATCCATACATGCGAGGGGGCTGAAGTCAAGACACGCCATCATGCTGCTTGTGATGCTTGACCATGGACGTTCTTGCTTGGCCAGATTGCTTGTCTCGACCTTGATCCTAAGATATGTTACACAAGAGTACCAGACAGTGAGAGGATATCCATAAATCAACCGTCGTTCACGAAAAGCAGCACGGAGCACGCCAAGTCAGAATCGGTCCCTTTTGCCGCAAGAACCTCTTTTCTCCACAAAAAAGCCTTCCGATCGCGGGAACTTGTATCCGGGGAGCCCAGATCTGGAGATCACATATCCATCCACGAGGTCATGTATCCCACTTCCCGCGCGATGCTAAAGTTGCCGTCTTCCATCCAGGGCAAACGGTCAGATCTTCCCCAGAACAGCATTTGCCGCGTATGGCTGTTTGAACCCCCCCGCATTCCTCTGATCCTGTGCCCTCCAAGTGGTTCGATTAGTGACAGTTCGTGCTGCATGGAGCTAGGGATGTACATTGAGGCGTTTGTGATGGGTGTCAGTACATGTGTGATCGATCAAGCCTCGTGAGAAGATTGGTAAATATGAGTATCGGGCTGAGATCACGATAATTGTGTAACGACAGTGCAGGCAGAGTGTCAATGGTCATATTCGAACAATAGTATTGGCTCATGTTCTTACACGAGGAAGAAACAGAAATATGAAAGGCTAATGCTCAGTAGCTCAGTTGGACGAACAGGAAAGAAAGAGTGGAAAACAAACAGTGGTGATGCATGGGAAACACGACGACCATTAGGCGGCAAGGGACGGTGGGTCGACTCAAGCTTTCAGCTTCGGAGCTGCCCTGAATATCCAGTGACCCGACGCGAAGTATCTCCCAGATCGATCCCCATGGGGTTTGACTTGGGCCCAGATGCCCGGCTCCTCCCCCAGTCTCCCGTCCTACGAGGTTCCGGAGGTTGCCATGGCAGAACTTAAACTCTGGAAGCTTGTCCCTCTTCCTATCGCCGTTGGGCCTCCAAAGCCAGTGGCAGGCACGGAGTGACCAGGCACGGGACTACTGATCGGGCCCAGGGAGTGAGAGTGCCTTCCAGATCCAGGAGTTCCTGCATCGGGCTCGAACTTGACTGCAAAGCCACCAGGCGCAGAGGCGTCTTGACGCGCGTGCAAGAACCCGCCACCATTCTGAGCATCACCTTCAGTGTCACAGATGGCCTCAATCTCTTTCACCGTGATTGGGCTATCGAGAACAGGACGAGAAGTTTCAATCTGGCGCAGAAGAGTTTCCACAGAGTGATAGTTGTCAGGGGTAGGCTCTCGAGTGGCCAGCTGCTTGCATGCGTGACAGACCGCTATGCGGATCGACTGGGGACGGTTGGGTCCCGAAGGTCGGTGACCTAAATTGCCGAAAGGCATAGAAGACCAGCCACTGCTCGAGTTTGGGTTCCACGATGAACTCGGGGTGGAGAAGCCTGGTGGAGCGCCGAACAATGAAGGGGAAGTCCAGCTACTATTGGCACCAAAAACGTCCATGCGTGGCTGAGTTTGTGTGAACACAGGTGAGCCGAAGCCTCTAGGTCCAGTGATGGCACTTGCTCGGCGGCTCTCTGGTACTGAAGGCAATGGATCGTCTGTATCATCGAGGAGTGCACTACTGCCAAGATGTTTGCTCAGACCATCCATGTCGGGATTGTTAGGTCGTATAGATGAGGGTCGCTGAATTGGAGTTGGGCGAGTGATTGGTGCAGGTGAGCTGATGGACTCGAATGTGTTCTTGTCAGATGAGTGCGTGCGGGAGTGTGAGGCAATACTATGGCGAGTGAGTCCAAAACCTGGCGGAGCTGTGGGTGATCCGACAGGTGGCATTTGCTGCTGCAATCCTTGAGGACTTTCAAGAGGATACCCTCGACCTTGTGCCATCATACCCAGACCACTCATGCCAGGAGGGGGAGTATGCATGGAGTTGATTGGGGGCATGGGCTGGAAAGGGCCGCTGCCGAAAGGTCCATTAGAGAATCCAGGCAGCGAGGGGCGATGGTGCATCATAGGTCCATGAGGAGCCCCAAATCCAGGGAAGCCAGCCATGCTCGTAGGAAAGCCACTGAAACCATTGTTCTGATGCTGAGGGTACATGCCAGGTGGAGGGAGCTGACTGGCAGGCGAGATAGGTTGATGTTGCGAAAAAGGTTGTTGGTTCTGCGACTTCTGTAAGATCGACTTTGGCATGGACTGATTGAAGGCGTGTCCTGGAGAGGTCGACTTGGTTGGAATCAAAGTAGGAGCCTGTTGTGATCTGGGGGAAGTAGCATTCTGACCCTGGAAAGAGCTTTGACGAGGCTGGGCTGGGGTAGAAGGCTTAGGCAAAGCGGGAGTGGCCACAGCGACATGTGGTGAAGACATGATGGATGAAGTCTGCTTGGTGAGAAGACCTGGAGGTACAGCAACCATGCCGGCTTGCGAAGGGCGTTTGATCATCTGTGGCGCCTGCTGACTCCTGGCCTCCTTGTCAGCCTTCGCCTTCATCTCTCGTTCCCGCTTCTCGCGTTCTGCTTGGGCTTTCTTCTCCTTGGCCTCTTTTTCACGCGCTTCTCGCTCTTCGCGTTCCTTCTGGCGAGCCTCTTCTTTTTGCTTTTTCTCGAGCGCCTTTTGCTCACGAAGTTTGCGTTCGGCTTCCTGTTGACGTTCGCGCTCCTCTTGCTGACGTTTCAGGCGTTCGACTTCTTTGCGCTGTCGCTCCTCTTCTTGTGCTCTTCGATCAGCCTCCTTCTTCCTTCGCTGTTCCTCCCTACGTTGCTTGGCCTCCTCTTGCTTGGTTTGCTCGACGGCCTTTGCGGCAGCTTCTTCCGCGGCCTTTTCGGCGTCCTTCCTAGCCTTCTCTTCGGCTTTCGCCTGTTTCTGGGCCTGTTTCTTGTTCTTCTTCTTCTCGGCATCTCTAGCCTTTTTGGCTTCCCGCTCTTGCTGCTGCTTGTTCTCATCGTCCAGCTCCTCCAGTAGTTTCTGTTGACGTTCGGCAGCAACCTTTTCTCGGTAGGCGGTCAAGACGCGTTGTTCAAACATGCGGGCGGCGAAGATTTGGAACATGCGACGACCTTCTTCCATGCGTTGCTCCTCGGTCATGCCGCCCTGTACCTTGTCAGTGACGCACGTGACCACTTCCCAAGAGTTATCCCGTGTTACCATCTCGTCCTCGTCTTCCTCATCCTGACTGTCCTCGTCATATTCCTCCTCGTCGTAGTCCTCATCATCGTACTCTTCATCGTCCAGCGGCGGGTCGTGTCCATTGGATGTGTAAGTATGTGAGGGTTGTGCTGAGTCGTACTCGGCCTGTTGCTCGCGTTGCATCCTACGCTCGGCTAGCTGTTCCATCATTTCGATAAACTTCTTGCCGTCGTTCTTGAGCAAATCATCGGCCACTGTCAGAATGCCACCTAGAGTCACTTCAGTTCTGTTCTGATCGCGCATCAGCGGCAGAATAAACATACCTTTGACGGTCAAGCTGTTGCCAAAGTTGAAGAAGTCGTTACCTATACCTCTGGGCACGTCGTCCTCGAGTTCCTCCTCTTCATCACTGTATTCCTCGTCACTGTACTCTTCTTTATCTCCTTCTTCTTCTTCACTCAACTCTTGATCGTCAATGTCATCTTCCTCTTCCTCTTCATCGTCGTCTTCATATTCCGAGACTTCGCGGACTCTGTTCGGTCGGTTGTGGGGATGTTGATGATGTGTGCTTAACGGCAAGGGTACGGCGGAGGAAGGGTGAAGGTGTCGGGGTGGTAAACTGCGCGGAGGTGGTAGCATGCCGTGTCCTGATTCGCCGCCTTGGTGGTGGGCGTACTGTTCAAGTTCGTCGTAATATGCATCATATAGCACTTCCAACTCCTCCTCGATGGCGATTCGCTTGCGACCACAGACTGTACAAGAGCATGAATGTTTCTGCTGTTCCTTCATCTTGCGCAAGACAGCCTCCTTTTCGATCTTGAGTAGGGATTTTCGCTCGTCCTCGCTCAACGTCAGCCAGAATTGTTTGATGCGTTCACGCTCTTCCTGAGTTGATGTGTTCCAGATTCGATCTTGCCTGGAGGTTCGTTGTCCAGATCTCATAGCGCTAGTCGACATGGGCATAGAGTGCGGCAGAGGAGCATGGTGCATGGGCGGGCGCATATGGTCGGCGTAGACAGAATGATTGGAGTTTCGGCGCTTCTTCTTCTTGTTGCGCTTCTTGCGAAAAGGTTCCACAGAGTCATCATTGCTAGGGTATGAGTTCATGCTGTTGGCCAGCGGCGGTCGCGCAGAATAGGTGGCTTGCAGGTCGTCTTCGTCGTCCTCGTCGTCAGTCAAGGCTTCAGGTAGTGACGGAGGTTGGCCGGGCTGTGAGTGATGATCGGAAGAGGCTTCATCAGAGCCAGGATTCAGCTTTGCTTGTTGCTTCGCCCTCCTCTTCTGTTTCTTGCGATTGCCGGTCGTAGGAGCATGGGGATGGTGATGGATCGTAGGGAGGCCATTCTCGGCTAAGGTCTGCGCCATGCTGTCGGTGATGTTGTGCCAAAAGTCGCGACAATCGCCAAGGGACAGGTAGCGACTGCGCGATGGTGGGCTGCTGAGGATGCTATGTCAGTGTCTAGTGAGGATCGGCGTTGGCAGCGGGTGGGCTGGCGGGGGTCGGAAGTGGTCAAGGCCGCGCGCCTGAAGCCTTGCAGAAGGAGAAGGCTCAGGAAGTGTGTCGTAATATTCTAGGCGAATGCAGCGAGTCAACGAGCATTCGACGATTAAAGTTAGGGATGTAATGCGATTCTCTGCCAAACATGCGTCTATCTCGAATGAGCCTATTGCTACCTATCCGCCTGCTGTCAGTCTTGTCCGACACCCTTTCGGCAGTAACCGGGCTAGGAAACCCTTGCTTGTTCTGATTGGCTGCACCTGCCGGAGGGAGCGCTCTGGTAGTGAGACCCACAGCATATTCCCAGCCAACATGGTCTGTCCCCAGTCCACGACAACGTATTGCGCAGTCGCAGAATGGGACAGGACGAACACCGTAACATATACCATGTAGAGCACACTCTGGACTTGACTGTAGCCGCCCGTGTCGAGATAATCAGCAGCATCATGACTACTTTGATACTTGCAATGCAGGCTTCGGGCACACTGTGGGCGTTGATACCCAGCCAAGGTGTTGAAAGTAGGAGGCTGCAAGCCACGGAGCAGCACCTTCCTTTGTTGTGCCCCCACGGACTCGTCGTGTTCCGCGTGAATGCCGAGCTTCCCAATGTCATGTAATCTCTGTGTCGTCTAGCCCTGTCGTGATCCCTCTACCTAGATAGCCTACAGCGATTCGCGCTTGCAAGCTGGTTCCAGTGTGACATCCTGTCAAGACTTGTATTTCAGCACTTTTCGAGACGCAATCAAGAGTGCATGCTGAAACGCGGAAGCACAGCCCACTCTGTAATTCAAGTCGCCGACTCCTCAGTCTCTCTGCCACTCGTCGACCGTCGACCTCTTACCGCAATTCTCCTCTCGCCTCCCTCCAATCATTCAAGATACCTTCATCAACTTGATCACCAATTTACCCGACGATTCACGGATAGACCAACGCGTCATCACGTCTGCATTCTCCGACGTTTCCGTATCCAAGCCTATTCTCTGCCAGTCAGCCCGCTCGACTGTCAACGGGACGCAATACACGACACTCGACGGCCTCTTGTCCATCCCAACCCGCCCTTCGCGCCAGACTCGACCATTCGCACGAGGACATCGTAGCCAAACGTCGCCAAGATGCCTGCACAGGAAGAAGGTGTCATGAGAAGGTGTGTTTATACTCGGACAACAACTCCGATCCAACGTCCTTGTGCCTTTCATTTCTGTTCTACCATCACACCTACACTATGGGCATCATTTGCGATACACGCTACTCGATCGATCGCTTGTCCTACACCACATCATGCTGTCAATTCGCTGCAGATGACCTTCATGTATGGGAGTGGCCATGGCTTGACATCGTGTATCACAAAGAAGCACACTGAAAATGACTACCGCCATCTCGCCTTGCATATTGCTTGGAAAAAATTAGCCCAGATCGAAAGCCATAATCTAGTCTGGGTGCTATCTTGGACATGTTCTTGCTGACAGTGGGTTTTTTACAGGAAGCTTGTCATCATTGGTGATGGTGCTTGCGGAAAAACCAGTCTACTGAGTGTGTTCACCCTTGGATACTTTCCCACCGTATGTGCAGAAGACCCTTAACTTACAAAGAGCATTTACTGACCAATTTCACAGCGATACGTACGAATTGATTGCTTCCACGTGATAGAAAAACTTGCTGATATCTTCTAGGTACCAACTGTGTTCGAAAACTATGTGACCGACTGTCGTGTAGACGGCAAGTCTGTGCAACTAGCTCTCTGGGATACCGCTGGACAGGAGGACTACGAACGTTTGCGGCCATTGGCATACTCACAAGCCCACGTAATCCTGGTCGGTTTCTCCATCGATACACCGGACTCTCTTGAGAACGTCAAGCACAAGTGGGCTGATGAGGCCACGGAGCGATGCCCTGGAATTCCCATCATTCTGGTTGGACTCAAGAAGGATCTCCGCGACGACCCTGTCGCCCAGGAGGAAATGCGAAAACGGAGCCAGAAATTCATCACCACCAAAGCTGGCGAGGACATGAAAGAACTCATCGGAGCACGCAAGTACCTGGAATGCAGCAGTTTGACAGGAGATGGAGTGGACGATGTCTTCGAGGCCGCTACTCGCGCTGCTCTACTCGCAGTCGACAAGAAAGACCGCGCAGGCTGTTGTGTCATCCTCTAAGTCTTGTCCATGCAAGACAACGGCCTTATTTTCTCCTAGATTCCATGACCAGCATTGGGACGGCGTTTTCTTTTTGCGGGGGTTACAAGCGAACATGTCAAGGTACCTAGGGCGGGCCTTTATCCTTTCTGCTTTTTCTTCATGTTGTTGGGCGCGGTGTCGAAAAGCCGAGATTGATTCTCTTCCTTTTGTCAAAGTTTGTGTTGTCGCTAGGGGATGAGTTCTGAGGCGGTAATGAGGGTATGTTCTGACCCGAGATCCGCTCATTCTGATACCACCATTTTCTTGAGTATAATTTCTCTTCCTATTTTAGATGGTCCGATCACTGCACCATTGCCAGTCGATCGGGCAGCCCAATGACTTGACCGCTCATCATTACACTCGCATTGAAGGATCTTCTAATGGTTCACCTTGACACGCGTGAATCATTTCGATAGCGTTTCAAAAGCAAGACGGATGAAGATGGTGTGTTTTGAATTCTCCCAGAATACCAGATCGTACAAGATCAACGCCCAAATATGATACAATATAACACAGATACTAGCTTGACGATAGAAAACTCTACCTCGTCCAGCCGTGGTTCCAGCCCTCGGTACTGGGGCTATCAGTCTGAATACGCGCATACTCGATAGGCACGCCGCCCCATATATCATTCTTCATCATGGCAATTCTGTACAGTCTTCCCACACTCTTTCCCTGTGCAGCAGCCTCTCCATCTTTGACAATGTGGCCACTCGAGTCCATGAGACGCAGTGCCTCGCAAGCATCTCTCATGCTCTGGTATTGACGTTCGAGATCACGCTCATGCTGTGTACGCAATTGAGCCTTGTAGATTTGCCATGCGCGGTGGATGGTCCAGTGTCTGAGGTAGCGGTCGCGGGAAAATCTGAGGGGGCGAGGTGTCGTGGGATGCGAGAGGAAGTAACGGATCAATTCTTTTTTCCCGCAAAGTCAGTGGCTGTGAGATGAGTTGCTAGCAGCGCTGAGGCACTCACGGATACGCTGGTCCTTCTTGGGGCCACCACGATTTCTCTTTTGGGCGACGGGTGTGCTGCTGAAGGATCGTGATTGCTGGATGGCGCGAAGGATAGTGCTGGGTTGCGATGTTGCGGGAGAGGCGGTAATTTGAGGCGCGGCACTGCGAAGGCAGCGGAGCGAGAAGATGGTGTTCATGCCGAGTGATGTGCGGATGTGATCGACTGGCTATGTCTGATATATGGCCGGTTCGATATACAACGGTACGGGCTTCAGAATGTGCACAGCCGCTATACACTCGGTAGTAGCATGGCGGAGTTGAATCTCTTTCCTGTGGTGCCAAGGGCGGAGCGGACCGAGAGATTTGGCGGTCGTTCAGGACAAGGTTTGGGAAGGTGCTGAGCTCCGCAGCAATCTTGCCCGCATTCGGCTGCTTTGGGTTTCAACTTGGAGTTTCCATGTCTAATAATATTCCAGCCCCAAGGCCCACCATCAGCCGACGTCGCGACCACTTGTTTTGCTCGACACCTTGACACATCTTGTATCTTCCATCTTCCGTCGAACAACTGCTCCATCTCTACGATGAGTCACGACGAAGCTGTCAAAGAGGCCTCGGCCAAGCACACCACTCCAGCTGAATTGGTGGGCAAGTTCCAGTATGGCACTGCCGGTGTAAGATGATGCTTGAACTGCTCTGATGCTGTGGATCAAATGCTGACAATGCTACTAGTTCCGCATGAAGGCGTATGTTCTCTCTCCATCTCTCGTAGCATATCTCCACTCACTCTCTTCAGCAAGATCCTGGACTCGGTCGTCTACCGTGTTGGACTCCTGGCCTCGTTGCGCTCGCGCAAGCTCAATGGCCAGACAATCGGTGTTATGATCACTGCTAGTCACAACCCTCCCGAGGACAACGGTGTCAAGCTTGTCGACCCTATGGTGTGATACTCTACCCTCTTTCCATTCCGTTGCCGACTTCATCTGGTCTGACTGCTTGTTTAGGGGGAGATGCTCGAGGCTGCATGGGAAAAGTACGCCACTCAACTCGCCAATGCCGACTCCGACGACCATCTCGTACACGTCTACAACGAGCTTGTCAAGACTTTCAAGATCAACTTGGACGCTCCTGCAAGAGTCATCTTTGCCCGCGACACTCGTGCTTCCGGTTCCCGTCTGGTAGAATGCCTCAACGACGCCTTGACCGCCACAAAAACTGAGGTCACCGACTACCGTATCCTTACTACTCCTCAACTACACTACTTGGTCCGCTGTGTCAACACAAAGGGGACTCAGGACGAGTACGGCGAGGTCAGCGAGAAGGGCTACTACGAGAAGTTGGCTGCTGCCTTCAAGCAAGCCATGGAGCACACAAAACCTCAGGGTCACTTGACTGTTGACTGCGCAAACGGTGTCGGAGGTCCCAAACTGCGTGAATTGCTCAAGTATCTTCCGTCTCCTGCTGATGGAGGTCTTGACGTCAAGGTCGTCAATGATGACGTCCACAAGCCCGAAAGCTTGAACCACCAGGTAAGTCACGTCAGTCACAGTCGACATGAATTGACAATGCTGACCAGAACAGTGTGGCGCCGACTTTGTCAAGACTGGCCAGCGTGCACCTCCCTCATCCAAGGCCGGTCCTGGAGATCGCTGCTGCTCGCTGGACGGTGACGCGGATCGCATTGTCTTCTACTTCCAAGATGAGAAGAATGTCTTCAGACTCTTGGATGGCGATCGTATTGCCACTCTTGCTGCATCCTTCATTGCCGAGCTGGCTCGTCAATCTGGCTTGATGGACAAGCTTACAGTCGGTGTTGTGCAAACCGCATATGCCAACGGTGCCTCAACAACATATATCCAGAAGAACCTTGGTCTTCAAATAGTCTGCACACCTACCGGTGTCAAGCACTTGCATCACGCCGCTACTCGCTTCGACGTCGGTGTGTACTTTGAAGCCAACGGCCACGGAACCGTCGTCTTTTCTCCCTCGGCTCTCAAGTCTATTCACACTCACCAACCTCAATCACCCGCTCAGGCTGATGCTCTCACAACTCTCATCGCTCTAACAGACTTGATCAACCAGACAGTTGGTGATGCTTTGTCAGATCTCTTGCTCGTCGAGGTCATTCTTGCACACAAGGGTTTCAGCTGTGCCGAGTGGCTACAGACATACACCGACCTCCCCAACCGTCTCGTCCGCGTCGAAGTCGCAGACCGCAACCTCTTCACGACAGTCGAAGGTACCGCCGAACGTCAACTCGCAACTCCCGCAGGTGCTCAAAAGGACATTGAGAAGATTGTTGCCAAGTACAAGGACGGAAGAAGTTTCGCTCGTGCTTCGGGTACTGAAGACGCTGTTCGCGTATATGCTGAAGCTAGCACACGCGCCGAAGCTGAAGATTTAGCCGCAGCTGTTGCACAGATTGTTAGAAAATATGGCGCCAAGTAGAGATTGCGTTATTGGCATGAAGCTGGAGACTACTAATGAAAGGGAGGGCGGAAAATGCATGCATCGGATACAAAGGGGTCTCTGGCGTTGAATAATCTGCTTTTTCTTTCGTTCAATGAACCATCTCTATGATTTGTTCTTCTTAGTCAAGATATGGTGCGTGGATGACTGAAGCCTCGAGCTTCATTGTCGATCAATACAGTGTAGCCACCACCAAGCCACTTGAGAGCTGTTGCATGTCGACCGATGTAAAGATGTAAAGATGTAAATCGCGATAGATGTGTGTCAAGAAGAGCGAGATACAAGCAAGCATTTACGAAAGTGAATAAGTCATTGATGCCAGAAAAACAGGGTGATCCTGCCAGCTTGCTACCAAAGCTTGGACCAGCAACAGTAGACTTATTCTTCTGTTTGTCAAACACCACTCACTACTCTCCTCCCATCGCACCGCATCGTCAATGTTTGTCGATTCGACGATACATGTGCAGGGGGCATCTCATGATGCGTCGAATGCTTCGGGTTATGATTTCGCGCAGGACAAAACCCGCTCTGCCTGATTGGAAAGGTGGGAAGACTTTGATCACGCGAAAAGCGTCTGTCGGGCGATAGTAAATCCCGAACGAATCCTGACACAAAGGCATCAAACAATGGGGGGAGTTTTGTAAGTACCGAACAAGTGAATTCTTGCAAAAGTAGATAAAAGAGCGCCTCTCTCTCTCTCTTGCGGTTTGGAAAGTATTGGTACATTCCCTTCGGACACCTCTTCTCCGTTTTTCTTTCATCACTCAAGAATCATATCTCCCCATTACATTTCTTTTTACCAATGTCGGTTTCCCCAAACGTCCTCATCTCAGGCTTCGGCATTGCAAGCAGCGTCTATGCATCCACCCTCTTACGCGCCTTTCCCACGGCCAAAATCACAATAATCGAACGCGACCCTTGCATGCGACTCACAGGAGCCAGTGTAGATATACGATCCTCAGCCGTCGACATAATAAAATGGATGGGCTGTGAAGCAGAAATAAGAAAAAAGACCACCAAAGAAGAAGGTGTAGAATTCGTGGACCATAGTGGGAAACCTTTTGCCACCATCAGGAGTACTGGAAATGATCAGGTTCAGAGTATTACTTCTGAATATGAGATTTTCAGAGGGGATCTAGTGAGGATTTTTGCCAAGGAGTTGGAGGGTAAGGTTACGGTCATCTTTGATGAAATGGTGGAGAGTTATGAGCAGACGGAGGATGCTGTAAACGTCACTTTTACACACAGCAAAGAGAAGAAATCTTTCGACTTTCTGGTTGCTGCTGATGGATTGGGATCGAGGATTAGAGGCATGATGCTAGCCACAAAACCCTCTGCCCAAATCCATGATGAAGGTGTCTACGCCAGTTTCTTCGTCATCGAAGAGGACCTTCTCAGCGGCTCCAAACTGGCAAAATGGTACAATACCACCGGTGGACGATCCATCTTCCTACGACCAGATCCAGATCCCAGAGGCCGCACCCGTGGACATTTCATGAATTCAAAATGGACCTCCGACACCCAGGGCAGAGAGAAAATCAACACGGCATTGAAAACTGGAAATGAAGCCTATATGCAATTAGTAGAGCAAGAATTTGGAGATGCAGGATGGCTAGCTCCCAAAGTGCTAGAGGCAATGCGCTCCACCACGGATTTCTACGCGAGCAAATTCGCCAAGGTACGCTGTGACAAGCTACAAGATGGCCGCATTGTCCTCCTCGGCGACGCAGGATACGCATGTCCAGGCATCGGCACATCTCTAGCCATCATAGGAGCCCACACACTCGCCGGCTCTCTACTCCTCCACCCCCACGATATCCCCGCGGCAAATAAAGCCTATCAAGACTTGATGCTGCCATTTGTCAAGAAACAACAAGGAACCCCGGGTGGTGGGGATTATGCAATGCAAATGCTAAACCCGCAGAGTACATGGGGATTATGGGTGAGGAATACTTTGCTATGGGCCATTTGTGCTGCGAAGATTCCTCAGATGATGATTTATTGTGCAAGTGTCTTTGGCTTCAAAGAGTCTAAATTGCAAATGCCCGATTACCCATGGCCTTTGAGCAAGGTCGAGAGTTGAGAATTGATCAGATGGTTGCTTTTTGCCGTTGTGGGAAAAAGGAGTCTGGACAAACAAGTTAGAAGATGACTTTCTTTGGTCGGGAAGAAAAAGTATATATAGAATGAGCTATAGCCATAATTGCTACTTTTTGCCGGTCGATTTATGAAGGGAAGAATAACAATACGTCTCCTCTCTCAAACGAAAACCTCATGTTACTTCCTGTGTGGGGGATCCCTGTGTTGTATATCCAGACGAGTCAAGGTTATAGACAAGATGTCGACTTTGACCTGCCGTTGGCCTGCAACCACACACACACATTGCTGCGATGGTCTCGCTACATAATGACTCGACTGAACAGCAGTATCTGCAGTATCAGTGATTTCTTGGAGCGAGTGCCCCACTATCCCGATGACATAAAGGCAAAGTGCCTTGTATTGATTGATATATACAGCTTACATGAAAGTAGAAAATTGTGTACATACCCCAAAGCCCCGTTCGACTTCGAAAAAAATGCTCTTCCGCCATTTGATATAGCACAATGAAAAACTCCCCTCCACTTTCATATCCTCAAACCTCTGGCACCATGATTTCATAAAATAGCAAATATACCTCCCTCTGCATACCCAACACGTCACCAGTCTTTGATTCTTTAATCTTATCATCACTAATCCTCCACCACCTATTATGCTGATTTCTCTGTTTTCGTTTCAACCTGCTTAGATCCAAGCTTTTGCCTGCTTTTGAAGATGTGCGTGCGGGTTGTGGATATGTAGCTTCAGGGATTGGTCGAGTAGGGACTTGTGATGCACCGGGTGTTTCTGCACCACTACTGCTGCTGACGGTGCTTTTCTCATCATTTTGCGTCTCGGTGTTTGGTTTTGAGCTTTGACGGTGACGGAGGGAGAAACGCTTGCGTGTTGAGGAGGAGCGTGAGGATGTGCTGTTGCCGCTGCTTGAGGGAGAGTGTGTGAGGCCAGGGGTGGTGGGCTCGAGCATGGGGCTGGGCATGCCACTTGCTCTGGGTGTTCCTTGAGCTGAGTACATGCCTTGAGTGCCCATGCTGAGTTTGGCACTGTACGGTTCGGCGAGGAACTGTCGTCTGAAACTCTCATAGTGACCGCTGTTGTGACCTCCTTTGTGCGTCACGACGCCATGAAGACGGTATGACTGTTGGTCCAATAGTCCACCCAAAGGTAATGTCTCTGGAAAACTAACTTTGGCCATGTTCTTACTGCTGCTAGAGTTTGGATCCCAGACACTTCGAGATAGATGGATGGCGAGGATTTTGGGGAACGTGCTGATGCGCATGTGGCGTGCGATTCGTCGTTTGGGGGCTAGAGATGGATCAGGCAGTTTGATGTTCTTCGGTAGAGCTTCCGGGTCTGTCTCTAGTGCCTTTTCCATGGCTGCTAGCTCATGTGTGAGTAAGTTGCGTGTTGATTCGTCCGATGCCTTTGCCAAGTCTTTCGTCTTGACTTGAATGGCGTGCTCCAGGCGACATCTTTCGCACTTGTAATCATCAATGTGTTCAACTTTCAGCATGCCATCAAAGCATGCATTCAAGGTGGTCGAAGAGTGGTGTGGGACGTTGAGTGTAAGAGTGACAAAACTCGACACAGAGGGCTTGGGCTTGAAATGACATGTCATGCACTCAATCTGCGCTTCGATTTTTCCCTCGAAAGGAAAGCCTGGATCGTCCTGCAAGTCATCATCTTCGGCTTGCGGTAGTTGTTGTACGCTTTGTCGAACTTGTTCGATTTCATGTTTTGCCTTCAAGCCACGAGCAGACTCTTGAGGCTTGAGCATGTTTGATTTCTCTTCATCCTCAGGCTCGGGTGCTTTCAAGGTAGAGGTGCTAGGACTCTTGAGTGACTTTGCCTTTCTCCTAGCGTTTCTTCCAGCGTGATACTCTTCGCTCAGCCTCTCGGCAACGATTTGTAGGAACTCTTGAGCATCTTGCTGCTGTCGACTGATGCGTGTCTTGAAAGCTGTCTCCATGACACTGACGAAAGTGCGGGCCGAGATGGTCTTCTTGTAGATGGGTCGCTCATTGAGCGCATCCAGAATATCTTTGAGGCCAGCCGTCACCAGACCCTGTTGCAATCCCAAGACCTTCCAGCTAGGCTCCTTTGTTTCATTCATCTTGACAATGTCCTTGCTCTCGTTGGGCGAGATTTCATCTTCCAATTGCTCCACAATGGAGTAGATCTCTTTCCCGTCCAGCTTCCGTCGGTGTAGTTCCCGGATGAGGTAGATGCGCAATTCCGGCAGACCAGCCATGCTCTGGAGTACCGAGTTGATGAAGCAGTCATTGGCAGGATTGACGAGTCCGACGACTCCTCGCTTGCGTGTTGATTTTGAGGATTGCGAGGCTTCATCGTCGAGCATGAAGGTGGGGCCGAAGACATAGACGAGCGTGATTGCAGCGAGCGATGCGCCGGCAGCATAAGTCGCAATGGTGAGAGGTTTGTCGGGCATGTCTGCGAAGAGACCGGGCCTAAAACTCTGAAATGCTCTATGTGTGTGCCCAAGGCTGATGCTGTGTGGGGGGTTGGAAGGAGTGGACGCTCTGAGATTAGGGCTTGGATGGTGGTCGATTCGTGATCGGTCTAGGTCATGTCATGCTGATTGGCGAAGACTTAGCTCGCCATGGTATAGAGCAAAGAAAGAGGATGCAAGAAGTCGCTGTTATCAGGGCTGGCCGTGCTCCGGGGTGCGTCCGGATAAAAAGGCACGACAAAACGCGGGCTTGTGGGGTGAGATGTGGATGCCTCGCTGCTCGTGCCTTTCGCGTGCCCGTCGACGCATGTGAGTCCTGCCGATCGCCGGCTTACGGTTACTAACCCTTCCGACAGCTAAACCACTCTCTCACGTTACCGCTTCCTTCTATCACGATACAAATTTGCGTCAAGATCCTGTGCCTTGCATCGAGGACAGCACTGGTCCGTGCTCCTACCATCGGGCAGCTTTGCCAACGACAAAGCTAGTATGTTGTCCCTAAATGCTTGCACCACTCTCGTACCCAGCTATCGTGATGACCAAACAAGAATACGTTTCAAGACGAGACGGAGATTCACAGTGAATGACAAATACTTCCACTCCTGACACTGGCTACATTCCCATCACCTCCATGAGTACTATTCTGTCAAGTCTGTGGCTGACAGATAGTGCCTACAAGCTGGTACCATTTATCGGCTGACTAGTATGCTTCATGCTCTAAACTCCTCCAACTTCTGCTTTTGTTTACCCTCCTCATCAAAGTTGCTATCATCCAACCAACTCTCGAATGCCTTCTTGATACCCTCCCATTCCGAGTCCAGCATAGAGAACCAAGTCGTATCCCTATTTCTGCCATGTTTATCAATCAAAGCCTGTCTAAACGTTCCCTCCTCTACAAATCTGCACATCACAGTTAGCACAATCCCTCCATCTTGAAAAATTTAATAAGCAAAACATACCCATATCTCGCCGCCGCCCTCCTACTAGGCGCATTCAGCGAGTGACACTTCCACTCATACCGTCTATACCCCATCTCGAACGCATACTTGGCCATCAAATACATGGCTTCAGTAGCAGCAACACTCCTCTGCAACTTTGCAGAAAACATCAAATGACCAACTTCAATGACACTATTCTTGGCGTCGATGCGGAGGTATGAACACCAGCCCACAGGCACCTTTTCAGCACCTTCATGTTTGAGAATGGTGTAGAAGACTGGGTCGTTGGAGGAGGCTTTTGAGACCATGTCGGTGTGGAGAGCGGAGACAGAGGCAGGGAAGGGGTCGTAGGGCATGTAGTCCCAAAGACTTGCATTGGAGGGACCACCGATGAGGGGGAAGAGTGCTTCTGCGTGGACTGCTGAGATGGGTTCTAGAGTGACATGTCTTCCTTCCAGGGTGATCTCCTTGGAGGGCCATGGTGCTGGATTTGTGTTGGCGACTTTTTCGCCCAGAGGACGTTGTGGTGTGTTGCTCATGTTTTGTGTATGTGGAGAGGTTCAATTGACCAGATTTGTGTTGCAAGAAACAGCGGGTTAGTCTGCAGTGTGACTATATATATATGAGTTCAATCGACTGTGAGTCAGATGTTTGTGAGTGCACCGAGCTCGTTGAACCCTTTTATGACATTTGTTTGCCCTGATTGCGCTATCAGCCGAGTTTGGAAGGTAGATGCGAATCGCCTAAGCTTTTTATGGACTATCGCGCCATGCGGAAGACAGCTACAGATACGACATGTCAAGTCAAGTCAGAAAAGAAGGCGAATAAGGTAACATAATGTCCGACTGTATGTTCTCAAAGATCATTTTTCGCCCCCACCCTGAGTCCTCAATGCGACCTCCATCCATGATTTCTCCTACAATCGACTCTGCACATGCTCGCCCTTACCAACAACAGTCTTCGCAGCAGCCGCATAATCACACACATCCGATGAATCCTTAGCAATCTTCTTCCACCTGATCTTTCCCTCTCCATCCACAGCAAATCCACCCGAATTCTGCCATCTGTAAGATCCAGCACCCGTAGGTCTGAGATCAATGCCATCCGACTCTTTCAACGACTTCAGCGCGTCCATGATCCCGCCGTTCACCATTCCCGTCCAGCCTAGAGAGCCAACACCCCACGCAGCGTAGATCTTGCGCTCGGGGTCGCAAACGAGGGTATAGCGGTCCGAGTCTGAGAAAGCTTTTTTGCCGCTGAGAGCTTGTTAGAAGTGCGATTTTGCGGCCACTGCGGAAGACTTACCCAACATCCTCAAACCATTGTTTTGTAGTTGCTTCATCGTTGTGTTGTACAATCACTACATGCAGATTCTCGTTCTTACGACTCTCGGCTCCGAGTAATTGCACCTCTTTCTCTGCGAATGGACAACCGCAGTGTCTTACAAAGGCCACTAGCGTAGGTCTGCCATTGCCGCGTGTAAGATCGATTGAGCCTACGGGCGCTGGAGCTGCATCGCCAATTTCTGGAAGCGAAGCGACTGATGGCGAGGCCTGTGGGATGATCGACTTGATGGCGGGAATGTATGAGGCTATGTAGCTCGCCATGATGTGTAGATGCGGGTGGTGTGTATATTATCGGTGTAGGTTCTTTGATCGCGACAGTGCTATCTCGAAGGTGTCTTCGTCTTTGCTTATCGAGTCGACCTGAAGCGGAACTGGATTGATTGTTTCTTGGGAACCATGATGGGATCGGGGGCGCCTTATGACCCCGCCTTTGGCGATTTGAAATGACGGTGGTTAAGGTTGTTGATCGACGTCATGCTCGACGGCTTCCATGTGATGCTGTTACATGACTTCGATGACCAGCAGTGTTGCTTTCAAAGAGCATCAGAACGGTCATGCTCGGTAGAGCTACTGGTTCAAGGCATGGTGCGGTAGAGGGCGTCGCAAGGAGGCTGAAATGTCACCTACGAGCATGGTGATCTTCGAATATGTGGTACTGCTAGCGATCCGTGGTTTGCTAACAGGCGCATACTGAGCGATTTGAACATTTCACGAATGGATGCAGAGGAGAGGAAGAGAGGGACGATATGCAAGGTAGAGCTAGCTGATCCTTCTCCGCATCCGTGTCACCTTGCCCCGGGGCTTACCGTCTTGCTTGTCAACGAGCAATGAAGCCCTATCTGCACCTGCAAACAGTATAATGGTCAGCAAGCAATATGACACGTTCTTCTTCAGCACCCGGTTGGAAACCAGAATGAAAACTGATGAAAAAGTAGTTGGTTCGCGTCAGCCTGTGGAAGTGCAAAGACAGGTGACACTGTGCCGAGAGACGTAGAGAAGCACTCCAGAGGTCTCCCAACTGGTTCAAAAGATTGGGTTCAACATAAAAAGTCTTAGTGGTTAAACATAAGAAGAACAGATACTACACTTGATCTAAGCCAATCGGCAAGAGAACTTGATCAAGAAAGAAGGAGAGCGAGGACCGCATGGATTATATAGCCAGCGCTTGTGGGCGAGTCATGCGGTGCTAGGCAGCAACCTGTAGGCTCCAGCAAGTGATGCATTGAGAGAGGACAAGACGCTATCCACATCGCGAGTTGAAAGCAAGGAACAGAGGCAAGAGGAGGCGCTATTGCTGCTGCCTACCTACTACCAACAGCGCAGCGCTTCCAAGCTGACTCTCATCCAAACGACCACAAAACATGCGCAAGCTTATGCGACGTAAGAACGCCGTCTGCAGTATGAACCGACCTACCAGGAAGTGTGCATTGGACCTACCACCAACCAAATGAAAGACATTGCCCTATGCCCTCCATGCAAGTCCCGGACGCCTCAGACGATCATCATCTTGGTCAAACAGCGCAAGTGTTTTCGTTGCTTGAAGAACAGCGAAACAGGCTTTCTAGGCAACAGCCTGACATGACACAAGGCGTTAATGTGAAAGACGAGTCACTCAGTCGCAACCAAGGCGAATGCCTTTCAAACAGTCAGGCTTGATAAAAATAAGAAATGTAGACGATGCGCCGTGATGATGATGCAGTCGAAATCTTGATTCCGGCAAGAAGCAAGCATCACCGCGCGGGCCAGAAACTTGTGGCGACAAGCCCCTGACGAGCGCGTCAGCGGGCTGCGACGGCAGTGCAGCTATCCGTCTCCTCTTCGAAATAGTCCAGAGAAATATTCGCATGCAGTGTCGTGAGTGAACAGGTCGTCGTCGCTAGCAGTTATTCGCATCGATACAGGACAGGTGTCGGCGTCGATGGCATGATTGGTGTCTCAGTCACATGCCGGCCGGCAAGAAGCGTGCGGCGAATCATGTTGAGGGAGGTGAGTCACAATTATTGGCGCCTGCCGCGAGCCACAAAGGCAAGGATGAATCTTCTCAAACTTCGTCGATATGGGTAGCTGTTGCTGGACGGCGCGGCCATGTGTTGGCAATATGTCGCCGTACTGCTGGTGAAGGCACCTGAGCCAGGTTGGCGGAAATGGATGGAAGGATCTGGACGAGAATTCTGGAGTGGATCAAAAGATTTGCAGGCGCGAGGCAGTCAAGGTTTTAGCGTTGAGTCAAAGTGGACCTTGGCACGATGTGGCTGTGGGTATAAATACCACGGGCATCCCCTTCATTTTCGCAACTTTCCCGCGCCTTTACGCTTTGCCCGACCCTTTACGCAACGGCGCCCCTCCACATCATCCCCGCACCACATTGCAACTCGCCGCATTAAACATAACAATCGCTGCGTCTATCTACGCGTTATTGTCCAATTTTCTGCTGCGATTTTCTTTGTCCTTCGGCGGACACTGTTGTGAAAGGGAAATCCATTTGCGGTCTTCTCTCACTTCCGGATTTGGAAAGCGCCTCTTGGCATCTTCATCTCAGACTTTGAATCACTTTACACCTGATCAGAGCCTCTTCACTCTCTACCACAGCGCATCCTCCAGGCAGCATCTGTAGGGGACACATTTGGTTGTTCATCTCCCGCTAACGGTACGAGACTATCCATCTCACCTCCGAGGCGCATTCGATCCCGTCGCTTTTTTCCTTCTCTTCACTTCTCGCATCGCATCATCGCAACCTTTCACTTCCATCATTCATCAGAAGGTCACTACCGACTGCGCGCGCATCACCTTTCCTCTCATTCTTCAGTCTCCTGTCGCATAACTACCTCCAAGATAAAGTCCAAGAATTCCAATCCTGACATCAGTTCTCTTCAGACTGCCTTACCACACTCCGTCGTCTCATCTACCGCTCATCGCAATCATGGAGTCTGTCATCACACACCCCTCGACCGCCGCTCAGGCCAAGAACTTCACCGCACCCGGCTCTTTGTCCTTCCCAGGTGGCGCAGGTGACCTCACCCCACCTTCATCTGAGAAAGATGGCCAGCAGACCTCGCAGACAAACGGCGCTTACGGGTACGGCAACACTTCGCAGCCTCAGGGTCAGCAGCAGCAACAGCCTGCACAGCAAGGAGTCGTCGCCCAACAGGGTGCTGGGGTGACTCCCGCGACTCCTGCTGCTACGCCTAGCGCTGGTCAGGGTGTCAGTGGCATTGTGCCTACATTGCAGTGAGTATCTTCGTGTTGCAACGTTTTGTTGTTGGCATGTTGTTGACATTTCGCGCTCTTAAGGAACATTGTCGCAACGGTGAACCTTGACTGCAGACTCGATCTGAAGACGATTGCCCTTCACGCTCGTAATGCTGAGTACAATCCTAAGCGTTTCGCCGCTGTCATCATGCGTATTCGCGAGCCCAAGACCACCGCTTTGATCTTCGCTTCCGGCAAGATGGTCGTCACTGGTGCCAAGTCGGAGGACGACTCGAAGCTCGCTTCCCGCAAGTACGCTCGTATCATCCAGAAGCTCGGCTTCAATGCCAAGTTCACCGACTTCAAGATCCAGAACATCGTTGGCTCCTGCGACATCAAGTTCCCTATCCGTCTGGAAGGTCTTGCCGCACGCCATCACATGTTCAGCTCTTACGAGCCCGAACTGTTCCCTGGTCTCATCTACAGAATGATGAAGCCCAAGATTGTGCGTGCCCTCTTCCAATGTGACTTCTATTTGTTTCCATTTCACTAATATCACCTAGGTGCTTCTCATCTTCGTCTCTGGCAAAATCGTCCTCACTGGTGCCAAGGTCCGTGAAGAGATCTATCAAGCCTTCGAGATGATCTACCCCGTGTTGTCCGACTTCCGCAAGGCCTAAGTCACAACCAACCGAGGTTGAATCAAAGTCCGGAGCTAAACTGGAGCGAATGAACAACCTCTCAAACAACCACAACCCTTCTACTGGCAACTGTAACAATAGCCCTTCATCCTCGGATGTACTATCACCCCTACCTCAAGGTCTTGCCAACCTCAATGGATGCGTCTACAGCATGACTCATTCTACTTTTCCCTTTTCGCAAATGCATGGCGTGGTGTTCCGGTTTCCTTCGAGAGCTTTGCGCATGAAGGCTTTTTTCTTTTTCCGATGGCGGTTTTCAAAACTTTTCTTCGGGTCGGTTCTTCAGCAAGGAGTGTTGATGCTCTTCACACGCCTCTGGTCTTTCTCATTCATTCCCAAATACCACTTGACCAAGGCCTGGAAGCATCAATCTCTTTTATTGGCGTTGATAACCCCTTTTTTCTTCCCCTCGGCTTGGAACGTTACTGCTCTGTGGATGAGCACAAGAAATTGTCACGAAAAAAAAAAAACACAAAAGAAAAGAAGAGTGAAACAGAGAGGTGATGGGAAAGATCCGAGCGAAAGAGATGACGATTCAGGCATGGGCTATTTGCTCATGTGTTGAGGAATGCAAAGGGAATGAAGGGCCTCCTTGCTGTTGCTTGGTGTGCATCTATCATTGACATTACTCTCAAAGCATAGATAATGTGGCTTGAGGTATATAGCCTCTTCTAATGTCATCTCAGAAACATGACGAAACTTGTTGTCTCCTAGTGCTCATGGTGTTTGTGCTTTGTGATGTGCATTTGCCAATATAATTTGCGGACTTCTCGTCTCCATCTACGGCCCATCGTATGATCCTCCAGATCCTCTTGTTTCCCTGTCTCATGTATCTGAGTATAATTACAAACTTCACTTTCCCCCGTTTCCTCAAAGTTTGGCCTTGTTCTCGCCCTTCTTCAACTCTTCCTCCAAGACCATGCCTTTGACACCGCCTCTCCAATCCTTGGTCCAGACCTGATCCTCGACATCTCTCTCCGGCCAAGCCCATTTATCCTTGAACTCAGCAGGCGGCTCACCCAACAAACAATCCACAATCTTATCTCCCACCACAGGCAAGAATTTATAAGCATGTCCACTTCCTCCCGTTGCTACAAACAAATTCTTGTACCTTGGGTGATAGGACAACAACCAATCTCCTCGAGGTGTATCCGTGTACCAGCAAATCCTCGTGTTGAGAAAAGGTCTCGTGGCCAGAGAAGGGTAGACGGCGGCCAAGAAACTACGCAGGGCTTTCTTGCCTTCTTCTGGGATCTCGAGGCCTGGGTGCGAGATGTGGGTGCGTGGGAGGGAGACTGTGATTTTTCCCAGGGAGGCGTCTTCGGGGTGAGGGATTGTGGTGGGGTTGCAGTAGCCGTAGCCGTGACGAGCTACCTTGAGAACGTTGTTGACGGGTGGGATTATGAAGAGACCACTGCTTTCGTTGAGGAGGGTTGGTCGGTCACCGAGGGCTGCTTGCTCGGCATCGGTGATTTGGATGTAGGAGAGGATTTGGCCTGTTGCGCTGCAGCGGCCGCGGAGGTCGAGGAGGGCGGGTGTCCAGGCTCCGGTGGCTAGAACGATGAGGTCTGCTGTTAGGAGTTTGCCGTCATCTGTCTCGCAGCCGGTCACTGCGTCGTTGCTGAATTGCAGGCGGGAGATTGAGGCGTGCAGGAAGTTGACGCGGTTTGTTTTTTCGACTCTTGCGCGGAGGACACGCATGCCTTTTTCTGCATCTGCCCAGCCTGATCTCCAATTCACGTAGCCAAAGTCGCCTACGGACGAGCCTCCTTTTCCTGTCGCTGCTGCGGCTGCAATGGTGGTTTCTTGAGCCGCATTGGTGTAGTCCTTGAAGATGTTTCTGATGTCTCCTTGTGTCTCCATCTCCTCGATCTCACCACCCTCGCTCTTCTTGCCAGGCTTGAGTCCGCAACGCTCCACATTGGCCATACTATCCGTCATGTATTTTCTTCCCAGGTCGCCGTTTCCGTTGTCGGATTCATCCTTGTTGACCACGACCGCAAGACCAGGTTCATGATAGACATCTTGTTGACCCCACCATTCGTTTCTCCAGCGTGCTTGTGCTTCAATGGCGAGGCGTGCATAAGGAAGATCTGCGTAGTCGGGACGGACGATGCGGCTGCTGTCTATGCTTGCGCCATCGGGTGCTGGGAACACACTGCGATCAACGAGTGTGATTGATGTGTTTGCGAACTTCGGGTTCTGAGTGAGACTGTATGCTGTACTGAGGCCAAACACTCCAGAGCCCAGGATAAGGACTGACTTGGGGATTTCTTCCGCGGCAGCTGCCATGGTGTTGTGTTCCTTCTCTTTTTATGCTCTTAGAAAAGAGGGAAAGTGCCAATCGAAGCTTCAACAACGAATGAGGAAGGAATTGAGCGATGAAAAGATAAGAAAAGTTATGTATATCGCTCTCACTTTGCCGCAAACAAGAACTTACAGGTTGTATGTTTGCCTATGTGGAAATTCTCTTCCTGCCCCGAATATGTGTTGCCCAGACCTCGACAAACATGCTCTTTCAACTCTGTCCGCTCTTCCCGCCGATAAGCGTCGAGAAGAGCACGTCTGGCCGAAACCGGGGTGGAGGATTCACGTGTTGTGGTCATTGCTTGGGTGGGCCCTCGGCTTTGGCCTTCCTGTTCAAGAGCAGGCCAAAAGAGAGTCGTCATGGTTGTTCTCAGGACGTGCATGATGGTGATCGATGTGTGAATAAACTGTCAAAGATGGGTGGTGCTAGGCAATTAGTGATTATCGAGTGACTGTTCGTTTGTGTTGCTAGGTGGTCAGGTTGGCTTGTGTGTGAGAGAGAGAGAGAGAGAGAGAGAGAGAGCACTGCTTGTTCGGCTGTCAAGCGTGTCTCTTACGCTTCTCCAAAATTAACACCACATTCTCTTGCTTTTAACCTCGCAATACTCTGACCAATTCTCAATCGATCACTCCAGCTCCTATTCATGAGCGCACTCCTGCGACGCTTCATAGCATGAAGCTCAAATCATGGCCAATCCTCTTGCGATCTTACTCCGTCTGCCATACTCACAAGGTTTACTCCAACCTGTGCCACAATTGCTATATCCCAAAGATAAACTGTGGTGACGCTATGCCCAGAGGCTACGAGGTTATTACCCGGATGAAGGACCTGGTCAAACGAAGAGATGAATTGGCCTCTGGCAAGTACACCCTTGACGTCCAGCAAAACAAGCACGAAACATCAAAGGCAATTGACTAGAAGGATTGAAAAGAGTGCAAAGCGGCACCTTCATTCTACCCGGACCAACTACAGACTCAAGGCAAACGCCAAGCCGAACCTCGCTATAGATACTCAACCTCACTCAACTTCTGACAGTTCAGGCAACCATCAGAGACTCATACACAGAGCGTAATGGATCTTGAGACTCGATCACGTCACCTGGCCTTTCGTGCTCACGGCCGTCATGTGGTCACTTGCTTGCTATTATACTCAGACAAGATTTAAGAGGTCATACATCCCTTGTAGGTATACTAGAGTACAACATGGGCTCCTAGTAAGCGCCGCCCCCGACGGCACATTACGTATCTGGAACCCTGACAATGGAACTTGTCAATCTGTGCTATCGGGACACACCGGAGCAATCACTTGCTTCCAGCACGACGACCAGAAAACAATCAGCGGCTCGGGCAGAACACTCAAGATATGGAACATCAAGACTGGTGAGAGCTTAGATATACTTTCGGACCTTAGTGGAGTCTGGCAAGTCCGGTTCGATGGGAAAAGATGTGTTGCGGCGGTGCAGAGGAACAATCTCACATATATCGAGGTATGTGTACAACAAACACCTGCGAAGCCAAAGCCTCTAATCTCTTCCTAGATTCTAGAATTTGGCGCTGTTCGACATGGTGTACCAGAGACTAGCCAGGGCCATCGTGTCCTGGTCGATGAACGCGGACCACGAGATTAAAGCTCCATGAACATCTGCTGAGGTCTTTTCCAAGTAGTCGAAGTAATGAATACGGTAGAGATGGCAGACCTAGCTTCCAAAACAACCAAGCCCCAACTGCGCAGACTCCCGAAAAGTACTCATAGCTCTGTGTGAATATCTGTCTCGGGAGGATTCAATTTGACAAAAATTTCTTTTCGAGACTTGAATTGAATCCTTCTCTGATTTGTTGTTCTGAACGGACCACGGGGACAGAGAGCAATCGAGACCAAGTTGATCCGAAGCACTAGGTCCATTCGCTGGGCTTTATGATCATGTTTTTGTAAAAAGTCATCCCAACGAACACATCTCTTTCGAAATCGTATATCTACATTCGTGTTCCATTCTGGATACTATTATGACGTTTCTATTACAGTATGTATGGGTAGCAGTGTCGAATGTCAAGGGATCGCGCATTCATGTTTCTGCGAACCTTGTGCTTTGCTACTGTAGACATGGCGTGGAACCATCACTCGAATGGGAATTGTTGAGCAAGATGCGAAGATGCCGAATTCCATGATTGCTCGATGTAGAAGCGAATTTCGCGATACAGAGGTGCAGGAGGCGCGAATGAAGTGCGAATAATTGTGACAAGAGGAAATAAAGAGTGTGTGATCTCAGGCTCTTACATGTATCATTGTCCGGAGCTCAGCCTCGACAGGGCTCAGCAATGGAGGCGCATAGCTGCAGCATGCGGCAGCATCGTGTTCATGTATCATTGGTCACAACCATCAGCAAGTATCTTGAAAAGGACAATTCTCGGACAGGCGGACATTGTCAGACATTTGTATCTTCTGAGGGCAGAGCAGAGTTCAGCAGACGAACATTTTCGTAGGAGTGTACGATCTGTATGGTTTAGGAGAAGACGAAGAGATGACCAGGTAATTAGGTAGAGCTTGGAAGTGGGAGCTGCAGCAGCCCTTGGATGTGGTCCAAGCTTCCCGAAGCAGCTCTCTCACATGCTCGTGAGGCCAAAAAGCTTTCGAGCCAAGTCACAGAAACGCAACAACCCACCACGATGCCTCGAGGAGTGCCGCGAGCGATAGCCAAGAAACCGGGTCCCTACCATGCCAGGACGCCGGTCGCCGAATACAGAGCTCCGCCTCCACGTACCCCGATAGCTCCCTCGACCAAGCCCGCCGCCGTCGCAAATGCGCAATCGAGAATCAAGCTCCAGCGAGGGGCTAGAGGAGTCGGCATCTATGTCATGGGAGCCTGTGCCTTTGGTATGGCCTTCTACATGTCTGGTCTCGCCGTCTCGCTCTACAAGTCTCGAGATGTGCAAGCCGACCACTCGCCCTCGGCACAACGCGACGTCGCTGGGGTCTATGATACCACAGCAGGAGGCTTTGATGCCGAAGTCAATTTCTCGGAGAAGGTGGGGGGTGTAATAAGAGCAAGGAAGGAAATGTCTGCTATGGTCAAGGGGGATGTGTTGGAGGTCAGCTGCGGCACGGCTAGGAACCTGGGTTACTATGGCTTCGACCAGATCAAGAGTTTGACTCTGATCGATCTCAGTCCCCAGATGGTGGAACAGGCACGCAGTAAATGGAATATTCTGAACCCAGGCAAGGTTGCTGAGAATGTGCCCATCAGGTTCCTGCAAGGTGACTGTATCGGAGATATGCCTGAGCCACCAGCAAGAGCACAAGAAGAGGCAAAGAAGAGCGGGACGACCTTCACACCAGGTCTCAAGAAGGGCTACGACACAATAGTGCAGACCATGGGTCTCTGTAGCACAGCACAACCCGTCGAACTGCTCAAGAACCTGTCAAAACACCTCGACCACTCCAATCCGGAAGCCAGAATCCTGCTACTCGAACACGGTCGCAGTTACATTGGATGGATGAACAAACTCTTGGACACGACTGCACCTCAACACGCCGACAAGCACGGTTGCTGGTGGAACAGAGACATTGGTCAACTCATCGAGGAGAGCGGCCTCGAGGTCGTCAAAGAACGCAGGAAACAATTCGGCACCGTTTGGATCTTTGAGCTCAAGCCCAAACCGGTGACACAAAGCATCAAAGAAACGGTAGAGCAAGTTGGAGATAAAATCGAGCGCCAGACCCAAAGTCAAACGACTCAACGAGGTTGGCTTTCTTGGTTATCCAAGTGAGGGGAACTTGATACCGAGATACCAAGCCCATGAGTCGTCCACCAAGGTGTTCGGGGTCTAGCTGCTGAAACGCCGAGGGTCATACCGAGCTGAAGAGGCGTCCATTGAGAGCCAAAGTGTCTATCTCTCTCTGCATTGAAGCTCTCCGCTATGGTTATCAATGGTGCACTCCAGCAGCCACAAAACCGCCGAGTCGCAGGCCTAGAGAATTTCTCGTCCATGATAAGACCCCAGGCACCTTGATATCGACACTTAAGTCAAGCTCACGGAGTTGGCTTTCCTAAGACACAAGTCTGTGGAGTTTAGCCGACGAATCATCGACGATAACCGCTCAACTGCCTAAAGCGGTATACTCAAGGGAAGACGTTGCTCTCAAAACGGCGTCAAACCATGGGACCGTCAAGCGACAAGAGGTCGGCCCACGACGAAGAAGCAAAGACTGGCGACGATGGTTGAAGCCTCGGGCTGCACTCCGCAATGCTCAGAGGCTATTCATCTTCCGCACGAGTTGGACAAGGATCATGTTTGAGGATAACGCAGGCCTCGAGAGTCTGAACCATACAGCCCCGGGGCTGAGGTATGCAATTGGAAGGATTGCGGGGATGTCCAAGGAAAGCACGGCACTGGCATCAAAAAGTGCTTCTTGTGTGTTTGAAAAGTCACTCATGAAAGGTGGCATGTCGTGATGCTGCCCCCAATAAAGTCAATTGCTCTTCTCAACTCCACAAGTCCAGACTTTCCTTTGACCCCTTCTTCGTACGTATGCTTATCGGTGCATCGAGCAAGAAGAGATAGATGGATCGGCGCGGACCGTACGTCAACCGGACTTCTTTCTGAGACAGGCACGGTTGCAGATACGCTATCAATAAAAGGGTAAGGAACAAGCATGCATCGTCGCAAGACGATATGCGAGGGAGAGCTGCAGGAGGTTCCTGCAAGCCTTACGCATACAGATGCAGTCTCGCCTAGAACATCAAAGGCTGGCTGTATGCAGAAGTCGTGCGTGTCGGAGAACAAGAACTTAAGGTTACACTTTCCCTACTGCAGAAAAAGAGAGAAAAAGAAGCAAACAAATAGCCGGCCCACTTCGTTTTTGCACCGATTGCGGGGACTTTTTAAGTAGCGTCTAGATTCGGAGTGGGATTACGAAACGGAATACGCGGGCTTGTGGAGTGGGCTGCGGGACAGAGGGAAACCTCTGAGATCGCACCTTCGAAGAAGCAAAGCACAAGAAAGGTGCGAAAAGGCGTGACTCGAAGAAGGTGGAAGCATGACGGACGAAGGATTTTGCGTTTGAGCCGGATCGTCGGGGCAGAGGGTTGCCGTGGCCGTCCCCGTGAGATGGTAACTAGGTAATTATCTCTCAGACTGTCAATGGACATAATCATCAACGTGCTGTGGAGATGAGATGCTGAGATTGGGACGGAGCATTGATATGAAAGCAGCACTGTGCAGATCCGACGCTGCGGTGAGCGAGATAAATTGATGAAGCAAACAGCTGATATCCGGTGCTCCGTCCTTGGTGACGGAAGACGGTCTGGAGGACAACCCGAACTTTCCATCTTGACGCGAGGTACAAATAGCTATGATGCATGACTCAACGTCAGAGACACGAGAGGTACAGGTCTTGTCGCATCAGGGGTACCGCGGCATGAGGGTGCTTTTTCTTGAAAGATGACATGATTGGCCGATCAGTGGGATAAGAAAGGCTCCGCGTCGCAAGCTGCAGACGCGGGAATGGCTGGTGCGACGTATGGTCGATCAGCGTGTCATTGGTGGATGGGAGCTGTGCTGCTGTTTCATGTCTTGAAAATCACATGGGAAGGAAAAGAGTGGCAGCTTTGGGAAGCTCTGGAAAACAAGCTATGAGGGAGGATAGAGCTATCCGTATTCGCAAGCAAGTGGACAGGTGTCGCAAACAAACAATGGGCACGAATGAGAGGGCGACGATAGCAACGATGGGCTGAGTGGAGTGGACTCGAAATAACGTTGGTGCTTCTGGGTAGTAGCGGCCGAGAGTCGCGGTGGTCGGAGTCTGGTCGCTTTCATGTGTGGCCTCTCTGGCGACGGTCTGTGGTGGAAGGAGCGTTCTCACGTATTCGCCAAGTCCCTTGCTGCTGCCTGTGACATTTATGATCGAGAGCATGTGTTTCCTTAATCGTGTCTGCCCATCCACATCGCACATGCTCGCGTCCCCGGAACTTCCTTTTTCCCTCGATACCTCCCACTTCGTACAAAGAATCAGCATTTTCTGTTTGTCAAATTATCAGAAAGAATTGTGCAGAGCAGAATTACCGCTTCACACACCTAAACAGTCCGCACACGAGCAAACAACTTTTTTCTGGCTAGAGCTCCAGCACGTACATCCGTTCGCCGCCGACGCAACCGCCTTCGCAACGCAACCAGCAGACGAGCCGAGCCCCCCCTTGGCCTTTGCATCCGAGCTTGGAACCCCTACTCCTAACACAATCGACACACACACCATCCCAACCATCTTCCACCACCTCACCAAGCGACAATCGACATCATCATCATCATCACTCCTCGCCATCTCCATTCCAACCTGTCCAGCTCATTGATCCCTCGACCAACATTCTTCCACCTCTTTCGCGACAGCACTTAGTCGATAAGCAAGGCTGACCATCCATTCCCCGATCGACCAATCAACGCCGCCCAGCCCAAGCTACTGGTTGCTCACCCACATTTTCCCGGCCGACCAACAAGGAAACAGAAACACCGACGCGCCCAAACAAATCATCTCTTGTGCTCTAGCCGCACAACCCTTCCGTCGTCTCAATTCAATCCAATCCACCCAACATGCCATACAACACCAGAAGAAAGTCGCTGTCCCTCTCCGAGCTCGGTATCACTGTCCCTAAGCGCTCGCGAGCTTCTTCGCAAACACGACCCTCGCCGCCAGCCACCGTCATCGATGATGAGCCCGTCACCAAGAAGCCCAAGCGGTCGCACGACTCACTGTCGCCTCCTCCGGCACTCATGAGCCCTCCCAAGACAAAAACCTTGTCTATTCGTACAGAACCACCATCCCGTCTGGCCGAGCACACTCCTCCACCATCACCCGGAACTCAGACTGTGCACACGATTGATACCGAAGGCATCAGCGATGATGTCGTTGTCGCAACCATCAAACAGCTGGAAAAGACGGGCAACAGGCCGCATCTTGTCAAGGAATTGGCTGCAGTCTTGTGCCACTGCATAGGCGCGGTGGAGAAGTAAGCATAAGCAGCCCGCGACCCTGGTGAAACTCACTAACATGTGCTATAGGTCTGCCAACCCTGCCAACTTGATCTCGTCGCGTCTCACCAGCTACCTCAACCGCGCTTGGCCCGCCGTCAGCCCTTGTCCGCTGGCCAAGTACCAGTCCCAAGTTCACCCTCGCCCGCTGTACTATTTTTTGACCACCCAACCCCACCAACCCATTCCTGAGCTTTCCCAATCTCACGACATTCCCGCCGCCCGTCGCATCATCACTCCCGCTCTCTCGTCCGCCGCCGATGACGAAGACGAGAAATACAGCAGAACACGTGCTTCGCTTTCTCCCGAAGTCGACTTATCCAGCCCTGAGCTCGACGAACCCCCACATGGTGACATTGGCTCTACCTTCCACCCTCGTCATTCGCTCTCGCGCGATCATCCTCCTACGACCTCCAACCTGGCCCACAACCGCCGTGCCGATAGTCCCCCTCTTGAGCTCGAGGAGCGCGACTTCAAGCAGACGGCAAACGCTTTGCAAGAGCTGCGTCGCGCCAGCCAGGAAATCATGCCCAAGGCCATCAAGGTCGAGGATTCCGAAACCATTGCCATGTCAGTCGAGTCGGACGAGACCCATGTCGAGACCACTGAAGATCTCTTCGACGGACACGACCACCTCTCCTCGTCCGTGAGCACCCTCTACGACCTCAGCAGCCCTATGTTGAGACCTCAGGGCTTCTACGACCTCAAGTCGCAGCAAGCTCCAGAATGGAACACCGAGAAGAGGGTCTCAATCGACGCCATGTCCCTCGACGAGCAAGACGATGATGACATGGACATGTGGAATGACTTCCGCAGCCCTGAGAACATTGATCTCGATGAGCTCGAATGCCTCCTTGACGCCTACTAAACGTGTCATCCCTCTCGTCGACTGCTTTGAAGCCTCTCGTATTATCATTGCCGTCTTCTTCACTCCATCTTTGTTTGAGTTTGGAAAAAGCGTTTCGCATATTTGTTTTACTGGACCGGTATCCAAAAGATTTGTTGGCCATTTTTATGCTTGGGAGAAGCATTTTTCAACTCCCACTCCCTTTTTACGACCATTACATCCCTCGAAAACCACTTCTCCCTCTGAGGGATTTTGGGTTCCGCTGGCGCGAGCCATGCTCGCCGCATACGATCCCGCTCTTGTACTATTAGACACGATCCCCCATTCACCACCTTCACACCCTTCTGATGCCCAACGAGAAAAAAGACGCCGAACGAAAACCTACCTTTGTACTTGTATATAAATATAACACCTTCTTGACGACGAACATAAGATCTCTTCGTTCTCTCTCCGCTTGTGTTTATCATTCTTTGAGTTTTTGACTGTCACAGTATTGCACGAAAGAGAATGCGTCCTTTTACAGAATTGAGCAAAAGTTATTCTGCGAAGACGTGCTAGTTAAAGCTTACAACCCTGTCCTCCGCGTAGGAAGCCGTCAACTCGACAGTACGATACTATATCAGCTTATTACTTATTAAGATCAGCCTCTAGGAATTAACACATATTGTCGCGCTAACTGATACGGTCTGCAGGTAGTGTTTAGCTACTCTGTTGTGTTCTCGGTGTTTCTTAGTGACCTGCTCTAGATTTCCGTAAAGCACCTTATATATAGAACGCTTTTTAGATCTATATCGTAGATTAGTCGTAGATGACTCGGCAGAGGCAAAAATAAACTATAGGTGCTATAGATAATAAACAGAGATACTTAATTGTCAGCTAGTAATTTGTTACGAGCTGAGTTAAGCGTAACGGGATTTACGACGATCATTACCGGATACGGGATCCTGCTCTGAGGATTCCGCCAAGAACCTGGATCTCTACAGAGCACACTGCATAAGGCTGCTGCCTCCTGCACCCTGCTCTGTACGATCTCTCGTTCTCTCTGCTCCCTCTAGATTACACAGAACAACAGAGCATATAGAGTAACGTGCATACACTCATTATCTATTAAGTATATAGGTAGGTAGGACGACCTTAGGTAGTCCTACGTTTAACTTAATTAGTTATTCTAACAGTCCCTTTAGTATA